AGGCAGAACAAGCCAAGATCAAGTCGTTACGTAGTAGTCTTGGCAGCTACAATTATCGCTCTGGTGTTTCTGAGTACTTGCGCCCCTTTGTGAGACGGTTCGCACGTCTCGAATGATCCCTCCCGAGTGAAGTACGTTGCAGATGCTTGTGACTGATCAGACCAAGAGATGGCTTCTTCGCGTTGAGTGTATGGTATAGCTACATTACATTCGGTTAGTAATAACGAGTGTGATACGTTGCTGATGCGCCAAAGCGTTCTTGAACCACCATTTTCATCGTATTGGGTGAGCCGGTCGGGGAGCGGAAATCGCCAAGGCGCAAACCCCCCGTTAACATGGACAATCATCTTGTATTGAGAAAGAAGTTTCGGCCTGTTGAACCAAGTCTTCGGGTTGCTTGGCATGCCAACGCCTTCTTGAGCCCGTTGTGTTTGGAGTGCACCGGCTATCGAAATAGTCGAGAGAGGGCAGAAAGGGATCAGGGTCAAGAGTCCAGATCGAACGGAATCGGTCCGACACGGGAAGCGACGCGACAAACAGCACTCACCAAACGCTTGCTGCACCAATTGACGGTACTAGATGCTGAGATCTCGAAATGTCAATTTCTTGTCGTAAACGTCGCCGGCCCAGACTGCAGTGGAGTAGATGGCACGCAAGGGTCAGCAAGAACGAAGAGGGCAGGGAGCATAGTCAAAGCGCGTGGTCAAGTCGGAATCTCCACCGCGCACCTAGCTGGATTGGTCCATTCACTGACTCCTCGAATGCAGCATGGCCAGTTACGACTTTGGTGAAGCGCTTGACTATATCAAGTTCCTGGTCGGTTCCGAACCAGCCCATGCGTTCAGAGAAAGCCTCTGCCCCAGCGGAACACCGGAAGGCGCGACCTTCCTTGCGCTCCACACAGCTGGAGCCGATCACAGCGAATGTCTCGATTTGGAAGTTCAACGAATAGTAGGCGCTCTAAGAAGCACACTGTGTAAGTAAGCGTGTTGAACAGACATGAAGAGACTCCACAAGAAGCTCAACTCACAGTATCTTGGCATTGTGAGGCAAGTTCTTTATAAGCTTGTGCAGCTGCCTTGTCAGACACCGCCGCTGTACAGGGTTACGTGAAGGCAATAGTGGATACAGAGTTGTCCACATCATCGGCACCAATGGCTGTCGTATCTTGCTCCAGCGCCGGGATGTCCTCGCATTCGGCTCGCCCGCTTTCTGTCGCGTTGATCCGAGTCCACAACTCGCTGGCGATCGGTTGCCATTCTATCAGGCTGACTGGGACTGGGGAGTAGGAATAGCAGCAATTAGGCTATTCAGAGCACTTCAACACAGCAACGAGGAAGGTTTGTAATCTGCTTACGATCAATACCATCATTGTTGGCTAGTTTCTCCAGAAGTACTGGCTCGTCCGGAAGGTGTCCCACGTGCTCAGCGCCCTTCTTTTGCTGACGACCTTTGACTGGGTGACGCGTTGGAATCGCTCAGCCGGATGTTCTCTTCGCAATAGTACCATTCCATGAAGGCACGGCAAGCATCTGCTCAAATGCACGATGACGGTCCTTCTTTCTCTTCCTTGGGGATATAGCGCTTAGGCGGCTTGCGTTGCACGCGCTCGATCATGCCTTAAGGAATACGAGCACCTGCGGGTAGGAATTACTTGCGAGCGCCGGCGGAGGTCGGAGACGGCCGCAATTGTTCGGTGGTGGAGCCTGAAGATCGTTGATCGAATGTTGAACAGCAGCTGGGATTGGGATACTGGCCACGCGCAGACTGATTGGACGTAGAAAGACCCGGCATCGCGTTGGCGGTTGAGACGGGACTGAACAAGAAATCCATCGTGCCGTCCATGGAAGATAGAACTCTCAGAAGCTAGAAAGAGATCAGGTCCGAGAGTAGTCAGTAGACAATTCCAGCAGGAGCAATCGAAGGCAGGGTCGATCGATTGTCGTATACAACTAGTCACGTGGGCTGAGCTGGGCAATAACGACGTGACGTACGTGTATTTTGGACAGGTATCAAACGGAGATCAGGCACCTAGAAAGGTGATCTCACAACAGATGTGAAATAGAAGAAGCCTAGGGATAAGTACGATGGCTTTGGGTGGTCAGACGTTACGCTTTCTGACAGCACGAAAGCCAGTTTGGCTGGGAGGTGAGCTGAGCTAGCCAGCGGCTGTCAACGCCCAGGTCGCGGGGGAGGCGGACGCGGCGCGGCAGCAAACACACACCTCTGGAACTCACTGATATCTTTTGGGCAGCTTTTGTACAACGCTGGTTGAAAAGTGCGCGCACAACGAGGGGAAAGAGGCGAAGAGGGCGCGCGACTGTCTGCCAAAAAGTTTGCGCGATTGAGATGTCCCGAATCACCACTGTTCCACATTATTTTAAGATTGGGAAACATCAGAACTTTTGAGCACTGGGTATAGCTTGATCAACGAAGTCATGTCGGTCCGTATTATGCATCTGTCGCTGTTGACCGCCCCGGGATGTGGAGTCCTGGCTATCCGGGTATTGGGCGACCATTCCTCGTGTGAAACTCGCTGAGGATCGAGGTTTTTGGCGCGCTCGCGCGCGCGGTCTACACTGTATCTTTGAAGGTACGCCTGAGGTGACTATTCGTTGGAACTTGGCTGTCCTTAGGTGTAACGTGATTATTCGCAGACTCGAATAGTTAAATTCAGGCTCGAGTAGACGTCTGGTCACGCAGAACATTGGCCATGTGCGGGCCGAAGCTACATGGCATCACGTGTAGCGAGTACCCGTACTACTTAGTACCCGAAGTCACGTCGGCCCGGGCCCCAGGTCGGTCCTTGACATGGCACCGCGAGATCGTCGATTCGTCGCCAGCCTGAGGATCAGTCTATGCCACTGCAGGTATCGCATCTCGTGACCAAGATGCATAGAATGAAATGTGAGTCTTCATCAATGGATCTCGTCATATGTACCCGGCAATATGACGGATTCATAGACATATACCGTGCAGCCGTGCTAGGACCTGCCGAGATATCCACGTGGCACGGCACCGGTTGGGTATCGGTAATGGCGGTAATGTCGGCCTCGGACCTGCGCGTGATCACACTACGGCGTCTGCCTATCAACTACTAGTAGCGGCATTGCGCAGTGGGGACAAGCCAGGAGGGGCGAACTAAAAGGCCGCAGGTAATAGAGAGGTACGACAGGGTAAAGCAACCGCGCGATGGTCCGGAGCTGTATTACCCGTCTACCTTTCAAGGTTGCTCTTTTACAGCCGTTTACGGCAGAGAGGAGAGGCGCCTCGGATCAAATGCGCACGGTCGGGCCGCACAGACAGCGACGGCTCAATCCGTAGCCATTCTTGCGATCGGCGAGAGGGTTAACTCCTTCTTCTCAGGGGTTATTGGCTGCTAAAACCCTATATCAGCCGATTCATTACTCAGATGGGCACTGCTAACGAACACCGGGGTCGGCCTTCCGAGGCTCACGAAGAGAGAGGCGTGGCTGAGCCTGGCTGAGCGGCGTTGATCGAGCCGATTTGGTATGCACCCAAACGAGCCTTAGTGCACCCAAATTTCAACCTCGCCGTACCTACCTAGTAGGTATCTGGCTTCCCAGGTATTGAGTGAACCTACCTAGCTTGAAACAATTCGGTCACCAAACAATCGTGCCTTGTGTACGACGAATACCGAGCTCTGTCGGTAGATCACCCGGTCCTCGCCAAATGTGGTGCCCAAAAGCGAAACCCGAAGACAATCTTTCCGCAAAGACATGTTTTGGAGCGCTGGCTAATCCATCTCGGTATCCTCCTCGCATCCGCGCACCCTTTACTAGGCAGGTACGTAGTTACGGATCCCTGTGGTATACGGTTACAGAGCGCAAGCTCACACCATTGTCAGCGACAAAGTTTATGCCGACCTCGGAGCGCGGTGACCAACGCTTGTGGGTACGCCCGGAGATATGTATAATTCCGGCCGGAGGATTTAATGTCTCATGTCCCAGGCGCTTTTTCGATTGAAAATCCTTTGTCCAACCTTTTGGTAGGTCAGAGCAAATGGACTCGATGAAAGTCGCGTGAGGACGGTGTCAGAGACAGCGAGCCTCGACATGGTGTGACGGCGAGAAGGCGGAAAGAGTGAGCTCGAGGAGCGCGATTGCGCTAAGATCGACGGAAGTCAACACGTTGCAAGTCTTCTTAGACCAGATTGCTGATTGACGTTTGTGGACTTTGAGATGATGCTCCTCGAATACATTTCCAAACATCGACATTCAAAAATTTGCGAAATCAAGGTCAGTTTCGAGATCATGAGTTTTGCAAGACTGGTGCGAATGGGACCGAATCGGATCCAATTGGGACCAAATCGGGTGCGGCCTCAGAAATATTATAAGACCCGAACTCAACCTTGGTCCAATCGGCCCTATTCGACGGGGAACCAATGCCTCACGGGTGCTCACCGATGCCGACTTTTCCAAAGGTTTTTAGGCATTAAAAAAAAAGAAAAAAAGCTAACCAGTCCGACTTCTCGCAGGAAGGTCGGCGCCGTAGCGCCCCCGAGACCGAAACCCGAAGGCCGGCACCTCGGCATCATCGTCTGGATCGGCAATGCTGCATCGCGTGCTTGCCACACACTGCCAAATACTGCCAGGTGGCAATTAATTGGTGGGGCGAGGACCAAATAGCTGTGTACTAGTAGCTGTGTATCACTTGCGGGGTGTGCCTGAGCTAGCGTATACTAGCGCCGCGGATCGCCGCGGCAAAAGGTAGAAGCAATGAGAAGCAACTGTCGCCGTCTTCTCATTCTCATTCTCATTCTCATTCTCGGCTGCCTGGGTGGGTAGCGCGCGCGCGCGGAACCAACAAAGGGGACAATGAAGTTATCGTAGGCGCCTGCACGTTCAGTCCGCATCGGTGAAACCAGTCTTCGGAGTCGGCACCGCTCAGCCTGGTGAGCTTGAGTCCACCACCGACAACGACAACTGTGTTCCCTCCTTCTACTCATCCTGTGTGTAGCCGACAGCGTAATGTCGCGCATGGATGCCCCTCTGCTCAATCTCAAATCCGATATGCCTCGAATCGATTCCCTATCCTCGATGCGTGCTTCAGCTTCCATCCGCGCCGCTCGAGCCGCTTGCGCTGAGCAGCTCGCCAATGGACCATACACGAGAAGGTCAGTTGGAAGCACCACTTCACAAGGGCCGCACTCTTTGTTAGTAGCAGTTGAGTCTACTAACACGACTTTGTTTTGATGCGCACGACCCGCTTCTGAAAATGCTTGCCCATCGCTGCCCTTTTCAGACGGCGAGGGGCTAGCAGCGGGACCGCGACGACCCAGAGCCGACCGAGCCTCCATGATTTCAGCGAACGCCCGCCCTCCGTCACCACTCGCCGACCGCAACACAACCAACTTGAATCGAAAGACATCAGGCAAGAAGACCATTCGCCATTCAATCGAGTCGACACACCGCATCTGACCAGTTGTCAGCAAGAGGAGGTGTTCCGACCTGCGGATGCTCGTCGTCGGTTCTCGGCGTCGCAGACTCCAAATCGGGACTCAGGCTCGCTGTCTTCATCCAGTGGCAGTGCGTCTGAAACTGCCCAATCGGACCGAGAATCGTATCCATCTCGAACATCAGGTTTGAACTCCTCTCCTTCACACCCCATTGTCGGCGATTTTTCGTGGCTCGACCCGATGCTGTCCAGTACACCACCGCGCTGTTCGCCATCGCTTTCGCCGTTCGCCAGTTCGCCGATGGCATCACCTCCCCTTGCAACGATTAGTCTTGACGCCCTCATTAACCCCGTATCGATCACTCCCAGCAAAAAACACATGCTTGGATTACTCCCGCCACCTATTGTCGACTCCTCATCGTTGGAACGACTGCGACGTTCCAGCCCCGCGAAGAGAAGATCGAGGTCCAAAAGAAACGCTCTGTCTAGCGGTAAGAAGACCTTATCTTCGCTCCTCGGCAAGTTCGAACGAAACGGATTAGACAAAATCAATCTGTTGATGGAGAACTCAAAATCATATCAACTCGAGCATTCACACGTATCACCGCGCGCTTCGCCGGTTCCTCCCCACACCGAAGTGGAGAAAAACATAATCAACCATGATTGGGTGGCTGAATCATCGAATGTCCGTGTTGCACCCGAATCGACTGAAGTTGAACTTCTAATGCAACCTTTGAAGAGACGGGGTGGCAAGAATGGGCGCAATCAGCCCCCTCGCCCACCGAACCCTTGGATCCTGTACCGTTCGGCTCAGATCCAGAGGCTGCGAGCCGATCCCCGATTCGTCAAAACATCACAATGCGAAATTTGTGAGTTGCCGTTGCTCGAGATAAGAAATTCTGTATAAGGGCGCTAGCTGACCTTAACTGTGGGCCTGCAGCAAGACTCATCTCTTACATGTGGAGGGACGAAACGCCGGAGAGCCGGCTTAAATACGAACAACTCGCGGCCGAAGCCAAGGCGGCGCATGCCATCGCGTACCCTGGTAAGCCACTTGTCGCAGCATCGGGAACCCCATCTGGGACTCGGAAAGGCCCTGACTAATCGAGGAAAATATTGTGCTGCAGATTACACGTATCGTCCGGCAAAGAGACCCCGACGAAATGTAGAGCCAACCCAACAGGAGGCCACGACTCTTGAGTCATCCGACTGCACCTCCTCGACGCCCATCGACTCCGACCTCCTGAGCTGCACTTCTTCTTCCCTGCCCTCTGTGAAAACATTGAACGAGTGGGGTTCCAATGGGCCCAAGCCAGACTCTCAGTGGGCAAGTGGCCAGTGCAGTGAAGCGAGCTGGCTTCCTGCGGCGCCTTCAACGGTCGAATCGCTCGACTCCAGTATTGAACATCTGCTCGCCTCGCTCGACTACCCAACCAGGTTCAATAACGCACTCGAACTGGACACGATGTGCGACAATACCAACCCGCTCTGGAGCTCAACGATGAATCACTCGCCCGACGTGAACGCCAGCCAGGGATGGGGAATCTCTGCTTCCCCATTCCTAGACATGCATCACGCGCAGATGGTACCCTTCTCCGCCCCTGCCGCCTTTTCGGCCTTTGAATTTGGTTCCGTCCCGTCCTCAGTCGAAGGGAACCTCTTCGACGGGGACTTTTCTTTGCGGAGCGCTCCACTTTCTCCCTCTTTCATCGCCTCGAGCCCTCTTTCCTACGACCCTTCCCGGTTCGAGTTGTCGTCCTCAACTTCGTCAGCTTCGTCGATGGCGAGCGCAGATGACGTGGAGGACACATTTTCATCCCCGGGGACAATCGCCTCCTCCGTCACGAGTGCCTCTGCAGCGCCCTCGCCCGCCAACAGCATCGTGTCCCCGTTGTGGCTGGACCACCGCACGCCCTTCACGAGCGCAAGCCACACTCCCATCATGCTTGCAACTTCGGTATTCGAGAAAGATCCTATCTCTGACCCACCGGCTGGCCCGATGAAGGATCTGACACGATTTGATGCAGGTCACGACATCTTGGTGGATCAGAACTGATTTTCGCGTGTATCAAACCTCTCTTAGAAACCACATCGCTCTAGATACTATTGTCGTCTACTGAACCAGTCTTGTCACTCGTTATTGTCCATATGGAGTCTGTACATATATTGGTTCACGTGTAATCGATCACTTCAATGTTGCACTTGGAGTTGCGTGTGTTTGCTTGTGAGCGTTGGGTGTTGATAGCCGTAGGGGTGTTCAGGGGCTTAGATGCGGGAAGGACAGACCCAACGGGCAGCATCCTACGGGAAATCCGCGCAACCGCAGTTAACCGTGGTCGACTTTGGCGCGACGATCGAGCCAAAGTCGGACCTGCGTGCCCGCGGTTGCTCAATCGTCGCGCCAAAGTCGGCCGTGGTCTAACTGCGGTTGCGCGGATTTCCCGTAGGGGGCAGCAGGATCGAAGGGAAAGGGACAAGGCAAGCGGGGCTGGGCGGTGCCACGGCATCCGAGGATTGATTATTATGTAAACGCGCAGCACTAATTCTATGAGCCCCTCACTAAAATTAGAGTGCAGGTAGATGTGTTATGCTCTAGATATTTAGAAGTCCTATGAAGTCGCTGCAGCCCTGCCAGATAGCTCGCAGCCTAAAGGAATCAAAGAGCGGGATCTTGCGGTGGGCTCGATCCGCTGCCGTGCGCAGACCTTGGACCCGCCTCGGCTTCCTGATCAGCTGCCTATCTACGACTGAGTCATAAAGTGGGAGAAGATGAGAAATAGGTACAGACCTAGGTAGACACCGATGCTTGGAATTTTCATTCTTAGCGCGTAACAGGTAAGACGCGCGAGCCGAACATGTTGCTTTCAGAGTGGATCCCGAATCTCTGACTCCCGATCGAATGCACCAACTCAGATACTCTTGAGTCGTCTCTCTGTTCCGGCGATGCTTCGAACTTAGGGCAATACACGCACGTCACATGCGCAGAATTTGAACCTACTGGCGTACCTGGATGCAGGGGACCTGCTCGCCGTGCTCGGACAAGATAGGGGAGTGAGGCAAAGCTTGTACATTCCTTGTAGAAAATTATGAGAATAACAATTACAGACTTAAGAAAGAAAGAAAAAAAGGGATGACACGTGCAGAGGAGCAGATGAACCTGGCACTAATCGAATCTGCTCCGGCACCTCATTTCCTGACCGAGGCAGCACGCTATGAGAAGAGGCGCTTCTCGAACGAGTGCAGACCGTGAACCCCACCCTCGACCTGGGCACTCGCAGTGCGCAGCTCGAACCTCAACTCGCCCGAATAAGCACGATCTTGCATCTCGGCGATCGATCGCGTACCCATGTCTTGCAACGAGTGCTGCAATCCGGCGTGCAGGTAAGGGATGAACTTGCGCAGCGAGCCCTTGTCTTGCACGGCACCGGCGACTCCTTGCGCGACGCGAACGGCGTCCCCTTCGGAGAAGTAACGCGACGTCGCGGCGTTGTCGATGTCGGCGGTCGCCTGGGCTCGCTTGTCCTTGACCGTTCCGGCGTCCATGGCGTCGATCGAGCCCATACCGCGGTACTTCTTCAACCGCTTGCCCTCATTATAGAAGAACTCTCCGGGTGACTCGGTCGTACCGGCCAAAAGACCGCCCATCATGACGGCCGAGGCGCCGAGTGCGAGCGCCTTGGCGATGTGGCCTACGTTGCTGATACCTCCATCGGCGATGACAGGGACGCCAAACTTGCGCGCGAACTCGGCGACGGCGAAAACAGCCGTTCCTTGGGGTCGACCGACGGCCGTCACTTCTTGGGTGATGCAGATGGATCCGGAGCCCATGCCAACTCGCAAACCATCGGCACCGGCGTCGATGAGGGCCGCAGCCTGCTCACGTGTGACTACGTTGCCGGCCACGACCTCGAGGTCGGGAAACTCGCCCTTGATCCATCGGATCATCTCAATTTGGTACGACGAGTTGCCCTGCGACGAGTCGAGCACGACAACGTCCAATCCGGCCTCGACAAGCAAGCGCAGGCGCTCGCGGTCGGGGCCACGGGTGCCGATGGCGGCGGCGCAGATGAGCTGCTTGGACTCGGGCTTCTTGGACGCCAAAGGGTAGTCCTTGTTTTTGAGCAGGTCAGATCGCGCGAGCAGAGCGACGAGTCGGCCTTCGGTGTCGACGATGGGCAACTTGCCCTTCTTGGAGTCGCGCAAGATGGTGTTGGCCTGCTCGAGGGTGACGCCGGACTTGGCGACGACGAGCTCATCACCAGTGGTCATGACCGTCGACAGCTTTGCCGAGTTGGGTCGGAACTGGATGTCGCGAGCAGTGACGATGCCGACAAGCTTGCTGTTGAGCTTTCCAGTCTCTGCAAACGAGAGATGCAGACGCGTTGCCTTTGTTGTGTCAGTGCGTGCTCCGTCAACAATAAGGAAGCGGAGCGCGGTAGGCGTATTTTGTGTTGTCGATGAGCATCGATGGTGAAGAATCAGTAGAGCCGATCAAGGCGTATTCAATGTTTCCACATGGTTTTTGAATGAGCGATCAAACTCGATTTCGGTAGAACGAAGGAAATGAATTGGTTGTACATCATTTTTCGGCCGGTTGCTCGACCTGACGTGGCGCCGGGAAGGAAGGGCGATAGGACCCAGGACGGTCTCGATGGGATATGCACTCACCGGTGATGGGGATGCCGCAGAATCCGAATCGGTCCTTGATGTCCCAGACGTCAGCGACGGTGTTGTTGGGCGAGAGCGCGACGGGGTCGGTGATGAAGCCGTTCTCGAACCTGGATACATACGAACGCGAGATGTCAGTTCTCGAATTCATGAAAGCTTTTCGGTCAGACGCGCCGAAAGGGTGGGGGACTTTGACACACTTCTTGACGGCGCGAACCATCTCGGCCTGCATCTGAGGAGGAAGGTTGTGGTGGATGACACCCACTCCGCCGAGCAACTGGGCATGACGGTAAGCGGAGAGTCAAGAGTCGCGAGGAGTCGGGACGAGGGTGCCGTGGAAAAAGTCGCGTCGTAGGGAGAGCCAATAGCGCGGTGTAGGAGTAGATGGCAAGGTCAGTCACCATGATCTTGTCGAGGAGCCAAGTCGAGTGTATTTCGATGGAAACTCACAGCCATGGCGATGGCCATCTCGGTCTCGGTGACGGTGTCCATGGGCGACGAGAGGAAGGGCGTCTTGAGCACCGTCTTCCTCGTGATACGACTCTCGAGGCTGACCGCATTGGAAGGGAAGTCAATGTGGCCGGGCAGGACGAGGAAGTCGTTGTAGGTCAGGCCTCCATGCTCTTGCGAGTCCATCAAGGAACGCAGCGAGAGGCCATCGGGCTGCGCGTAGGTTTTGAGGTGCGCCAACGCCTCGGACGCGGGCAGCAACGGCGACGACGACGAGGAGGAGGAGGAGGAGGAGGAGGAGGAGGAGGAAGCAGTGGCCATCACGGAGGGAGTTGATACGGGGGGTGGAATTGGTGGGGAGAGTAAGAGGGCTTATTAATGGGGCGAGTACGGGTACGGTGCTGAGGGGGGTTGATGACGAAGAGAGTAGAAGTCAGAGCCCAGCCAGCACCTGCCCGCAAGAGCCACCACGTCGGACGCGCCTTGGCTGCGACAGGCAGCGACAGGCTGCGACTGGCTGCGAAGGCTCGCAAAGGCCACGACGGCGCGCTCCCGGCCTGCCTGCCTGCCAGCTTTGACTCTGGCCCAGTGAGGCCCGGCGAGCGTTTTGAGCGACGCGCTGCCGAGGCTTGCGCTTGGACCTCTTTTCCCGTCCGGCCTCTGGCTCGAGTCACGCGCGGGTGCGGGCTGCGCGCTCTGCTCTTTTCCTCCCGCACACCACTACGCTCACCACGCGGGGAGAGGTGCGCTACGCCGCCTTCCACCTTCCGCGACGCCGCGATGGCGTCTTCCTCCGCCAGCACGCCGTCGTTGGCTGTGCCCGAGAAGCGCGTTTTGTCGATACAGTCCCACGTCGTGGCAGGCTATGTTGGTGAGTTCATGCTCCATGGTCGCCGCTTCGTTCCGCGCCCTTCGCAGCCGGCGGTCGGCTCGGCGCTAACCCCTTTTTTTTTGCCTCGTGTGCGCGCCCTATTTTTGCTCAGGCAACAAATCGGCTAGCTTTCCCCTGCAACTCTTGGGCTGGGAGGTAGATGCGGCCAACACGGTCGAATTCTCTAACCACACGGTAAGTTTCGGTTGCCATCGCCGTGCAGAGCGCCACGTCGCCCTCGACTTTTCCTCGCCTGGCGCTCCTGTGCTCCCGCCATTGTACCATTGCCCAGCCAACTAACGCTCTTCTCCTTCTCCTCTTTTCTCTTGCTTGCCCACGTTTGCATATACTGCACGGTCGCCTCTCCGCGCTTCCTCATGAACGCCTCGGGCGTGTGCCCTCGTCCTTTTCCTCTGCCGTCTCGCTCACTCAGGGTTCGCGTAATTTCCCTGCCTTGTTTTTTCCAAGTATCAGGAGGTGTCACGACTGACTTGTGACTGTTCTCAAAATCATAGGTTACGGCAGATGGGGCGGATCCAAGTTTGACGCCGCTCATCTCGAGGATGTCATGAGCGCACTCGATGTGAGTTTCTTGAGTCGCCTACGCCCATCCCTGTCAATCTCGCAGAGGCAGCACAAGGTTGCTGACGATAGCACCACGCCAACCCCCAGGCCAACGGGCTTCTTCGCCAGTCACATCTGTTGACCGGCTACGTACCCGGTGCCGAGGCGCTGCTCGTTGTCGCTCGCACCGTTGACCGATTGCGCTCCATCAACCCCAACCTCGTCTACGTCCTCGACCCCGTCATGGGTGACGACGGTCGCATCTACGTCTCGGAAGCCGTCATTCCCATCTACAAGTCGCTGATGCCCAAAGCGACGTGCGCAACGCCCAACTACTTCGAGGCCGAGCTCCTCACCGATGTCAAGATTCTCGACGCCGCTTCGTTGCGTTTGGCACTGCGGACCTTCCACGAACGGTATCGCATCCCTAACATCGTCATCTCGGCCGTGTCGTTGCCTCGCGACGAGCTAGCCAAGCTCGGCGTGACCGTCGAATCGGCAGCCCCCAACGATCGGCTCTTGCTCTGCTGCGGTTCGACCATGACACCATCTTCGTCGGCTAACGACCCGATCGAATCCATTTCGTTCGGCATCGCCTTCCCCGAGTTGGCCGAACACTACGAAGGTGTCGGCGACGTCTTCTCTTCCCTCGTCTTGGGTCGCTTCCCCAATGCCTCTCACCCCTCGCACGCCGTGTCTCCCCTCGCCTACACTGTCGAATTGGCGATCGCTTCCCTGCAAGGTGTCCTCGCTCGAACGCGTGCCAACGCACTGAGGTTGGCTAAGCATTACCCCGATGCCATCATCCCCCGCGAAGGGGAAAGTGCCGAAGAGCGTGTGCGAAGGCTGAGGATGGTCGAGCTCAAGCTGGTTCAATCCCAGAAGGAACTTCTGGACCCGCAAGTAATCCACCGCGCCGTTCGACTGTAACAGCGCCGTTCGACTTCGTCCGCCCCTCTGCATCCCTTCCCGCAATTCAACCATCGACTTCTTCATCTCTTCTGTTGTGTTCATATCGACTCGGTTTGTGTCCCGTTAACCCGAGCATTGTTGTCTCTTCATATCTCGGTGAGTTTTCAGCCTCCTTTCCCCTTTATGTCTTTCCTCCTTTCTTCTCTCGTCGGTTGGTGTGTGTGGTCCACTCTTCGCGCGAGATGAGTACTTTATTGTCGCCCCAGTCGTAGCTGGTCCTCCCTCAACCAGAGGACCATGCCGATTCGACACGCGCTCACTTATTTTAGCCAATAAACCGAAGAGCAACACTGAGGCGAAATTGGACCACATACATTATCCGGCCATGGAGAAGGAGATGGCACAGCGAGAATGCTCACTTTGGAATGTCGATGACTGACTCCTCACGACCATTCTATCCTTGTCTCTGCTTCAAAAACCCTACCCCATCTTGGAATCGCTTGGGTTAAAAAAGCCCCCTAGTTCTGTTATAGGTAAGCCTCCCCCGCTTTCTCGCATCTACTCCACCTTCGCCTCCATTTTCGACAACTACACAGAAGGATATGACGACAAAATATGTTCCATGCTAAAACCGACCCGGGGCCTTTCGAGGTACTTGAGGGGATGTGGAATGAACCGCTTTTAAGAACGGCCAACGGATCCTATCATATCCAACGCACCTCTCTTGCATCACGACGTATCATCCACTTGACGAAGACTTTGATGGCTGACTGGTCTCGTTGCCTTTTTGTTCTGAATGCGTTGATTTTCGCACAGATTCGTCTTTGATGCTGTCGATAAATTTCTTGTTCGTCTGTACTTTTCACTATTTTGCTTGTTTGTCTGTGACTCGATTGCAATCTGCATCGTACCGACTATCCGAAATCCTAAGCCCTTCAAGTTCAGTGAGAAGCTGGTTCCAATTCCAATGATCAGCCCCATCCGCAAGTCCTCAAGACCTCCCCTCCATCTCCTTCCACCTCTTGCGACTCGCCTCCCTCACATCTTCCCGCCAACCACCATGTTTGGCATCATGAATGACGACGGGTTGTAAGAGTGCTTTGAGGGGTCGACTCCCCAAGCCGGACTTTGCGTCACCATTCAGTACTTTAGGATCGATAAGTTGTCCTAGACCTCGTGGGGTGGCCATCGTCGTGGTCGAGGCTGAGGCTGCGGTGGGCGTAGACGATCCTGCACCGCCAACCTTAGCGAGCAATTTGGCGCCTTTACTTTCACTTCCGAACGGATCGATTGGACGAGTCGTCGAAGAAGCCGAGACGACCGAATGGGCTGCGTTCGCACCTGGCACGGTGAAGAACGGTGCTGAAGTCACTTGCTTCGAAGTCTTCGTCGCTACGTCGCCGACACCGAGGTTGCGTTCCCTTCTGATCTTGGCGCGGTCGATGAATTGAGTCGCGGCTGGGCGGGTGGAAGATGGGTCGACACCATCCTTGCCTTCAATTGGGGTCACAGTCGAGTTCTTCAATCCAGGCCCTATGCGATATTGTTCCTTGAGTCCCTTCATACGTTCGCGTCGCTCGAGCTCTTTCTGTTCCTTCGTCACGGCCGTATAAGGTGTAGGGCCGAGCGAGGTTGGACCTTCAGTTGTGGTACAAGTGGGTTGGTGGTCCTCGGAAGTGGATAGAGGAATGAGGTTGGATTCGTCGGTTTTGATGGAGCAGGTCGAGCATGGGAGGGATGCATGGATGTGGATCGAGAAGGAGGTGGTGCCGATGCGTAAGAGGCTGTTGGGATGGATCAAGATAGCCGGATGATTGAGTCAGCCTCAAGTCGTGAGCGACTGCAATGTGTATCTGACCCACTCGAGATGATGCAACGTCCTGGGCTCACTCGCCACCTTATCCCGACTGAGCCTGACCCATTCCCCCGTTGAGCTCGTGGCCATGACGAACGTCCCCTGCGTACTCCCTCCGTCAACGACTTGCCACTCTCCTCCATCCACACCAGCGTCAAAGGGAGTAAAGAAGAGGGTGGCATGGGTCTTGCTGACTTGCAATTCCTTGAGTCGTATGCGCTTGTCGAACGCCTTGTCCCTTCCTACTTGTACGGGTTCGTCCGGAGGAATGAGGATGACGTGACCCTTTCGCAATACCCCCGATCGGTCGACAACAAGCCTCAGTATGGGAGCTGCTAACTCGTCGAGGCTGGGGTCGTAGCGATCGTGGGTCCATTTGCCTGCTTCGCGGAGGGGTCCGTCATCGTGTTCGTCGCCCGAGAAGGGCCACACTTGTTCCTCTGGTACGGCCGGGGTGTTGGACAATTCGACCTGAGCGTCTGGATCATCTCGATCGTAGTATCTTCTCTTGCCCTGGGCTGCAGCAGACGACGATCCTCCTGATCTCGCTGACCGAGCATGAGCAGCAGCTGAAGCTCGGACATCGCTCGCCTCCGCCGCGTTCGCGTTCGCCGAGTCGTGCGGCTGCTGATGCACAGTCGCGCGCGCATAAACCCATTCACCGTCGGCGCCGATCCGAGCCCATTGCTGCGTCGAGGGATTGTAGTAGAGCGAGTAGGTCGGATCCCAGATCCATTGCGACGAGCTCGCCATGCGCTGATCCCGACGGTTCCGAGGCCGCAGGCGGCAGAAGCAGAAGCAAGAGCTCGATCGCCGGCTCGAGCGCTTCGAGTCGAGGCCCGGCCGCGTCACTGCCGCGTCGGGCACGAGCTAGCACGAGCGAGCACGCAGGGGCACGCAGGGGCACAAACTCAGGAGGCCACTTTGGGCGTCGGATCGGGCGAGAGGAGCAACTTGAAGGACGCGATAGGGTGGCATAGCGTCGTGAGCCGGGACACAGCCTCGCACTTGCCCCCAGTAGGGGGGCTCACCGCCCGTTCACTCAGCCCTGATGCCCTTCTCACTCGGTCACACGGTGGCGTCCACCTCGACTGCTCCCGCCTTGCGCTGAGAAACATGGTGCCGTGAGTTGGCTCCCTCCCCTAGCCGTGGCCGCGCCGGTCTCACAAGGCGCCCCCTGTCCTACTCCTGTGGGACCCTCCGTTCCGCTGGCCGCGTCTGACGGCCCAGACTAACCAGGCACGTTCCCCGTCATCGGACCAGGTCCCGTACCTCCATCACCTTCTCAACTCGAACGACCGCACCAAGCGATTCACAATGCGCAGAGACCCAACCCCTCCTTTCCCCAATCACCTCGCCGTTATCCCCACTACCACCACCACCACCACCACCACCGTTGATCATCCCATTCGAACTGCCACCCTCACCTTCACTCACTCCCGTTGATCATCATCTCATACCCATAACGGCTTTTTCATCGGCCTCTACAATTCGTCCACCGAACGACTCGAGATCTTTATCCCCCTTGGACGCTCTCAGCTCCACCGAATCAGACCCCGAATCCCCACTCGTAGACGAACCGTACTACTACCCACCGGACGACTCCTCATTTGGCTATCTCACGCAAAATCGACAACTCGTCAACGCAAGACGACCCCATCGTTCCGGATGGCAACGGTTCTTGATCGCGCTGGACCGACTCGATCGTACGCCGACCATGTTGCTCGCGCTCGGATTGTCCTTGTGGGCGATCGGTCTCTTCTTTCTCGCGTACAGTACATGGCTTAAGGGTGGACGCGAACAAAAAAAGGAATGATTCATGTAAAGAGGAGTACATGGTGTAGTTCTTTTGACGTTGATGCCAGTGCATGGCCACGACGATTGGTGTAAAAGTGAACGCAGTCTTTCTTCAGTGCATGCCGGGAGAGCATCACGAAACCTAAAGAAAATCTAGAGAGCTAGCGGAAACAAACGAGAAGAGAAGAGGGAACACTTCCGGCGGAAAAGAGAAGCAGAGATGAGGGCCAAACCTGATAAGTCCCGGGCATTTTCGCTTTAGGCTGCGCGGAGTAAAGAGAAGTGTCGGTCAGTCGGTAGGTCACAAACAAACAGTAGGCAGGAGCATCCGAAAGAACATACCGAATCCAAAAGAGCCAGCGCCCTCCGTGATGGACGTCAGCAACGCTTTGCGAAGCTCTTCGTACGATTGATAGCTCGTGGGCAGATCAAGCTCTGTTTTCGGGACGGGGTGGAGAGGATTAACGCTTTGTCCACCCAGTGTGATTCGACACAACTCACGGTTAAAGCACGTGTGTGCCGTTGGCAGCGCCTTGGAAGCACCGGCTGAGTGGATTGAGAACTTCGTCACCCCGGACATGCCTTGGAGCGAGGCGAATCCTTCGAGGGGAACTCGAGACGATCCCGAAACGAATTGAAGGAGCTGTGGTGACAACAGACGAGGAAGTCAATCTCTCGCACGCGAGTCCGCCAATAAGGAGTTCCGAAATTCAAGAGCTGACCTTGGCACGCTCCTCGTGCGAGAAGGAGCGAACGGCACGCCAGAAGTACCCAATAACGGGGTCGGTCGATGTGAAGTTGACCAGGTTCGTGTTGGCGCGCCACTCGTCGACGTCGATCTCGGGCAAGCCGGAGATGAGCAGTTCGAGTTCGCGCTCGGAGAAGATGCGCATTAGATCCTTAGGAACGATCTCGTAAAGACCCTTGAGCAAGGCCTGATCGAGAAATGGCAAGTCTGATGTCAGCGCCTCGGCGGCAATTTCGGACGGCGTAAACTAAGATTGCCTGACTCACGTCGATCTGATCCTTGATTTCGATAGACAGCCGCTGATCCGCAATCAGACGTACATACTCGTGTTTGTTGGCGTTGGTCACGGGGATGTTGCGCCCATTTGGCAGGAGATCGACGACGCTCGTCACGCCGAAGTCGTCGCTCTCGATCGAGAAAGTCAAATCGATGACGCCGTCAATGTCATTCTCGAGCATCCACACAAGCGACTTGTGGTACTCGGGATCGATCGATTCTAGGTCATTGTGGTCGATACGCTTGCCGAGCATGTGTTTGTAAACGGATCGAGAGAAGTACGCCTCGAGAACCCTTTGATCGTGGAGTGCCTTTCCGATAATGTGACCCACGAACTTGAAGAAGGCCAAATGAAGTTCGTTGATGCTCGAGGACTATGAGAATGAACAGTCTGGTCTCAGTATAACTCCTTGGAAGGTTCACAAGGCACGAACTCACTTTGTTGGGCTGGTAAGTCAAAGAATCCGCCGCTTGAGGTTGGAAAAGGGCATAGCCAGGGTTGAACATTTGTCGAGCAAGGGCCGAGAACCATTCCCTGCAGCATCACAATCAAAGAAGAACAGTCAATCGAGGGTCCAATGATCAAATGAGCCCCACACCAAAAGGGGGGATACAGACCTCGTCACACCTCCGGCATCGACACCCTCTTCGTTGTAGAACTTGACGTTCAGTTTTCCGAACTTGATCTCATCACCGGTGTGACGCTCGAACACTCGGAACGAATCCTCGAACCTGAAGGTAGCAGAAATCGTCAATGACTGTCAAGCTGAGGCAAGTCCGGCGCGCTAAAATACTTAAAACTTACACATGGGACCGTCTCACGTTGACGGCCAAGTTGCCATAGTGTTGTCCACGTCGTTGACTCCGATCATGCAATCGCTGTGGGTATTATCAGTCAAAAGAGGGGTCAGCAAGACGAAAACAGGTCAAGCTTTGGCCGCAACATCAAGGACGCACTGAGAAGAAGTATGCTCGCTTGTTCTCGAACTCGAGAACCTTGGGGTTGTGGATGAGGATCGAAAAGCTACCTGACAGCAGCGAAGGATTGTTCTTGACCATCGTGTTCAAGATCTTGCGATGAGCGTCGGTGAACCTGAGGAAGATGTTTCCCATCGTCTTGTCCTCCAGCGGGGATTGCAGTGTTGGTGAAAGTGCGATTTGAGGCGAAGCCAGTGGCATTCCCTCGTCGGCTTTGGTGGACGAGCCAACGAATGCATACTTGCTGACGACCATACTACGAGGTGTGACAATTCATTGACAATGATAACTTCAGTATCTCAGACACGTTCCGATGGACGAAAGCCAAACTCACAGTGACTCGATCAGCGGCAGCAGAACGGTGGCAAGGTAGAGCAACTCGGGTCGGGCCTCGACGGCCAATAGGGACTCGCTGAGGCGGCTCCAAAGCCCATCGAAGCGGAACTCGTGGAAGATCTCCTTGACCTTCTCCTCCTCAACCGTGAGCTTCTTCTTGCCCGTCGTCGGATCTTCCGAAGCCGCAGGTGACTTTTTCTGCGGCCCATTGACCCAATCGATCGTCTTAAGAATGCGCAACAGTTTGGCTTGGGAAGCCGAGGCCGGCGAGAACTTGGCCAGCGTCGCGCCGCGGACCTGATCCGATCCTTGTATCGTTTGCAATAGCTCGTCGAGGTCGGGCAGTATCGAGTCGGCGAGGGCTTGCGCGCGGCTCCTCAACTCATCCGAGATGATCTCGCGCGCCTCGGGCAGGTACGACAAGTGTTGAATCAGGATGAGCGTTTGTTGAAACGTCTTGCTCGAGCATTCGCCGGCGTCGAGGACGTTCACCACCAAGCGCAACACCGAGGCCGGGATTTGTGGCGGACTCTTGACCAGGGCATCCGCGGGCGAGACATCCTTCGCGTCCTTGGGTGCGGCATTGTCACTCGCCGATGCAGGTTCGCCGCCGGAAGATGCCCCCGTCGCGCCGAGACCTTCCTGCGGTTGGGCCGCTTCGCTCGTGGTCGCTGTAGTCGTCACCGCCGCAGCAGAAGCGCTAACATCTCCAGTGGACTCGGTCGAAGCAACCGTCGCTTCGGGCCCAAGTGATGCCTTGGAATTCTTTTTCTGTAGCGCCGAAAGCGAACGAGTGATAGTCGCCGTCAAGTTCGTCAGGTAGTCCATCATGCTCTGCGTCTTGAGCAACGCGGGGCGATCCAGAAGGCCAAGCAGAACGATGATCGGATAGGTGGTGTGGGGCGCGGCCTAGATGCGTGCAAAGAAACGCAGGAATGAAGTGTCAGAGTTCGGGCCAGATACCAAGCGATGGGAAAGCGCAGAAGACCAAAAGGCTGCTTACCTTTTCCTTGCCTTTGCCCTTCTTCCAGCTGCGCCGCAGCTCTTGTTCGGTGAGGAAGAACAAAGAAGCTTGTTCGCTTGCAGCGACGAGATACATCAATGCCTCGAGACAACGCTGCGCGATCAGGTTGGGCACGCTCTCGCCGGGAAAGTGAGGTAGCGTTCCTCCAGGCGTGTCGAGTCCGGCCCGTCGTCGCGGCGTATCCTTGGATGTCGTCAACGACTTGCTTGCGCGCAGAGACATTTGGGAAAAGCTCTTGTCTACGGCAGAGACATCACGGGTTCCGTCTTGCAAGATGGTCAACAGAAGAGTGATCAACTCAGTACGGGTGCGCGAATTTTCACACAAGTTCACGAGAACCTTTTGCAGAGAGTTGCGACGCAGAGGTTGAGGGAAGAAGAGCAACCGCACGAGGGTCGCAAGCCCGGCCTTGTCGAGCAGTTGGATCGCCTCTCGATGAGCAGGAGCCTTCTTGGCGGCCGATGAGCCTGCGACAGGCGTGCCAGTGGCGGCCGCTGCGGCGGCATCTAGCGCCGAAATAAACTGCCGAGCGATGCCTCCCTGACCCCGGGCGCGAGCCCGCTGCGGTGCCGCTCCTCGCACTTGAGCCACGATATCAGGCAAGCCACCTGGGCCGAAAAGAAGATCGGCTTCTCGCTCGCGTTGTTCGAGTCCGGGGTCTGTACGTTCGGGACGCACGCCAGCTTGAGCGCCCCCTGCGGCGGCGCCGTCGCGAGCGCGTTCGCGACGAGCCTGCGCCGCCTCCTGCTGCAACACCTCTGCCCGAATCTCTGGGGGAAGAGCGTCGAGGAAGGTCGTGTCGATGTTGGATTCGACGGGTACGACGGGCGGTGGTGGTCCCGTCGATCGAGCTTCTCGGAAGTGCTGGTTGAGAACCTCCTCCCTCATGTCATCCGGCAAAGCCTCGAGGAAGGTTGGATCAATTCCCGTGTCTGTGATGTCAACGGCTCGCCCGCGGACCTGGATGACCACGCGCTCAGCTGGGGCTGCTGCAGCCTCGTCGCCGGCGCCAGTCAAAGTAGTAGCAGTGGGTCCAGTGTTGCTTGAACCACTTGCCTCAGCCGGTGCGGCGGCACTGGGCTCATTGGTTGATGAAAACGCCTCGGGCGAAGCTAGAGCAGGCTCTTCGTCCATAGGTGTCGGCGCCGGGCCCCCGGCCATGGCGGGGGCCGATGATTCCACTGAGCTTGAAGGTGGAGCCGTCGATGAAGTGTTGCCGGCCGCATCAGACGAAGGGACGGCAAGTCCCGCAGCTAGAGACCGAGCAAGCGCCATCACCGCTTGGACGTCGTCCGAAGGAAGTGGTGCCGCAGCTGCAGTCGGTGGGGCGGCAGTTGTTACCGTGACTGCTGGCGCGGCTTGAGCAGAGGGGTTTTCCACGTCCATCGGCTCGGGGACTGGGTGGTCGTCCCCCTCTTCGGCTCCGTCAACCTGCTCCCCATCCTCTTGACCCTCAGACGCTACTTCGCCCGAGACGTCTACGCGATCGTCTGTGTTCTCCTTTGCGCGACGTTCAGTCGCCTCCTCATTTTGCGCGAGCTCACGAGCTGGCGCAATCAGGGCGTTGATCACATGCTGGGTCAGCCGACTGCTGCGTTCCACCGTGGTCATAGCACCTGTCGCAAGGATGAGAATGCACATTGTCAGTTCAAATGGAGAAGATGCCTTCACAAAAACAGAGGCTCAACGCACCTTGGATGATCTTGCTCTCGTCATGCCATCTTTGCGCCGTCTGAACAGGAAAGAATTCAGAAGTGGCGCCCAGTCGCTCGGCCAATTGTCGGGCCACCGAGCGAGATGATGGCGGCGCGCCTGTGGGTGTCGTACTTGAACGATAGGTTCGCGCGGCGCCTTGAGCTTCTCCGCCCTGTGCGTGTGGCAAAGGCGTGGGATCGATCACCATCGCGAGCCCACCGTCGGGTCCTGGAGCAATGCCGACGCGGAGCTGGTCGGGACCGGATAGATGGGCGAGCCCGTGCTGGCCAAGCAGTTGATGCAGCGTGTCGACGCCACCGGGTCCGAGCATACGTTCAATGTTGTTGGCCCATGCTTCGTACTCTGGTGTACCACGGGCGCCGGCTCCTCGATCGCGGCGCGATACCAACGAGTCCGCTCCACCGTCACTCGCGGGGGTTTCGACCAGAAGAGGGTGCGCTGCCGCCGCCTGGGTGCTCGGGTGGTTGCGGCGAGGGTTACCGAAAACGTCCGCATCCGCGACCATGTCTGCAAAAAACAATAACGGATGTCAAATAAGTCCAAGCATAATCAGAGGCGGAACAAGGACTAACCAGTCCGTGCTCGGCGACCAGTGTCTCCTGCCAACTGTCCCCAATTGAGTGCGCCTCCACCGCCCTGCGCAGCGTGTAGTTGATCCGTCATCTCAGCTTCAAACTCCAACTCTCCCGCAATGTAATGTTCCTCCTCATCGGTGTACGAGTCGGGATCCTCGCTGTCCCCTTCTTCGTCATCGTCCTCGGCGGCAGCGGCGCGGATAGGCGTACCCTCATGATCGACAAAACCAGCCTCGATGTCGGCCAGGTCCCCATCGTCATTGATGACAAGATCCCCTTCGTCTTCGTCGACCCAGCCGTCGTCATCGCCGTCAATTCCGCCTTCCTCGATGATTTCATCGATGCCTTCGTCGTCCTCATCTTCGTCCTCATCTCCCGAGCCGGGGCCTAGTAGGTCATCGTGGATCAGGGCATCGTCGTCGTCGAGATCCGAGTCGTCATCATCGTCATCGCGGTCTTCATCGTCGGAGTCGGAATCGTCGTCGTCATCGTCCATCTCGTCTCGCATTTCCATCTCGTCGGCCATGGTTTCGGCCTCGTCGATCGCGTCTTCATCCTCGTCGTCCGAGATGTCGGACACGTCGCTGCCCGGCAGGGCTCCATCGTCCATCTCGTCCATCATGTCGTCCTCATCATCGTAGTCTTCGGATTCGCCCGTCATGTAGGCGTCCTCGTTGTTGCCAGGCTCGAGCTCGCCTTCGTACATTCCCAGCGCCGAGTTGCGGTACAGGTCAGGTGGCTCTTGGTCCTCCTCCTCATCACTTCCGACCTCGATGACTTCCTCGATATCGTCTTCGTCGATGTACTCCTCCATGCCTGTCGAGTCATCGATGTCGGCACCGCTGCGACGAGCCCCGCCGACCAGCGAGCCACCTCCGGTGGCCCCCGGGCGACGCCCGACTTTGGTCACAACCTTGGTCAATTGCTCGAGGGGGCGCAGGATCGAATTGATGAGGTTGTTGACGGAAGGGAAATTAAGATCGACTTCGGCAAGCGCGTTGGTGAGGATGCCTGCAAAGTTCTTTTCGAGCATCATTTTGGCAATCTGCATCGACGTCTCGTCCGAACCCTTGTTGACGGAAGTGAACGGTCGACTCGACAGCAGGCGATGGCAAAGCTCGGAGAGCATGAGCAACCGGCCGTAACGAATATCCATCGGCTCGCTGGACGATGTCGCGTCCCGGAAGGCTCTGGCGATCGAGTCGAGCACGCTTTTGCGCGCGTTCGTAAGTTCGAGCACGTAAGCGTCCGCCGAGGGGGCACCGATCGAAGACGGTGTGGGATCGTGACACAACGCGACGACAACGATCGCAGCAACGTTGGAGACGGCGGTCCGACGGCGCGACTCAAAGTCCGAGGGTGTGCTGATCGATCCCACAGGAAGCAGATCGTTCAGGATGAAGTGCAAGAACGATAGCTTCGGTTTGACGGGGCCAGTCGAGCTCGGATCCCTGGGACGACGACTCGAGAACGACAGCAAACTTGTCTTACATACGGGGTACGCAGCGACCAGCTCAGCCAGGGCCGACAGCGCGTAGGTGCCTTGGTAGTAGTCGCCGAGAGGCAAGTCGGCGGGTATGTGGGCATCCTTGGCGTCTTTCTTGACGGCGTCGGCAGCGGCTGTCGGTGCCGATGCAAGAGCAGCATCGGTATCGGCTGCAGTCGCCGCATCAGTCGTCTTAAGATCTGCGACCGGTACGGCAACCTCGGCTGCGGGGACGGGAATTGGCACAAGCGCGCCCTTGGTCGCATCGATGGCGGTGGTCAAAATGGTTTGCATCAGCGCCTCGACGTGCGCGGGGACGCTCTTGGGCGGCAATTGCATCGATCCAGAGAGCTTAGAGGGCGTCTTGGACGTCGTTCGCACCGCCTCGTCAGTTGACATCTCAGCGGGCCCGGCGCCGTCCCGGTCTACGATCGGCGAGCGGATGTCTGCTTCGGCGGATCTCGTAGAGCTAGACTGCGGCTCATTTTGCAGACCAATCAGGTAGCCGTGTGAGCTATCGACTCTTGGTATGAGCTTGCACGTCGTCTTGACCGCTTCGAGGAAGGTTGTCACATTGCGGAACGCAATCGTCGTCAAGCCGCGCAAGAAGATGGCCAGCTCGACGTTCTTGGATCGCGAGGAAGAGAACCACGCATTGATCTCGGACTCCATGATCGGCAGGAGGATCGATGCGTCCTCGACGACGTGCCTCAGAATGATTGTCACGTAAGCGCGACAAGCAGCTGTCTCGGGTCTCTCGACGGCGAACGCGGCCAACAAGGGCTCGAGACCCTGCTCGGCGACGAAACGAGCGGCATGGCCATGATCGCGAGTGAGCACCATCAACAGGCGCACCGTCGACACGAACGTTTCGCGATCTGAGATGCCCTTCTTGAGCACGTCCATCGCCAAGTCGAGCCATGCGCTCCGTTCTGTGGCCCAGTTCGATCCCAGTGTCGTGAGCGTCGGAACGGAAGACTCCTCGCCAGGGGGAGCCACCGTTGTTCGAATAACGGCCTCCCCGATCGAGAAGACGGAATCGGCGACTAGCATGACGGAGGCGAGCCACTTGGGACGCGAGTCCTTATCCGTGGAGCGAAGCACGTACTCGCGCTGGAAGCTCGCCGAGGCCGCAACAATGGTGTCGACGTTCGGGTCAATGATCTGGCGAAGCGACTGATCGACAAGTACGAGAGCAATGACGCGCCACCGTACCGCAGCGGCGTTGTCCTGCGCCTTTCGCACGTCGTTGTCCTCAGCGGCGAAAGTGACACCTTCGAGGCCTTCGAGCAACGGCTTTAGGCTAATAGGCCCAGTCTCGAGGAGGGTGAGCGCGCTCTTTATATCGAAGACGAGATCTCCAAAGTCCTCGGCGAGCACCAGAGCCTTCGCCAAAAACTCGGGCTTCAACTGATTCCGCATCTCGTCGAGTTTAGCCTGAGTCGCCTTGTTCTCTTCGTCGATCTGCTCACGCGAACGCGTCTCAATCATCTCGGTCGTTGGGGGAGGGACGACAGGGGTGGTCGCAAGTTCTTGCTCGACGGCAGCGACGATCTCGTCCATAGACGCATCTTCGCCAACGACGATGTCAATTTCGAGCTCGACGTCGCCATTAGCGGCCCCCGGAGCAGGTGGGTCGCCCGCTTCCGGTGCCGGCGCATTGGGGCCTGCGGCGTCACCGTCTTGGGCTTGGGCCTGATTCGCAGGGGGGTTGGCAGGATCTTCGGCTTCGTTGGCGGCTGCCTGAGGTTCGGCTGCTTCGCGAGCTCGAGCGGCACCGACAAGATCGGGGTGCTGAAGGAGGTACTCTGTTGCGAACCCGACGTTGTTGCGACACCGTTGCAGAGCGAGCTCGACCGCCGATCGAGGGAACCCCATGTCGACGAGCTGCGCGACTCGTGTCTGATCTACGGCGGGCGGACCTTGTTGTGCGGCGGCGGCGGCGCGGTCGCGATTGAGCAAGCCACCGAGCACGCTGAGCCGATCCAGTGCAGCGCTTGCTCGATCCCGATCCTCGGTGTCGTTGACACGGCCAAGTGGGGTCTGACCGGTGCTGGCAGGATCAGCGGCGGTCTCGCCTTGGGCCTTAAGAATGCCCACGAGCGTGCCGACGATGCTGCGAACGACATTCGGCGGGCACCGACGAAGCCACGGCTTGTTCCACACCTGCAGGATGTGAGGCAGGATGGTCGCACGCAACTGCACGAGGAAGGCGTGGGGGTCGAAGTAGTCAGGGCTGGATCGATCGCGTTCTCGGGTGAGCAGTTGGGCCGTTTGCGACGACTCGAGGATCATGCGGTGCGAGGTGAGGCGGTTCAACGTCTCGAGAGCGATCTTGAGCGCGCCAAACGTTGTGAGCAAATCCCCGAACCCGCCGCTGGCGTCTTCGGAGACGACGTCCTGGAGCTTGTCGAACAGGGAAAGATAGGCGTCGAGTCCGCCTACTTTGACGAAGGTCGCAGCCAAGAGCGTTTGTAAGCCCGACTGGACGGGGCGATCAGCTGCAAAAATATCGGCGCGGCAACTCGAGTCAGTCTGCACGTAGAGTAATCTAGCAATGCGCTGATGCCTTCATACTTACGATCGAAGAGGAATGCGGAAACATCACGGAATAGGTTGGTCGCGTAGGCGATGTCGCTCGACAAGGCACTCGAGCCGGGCCATTGCAACAGGTCGGCCAAATTGTGCGCGATGGTCGTGGCGACGTGCTTGGACGCGGCTCGATGGGCTGTATCGTTACTTCTTCGATGAACAAGCAGCTTGATAATGCACTGAAGGGTCACCTGCACGCTTTGAGGCACCGCGAGAATGACTTCCTTAAGAGCGCGCACGTTGGGTGCGTTGGACGGTGACGCGGTCGCCGTAGGCGTTGCCAGTACAGGAGGATCAAACGTTGGCGTGGCAGCTGCTTGCGATGCTTGTTCGGTGCCCGACTGCCCGACTGGAGGCGTCACGATCGGCGCCTTGTGTAGTGTCTGGCGAACGGCATGGTCTGGGTCCGTCGCCTCAGGCAGCACGCCCTGCAAATACCACCCTTCGCGCTGTGTCGCCGCGAGGACGACCGAGAGCTGCTTAAGCACGATGGCATTCTCCTGTGTGGTAAAGACGGAGAGCATCGACGTAGCGAGCCGTCCATGCGTGTACGAGAGCGAGTTGTACGTATCTGAGAGAAGCGTGATATGCGAGAGCAAGGTGCAGAGCTGGCGGAATCGCTCATTCTCGGCATCAATCGTGGTGTCGGCTGTCGAAGAAAAGCCCACACCGAACCCTAGTCAGTTACGTGCATCGAATGACAAGATGAAATCGGCTCGAACTCACTCGGCGAGATCATCGAGCTGAGCTTGCTATCACCGGAATATGTGGACGTGAGCCACTCGGTCTGTTCAAGGCACGCCTTGGTCTTCTTGAGGATGGCCGAGACAGCTTCGACGCCCTTAAACTCGGACAACATGCGGAAAATGGCAGAGATGGAACTGAAAGCGCCTGTACCAGGGGCGTAGCTCGGCATGCACGGTAGACCGAGGAGATCGAGCAGGAGGTCGTACGGCTCGTGTTGAGCAAAGTCTTTGCCGTGCGCCATGTGCTGGAATAAGCCTTCGAGGAACTGCAAGCATCGTCATCTCGATCAGGGGTCAGCCTCAAGTTTGTACTCGATCTCCGTCTCGACATGTGTCCACTGCTGTGACTTACCCTCCCAAACGCATCAATCGCTTGCAAGTGAGCATTGTCCTTGCCCTCGGACGGGGGCAGGGTTGGTTTGGCCGCAGTCGCGTCTTGCATCTCGACGTCGCCCGTTGTCGAGGTGGTGGCGATGGCGGTGACTGGCGGGGCTGCGGCCGCAGATGTCAACGGCGGACCTTCTGCAGCCCAAGTCGAAGTCGAAGCGGCGGCTTCCCCGCGCACGACTTGCAAGAGATAGCCATCAGGTGAGTCGGGCTTGTAGGATCGCGCGTTGTCGCGAATGTCCTTGAGCGACTGCATGATCGACTCAAACACCTTGTCCTTGAGCGTAGGATGATGACGGATCAGCTCGTCAATTGAGGTGCCGAGCAAGTTCCCGTTGTCCCTTTCCGTCAATGCTCGAACATGGCGTTCGCTCGTGAAGATGCTGAAGTACTTGGCGATGATGGGGCGCTCGTTGAACAGGGCCAGACCTGCTGCGTTGAGGCACAAGGCGCCGACGGCGTTGGGGATGGCCTGCAGAACATCGATCGAGGCCGGGATCGACTCCCCAATCGCGTCGTATAAAGCTTCTGGAACTTTGGCCTCCTGGATGGTCGCGAGACATGTCGGCTCGTTGTGCACGAATGTCGCGGTGATGTTGATGGCGAGTGCAAAGACCTGCGCTCCGAAAATGGGCCGGTTCTGCAGGATCGTCTTGACCGCAGCCAGCAAAGAAGTGTCGATTAAGTTGCGCAGACCCTCGGTCATGCCCGAAGTCTGTATCAGGCGCTGAATAGATCGCAGCAAACCCTTGAGCAGCGACGCTTCGTCGAAGGAGAGCGTTCCAATAGGAAGGGCATCCTCCTCGGCGACCGTCTTGCCACGATGCTCTTCAAGACATCGATCGATCTCTTGCTTGATGCGGTCCACGAAGATGGGCAAACCGCCGCTGGAGATAAAGAGCGTGAAGGCGCTCTGGTAGCCGTACATGAGGCTGTCGAGGAACAACACGGCCTTGGTGACGATCCAAAAGCGATCTCTGCGCGTGTTCTTGATGAGGTCCACGAGCATCGGTACAATCCCCGCCGCGACGATCTGGTTGCCGACGAAAGCGTTCGTCTGGAAAAAGACGAGCAGCGTGAAGAGCGAATCGACGAACTCGTGTGTCGTCACGGCATTGTCGCTGTCAAAGTCGGACACGGTGCGTCGGAACACGTGCAACAGAATACCGTGGCTGACGCTGGCGTTGAGCGCGCTGGCGACTTCGCCGAGCTTGGTCTTGAAGTGGGCTAGGGCCTCGAGCGCGTAGAACGAGGCAGCCTGGATCTCGATCGGGACCGCTCGGTCCGGGTGCACAAGTTCGGCTAGGTGCGCGATGAGGTCGGGTTCGTAGAGGAACAGGCGAGTCTGCATATGAGCTTCGGTCGTGGTGTGCGCAAAGATCGTCATCGCGAGCAAGCGAATGAGCAACAACGTCCTCCGCTCGGTCGTCGATCGCATCGATTGGGCGATGCGAATTTTTTGCAGCAGTTCGAGCCGGCTTGAATCGGGGACGCCGTACTTTTCGCACGCCTCGACGAGCAGTTCGACTGCGGACTTTTTGGACAAGCGCACATTGCCGAGATGAATCGAGGTTAGACCTTCTTGAAGAGATGGCGCGTTCGAAGATGATGGGCCCTGGCCCGGCGTCGAGGGCAGGGGCGTTGACAGGAGCGAGTTATGGAAGGAAGACTGGCGCTTGGGGGCAGGAGTCGAGTGAACGTTCGAGGACGGACCCGCAGAAGTGCCAGGTCGACGATCATCCTCGACGTCCATCGTATCGCTCGATTTAGACTCCTTGCCCTTGCCCTTGTCGTCGACGTCCTTGCGCAAGACCCCGGTCGCTGGCGTCGAGGGCGACAGACTGGATGGAAGCGGCGCGGTCGCCAAGGCCTTCTTGTAGAACTGCCACTCGACCTCGTCGAGTTCGGGTGGGATCTCGACGTCGTCTGCTGCTAGATCGACCATCTCCAGGGCGTACTCGCGCGTGCCCCACCCCTGGGCGAGGTTGAGCAGCCGCTTCTCAGAGATGGCGAACGAGGTCATGCCCGTGTTCGTGCTCGAGAACTGCTGGGCGGGTCTCAAAGCGAGTCGCAGTGTGGCAAGCAAGACTTCAAGGTCGGTCGTGTGCAGCAGGTCATTGAGGCGCTGCGAGACGAGGAAGACGTTAGCTCGGGCAGGAGCGCGTCGAGAGGCAGCGCCAAAACTGTGGTGCGATTGACTCACATCAAAGCTCGAAAAGATCTTGCGATTGGTCGAGTTCTCTAGCAACACCTTGATAAAGGCGAGGATGGCGAGCACAATCTTCCTGGTCGGGCCGTCGAACGGCTTGAGCTGCGGGTGCTCCATCGAGTCGAGGCGGTAGTCGGCGACGAGCTTCTCAAGGACCTGGTCAAATCGGTTGAGCGGCACGATCCAGTGCTGCAGATCCGTTCGGGGCCACGTCCAGCCCGCTTGAACGATCGGTAGCAGCAGTTCGGGCCAGTCTGGGGGCGTGGTCGATTGCTCGTTCGACAGGCGCAGCACAAACGCGGCGATGCCTGGATTGGTTGACCCATGTCGCCTCGGTGCTCGTTTGATGCGCACTGATGATTTTGTGATTCACGTTTTGGTGGCGGGCATGGGAATTTCCGGGGGGTGGCGGGGCGTGAGGGGCGAGTGAGCGAGTGGTAGCAAAGGGGGTCGTCGAGCGTAGTCAGCATCATCAGCCTTGGGGCAAACGTGCTTGCATTCCACTACTGTCAGCAGCATCGAATCCATAACTCACTCCTTTTCCAAGATAGGACCAGCTAATCCCCGTAGATGCTATACTGATGGTCGGAACTGCAAGGTTGGATCGCTCGTGTAACCGACTAATGCGATCACGATCGCCCGGCGGTGGAATGCGAAAGAACCCCCCCCCCTCACAAGACGGCTCCACCCGAACTTCTTGCAGCAGCTGATCGATTCTTTGAATTGAAAGGTAAGGGAGAGTGACTCTGGTTTAGAGTCCGGAGACACGCCTTGATGTGTAGCGCAGGTGCGGCGTGCCAGGCTGAGGAGAGCTTCCAACCCCCACGGCCGGTGCCCTTTGCGTAGACCTGGGTTTCCCCGCTATGACCATCTAAGACCACCTACATGCTCCTCGGGCTGGCGCTGCTGGCACTGGTCAGCACTCCGGCTGTTGGCGGTAGTGCGAATACAAGACGGGGGTGCAGCACATCATATCGCAAAGACGTCCAAATAATCACCACCAGCTCCAACGATGGGGTCGTCAGTCCTGAACGTACCTTTGCAGCTTGTGTTCAACTGCTTCCGAGCGACAACGGCGTATGAAACATTTCTTTTTCCATAGTGCCTCCGCGTCTATACTCAACCTTTGCAACGTATCGTGGAGTGGGGTCAGCACGATGATGTCATAGTACCTAGCGGATCGAACCCACTCTTACACAAGACGATCAGATTCAATTAGGCCGGCGGCGGCGGTTGGCTACTGCACGTGGCAGAGCTCAGAGCGCAAGGTTTAGCCGTCTGATAGGGGCGCCGCTCCGCTCGTTTGAAAGTTCGCCCGGGCATGCAAGGGAGGCACAGCTCTAAGGCTCGCTATACGGACGCCCTGATGGCATGATCCAGAGACCCCCGAATCAGGGTCGGGAGGCGGTATCGGGCTCACGTCATTATGACTGCAAACCTGCTTCCGAGCGGGTTCCCGAGCTGGACCCGTGGCGCCTGCGGGTAAGCTCACACCGCACAGAGTGTTTGTTCAACTGACTGGAGCTGCGTAATTTACTGTGTGCCTCTGATTAGGTGAGGAACAACCTCTTTATTGACTACATTTGGCATGTCCTCGAGCGCTCATGGCGGACGGTGGGAGCCAAAGCAACTCGACAAGAAATTCAAGCGACCTTTGGGCGACCTGACGACTGTCGATTCGGCCACAGCTGCAGGGCGAGCTCGGGAACGATTACTCATCGATCAGCAGGCATGTGCAGGTGCCTTCTGGCCGTGAAAATAAGGGCAGATACCTTCCCAGCTGCTGGTGCATATCTGGGCAGCTAACAGCCGCCGGCCATCAACTTGAAGAGGTTGCGTGAGCTTTTCAAAGCAGGAAAATATTACCCCAGCGCTCCGAGTCGACGCCCGTGCACGCGTAAGCTCGACGCCCCACCTCCCAAAGGGAGGGCTTACTTGAGCATAGTGCACGCGTGTGGATGGACTTCGGCGCCCCCGGGGGAGCTTGGTTGCGGTGCGCTTCCGCGCCTGAGATCTGTGAGAGTCGAGCCCTATGCTCGAACGACGACTGTCGAGTGAACAGCTGGCGCAGTAGGTACCTAGCACTACCTAGGTACAGTCGAGGGTCTGGAATAGATACACCGATTAGTAGAACTATGCTTTGCTAGGTAGGTATGAAGCCACCAAAAAAGAAAAGGGTCTGCTCTAAATAGGCCCTGCACACGAGACCTGACGAGAACTCGGCGAGCTTCCCGAGCAGCGCATAACATGAGTCCGTGTCCAGCAGAGCTGGCAGTACGCGTTCCTTATGAAACCCTTCTGCAAAACTTAGATTTTGGTACTCTGGAATCCATATGGAATGTAAAAACATTACAGCATCAGCTCACTAGCGGTTGCTATGAATGGAGTAGATGTTAAGCATCCCCAAACAGTTGATTAACCGTCTGCAATAGGTTTCATGCGCTCAGAAAATGACATTTTCAACTAACTTCTTCTCGTGTCCACCATGGAATCCGTATGATCCAGCACCGCGAAGCTAGCGCAAGTCAGACCCTGCGGAAACCAGGAGCGGATCCGTGCGAAATCAATCCCTGTAAGGGGATGCCTTACAGAACAGCCCCATAAGTAGCCTGGGCAGGCGTTGGCAATGAAGCGAGTCCAAGATGCGCGTGCGCGACCAGCGCAGCCCCAGTGACTGAGCGTGAGCTAGCGTGAGCGAGTGGCCCTGCAGCAGCCTGCAGCGCTCTGCCGAGTGCCTTCCCCTGTGCTGCTAGCACCAGGCTCTCCTTTTGCTGCCACCCTCTTAAGCCCCAGGAAGCATACAGCCATGGCTTGCTGAACAGTTCCGCCTCGCCTGCCATCACTACTCGTACACACTAGTCTCTTCACCCCTTTCACCGGTATCTGTTCGACACCTCCGGTGTGTGAACTACGTACCTCTCTCACCCAGTGTCGACCTCCATCACTCATCCACCCGTCCGGGTGTCGTCCCACCGAATCGGTGTTGGGCCGACGACAAGCGATCGTCCGTGCGCCATGTCGACGACGGCATACACCCAGCGCAACCATCGCAGCACGTTGCATACGACCACACCCAAGGTCGACACCTCGTGCCAACTCTCCTTTGCACCGCGCAACACGCGATGCCAGCCACTGTACCGACCCGCGGCGCTCCGACGCAACGGCTCGCAAACCCCCGTGTCGGCCATGCCTGTCTCACCGCCCGTATCACCACATGCTCTGGCCGCCGAACTGTCGCAGGCGTCCATCAAGGCCATCTCGCCCCAGTCATGGCTCGGTGTACTCCCCTGGGCTTCGGATGTAAACCACTACAAGTCCGGGGACTCGAGCGTTGCTGCTGGTGTAGCATTGCCACGCTCGGCATGGAGGGTGCGTCACTTCGTTCCACACCGGGCGATATGTGTGCGCCGAGCGCGAGAGACCGATCCGCGCTTGCGCTAGCGCCTGGTGGGGGCGGATTGGCGCGCGGCTGCGAGCAACTCGCGTGCCAGTGGCATGCGGTGCGCACGCCGCTTGGGCCGACCCATACCGTCGATCACCGATTGGCTGGCAACTCGCTAGGCCGCGACCTTGCCCCCCCCCCCTTTGCATATTCGCTCCGCTTGCTGACCTCCACCAAATGCTCCGATTTCAAACCGTTCACAGCCCGACGAGGAGGCATTGATTTGCGCAGCAAGTGACTGCTCGTTGCGTTTCGACCTGATCAACCGGCGACATCATTGCCGGTGCGTTAGCCGATCGCATGGGCGCGCGAGAGGAGATGGCGAGACCGAGCTGAGAGGAGACGGGCTCGATCACTCTCGTGACATCACAAGCGCATAGGAGTTCACTTGTCCTGGTTTCCACCTTGTACTGACCTTATCTTCGTCGGCTGACAGGAAATGCGGGGAAGTGTTCTGCTCGTCACACTCGTCGCGCATGGTGTCACTGTGGCCCCCTACCATGAGCCCAGGTGAACACGATATCTCGACTCCGCCGACTCCAAGGGCAACCCCCAAGTCGACTCCGCGATCATCCTATGTCGACCTGTCTTCACTCGCCTTTGCTGCATCGTCGTCGTCGAAATCGACGAACACTAGCAACTCCGCTTTCTCCGTCGCGGCCTCGTCCGAAAGCTCGAACTCGTCTTCGACCCCAACCTCTTCGCCTCCCAATGGGCGACCCTTTCTGGGCAAGCCCATGTCGTGCCGAGTCTGCGACTCGTGCTACTTCAACGCCCCCGCCTCGGTACCGCAAGCTTTGCTCACCCCGCCCCCCACGAGTTCGACTCGGTCCTTCATGGGCTCGCCTAAGGGGCCCATGAGCCAGTCACCGCCGAACTCGACGAACGTGCCCGAATGGGCTCAACCGACGTCGACCTCGAGGAGCAAGTCGCGCTCTCGCTCGCGGCATGATTCCTCTTCGGGACTGTCGAGGAGTCGACATGGTTCGGCCTCGGGCTCGGCCTCGTCGACGCCTCCTTCCTTCGTTTCAACGCCTCCGACCTCGTACGACTCATTTTCTGTACTAGGCTCAAATCCAGGCTTGCACAACAAGTCGCGAGGTGTCTCTCCTGCGGCCAGTCTTCGCGGCGCGGCGCTGTTGAGCCATCAGCCGTTCCCTACGGTCACCAGCGCCATCGAGGACGACGACGGCGACATCACGGATGAGGAGTTGATCGAAGAAGAAGAAGAAGAAGAAGACGATGTTCACGTCCCTAAGGCAGGGATGCTGGTCGCGAGCGAAACGAGCTTCGGCCCACGAGGCTTCGATTCCCTCTGGTCGACTTTCTGATCGACGCCATCCCTTTCCCCCTCCCCTAATATCGCTCTTCCGGCGTCGCACGCCTTGCCGCACAACCCATTCGCAAACCCAATCTGTTGTGTCACCATCATCGCCCTTATGCTGTTTTACCCTTTGCAACCACTTCCGTTCCGCCTAATCTTTGGAAACGTCTCACGACACACTCTCAGTCTTACCCTTTCCCTTTCCCATTCTGGATTCACTTCTTCGACAATTGCTCATACGCGCTCGCATTATACTACTCCTACCGCTACGACATATTCTAGTTCTAATCGCATTTTATACTACTCTCGGTTCCCTCTATCTACGACATCATGGACTCTTGAATTGCTCTATTTCGCACATATGTTTTTCCGCCCGCACAACCACATACCTTCGATCGCATTTTTTTGGCTTCTGAATCTCGTCCTTCTACATCTCTCTCTTTTGATGTCACATTTACTGATCTGGAATGTCATTATCGTTCGGTTTGCGTTCACACCTTCTCGCTGGCAGAGGGCATGAGAGGAACCGCAGAAGACCTCGGTGTGGACGCCGCCGACTATTCTTGCCCTTGATACGACCATAGACTACAGTTGCCAGATATTCTGAGCAAGCACTCGTGCGCCTTCTTCTTCCATGTTCCAAGGATTATTCATTGAATTGTAGACTGCATTGAAGGCTATGGGAAGCGGTCCGGGGGGGGGGGGGGGGGGTGAATCACACGAAAAGCCAGAAAATTTTGGGAGTGGCTAATCTAACTTACAACACATCATCGACGCACAATGTAACAGGGGCTTCTGGCACCCAGAAGGGGGAGCACAGAAAAAGGACCGGAAGCGAAAGAAAAGGAAAAGGAAGAAAAAGTAGGAAATGAAACACAGAGCACGCACTCTCCTTCCCCGAACCCACAACCCCTCCCCCGTTTGGTTCGATTAGACGAGATCGTCAACACACAAACGCAAAAAGCCCGAAAAGAAAGGTAGGTGCAAAAGCAGACCATGCACGTAGAAAAGGAGAGGGAAAGGTAGGGTCCATCGAGTCGAAACAGAAGCGAGGTGAGCGCGTCGGGAGCGCCGGAGGGCGGGGGGGTATGTTGAATTTGGTTTCGAATCGAATTGACGAGGTCTGAGAGGGCGAGAGGCGAGGGGACACGCTTAGTCCTCGTCTGAGTCACTGCCACTCTCGTCATCGGAGCTGGATTCCGAACTGGCGACGTCGTGCAAAGCGGTGTTGCCGCCGGCGGTAGAGCCCTTTTGAAAGTCGAGCAACCGCTTCTCGAGCGCCTCGATACGTTCGGCCTCCTTGTCCTCGTCGAGCAACTTGCGTTTGCTCGGAGCAGCCGAAGCGCCGTTCGCTCGTCGGGCTTGCTTGGGCTTGGGTGCGGGAGGGCAGACAAAGCGGTACAGGTTGAGCAAGGTGCGTTGATCGAGTTGGTCAATGTCGAGCTCGATCTCTTTGTTGGCATCGCTCAAAAGGTCCGGTCGACCGCGACGGATGATGTCGATCGCTCGTTCGAGGTTCTCGCCTTCAAAAGAAACAATCTTGACCGCCAGCTCGCGCTTCATCTCGAACGTGACCGATTCGGGCTGCGCGGGAGGCGGCGAAGGTGCACCGTACCCGGGGTCCTCTTCACGATGCTTGGAGCGCTTCTTCTTGGCCGCGCCAGCTGCACTCGGCGCCGCGGCAGGCCCACCAGTGCTCGAACTCCGTGCCTTCTTGGGAGCCGCGCCGGTCGAGGCTCGACGATCTTGGGTCGATTGCTTCTTGGACGGCTTGGGTGCACGCGTGAATCCGGCCTGCATCTCCTGCATCGCGGCCATCATGCGCGCCTGCTCTTTCTCGGCCCGCTTCTGCTGCTTCATCAACTCGAGGTTCGCCTGCATCATCTGCAATTGCTTCTCCATCGCGCTGATGCCATCATCCTCCGAGACCTCGTCCTCGTCGTCGACTGGCGCCATCGGTCGCTCGTTCCATTTTTGCTCAAAGATCTGCTCGACGCGATGACCCCACTCGTTGACCGGGGACCCGACGGGGTTGAATGTGTAGCAGTTTTTGAAAATGAGGCGCATGTCGGCTTCAAAAGCGGAGTAAGGGTTCGCGTTGTACAGGCCCTGCTCGAGCTTGTTTCGCACGGTGCCGAGATCCATGGGCTTCTTGATGATTTGAGGGTATTGCGGGATGTTCAGAGCGACGTAGTCTGCAAGAGCATCAATAGGGGATAGATCAGCTCACTTGTCGTGCCTCACAGCGTGCGGATCGCGACCCAAAGAAGACAGACGCTCGGACTCACTGACTGGCTCGTAGAACACGTAGGCATAGGGTTCGTGGACCTTTTTGAACATCTCTTTGATCACTTCCTTGCAGAAGCGCAACTGCTCCTGCGCCGTCTTGCCACTGACGCGACCCGTTCGGGATCGGCTGGGTGCGGCAGCGACCTGTTGCTGCTGCTGCTCCGCGGCGTCAACGAGGTAGGGCAATTCCCGAGTCGGGGCGTGAATCTCTCGCTTCGGACGTGTGCCATCCTCGGAGCGTCGGATGGTCGGGACGAACGACTGCGACGGTCGACGATCCTTCTTGCTCGAACCGCCATCGATCGGCGAAACGGCGACGGGTTGAGGCACCGCAGGTCGTGGGGGTGCAGGAGGCTCGACGTGCTCGATCAGGGGTGCGCTGGGCATTGTCTTCCATTGACGCTCGCAAATCGCCTGCAGCACCGCAGCCATCGCCGAGACGGGATTTTTGTCCGCCGGCCCATTGTATCGGTAGCAGTTGTCCCAGACTCGCATCACATCCTCCTTGAACTCTTCCGCGGTGCGATACACCTTGTCACTCGCGCCTTCCCATGCTCCAGCGCCGCGGGTGTAGTCGATGCCGAACGTACGCCCGAGCTTACTCGCCGCAGCCATCGCCTTGCCCGTTGCGTTGAGCTTGGTCTCGATCGTGCCGAGATCCATCGGGCGGGTGATGACGCGGAAGTAGTCGGGGATGAGCAACGCGACGGGGTCGACGGGCCGGCAGAAAGGACCGGCGCTCTTGTTCTTCTTCAAGCTGCGGATCATCGTCAGGGCCCACTTTTGCTGTTCCTTCGTCATGATCGGCAGGGGTCCCGTGGCGGTCGCGGAGGGAGGCAGCTCGGGTGCTGGGGACTGGGCGTAACCGCTGGAAAACGGCACGGGTGCCGGTGGGGTCGGCTGGGAAGATGCCGAGGAGGTGGCGAAATGAGGCTGATGCGAATGCGTCGGCGCAGGGGCGGTGGAAGAGTTGTGCGCAGACGCTTGCGAGACGACCGAATGAGGTAGAGACGCGACGTGCGTGAAAGCCGACGGGTCATAGCCGAGCACGGGTTGCGGCGTCGGACTGGGAACGCGAGCCGCCTCCGCAGCTGCTGGGGGAGCCAACGAGATCGGTGCAGAGGTCGTGGCCGGGACCGGGCCCGGAGCCGCAGCGGGCTATTTGAGGCAGGGGAGAAGCAGAACGCGATTGTGAGTACGATATAGCGAGGCAACAAGCCCGTCGTCGAGTGGTCATGTTCGTCAGGACCACCGGCAGGAACTTACCGTGGTGGCCGCTTCATCGCTCTTGAAACGTTTTGCATCGCGCTCTTGCGAGACTTCACCGACTACACCCGCTGCAACCGCTGGAGCGTCGTCCGAAAAGCTTCGCTTGAGCAACGGCGACTCGACGGCGCTGGCTAATGAGTCGGCCATTTGCACGTCTTCGGACGAGGCAGCAGGGGTGGGCTGAATCGGGGCGGGGGCGGGAGGAGGGGGAGCGAAGCCGTCCCCAGAGAAAGGTAACTCGACATTCACCGGGGTAGGGGCGGGAGCAATAGCGGAGGCAGATTCAGATGCGGGTGTTGGTGCAGGTGCAGGCGTCGAATCCCGAGCAATAACAGGAGCGGGCGCAGGCGCCGGGGCACTCGGTTCGGAGGGTGTCGACTCGGTCTGCATCGGCTCGGGTGCTGTCGACATTGCGGGAGCCGCAGCCGTAGGGTCGAAACCGAATTGCTCGTGAACGAAAGCGTCGTACGATGCGTTCGCCGAGGTCACTGCAGGAACAGGAGCGGGCGCTTGCGAGTCGACTGCAGCCGAAGACGGGAGAGGAGGTGGGACCGTGCCGGTCGAGGTGACGGGTGTGGCAGGTTGAGCGGCGATGCTACTGCTGGTGCTCTCGGCACGGCGCATTTGGGGCATCTGCAGGAACTCGGTTACGGCTGGCAGCGGCACAACGGGCGGTGGCGGAATCGTTTCCGGAGCAGAGAGAGGCGCCGGTGGGACAATCGGAGCCTCTGGAAGCGAGGATACGACCTCGGCAGGCGGTGCCGTAGAAGTGGGTTGCGAGCCGTGATCAGCGGTGCCGTTTGTGTGCGCATGGCCATTGACCAACGGCTCCTCGACGGTCGAGATCTGCGGAGTGGCGATTGTTCCATTGCTGAGTGGGTGCTCAGAAGCATTGGCCTCCACGGGGGCGGCGGTTACCGTCGACGGATCTGCTTCACTAGCGGCAACGATCTCGGCCGGTGGCGCCTCTGCCTCGACCTCGGTCCTCAAATCCGACACGGGGGGCTGGGGGATCGCGGCGTCGGTGATAGCCTCGACGGTGGCGGATACGATCGGCTCTGACGGTGCAGACACAGCTTCGGCGGTCGTGGACGTCGTCCCTTCGGCCGGAATGTCGGCAGCTGTAACGACGGGTGCCACAGATGCTGCTGCTTCTGCTGCCGGACTGGGCTCGATCGATGCCGCGGTCGCTATCGGAGACGGCTGGGCTTCGATGGGCGTCGGCTGAGCTGCTGCCGGTGCTCCAGGGGAGACTTCATGGGTGGTGGAGGCCAAGCTGAGCAGCGAGTCGGCTTTGAGTGATGCAATGTTCAACATGGGCGACTCAGCAGCGAGCGGTGCGGTCGCGGTCTCGGTCGCTGGAACCGACGCGGGCAGGCCGGTGCCGGTGGTCGTGCCGGCAGCGGTGGTCGTAGACGTCGGGGCCGGGTCACTGCTGCCCAGCTGCGAGGCCAACTCGCCAGACATTGGTCTCTCGAGTCTGCCTGCTATGCTACGCGCTCGATCTCACTGGTGCTGAAGGTGCGTTTACCGAGTCGAGCAGGTGATGGGGTCGAGTGCAGATGATCGACCGTTGCGGGTCGATGGAGGTTCCGGTGGGTCCGAGCGGCAACCAACAGGCGCGAAGTTGGCCAACAAGTGGTAAACGGGAGGGAGAGAGGCGATCAAACTGGCGCGCGCCTGGCAAGTTGATTTTTCCTCGCCGGAGCGATCGGGACCATCGCAGCCTCTCAGCGGCCAGCGGCAAGAGTGAGAAAGACGGCTGTAGGCCATGATGTACTAGTCTTCAGAGAGTGATCTAGGGTGAGGCTCTCTAGTGCGAGGTTCTGGTACCTATTCACACATCCGAGAGGCGTTAATGCTCGGTGTAGCACGCCATCACACCGGGCCGGAAAGCATCCTGCAGCAGGCCGTCGTCAGCCAGGGCCTGGAGCCGGCCGAGCTCGACGACGACAGGAGAATCCCCGAATCCCCAAACCCGAACGGAGAAGGCGCACACGACCGCGATCTGGATCGCTGTAGTACATGACGGTGTGGAGCAAGCTCGCTTGATGTTGAATGACCGAATTGACATTGCCTCGAGTGTTCTTTGCGGCCCCCCGATCGTCATCGACGCGCGCTGCTGGCCGAGGGGCTATTCACTATTAGCTTTCTGCGGCGCCGAAGCCAGTCCAGTGCTAGTTTCCAATTGATGCGGCGGGGTTATCGCGCGCGCTACATGCCCGCATGGGATGGCCGGGTGCCGGCAGGAGCCCTTTATGCGAGTTTTCGCAGGTTTTCGCCCAGTTTCGCCCGCGCCAAAACCGCTTTCAGGATGAGCTTCGACGATCGTCCTTTGGCTTGCGCTCCGTCACGACTGGTCGCGTTCGCTGCCCACTCCGATCGCCTGTACTCGAACCTGTTGTGTGCACCCCAACCCCAGATCGACGTCCGACTCTTTAAGCTAGTAGTCGCCCCTCGATCGCACCTCACCAGGCTTCCCGTCACTCGTCACCGTCGCTGAGCAGGTTCGGGTCGAGACCGTCCAACCGTCACCGCCCGCCCTCTCGTCCCATCTCCTCTCCCTCCACACCATGTCGACTGGATTGGCACTGCCCTCGGGTCCCAAGGCTACGTCGTTGTCGCTGCCGACACGGCCAACGGCGGGGACGAGTGCGAGCACGACTGCGGGTGTAGCGGGTGCGGGTGCGGGTACCGAGTCAGCAGCAGGCCCGAAGGACGCATCGACGAGCAAAGACTCGACAGCGGTGGCAGTTGCATCGACGGCAGGTGCAGAGGCGAATGCCGTCATCCCTGGAGTCCATGGCATTGTGCCTACACTTCAGTAAGTTGTCGCTTTGGGCTCCTCTCGATGGTGTAGAGCGCGCACGGTTGGCCCGCCTGCCCGCTGGGCCGAGCGCGGCTGTGACGGATGCGCATCGCCCACGCTCGGCCGCGGCCAGGTGTGCTGGTCCGGCCTTTGTTGGGCCATGGCGGCAGTTGCGTGAGGGCGCACGCGCATCGGAAGGGGCGGGGGAAACGAAGCACAGGATGCATCTTGGCAGACAGAGGCACCTCAAATATTGTTTCAACATATTGCGAGGTTGACACCTATCATTTTCTCTTCCCTTTCGTTTCTTTCCGTTGGGTTCTGTCTGGCTGGGTCTGGTTTGTCATGCGATTAGAAACATCGTCTCGACCGTCAATCTCGATTGCCGGCTCGATCTCAAGACGATTGCTCTGCATGCGCGGAACGCCGAGTACAGTCCCAAGGTGAGTCGCGAGTAGCGATTATTGCCCCGACGTATGGCATCTCAGAAGCTGACCCTCCGTCCGTCGTGCCTCAGCGATTTGCCGCTGTGATCATGCGAATCCGAGAACCCAAGACAACAGCACTCGTGTTTGCCTCGGGCAAGGTCGTGGTCACCGGTGCCAAGTCGGAAGACGACTCGCGACTGGCCGCACGAAAGTACGCGCGTATTATCCAGAAGCTCGGGTTCGAGGCCAAGTTTCAAGACTTCAAGATCCAGAACATTGTCGGGTCGTGTGACGTCAAATTCCCGATCCGACTCGAAGGGCTCGCGTTCGCGCACGGCCACTTCTCGTCGTACGAACCCGAGCTGTTCCCCGGTCTGATCTACCGCATGGTCAAGCCTAAGGTTGTGCTGTTGATTTTCGTGTCGGGCAAGATCGTGTTGACCGGTGCCAAGTTCCGAGAAGAGATCTACGCCGCGTTCGCCAACATCTATCCTGTGCTGAGCGAATTCCGCAAGCTCGGGTGATCTCGGTCTACTGGTCTCTATTTCTGTGCCTCTCCCTCTCGTTTTACCACCCATTTGCTTTCACCTGGCGACCCTCGCATTTTTCTCCGCACGGGTTCTTCTCTTGTTACCAAAACACCCCAATCCACCCGCCCCTAGGCCTCACCTAGTTGTGCTTGTACTTCGTAATCTCTCTCCTCTGCCTTTTTCTTTTTTCTTTTCTTTTTCTTCTTTTGGCTAAAGAGCACAGTCTCAAGTGATCTCTCAACAAAGATTTGCAATCTCACCAGGGTGCTCGAGAAACGATCGGGTCCGGGGCAGAGCGCTCATGTTTTGTCTCGTGCCCCCCATTCTCCCCTCCTCGAGATTCGCTCAGACCGTGGATCTGGACCCAGCGATGGCAGTGGATACTGCGGAGGACAGCTCCTTACTCTGGTCTACGTATCGACCCGGTCTGTACTTTGGTCTCCGCCCTCTGCTCCCTCACGACTCCTTGCTCTATGGCCTCCTCTGGTATCGTGCCCCCACGTCGTCATCACCCACCGACTCTTCCTCCTCACCAGCGCCACCCAAGGCCACCAAGCTCGATACCAAGGATGTCCGACATGAATGCACGCAATCGCCTGGTCTGACGTACGAATTCAAGAGACATGATCCACGAATGGGGTGTCTGCAGACGATCGCTGATGACGATCTGGGCATAGCGATGGAAGTGGGGTTCGCCAAGAGTCGTGACGGGAACGGGTGTGGCGTCAGGATCGAGGGCAGAGTGTTACAAGCTGGTGCGTCAGCTTTAGGGCAGTACATTTTTTCGGTCGAGAGGATGTATCAAAGTATGAATTTCCGGCCGCTTTGGTGTTGCAGATGACGAACCCTTGGATCGAGCGAGCCGTCCCGACCAGTTCGAGTTCATCAATTATTTCGGCAGACTCGGAGCAAGGTCAGCTCGAGCTCAGGGATGATGCCCCAGATGTACGTCCTCGTCGTTTTTCGATGGAGAGTATCTGTTCACTATAGACACTATAGAGGAACCGAATCGGACCCACAGGGAACGGTCGTAATCGCTGGAGAAATGACCGGCCTCGGCAAATTTGAGATCCGAGTCCGAAGTGATCACGGTAAGCGAATCGGGATGACCGGGCACAGGACGAGAGGTTCAAGTATGTTGACCGAGATATGGCATGATTCGAAAAGGAATCATCTCCGCCAAAAAGTACGGCTTCAAGGTTGCCCCAGGCGAGATATGGAAAGCCAAAGGTGAAAGATTGTTCCCTCGTCCGATATCTGAATCAGTGGATGGAGAATTCAAAAGCTGATCTTGTGCTGTTACAGACATCATCGTTGACGCGATCAATTCCCAAGTCCTGGATGGCCACACCGTGGAGGTCGAGTCAACTCTTTATGCCGTCCACACCACGGTCGACGGTTCATGGACGATCGACATCTTCTTCAACTCGGACTCTGGCACCACACACATGGACACCTCTTCCCTCACCGCACTCCTGGATTCGAATAGGCTACAATTCCACAATCGCTTTCGATCTTGCTTTGAGCTCGATCGATTCGGCAACTTTGAAGCTTCCGAAGTCGCTTTCGCCCGGAGCACCCTGTCGAACCTCTTGGGCGGGATAGGCTACTTTTATGGCACTTCGATCGTTGACCGCCATTTCAAATATCCATGGGACCGCGAGGATGGCGAGGACAAGGGTGAAGCGAAATCTCATCCTGAAATCGTACCGGCACAAACGCTGTTGACGGCAACCCCTTGCCGCAGTTTCTTCCCCCGAGGGTTCTATTGGGACGAGGGCTTCCACTTGCTCTTAATCAATCGTTGGGATCTAGACCTTGGATTGAGGATCATCTCGAGCTGGGCGGATCTGATCGATCAGGATGGATGGATCGGAAGAGAGCAAATCTTGGGTGAAGAGGCTCGATCTAGGGTAGGTCTTGCTCGCTTGGTAGCACTCGGCGCTTGGCGCAACAGTGAGAGCACCGATCAACTGACACCATCCCGTGCGTTACGCTTACAGGTCCCATGTGAGTTGGTGCCTCAACTGCCCGCGTATGCGAATCCGCCCACGCTCGTGATGGCCGTCCGAGCGGCCTTGCAGCTCGTGCAACGATCCGCCTCGACATCGAGTTCGGACGACATGAAGAGAACGCGTTCATTCCTCACTTCAATCTACCCCAAGCTCAAATCGCACTATGAATCGTTCCGTCGGACGCAACGCGGGCAAATTTCAGGCGTCAGAGGCCGACAAGCTCGGAACTCAGAGGAAGCTTGGAGATGGAGGGGACAAAGTCTAAACCCTGACCTGCTGTTGACCTCTGGATTGGACGATTACCCTCGCGCCGAACCTCCGACTAGGAGTGACTTACATGTGGATCTGATTTGTTGGATGGCGACGTTTGCGGAGACGATGAAGGAGTTGGCGGGTGCGTGTGGCGAGGTTGAGGATCGGGTTAGGTTTGAGAAGGAGTTTGAGGATGTGAAGGGTAATATCGATGGTAAGTCAGCAGGACGAAGTCCTGCAGTAGAGTTCTAGAACAGAACTCTGACCAACAATGCATGCACAGATCTTCATTGGAGCGAGGAGCATCAGCTGTACCTCGACACGACGGTGGACTCGCGGAGTGAGTCTCGAGCCCCGTGCGCAGCGAAGTCTCCACTGCGTGCAGCGAGCTGATCCTATGACGCGTTCCACAGATATCTCTGGATTTGTCGTCGTACGAGGCTACGTATGCCTCTTCCCTCTGCTCCTCTCCCTCATCCCCGTCGACTCGCCCAAACTTGGAGCAACACTCGAGTTCATGCGCGATCCTCAATACCCTGTGGTGCGATTATGGACTTCGGTCGCTGGCTCCAGGGGAGAAGTATTATGGCAAGGATGAGGATTATTGGAGAGGTCCTATTTGGATCCCGATTTGTTATATGGCGTTGAAGGCTTTGTTTACGGTACGCTGACTCATCTGTGGTGGAAGCCGGGGAGGAACAGTTGAGAAGCTCAATCCTTGTGCTTTTTGCAGACCTACGCGACAACTCCTGGCCCCTATCAAGGCCGAGCTCAAAAAGTCTATATCGAGTTGCGTCAGAATTTGATTAAGAATATGTAGCGGGTCAGTCCCAAACACCTCCGGAGATCCGGATAAGAGAAAGCCAACAATCTGACTGGATTGCCGGTATACGAAACAGGAGTACAAACGGACGGGCTTTGTGTTTGAGCAGTACAATGACAAGACGGGCAAGGGCCAGCGGAGCTATCCGTTCACTGGATGGTCCAGTCTGATCGTTTTGAGTAAGTCGGGCGTCGATGAAGGACTGGGATGTGTTCGCTCATGTTAGACGGGATGGACGCCGTTTCACAGTCATGGCGGAGCAGTACTAGATGATGCGGGGCGCGACCGAGGGCCAGATAGTTGAGCGTAGTAGATGAAAATGGAGTCAAAGTATTCATCTGGACTTCTCTCGAGGCCATGAACATGGTCTACATTTCACAACACGATAGGCGATCGCTCTCGCATCATCTCGGCGATCGATCGGATGCCCGCTGGACAGCAGAGAGGGTCCAAGCTCAAAAGACGTTGACTTCGCAACCCCTTCGCGCACCTGTTCGAGGCGCTAGCTGCCGTTCCGCTCGAGCTCATCCCGACTTTGCACTACATTTCACAGTCTCAGCCTCCGCACCCGAATATCCTCCCCTTATCGTGAGCAAAGGCGGACCTCGTACAGCATGTCGAGCGACCCACGTTTCGCGCGGTTACATACCGACCCGCGGTTCGTGCGACCCAAAGCGGCCAAGAATAAGATCGTCGTCGACAAGCGGTTCGAGTCTATTTTCAAAGATGAGGATGAGGGTACGTCTTTGTCGGTCGCTTGCCGTGGCTTTGGGGCTAGTGCTCGTGAGCTGATAGTGGTCGACGACCCTGCTTCAGGCTCGAAGCAGCAGCGAAAGGTCGACAAGTACGGGCGAAAGGTCGAGAAGGACAACAAGAGTCTGGAACTCAAGAGGTACTACAGGATGGAAGAGGAGGAAGAGCAGAGTGACAAGAAGGCTGCTCCTACCAAGGAAGACGTTGTGGGGGAGCAAGAGGATGAGGATGAGGGTGATGAGAGCGAGTCAGACGAGGAGGAGGCAGGTGGTGCAGCCAAACCGTTCGTTGATCTCGCCCGTGGTCAGGTATTGATGGAGTCCTCGGACGAAGAAGGTGGCAAGAACGACAAAGACGACGAGGACGAAGACGAGTCCGATTCCGAAGTAGGATCTTCGGGCGACGAAGGGTCAGTCACGTTCGGCGGCATCACCAAGTCGGGTCTTAGACGACGACCAAGATCGCCATCGATCGACCTTTCGGAAACAGAACACGCTGTCGCTGGATCGGACAACGAAGTCGGAGAAGGCGAGGACGATGATGATGAGGACGACCCTGATCCAACGAAACGGTTGGCCGTCGTCAACATGGATTGGGACAACATCCGAGCCGTGGATCTCTATCGAGTTCTTGCTTCCCCTCTGTCGGCGACCGCCGCTTCGATTGCTGAAACGTCCGCGGCATTAGGCGGCCGAGCTACTGCCGGAGCAGCGAAAAAGTTCGACGAGCGAGGGGAAGAGGTCGAAGGGTTCAAGCCTAGCTCGAGGCTGGTCATTGCACCCGGTCGTTTGTTGCATCTGAGGATTTACCCATCCCAATTCGGTCGAGAACGAATGGAACGAGAGGCGAGGGAGGGTCCTCCGACAGAAGTGTTCAAGGCCGCTCAAGCCGCTGCACGTGACAATGACGAAGGTGAAGGGGAGTTACTTGTGCTGGGGAGGCAGAAGAACAAGGGCAAGACAAAGGCCAAGAAGAGCAAGAAGCGACGGGGTGACGACAGCGACGACGAGAGCGAGGACGATGTGGCGATCACCGAACAAGACGTTGTGCGGGACCAGGTTGAGGATGGGGAGGAGGAGTATGACCACGAGGCGCTGCGCAAGTACCAACTCGAGAGGCTGAGGTGAGTTGGGTCTCAAATTACTACGGCGCACGCGCTGTGAGCTCAAGCGCGGCGTTTTTGATCGCAATCACAGATACTACTATGCCATCGCCACGTTTGACTCGGCTCCTTCGGCGGCTCATGTTCACGATCAAATCCTCGGCACCGAATTTGAGCACACGGCGAACTTTTTCGATCTTCAGTACGAACGCTCTTTCCCCGAACATCTCTCGCGCCTTTGCTGATAGAGGGGTTTCGTCTCCAGATACGTCCCTGACGAGACATCCTTCGAGGACGATCCGGTCCATGATGAAGCGACAGAAGCGACCGTTGCTTCCGAGGGTACCTCATACACCGGCATCAATTTTGTTACGGATGTGAGTGGCTTTCCCGTCGCGAATCACGTCAAGATACAGAAGGCGGTGAATTGATCGCATTTGCGTTCGGTTATCTTCAGGCATTGCGACATTCAAAAGTCAAGTTGACATGGGACGCTGACGATCCGCACCGCAAGACCAAGATCCAGTCCTACCTCGCAGCTGCCATGGACCCGAAAGGCAAGGGCAAGGGCCTCGCCAACGATGAAGGTGTCAGGGCATACTTGGCCAGCTCGTCTGATGACGATGGGGAAGGCGAGGAGGCAGAGGAGGTCTACGATTTCTTCGAGACCGATGGTTACGACAACAAGCAAGGCAAGGACAAGAGGAGCAAGTTGAGGAGCTTGTTCGGGCTTGACGGCGAAGTGGAGGAACAGACGTGGGATGGTGGTCGTGGGACGGGCAAGAAGGGTGCGGATGGGGAGATGCAGATCACATTCGCCTCTGCGTTGTCAACCAAGAAGGGCAAGAAGGGACAGGATGATAGCGATGACGAGCAGGATGGACGAGCAGAAGAAACCGCGATCGAGACGTACAAGCGCAAGGAGAAGGAGCGTCGCGAGCGCAAGCGACTAGACCGCAAGGCCAAGCGCGATGGGGTTACGCTTCCTGCCGAGGGCGAGGAAGGCCCTGAGTTTGGTGGCAAGAACACCGGACCTGGTGGATTCGACGACGCCTTTTTCGCCGATGGCGGGAAAGACCCCTTCGCTGCCTATGATGAAGGCATGGAGAGTGGAGACGAGATTGGACAACCGAAGAACGCCAAAGGCAAAGGCAAGGATGAGGCGAACGGAAAAATTTCGAAGCGGGAGAAGCGAGAGGCGAAGGAGCGCGAAGAGGAAGAAGCAAAGAAGTCACAAGCGTTGCTCGAGCTGCTTGTCGCATCGGACAACGACGAGGACGGAGCCAAGCACTTTGACATGCGCAACATCATCAAGGCCGAGAAGACTTCGGGAAAACGCAACCGGCACAAGAAGAAGGGTAAGAAGGGTGCTGCGGAGGAGCCGCAGGTCGAGGACTCGTTCAAGATCGACTTGAAGGACGATCGATTCAAGAGCCTGCACGAAGACCACGAGTTTGCGATCGACCCGACCAACCCGAGGTTCCAGAAGACACGCAACATGGACGCCCTGTTGACCGAAGGAAGGAAGCGTCGATCCAATAAGCTCGATGCACGAGCTCCTGTCAGTGCGCCGCCTTTGGAATCGGTCAAGCAGGCGAGCAAGCAGTCCAAGGAGTCGGAGAACTTGCAACAACTCGTCGAATCGGTGAAGCGCAAGGCCGGTGACGTCGGAGGTCGAGGCAAGCGGAGCAAGACGGACTCTGCCTGACTGCCTGGCTGTTCGAGTCCACAATAGGGAATGGCCTTGACTGCAACCGAAACACTACGCGTTGTTCATACCTGCTGGTGATGAGTTCCTGTGACAGTCACAAGCCGTGTCCGGCCCCTTACCGGCGGGAGGCGCGTACAGCTTAGCGCCGGCGAGCGCCTAGTTCGTAGTCAAGCGGAGTGCAGCTAATCTTTGAAAAAGCGGCGGTCCTCGGATCACCATACAGGTGTTTTCACCATATGATTTGATGGGGGGTTAGTATAGAAAACCGAAAGACAGAAGTCGAGACGAGACTGAGGCCGACTCCCGCAAGGTGCCCGGCCCCAGTGACTTGCGGGGAACGTGGCAGCGAACCCGGGTACGGCGGCCCGTGCTCAGGCCGTCTTTAAACGTCCCCCGAAAGTCACGGACGCTTCGACTTCAGTTCCTCTCGAGCTTGATCGACACTTTGGAGGGTTCGCTGCTCTGGAAAGGGACTTTGTACGGTCCGAACGCACGCTACACCGCCTCTGCAGAGGCGGCCTCTGCGCGTCGGGCGATACTCGGGCGATACTCGGGCGATACTCGGACGATCATCCGTCGACGCTCCTGTGGCTCGGGCCCCTGAGCGCCTGAGCCCTGCCCAGACTAGTCCGGCGTCGCCTCGTCATCGGCGGTTTTTGGCGCCAGCGCGATCTCACCTGGCGCGTGTTTCGCGTCTGTCAGCCTCCTGTCGCGGAGTAAGCAAGAGACGAGCGCTCACAGGCGCACCACGTCACCAATCTTTCGCAAGGCTGCCTTTATGATTCTCCCCCGAGCACCACTCTGCGAAGCCGATACGATGACGCAAGTAATCATTCGACCGGCGGACCGGAATCGACTACGACAGCGTGCGATGAGTGTGCCGAATGTGTTCGACTTGGACGCGAATGGACCTGCGAAGGCGGGCTCGTCAGTACCGGGCCCCAGTGCCTTCCCTCGCTATACTCGTCGCGGCGTGGCACGGCTGTGCAATCGCCCATCTCGGCTACGTACCCTCATGGCCCGTGCGCTCTTTGGGATCTGTGTTATTGTCTTCTTGAGAAACTTCTTCGCATTTTCGGGGACAAATGGTGATTCGTCGGGCGGATTCGGGTTGGGTTGGGGTTTCTTGCGAAGGCATCTCGTAGGGTTGCCCGAACGGTCGCGCGCCTCGTCCGGCGAGGGATGGACGCTCGAAGAATTCCTCGACTACCACTTGCCGCTCAACTTGACCCAGGAAGAGAAAGCGGCCCACATTTTATTTTCGACCAGTTTGGAGACAGGCGTCCCACCGCCCCCTCTGCCACAGCCTTACCACATTTGGCTGACGGCGGTGAATCGGTACTCGTTCGTGGAAGCGAGGAGTTTGACCCACTTTTGGAAAATGAAGAATGAGGCAAGGGCAGCAGCAGGGGACAAAATCGTCCATGTCGTGACACTATGCTCGGATCCAGATTGCTTGAAAAAGTGCAAAAAGGTCGAGCACGAAATGCTTTGCTATGGTGGGTTCGCACGAGACGTGCCAGAGCACTGGGATGCGCTCGACTGGACAAAAGCTTGCGGTGCGTCAACGCGATAGCGCTTGATACGGCTGGGGTTGATTTCAGTCTGATGAAGTTGCATTACAGGTGCTCGTGATGTCCTCGAATCGGGTCGCAACGTGTTACTCGGCTCCGAGCTCGTCCTTCGAAAAGATCCCTTTCCTCGACTCGAGCGATATTTCCCCGTCTCGGACGTCATCATCGCCGAGAATGTAACCGGTACGGACTCGGGGCACCTCAGTACAAGTTTGATTTGGATGAGGAGCATACCCGAAACGATCGAGTTGTGGTACGATGTGTTGGAGCGGATAGCGAACGCCACGGCTTCGCATAATCTGATTGAAACCCCTGAGGCCGGGGAGCTTGCCATACCGGACGCGGCTGCAGAAGTATGGACGGTGCTCACGCTGCAGGAAGCTTTCAATGAGGTGCGTTTCCCCGTGTGTTACAACACCCCTGTGAGAAAACCTCCTGACGGGACATCTCTACCCCGTCCAGGTTCTGCATTCGACCGAACTCCGAGTTACGGATGAGTTCTCCGAGGTGCGCCTACGACGCAACTTCAACACCGGCAACGGCCTTCGTGTTCATGCTCTCAGCGAGGAACACTCCGAAATTGCCGCTTTCAATTACCTTCTCGATCTCGAGGACATCAATTCCCCCGACGATGTTTACGCCGATGCCTCGATCGTTCTCATGCCGTGTGTCGATGGAGGAGGGTTGAGGTCCTTCTTTGCGAAATATCATGGCATGTGGACCAATGTCGGTGCTTATTATTCGAAACCGGCACCTTCCTTGCGTATCAAGAGCATGTCGGGCTCGAGGGGGGCGTTGGCGATACAATTGCGCATCGTGCTCACCTTGTGCAAGTACACGGGACGGGCGTTCCAACTACCAGAAACGGTGACGTAAGTTATTAGACTGAGGCCAATCAGCGAATCCAACTCTTTCTGAGAATGGGCCTACATCCTACCTCTATCAAACGATAGGTTCACCGACTCAGTCGATGCGACCTTACCCGTCTGGCGCGCGCTCCCGTTGTCACTCATCACTGGACCGATGGGGATACGCATCCACGAGCCAGGATTCGATTCTCACGCCGCGAAGTATCATCTCAAGACCGAGGGTGTCGATGATCCGGTAGTCGAGGACCGCACCGTGAGTGCGAGCGGGTGTTCAAGCCGAGCCCCTGTGTTTTGCCGGCGCCGACTGATACGATCCGGACCTTTAAATACCACGCAGGAAGTGGAGCTAGGTAAGCTGAACATTCGAATTCCATCCTTGAGGTGTACTCACCTCACGTCTACCTCTCACTAGACATCCGCTACATGATCGGCGTTGACGAAATCATCAAGCGTCTCAAATCGTCCGTCTACTCTAACTCGCCTCGGGTCGTTCTTATAGGTTTCGAACCAAACGCCGCCGCCCCCTGGCGTGGTTGGAAAGGTGCAGGACCGGTATCTCGAATCAACGTGTGCAAAAACTTGAAGTTGGAGCCGAGGTGCGGTGAGATTTGTAGTGGTCATTCTGTGCATGGTACGATGCCGAAGAAGTGGCCGTCGTTGGATAAGTACCTTACCCCGCCAAAGGATGATAGTGCTGTGAGTGCGGGAGACTTTTTCGAAGGAGGACCGGCGCAATCCGTACTGATGATTATGTGAACATGATGCAGTTCAATTTCTAGTGGTCGCTGTGTCATAGGTGCAACGGAGGGCACTTTTTCGAATAGAGATGGAGGTCAGCGCGGGAACGGACGATATACACTGTTTTCTGGGAAAATCGATGGGTGCCAGATTTTTCAACTTTTCTCCTGCGCCAACTTGAAAATCAAACACTCGTTGCAACACTCATCCTCAAAAAGGGCTTCGTACTCTGTCACGCCTGTTTCTACGCAAGCCCGTTCGGGGAGCATTTCAACCGGCCCGCGCTCTCGAATCGCCATCTCGGGCAAGCGTGACCAGGTGTGACGTGATCAAGAGCAAAGCCTGACCCAGCCGAGTCGCGAGCGTTCCTTCTCTACTCCCACCTCCTCCAACACGCGAGTCGTAGGCTTCTTACCCACCTACACGTCCCTGCAACCCTTAACCTCATCCCACACCACTTCCGACCCCTCGATCTACTATGTCCCTCTTCCCTCCCCCCACTCAGGACGCGGCGTCCGTGTTGGCTTCCCTCCCCCTGGATTCGAAACGACACATGCTCGTCTTTCTCGCTTCGCACGAGGAGAGGGGACGACCTTGGTGCAGGTCAGTTCGTTGCGTCGATTCTTATTGGAGAAGGCGAGCGATTCGGATGGATCTCCAAACTCCTCCATCGAGTCGATGACTTCCCCACTATAATCACACGCCAGACACAATCACGGGGAAGGCAGTGTCGGCTCGCTGACTCGCGAGGCTTACATCCTACCTCTCCACTCATAGGGACTGCGAAGCGGCCGAACCTTTGATCGTCAAATATCTCGACGAGAAGAACTCCACGGTCATCTGGGTGGGGTCAAGGGAGGAGTAAGTTCAGGACCATCATACCCAGCGCCCCACTGAACATCAGGCTCTCCTCGGATTTGATCCTTATTGACGTCACGTGCGCCGACCGGGTTAGGGCTGACCGAGATCCGAATTGTGCCGTTCCTTCTACAGATGGACGAAGCCAGACAACGTATGGCGTCAAAAGCCATGGAACGTCCAACGCGTTCCGACATTGATCAAGATCGAAGCGAGTACATCAGCCAATGTAACGGGTCAAGAATCTCCCTCAATCGAAGATAGGGTTCGTTCCGAATGACCTGTTCTCCGGATAGTTGGCTCAATGTGCTCACCTCTTGTTTGGATCTACAGATCTCCAACGCGCCTCATCTGGTCGAAGCAGACATATTGGAAGGGTCCAAATTGCGAGGGTTTGTAGCCTGAGATTCATGGTTTACGCAGAACCAAGAAAATGAAAGCAAAACCAAGCTGTTACACATTCCAAAAAATCAAAAAAAAAAAACGAGCAACGAGAGTTCCTACGTTATACGATGACTTCCACTGCCCAATCATCTACAACTCATCCTTGACCCTCTCCACATCTTCCTCGTCCTCGACTACGGTGGGAGTCTCCTCAGTAACTGTTGCCGCAGGTGCAGGCTCGGCAGGCTCGGCTTCTTCTGTCGTTGTTGTGGGCGTCACGAGCGTGTCTTGCTCTGCTCCCTCCGGAGCCTGCTTCTGCTCCTCGGCCGACGCAGTCTCCTCAGCTTGCAAGAGCGCCTCATCAACCTCAACATCCTTGACAGGGAGAGCCGCAAAGCCCGGAGCAGCAGGTTTTTCCGCCGCTTCCTCCGCCTCTTCAACGTTGGGTACAGCCGCCTCGGCGGGTACAGGCTCAGCAATGGCGGGTTCCTCCGAAGCTGTCGTCGAAGAAGGTGTCGTAGGAGGTGCAAGTAACGCTTCTAAATCGGCATCATCGTCGAGATTGAAGTCGAGAAGATCCGAGTCCTTATCGTCCTCGTCATCGTCGTCCGCTTCCTCAGCTCTTGTTTGAGCCTCGTCCGATGTGACAACATTCTCCTCGATCTGTTGTTGAGCATCTTCAACGTATTGAGTAGGTCGATGGGGGGGTTGATGCTCGAGAGGATCAAAGACCTTCTCGGTTTGTTCCTCGGGTGATGGGGCCTCCTCGACAGCTTCGGAAGCAGGTCCAGGAGTGGGTACGACCTCGTCGAGTTGCGAAGGCGCTTCCTCGACCTTCTCCTTTCCCACCTCATCGGTCTGAGTACCCGCATCGACCAATGTCGACTCCTCCACGACGACCGGCTCCGCCACCTCCACCACCTCCGCCTCCTCAATCTCAATCTCAGGTTCAGGCGCCGCCTTCGCAGTCGCATTCTGATAGGCCCCCATCACATCTTGTCCAAACGCCCCCGAGCCACCAGGAAGGTCGAACGCGTCGTCCATAGCTTCCTCACTGGTCAAGGCGGCGGCTTTGAGTGTTCCAGTCTCGAGTGGCAGAGAAGCTTCGACTTCGATCTCAGCTTGGGCGGGAGCAGTGGCAGTAGCATCGATATCGACGGTCTCCTCCTCAAGCTGGGTCGCGTCGTCGACGACGGGTTCAGGTGGTGGTGTAGGCGTCGCTTCGAATTGAGCCGGTTCCTCATTCGTCGCACCGAGTACAGGTTCTTGAGCGGGCGTAGGAGCAGGTGGGTATTCACTCGCCATCGTCGCCGTCTCGTCGACCGGAACAGGCTCGACGATGTCCACACGTCCATCAACGATGTCCTCCATGACTTCGGATTCTTCGATAGGCGCTTGAGCTTCTTCTACGACTTCGGTGATGAGCGTCGCGTCGACCTCTGGGAATGCATGATCGAAGGGTGGTTCAAGCTCGACTTCGGTGGGAGGGGAAACGTCGTAAGCTTCAACGGGCGCATCGACGGGGGTCATTTCTTCCAGTACGAGCTCGGGAGCTTCGGAGACGGGTGCGGGGTCGAGGACTTCTTCATCTTGAGAAAGTGGCTCTTCGACCTCGGACATCGTAGGTGCTTCCGCTTGTTCGTTAATGTCCTCCTTCACGGATGGTGCCTCTTCGACGGGTGTGACCTCCTCTTCGAGTAGAGCGTCCGTGTTGTCCGAAACGGGGACATCCTTCGACTCCTTGACTTGAGGTTTGACCTCAAGGGGCAAGTCATCATTGACAAGTTTGGATTCGACCAGCGTCGCAAAGACACTGTCCTCTTCTTCAAACTCGTCGTCGTCATCGTCATCGTCATCGTCATCGTCGTCGTCCTCCTCAGATTCTTGAGACACCACGACCTTCTCCGGCTCCGGCTCCGGTTCCTTGACCTCCTCCACCTTGTTCTTCACCTCCACTACGGAAAGAGGTATCGAGACCGCCTCCTGGGGTACGTTCGCCTCTTCAACGACGATCGCAGCAGGCGCCTCTTCCTTACTAACCCATTGCTCGGTCTGAGGTTCGATTTCCTCCTTGATCGTTAGAACAGGTTCGGCCGTTTTGTTCTCCTTGTCATCCTTGGGCAATATCGTGTTGACGACCGATGCGTCCTCTTCCTCATCATCCTCGTCATCGTCGTCATCCTCGTCGTCATCATCATCGTCATCGTCATCGTCATCGTCATCGTCATCGGCAACCACCGTCCCGTTGTTCATTTTCGCGATCACAAAGTTCTGCCCCTGCGTTGCCAGAGCCCCGACGGTGGTGATGATCGTCATCACGACTTCACTCCCATGCCTCTTGACCAACCCCCCCACCTTCCTGACCACAGGACCAACCTTGTCCACGACTTGGGCGATCGTACCTTCTTTTCCCCCGTCCCCACCCGTCGAGGGTAGCCATTTGTCCAAGATCTCTGTACCACCGGGGACGACTCTCTCCAACAGCTTGCCCGAAATTTGACTGGTTCTCCCTACGACTTGACCCATCAAACCGGCGACTCGAACACCTTTATCGACGACCCTTCGTTTGAAAACGTAAGCGCAACACAACCCGAAGAACACCAACGCGGCCAAGAGGATCAACCGATCCAAGAAATCGGCCTTCTCCAAGGAGGTGATCAACGCTTTGGAGACGTTCAGCAGGGACGATAAGGTCGAGTAGGATTCGTTGGTCATTTGCAAGGTCGAAGTTTGTTGTTCTAGGGCTTCGTTGGTCAGGACCGAACGGTCGACTTCGGTTTGCATCAGTTGGAGAGTGCGACGCAGACCTTCGGTCACGTCCGAGGTGGCGGACATGAGGGCGTCGTCGGCACTGGATGGGGAACGAATCAGAATGAGCACAGGAAGAAGATCAGGTTTCCCAACGAAAAACTGACGATTGATCCGCCGCTCCCCTTCCCTGTCCCATCATCGGAGGCTTGGGCTGCAAGCCTTGACTGCGAGTGGGGTACGCGGCTTTGCTATTCGTCGAAGCGAACAATTCTTCTCTGCCCGTGATCGGCCGAGCTTGGTCGATCCGTTTCTTGGACGCGAGTACGGCGGCTCGGTATTGCTTCGAGACGCTGTGCAGGTGGATGGGGTCGGAGGAGTTAGTAAAGAGAGTTCCTGCGCAGAACAAAGACATGTACGTACGCGTCGAATAGTTGTTGTACGTGTTGAACATGTTGCAGTCCGGCCCTTCGATCGCGTGCCCGGTCGAGGTCGTCGACTTGGAGTTTGAGTTCCTGAGCGAGTGTGCGCGTCGGACAACGGGGTGCATCAGATCAGGAAAGAATCAAAAGTCGAGGCCGCTGCTTTGAAAAGCATGCACGATCGTCACTCGAACGGATGACGCACCTCGACATCCCTCTTGATCCCATTCAGCTCGTTCCTCAACGCGGCGACGAGCGCCTCATGCTGCTGCATCGGCCCATCGCAATGGCTCAATTGGGGGAGTTGGAATTGGAACAAGTCGTCGAAACGGACGGAGAGCGAATCGACGAGTTGGAGCAGTTCGGTAGGCAGTTCGGCCGGGCCGGGACGTTCTCGCGGAGGCGCGACGGGGGTGTGCGCGGGCGGTGGCATGTTGGCGCCAGTCGACTTTACAAGGTGGTGGTGGCGAGGTCAAGCGAGGGGGACTGATATACCATGCGATGCGCGGCGGTTCGGGGTGAGGTGTACTGTCAGCCTGCCAGTGGGAGGTGTGGGAAAGGGGTGGGGGGGGCCCAGAGTGACCAGAGTGACCAGAGTGACGCGTGACGAACGACCTCCACGCGCCACCCGCCGGTAAACCGAGCATTAATTAGCTTTGGAACGTAATAGTAGCCGATTATTGTTAGTAACTTCCCCCGGCCGGCGTCGTCCTTTCGCGCATTTCGCACACGCGAACCCAAATCGAATCGAATTCGCGCGGGGACTTTGGAACCGCGCTCGCATCTCCTCCTCTGCGCTCTCTTTCCCCCCTCACTCCACTCTCTCCACCTCGCTACGACCATGTTCCATTCCGCTGGTCGAACGCTCTTACGATCGGCCCCGTCGTCCGCTTCGTCCTCGATGAACGTCGTCGCTCGACCAGCGTTCCGGAGTGTCGTCCTCGGCGCCACTACTAGGGCCACTCCCACTCCCACTCCCACTCCCGCTTCGTCGTTCCCTTCCCCCTACCTGCGATCCTTCTCCACCACCCGACCATCCCGCTCTGAAACACCCAAAGCAGAGACCAGTAACGCAGAAGAGGGCGCCGCTTCGGCTACGGCTTCGGCTACGGCTACGGCAGCACCGACGGACAAGACCGCCGAACTGGCGCAGCAACTCGAGGAAAAGAACAAGATCATCGCCGAGCTCAGGGTCAGTCTCGGCAGCTTACGTTCCTTTACCATCCTCTCTTACCTCTTGTGATGTATCGCCCAGGACGCCCGCTTGCGTTCTCTCGCGGACTATGAGAACCTACAAAAGATCTCGACGAGAGAGAAAGCCCAAGCCAAAGACTTTGCTCTTCAATCGTTCGCCAAGGACCTCATCTCCTCGATCGACATCCTCGTCCTCGCGCTTCGTTCGCTACCTCCGACCAAACTCGATCCTTCCCAAGGCGCTACCAAGGATTTGATCGATTTACATCAGGGCGTTTCGTTGACCAAGGATTCGATCCTCAAGACGTTGGAAAGGAATGGGGTCAAGGCGTTCGATCCGACGGGGGAGACCTTTGATCCGAATCGACACGAGGCGTTGTACCAGGCGCCTGTGCCGGGCAAGGAACCGGGGACGGTCTTGGAATGTCAGGAAATTGGATGTGAGTCACCGCCCAGGGGGAGCTGGTGAAGAGAATCTCTAATCGAGGGGAGGCGAAAATCTCACTTCGAGCCCTTTACGAACTCGTTGCAGATATGATCAAGGATCGCCTTTTGCGACCAGCCAAGGTCGGCGTGGTTGCTGGTGAATCCTCATAATAAACCCAGGAGACATCCCAGAAGGAGTGGTCCGGGTTGGGTCCGCACGACTGAAGGAATAACGAACCATCGTCTCGATTCCGGCGATGATGACGGGGAGATGACGACGCTTGTACGAATGGAAGAAGAAGTAGCAAAACACAGGGATGTCCATCTCTGCAACGGGAGTTCGATGATGATGATGACCGAAAGGTACTTGTGTATGTGAAGTAATGAAATCAAACCCCCACTACCACCCCTCCCAAAAAAAAAAACCCACATCCCGGTCCTGATTCTCCAATCCGTTCGAGCCGAGAAATATATATCTTCTATGCGTTCCATCATTCTATTACAAGATCGGAGAAGACAACTTTGTCTCCTTTCCTTACTCTACCTGTGTCTCCCCATCCTCCGAAAACGTGACGTTTTGCTCCGACTTCAACGCCAAAGCGATGTATTTCGTATGTGAGCCTGAGGATATGATCAGAAATTCGATGATCAGGCTTGTTGCTTCTTCGAGCGGGGATGTTTAGGATTGACTTACCGTAAGCGAGCAACTTGCCCGTCTTGGTGGAGAACATCTCGATGCGCGTGTAGGCGAGGGTTTTACCTATCAAGCACAGGGAGAAATGAATTTGTTACGAGATGGAGGTGAGGATGGGAAGAAAGATGCTATGGTGGCTTACCTTGTCCGATCACGTGAGCTTGTAATCTGACCGTTTCACCCAACGGAGCGGCGCGGACGAACCTGAAGGCGGTCGGGAAAAGTTTTCTTCTCCATCAGCGGCCACCCAACTCTATACATTCCTCAAAGAATCGAATTCTCTGACCCTCCAAGGTGTGCTCGTGACTCACGTGACGTTGATATCCGTACTGACGCCGGTCATCCATAAGCCCCTGCTCGAGAGCGCGAGGGAACCCATCGAATCGACCAGGGACGAGGTGAGACCACCGTGGAGGGACTGTGGTGAACGGAGGAAGCTGGGTAGGGGATGAGTGGGTTTACTCGCAGATTCGATGGTGGGGGGATCGATGACTGACGCCGACTCGGTTGACTAGCCCACGGGTATGCAAGGCGGATCAGGAACGTTGGGATGGCCGAGACGGAGGATTGAGAAAGTGGGGGTGTGGGGTGAACGGTCAAGCCGCGAACGAGTCCATCGCACGATAGATATGACCCGCCCAAAAAAAGAGAGAGAGCAAACCTGAATCAGCCCCGAATGGATGTGTGAATCTGTCTAGTGCGTCCGCTGAGCTGACTCTGATGCTGCTTCACCACCATCTCGGCCTCGACGACGCCCGGTTTCGGGACATGGGTCACCTTGAGGTGTCCGAACGAGTTGGCGTCGTGGCCGGCGTTCTTGAGGAAGCTCTGTGCGAAGGGGTAAGAGTAGGGGTGGGTATGGGTATAGGAGGGGTCGGATCAACTGATTCACTGGAACGGTCGATCGTGCACTGACCTGCCATACGCGCTCCACGAAAGCTTTCGACGCGCTGTGACCGGCATCGAGGGTGGGACACGGTAGAGGGGGTCAGATCTAGCACAAAGCAAGAGCCGACCATGCAGGACCACCCACGCCATTCCGGATCGACTGTACCCGACGCCAAGACAAGAGCGAAAGCGAAAGCGATCGCCGATTCCAATTCCCCGCCGCGTCGACCCGCTCGTCTTTTGCTTCTTCTCCCCATCCACCGCCCCACTCCATACTCCAACTCACCCCTTTCCCAACCTTCCCAACCCTCCATCTCCATCTCCCCCTTCCCCCTCCCCTCTGCCCAACCTGCCTCCCACCACCTCCGACTCCGCGCGGGCCGAGCTCAAGCTCGAGCTCAAAGCATGGGAGAACGAATTCCGCAGTACGCACAACGGAACAGATCCCACCAAAGAGGACATCAAGAGGGATACTGCGATAGGTGAGTGAAAAGCCCCTCTCTTGGCTGTGTAGGGCGTGTGACTCTCTCCTCCTGTGATCGTCTCGGATCGCGTATGGGTGTGGGGGCCGCGTCCAAACTCAAACTGACTTTTTTTTTTTTTTTTTTTTTTTTTCGTCTTGCTCAGCGGCGAAATACAAGTTGTACCAAAAGCTCAAGACCCAACCCAACCCCACCACCACCACCACCACCACCACCACCACTGCCTCCTCCTCCTCCTCCAATCCCTCTAAACGATCACCCACCACCTCCACTTTCCCAAGCACCAGCGGAGAAACCCTCTTTCAAACCCCCAAGAAACCTCGTCCATCCAAGACGACCCCCTCCTCGATCACTCCTCAACGAAGTCAACCAGCTCGTCCTGCACCGCCGAACTTGAGCTCTGCACCAACAACAACGAGTCCGAATCACCCAAATTATGTCCACGCGCACTCGCCGAACAAGATGCGCGATCTAGCCGCTTCGTTCTCCTCTCGTCGTTCACCGAACCATCGTCATTCGACGACCCAATCGAAGAAGGACACCACTTCCGCGCAAGATTTATTCGCTCGGACGAGCTTGGAGAGTCCGAGAAAGTATAACCCGTTCGCTAGGGAGGGTACGACGGCGTCGCCTACTAAGAGGATCAAGTTGAGCGGCGGGGAGGAGTCGTTGAAGAGGAGCAGTGTCCGGTTAGGGCAGTTGTTCGGTGCGGCGCGGAGAAGAACGGGTGGGGCAGTAGAAGAAGACGACGACGACGATGATCAAGAGATGTTGGGAGAAAGTCCCGTCAAGCACGATGCGACCAAGGGGAAATCGTTCGTTCCCTTGTTCGATCACGACGAGGATGAAGAGCACGAGGGGGGTATGAAGAATCCTTTCCTTGCCTCTGGCGCGGATGGCAAGGGAAACGGCAAACGGAAAAAGAACGAGGAAAGCGAACCGGGAAAGAAGGGAGGAGCGATGGATGGGTGGTTGAGGAAGGCGGTGCATCCGACGCTGAAGGGGGTCAAGAGGACGGGGTACGAAGGAGCCGAATTGGTGCAGGAGGACGAGGATGAGGACGGCGGGGATAAGGGGGAAGGTAGTTCTGCCGGTACGAATGGTCAGAAGGGCAAGAAGAAGCCTAAACGTGCGCCGGCGGGGCCGAGGTATAAGAAAATACCTGGCGGCAAAGCTCTTCCCAAGAAGGGTTCGACGGCAATGGCGGTCGATCCCGATTCCGACGACGACGACGAAGCAGCCTCGGATCGGATCGGCAAGACGAGCAGAGTCGGTTCGATGTTGATTGTCGATTTGGACGACGAGGAACAACACAGGATTGTAATTAGGTCGACTGGGGAGGGGATAGGCGGAGCGGGGATGAGCAAGACGGAGGAGGGGGAAGAGGATGAGTTGGTGCTTGCGACGGGGTCCTTGATTTATGTGAGGGGCACACCACCACCGTCAACATCGATCCCGATCACATCGATGGGTGAAGACGCTCCGACCTGGCTCGATCAAGACCAAGCCAACGAAGCCCTACCCGAAGATTTGGCCTCGATACTCTCCCTCCGATCTTCACCCATGAAGAAGACAGCCTCCAAACGCATGTTGGCAAGGAACCGAACGGTCGATGACTTGTTGAAAGGTCCTTCAGCGGGGGTGAACAGGGTGAAGAAAGGGCTGATGGACTTGGAGGATGAGGAGGCGGATAAGGTGGTTGAGGAGGGGGCGGGGAGTGATGATGATTGGGCTTCGGATGTCGAGGGGTGGAAGGCGGTCAGCGATGGGGAGATGGATGGGTACGAGGAAGTTGAAGCGTTGGGGAGGATGTAGAGTATAGGAATCAGACTTGTTGTGCTAAAATTCTCGGGAAGCAGAATTTCCCTCTGTCTCTCTCGAGCCATGCCTCTTTCGCTCTGAGAGCAAATGGTACAACACCAATCGTTCCAAGCAACATAGAAATCAACATACGCTGAAGTCTCTCCCTAAGCCCTCCCTTCTGCAGCCCTACATAACCCCCTCCGTCGCCTCATTCGCAACTTGCAACCCATCCTCCACCAACTCCTTCGTAGGACCGTCCTCTCCACCACCAGCCCCATCCTTCATCTCCACATCCTCCACTGCGGTTTCTTCAATCTTCTGCACTTCATTCCCTTGGACGTCCTTTACTGCTTCAATAATTTGTTGATGAGCCGTAGGTTCGGAGGGAGGGGTGCCTTGGGCGGGTTTGGAAGCTGAGGGGACGGAAGGGACGGGTGGGTCGAGGGTCGTGGTGGGGGGTACGATTACGGTGGTTGTCGTGGTGGAGGTGGTGGGGGCGGGGATGGGGATGGGGATGGGTGTGTGTGCCGCTTCGACAGAGGTTTGGACGACTACGATAGGTGCAGGTGCAGGTGCAGAAGTAGCTACGGGTATGGGTATGGGGGTCGTCGCTCCTCCAGTCAGATCGATGACCGCCGAGATAGGGACCGGCGTCGGCGTCGGCGTCGGCGTCGAATTCTGTACGGTCGATGCCCCCGTCGTCTGAAGCGCACCTCTTTCACTCGTCGTGTCTTTCTCGAACTCCATCCTCGTCGAAGGGGTCGCGTCGATCACCCATTTGCAAACTGTGCGCCAGAGGATCGAAAATCAGCATTCGGGGGAAGAGGATCGCGCGACCCGGCTCCTTGTTTGGGGCCTGACTCTTGTAGTTGGGCCGTTGATGAGGTTTAAGGAAAGACGGTCGAACCCACGTCCTTTTGAAGGTCTGTGGCGTAGAGAGTGGACCCGACGAGGATGAGTATGACTGCTGCCCCCCAGGTCGGAGTGGGCATGTCTACGCACGGGCACGGCGGCCAAGATGGCTTGTTGTTCTGAGCTCAGCTTCGAGTACAGAGAGCGTTAGGTCAGCTACGAATGCTCAAAGAACGTGGATGGTTTAGAACTGACCTCACTACGAGGCACGAACGAGCCTCGATTGCGCTGTTGCCATCGGTTACCCGCCGCTGCGTTTGCTGCCTATCAGTTCCAAGAGAAGTCAGTGGATGTAAACTTTTTTGCGCGTATCGATGACTGACCATGGTGTGTACAAGAGGTGGACCACGTGATGGGTCGCAGCGCGGGATGAAGGGAGGAGGATAAGAGCGCTTCCCGCGTCGAGGCGCGTGAACGGAGCGAGTTTCGATCCCGGCCGACTCGAGCTCACAAGTTTTTGGGCAGATGCAAATCCACTTGGGGGGGAACATGTCCCGGGGGGAACAAGTCCACGTTTTTGGAAAGCAAAACAATATAACAACAAGGAACTGACCCCGAACTCGCCAACAAACCCAAAATACCCTGACCAATCGAAATCGACGAATCGACTGCAGTGTAGAACCCAGCCCCAATCGTAGAGAAAGCTGCCTCACTCCTCCGTCGGTACCACCAATTCCGGAAACACCCTCCCGACGATAAGATCAAGCACCAACACGAACAGATGCACATTCGCGACGTGCGAATCCAATGACCTCATCAAATGACGCGCCAAGGCTCTTGCTCTCGCAAGCTCATCCTCGGCCGACGAAGATTTGTCCGCCCCTATCCCGGAAAGAGGAACCAACATCCTCACCGCCACCTTGGGCAACACCCCCGCGATCGCCTCTTCGCACCCCTTCTTGATTTCCTCTTGTTGCGCCTCGTTCGGATCAGGTTCCTTGGGTGGGGAATGCCCATTCGGGAACAGAGCTTGGGTCGTCGATTCCAAGACCGTCTTGACCAGATCCCCCGTGCAGAGTTTATTGTTTATGAGATAGAAGGTTAAGGAGGTGATGAAGGAGGAGAACAGGGAGAGGAGGAGGGAGAGGTAATGCGTCACTTGGGCGAGGAGGGGTGAGGAGGGTAAGAGGACGAGGAGAAATGAGATCCAGGGTGAGGCCAGAGGGGGTTGATGACGGTAGTGTGGTGGGACAGGGGATGATATGGTGGTATGGTAGAGTGTCGAGAGGGAAGCCGAAAGTGCTCGGAAGACGGGTGGAATCGAGGAGATTGTCGCGAGGATGCGATCGGGGAGCGACGGGGTCGTGCTCGGTGATTTGTCCGGAACGCCCGTGGCGACGCGTGACGATTTCTGAGCCACGATGATCTTGGTGATGGCCGAATAAACGAACCATGGTTGTGCAACCCGATTGAATACGTTGCCCAAGATGACATTCACGATGATCTCCCTCGTGATCGCTCGGTTCGTCTCGGCGCGATAATCCTCGGGAGGTAAAAGCAACCTCAACAGATGATCGACGAGCGCTCGGAGATAAGTCGGATCGACCTGGACTTGGGTCATACCTTTCCCTGCCCCCGATGTTGTTTGCAAAGTGACAGCGATGTGCGGTTGCAAGAGGTGGAAAACGTTGTCGCGATCAAAATTGTGCGCATGCCCCGTGTGGGCTTTATCCATGGCTTTATCCCAATCCCTGACATGGGTCTCCAACAAGGCCGGAAGATCGACGGCAAGCAATTGGACGAAGTCGACGTGGGCTAGCCTCACTTCGAGCGCCTGAATGACATGGACGAGGATCGAGGTGACCTGTTGCACGAAGGCGCGTTCGGGGTCGCGAGAGATGGACGAGTACCACGAGAGCACGTGTTCGCGGCAGATGAGAGCGATCAAGTCGAGGATGAGAGGATCGAGTTCGGTGTGTGCTGCGGCGTGAAGGATCCGGGGTGGTCGGGGCCCATGAGGGGAAGGCGAGGGGTACAGGATGCGCTGGTGCAGAGGGACAGGGGTCGCGATCGGTCGAGGGGCGGAGGAGGACGTCGAGGCAGCGAACGCGGAACGGGTACGGATGTCGGCCGTCATACGCTGGGAAGCGAAGGTTGGCGACGTGGGACTCGTCGACATTGTGTAGACGAGCAGCTACCACCGCGGCTGTCAAAGGAACAGGTCGAGCCCTTGCAGCACTTGGTCAGCTCTGCGGAGGCATCGATCGCTGCGGGCATACACTCTGTACTCACCGGCACTGCACTCGATCCCAACGAATGCCAACTACGACCACTTGAGGAACACACACACTAATCGACCAGGGGTATTCAAATGCGCGACGACATGTACGCGATGCCTGCGTGGGCTGTGGAGCCCTATCGAGTTACGCTTGGGCTACAGGGGAAGCAAGTGACCGCCACAAGCTGCCACGATGGTGATGGACGCTAGTCTAGGGTCTTCCTCCGCGGCAGACGTTGAAAAAGCAAAGTGCTGTTTGACCGGAGGCGAAGGGAGAGGACCCAGCGCATCGCTTTACGCGGCCAGAACCGGCGCGGTCCGCTCGAGCTGCCCGCACGTGACTTGCGAAAGATCCAAAGTGGGGGAAGTGCTGCTCTGGCTCTCCCAGCGATAGCCACGGCCGCAACGCATCGTCTTGGTTCAACCCCCAGTCAAGCATTACACCAAATACTACGTTGCATCTTTCTGCCTCCCCGCAGGCCTATGCTTCACTCGCACTCGCAATCTTCGCCTTCTTGGGCTTTTTGGCCTTCTCCTCCTCAATCACGGGTGCCGGAGCTGCCTTGACCGGCTTGGGCTGCTCATTTTTGGATGCTTCCTTCTTGGATGGCTCCTTCGTCTTGGGTTGTTCCTTCTTGGGCTCGTCCCTTGCCCTCTTCTTAGCCGCCGGCTTGACCGTTTCCTCCTTCTTCAAAGCGACCTCGTCCTTGGGCACATTCTTGGCCGCGAGCGCATCGGCGTCCCTCTTGACCTTCTTCAACGCCTGCCTTTGTTGGATCTCCTCGGGCGATGGTTTGGGCTTGGGCTTGTACTTTTCCTTGTTCTTGGGTTTCTTCAACTCTTTCGCTCTTTCCAAAGGAACACGACAAACGTCAGCTTCTTGACCAACGAATGGCGTGCGCCGCGCATCAAACCGCGACTCACGTCATGGTCTTCTTGATCGCCTTCTCCTTCTTGGCGGCCCTCTTCCTCGCCCTCTTCTCCGCCTTGGCCTGCCTCAGCTTGGCATGCTTCTCCCTCTTGGCCGCCCTGATCGCCTCCCTCTTTGAGATCTCCTCTAGCTCAGCCTGAGTCTTGATCCTCGCATTCTCCTCTGCAGCTTTCGGTTTCGGTTTCGATGCAGCGGCGGCGGCTTCCTTGTCCTTTTTGGATTGTTCTGCCGGTGTCGGACCCCCGGTGAGGGTTTGGAGGGTCAGGCGTTGGATGACGAGGTTGTCGATTTGGGCCGAGATTTGGCGTGCGTCGACGGCGAGGGAGGATGCCGGGAAGTCGGGTTTGGCGATGTGTGCTTGGAAGCGCTCGAGCCTTCGCTTATGGTCCTGATAAAGCAACACAGAAGGTCAATCAGTCAATGTCATCTTTGTGATCCGGTGCCATGCGCAAATCGCCTCCATCCTCGTGCCATCGTCAAAACAGCTACAGACCTTTGAAGCCAAATGAACCTCCAACATCCTCCCCTTCTTGATCTTCTTGGTCGGGCAAATGACGCACAACATCTTGTCCTCTCCCACCTCTGCATCTGCTGCAGTGTCCCCTGCTTCCCTTGGTACAGTGACGATCGGATCCTTTCCCGCTTCTTCCGCAGTCGGGTATCCGGGCGGTGGAGGTGTAAGAGCTTCTTCTTCGGCCTCCTCGTCATCTCCACCACTACCCTCCTCATCGTCCTCGTCACTCCCCTCCTCCTCGTCCTCGTCCTCCTCCTCAGATCCCTCATCCGATCCCGATCCCGATCCCGATCCTGATCCTGATCCTTGCGACGAGACGTCTTGCTCCAAATCATCCTCCGACTCGGATTCATCCGACATGACGGCCTCCTTGTTCGAAGCCGCCAATTTGCGCGCTTTCGCAACGTGTTTGTACATCGCTTCAGTAGAGTTGTGGGGGGTTGGTGCTTGTGCGTTGTGTGTGTGAGAGTGGGCAAGGGAAGCCGAGAGTCATCGCGCGCGACGGCGAGGCTGCGAAGCGTTTCGCTCCGGCGAGCTGGTCCGAGCGGCACAATTGACTCCCAATACGGAATTTCTCTGATTACAAATGCCAATAGTGGCCACTGACATGCGTAAAATCAATCAATGCGAGTTTTCTGTACAGGCTTCAACGTCTTCCGTGTCTGAAGTATACTTGCTTGTTGTGCCCAGAGATCGGTTCGAGTCTTCTGGTATCCACCCTCGGACATTGGACTTAGTAGCCAGTGCGAAATCGTTGGTCTCCGACCCGGCCTCAGGAGGCCCTGCTAGCCTGATCAGCCTGAAAGACTCCTCAGACTTCCACTGCCAGTGCGGTCTGCAGTGACACCGCATGAACCAGCATCTCGTAAGTGATAGAGCCCAAAGTCAGCAGCCCGCGTTGAATTTTCATGTATGATTATGTCGAGAATATGTTTCAACAGGGCGAGTGCCGCTGAGATCGTTTTTACCTGCTTATTGGGTAAGCAGACTCGGAGAAGCCTTTGCTCGTCGTGGCGACGAACCGGCTCTTGCTCTGGCCATCGCTTAACTTGATGCCACACTTGTTCCGCATTCCATGGGCGTCCAGGGTCTGACGACCTGGGTCGACCAGCATACGACCCTATGCGAATACCACGAACTGTCATCCGATGGTGCTGCCAGCGTCCGGTCTGGCGATGCCGCGATCCCGTTCATCATCGACGGACTTGCTTTCCTGTCATACCTCTTCCGCCTTAACAACCTCGCCATCGTCGATCCTATCCGAGGCGGAAACTACCTCGAGCTGCGACGCCTTCTTCGGGAATGCATCGAATACTACCGCGCCGTGGGGCTTGAACCCGAGATCGTCTGGGACGGTAAGAAGCCCCCTATGCCGACCAGCGCTGTGAGCTCGTGAGCTAAAGATGGTTAGTGCATCTCCGTTTTGCTCGCAGGACCTTACGGTATCAGCAAGACGGAAACGATCCTCAGCCGGGGAAGACAAGCGATCCGCACCTCGCACGACTTCATGCGCTCCAGCGACGACCAGCGAGCTCATTTGCACGTGATCTCTAGAGCGGCTAGACTGCCCCTGCTCGCTAGGTCGGCGTGCACCTACGAACTGCATCAGCTTCACGTCAAGATGCATTCGGCTCAGGCTGAAGCTGATTCTCCGACGGCTGAGTTGGCTCAACGCAGCAATGGCTATGCTGTCTCGCAAGGTGGGCCCCCACCTCCGGCTTGGGCTGAGAGCATGCGAGGCTGATCTTGGTCCGTCCGCTTGCAGACAGCGATTACTTCATTCTCCCTGCCATCTCGAGGGGCTATGTACCGCTGGACCGAATCGGATACGGCCCCGGACGCATGGTACGACCCGGGATGCTTCGCCCTGGCTCGAGAGCCGTGCTACGTATAGGGGTCTATCAACCGGCGCGCGTCGCACAAATGTTGGGGATCCCCCTTGAACGTCTACCTGTGTTTGCTGCCCTGGCGGGGAACGATCTAGCGGATCTCACCAAGACTTTCCACTCAACGTCGAGTCAGAGAAAACGCTCGAGGTCACGTCCTTTGCGCAAAATGGACATTGACAAAGTGGCGAACATCATCGCATCGATCGAATCCACCTGCACTCTCGAAGAGACCCTGCAGATCGCACTCGCCAAGCTTCTGGGCAAATTCCAACCTTCAACGACGATGCTTGAAGAGCTTGCTGCTTCGGCTCGGTCCTACGAACTCGTGTCGATCGAGACCATCATTCCGGGGTTCCCTCTACAACCGCGCATCTCCGACAGCCCCGAACAAGCCCAATGTCGACGGCTGTACTTTGATGAGATCTTTGCTCGGGGTGACTCGGCCAATTTCATCTACCAAGCAACGCAAGCGCAACTCGTGGTGTCCAAGATCACGGTTGAACGGCCCGAGTTTCGTTCGCCCTGCTTGACACTGGGTCGTCCCTTGCGATCCCTCATCTATGCCGTACTCGACGATGCAATTGGTATCGGCGCTCTGGCCATTACCGAGTACTGTCGAAGGGAGAATGATTTACATGCGACCCTCGTCCCCGTTCGCACCGTCGCGAATTGCTCAAAGTCGCCGATCCCTACCCCACTATTGCTCGCCCCAATCGGCGAGCGTCTACGCTTCCTGGTCGGCGCATTCGATTTCACGATACCCTCATCGACGACCAAGGATGAAATATTCCGTTACCTTCCGCTCTTACTTGCTCTTCGACACATTCAATCCCACGCTCGAGTTCCTTGGTCCCGGTCAATGCTCATTTCTGCCCTCGCGACAGCCGTTACCCTCTCTTCTCCAGACCGGTACCACCAACTCAAAGTCGGGACTCAACTCCCTCGAGCGGCCAATATCGAACACATTCAATCCTCCGTCGAACTCGTCCAGACGTTGCACTACCTACAAATCCTGCTCGAGGCGTTATTGCTTGCCCAGGAATTGACCCCTTGTCATCTCCTATTCGATGGCGGCGTTTTGCATGCTTTTTTGGCAGAGGGGGACGAGGTCGAGAAGCTTTTGGGCCAATTATTGGGAGAACAGGTATTGAAAGAGGTTGGTGGGTTGGTGGAACTGGTGGAACTGGTGGAACTGGTGGAACTGGTGGAACTGGTGGAACTGGTGGAACTGGTGGAACTGGTGGAACAATGAGCAGGCTTTGTGAACGACCCCCTGTCCGTAGATCCGAGGGCCACGAACGCCAAAAACTCGCACGGCCAAGGCGTCGTACTGCCGGTTCGATTTGAACTGCCCGGTCGAACTGCCGACCGGGCATAGGCGGCCATGTGGACGTAAAGGCGACACCGTGCGAATCCCGATCCGCGACACCTAGCCGTTCAGGTGAAGTGGACGTTCAAAGTTCGAGGCGTCAGAGACGGACATCGTCGCAATATCACTCGACTGCCAACCCGGCAAATTCGCCTGCGCCTCGTTCACCCCTGATGGCCCTGCATGTGAAGGAAATCCTCTTCCTTATCAGCATCGATTCTACTCTCTGTTCCTCCGATACCACCACCTCCGAGCTCATAACATCGATCATGGGCGTTCACGGTCTCACCTCCTTTGTCAACAAGCACCAGCCTCGTCTAAGCAAGACGCACGTTCTCACCTCTCCAACCGCGAAAGAAACTCCGACGGCTTTCATCATCGATGGGCTCGCTTTCACCGCTTACATTCTCCACAGCTCGGTCGGGTTGGTCACCCTCGATGGAGCTCGGGGAGGCAACTACACTGCTATCCGTCGATATGTCAAGAGGATCATCGAGTACATCCGAGCCGTCGGTCTGGAGCCAGAGTTCGTCTGGGATGGTGAGTGCGGTCGGATCAACGGGCTATCGGAGGCGACCGATCGTTTTCTGATCCAATTTCGCCTTCGACAGGAGCCCATGGCGTTTCCAAGCTTTCCACCATCAAACAGCGCACCGAGCAAAAGATTGCCGCCGTTCGCGAATTCATGTCCTTCAACGACGACATCCGCGGGCAGGCCGACTTGATCTCGAACGCTACCGGCAGTCCCCTCCTCACTCGTTCGACTTTCATCTACGTCTTGAACGAGATGAAGGTCAAGATTCACTTTGCCTCCGGAGAAGCGGATTCTCCTACGGCGGAGATGGCGCAACGTCGCAATGGTTACGCCGTCTCGAATGACAGCGACTTTTTCATCTTTCCGGCAGAATATAGAGGTGAGCGCCCCCAGTCTTTCTCAGGGCGAAAGATCCGATTTAATCGTCGACTCGATTTTGCTCTTTGTCAGGCTACGTGCCCGTCGATTCGATTCGCTTTGGTCACAACCGCTCTCCACTGCTCGAACCAGCGCACTCGACGACGAGCCCCCGACTCGAATTCGAGGTGTTCCAGCCCGCACGCATCGCCGCAAGTCTGAATCTATCCCTCCACCGTCTACCCCTTCTCGCTGCATTAGCTGGTAACGATCTAGCCGACTATTACAAGCACTTCAAATTCGCCAGTCCTCCGACGCACTACGGCAGGGTTTGGGTCGATCATCGTGCCATCGCCTCGCGTCTTGGTTGCGTCCGGTTCACTACTTCTTCGCACGAGTCCGCTCTGCGTCAAGTGTTGCCATCGATGATGATGACCACCCTCGGCACCAAGATGCTGCTGGAGAAGATCATATCCGACTTGACGACTTCTGCGGCCGGGTACACCTTGCAACCCGTCGAGGATCTTGGACCGGATTTTCTTTTATCGCCTCGTTCTTCGGACACGGCCAACCAAGCCGCGTGTCGCAAGCTCTACCGCGAAAAGGCATTGGGCACGGGTAATCTTACTACCCTCACCCTCCAAGCGATGCAGACCGGTATCGCCGTCCCCAACAACCTCCTCGAGGAGCCCAAGTTGCCTTCGACGGCAGTGATGATGGGTCGTCCGCTGCGCAAAATGATCTACGCCGTGCTCGACGACGCGATCGGTCTGGGTCGCTCGTCGATCGAAGAGTACTGTCGCCAGGGCAGTTATCTCCAGTCTGTTCGTATCGATATCTCGCGACTTGGTAGTCTCGTCGACGACTTTGAGTCCTCGTGGTCGTCACCCATCATTCTGGCCCCCGAGCACGAGCGTGTGCGCTTCCTCTGCGCTCTTCTGCGCTACGAGGGTACGATCCCTCTTCAATCGAACCGAGCTTGGCCTTACTTCTCCCTCGTCCTAGCCCTGCGTCACCTCCAACGACACGCTACCACGAAATGGAGCAAAGCCACCCTCATCGCGGCCATCGCAACAGCCGTGATCGTCAAACTTCAACCGACCTACGATCGCATCTCGGAGCGAATCAAACTCCCCGCCGCCGCACCCCTGAATCACCTCCATCGATCAGCCGAACTTCTTCAAACTTCTCACGCGCTGCAAAGTTTGATGGAGGTGTTATTGTTGTGCGATCGCATGGTGCCGCTGCATATCACGTTCGATGGGTCGATGGTACATCGTCTGTGGTCTTTGGGCGACGGAGTGATGGAGACGTTGGGGGAGTATCTGACGGAGAGTCAACTGGACTTGGTGGAGGAGTTGATGGGGATGGTCGAGGAGGAGTGAGATTGTGTTTTCATTCAGGCTTGGAAGTCTTAGGAGGGGGAGCTTGATGCGAGTCGGCCGGCGTGTTGGGAAACTTTTCTACTTGGCGGAAATTTCGCTATAGTGAAGCGGATATGACAAACAGATGAATTGCAAATTATCGTTGGAAAGACTCTTCAGTTCTACAAGCTAAAGCACTCTTTTTCACTCGGTGTCAAAGAAGAGCAGCGAACGGATCTCGATCGACTCGCGCAGCTCGACGCCTTCCTTGCCGAAGTAGCGCTCGTCCTTGAACGCCGTGTGAGGCGTCATCGGACCTCCCGATTCGTCGTTCGTCCAGCATTGGAGCATGACGGCTGTAATTGCATGACAGAGGATATGTCAGTTGACCTGAGCTGCAGCCGGAGTGGTTCTGTACCGCGCTAAGGTGGCTCACCTTCATCGGGTTGCATTTCAGAGAGGTAGTAGAAGCGATGGTTCGGGTTGAGCTGGACTTGGTAAGTCTCGCCTTCAGGGGTCGGTGGCTTGTACAAGAGACGAGACTTGACGAGATCGTCTCTTGAGAGTGTCCTCGCATCCGCGTAAGCGAGAGGCATGTCGTATCTGTAGGCAACAATTGGTTGGAGGGTGAGTTTTTCGACCTCTCCCATCATCTGATCTCGCCAACCCGTTTTGCTACTTACACAGTCTTGAACGGTCGCCACAAGTTGACGAGCTTGGCCTTTCCCCGAAGTAGTCGTTCGCCCTCCTCTTTGGACTCGGCATGTCGAAGGACTCGACGAGCACCGGATTGTTCGGTCTGATCGACGTGGACCAAAGGTACGGGTTTGCGATTCGTCGGTTCGTCGGGGGTTTCTTCGCCTTCTCGTTCGGCTCGTCGGACGGTGTGGTCGAAGATGATGACTTTGCTTGCCCCCGTCACCTTCTTGAGCAGGCTAAGTAGGACGAACCCAAATACCTTATTAGTATGCGAAAGTTCGCTCGACTCGGAGGAAATGACATCATGGAGACCTACCGCTCAACCTCGGGATAATAAACCTCGGTAATCTTGCCCTCATCCTGCCAATCCTCGTACTTCATCTTGGTCCTCCTCTCCTCGATATCAGGAACGATTTGGAACCCCGTGACATCGATCGCGGTTTGGGCCGGGTCTACGCCTCGCAAGTCGTAGATGGGGAATTGCACTTGCTTGGGCGTGACGTTCGATTGGCGACTCTTGCCTCCTGGGGCAGGGTATTGGGTGGTCCATGGGACCTCTGCAAAGTCAGAAATTGGTATCAGTCATGATCCAGAGTGCGTAAAGACGTCAGAGCCGTGACTGACCTCCATTGGGTGGCGGTTGGAAGTAGGACAGGTCGGCGTAGATGTGGGGAGCCGAGTCCGGCAAGAGTTGAGGAAGCAGAGTGGCGGTCATGGTTGGGGTGGGATGAGACTTGAGACTGGTGTGATGAGCGGTGTGATGAGATGAGAGAAGAAGGATGAACGAGAGAGTTGAGATGCAAGTCGTTCAGCGAAAGAGCAGCTCTTACCTGCTCTTACTCAGCCGGCCGGTTTCTCGGTTCCTCGGCGCCCATGACGTGCTTCTTAGTCAGCTGACCAATCGCGCTGGGTCCACCTTGAACGGCGACAGTTTTTAAGCATGCCAGAACCATGACGATACCTATAAGCAATCCAGTCTAGTGATAAAGCAGTCACTGTCGAGTCTGCGTCGAGTCGTTTCACGATTTCACGAGATGTATCTACCCTTTTTGCGAGGAAACCCGCGGCGTTTGTTCGACTTTCTTCAGGAGGCTGCGTCGGGTCACATCCCTCGATCGGCCAATCGAGGCGAATTTGGTCCAGCCGGTTGTCAATTCCGAGATCACCGTCTCGCAATTGATAACAAATTGACATCTCGATCGGGAAGAGCTCCTCGTCCAGGATTCAAGCGCCCGGCGATTGTGGCTCGATGAAAAATAGGGGCTACTCCTCCTCTCTTCGGAGCGTCCCGGCACTCCATTGTTGTCTGGTAGTTTTCAATGTAGACACCGCAGAAATTCACAGGCCACTTACTGCAAGTCCTGTTCACTTGTTGAGGAGCTGACGTCAAGTTGGCCGGTCGATCGGAGAGCGCGGCCCGACCCCATCGACTTGATTCGAGACCCCACACTTCGCAGACCTCTCCACGGCTCCGTCAACGCACCTCCTCCACCCAACATGTCTTCCCCACCTCTCCCACAAATCAAAGGTATCCTCTTCGACATGGACGGGCTCTTGATCGATTCCGAACGTATCTACACCCAAGTCTCGAACCAAGTCCTCGCTCCGTACGGTAAAGAACTGACCTGGGAGATCAAAGCTGGGATCATGGGACGGCCCGCTTTGGACGCAGCGACCTATCTCGTCAAAGCGACGGGGATGGAGCTGGAACCGCAAGTCTTGTTGGAGTTGATGGATGCCAAGGTGCAGGAGGCGTTTGCAAAGGTACAACCTTTGCCGGGGGCGGTCAAGTTGGTCAGTTGAGGTGACTGCGAATTGGCGTCCTGAATTGAGTGGTGATGAAGGAGCTGATTCGTGCGCTCGTCAACCTGGCAGGTGCAACATCTTGAAAAGCACGGTATTCCCATCGCTGCAAGTCACTACGCCCTGCATCTTCCTCCCCGTTCCGTGAATGTCCACTCAAACCCCACTCTCACCCGTCCCAGATCGCAACCGGATCCAAAGCCAAAAACATGGCCATCAAGTCGACTCATCTCCCCCACCTCTTCGAACCTTTCCGAACAAGAATCATGGTGGGCGATGATCCTTGCTTGCAAGGTACGTCATATCCTCCCTCTCCGAGATCGTTCCGAAAAAACCTGATCTGATCTTCCGCCCGCATCCCCCATCAGGGAAAGGCAAACCCGACCCTACCATCTTTATCGAGGCCGCGAAGCGACATTTGGGCTTTGATTGCGACGAGTCCAGATCCAGAGTGTTGGTATTCGAAGATGGACCACCGGGGGTCAGAGCAGCGAAATCTGCTGGGATGCCAGGTCAGTTCCAGAGTTTGACGAACAAAGTGCTCTACGAACTTTCGGGGTGGGTAGAACTTGATCTTTCCCTTTTTTCTTTGACCTGGCAGTGGTCTGGGTCCCCGATCCGCAATTACTCAAAACGATGGGTGATCACGACCTAGACCCGACGCAGATCCTCAACTCGTTGGTAGATTTCGTCCCTGAAGAATGGGGGTTACCTCCTTATTGAATAAGCTACATCTTGGCCTTCTTGCAATCTTATCCTTATCCCTCGAGCCTCCCTGGAGAAGTATTGCTTGGAAAGTAAAAGATGGTGGTGGTGGTATTACATCAGAATGGAAAGAAAAAAGGAGTGAACGGTTCAGCGAATTTTGTTTTTACAGAAGCGTCGATGTAAGGCGTCTAGTACGGGTCGTCGTCATCCGACATGAACTCGTCGTCAAAGTCCTGTAAGTAGGTCGAAGCAAGGAAGATGGGTTAAGCTGGGCTCGTCAGGTTGGGGTCTCAGGCATTGGATTGACTACTCACGTCCAATGCCTCGGCGATGACTGTAAAGTCGACCTTGTATCGGAGCAAACCACTACAGAAAGGAGAGTGTGGAGTGAGCTTTTATGTGAAGAAAATTTACCGTAAAGGGAGCATGGTGGCTGACCCGATCCCACCGAAACCCTTGACGAACTGCGATCCTTCCTGACTACGGCTGTGGGGTGAGACGAGAAAACAACAGCAGCATCAGCGAGACAGTCCTGCACTCGGTGGACCCATAACCGTTCCCGACTGACTTGGTAACGAATTCCAACTCGCAACCAAACGTCTTGTAGTTATCCGACAACCATTCCAACAGCGGCATCGGTTCCTGCGCCTGCTCCATCTCCAACCCCGTAACTTTATCGATAAACTTGGCCCGATCGACCTCGGAAAGCGCATTGATCCCCGTAGCAGACATTTGATTGTCGATCTTGGCGTTGGATGCGGTAGGTGGTGGAGCGGCGGTATGAACGACGAGGCTGGCCCCCGTCGATTCGCGGAGAACGTGGCGTGTGACGTCGAGGTTCTCCCATACGATCAGGGTTTCGACGGCACCCATTTCTAAACCGCGCAAGGTGTCTTCGACACCGAAGCAGTATTTGCCCGTGTCGAGTGAGATCTCGTCAAAGTATTTTTGGATGAGTCTGTGAGAGTCGGAGGGTTCGGGTAAGCACTGGGCCGCCAGATCAGGTTGGTGGGGTGGGGTGAACTGACTTCTTCTCCTGAACGAATTTGACATTGCTCAACGACTCTGCTGCGAGCTCGATCGCCTGGTTGAAACCGTTCTCCCCACCGTACGACACATCAACGACCTTGATGACCTTTGCGACCAAACGTTGATCAAACATATCGGACTGGTTCAACTCGGTCTTGAAATCTGCCGAACCAGCAAGGACGAGGCCCTGGACGTTGACCTTGTCGTCGGTGATGAAATGCTGCACGGCCAATTCGGCGACCTTGCGCACGTAATTGTGTCGCTTCTCCATACGCAGACGCGCGAAACGCAACGCCGACTGTCCACCACGTCCGTGCTTCTTGGGGAGGTCGACGGAGAATTTGTGGATGACTTCGCGCGTGTTGCCGGCGAGGGTGCCGAAGAGGGCGCCGTTTCCGTCCATGATGATGAAGCCGAACTTGGCGTCGGATTCGAGCAGTTCGGCGAGGGCGTCGGTGTGGAACTTGTTGTCGCACAGGTACAGGGAGGTGTTGATCGGTTTGAACGCTGTGGGTGGTTGGGTCCATGGACAGGAGAGCGACATGTGCCAGGTGTCGGTCAATGCTGGGTTTTCCCCCTTCCCTAGCCGACCATCGGACTCACGCTCAAAGTCAAAGTTGACCTTCTTCTCCTTGCCTTCGTCGGTGAGGATCGTGCCGCAGTAGACGATGAGGCCGTTCGGGGGCACCTTGTTGTAGAGCTTGAGTCGCTGCTGGGTCGAGGTGATGGCCGCGAGCACGGACAGTCGGTTCACACGCGACTTGATGTTGGAAGCTGTGCACGGAGTACGGGGGGTGAGTGTGATTGGCAAATGCGTTACACCCCCCTACGGCCGGTTGCAAACTGACCTGTTCCATATTCCTGGGTGAGCATACCCGAGATCTGGGAGATCTGAGCTCTGTTTGGTTCGCATTCGCACGAAGAGGTCCGTCTCAGTCGTCTGCTGCGCCCCACCCTAGACGAACCCTGGCGCGACTTACTTTGGTGGGATGATGAGCGAGATCATGGACGTTCCTGTGACGATCCAAGGGGTCGAGTGTCAGCGTCAAGGGTCGTGTCGTGTGAGCGAATGCCGCGCACGGCCTCATCGCGGAACCGACGGAGCAGATGGACATCACTTGCCGGCTCCTCGGGCGGCCTGCAGACTTTGTACTGTGTACGAATGGACATCGATCAAAGATAAAGGTCAGCACCTGATCGTTCGTGGGGTGTGTCGGCCGAGACGAGCTCGATACATGCAGCGACGACCGTTTTTATGGCGGCCACAGCGCTCGCACGAGCTCGTTCGCACTACGACAACCGCGTACAACTGACCGAGCTTCTTGACCTTCCACACGGCAATGTTCTGCTCGGCCATATCCGCCGCGCTCGACATGATGGGCGAAAAATAGGTGCAGGTAAGGCAGTGAGCGGCAGCCGGGTGAGACTATAAAGCGCTGAGCGCTGAGCGGGCGACCGGGCGCGCCAACTGCGAAGCCGAGTCCACGACGGCACACTGACGGCACACTGACGGCACCCGCCAGACGGCACCGCCGCAAGAAAGGGGGCACGACTTCAAGTTGGGCACCAGTCCGGCCACTGCACACTGGTGTCTGATGACGAGCACGAATTTCCAGAAAAACTTAAGGCCTGACGAGCACGAAATTCCAGAATAAAAGGTCTGACTCGAACTGCTATTCGAGGAGCAGGACAAATGATGCAAAGTCCCTACACGGATTCGGTACGCCGGTTCAACTTGAACTGCAGTGCCGGGAAGGCGTTGAGCGCTGAGCGACAGGGACCGGACTCTGGCTCGACTCTCGGCCGTCTCGGCCGTCTCGCTGTGCACGCCACCGTCCCCAGCGGCGTTCAACACGATGATGCGGTTGCAAGTATCGCTTTCCATTCATCCGCGATAAAGAACCCGAACCCGAACCCGACCTGACCTGACCCCTCTCACACTGCAGGACCAGCCACCTGCTCCTGCCACCGGACCATCCCCACGCGGCTCATTCGACCGCGCTGACCACTACGGCGTCGCACCCACAACTACGCGACCTCGTCGTCTGTCCACCCGAGGACCCAGACGCGGTCGTCGTGGTGTGCTACGACCGAATCGTGCGACATTCCCTCTTGCACAATGTCAGTGTTGCTGCCTGATGGGTCCCCCGTCGGCGCTCATCGTCGCTCGTTCGCGCGCGTCACGTGGCCCCGCCCCCACACTTGCATCACGTCACCCTGCGCCAACGCTCGCCATCGTGATCTGGGGAACGGCACCCGTGAACTGAACTTGGCTTGTCCCCATCCCACCCAGGTTGATCCGATCGTGACCAAACTCAATTTCTGCCCTTCGACGTTGGCCTATGGCTGTGGCTTGATCGCCGTCGGCGGCCAACTGTCCGAACTCGCGCTCAGGTCCGCCCATCCCGACGCGACCTGGTCAGTACCCAGGGTGCGCAGCCACGCCATCCCTTGCGATTTCTCACTCTGGAAACCCCTCTTTCCCAGGTCACATCAAATCACCGACTCGTCCGCTGGCTCGATCAACAACTCGATCTTCATCGGACCCAGTCCGCTCCTTCCCGATCGACCGCGTCTGCTCGTCAGCAACAATGACGCCTCCATCAAGATCTATGACGTCGCCGGCGAGGTACCCGATTACAGAGCGGGAGTTAGAAGACGAAAGCGCACCCGGCGGCAGCTGCATCTCGGTGGCTCCTCGGAACGATCCATGACCCTGACTCCGGTCGGACGGGCCGAGTGGGGGGGCCGAGTCGATGCGACCATGTCCGATTCTTCGACATCCCACACTCCGATCAGATCTTCATGGCTCGATCAGAGCACGAACAGGGCCGAGGAATTATCCAACAACTCGGCTTCGAACGAATCCATAGAGGAGCATGGCACATACGATACTGGGGGTACTTGCCGCCTCGTTCCCCTGGGCCACTCTCACGATCTCCACTTTGACACGGCCATCAACCACACTTCGGTCTCCCCCGATGGTCGTCGACTCGTCGCCGTCGGCGACACGAACGAAGTTTTCCTCTACGACGTCTCCCTTTTGGGTGAATACACCTTTGTGCACTCGTTCGAAGCCTCCGAGGACGCGTCGTTCTCGAGCGACTGGTCCCAAACGGGGGACAAGTTCGCCGTCGCAAGTCAAGATGGTTACGTCCACGTCTACGACGTACGCTACATGCCCAGATCAGGAACCGGTCCTTCCGAATCCCCACCCAGGAAATTAGCGACGATCAAATCGACCCAAACGGGGCCTCCGGGAGCGGTTCGCAAGGTCAAGTTCAGTCCTGGGAATCGCGTCGATGGGGAATTGCTCGCGTTTACGGAACACCGTTCAAAGGTCCATATCGTCGATGCGAGGACATGGGATCAATCTCAGATCGTTGAGGTATTGCCTCCAAGGAATCCGGATGGGGTTTATTCGTTGGGACAAGAGGTGCCGTTGCCCCCTCCTTCGAGAAGACCCGTGCAGGACGAGGGCCAGGCGAATGGGAATGCGAATGCGAATGCGATGGCATCGACGAGTTATGGGACCCAGGACGTCGCGTACAGGAGGTTGCTTCAGGGTGCGACGGGCCTTTTTTCTCGGGAGGCGATAGAAGTGAGCCAACGATTGCGTGAACGGAGCATGGCTGATAATGCGGAGCAAGAAGGCACGACGGCGACGATCATGCATTCGCGACGGAGGCCGGGCCAAGGAAGGGGGATGTATGAAGATGATGATGAAGAGGAGGGAGACGAAGATGAAGAAGACGATGAAGATGAAGAAGGGGAGGAAGAGGAATGCCCACCCGATACATCAACGATCTTCATCCGGTCCTCTGCACCCGCGAACGTCGCTCCGACCCTCTTGAATCGTTTCCTCCCTGATCCTCGACAACCATCTTCAACGCAAACCTTTGGTTCCGCCCCGCCCCTCCCCCTTCCCCGACCACCAACAATCACAGCAGCCCGTTCCCCACCCCCAGGCTGGCGTCCAGGTCTATCAGGCTACACGCCCCTATCGAGCTACTCGACCTTCATCTCCCCCGGTCGAGCAGGTTCAAGAAGGACGGGCTATCAACCTACTTCCCAGTACTTCCCTACGGATAGTACGCCGATGGATTTGTTGGGCTTGGATTGGGATGAAGAAGGGGGGAGGTTGGTGGTGGCTACTGAAGGGAGGGTTTGGGAATGGAATGTGGATCGGAGGGAGAGGAGGTGTTTTGGCGGGGTGGAGTGGAGATGAGGGGCTTTTGGTGGGAGTTCGACTTATGGATGGGGATGGTTGTGAAAGGGCGCGCGTGTGTGTATGATCAAGATTTGTTTTTGTACTTCATTGCAGCGGATCTTAACATCGTCTCGTTTCTTTTTTTGATCGCTAGCATGCTATTGTCGTGATTAACCGTGCAATCTCAAATGTCTGCATTACAGATCTCGTCATCATTCAGAGAAGGATACGTTAGTGGGAAGCAGTGGTACACGTGTGTCTATGTGCGGCTAGGTGTACACTGCAGGCTTTGGTTTCAGGCCTTAGAACTCCGTCACGGTGAGCAACGCGATTCGGCCATCTTGAGCGATGCCATGATTGACTCCTGCACGAACGGAGAACCAGATCAGTACAGAGATCGGCCGACCACCCCTTCGTGACACAACCTCACCCTCGCTCCCCGGCTCTAGCAACCCCTCTATCCACTCGACTTCGGCGGTCCAAGTCCGTCTCCTATACCTCGTCCCAGCGATCGCTTTAGCGACGATCAAATCCCTCCCGATGTTGTACCCATCGGGGATGATTTTGTGGCGGCCTCGGATGTCCTGTGGTACGTGGATGAATCAACTACGCCCCAATTGAAGGAAGTTGAAAGCCGAAAGGTGTGAGCTAGGATAGACGTACCATTTCTTTTGAAGCGGAGAGGAACCAAGCACCTGAGTTGGCCTGGGTGCCATTTTGTTTCCATGCTCGAAAGTGATTACCACCTGAACGACACAGTCGCAATTGTTGTCTGAGAATGTTACCTGCACCTTACCGTGCTGGGGGAAAAACTGACCGACGACTGATTCGACGCAGGATCCGACAAAGGGCCAGTCGCTTTGCCTCAGCACGAAAAGCTCGGGTTGAAAACCTGTCGTCGTCCTCGATCCATGATCAGCATCCTCCGCCTGTGCCCAAACCGAGTTCTTGGATGAGTTACTCACCTCCCCCATCGCCCAGATCAGCATACTGTGCACCCCCACCATGCATATCGAGGCATTCCTTCCACAACCCGAGGGATTTGGAATAGGCGATCAAGCCGGATTCTCGTAGCACGTCGGGCGATGATCGGGCGGATATGATGATGTTCAAGGGTTCGCCGTTCCAGTCATTGACTCGCTGAACAAAGATGGGTCAGGCGTAAGACGTCAAAGTGCAAAGATGAATGGGGTCCCGCGGTCACGTGCGAGGTTTCCTCCCCGGAAATCGAGCCTTTGGCTGTGCAGGCGATAGGTAGGGGCGGCAGCTCCGAGTCACGGTGGAGACTCGGGCAGCGCTGTGCCTCCTCTTGAACTCACATTCAGCAGTCTCCCCCCTCGTCTTCTAGGATCGTAGAAATCTTGGTCATCGTACGCGACTCGTGGTGCGTGATCGGCTTCGGCAGAGGAGGGCGTGGGCAGAGTTGTCAAGGCAGTACGGTCGACGGTCGATTCAAGCGATCGGTCAAGTGGGGCGGTGGAGACTCGATCGGCGAACGGTGCGGAGAGGGCTAGGCTCGGCGAGGCGGCTTGTATCCGAAACCGAGAGTCGAACGAGCTGGTATGAGCTGTTCTGACCAGGCTCAACCAGCTGACCAAGACGGTCGAACGCATGGCGTCCCGACGATGGTGGGGGCGAAAGTCGACCCTCTTTGATAACGACCGACGGCCGTTGAGTTCGGCGTGCTCGAGTCGGCGCTCATCGAAAATCGACATATTTTAGGTAACATTCGGCTTGGTTCCTTTCCGATCAACAACAACATGATCCAGTTCCTACATTCAAGTCCTCGGATTAACCGGGCAAGCTGGTCTCATTCCTCGAGTACCATGACCCCAAATTCGACGGCTGACAAAAAAGTCGATGACGAATGTGCCCCCTGTCAACTCTTGCGCTCCCCCCACCTCACCGGCCTCACCGGCCTCACCGTCGGCCGACGCGACTGAGCGACCCATTCACGATGGCGCCTCCCACCCCCGCCCTCTCAAATCTAGTCCACACTCTTTCGGGCCATAAAGGACCCGTCAATTCGGCGGTGTACAACTCGGGCGCCTCGTACGTGCTCACCGCTGGCCAGGATCGCACGATCAAGTTGTGGAACCCAGTCAAGGGGACACTGGTCAAGACTTATGCGGGGCATGGCTATGAGGTGTTGGGCTTGGATTGGTGAGCAATCGTCTCAAGTATGGGCTGTACCCGCTCAGTCCATCTCATCGGATGCTTTAATTTTCCCCCACTCCTCGACTCGTTGCGAAACCCGTGCTCCCCCTCTCCTCCCGTGAGAACGACAGCACACATGACAACTCCCGCTTCGCCTCTTGTGGAGGAGATCGAAGTGTTTTCGTCTGGGACGTCGCATCCGGTGAGCTGATCCGGCGCTTGTCGGGCCATATGGCCAAAGTCAATGCCGTCGCTTTCAATCAGGATGCTTCCATTTTGGCGAGTGGTACGTTACTACAACGCGTTAGCGTGCATCCCACGCATCTCATTATCTCGGCTTGTCGAAGCTGAAACGCGCGTACGACGTACAGGCTCGTTCGATTCGACGGTTAGGTTGTGGGACATCAAGTACGTCGGGTCTCTTGTTGAACTGCTGCTGCTCGATCGGAGCCGCTCTAAGCTGACACTCGGCCATCACGACAGGTCGCAGAATCGGATACCTCTACAAGTCCTCGAAGACGCGAGAGATAGCATCACTTCGATCTGTATCCGTAACCACCTCATCAGCGTCGGATCCGTCGATGGTCATGTCCGAACCTACGACTTGAGGATGGGCGAACTCCGAGCCGATTATTTCGATCGTAGGTTCCCACAACTGAACAAGTCATGACGACCTTCCGTTCTTGATCTGCCCAACTGACGGAGGTACCCCACAGACCCCGTCACCTCCATCAGCATCTCGAATGATTCGGCCATGTTGCTCGTCACTTCGCTCGATTCGACGATTAGGAACCTCGATTTGGATACGGGGGTCATGTTCACCAAGTATCAAGGGCACAAGAATGAATCCTATCGATCGCCGTCGTCGTTTGGGAAAGATGAACGCACGGTTGTGATGGGTGACGAGGAAGGGAAGGTTTATACGTGGGATGTGGAGACGGTCAGTCCGGTCTCTGTCCGAGTGGGTGGGGATTTGCACCGCACGCTGATCTCTGAGGTGACCGGGTCGGCTGATTGGACAGGGCAAGCAACTCGGCTCGGGCTTCAGAGCGCATGAAAGAGCGATCTTGTGGACTGCTCATCATCCGAAACAGGATGAGCTAGTTACAGCCTCGGCGGATGCGACCGTCAAGATTTGGGGTGGGAGAAGGGGATGAAGAAACTCTCGGGAGATGGAGATGCGTGCGCCACGCTTCTGGTCCACGCCACGCTGGGATGGACTGGATGCAATTCATCCAGGGTTACGTCGGCACTCTACGCTACGGTTCATCAAGACACCTCTTCGATGCCGAGTTGCTCGGTCGGTCGGACATAATTTCCCGAACGGATCGGCCGCACCGAACCTGTGCGAACGACCAACAACCCCTAGTCGACAACTTGAGCCTATCTTTTCCACATCGTTCAGGCTTTCCAAGCGTCAAGAATCTCGTTTTTTAAGACACGGGGACTCGGGGTCGTTGAAGAAGGCAGGTCCGGATTGTACTGCCGAGCTCGTCTGCGGTATTTCACAAAACCTGTAGATCAGAATCTGAGACGTCTCGGACGATCGGCCAAGAATGATGTAGCGCATGATTGGAATTAAAGTACTAGCACTACCTGAAGGACTCTGTCGGATGTCTAAGACTTGTTCCCTCTTTTGCGCTGCACTCGCGCCGGTAAGTTACGCGGGCCCAAGAAGGTCCGTGCGAGTAGTCCTCGTCATCGGCGCTCCCTGGCGCTTCCTCGCTCCTCTTTCTCTAGCCCTCGGATCTGACTCGGCTGCGATCTCCGGTCTCTCACTACCCTTATCGCCACCCACTCAACAATCGGACCCTGACACGTCAAGGTCTTGTCACACTCCGAGATCGATTGTGTCAGTGTTTCCCCATTCCCTGGCGCGGCCAATTGACATCCGACCGCCGTCGTCGTCGACGCGTCGCCGCTCGCTCGTCACGCGTGCCGCGTTACGCGCTGTGTGCATAACATAAGCACCAGCTGCTGCGGTCGCTCGACTCTGCCCATCATATCGTCGAAAGGTATGGTCGTATGAAGCCGTGCTCATAACAGCATTCACCTTGATCCCGTGCCACAGAACTCGCCCGGACGCGTCGATCCCATCTTCCCCCACCCTCCCCTACATCACCAGCAGCAGCACCTGCTCGAGGACTCTGCACCCATGTCAGCCAAGAAAAACAAAGCTGCAGCGACCATCACGCTCTCCTCCGATTCGGAGGACGGCACCAAGGCCACCACCCTTTCCAAGACCACGACCAAGATGGGCGCCGTGACCGCCACCTCGTCGAGCAAGCGATCGACCCCAGCCCAGAAGACGTCCGCTTCTGCCACGAAGAAGAAACGAGATGATGATGGTGATTATGCGATGGATGATGAGGAGGAGGAAGAGGAGTACAAGCCTTCGACGTCAAGTTTGAAGAAGAAGGGAACGAATGGGACCGCTACCGGGTCGTCTGCAAAGCGAAAATCCATCGTCCCGACTACCGATGAGGATAGCGATGACGACGACGATGTCAAGGGCAAGGGGAAAGCTAAAGCCAAGATCGCACCCATTCAGAAAAAAGCCAAAGTCGAGGACGACGATAACGAGGACAAGGTCGAAGCCAAACCCAAGCCCAAATGGTCGTACAAACCGAGAGCAGGGCCTTCTGCGCCAGGTGGGTCGGTCAGACTGGTGTCAGTGTCTCCAAACCTGAGGGGAGAAAGCTGAAAAGGTACAACAATCCCAGGGAGCAAGGATGTTCCCGTCGGTGCGGAGAACTGTCTCGCCGGGTTGACCTTCGTCTTTACTGGCGAATTGGATAGTCTGTCGCGCGAGCAGGGGCAGGAACTCGTCAAGCGCTACGGAGGGTGAGCGCGACTGGCTCGACACCGACTTGCCCGATGTTATCTGATCCTTCAAAGACTACCATGCAGCCGCGTGACGTCAGCACCCTCTTCCAAGACATCCTTCGTCGTCCTCGGGCAAGATGCCGGACCAAAGAAGCTCGAGATGATCAAAAAGCACAAGCTCAAGACTTTGAATGAGGACACCTTTCTCGAACTAATCGGCAAACGACCCAGTGGAGCCGCCGATCCCAAGTTCAAGGAGCAGCAAAAGAAGGAAGAGGCCAAGGTGCAGGACATGGTCAAGGAGATGAGCAAGAAGAAGGATGGGCCGTGAGTGACCAACGAGATCGCAAAAGGGTAGGCCAGAGGAGTTGATTGCTTTCGAAGATTGCGAAAACTTCACAGTGAATTACTCAACCAATTGTGGACCGTCAAGTATGCCCCAACCAAGTTGTCAGAGGTGTGCGGCAACAAATCGACGGTCGAAAAGCTGTCCAAGTGGCTCGAGGCCTGGTCAGTCTTCCGTCCCGCGAACCCGGCCTCTTAGTCCCATCGATGCTCACGCAATGTGGGCGTTCCTGCGTTCCGTACAGGCCCAAATCACTCAAATCCGACTTCAAAAAACCGGGACCGGACGCGATGGGCGTCTTCCGAGCCGTGCTTATTAGTGGACCTCCCGGCGTGGGCAAGACGACCTCAGCCCATCTCGTGGCCAAGCAGTTCGGCTACGACATCCTCGAATTGAACGCAAGTGACGTCAGGAGCAAGAAATTGTTGGAGGTAGGTGGGGCCTCACCGGATAAAAGGTTGAGAATACGATGCTAATCGTTTCAAGTTTCGAGCGCGTTCGCATTCACCTAGTCGGCTTTCAAGTCCAAGACGTCGGACACGACCATCTCAGGCTTCTTCAAGAAAGACGATGGGTTGCAACAGGTGGGTGGTGGTGGGCAATACGTGGGGATGGCGTCACCAACTGACCGCCTTGGATGCCACTTCGGTCGCCCAGGGTGATAACCTCGGCATCAACAAGAAGTCGATCATCATCATGGACGAGGTCGACGGCATGTCCGCCGGTGATCGCGGTGGTGTCGGTGCGCTCAACGCCTTGATTCGCAAGACCAAAGTCCCCATCATCGCCATCTGCAACGACAACAAGTCACCCAAGATGAAGCCGCTCGCGACGACCTGTTTCCAAATGTCGTTCCGTCGGCCGACGCCCCCCGAAATTCGTTCGAGGATCATGTCGATCGCTTTCAAAGAGCAGCTCAAAATACCCGTCAATGCAGTTGACCAGCTCATCGCGGGGTCGCAGTCGGATATTCGACAGGTCGTCAATATGCTGTCGACGTGGAAATTGAGCCAGCGGGCGACGATGGACTTTGATGATAGCAAGAAACTGTGAGTTGTGGCCTGGAGCAATGGTGCACGGGGGCCGCAATCGATACTGATGGCCCCTCGGCTCTGGTCAGTGCCAAGATGAACGAAAAGAACATGATTCAAACGCCTTGGACATTGTACGGCAAGCTCTTCTCCCCCGGCTCGTTCGCACCCAACTCGGCCATGTCGCTCAACGAGAAGCTCGAGGTCTACTTCCACGACCATTCCATCATGCCCTTGTTCGTGCAAGAGAACTATCTGCGCGGCAACTTCACTTCGGCGAGTCGGTTCTCGGGCAAAGAGCAACAGCTCAAGAAGTTGGAGCTCGTGTGCAATGCCGCGGATGCGTTGTCGGATTCGGATTTGATTGATAGGATGATCCATGGGTTAGTCACGCGACGCTGTGTTCAGTTGACTCATCATCTGACGAAGGCCGATGCAGGAGCGAACAACACTGGTCTCTAATGCCCACACACGGCATGTTCTCTTGCGTTCGTCCGGCGTTCTACTGCCATGGCGGTGGAGGCTATCCGATGTTCCCCGCGTAAGCCATCTCAACATCTTCAACTACCTCTGTTGAACTTTCCACTCACTTTACTTTCTTTACGGACTGTCACGAATAGCTGGCTCGGCAAGAACTCGGCTCAAGGCAAGATGCAACGCTTGCTGGGTGATGTTCAGATCCACATGCGACTTCGCGTCTCGGGCGATCGTCGCGAGATCCGTCAGAGCTACATCCCGACCTTGTTCCAACAAATCGTGACGCCCATACTCGAAAGGGGTGCTGTGAGTACATGTTTACCGGTCCTTTGGGCTGCAAGGTATTGCTTACTGATCTGAGGTGCATCTTCTCGACTTCTAGGAGGCGGTGCCTTCCGTCATCGAGACCTTGGACGACTATTACCTCACCAAAGAAGACTGGGATTCGATCGTCGAGCTCGGCGTAGGCGACCACGCCAGTGAACCCCTACTCAAGAAGATCCCCGCCGCTGCCAAAGCCGCCTTCACACGCAAATACAACACCAGCGACCACCCCGTACCTTTCTACAAGAATTCGGTGGGTAAACCAGCTATGAAGATCGCGAATGCTGGACCGGCGCCGGATTTGGAAGAGGCGCTTTTGGATGATGAGGAGGTGGTCGATTCGGATGAGGCTGAGCAGGGGGACGATTCGGGGTCGGAGATGGATATAACCAAAGATAAGATGATCAAGAATAAGGCGGCGGGGGCGAATAAGAAGGGGAAAGGAAGCGCCGCGACGAAGAAGAAGTAACGAACGACGAATTCTAGGTCGGCTTGTGGAATGGCGATCTCGGTTTTGTCGCTGTGCACCTTGGATCCGGAGAAGCCTCTTCACGGACTACCGAGCAGCTCACTGGATCAGGACCATACTTTGTCGAAAGTGAAGTGTTGAGAAGGGGCACACAAGGTAGAATAAACATCGATGACAAAAGAAAAAAAGAGAAAGAGAAGAAAAATACGGATCGAAAAACTACCGAACGCCCACTTTGCTTCTCAATTCCTTTCTTCAAACTCGTCCCCCTTTCCCCACTACAAATCGGTGTCAACAAAAACCAGTCCACGCACATGAAAGAAATATCTAGGGAGGGAACCTTGAGAGAAGTATTGTCAAATTGGATTTCTTGTTTTGTTTTGGTGGAGTGTCGAGGTCCTTTGGATTTTGTTTTCGAATGTCGAGCAAGGCGAAGAAGGCACCCAAAAATAGGGGTTGTTGGGGCCTCGAAATGGGGGGAAGGAGGGAAGTACAACACCGCTCTTGGGTTCGTAAAGCAAAACAAAAAGGACGTCCGACCTCGGGTTTGGTTGATCTTGAGGGACTTGTGTGGGAAGGCGAGTCGTCGAAGAAGATGCGAAGGGCCGAGGGCGGGCGCGAGGCCCGATAGATCGTCGTTCCGTCTTGAAGAGAAGCAGAATGTTGGCATGCTCTTCGTCACAAATAGAGTGAAGGCGGGGTTTTTAAGACTAGAGTATTTCGCATAAAGGGCGATGGATGGGAGACAAGTTGTGGTTTGACGTCGGTGATGACGGAGAAAGAGGAAGGAACAGAACAAGTGGGGTTTGCGATGGTTGATGATTGATGATTGACGATAGGGGCAAAGTGGTGTCACGAACAAATGTCGAGAGAAGCAGGAAACTGAAACGACAACGACGAGGAGGGTCATGCTGATTCTTGAGAGGCCGAGCGAGAGACAGAGACAGATACGTTCTTTCCGATTTACATGAAGTTTCCGCCGTTGGCACCGTAGGCTTCGCCGACGCCCATCATCGGTTGACCGGGGAAGGGAGCGAAGCCGGCTTGGCCGCCAGCAGGGAAGCTGAGCGAGCCGTTCTGCGGGTGGTGGCCCATGTGAGGCGGCGGGAGGCCAGTGCCGAACTGTGGCCCACCGAGGTAAGGCGAGCCTCGACCTTGTCCACTCGTCGGACCGGGCGTGCCGGGCGCGGGGCCACCGAACGACTCGATACCACCGGGCGACATGAGGTGCGGGGGTGCATGCATGTGGCCCATAAACGAGCCTTGGTGGGGGTGAGGTTGGAACTGTGCGTGCTGCAGGTGAGGGGGCATGCCGTGCATGGCCTGGGGGACGCCGTAAAAGTGTCCTCCATGCATGCCACCGTGTCCGCCGTGGTGTCCGCCATGGTATCCGCCTCGGCCCATGTGGTGATCGTTCGTCTCGCGTTGGATCTTGGACTGGATGCGTTTGCCGTAGGGCGTGTTGCGGATCATGGGCAAGATGGGTCGGATCGTCTCGATCAACTGCGCGCGCTGCGCGGGCTCGGCGTAATCGAGTGCGGTCTGGACAACGTAGTTGGCAAACGAGTCGCGCAACAATCGCTCGAGGCGTTGCTTGTTGAGCAGCTCGTCGATGATCGCACGTCGACCTGTCGCATCGGCGACACGGATGCACTTCTCGACAACATTCGACGAAAACTTTTGCGCAGATAGGGCAGAGACGTTGCCCAAGAACTGACGCACGATCGCCTCGATGAATCGGTTGTCGTTCAAATCGAGCACGTACTGCACGACGTAGTTGCCGAACGCATCTTGGACAAGCGTGAGCGAGTTGTACGTGATCTCAGTGACGAGCTGGATCCTCTGCGACTCGGAGGCGTGGTCGATGCAGCGTTGCAGGACGCAGCAACCGTGACGATGGGTCGCGACCTCGATACAGTGTGTCGCAACGGCGTTGTAGATGAACTGGTTATCCTCTGGCGGCAAGTGATTCAGGCACTTTTGAATGACGTGGTTCCCGTTCAAGTCCTTGATGAGCGTCACGACGTTGAGGTTGAGCGCGAGGATGAGGCTCTGGACCTGGCGTTGCGTCGAGAGGTAGTCGATCATCTTCTGAACAGCTCGGGTTCCGTGCATGTTGAGCGAGATCGACACTAGTTCACCGGAGATGGACTCGATCAGGGCGTCTCGCTGCTCGTCGGTCGCGTACTCGAGCAAGCGTTGCGAGAGGTAATTGGCGAACGGATCCGTCATCAACTCGGCGAAGTGGGGGAAGATCTCGTTGAAGATCATGTCACGGTGTTCCGGGTTGCCGTCCTCGAGCTTCTTCTGCAGGTAGCGGCAGCCGAATTGGTCCTTGCACAAGGGGAGCATGTCACCTTGAAGGTCCTCGAGACGCAGGCCGGCGAAGCGATTTGCGCCCATCGAGCCGTACTGCCCAGCACTCCCATCGTATACGAAGGCGCCGTGGTCGTGAACGTAGCCACCGAACGGGCCCGTCGTGGGGTCGGACCCGAAAGCATTCGTGTCGATGTTGAACTGTGGACAAAGGTGACGGGCTCGAGCGTAAGCATTCGCTCGGGAAGACATCGGCTAGCAGTCAAGACTCACGTTGGAGAACTTGTCCGTCATTTGGTCAACGCCAAACCCGTTGGCCTTGCCAGCACCGATTGCGTCTAGCCCTCCAAGCTTCTTGTCAAGGGCGGGACTGCTTCTTCCACTCGCGGGCGCACCGAGACCACTCCTCGGTGGAGGCAGCTGACCAGTGCCCGATCGAACGGGCAAGGGACTGTTCGAACTGGCGCCAGTCGAGGACGACGTCGCTCCCGAAGGGGAGGAGGCGTCGATTGTGACCGAACGATGACGTTCCGTCAAGCCGGGGGTCGAGGCGTTCGCAGCTCCCTCATTCGATTGACCATCGGCCTTGTTGGCGCCGTTCTGACCGCCTTGGAACTGAGGCCATTCGGAGGGCGCCGCGCGACCACCAGGACCGAACGCGCGAGTTGCGTGCGACGGCGCCTGCGACAAGGGGGCGAGGTCGAGTGCAGCGGAGGAGGCCGAAAGGATGCCAGGGTACGAATCACGACGGACGAGGATGGGGAACTTGTCGTCGTCGGTGTTCATCTGCAAGTACTTGCCGCCCCATGCCGAGTCTAGAGTGGTCAAGGAATGGGAGAAGGGAGGGAGAAGCAAACGCGACGTGTCAGGTCGGCCTCGTCGTAGGCGCCAGAAATAGGGGGCAGCTCTTCCCCAAGTGTAGGGCTTCACGGCGCAGCTATGACTCACTCTGCAGATCGGCATCGAGCTCATCGTCAAACAGGAAGCTGTTGAGCATCGGTTGACCCTCGGCACCTTTTCGCGGGGGCTTGGCCCCGTCGCCAGGCGCAGTTGCACCAGAACCGACAGCACCGGCGGCCTTGTCCTGCTTACCCTCGCCCGAGTGACGACGAGTGGCAGGGAGCGACTTGGCGTTCGCGTACTGGTCCGAGCGACCGTCGTTAAACGAGGCGAGATCGTTGCCCGACCGGGAACGAACTGGTTTAGAGTCCTCAGCGGCGGCGCCGGAAGAGGTGCCGTTGGCGCCCATGAGCTCCCGCTCTTCCCGCTCTTGCTCGAGTTCGAGTTGCTTCATCTGCGCAGTCGAGCGATCGTGTGAGGGAAGGATGGCAAGAAGCACAGGAACGGGAGGTCAGCAAGCCCTTCTATGAGTTCATATCCGCACCGTGTTCCTCGCAGCAAAGGCCTTTTTTCGTTGCGTTTCGTGGCAGTCGTCAGGAGGTCGATCGAGAGGAGAGGAGATCCCATGGATCGCCTCGCCGCCATGGTCTTCGAGCAAGCAAGCTGGAATCCGTGGCCTGAACCTCGGCGACACGCGATGGGACATATTCGCGACAAGGAAAGCGGGAGAAGGAGAAGTTTCACGCACCTGCTGTTCGAATACCTTCTTCTGCAGCTCACGTTGCTTCTCGTGTTCGAGTCGCTTCTGCTCGAGACGCTGCAGGCATGAAATAAAAAGGACCGAGCGCAATAAGCGAAAGAGGTCAGTTCGCCATATCCGTAGCAAGGTGAGACAGAAAATGGCGCGCGAGCGGGACATCGAAAGAGCGGATCGACCGTCGGCTTTGCAGGAGGACCCGAGCGGCTCTCCTTACAGCAATGTCGCACGACGACTCCGCATGGCGCTCGCGGGTCTCGCACGCAAGTACGCAAAATTCCAACTTACCGCGGCAATATCGGCGGGCTGCTGGGAACCACCTCGAGCCGTCTGTGCAGACAAAGAGTGGAACCAGAGCAAGAAACAGGGGGAAAGAAAAAATGCAGGTCAGCTTTCCACAAGTGGGATCAGAGACAGATCGGACTAGTCCGAGCTTCCGCGATTTTGGTTGAGGGGCGAGTGTGTGTGTGTGTGGGCGAGCAGCGAGCTCGCAGCCCTCGCGGCTAAGGCGTGGCGCAGCGAGCGCGAGAGCGCGGCCGGTGGTGACGATGGCGGTTACGGTAAGGAAAACGGTGAGCGACAAGCGACGTACGGCGAGGTCCAAAAAGTCCTTGAGCTGGCCGGATTGGGCCTTGGCTTCCGAGTTGTCGGTGCTGTCGTTAGTGCCATTGCTCGGGTCGTTGGAGGTGGTGTTGGTGCGCACGGGCAGACCAGCGAGCGAGGAAGCCATAGCAGCGTTGCTCGGTTCATCAGCCGAGGTCGACGACGCCGGCGATGCGGGTTGTGAAGGCGCCATGTTGCGAGTTCAGACAAGGTCGAGTACAATCCAAACTAGTTGGAATGAATGAAGGAAATTGAAAAAGAATTTATCGAGTAGAAAATTCGTCGTTGCAGAGGCGGCGACACGAGTTTCGGGCGAGCCGACGACGACAACGATCGATTGCGAGGTGGAGAAAAGGGTGCGCTTTACAGTCTGGTCAGCGGAGCGAACGACAACGAGCTGGGCCAGTCGCCAGCGCCGCGCGACTCACACTTGTCACAGGTGTCCAATACAACAGAGACAGTCGAGGTACTGTGCGATGTCTGCAACGGCTCGAGGTGTCGTTACGGGCTCGGGTACGCGGCACAGGGACGTTGCGGAAGAGGAGAGGGAGCGCGAGGTTCTGGCTTGCGGAGGGAAGCGTTAAGACTGGAAGAGGTCGCGAGGAGGAGTGTAGAGTAGGGGTTGGGCGAGGTGGGGAGGTCGTACGACGAGGTGGACGAGCGATCACAAGAAGGGAGAAAAGTTGCTTTGATACAGTTCGTACACGGGCACTGCGATCAAAGACAAAGCACCACACGCGTGAACACGTCTCGAGAGAGATGAGCGCTGAGCGTCCCGGGCTTCCTGCAGCCTCCGCGGCTTCAGAGCGCTTGAAATTGATCAATAGTGGCCCTAGCCCGAACGCATCCCTCGCTTAAAAATGCAGCACTGCCCGTTCGGCGGCGAATTCTTTCCAGGAACAGTAGTGCGTATCGCTGATTTTTACAGAGCTACAGAACTATATTTGTGGTTTGTTTGTGGCAGCGGTGCCTGAATGGGTTGGCATATGGCACTTGAAAGCAGCAGGCTTGGATAGCTTGGATGCATGGAAACAATGATGAGGAACCTAGTCGGTCTCGCAGTGAGATCCCGTCAACGTTTATCTACTGATCTCCATGATGATGATTGTTTTTTTCAATCACCACGAAACCGCGGACGAATTCGAAAGCTGTTCTCGATCTGGCGACACCTGGCCAAAATGGTCAGCGAGACGAAGCCGAACGCGCCGATGGGTCCAAGCGCGAGCAACCAGAGCCACCGGTCCACAAGACAGCCGGGCTCGGGGACGTCTCCACACTTTTGTCCTCTCCCTCTCTCCGACCACCCAGCCACCGCTTACAACACCGCCCTACCCATCCTCACTACATCACTACATCACTACATCACTACAACATCACTACATCACTACATCACTACATCACTACAACATCACTACATCACTACATCACTACATCACTACAACATCACAACATCACTACAACATCACAACATCACAACATCACTACAACATCACAACATCACTACATCACTACATCACTACACTACAACATCACTACATCACTACATCACTACATCACTACAACATCACAACATCACAACATCACTACAACATCACAACATCACTACATCATCACTACATCACTACATCACTACATCACTACATCACTACCACTACATCACTACATCACTACCTCACTACATCACTACCTCACTACATCACTACCTCACTACATCACTACCTCACTACATCACTCTCAATCCACCCTTCACCATGTCCAAAGTCGGCAACGGATCCTCAGACCACGTGCAACAGAACGTCAAGGGGTTCGACTATGGCGGCTCGCTCAAGGAGTTGACCGAACCGCCCAAGTTCGACAACGTCGAGGACGAGAGGAGATACCTCAAGGAACGACTCGCCGCGGCTTTGAGGATCATTGGACGATTGGGCTTTGATCACCATGTCGTGCGTATACGCCGCACGACCTATCCTTTCCTGTTCCCCAGTGGCGGAGTCTCTCAGTTCCGGGCCCAAAACCCACGGTCGCTAAACTCCACACTTTTCGACCCCACCCCGAGCGGATCGCGCGAGCGACTGGAGCTCGGCGTGCTCGCCGACACAGAGGCGGAGCCGCTGAGCCACCGATTGCTTCACTTCACCGTAACTGACCTCATTCATGCTTTGTTAGGCTGGACACTTGACCGTTCGCGATCCCGAGAACCCGCATAACTTTTGGGTCAGTTACAGGCAGTAGACTTTGTTCGACTTTGAATCTCGGTGGCGAAACTGCTCGGTGCTGACCTCCACGCGGGCTTCGATATAGGTCAACCCCTTCGGTCTCGCTATGAGTGGTGCGTCGACTTGGCATTGTGATCTTTTTCCGAGCCTGTGCTTACCCTATACTCCTGCTCTCCAACAGTCATGACCGTGTCGGATCTGATTCTGGTCTCGGATGAGGGCAAGGTCATCGGAGGTGGAAAACCTGGTCGACGCGTCGTCAACGTCGCCGGTTTCCTTGTCAGTTCGGATCGAGTTCCCAAGAAGATGAGGTTCCATTCGCTGACGCTCGCTCAATTCAACGCAGATCCACTCTGCCATTCACCGCGCTCGACCCGACGTCGTGGCGATCGTTCACTCTCACTCCATGTACGGCAAAGCCTTCTCGACCCTCGGCGAGGAGTTACCCATCACAACCCAAGACGCCTGCTCCTTTTACGGTCATATCTCTCTCCTAACCCAATTCGGCGGTGTCGTCGTTTCGGGAGGTGAAGGGGACTTGATCGCCAAGACGTTGGGGCAGAACAAGGCCATCATCTTGCAGAACCATGGCATTTTAACCGCGGGCCAATCGATCGATTCGGCGCTCAACTGGTTCGTCATGCTCGAGGCCCAGTGCCAAGTCGCACTTCTTGCAAAGGCGGCAGGCACCCCGGTTCTCATCGATGAAGCCCGTAAGTCATTCCGGCGCAGCGTCGTCTTGCCGAGCGGGCAACTCCTCACGTCATTTTGTACTTTATCTCAGAGGCTGTCTTCACCTTCAAAGAGACCGGTTCGGAACGTTCGGGATACTTCATGGGTGAGTCCTTGTTCTGTGATCCAGGTTTCTTATGCTCGTGAAGTACTCACTGACATTGTGCCTCTATTTGCGCGCTCAACCCAACTTTTCTCTACCAGCTTCTCCCCTGTAAGCTGTCTCCTCCACATGCACAGCATCAGTCAAAGCCAAAACTGACTTCCACACTCTCTCATCCCATAGCTTCCAACAACTCGATGACGAGGTCGGAGATGCGTACAAGAAATAGATCAAAGGTTCTATATCGCGCCGTGCCCACCAGATCCCTGTGCCATTCATCTCTATGTAAAATCCTCCTGTCTTCCGGGGTTCCTATTCGATGCAACATCGCTTGTTTTTCATCTCATTTCGATCGATCTCGACAAATCAATCCAGTCAAACTGGTAAGTTTTGGTCCGGGTCAGCATGCAGAGGCTCATCATCGTTAGAAGCGCTACACGATCTATAACATGCGAGAGAGTGTGAGAAAGGTCCCTGAGTCATAACCAAAAACCACGGTGAGCACTGAGGATCATCCATGATTAGCATCAACAAAAAAGGAACAGAGCATCAGAAGATACACAACAAAAGTGGCTCCGAGGAAGAACAACACAACAGATGACGAAAGGCAGGAACATAAGTCAACTTCGGAACGAGGTAGCCCGCTGCGGCGGGAATCAGAACGGTCCGAACCTTTCGACATTCGAAGGCGAGATCGGGGAAACTGGCGCCTCCCCCGCACCACCCCCTTGCTGTCTTTTCTTTGCGACATATCTGAAGAACTTGCTCGCCGTCAAGATTGACGACCCGCCTCCAGCCGAATTCGACCCTCCACTCGTCCCCAACAACGGATTCGCCGTAGATTCCGAACGATGTCGAGCCGGCAACATGGCGCGTAAGTTGGCGCGTACGACCTCTTCCGCGTCCATCTCGGTCTCTTCCTCGGTTCGAGAGTGCTCGTTCTTGGCTCTGATCGCTCCGTTCAGATCGAGGCGACACAAGGGGCAATGCGACGAGACGTTGAGCAGCCAGGGGTCGATGCACTCGCAGTGGAAGCGATGTCGGCCATCGCACGGCAGCAGACGCAGATCGTCACCTTCGTCGAACTCGCACAAGCACACCGGGCACGTCGTGTTGTCATCGACATCCCCCAGGTTCGTCGACATGGGCAAGGCGACAGGTCCCGAAGTCGAGGTCAAGGCGTTGCTGTTGACGGGCGGGATGGGAGAGGTCGGGGATGTGGGAGAGGTCGGGGATGTGGGGATCGAAGTGTGAACAGCGGCTAAAGGAGCAGGCTCGGGGGACGACATGGCGCAGACGAAGCTCATGTCGGAAGCGTTACTCGGTCGATGGGTCAAGGTCTGGCGGCTATCGCTTGAGGTGGAAATTCTACCTGATAACGGAAGCGTCTCGATCTCCTCCGGCGCCGACCTGGTCATGGCCGCGAGATGTATCGGCGGTGATAGCCTAATGGACCCTTCCCCTCTCTGCGCGCTGCGCACCGCTTCCATCTCCACAGCCTTGTGGGGCGAAGTGGAACTGCCATCACCCTGCGGCTCACCCCTCGTTTCCGTCTCGACCGGAGTGTGCTGCCCACGACCAAACTTGACCACAGGGAACGTGTCAAGAATGGCTCGCGTCAGCCCCTGCGTCCGCGTTTGAGCGTAACCGCCTCCACCACCGTCCTGGTCGTCATTGTACATCGTCGCACGAGGGCCATACCGTTCAGGGTGTCGGATTGCTCTGATGGCCCCCGACAGGATCACGACGAAAAACATGAACGACACGATGCCTGTGATAGCGTAGAGGATCTGTCAAGGCGGAACCGGTATTGTAGGTCAGTATTTTCTGTGCGCACACGATTGATGCCTGCTGGCACTGACAATCATGGCCAAGCTTGTGCCGGCACTGCCTCCCTTGGATGCTGCAGGCGTGACCGTGGCGGAGGGTTGAGCGACCGAAGTCCCACCGACGGTGTTGTTGCTCGCAGCCATGACCGCTGCGAGGTAGTTTGGTGCACCCGTCGAAGTCGCAATCGAGCTCGTCCTCGTCGCGGTCGCACGTTTCAGCACGTGCATCCGCTGCCGCCGTTCCGCTTGAAGCTGCTGAGTGGTGGCCCCCACGGTGTAGTTCGCGGTCTGGAAGATTTCGGACTCGATGTTGCTAACCCTTGTCGCTGAGGACGTTGCGGAACTCGTCGAGTCGGTGGCATCTGTGAAATCGGTCGAGTCGATCGAATACGTCTTCGTCACCTCGGTCGAGTTGTCCGATTCAATCGTGTCTGAAGTGGACAGCGACGCGTTGGTCGGCACGTTCCCCGTGACGTAGAGCGACACGCTGTTGAGTAGAGAGTCGATCGTCGTTACCGAAGCGTTGAGCAGGGAGGCATTAAAGTTGTAAGCCGAAGTTGAAATGCCCGGATTGCTGCACATTGGATCGACGCGGCTGATATGTCAGAGACGGCCAGTATGCTCTTATGACCTTTCCCCGAACTTACAAGAACTGATTCTCAATGATGCGAGACGCCGATACCGTCGTCGTCGCGTATACGTCGAGAACTTTGGAGAAGTTTTGAATGTACTCTTGGTTCATCAGGCACCCCTGTATGTGTCACAACCTCCTGATGAGCGTTTCATCCTCTCGGGTTACTCGGAACGATGAAACGGACCTGTGAATGCAGCGAGTACAGGAGCGCCGCCTGCGCGCCTTGGTCACGGGTGAGCGTAAAAATGTCGTCCTCAAGACTGTAGCTGGTGCCGTTGGTATCGCAGTTAATCATGGCGATCCAAGGCACGTTCGAAGGTCCTTGATTCCGATCGGCCTCGTCGAAATGAACCAAGACGCCCTGCGCGCGAGAAGTGGGGAAGCGTCAGCGCGTTATTCCCAGAATCAGGGGGGCACTCATAATTTGGTGTCGCGGACGCCGACAAGGGATAACGCGCGCGCGCGTCAGTCGAAAGGGTCGAAATCAAATGATCGAAGTACCTTTGAGAAGCGGGTCCAGCTGACGATGGTGGGAATATCGGTGTAGTTGCCCTGATCATCGAATGCTTCGGCCGTCAATTGTCGCGAGATGGGGGCTCTGCGTGCGAGATCGCGGTTGTATCGTCGGCGATGGCAGTGGTCAGGGGCAGGCGGTTATTGGTGAGAAGCGTGACCAAAGAGAGGCACGGAGGCGCGAGCAGCGTTGAATAAAGAAAGTCAGCGGCTGCAGCTGGCCTTGCAACAGACCAAAACCTGTGCAACTGACTGGTAGACACCATTGTAGAAGGCAACGGTTATGAGATCCTGGGACTGATTGAAGGAACTAGTATCGTTGACCGGCTGGGCGGGGATGAAGGCGTGCACGCTGACCGCGTTGTGTAGCGCGAGCACGAGCACCCACGTGAGGCCAGATACGAGCCAGCTGCTCGACGTCGAACTCGCGGTCGCGAGGAAGGGCTGGGCTCGATTATGAGGTGGCAACATCACTGTTCGTCAAGATGATACTCCTATTGGAGTTGCGTACCCAGACGATGTAGATGACGATGGCACCGGCAGCCCTCCGCTTGGATCAGGAGTGTGGAGGGCTGTGCAACCACCGGCGTGCAGGTGGACCGGACCGCTCGGTCGTCGGCGGCGGTGCGATGCGCCAACTGCGCCGCGTTCTCACCCGAACGAACGCACGTCGAGGGGCTGGACCGGACCGTGTGACCCTGGTGAACGATTCCAACGTCGAGCGGTGGACGCGAGCGGTGGCTTGGGCTGAATGGGCGTGGAAAAGGGTCAAGTCGCTCGACGTGCTCAGCTGGATGAAGCGAATCAGCACCGATCGGTCGACCGAGCCAGTTTCAGCTGAGCCCGCCGGAGGCCGTACTGAGGCCGTGACCAGCGATCGGGCGCTTTGTCGCTCGACTCGTCGAAAGCGACGACTCGCGAGTCATTGTCCTCAGAATTACCAGTTGGGCGATCACCTTGCCGTTCGCCCAATTCTCACTTAGTTGACATTATGAAATAATGAGTAAAGTGTTTGGGCTTGGGGCCAGATTTGCCCACGACACGGCCCCGCGAAGGAACCGGCGCCGGCGGGGCAGCGACTCAAGCAAGGGGACGCAAAACTGGGGAGGCGGGCCAAAAAGCCAAAAAAAACTGGAAATCATCGGAGAGAGAGCAGTCGGCTAACTGGGAACGAGAATATTTGGTGTAGAAGCAAAGAGGCCGAGCACTCGTTGGCGCATTCTCCTCGGCTTGCTTGCTCCGCGCGCCCGTGGGTCCCCCCTGTAGCTCGCGCGCGCTTCCATAGCCTTTCTTCTTTCTCTTCAAGTAGTAACTGATCATAATCGGGACTCTAAGTGGGAGGAAGCAGCATCGTACTCTCTGACAAAAATCGCTCCGACTCACTCGAGGATGCGACAAAACCCCGAAAGCTGCGAGCCTGTATCGACCTCCTCTTTCTTCGCAGGGTTTCACCTATCAATCTTTATTGATGCAATACGGTAGCTGCGCGAATGGGATTCGTCTGCGGCCAAAGCCGATTCAGAGTCCACGTCCATCGGCTCGAGCGAGCTTGCTCGGTCACCGTGCACGAAGAAGTTATCGCAGAAAAGATGCGAGTGCGGAAGTACAGCCTTCCCATAGGTGAGGATGCCCGACGCCGAGAAGTCAGGACCACAATGTAGAGCGAGTGATGAAAAAGCTACCAAGAGTAAACAGCCGCACGGGAAGAAAGCCCCGCGCGCTCCCTAACTTGAAGAGATCAAACTCCAATACCAAAGTGACTAAGCACACGCGCACCTCGCTCAGATACCACAGGCACGACACATATCAAATGACAGAAGTCACTGTCGGCGCTTACGAAGACGACGCGGTTAGTATCGAGCCAGCGAACAAAGGTGGCGCCTTAGGATGGTTTTCCGCCGTCGCAGAATGCGAGCTCCCATTCTTCGCTCGATCGGCTGCTGGCGATCTTGGCGACGGAGCAGATTCTTCTCCTTGAACTCAGGAGGACGGAAGGGATGTTCATATACGAAGACAGCTTGGTTCATCTTGCCGTTGCGACCATGAGCCTTTCGAGGTGTCGGACGATCGCATCGAGGAGGAGCTGCCATGGCCTGGTTTTGGCTCGTTGTTTTTCAAGCCGTCCGTGGCAGCTTTGCACTGGTGTTTGAACGCGGTAGAGCCGTCAATGATAGCGACTGAGTAGGGTGCCGTGATTGACGGCGTAAAGGGTCAGCTAGGGCTTGCTCGGCAAATGATGCCGGAGTAAATACGGCTGCGACGGGGATCTGAGGCTCTGGGGAAGTGACATGCCATCGATCTTTCTTCTTTCAGTGGTTTTTTTTTGTGCCATCCTACTTGGATAGGAGTCGAATCGCCGCGCCGGAGCTCTCGGGTGAACTCGGCCCCGCAACCCAGCTCCGCGGCAGACTGGGAGTTCGGGGTTCGCAGTGAATCGAGGTCGAATCGAGGTCGTCCCAGCTCGAGCAAAGCTGCTGGAGCGACAAAGACTGTATCGATCGTGGCGATCATAAATCTGGGGTGACCCTCAGAGCTCATCCTACTTGCTGAAATTTGACCGAGCTCGATCAACAAGGTATTCGGTCTTTCCGCGGGTTCTTGTTGACCTCGATGTGGGGGTGCACGGTCCCCTGTCCATGAATTCCAATCACGATCACGTCGGTTCCGATCGGCCGCGCGCTCGGCCGCACTCGGCATCGGCAGAGGTGGAGAGGTGGAGGCTTGATGCCACCGCATGGCGTCGTATCGATAAGATAATTCATTCAGTGAGCTGCATAAGGTCTCCAAGCCATCTCCCACCTCGGTCGACAAGATCGCCTTTTCTTTTCGGTTCATTTCGGATTGGTTGAAAAGCCTAGTCAGATCCGACTCCTACGTTGAGCCCCCCTCGTCTCCTGATTCTCGTTTCCCTAGTGTTTCCCTGGTGTCTCCCTTTCTGTTTTGTACATTTCGAGTGCACGTACAAGAATTGATATTCGACAACTGGATGCATCCGTGCATCAGCAGTGTAAGATTGGTAGATCTTCATTACTAATCATTCGCACAAAGCTACATGTCCCTCTCTTAAATGCCTCTCAAGGCTGATTTCCCCACTCATGTCCCTTGAACCAGTCCGCGCCATACTCTTGATATTCCGCCCGCGTGATCCTCGCCTTCGCATACGAATCCCCTCCTCCACCACCTTGACTCCATTTGGCCATCCCTCTCCAAGCGTCGAGCGAATCTGGTGCGGCTCGAACGATGTTGAGTGGTGCAGCGACGGAGAGGATGGGACGTAAGGTCGCTCGTAAGCGGGTGTCGAATTGCGGTATGAGGGTGTTGCCTCCGGTCACGAAGATGTTCTGTGACAGAGAGTCTCTCCATTCAGTCAAGACAAGACCATGACCTCAATGAGCAGCCGCCGACTCACATTGGTCAACCGATCTTTGACCTCTTGCGGATAAGCCCTCAACGCATTCTCCAAGATCTCCCCGAGCCCAGCTTGATCGACGCCCGCCAGCCCAGGTTGCCACACCACTTCGGGTACACGGATCCTCTCGACGTTGAGATGCAATTGCGAGTTGTGCTCGATCGATTCAGGATCGTACGTGTCGAGCGGGTCGTCGGGTGCGAGACCTCGAACGAACGCATTGAGCAATCGGTGACGTCGTTGGGCCAGACGCACGGCGGTATCGTCGAGGCTAAAGTTGGGATCATGTTCCAGAAGCCTGGCTTCAATCGCGTTCAGAAAAATCTGGTCGTCTTCCTCGTCGTCCGAGTCGTCTGCCGGTCCCTGTTCGTTGTGACCCATGCGGTATCAGCTTCCATGCAGACGACAGACTCGAAGTTGCATGATCCAGCGACGTACGATCTCACGATACACGGCCCAATCATCATCGTTCTTCCCGAACCCGTCATCCTGTTCCGTCTTTTTCCTCTTTTTGGGTCCCCCGCCTCCTCCAGGGGTGTTGGCGTCGCTGGCGAGGTTGGCGATGTTCTTCATTCGGTTTTGCGCAGCCAAGGATTTGCGATCGCCAAGTTGTTGCCTTCGCTTCTTGCCTTCTTTGATCTTGTTCATCACGTCCTGTGCACAGGCACAACGGGATGAATCCTCTCCGTAAGTTTCCATTCAAAGTTCATATAAAGAGATGACTTTCTCACCTCATGTTCCTTCCTCATCCCCCCGATCCAGCCCTCAAAGTCCGTTCTGCGCTTCTCGTCATCCAACCTCCTTCGCTCCTGCTCAATCAAGTTCTCCTGCTCCTTCTCAGCCTTCATACGGATCCTCGCGTCGTACCCGGCCTTCATCAAGCGTTGTCGTCGCTTCTCCTTGAGATCGGCTTCATTCAACGTATGGTCGGGCACATCGACGAGAGGGAACACCGGCGGTTCCTGCACCATGTTCGACAGTCCAGAAAGATCAGGCATCTTTCCCCACCTATATGCACAATCCTTCACCTCACCACGAACCTTATTCTGATCATCTTCAATGATCCCCAAATCCTTATTCCTCGCTTTGGTCAAACTCTTTTCCACCTTCTTGAGGTACTCGTCCAAATCCTCCTCAGAAGTGAATCCAGCGGCTTTCAAACGCTTCTCAAAATCGACCCGACGGCAGCCCGCTCTGGAAGCTCGCAGCTCTCCGAACGTCAAGAGTTCTTCTTCTTGTCGTGCCATCTGGTTTAAGGATCCAGGCGAAAGTGAGCTGAGAGTACGTTCGAGGGGGGGCGAGGGGGGGCGAGAACCTCGGAACGCGAACCTTTTCCGACCTCTGCTTTTGCACTTGCTCTTGTAATCGTCGTCCACTTTCCTTCTTCTTGTCCGCGGCCCTCGCCAATTCTTCTTCCGTCTTCTCCTCCACGATCTAGAGGGGGGGAAAAGAGACCTCAGCGACCGGGTACGTTGTTGAGCTGAACTCTGCCGAGCTACGCACCGGAGCCGGAGGGATGAAGGGGAATTGTACGATCCGATTCACGTCCACCATTTTGGCAGGGTCGGCCATGGCCTGCAGGTCGGCACGATAGTCTTCCGAGACGTAGCAATGTTGGCGATAGATGCACTGTAGGGTCACCACAATGGTCTCAGTCAGTCGCCTATGAGAAGTGCAGACGAGTTGTACGAGTGCGAACTTACGCCCGCTTGAAAACCGGATAACCTGCCGGGGAAGGTGGGGTATTTGAGTTGCATGAGCTTGAGCATGTATTCGGACGCATGTGATCCACCCCAGTTGAGTCTGTCACAAAAGAAACAAAGTTGAATATGAGGTCCTTGACGCAGCTTGACCCTGTGCGCTCTCGGCTCACTTCTTGGCGGCAGAGGTGATCGCCTTGCCTCCGAGAACGGGAACGACATGAGTCGAACTCGTGCTCGAGCTAATGACGAGTCCGTCTTGGGTTGTAGAAGGGGATTGGTGGAAGGCGAAGAGGGAATCGATACCGTATGCGACCGAGGGTGCGTTGTAGCCTTCGAACAAGAGTTCGGACATGACTGGGTCGAATGGATCGGGATCAGTCTCGTGTTGGGGTAGCAAGAATGGAGTTGGGGGACGTACGTGATCGAGCATAGTGTGGGTTGGCCAAGGCCTCGGTCATGACGATGGGATGGTCTATGCTGGCGTCGGTCGAGGATATGTCGAGTTGGTGAAAGACGTAGTCGAGCATGTTCTCCTGTGGGGGGGGGGGGGGGGTGGGAGGACGGGACAGGGGTTTCAGCAGGAGCACGAGCGCACGGAGATGCAGCGTCGAGAGGTGAGTCTCCTCGCAAACTGACCATGACGTCAAAGTTGACGACGACATCGTTCTCATGGGGTGACTTTACGTTGCTGCGACTGGCGGCATCGGCGTAGACGTGCTGGCCGGCGAGCATGATGGTCCGATTCGTCTTGCGGTCGCGGTACCTCGAGTTGAGGCTGTCGACGATCAGACTTGGGTGAGGATCGACGGCATATCCGGCTCGGAGCGTGGTGGAGCCATTGTCGATGATGATGGGCGTCGTTGACGGGTGCGCGCTCGAGTTCGACGAGGCCAGGGCGAGGTGCGAGGTTGAGCCCGAGGCGTAGGGCTGGTCCGGTATCGGGTACACCTCTCTGGACCTGGCCATGTCTGGTCTTGGCCCGGGACAAAGCGCCGTTTGGGAAGGGTGAGAAGTGGGAGGAGCGGGCCCAAGCCCACGTCAGCTCAAGCGCGCCGGCCGCGGGGACAACTCGTCTCAACTCGTGTGGGGGAAGCTGAGCGCCTCTGAGCGCCAGCTGATGGCTGCTGATGGCGTGCCTCCGAGCCGCGCCTCTCCCAGCCTCTCCCTCTGCTTACACACAGCATCCACCAACGCACCCGCCTCTGCTCTCGACCATGGCCTCAAGCTCCAGAGCACTCGGCTCTTTGCAGCACCACACCTCCTCGACAACGAACGTGAACCTGTCCTCGACGTCGCTCATCACCCCGCAGCTGACCGCGCTCGCCGATCCACCGCCAACGATGGTCGACCAGCACCTGTTCGAGTACATGATGCAAGAGGTGAGTGAGCTCACACCTTGTGGTGGGTGCTTGTTTACTCCCCCGGATGCTGATATCAGGACTGGCTGCCACGGCCAGGTGATTCGGACCATCATCACTTCCGAATACGTCGCGCGAGAACGACGGATCGCCTACGAACGACAAGTCGAACACGATCTCAAACTCGCACGAGCCACCTCCCCAGCTACCCTCAACACCAGCAACGGCAAGACGTCCGCCGCGATGGCACCGTCTGTCCCGTCTAAATCGTCCGCGTCCCCCCCACCGAATCAGGACGAAGCCGACGAAGCTGTCCGGTCCAGGCTCGACAAGATGGGCTTCAAAGTCGGGTGGGCCATGGCAGAAAAGTGGGCTATAGCGATCCCCATTCATTCCCGCACCACTGCTGATCCTACTCTCCTCCCCCCGCCACAGACTAGCCCGCGACCGACCTCGCTTCCCCAGCACACCAGCCACGACCTCCACCACGAACCCCGTCGGCGCCTCAACCCTCTCTCTAGCCCCCATCCCGGACCCCCTCGAAGCGGTCAAGTTCATCTGCAAGGACCTCTGGATCGCACTCTACGACAAGCAGATCGATAACCTACGCACGAACCATCGAGGCGTCTACGTTCTGCATGACAATGGGCTCAAACCGCTATTGAGGCTAAGTGGGAATGCTGGACCAGGGCAGGCGCACGAGGTGAATCGACGAGTCAAATTTGTGGGTCCCTCATCGCGACCTGAATTCGGCGTGTGGGGCAAGTTGACCAGATTGGTCCGTCCCTGCAGTTCCTCGCATTCCCGAATGGGATCATCCGAGGCGCCTTGTCCAACCTCGGTGTGCCGTGCGCAGTCTCGGCCGAATCAGCGGGCATACCCCAATGCACGTCAGCTCCTCTACCCAACCTTTCTTTCGGATCGTCACTGATGGGGTAGTGTGGGGTGATGCGTGCAGGTACATTCCAAATCAAGACGGTACGACCTGGAACCTAAATGGCAGGAACGTCAAGATACATTGCTCCGTGCTTTACCCCATCTCTTCTTTGTGTAAACGCGTGTACATGCTTCCAGTAATACAAACCCTGCAATCGAAATACCCAACCCATTTATCCGGTGCTCAGCTGTTCCATCTGTCCTTCCAAAACGTCCTTTCTTCGTGATCCCTCGTGAAGCGGCTCATCTCGAATTCGATCCCTCGCTCCGCACACATCTCGTCCACAGGAACCCAACCCCTCGTACTCGGATAGAGGCGCCAATCCCAAGGATCGGTTTCGATTCCCGTTCCCCAAAACGGATCGGTCTCCGAACGCGTCACTTCGTTCAGGTCGGGGATGATGAATTGAATCCTGAGGTGCTGGAGCGAGGTAGGGAACTGAGCGGAGAGAACGAGGTCGGTGACTCCTTGTACGAAGTGGTCGATCCGACGAGACGTTTCGAGTGACTCGTCGGCGTCGGGTTCTTGGTCGAGTTCGTGGGTCGAGTCGTAGTGGGAAGGGACTACGTCCAAGGTGAGGGTAAGGTGTTGGAGTGGGTTTTTGTCGGGTAAGGAAGGGGTGGGCGCGACCGAGTTCGACGGAAGCGCCTCGATCAAGCGGTGAAGCGGGTGAGGGAGCTGGTCCGCACCGCGCATTCGAAAGTGGAGCTCCGAGAGCGTGGGAGGGAAGTGGCGTGTGACTGGCCGAGTACGGTCTTGCTCGCTCGAATCAAAGAACGCGGACGATGTAACGGACAAGCGTCGCAGGTGCGTAGGCCAAGAGTCGGGCCAGTCGGTGAACCGGAACGGGTCGCCGAGCACGAGCGTGTCGAGATCTAAGTCCGATCGGGGCGTCGCGAGAGAGAGAGAGAGAGAAAAAGGGAGAGAGAGCGTTGCCCGAGTTCAGATCAGCCAAGGATCCCCCAGCACGGTGGACGACGAGCATTCACCTTTTAATCCGTGAGAGTGCAATATGGACCCTTGACAACCCACTGCATTGTGTGACTCCTGTACGAGCGCGAGCCTGAGCTGGGCGACCGCCGTGACGCGCGACAACAGCGCTTCGACCGCGCCGTTACTGACGCCGGTGATGCTCAGCGACTGAAATCTGTGCGTGCGTGGGGTCGGAGAGTGGAACAGCTCCCTGGCCTGTAGCTCATGGGTGATGGCGACGTGGGAGAAGAGCAAGCGTTGGGCGATCGGTGTCCATCGACGATGAACGAGCGAGAACGATCGTAACGCGGCGACGCGGTCCCTGCTCGCGATCAGCTCGCGACTCGACCGATCGATCGACAGTCCATAGAGGCCCATCTGATCCATCCTCTGACTGATGCGCTCTGCTTGGCCATTCTGATTGCGCAAGCGTTCAAGCGAGGCTCGGATGCGCCCGAGTTGGAACGAGATCGCGTTGCCAAGACTCGTCGCGGGCGCGGACGGCGCAGTCGATGGCGAGCCCGCACGGCGGGAGGAGCGCAGGGGGGCAGTGGTCGACAGCGGCTCGGACTGCACGAAGCAGAAGATGCGATGGAGCAGCTCGTCGGGGAGAATATCGACTGGCGGTGTGCGCATCGGGTCTCGAAGCGGCTCCAGCTTGGGAACGACCCAGTGGTAGTTGGCCAGCCCCCGCCGAGGTCGTGGCAACGGACAGGAATGGAACCGGCCGACTCGGATCGGCTCGCGTCCGCGCTCGCGCACGCCTGCGCACGCCCCCGTAAAGGCCTCTGTAAAGGCTCGGTCTGTTCCCGACCCTCCCGGCCAGTGTTCGACTACGTCAGCCACCCATTCCAACATTCGTCCTCTTTGGGCTCTGTCAACTGCAGCACAATAATTCCGACGTCGACGGCTCTTCTCTGCGCCAGCGTATGTAGGTGGTACAACGAGAGCTGTTTCCCCTCTCCTATCAACCAACTAGCCCCTACTAGCCCCCCACGGCCCCACCCGCGAGGAGCTGAGTTGCCCCCGCCCCCCACCCTCCCGCAACCCCTCTCGGCCCGTGACGCGTACGCTCCGACGATTGGCAGCAGACGCTCACCTACGACGATAGCATCCTGCGACGAGTCATTGTCGATCGACGCTGCTCGGCCTACGATCTACTGCAGCAAGGCACCCAGCACGCTGTGTGACGCCGGGGGACGGCGATGGGGAGCCTGCGCTCGAGCACGGTCTGGGCGCACCCCTTCTGGCAGCTGACGCCTTGACCTGGCCGAATACCCGCAGAGATCTTGGCTCTCTGGGCGATCAAGATCATTCCAGCACCTACGACAACACCCCGCCGCCCTCCCATCTCTCCATCACCAATGACACCCCATAAGAACGACTCACACTCGACAAAACCCCCCAGCGCCCCCGCCCACCCACACTTTGTCCATCTCCGGCCCCGGCTCCAACCAAGTCAATCAGTCTCGTCAAGAAGAAGCCGACTGCAGTAGATCTCGTCACCAGTCCAGCCTTTGAACTTGGTCAGTCATGCAGGTGGTTGATCTTGCGGGGTCGTGGGCCACGAGGCTGCGATCGGCTCTGTCCGCGCACGCTTCACACTCGGCTACTCACGCTGCAGGCGTTGAACGAGTGGGTACCCATCATGTTCCCCCGGACCATCACCCTGGCCAGTCTCTGGGATACCTACTCGCAGCTGTTTCGAGCGTGCCGTTGGAAAGGTCTCCCGTTGGGAGCCCCGGCGTCTGCATCAACAGCGATCCGCGACAGGACAGCCGACTGCACGGGTGGTACGGGACCGTCCAGGGCGAACAGAGTCGGGGAGGGGTGATCGATGCGACAAAGAAATGTGCCAAATGATGGCTGGTAGACTCTCCCTGATCAGTACAAGAGCTGGCCTCTTTCGAGGTCCCAGCAGCTGTCGGATCGTTCAGAAGGAAGAGGTCCTGTAATTTCACATGTCCGCAGCATCCGCATTACGCAACAACTCGTGGTAAAACACGACCCCGTTAAGATGATCATCCATATTGACATGTTCATCCACGGTGTGGATCCTCTCGTTCGCACTCGGATCGGTCGGGCCGAAGCGATAGACGTTGCGCGTCAGCCCAAGGTAGAAGCTGCTGTCGGTGTTGCCCGTGTCCATCGCAGGCGAGATGACCAGGTCGGGGTACTTGTCCTTGAAGGTCCGTCGGATCGATTGAGCCAGGACCTTCCAGCTCGGCGCATCGATCGGCGAGTTGGGAGCAGGGGCGATCTCGGCTATGCCCGTCGATAGTCGCAAGAGACCACCTTTTGCAATCGACGAGGAGGAGGACGCGTTGCGCCACGTCGATCCGAACGCCTCGACGTCGAGATTGTGGACCTTGGCAAGCCGTCCTACATGTTTGAGAACGCGATCTTTGACGAATGGAACCGACTCGTCGACCGAGATACGGTAGTTGATCACCGCAGTGACCGTCTCTGGCAAAGCGTTGACCTTGATCCCACCCGAGATGACGTCGACAGCTTGACTCGTCGTAACGAGGTACCTCGACTCGCGACCTTGAGCGGCATACAGGTTGGCCAAACGTTTCCGGCCTTTCTCTCCCTTCTTCCCCTTCTGTGAGCCGTCCAGCACGGCCGATTTGAGCGACTGGTCGAGCTTGCCGTGGGCGGCGGCGCATTGCAACAGGTTGAAGATGGGCGAAGTCGAAGAAAGTCGCGGCTCGAATTGGGTCGATTCGAGGTTGTGAATCAGGCTTGACATGATACCGATCCCAGTATGCGGAGGTGGGATGCTCGAGTGACCACCGGGTGTATGTAGGGTCATGGTCAAATTCATGTAGCCTTTCTCGCCCGTGCCGGGCAGCGCCATCGGTCGCCCGAGGAAATCTGCACTGACGCCGAGACCGCCTTCGTCCAAGAGGAACGCAATACCGTCCTCGCCATACCGTCTCTTGACCTCTTTGAACAATTGACCAGCGCCCTATGGTTGAAATTTCAAGTCACGCTGCGCATCAGCTGAGGATGTGGGGCGTTGCCGAATCCAAAATTGATCAATTTGTACTCACATCGATGCCTTTAGACTCTTCATCGAAGCCGAAGGCCAATACCACCGTTCTCCTCGGTGTCCAGTTCTTCTCCACGAGCAACTCGACCGCTTCCAAGATCCCACTGAGCACATCCTTGCAATCGACGGAGCCCCGCCCCCACACGCTGTTCGAATTTTCGTCGTAGTGACCCGAGAACGGAGGGAAGGTCCACTGGTTCTTGGTTGAAGGGTCGACGGGTACGACATCCTGGTGTGCGATCAGCATCGAAGGCTTGAGTGAAGCGTCCGTTCCAGGCCAGGTGAAGAGCAGTCCATGCTCGTTCACGTGACTGAGCTCGAGCTTGGCGTGACTGCAGCGTTGAGCGTTCGGCGGGGCGAGAGTACCGAAGCGGGCCATCGGTGAGTGATCCGCCCAGTGTACAGAGTTCCTACTATCGAATCAACCACTCACAGTAACGGAAAGCTCTTTTCGAGTTGAGCGGAGAAGATGGGGAACTGGTCCCAACGGGGATCTCGATCGGGTCCCGTCACCGGTCCGTTGTCATCGAACGAAGGGGTTCTGCAGACGAGGATCGAGGATAGGGTAAATCAGTCACTATCAAGCTGATCAGAGTAGACCGATCCTCAAACTGACGGGATTTGCACCAACCCACTGAGCAGCTCAACGCTTCGTCTCAGATAGGCCGGTGAACGGATCAGATCGATGTTGGCATCGGCTGCATGCGGGGGCGGCGCTAGGGCTGGGTATTGAGGGCAGAGGTCTAAGCTAGATACGGCCGTACTCGGAGTCGAGGGAGCGAGCTGATGCTTGGTGACGACGAGCACGAGTAGGATGCACAGCAACGGTTTCAGGCGCGACGATAAGGTCGCTGGCGGAGAGTCGCGCGAGGTCGTCGGTTGAGGGAGTAGGGTGCTCGTCTCGGGTCCTTTCTCAGACAAGGTGTCGAACGAGTGCTCGGATGGTCCCATGATATTCGTCATCCCCGCTGTCCGTGGTGGCGGGGGTCGGCGATCGGTGATGGCGGGGAGGACAGCAGCATTCGGCCGGGCTCCGATTGCGAGAGAGCATCAGCTCACCCCCACTTGCGCACCGACCTTGGCTCCTAGAATGAGTCACCATCGCGCGCGGAGAATCGGAATTGTCTCACATCGATCGCCCGCGTCCCTTCTCTCTTTCCCGCCCAATCCCAGCTCGAGCATCAATCGACAGGCGTTCACGTCTCTCGCTACAGCCTCATCAACCTTGCAATCAAAACCCTCGGTGCCGATTGGCAACTGGTCCGACGTTCAGTCGCAGCTCTACAGACCTTGCCTCCCGTCGCTGGCCCGAGGAAACAACAATGAATGGATCGAGGCGTACCTATTCACCAAATCCTTGGCATATAGTGGCTACTCGTCCACCTCTGTGGCCATCCTCTACTCCATCGATTGGAGAGGTGCGCTCCCCTCGCGACTCGCAGCCTCGACTGACCCCACCCTCGGAGATGTACTTTGACCCTGTCGGCGACCCTGTCGATACCCTACCTAGTGTTCGCAATAAAGGCAGCATTGCGAACGAATACACTGGTCTGTATTTGCTCCGCTACATGTCGCGTTTGAGGCAGGAGTGCCCACAAAAGGCGAGACGACGTCAGGAATGTTGCCCCTGTCTTGGCGAGCCCAAGTCGGCGTAGAGCTGGTGCGATTCGACGAGCTCGTACCTCCGGAAAAGGCAACTGGAAACAACCTGGGCAACGATGGATACTTGAAGCTGCGTGCTGTCCCTTCGCAGCACAGTACTTGGGGACCGAAAGGATCCTTGAATGATGGCGCGAGGAAGGGATTGGCCATGCGTGCTTCGGCACCGAGGACGACTGGGAGCACGTGTCGAAACGCGCAATGGAGAAGCTTGTAATCATAGATTAAGCTTGATGGGTCCGGACTCCTGGTCCAAGATGCAAATTACACATATCTCACCTCGTGCAATTACGACCTCTGGGACTGCTGCAAGATGGAGTCCCGGGTTGGAGGACGTTTCGCCTCAGCACATGTCACAAGCCTATTCTCAAGCCCCTTCATCTTAAAGCCAGTGTATTTGGTTCAAAAAGTTCACTTGCTTGGGAGGTGTTGAGGTGCAGTACAACATCAAGGCCGAGCCACTATTGCAAGGTCCCGGAAGCGATCTAGAATAGACAGCGTAGTTTGATTGGCATACCAAAGCACTGCACCTGCTACAAACACATAATCAACTTGTGCAAAACAATGTCACCTAGCTGTGAAGCACATTCACCATCGATTGCTCGAACCCTAAACCCTGGTCGAAACCAGGAAGAAGGATGAGAATCTTAACTCGAACGAAGCAAAAAACTAGGCGGAACACTCGAGTCCAACATGTGGCTCGAGGTCATGTTGGTATTCGCTACGCCTTCACGCCGTCGCTTAGCCGTGGGGATCCAATCTTGCGAACAAGATGGACTGTGAGCGGCTGGATGGTATAGGGGGAAGCGGGAGGGGAGGAGAATCAGGGAAGGGGAAGAGGAAGAGGCGTGGGTCTGTGCAGGAGAGAGTGTGGCATGCACGGAAACAGGAGCCGCGTGGTTGCAGATAAAGTCTGTCGATGGTCCGAGTAGTATGTCGCATCATTGCTGATCGGAGAGCACTTGAGCGCAGGCCCGGGACGTCCCTGCGCTGCGAAGAGGGAACGGCGGCGCAGTTGGCGTAGTCGACATATGGACCCAGACCTGGCCGATAGGGTACCTCAAGGCAGGTAAAGCCCACCATACCATGTGTCCTCGGTAGGACGGGACATATGTCGACGTGTTCGGTGATACGCAAAGGGGGGCGGACGTGACTGAGCTGTGGGCGACGACGAATCGCTTGTTCGCGCGGCCTCTCGCGCATTCGAGCGCACGGTCCTCCGAGGTGCACAGCGGCGCAGGCGCGTGGCGACGTAGCGGCAGCTTTATTGGACCCGAGAGACGGGCCTCTCAGTCCGCACAGCATGCCGCTAGGTAGGTACCAGTGCACAGGCACAATTGTCTCGGTTTGTTTAGTTCTTAGGTACCCGGAGGGCGTCGGTATTACCAGACTTGTGGCGCACTGGCGGTGATACCACACAGGGGCTGTAAACTAAGGTTGTCGCGCGATGGTGAAACGAGGAGTCCTCGCCGGATGGGAGCTGACCTGGGGTCCAAAACACGTCAAATCATTTTTTGGTACTTAGGTATACGATCTCCTCATGGCCTACGTCTAATGGTACAAATTGCTCGTGAGCAAGACGTCGATACCATTGTCGCACCTCCTGCTTAAGTGGAGTCCCGAGCTACTACTCCTCCTGCTTAAGTGGAGTCCCGAGCTACTACTAAGGGTGACCTCGAGGTGACAGACCTTCAACAAAGAACTTGCAGGGGCTAATCGACGGCGTACGACCTATGTCATGAGAGAGAACTATCCTTTTAGAGGGAGCTTCGTGCCCTGACATTCGGCCCCAGGCAGCTGTACCCTCTTTTGAAGATGTTCGATTGGCAGTGCACTGCTCGCGGCCGAGTGCTATTCTTAGCGGTCGTCTCGGATTGCCCTACTGCGGAGCTGCCGCCGCTCGGCGAATCGGCGCGTGCCCTCTCCCCGCTTCATTTAGACGTGAGATTCGCAAGCGACCCCAGCGCCGGCTATTCTTCCTCTCACATCTACTAACCCCCTGGACGTCCACCTGGATAGTCGTTCCCATTGTGAACTGCTACCCCTCTACCACTGTTAAGCTCACCCGGAGTCGATTACCCGCCTGCCATCCCGCCGTCTACCGTCATCATGCGATTTGACACGCTCGCCCTTACATCATCGGCGGTCGCCTCGATGGTCGCCAGCGCGTCCGCGGCCTGCGCCGACTTTGAGATCCTTCGCCGCAACTCGCCCTCTCTTCGAGCCCGAGCCCCGACCAGTGAACAGGATGCCGCAAACGAGACCTTGACTGAGGAGTGCAAGCTCTATAACTTTGCCCCCGTCACCACTCTGGTCAGTCCGAGTTGCTGCGCAGAAAGTTTGGCCCGTTGCCGCCGCCGCTGTTGCTGCTGCTGGCAAGTCCTCCGGCCGTCGGCGGCCGGTGGCGGTTGATTGTGATCGAACGGTTAGACTGCGCGAACGCGACAAGGCAGGACTTTGCTGACCGCGCATACCTGACTGCGGACGGTATCTACGGTTTGTTTTCCCTCTAGTTCAACAATGGTGGATTCCCGACGCTCTGGGAGACTGCCAACCTCTCGTAAGTGCATCATCTTGAGTCGCCCCTATCAGAGACGCCGCTTGCGCGCATCGATGTTTTAGCTTGCCGGATGGTCGGATTCACTCAAGTCTTTGCCGGGGGTACAGCTGACCCTAGCTTCCGTCATTGTTATCCATATCTGCTCCAAAAATCGGAACAGGAAAGCCACTGCGGAGGACAAGGCTCTTTTCACCGCTTTGAGCTCGTCCATCCCCAACATCGCACCTCGCGGAACGCGAGCAGGCGATTTCACGGGCGTGACCTACGACATCGCGGCCGACCCGGCCTGTTGGTGGACGGACACACTTTGCACACAACCCAAGATCGCTGCGCTGAAAGCTGATGTCACGCGGTGCCCTGAGCCCGAGACCTGGGGTTTCACACTCGATGATGGTGAGTCCATCGTAGGCTACCGCTCGCGTCGCTGCGCCTGCTGTGACAACAACTGAACAATGCAATACGCATCATTTGCTTTCGTTCCCACGTTCCACACTCAACGGGTATACAGGCCCAAATTGCTCGTGAGGAAGATCTCTCATACCCAAAGTGACCCGTGATAAACTTGAGGCTGATCGCCGCTCTATTTCGTGTGCCAATCGTATTCTCCAGGCACAACGCGTTTTATGATTACCTTTACGAGCAAAAACAAAAGGCGACCTTGTTCTATATTGGTGCGCTTCGCTCTCGATCACTGATCGCACGTGATCAGGCAAGTAGAAAGCTCACCCGTTGTATTTTTCCCTCTTTGTCGCTGCAGGTTCCAACGTCGTCGACTGGCCCTACGAAGCGCAGCGCGGTCTCGACGATGGCCACGAGATTTGCGCCCACACCTGGAGTCATCCTTACATGACGGCTTTGACGAACGAGGAAGTGTTTTCGGAGCTCTATTACTCGATGAAGGCTATTAAATCAGTGATCGGCGTGACTGTCCGATGCTGGCGACCGCCCTATGGGTGAGCAGACGTCCAATGACAGGAGTCGACGCGAGAAAAACTTGAGGTTGCTGACTTCCAGCCCCATTTTCCACTTTCAGCGACGTCGACGATCGTGTCCGATACATCGCTCAAGCTCTTGGTCTGACCACTGTGGTTTGGTCCGACAATACCTTTGATTACGACATTAGCACCCTTGGCACGGCGACGATCGAGGCAAACTATGTACGCTCAAGTTGCCCTCCGCAGCACCGAGATCGATGCTTACCCGCCGTCCTTGCTTGCATAGAATGCAATCTTGACCGAGCAGTCGAACGGCACATTCGCCCGTCAAGGCACAATCGTTCTCACGCATGAGCTCAACAACGGCACCATGTCTGAGTCCAAGAGCTTCTTGCCCAAGATTAAGAGCCAATTCAAGGCCGTGGTCCCCATCGCGGTATGCTACAACAACTCGCAGCCCTACGTCGAAACAGACTACACTTATCCCGTAAGTCTGGGCGCTACCCACCTGATCCGCTATCAATCATATATTAAAATTGATTTTCGGTTTCCCTGTTCTCGCTCGTCCCTCAATATATAGAACTTTGCCCAATTCACTGCGGGCACGACTTCGATCTCGCTCGCCACGGCCACTGCCACGAGCGGCCCCGTTCTGTCGATCCCTCTTTCGACGGGTCAGACCGGCTCATTAGTCGTTCCTCTCAGTTATACCATTGCCCACGCCGCCAACAACGCCGCCGCAACCACGACCGGATCGGGTTCTTCGGCCACGGCCACCGGCTCCGCCAGTGGGTCGCGAACGTCGGCGACGTCGACGGCCAAAGCTTCGGCTGCTCAAAGCTTGAGCTCGAATGGTGTTGGATACATCATGGGATTGCTGACGCTCGGCGCTTTCGTCGTCGGGGCTCTGCTCGTCTGGTGAGCGCTTCTCCATCCCTCGCAACTTTTACGATCTTGTTTTCGCGGCCTTATGTTCTTATTTGATTGTTTCGCTGTATATTGCAAAAACCCTCACGCAATCTTATGTAGACACTTGGGGAATGACACGTACCTAGTTCCTCCCATTCAAGTCACGTGAAGGCCCGCTCGAAGGCATTGAGCGTTATGAGACCACCGACAATGCATACATCCAGCGCGCCAAAATTACGCGCCTGTACGCGTCGCCAAAAGTCTTGGCGCACGCGCCTTCATAGCATCCACCAAACAGCGGCTGGTTCTCGGTGGGCTGCTGTAGAGGTCTCAACTCCTATGTACTTCGATGGAGGATGTTTCACAACTCCCGTTATTTTAATTTCATCACCACTAGCGACACCTCTTACTTGCAACAAGATAGCGCCGTTGTGGGACCTTGACAATAACAGCTCGGACAACCCGACGGCCACCGAACTGCCACCGATCGATTCGGCCTTGGCACGAACCGCCGCACACAGGGTCGACTAGCTTTCGTCTCGTCCTCTTCACTCACCCGCAGACAACAACGACCAGCACGACGAAGGCCACGATGCTGAAACTGTTCTCATCTGCAACCACGCTACTCGCTCTGACGAGTGTCGGTGTCGATGCCGCCGACATGCACCGCCATCTAGCTCGCCAGGCGGCCCAGTCGACCACGGCCAGGGCTTCGGCTTCGGCTTCCCGAGCTGCCACAACTGCCACTGCCACCGCATCGCGTGCTCCCCTTACTTCGCTACCTCTGGCGTCTGTGTAAGTTTTTGTTCTTGGCTTCTCTTTTCGTACGGGCTGCCTCCTTGCCCTGCCGTGGCGCATCTACGACTATGTCCACTTGGGCTTTCCCTCCGGCGCCTTCGACTTCGCGCGGCGAGGTTGGCACGCGCGCTGCGGAGGCCACGCGCTCCGGCGGTCCTTGGTGTCGGCCCCACTGCGCCTTACCCCGCGCGCGCAACGTTTTCTCGGGCTTGGCGCCAGATCGCCGTCCACGGAAGCTGGATTGACACCATACTTGTTAAGTATTCCGTGCATCAACTGAATTTGACCGGACCCTACAGCTCATTGATTGGATCCACGACCACGGCCGAGGTCACCGTGCCATTGCCATCAACTTACGCTGCTGGGTCGACACCTCCGGTCAAGAGGGCCCCTGTCCTCCCCAACAGTGAGTTTTCGACGAGGATACAAAGGGCGTCTCGCAAACCGCTATTCAGCTGCTGACTCTCCTGGCTCTCCGTTATCTATTTCAGTCTCGCAACTCACCCCGGCCAACTACCCTACGCTCGACAAGGTCCCGCCGACAAATTCCCCCGAGGTGCAAGCGTGGATCGCTCAGACCGACCTCGCGAACGCGCCTAACATCCCCGTCACAGGAGTCAATGGGTGCTCCAATTCGACCTTCAACGCCGACGGACTCAAGAATGCCGGTTCGAGTGGCTATTGCTGGTGGACGTGCGGTGGGTGCACCCGCGCGACCGACATCTCGTACTGCCCGACCAAGGACGACTATGGTGTCAGCTTCGACGATGGACCTTCGCCCGACACACCGCGCTTGCTCAACTTGCTGGCTGAGCAGAACATCAAGTCGACGTTCTTCGTCGTCGGTTCGCGCGTCATCTCGAGGCCCCAGATGGTCCAGACCGAGTACATGGAAGGTCATCAGATCAGTGTCCACACTTGGGCTCACTCCTGTCAGTGATCTGCAGCATTATTTTCCCGCATATTTGGCTGGCACTACACTGAGACTTCCGAGCTTGTTCCCACTTCCCACAGCGTTGACGACTTTGACGAACGAACAAATCGTTGCCGAGTTGGGTTGGACCAAGAAGATCATCTACGACGTCACCGGCGTGACCCCCAACACGTTCCGACCCCCTTTCGGAGACATCGACGACCGAGTGCGCTACATCGCCATGAAGATGGGACTGAGGCCCATCATCTGGACGAGGGCTAATGACCAAGTCTTCGACACCAAGGACTACCAAATCGGCGCCGGCACCGTCACGGCTGCTCAAGCATTGACGAACGTGCAAAGTTTCTTCTCCTTGGCCCAAAACACCCTTTCGAACGGGATCATCGTCTTGTCGCACGACTTGTACCAACAATCCGTCGACCTGGCCGTCAACTTCTACTTACCGAGCGTCATTTCAGCCGGTGTTCTCAAATTGCAAACGATCAACTCGTGCATCGGCGAGGATCTCAACAACGCCTACATCGAAACGAACGACAACACGACCGCGGTGATTCAATCGACTTCGACGGTGGCGGGTGCGACGGGGACGGGTTTCGTCGCTTTTGCAGCAAGTGCGACCACTTCCGGCTCTAGGCCGACGTCGACCGGACGTTCGGGGACAACTAATGGCGCGGGTCCTTCTTCGACAGGGACCGGGTCCGCTTCGGCGACTACGACTGCGGGATCGGGCGCCTCGACTTTGACCTCAGCTCAGGGCCTGTTTACCACCTTCCTCGTTGCCCTCGGTTTCGTCGTGGCATAAAGTCGAATTGAGCCCGAGTACAAGACTCGTTCCCCTGTCAAGGCAAAGATCGACATGATGACGATAGCACACCACCATGGTGTGATTTAGTAGACACTGATGATGCTTTTAGCAGCTTTCTTGATGATATATCTGTGCTTGATTAGACGTAACGAAGATATATAGCATCAACCCCGTGCCATCGGTTTCTCGGGTTCGACTCGAGACTTGAAGCATGAGGACAAGCCCAATCGGTTCTCTCGAGGAATTATACGTTGGAGTGAGATGTACGTGGGCCAGTCTATTTGAAGCGTCATGGTATACACAGCAGTACTACGAGAAAAATGCAAAGCAAAAGCAAAAGGAGAAATTACGGCTTCGAGGAGCCACTTCATGCAGAATGCAGAGAGAGCAAAGCAGGTAAAGGGGGACAGAAGAAATCGGAGAGCTTGTCGGAAACCCTTTCATTGAACGTCTTGGTACCGGAACGGGCCTCGTTCTTTGCCACGATGAGTGAATCGAGTGGATGCCCGATCACAGCGGCGACTATCTAGGGGACTCGATCATACAAAGCCTAACGAGCCTTACCTCGAGCCCCTCGAGGAGCAGGAGCGGCCATATTAGGCACGGGTGCCGCGGGAGCCGGACGAGCTTGTACGGGCAGATGAGGCACTGGATACCGAGGATCGATGGGGGGTGCCTTGTCCGCAAGTTTCTTGAGCGCCTCTTTGTCAATATTGGGGTTCGCGTTGAGTACTTCGGCAGCTGCTGTTGCGCGAGCGGCTTCAACCTGTAGCGCGATCAAAGTAATTCAGCGCTCTCCGATCATTCATTTTGTGGGGCACGCGAGCAGTCACCTCTTGAAACGTTCGGGTCTTGTGATCGTCCCACAAAAGACAAGTGGCATTCGCGTCGGAACCTTTCGGCGCATTGGCGAAGCCTGCATTCTTGAAGTGCTCGTAGCCCTGTTCAGTGCATCGGATTCGGCGTCAGATCAACTCCGAGTGGAAGAATAATGGAAGGGTCGGAGGCAGGCCATCATACTCACGCTGACCTATAGCAAGAAAAGAAAGGTGGAGTGTAAGCTTCCAGTTCGCGACGAACGACTGCCCAGGGTACGCCAGTGACTCACAATCTTTCCGCAAATGAAGCATGACATCGTTCGACACGAGGGGCACGTCATTTTCTATCGTCATAGCCAAGTAATGATCGGGGTCAGAAACGGCTGCATCATCACTAACGGTCCACACCACTCACATTACAACCGTCTTCTTTGATGTAGGGTTCTCCGCAGCGAGTGTTGGGGCATTTGCGAATCAGCGCTTCCGACATGGCCTCTGGGGAAAATACCAGCAAATATGAGCATGCTGATAGCAATCGGGAGCAACCCGGTCGTACTGACCTTCGACCTTGTGAACGCTATTGATTTTCTCTTCCGCAGCAGCTTCCTCTTTGCACGTCCTCGGCAAGTGGTCCTTCTGCATGACCCCAAAATCAAACCATCATCAGCCTTTGTAATCCCGACCAGGCGAAATATTACGGCGATCGCTCACCTTCTTGCATGAACGACAAGAAACTTTACGGCAAGCGTCGCTGATACAATGAAACAGCTTCTCGTTGGGGTTATCGATGATGCACGCGAAGCTGCAGAAAGGGCATTTCTCCAACCCTTCCAACTCGGCCAAATCGACCTCTTTCTCTTGACGAATCTTCTCGAGCGCGGCGAGGGTCGTGGAGGGGAGGAATCGTTCCAATTCCGAGTCGCGGAAGATTGCTGCACAGCCATCAACGGACATGCATGGGATCACGCACTGTGCGATCGGGCAGCAGAGCTTGGATCAGGCCCCAACGTTGCCACCTCGAAAACCGGAACCCCTTCCAGAAGCCTGTGCTCTACTCACCTTGCGCATCCCAATCTGCGTATTGACGTTCTGCGTCGCACAATCGCGACAAAACTGACATCCTTCGGAGCACGTCGCAATCCTCGAGAAAGCCGTATCACCAAAGCAGCACCCACATTCAAAGAAAGCGCCACTCTTGATCTCTTTCTCGATCTCTTCCTTTTCTTGCCAGGCCCTCTCCTCCTCTCTTCGTTTTCGAATCGCATCACGATCGACGTAGCGCAGTACCCACGTTCGTTCATCCTCAACGCTCTCGGCACCATAGCCCGTGTATTGCTGTCGCGTCGTTAATTTCTTCATCAAGGTGAAGCCGCGCTCTCGATCGTTCTGCTTCATCGCCGCGTGGAGCTTGATGTACGTTGGCGCGTAGAAGTACTTGCACTCGTTCTTGTACACCCTCATAATGTCGGCTTGTCGCATCAGAGGGAAGTCGTCGAGCAAGTACCCTTGTGCAGCTTGTTGGTAAAGAGGGTAGGGCGAGGCACGAGTCTCGATATTGAGGTAACCCTTGGAGTCGATCATATCGTCTTCGGCATCGTCACGCTTACGTTTGTGGTCATTGGTCTTAGCTCCCACCACGATTTTGGGATAAGGTTCGGTGAGTAGTTTCTCGACGATATGGTCGACGCTTTGACCATAAAGGGCTTGTCGATACAGCGATTGTGCGTGCTGGGGTTCGACATCGGGAATGACGGCGAGGATCATCTCCAAAGCCGCTTTCTCGAGTTGTTCGGGAATGTTGTTGCGGGACGGTCCCGGAGCCGCTTCTGCTGGAGCAGATGGGAGAGCCGGTCGACAAGCAGCTCTATCGGGTGATGGACTTCGTGGTGGCGGTGAGCTATCCCACTCGTCTTCATCCGGTTGGAACGGTCTAGCTTTGGCGCGCGGCGCTGGACCTTGTCCGCCCGCGGCGGGTCGAGGTTTCGCAGGTCGAGCCTTGTGGGGGATGAAGGTGTATCGTTCTCCCATCCAATTGTCGTCGCTGAGGTACAAGATCTCAGGTTCGACATCCCTCTCCCTCGCCTTCCCCTTGCCCTTGTCTTTCGCTTTGCTCTTGCCCTTCCCTTTCTCCTTGTCATCTCGCGGTGGGACGTTGTTCGAAGAAGTCTTCTTGCTCGGTGGCCCTTCGGGATGGTCGATTTCGATCGCTCGCTTCTTGCCCTTGTCCTTGGTCGGTGGGACCCATTTGAAATGCACATCGTCAGGGTCTTCACGTTCGACATCGCTGTTATCATCCTTTTTGACGTCGTGATGGCGGAAACGATCGTGAAGGAGAGCCCAAGTGGTCGCGCCGTGAGGTAGATCGTCGTTGAAGTCGTCGTAGCCTTCGATTTGTCCGATCAAAGGGCTCGGACCGTACACGTGAGGCCTGCGAAGCGTCTTTTTGTAGAGGGGCATGAGGTCACAGTAAAGCATGAATTCTGTGCGAAGGTTAGACCGAGTTGAGCAAAGCTTTGCTTCTATCCACTCTGTAACTCGAACGGATTCGGGAGGGTCAACACTTGAATGATCAGCAATCAACTCACGAGCCCTACGATGAGCGTCCATATTGGCCACCTCGAGTGTTCCAGCGGTAGTCTCATCCTTGATCATTCGAGCCCAGGCCGCGTCCAGGATTTGGTCGTACTGGACAGGCGCTCGCTTTCTCGTATCTCTGACGATCCGGAATAGCTGCGTGGCGCCGAGACGCGGCGTTGGGGAAAGGACAAAATCGATCGTGTCAGCTCCTTGGATACTATACTTTGTATGGGGGAAGCAACGACACGCTCTGGCAAGAGGTGAAAGAGCACGACACGACGACTCGAGCGCGTCGTCTCCCAACTGCCAGCACAAGACTGACCTCATCCTTCATATCCAACAGCGAGCTCTGCTGTTGAGCTTGACCTTGGGCTTGACCGTTGTTGATCTCGCTTCGCGATCGATGAGGCGTGAGAGGCTCCACTTGGGCTGGTCGGCGTGGCTGATCATTCTTGAGCGTTGCCATCACTGCGCCACGATTCCAAACCCCCCACACGCGCTCGTGCTGGGGGGAGCTTCCACGCGCTGGGAGGTGTGTCGTGTGTCGCGTGAGTTGGCTATCGTGTCCTACACGAGCTTTCATGCGTACATTCGCGCGATGTGGCACGTCCTCGAGACACAACTGCTCGAGTAGGGAGGTGGTACGTCGACGCGACGTGAGGAGAGGAGGCTAAAAAACCCAAAGCACGAACGCTGCTGCCACGGGTGTTGGTGCGACGCGGCAAATTCCAAAACACCAAATTGACATTTACCTTCACACACACACAGGTTAAGACTACGCGGGTCGGTTTTTTTTTTCCTTTTTTTTTTTTCTTTCCTTGGGCATCAACTGAGAAATGAAGGGTTGCATAAAGTGTACAAAAACCGTGAAATACAGTGTACGATATCTACTAGTACGGGAACGTCTCCTAAGTGGCCCGCCCAACGCTTAATGGTGTAAACCCAAGTCGCTCGAGTGACCATGGCTGTTGATGAATCTGCCGAACAAGAGTTCGCCTAGTGCCAGACCGGAGATGATGGAGATGAAGAACCATGCGGAATAGGTCATGATCGCCAACATGAGCAAGTAGCCGATGAACGCTTGTAGCTGTGTCGTCCGAAAAACGAGAAGTTCAATCTCAGGGCGGGGCGAGGTGACATATGATGAGCACTCCCTAACTCACAGCAAAGATGGCGGTACGAGGCAAATCGATCGAGGGTGTGAAAGGCGCCGGACTCGAATGGAATTTGTGCAACAGATCCGCGAGCTCGGACCTCGCTTGGGCTTTGTCGCTCGGATCCGAAGCAACATCCAGCTCACCCTTACGCGAGGGCATCGTCGGGACCGTATTGAGCAAGGTCGCATCGACGAGTGGTTGGTGTTGTGCCAGTCTTTGGCGAAGGATCGATTGGGTCCAGTTGGCTTCACACGAGGTTCGGACGGTGGCGAGGAAACGGGAGAGGATCGCGAGGAGGGCGAGTCCGATACACGCGCCGGCTGTACTGGCTGAGGTTGTGGGGATCCAACCGTCGAACCAGAGCTGAGAGCTTCCGATGCTATTGGGGAAAGGGGGACAGAAGTGCCAAGTCAGCAAGGGGGGGGGGCTCAGGGGAACCTCGAACGGCGGAGGTCGGCGCGCGACTCACGTGGTCGAGAAGGAAGTGCCCATCGTAGCCGTGGACGAGTTGGACATGTTCATGTCCATCTGCATCTGCGGGAGACAAACAGTCGGTTGTTAGTCAGCGATTTCGATCCAGAGTGCACGAATGCTGTTGATCTCACATCCGAGCCGTGAGCGAGTGCGAGCATAGGCCCGGTTGCTGCCAGGACGAGCACACTCAGTGCGATCGTACTCGGGGCGGTGGGGTGTGTCCGAGCGGGGATCATGTCTGCAGTCGACTGCGGTGCTGCTGCAGGATGGGTAGAAGGAGCGAATTGGGGATTGGTGCCAAGATGCCGAGGCGGACCAAAGAGAAGAGGCTATAATTGAACTCGAACCGGTCGCCCCACCAGTGACCACTGCGCGGTCCTGCGCGGTCTTGCGCGTTCGCCTCGCGGGCTCGACCGCAAGCAGCGCTCAGCGCTCAGCGCTCACAGGTCACCGGTCATCCGCGCCTTGCCCAGAGCGGCCGAGCAGCGACTAATTATAAAGACCGAATACGTTCGTGTCGCGAATGACACCGCGAGCAACTCCTTGTTCAGCTTCCCAACCCCACCTCCTACATATCCCGGGCACCGCCTCACACATTGCATCAGCACCACACAGCAGGGCCCCACCTACTCAGACTCGCATCGTCGTCCGTGCGTGAGCTTGCTCGTCCGCGTTCGTGGGTTCGTTGGTCCGTCGGTCGGTGCGCCCACCCTCGCCCACCTTGCGCCAATTGTGCACGGTTGTCTACGAAGCTCGCGCTCTGGAGCTTGAGCGCTTGGCTTGAACTGCGCGACTCCATAACCCACCTACGACGGAACGGGCAGCAATGAGCAACGTGTGTTATGATCCCACATCGGGTGCTCCCGTGCCCTGTGGTGGCTTCACAGGCAAGTGCTCAGCTTTCATGAGCTTTGATGGCTGGTACCAGACTCGTGCTCAGCTGGCCCGCGCAGGCTGAAGAGCCACACCACGTGATCGCAACTGACCCTGCTTGCCTGCGCGCCTCTCTCACTTTCCACTGAACAGTCTACAACAGTTACGTGACCGACCCAGAGTACCAACGCTACTTCACCATAGCATGGACTGCAACGCTCGCCTTCGCCACGCTGCTGACGCTGCCGTCTGTCATCGAATCGCTGAGGATGGGCCAATGGCGCCGCCGGTCATGGGCTGGTCTCGTGCTCGGCATCTCGGAGCGTCCTTCCTCGGCGGCGTACCAACGCATAGAGGATCGTGCAGCCGAGCAAGAATCAACCCAAACCGCACCCAGAAATCCCTCTAGATCATTCCTCCACGGCCCCGTTGCCGTCCTTTCCTCCCTTTACGGCACCGTCTCTCGCTTCTCCCTCGGCGCACCCCTCGCAAAACGTTTCCCCCGCCTCGCCTTTCCGTTCGGCAAACTCGTACTCGTGCTCCTCATCCCTCTCTTCTACCTCCTCACACTCTTCCCCGAGTCACAATTACGAGAGAACCCCAATCGATTTGGCTTCCTCGCCCTCGCCGGGTTGCCACCTCTGTTCCTCCTCTCGTCCAAGAACGGCGCCGCGAGTTGGCTCTTGGGTAAGAGCTGGACCACAGTCAACTTTCTCCATCGCTGGCTCGCGAGGACGATCGTGTTGCTCGTTCTTCTTCATTTCTACTTTTGGACCATTCAGGTGAGTCAGCTCGACCCCACCCACCTCGTTGAGACAACCTTCCTGACTGCTCACCACCCACAGTACGCCCCCTCGGGAACGGCCGAGTTCCTCTCGGGAAGCAAAGAACGGCGCGGAATAGGCGCCCTCTCTTTCCTCCTCTTGATCGCCGTGTCCTCGGCCGGTCCCTTGCGTCGTTACTCGTACCCACTCTTTTTCTGCCTCCACTACCTCGGCATTATCGGGTTCCTCACCTTCGTCAATATGCACACCATCTATGCGCGCACATGGGCGACCTGGTCCATCGGTCTCATTTACGCCATCGACATCTTTGCGCGCATCGTCACCATGAGGGTCAAACACGTCACTGTCGAACCCCTCGGAGAAGGCATGACCAAAATTCACATACCATTCGCCCACGATGGTTGGCGAGGTGGTCAACACGTGCAGCTAAGGTTGTTCTTCACTGCCCCAGGGAGGTCGTTCTGGAGTTGTTTCAGGAGCTTGGAACAACATCCTTTCTCCATCGCCAATGCATCATCCTCGACGACGGTCTTGCAATCCTTTTTGACATTGGGTGGGATCGACCTCTACCTCCGATCATGTGGACCCACGACCTGGACTGAAGACCTCTACCAAACGGCCTTCCAAGCCCAACAAATCAGCCAAGCCGACCCGCGTCACTTAGGCAAGAAACTCAATCTCTTCGCCTTGCTCGAAGGCCCTTACGGTGGACTAGACGCCTTCGACCCGCTGAAGCAAGAAACCCTGCTTTTCCTCGCCGGTGGAAGTGGGATGAGTTTCGTCTTGGGAACATTGGACGAAGTGGTTGGGAATAGAATTAGGACTCGTCAAGGCGGTCGGATCGAGGTAGTTTGGGTCGTACATCGTTTCGAACACGTCGAATGGTTCCGTCTGCCTCTACAAGCTTTGATCGAGGCTGCTTCGACATCGGGTCTGGATCTCGTCGTCGATCTTCAAATTTACGTCACAACCCCTTTTCCCGATAAAGGCCTCGACTCTGAAACCCCTTTCCAGAAAGTCGTCAACGCCAGACCCAACCTCCCTACCCTCATCCAATCCTCCATCGACGCGACTCTAACCCCTTGTCGACGTTGTTATCCTATTTGTCGATGCGCCGATCTGAGACAGGATGGAATGTGCGGTAATGATGACGAGGAATGTGTTGGGTCAGGGACGGTTGCGAATCTGAGGGAGTCGATTGTTGAGTTGGACGGAGAGGGGTGTGGGACAGAGAAGGGGAAGAAGAGCTGTTGTTATCGAGTCGGTTCCGGTTTGGAGGAGAATGGGGAATTGCAGGAAGAGAAGATGGTCAAACGGGATCAAGGGTCTGGTTGCTCCAACTCGAACGGATCGCTGGGATGCTGTGGCGCCGGTGCCGGCGCCGGTTCGGCCAAGGTTCAGACTCGCGTTGTCGAAGGCGCTATCAAGGTCCGACAAGGAGGCTACAAGATGATTGTTTGTGGACCTGCTTCGATGATTGTAAGTCGCGTGCATCTCGTCAACATCATCAGAAAGCATCTTCTGACCTGGATCGAATTTCTCTTCCACAGGTCGAAACCCGACAAACGCTCTCTCGGATCCCGCTCGCCAAACAAGTCAAGTTGGGTGGCATAGGCTTACACATCGAGGCGTACGGAGTCTAGACAGACTTCAAGGGTTGTCACGCATGGACCCTCGTCTTGGGCGCTCGTTACGATCCTTTCTCTATGCCAGCTTTCCCGATCGTCCCCGCTGCATGTAGTTTTCTTTCCTCTTCGTCGTCGTAACTGCAATCAACTGAAATTCTTGGTGTAGAGCATGTCGCCATCCAAGATCTACTGTAGTATTTGAGACTCGTGTGAACTGGGATTCCAAGCAACTTATAGGTACGGTTCCGAACTTGTGGAGGGTGGGAGAGAGGGAGACGGAGACGGAGACGGAGAGCATTAAGATGAGAGCTGAAGCAGTCATCGAAGAATCTAGACCGGGGGGCTGGGAAAGCTCTACTACACTCAAACGAGCAGCGCCAAAGCCACGATCGAAAGTGACCCTACCAAACCTCCAACCACGTGCTTTCCAGCCGCACTCTTGGCCCCCGTCGTCGTAGCGGCAGGTGTATTGTTCGTGTCCGATGCGGTCGTCGTCGCCGTCGTCGTCGTCGAGGCGTTGGAGGTGCTGGTTGAAGCGGAAGTGGCGTTGCGGCATGTGAGGTTGGAAGGAGCGACGTAGTTGTTAACGAGGATCACGTCAGCGCATTGCAGAAGGAGGCCGTCGCCGCCGTTATATTCGACTCTGGTGGGTGGAGGGGTGTTTTGCAGAGGGATCAGCTTCACTGAGAAAACTTTTTTGGAGAGATGGGTACGTTCGAGGAGGGACGTACTGGATGGTGGCAGGGGTTCCGTCGGTGATGTTGGTAGCACCGAGGGTAGAAAAGTCGACGTTGAAGCACCACTGTGTGAGGAATGAGATTGGGTGGATCAGTTTCCGAGCGTGGGGACGCAGCCGAGTAGGGACTGTTGGACCGGCGCGCCAAAAGGGGGGGTACTATCTCCGTCACTCGGCACACCACGCTTTTTTCTGCCCTCCTTAGGCATTTTTTTAGAATAACTCACCTCTCCTTGTCCCTGGATTGTTCCAAAAGGCATGAGCATACCCGTCGTCGCCTGACCCGAAGCGGTCTTGTTGAAATCCGCAAACGAGGTGACGTTGGTGTAGCCGACGGCGGCGATGATGGCGACTTGAGCGCTCGGGTGGTGCGAGTCAATCAAGATCGACCCGGGGCCTGAAAGGGGGAACGGCGCGCGTTCGCTCGACGGGTTAGGTAATCCACCGCAAAAGCCTGGAGGGGCGGGTCACCGAGGTGCACAGACAAGTCGAGTTTAGCATGAGCAAGTTGAGGAGCAGTAATCGACGTTTGGATTGTACGCACGGGGCTCGAGGTCCTCGTCAAAGCCACGGGTGGCAGGGTAGTCGAGAGTGAAGTGGGCAGCAACAAGGGGAACGAGCGCGAGCACGGCGAGGGAGAACTTCATGATGATCTTGGTGTGGGAATGAAACGAATAAGTGGAAGGGGTGAATCGATACCGGGAGGTAGCGGGGGGCAGAGGACGAGTAAGGCGTGAGGGAGGGAGGGGGAACAGGGATGAGATGCGAACATCCCTCCGCCCTCGACGGACATTTCGAATGGTGGGCGACCGCTGCTGGCGACCGGGCACAAGCGGCTCATTCGTCAGCTTCGTTTTAGCGGTTTGTCCCGATCTTCGTGCCCCTCCTCTGAGCCATTTTTAGAGCTCACACCGAGCCATCAGATGTGAGGACCCAGTCCGGGGCGGTACCATGTCTGAGCAGCCACAAGATCGCGCGTCAAGTGGTCCCGGAGATGTGGGGGTTGGGTGAGTTGGGCATTGATTCGTTGTGCGGTGGCATCATGTAACGAGCAGAGCGAGGGGTTGCCACATGCCTAGGGCCAAGCCAATCAAACATTTGGAATTCGAGGCCGTTTTAGAGGGTACTGAAGAGTCCTTAGGAAATGTCGGATCGGAACGAGGTGGAGGAGAGAGAACAAGAAGCAACCAGCTTCGGAGATGACCCACCAGCATCCGGAAGAAGCTCGCCTCGAATCGAGGATGGCGTGGGAAAGGAGGAATAAACCGTTCCATGGACGTCATCTTGCCCTTTGACGCGTAGAAACGTACCTTTTCGTGGCATCTAAACCGTTCGAGCTATCGGGATTGCAGTCTCAATCAAGGACGTCGGCATTAAGACGGAGGGGCGACGGTCACTGCGCCTGAATGTGGGGGCTGCCAAGCGAATCGGTCGATCTCTGCCAACCCCACACAGAGTGCGCCATTTTTTTCCAGGGTCGGTAGAGGTCTTACAGCTTGATGTATGGGTGCAAACGGGTCCCTATTACTGATTAATACGATTACTGGTTGTTGACGTCGATTAAGGTCGTTGCACGCGCTGCAGAACCGTTTGAGCGGAATTATCCCGCTCGCAGCGCCTATTCTGCCCGCACATTGGCTAAGCATGGGCCAAAACTGGTCAAAACCCCGCCTCCCCCTGTCTTTTATTGACGCGCGTTTCGACGGGCCGGGACAGGCGGAGGCGTCCAGGCCCAGCCACGCTCTGCTCTTGCCCGCCCATCCAGACCACACCCCGCTCCCCATCCACACTCTACTACACCGGCCCATTCCGTGAGTTTCTAACCGCTACGATTACTCGACCACTTCCGATGAAGTGTATGCGGTGCCGCGGATGACGGCAGGCGAGAAGTAGGCAGGCAGGCGTGCGAGGAAAAAAAGTCAAACGCCCATCTGCCTCCCCACCTACTGCATCCCACTCCAGTCCCGAGACCGCATTCATCGTGTTGCTACGACCCATTTTGTTCCGATTGCACTCGAGGTCATCCGCTGACACGACCTGCACGCCCACAGCTCGCCCTCGACCCTTTTTACGCGTCTTCCCACCCCGCTCACCGTCCACCATGGCCCCCGCATCCCGACTGCCCGCTGCTCTTCAAGCCACCGAGGAGGACATTAGTCTTCTCTTGACCGCTCAGGCCCACATTGGGTCAGTTCTTTGAACTTGCATCGTCGTCGGTATCGACCCTGCCGCTGACCGTGCTTCCGGGCTTGCTATCTCCCGTTCCTCTGCTGCATAGTGCCAAGAGCGTCGAGAAGAAGATGGTCCCTTACGTCTTCAAGCGACGAGCCGACGGTATCAACATTATCAACCTCGGCAAGACTTGGGAGAAGCTCGTCTTTGCTGCCCGAAGTCAGTGGGCTCTCTTGGCCCACGTGGTCCGCTCGTGGCTCGAGGTGCACGAACCTGACTTCGTGACTTCCCACTCTCCTCAGTTATCGCTGCCATCGAGAATCCCAACGATATCTGCGTCATCTCGGCTCGCCCTTACGGCCACCGCGCCGTGCTCAAGTTCGCCGCCAACACCGGCGCGCAAGCCATCGCGGGTCGCTTCACGCCCGGTAACTTGTGAGTTGACCTCACGAAGGCCTTGCAAGGTGCTGGTCTTCAAGATATTGAGAGTCTATTTGTGTGCAGCACCAACTACATCACCCGTTCGTTCAAGGAACCCCGCTTGATCATCGTCACCGACCCCCGCGTCGACCATCAAGCGATCCGAGAGGCGTCCTACGTCAACATCCCCGTCATCGCCCTCTGCGACACCGACTCCCCCCTCTCCTTCGTCGACGTCGCCATCCCGGCCAACAACAAGTCCAAGAACTCGATCGGTCTCATCTGGTGGATGCTCGCCCGTGAGGTTCTCCGCCTCCGAGGCACCATCTCGCGCGCTCCTGGCGCGTGGCCCGTCATGGTTGATTTGTTCCTGGTCAGTTCACGGTAGGCTCTTTCATCGACCATTGCCCAGCGGCTTATTCGACCTCTCTCAATCTTTACAGTACCGTGACCCCGATGAAGTCGAGCGAGACCAGGAGGCGACCAAGGCCGAGGCCCTCGAGGCGACTGAAACCGCTGCTCCCGCCGAAGCCGAATGGGGCGTCGAGGGAGTCAGTTCAGGAGTGGCCGCCGCTGCCAATCTTCCTTCGACCGATGCCGGTTCGTACTCGATGAGAGATCATGTCCCCTTTTCCGTTCCGCCTGCCCTACTTCCGAGATGTGAACTAACCTGCGTCGGGACCCAAACAATTGGCCCGCAACAGATAATTGGGGTGCCGACACCACAACCGACTGGGCCGCCGAGCCCGCTGCTCCTGCTGCCGCCACTGCCGATGCTACCGCTTCTGGGTGGTAGACGACTTCGACGAGGACGGCGATGGCAAACTCGCCCTTGTTGGGTCCGAGCTTTGACCCGTCCGACGAAAAATGCTGTGATAGCTCCGTTTGTTCGTGGTAGCTGTAATGCCCATATACTCTTTCGCTCGCAACCATCTTCCATGCTGTATTTTGCTTGTGCTTGTCTCGCGCTATTCGAGCTCGGAAAGATTCGCTGCACAAGTGCCCAAGCCGCTCCTTTCCGGTGCATCGGGATTCTTCGGTGTTACAGGGGCTACTCGGATCGGAACGGTCCGTCAGGTCGGATGTGCATACTATGCCTTGGCTTCTAGGTCTGGTCACATGTTCACTGGAAACGAACCTTTCCTGCACCAGAAGAAGTCCAGAAGAAGTCCAGAAGGTCCTTGTTTGATTCCCGAGCGTCTCCGAGGTCGCACCGGAGAGGGTTTACCCCATTGGAGCGGGGGAAGCCTTCTGAACTTCTGAGGACTTCTGCGAGCCGCCGGGGGCAACCTTGCTTTATCCTCGGAGACACCGATCGGAAGGGAAGGATACGAGACAAGGACACTGCGAAGTCGATCGTTCGGTGATCAGTTGGTGACGTTCGATCTTTCTTGTGGATGTGCATGTCCGGTGTGCAAGTCCGTCTCGGAGCTTTCTGGGGGCGAAGTGCCAGGCTATAAAATTGGACCTTCACCGTCGTTCCCTTTTTGCTTCCTGTCCATCACATCCCTCATTCGACACTTCCGACTCCACATACATCAAATCCCACAGACCACACAGACCACATCCCTATCACCATGCATACCTACTTCTTCACCGCTCTCTCCGCCTCAGCTCTTCTTGCCCTCTCCCACGCTGCCCCCACCTCCGGTGGTCCTTCTTCGGTCCACGATGTCTCGCCCAAGTACGGCCCCGACAGCAAGTGCTTCCACTACTACTTTGATCACTTGGGCGAGTACAAGCACAAGTACGGGTGCAAGGACTACGAGCAGTACAAGGTCAGTGTCGAGGTCCAATTATTTCTGCTTTCTGTTCTGGAATTACTCCTCTCTTTCGAATGGCTGCTGACTCTGTTTCTGCGGGCTTTTGACTGTCTTGCCCACTCTTTCCCAGGGCTCGTACGACGACGCTTACTACGCCAAGAAAAAAGCCGAACAGGACAAGAAGGACGCTGAGTGCAAGAAGCAAGACTACGACTTCCAAAAGCACACCTGGCGTTACATGTCGCTCAAGGTTCGGTCTTCCGTCTTTTGTCCTTGCGTCCTCCGAGTTATCGGGTACTTGAGTTCGATTCTGACCCTGACTTTCTTTGATTCTATCGTCGCGGATAGAACTCGTTGGAGGAGAAGGCAAAGGAGTACAATGCTTTGTACAAGCAGTACAACTTAGAGACGGTCAGTTCCCACCGCCGCAAGCTCATGTCCTCTCGAGTGGGTTTCAGTTCGCTGACCCGACGTCCACCCGGTGGGCCTTTCCACCGTTCAGACCAAATACGAGGAGCACAAAAAGAACTACGAGGCGTTCAAGCGTGCCCGGGAGGAAGAAAAAAGGAAGAACGAGGAGACCAAGGTTCGTTTCGTTCCCGATCCCCATCCAACCTGACTAGCGAGACCCCCTATCTAACTCGGACCTCTTCCTGCGTTCGCCTTCACGCCCCACAGAAGTACTGCGAAAAAGTATTTGAAGAGGTCAAGGAGTACTTCAAGGTCAGTGTGCGCTCGCAAGTTTTAATGGAGTGTCCTTGTAGTGCTTTGTCCTACAGGCTTTGTAAGGCGGCGTGGACACTGACTTTTTCGTAATTCCTGATTCCTTCTTCCTGACCCTAGCCCAAGCACTCCTATCACATCGACGGTCACCAGGTCAGCACTTGTTACGGTTTTCTGCCTCGCTCGTCATTCTTCTGCTGACACTAATTCCGTGCCCTTGCATTCGTGAAATCTGTAGAACTCGTACGGTGGCGGCAACTTGAAGGGAGACGCCAAGGGATTTGCTGGCAAGAAGGACGAGAAATGCGACGAGGACAAGAAGGATGGTGGTCACGGCGGAGACAAGAACGTTGGTGGCAAGGATGGACACGATGGCAAAGACGGACACGACGGCAAGGACGTCTTTTCCCACGGCAAAATACACGACGGCAAGCCCCATCACCACAAGGGCTTCAGACAGTACGACGGCAAGGACAGCAAGTTCCATGGCAAAAAGGATGAGAAATGCGATGACGACAAGAAAGACTTTCGCAGCGGGGCCAGCCGTAAAGGCCGGTGGTGACTACACTTGAGGTAGGACGACAGTCACAAGGGTGGCGATTGCGACAAGCACGACAAGAAGGACGGCCACGGCTACGACCACGATGACAAGAAGGACAATCAGTTGCAGTAGTGGTGATTCCGGGCTTTGGGTCGGGTTTCTGGGCTCCCCAAATATTGGATCCGTTTTCGTTCCAGCTCTCTTCCCTTCACTTGCCTCTTTGTGACATAGACGGTCTGGCCTGGAGTTTCTCTTTTTTCTTGATTCTTGACTGTGTACACTTGTAATCGGGCTCGCTTGGACGTTCCGCCTACATCTCAACGTTCAGTAAACTCACCGACTCGAGGATTCGAGCCCAACTCCGGCCTGAAAGATCTCAACAGCCAGCCACCATCTCTCTAACAGCTCTTCTTTGCGAAAATTCGTCTAGTATTACGTCATAATCCAAGCACAACACATAAAGAGAGAGAAGTAAGACGGAGAGTTGTATAAGTTCCACCTTGGTTTGTATAAATAACATCGCTGATCGAGATCCAAATAAGATGCACTGCGAAAATCCGATGCTGCATCGCCTATCGTCCTTCAAGTGTTCCGCAATGCGATGTCCTTTTCGTCTGCTTGACCCCATTCGCATCGACTTGCCCCATTTCCAATCTTCTTGTATCGTACCACATCTGTAAAACTTCCTCAGACGGGACGGTCCGATCCGCGAATGTGATAACGTCGCCGTCCAATCCATGATCCTCCTCCTCGTCATCCTCATCCTGGCTGGATCCACTTTCGTCCTCTTCTGGTGCATGATCGACTGTAACCCCTGTGTTTCTTCCCCGTGAATACCGCTCGCGCATAACCAAAGGTGATCCAGCCGGTCCAGTCGAAAAACTCGTCGTTCCAACCCATCCCACAGAAGTCGCGGTGCTCGTCCTCAATTGTTCAGCGACCCGCTCCCTCTCCGTCGCCGCCTGGACTTGCAAACTCCTCGCCAATTCTTGTAGCCTCAACGAAGCGGCCTGGGAAGTGGTCGCTGGCGGACTAGCCGAGGGACGGGGGCTGATCGAGAGAGGGTCTCCTGAATCATCGCGTTCGGACGAACCCCTTGGCGGGTGAAAAGTGATGGCCAGACGTTGTGACGCCGTCAGGATTTGTAGCTGTGTGATCATCAGGGAGTGCGACAAGATAGATGGAAGTGGAATACGGAAGAAGACAAAGTCAGTTGATGGGAAAACCTATAAGACGCCGAGGAAAAGTTGGCCTTCAAAGTTGCGCACGAGGTGCGCTGAGACCGACTCTGAAGTGTCGTCGGTGCCCCCCCTAGACTCACGCGTTCGTGCAGCAAGCTGACATTGGCGGGCGAAATGGACGGGGTCTGAGGGAGCAAAGAGGGGTGTCAGCCGAAACGATCGAACAGTGTCCACTTCACAGCTAGACCAGGCACTACACAGCTAAGGCTAGGCGGCTGAAGTACGTGATGTAGCCCCATGTAGCAACCTTTGCCGATGCCGAATGCCGACGAGCCCGCTGGCCCTCTCCGCTGCGAGATAGATAGCCTATGACGTTATACGCGGGCCCAGCGCACGCGCAACGCGGCCGATCCCAGGCATACCACATCCCACTCTTGGCAGCCCAGAGCACAGTCAAGGAGCTCACATAGTCATCATAGTCCCTTTCTGGTAGTTGTGCGCGATACGGTGCCGTAGGTCGTGCGCCACTGCTCGTCGAGGGCGACGCGATAGTGCGACCGAGACCGCCAATCTCCGGCGATTGAGCCGCGGTCGAAATCGACGAGACGCTTTCGACTGCCCGGGCTGTGGTGGGCGAGGAAATCTCGGGCTTATCGCCGTACACGTAATCCAATCGACGTGGCATGGGTGAAGAGGGTCCAGTCGGGGGAGTATGGGGCGAAAGACGAAAGGCCCCAAGATCGAATTCGGCGAAGCTATCGCGCGATCGCACTTGCTGACTGGTTCTCAAATTCACGCTCCATCATCGAGCGCCGTCACGTGCGAACCGCCTGGTCTCGCGGGCTCGCCTAGTCATCCAAGTTTTCAATTGTGGGATGATACATTCGTAGGGTCACATCAGAAGAGACTTCAGGAAGCAGGGTACAAACAAAAGAAAGATGCAGAGCAGACACACGGGTATCAAACACAGCGCGATCGCAACCGCCAGTCACCGGGCCCTCGTTCACCTCTCGGCCGCGGCCTTCAACACCTCGTCCTCGACCACGTCCTCGAGCCCTAGATTTGCTCCGGCAATCGCAGCGGGGCCTGGTTCGACCTGGGACGCGATAATGTCGGCCGCCGAAGGGATCCCCGAACTGCCAGCATCCGTTGCTCCCGATCCTCGCCGACTGCCCGGTTTGGACCGCAGCGAGACCCCGTCGTCGAGTACATCAATTTCTTCCGGGGGCACATTGCCGACGCCTCGCAATCCATGAAGACCTGTTAATTCGAACAAGGTGATTGCGCCTTCGCTTAGCTATAACTCACTGCATTCGAATGAAGTGCAGGTGCCGAGATAACTTACCGAGACCGGGGACCTCCATGCCCTTTAGATTCTCTTGCCCTACCAGATACCGTAGCACGTCACTCAGACTCAAGATACCAATCAAGCTACCCTTTTTCCTTCCCGGTCGACCGCCCTGCGGCGGAACCCCATCCGGTTCGAGGATGACGAATCGATGACACCGCCGCTCGCGAATGTAGGCGAGTATCGAGGCGAGCGAATCCCGTGGGCTGCAGGTCATCACACCCGTAAAGTCGGCAGAGCGTTGGTCCAAAGCGACTTCAATCGTCGAATCGAGCACCTCGTATGCATTCTGCCGCACCAGGTCCTTAAAAAATAAAGGCGACGTCAGTCAAGCGGGCTCGAGCTCCCGACAAGCCAACCTTGGCGCATGTATGGACTTACTACGATGTCGACCGTCTCGTACATGTTGAGCACGATCCCATCCTCGTCAATGATCGGTACCGCCGAAATACCACGTTCGGAGAAGATATGCACGACATCAAAGACACTCGTCTTGAGCGTTGCCGTCGAGAGCGGGAAATACCGATCCGTGGGTCGCACCCCAAATTCGGCGTTCGACGCGGGGACATCGTCACCTGGCCCTGACGCAGGATGGGTTTCTGCTGTTGTTGTGGCTGCATTATCACCATGCGGTGTTGTTGCTTCAGCGTTATCCCGGTCGAGTTGGGCGGAGGACAGGTTCTTGACCTTGTCGGATGGTAGGAGCGAGACGCCATCGATGGGCGACATGAGCTTGCTGGTGGATGGCGCTGGGCTGAGGGGAGTCACACTCGATAAGTCCGACGAGAGTGCGGAGGAGGGTTGATACCACGAGCAGTATGACCCAATCCCGAGCGCGCCAATCGATTGTTCCATTCGAGCGCAGTCGTGTTGGCACTGACGAGCAAAGCAAAAGTCAGCACGACCAGCGATGACAGGCTTGACGGAACCAACTCACATTGATGGCGATGAACTTGAGTACTCGATACTGCGTTAGGACGCTGACGATGGTCTCCTTGCCCGTCTGGTCGTCGCGGTCGACGAGTGGCAGACGTCGAGCGTGGGTCCGTACGAGCGCAGCGCATGCATCCGATAAAGGCTGATCGGGGTGTACGGATATCGTCGGCGGTGGCGGAACATCGATGGCCTGCTCGATCTCTGTGGGGAGGAAGGACGAATGAGGCACTCGGTCAGCGCTCGGCGGCAGATAAGGAATCCCGTCCCGGCGTCGATCACTGACTGCGTAAGCTGCCCAACTGGAACGCTTCCACTTCAGCAACAACATTGGCATATTCGTGCGATGTGAGGTAGTAGTACTGTATCAGGTGAACGACGTCCGCGAGGGTGAACATGCCGGCGAAGCGTTGGGTCGTCGAGTCGTATAGCGGTGCCGAGACCACGCCTGTGGGATGAGAATCAACACGGGCATGATGATCAGCTACACGCTACGCAAAACGTACAGCACCGGGGAGCTGTGATCCTGAACGGAGATAGCACCGTTCACCGACGAGCAGTGCTCGATGACGACGATTATAGCGACGGCGAGCACAAGTGGGACTTGCCATTGGTGACCAAAGCCTGCAGACTCCTCGTGATGGACAGCTTGTTGTCAAAGACGATCAAGCGAAAGCTAGAGGTGACGGAAGAAGATCGAGTTCAGTCACAGCAGTAGATCGGTACGACGAACCAGTGGCTTGCATGCGCCGACACACCTCTCGGGAAGGATGTCGTAACAACTCTTGCTTTGCTGTATCGAGATGCGACATACACAAGGTCAGTAAGGAACGTCCAAGCTTACCACTCTGCCCGGCGCCGACCCACCAGGAACTGTCGAATCCCCTCCAAAGCCCTGGTCTGAGCATCCCGCCTGGGCTTGGGCACGCCCGACGGCGTCATTCCCGACGGCGACGCGATCGGCGCCGGGGACTCGGAAGGCGTCGACATGCTCCCTAATGGTGTCGGGGGGAAAGATCGTCCGGGCTCTGATTTCCGGAACGAGTGTAAGGAGGCGTACGGCGGTAGAGCAGGCGGTTCAGCAGAAGGCCGACGGGCCGAGGGACTGCCGAGGCGAGGGCGAGCTAGCGCGAGCAAGCGCGCCAACTCGTGATCAGTTCGATCAATCGTCGCAGGTCGTCGTCTCGGACAGGCTCGGACATCTCTCGGACAAGCCGATTGCAAGTGCGATTGGCCAAAGTCGACCTTCTCTCAGCAAAGGTCGACGTCGGGGACTAGCAAGACACGTATCCTTACTTGTTATTGCTATAATGATCATGACCATCACCTCAAACCCCTCATCTAAGCATGCGACCCATACCCGACCGCCGTCCACAGACTATTCCTCAAAGCCTTGGTCGCCGAAGACCCTTCCTTAGCCTTGACCGTCGCTTTGACCTTCCCATTCGAGCCCGCCGTCGTGGTCGCTCCGTTCGAAGCAATACAAGTCGGTGTGCGTTCAAGGGTCCGGGTTGTCTGCTTCTCCTGTGCTGTGATCGGTTTGGTCGCTTCGATCTTGCTGGATGAGGTTGGAGTCGACTGCGGTTTAGAAGCTGTCGCGGTTCGCATCGTATCGACCGATCGAGAGTCTGCTTCAATATCCGAATCACTACTTTCACTTGCGCGTTCACTTGCATTCGATGAACATGGCACGGTATCTCCATCACCGTTCGTCAATGTCGCGTGTGGTGCCTCGCGAGCGACGGTCGGTCGTGAAAGGCTCGCTTCCTCGAGCTCATTCGTCAGATCTTGTTCGGGATCGGTCGAGGACGCCGACAGGTTGGGGAAGCGAGCTGGAGGGTGTAAGCTCAGCGAGGCAAATTCACTGCGATACCAAACATATCCTTCTGTCAGCTCCCCAATTCCTCCAACGATTGCTCTAGCATGGACTTACGCCTGTGCCGAAGCAAAAGAGAGCGCCAGTACCAAAGCCTTGAGGTTGGGTAACGTATTTCGCAAGTCGATCACGGTCAGACCTTGCGAGTACATGAGTTGCTCGATATCCTTGTTGAGCAAAAAGACGCCATAGTCGAACCGGTACTTGTCGACGCCTTTGCCGTAGAGCGGGAAGGCGCGAGGGCCTCGCATCATGCTTATTGGATCGATAACGGCGCTGCGACTGCCTAAACACTTGATAGGGTAATGCAACGGTACGCCGATGTAGGCCGCCAGAGCAGAGACGACTTGAGCTGCATATCCCAGTGCAGAGGAGAGCTGATCGTCGGATGAGTTGGGCGGGTAGGTCGAGTTCGGAAGGGGGATAGAGAGGATGGAGAACAACAACGAGGATCCATCCGTGGCTACGGGCTCGATGGGGAACATGTGCGTCAGCAATGTGATGAGTTGCGCTCGTCTGGCTTCGATCGCACGTCGGATCTTGGCGCAAGCACCCTCGCTCTGCCGTAGCGAGGCTCTCTGTTGGTCGAGTCCGACTGCTCGCGCCTCATTCATCGACCGAGCGGATTCGAGCCGTATCCTTCGTTGGCGCAGTTCATCCTTTCTTTGCTCAAGTTCAGACCCGACTGTGGGAGTACCTCTTCGTCAGCAAGTAATAATGGTCGTCGCAAAATCCGCATGTTCGACGTACTTTCGGCGATATCAAGGCGAAGGTCATCGCGAACGGCGACCAAGTCGTCAACTTGATCCTGCAGCTCCTCGCTCTCTCGAAACTGTAAGAAGGCGGAACATTTAGCTCAACGGCGTCGGCAGATCAATGTCGCATCCAACGCACCAGTGCAGCCTCTCCATCCGCATCGCCAAAAATTGCACCAAGTCGTTGTTTCTGCTCGTGCAACGTCCTCTTGTTCTCGCAGCGTTCGTGTTCGACCCGCTTGAACCTGCGAGCATCAAAGCTTACTTGATCAGCATTTCACCGCTCGCAAAAGCCTCATTTAAAATGACCGACCTCAGGAGAGCCTCAACGTCAGCGACCTTGACCATCCTGGTTTCACGAAGACTTCTCTCCACCAACACCTTGCGCATCCTTCTCGCCTCCTCGGCCTCTTCCTCTTCCCTCCTACGTCGTCGTCTCGATCGCCAAGAATGGGATACACCACCCGCCCCCGGATCGGAATAATTCGCGGCCCCATCCGAGTCGTCTTCGGAACAGCTCGATGAGTGATTGTCGTCCGAAGCGAAGGGCCGAAATCGCGTCCGAAGGGGTAGGGGGGCCGTGAAGTACTCGTCGGCCATGGCGAATATGATGGTGTTGGGTTGAAGTTGTGAGAATTGAGTGGGCTATGAGACAAAGCGCATGTCAGTCAGACGGGTTCTTGTTCGACTTGCCGCATACATCTGCGAGAGTGGGGAGAACCTACATCTCTCCCTAAGCTGACAAGCCCGTCCAAACTGACGTCCCACTCAACAAGCACCGTCCAATCAGCCTTGGCCGCGTCCGCGTTCTGTTCCTTCGCCTTTCCCTTGTCCATATCGGTTCCGACTTCGCTCCTCTTGGTCCACAGCGACACCAGCACATGCTCCTCTTGAAGCCCAGGCCAATCGTCCAAATCTTGCGTCTCGGGATCGACGAGAAAGTCGTTGGGCTCGACTATGAACGTCGGATTGAGGTTTTTGCGAGCCGGCTGGGCGATGAAGAACGGAGGCAAGACGTCGAGCGGTGGAGCTGACTCAACGGCAGACGGCAGGGCCAGCCCACGGCTTGCACTGCGGCCAGGGATGGAGGCGGTACTCCCGCTCCGTCTCGGTCGATGGGGTCTCGGGCTCGGAAGTGTGCTCGGCCGCCTCGTCAAAGTTGGGTCAACGGGATCCTCGGTCTGCTCCCGTGGCCGAAAGAGTGAGAGCATGATGGTGCTGTCAACCATACGCCGATGAAGAAGCTCGATCCGTCGCCGCTTCTCCTTTGCCAATTGTAAATCCGAAAAGAAAGAAGTTCGTCCCCGCGATGCTGTACGGGAGGCTAGGGTATCGGGTAGTCGAGAATTTGAAGCCGAATGTGAGAATGTGCGAGCAGGGGCGTGCGCGCTGACGCTCGAGTCGAGCTCGCTACGGGGTCGTATTGTAGAGCCCGAACCAGTCGTACCCGCCGAAGCTATGGAAGTGCTAGAGCTTGAACGATTTCTACGTTTGAATTCGGAGGGAGAAGAGGGAGAAAAGTAGTCCGTGTGTCCGACCTCGTCCACGTCGACCTCATCGTCGGCCTCGAGCTGTTCCTCGTCGGGGAGGTGGGATTTCGAAGCTTGGGCAGTCGCAGAATCGCCGTCAAACACGGAGGCTCCAAATAGCTCGTCATTCTCTTCCTGGATCCTTATCCGCCTGTCCCCGGTCATGCTGCGCCGTAGGGACGTCCGTTCGGGTTTCGAAGGGGACAAGCTCGACCCGACACCGACGCCTTCCTCTGCCGCCTCAACGAGAGTGTCCCTGAGTAAAGATCTGCTCGGTCCGGTCTTTGAACGCAAGCTGGCATTACTTGTGGCCCGTCTCCTCCTGTTGCGCACGAGCAAGTCAAGATCATCGGAAGCGAACGCTGGCCGAATCGGGCCCGAAGACGATTCAGGGGCGGAGGCGCGCAACGACGAAGACGAGGACGAGGAAGGTCCGACCGCGTCGAAGGGTGCGTCGCCTAGGAAAGGCGATGTGCTCGTTGGATTGTGGCTTCGTCTGGGCTCGACGGTGAGATTGCGCACGAGGACGGCGGATAGGTGCCGTAGCCGTCGCTGTGGCGCGGTGCGAGGTGTGGGGTCGAGTTCGGTCGGGTTCGCGTGAGGGATGATGACGAGTCAGCGGCGAGATTTTCCGACTCCTGTACGAAACTGAAAGATCCTTGCAACATGTTCGTCCTCGACTCACCTGCTGCTTGATCTCGTCATGGTCGAGCGAGGCCGGCTCGGGCGGGGTGGCCCATTGTGACGCCGAGCTGTCGGCACGCTTGAGCACCATCTCGCCGCCAGCAGCAGTGCACGTCTAGGCCTGCCCGGCTCGGTAAGCTGCGGCTACCTATGCTGTCGTCGTGGGTGAACGGACGGTCGCTTTTTCTTGTAGCCTCTGTGGAGCACCAGTGTTGACAGCGTCGGAGCGTTGCAGCGCAAGAGGCGCGCGCACGACCCGTCACGCTGGCCCCGGATGTGAGCAGCTGGTGTGAGGCCTTGTGAGGCTGACCGGCCGATCCCTGCTCGAGCAGGGCTGAATCACGTGACTGAACCCCCTCAGGTGGGTCACAGCCGTTGTCGCCTCAGACTTCGTTGATAGAGGCCCGGTTACATCTGAGGGATGGGTCAAATGTAGAAGTAAACACCTGCGATTACTGCGATGCAATGCGATAGCTACACATGATGTACACAACTCTAGCCAGGTGCGAGTGATCCAAGTTCTGCGAAAACTTCTAAGCGCGGTCCGCTCCTTCTCATTCCTCCTCGGGTTCTCCCACAACCAGTCCATTCCTATCGACCTCATCCTCGTCTTCAACCTTCCTCTTCTTGCCAATCCATTTCCCTAGCCCCGAAGCATCTTGAGCTTTCCTCCCATTCTTCCCCGCACCAGTCGACGCCGGACCCTTCTCTAATCCAAGACCATGGAATCCCTCACTCGGGGCATTGTGATCCCTCGAGCGATCCCTCTGCTGCTCAAACATCTTCTTGTTCCTCTCCCTCGAGACGCGTTCCTCTTCCCAATGCAACATCATCTTGGAGATGCGCAACGTATCCTCAAGCACGCCCGCGCTCATCCCTTCCGCCGCTGGGACGGTCTTGAGCGCATCAACGACTTCGTCCAGTCCGTACGACGAGAGCCCAAGCATTGGATCCGCAGCGTCTGCGCCTGATCTTCGAGTCGGCGACCCTTTGGGCTTACGTCCTTTGGCCGCTCCTTGCGTCGAGAATGATCGCACGAAAGCGTTGGCTTCGACGAGACCTTGCGCGTCGACCCAATCGCCGCGACTGAGGTTCGCGCTGCGCCGAAACACCTCGTCTAGTTCGAGCATTTCCTGGTAGACGGCGTAGCAGCTCGACACGTTGACGGTGCGATTGAGCGCCTTGGCTTCGAAACCAGCTAGCGATTCGCGCGAGAGGGCGATGCAGATCGAAACGAGGACGAAGCGAGCGTTCCTCTGCAAAGTGCTCAGTTGTGAAGCGAGCTCGGCCGAGACGGACAAGCCGACGTCTTTGAGCGACAGGTTGATATCGGATGGCGATGCTTTCGGAGCCGTCTCGGGGGTATGCGACGAAAGAAGGGTCTGCGCCTCCGGACCGTCACCGAGGGAGCCTCGTGCCTTTCGCTTCAGGGACGAAACGCACATCTCGACGACTCGAAATGCCTGGCGGATGTCACCGGACCTGGCTGCGACTTTCATGGCGCAGAGTTTGAGCGCTGCCGGGTGCAAGAGTGGGACGATCGTTCGTGAGCTCGGTGCGGGTGGGGATACGAGGTCGGGTACCAGGGGGTACGAGTCGGCGAGCATCGACAGGCGCTGCCGAAGGATGAGCTCGATCTCCGAAGCGTTGTACGCCTTGAAGTGAAGCTGCTGCATTGTCGGCGTATCGATCGACGTGCCCCTGCCCTTTTTCCACGACGGCACCAACGATGCCGAGCTTGCCAGGTCGTACCGAGTCATGAGGTCGAGCGTGTTGGCGATGCCGATGAGAGTCAACGACGAATTGGGAGCGTGCGCGAGGGTGACGAGTGATTGCAGCAGATTCGCACTCGCGGACGCCGCGTGGAGGTGATCAATCTCGTCCAGGATGATGAGGCTACGGCGACCATTGGTATGAGTTAGCTTCTTGTCCGGAGAGTCCAACGAGTTTCGGAGGCTACTCACAAACTTCCGCCTCGAGCGAGGCCTCGTTCGAAAGCTTGCTTACTCGTGAACTTGGCGTGCCCTGTTCCGAGCGACATGTCAAGCCCCAATCCTCGGCCAAGCCTGTCCCAGATGCTGCTTTGCGTAGCTCCGGAAGTCTGACATGTCTGCATGTGAACTGAGATCTCGTCCTCCAAGTCCTGCTGCTCGACCAGCGCCGAGAACTCGTTGACGACGGCGGAGAGCAGAGCCGTCTTGCCGATCCCCGGTGGACCCGAGACATAGAGCGAGGCTGGTGGGATGGCGCTATCGGAAGCAGACGTGGGATGATCGCGATAGACTTGCGGAAAGCGTCGAGCGAGGAAGGTGACCAAGGTGGCCCTTTGCGAATCGCGCCCAAGAATGGTCGGGAGCGTCGACCCACTGGGACTGAGCAGCTGAAGAGCGTGGGTGTAGATGTCTTTGATCGGTCGCGCTGTCACGCGATCTTTTGTGGGTGTCGAGTGCGGTGTAGGTAGTGTATCCTCGGCTACAATGATCAGGAGGGCAGCCACCGTCAGCGGAAGCGTCGACGTCGCGAAGGGGGTCACACAACGGGCATCATCCGGCACTCACGTTTGACTATCTCCTTTGACGGAGTGAAGATTAGTTCGTCTTGATCGCTATGTGATTCAGTGCTGTCGCTGTGCACGGGCACGTTCTCCTTGAGCACAGGACTGTGGCTTCGTCGCTTGGCCGTTGCCTTCGTCGGTGTGACGAGTTGCGAAGGCGAGGTTCGCGTGCGACGCGGTGTGCCAAGCAGCATCTTGCAAACTTCTTGAGCGCTCGGGCTCTCTTCGACGGAAGAATTTTCCTCTTCCTTGAATGTCGTTCGTCTCCGTTTGTTAGGCGAGCGCGTCGGGGTGCCTACAATTGAGGGCATCTTGCCGATCTGAGCCGAACCGGCAGGTGATCGAGCGGCAGAGAGTGACGGCAAGTACGGCAACGGCGTATAAGGTGCCGAAGCCGGAAGTACAAGACAAGCAAATGTATGTGACTTCGAACACCGGCAGACCAAAGCAAGCGGAAGTGGCAAAAGGGCGATAGAAGGGTTGCAGAGAGAGGGCGAAGACCAGCTCAAACGTAACGCGACGACATCCGTGCACCGCGCGCGCCGCGGTTCGTCGCGACTTCGACCGACGCGTCGCGTCGCGCGGCTCGGCTCAAATTACGCGGGCAGTGGCCACCCCACTGTAACGGCCATGCCCCGTCCTCTTCGAGACAGCATGCCGAAACTTCCCAACGCTCGTCTCGCTCGATCACTCTACCTGGTAATCCGGACATCGGTACCAATTGCAAGATTCCAGGGCTCTTGCTATGAAAGCCGCCGGCCCTTTGGGTTTTTTTCACTTCCTGCAAGCAACAACTCATATATCACACTCCAGTTTATCCGTTACTTCCTGCAAGCAGCAACTCATATAACACACTCCAATCACACTCCTTACCATTCTCGAGGTCCCTCACAGTTTAAGCTCTGCTTCAGGTGCTTCGCAGCCCTATAGCTCGCCTGATCCTCCCTCGAGGATCCCCTCGCACCTCGTCCCGGAAAGTCTCGCCCAAGCCTACTGGATCTCTCTCTCGCCGCCAGGACCGCTATACCCACATCCGCTGTTGATCTGGTCCCTTGCCATTCACAAGGGTCAGTTGATCGACCATAGTCTCGGCTCGTTCACGTTACAATGTACCGATTAAATGACTGCCTAGTGATCAGGTCACGTGTCGGCCCCCTATTCGATGTGTTTCGCTCGCGCCGATCACGCCGCGAGACGATTGAACTCGGGTGGACTGGCCTATCTTCCGCTCTGCGTATAAAGGGCCCGACCAATGTTTCGGGGAGCTGTTCGCCGTGCGAGCTGTTCTCCGAAAAGTTCTCAGCAGTCGCCTCGCGCATGAAGCGCACATGCCCCCATCGGTGTGACCGGAACCAGAGAACGTGCCTCAAGTAATAAGGCCTCCTGAGCGGGACTTAGCGCGGACGGGTCCGTGCTGAGCGGCTCGGGCAGGAGACCCCCACGACAGATCGGCGGGCTCGCTGTCTCTCTGTGACTTTCGCCTTCGTGAAGGGGGCTGTTCGGTAATCTTGTCGTCTGTGAGGCCCAGAACCGACTCACACTTACTCGGTACAACTCGCCACTGGTCTGATACCGCGCGATGCTCAACGGTAGCAAGGTTCAATCAAGCTCTAAACGCGACCCGTCTGCGAAGAGATCGGGGATCCCAGCGCTGCCTTCCTACGGGAGGTCAACGCCAAGTGGGGGAGGAAAGTTCGCTTCACCCCTGCGGTATCAATCCCCGGTACCCACCAAGATTCCTCACCGTAATCCACGTCTCGACATGCCCCTCCCAGCTGTTCCGCAGCCGCTACGTCCACCCCAACCAACTGGCACGTCACAGCCCTCGGCCTCATCCATGAGTGCGCCAGCGTTACCTCGTACCAAGACCCGCATGTCCGAGCCTCCTCCAACGACTCTGAAAACTTTACTACCACGCTCCAACTCTTCCTCCAAAAGCGACATCGCTTCGGTCCTGCTGGCCTTCCCCACACCTCCTTCCGCCGCTGCTCACACACCCACGAAGCGCGTAGCCCCTCTCTCCCTGCCCCCACACTTGGCGATGGGGGCCACGCCGTCACACTCGCAAGTCCCTCGTCCTAGGAGCTGCCTCAGCTCTTTGAAGCGGTCATCCACAACTCCAACGTCTCGAATAGGAGAAAAGAAGAAGGTTCACCCGATCAATACTGCATCCCAAAGAGCCTCTCTCACCGTTTCCTCGCCAACGAGCAAGCGCGGCTCCACTAGCTCCCTCGTCGATGTTCGACCCGTGTCAGCTCAATTTTCGCCGACCAACCCACCCAGATCACCACTTCCGGTAAGTTTTCATTTATTCCTTGCTTTCTGTTTCATTTGAATTGATAATGTTTGCTCAAATTCTCCCAGGCCGTACCAAAGGAGCTGCCGGCGTTGCCTCAGCTGGTACTGACTTCCTCGAAGCGACCATTGTCCAAGATCACAGGACCGTCGACGGCACCTACCTTGTCGTCTATGACCCGCGAAAAGATACCCTCTCGATCCTGTTCATTTCCTCTACCGCCCTCGATCGAGGTACCAACGCCGAAACTTTTGAGTTCCTTAAGGGAAGACGAAGTCGAAGATTTGTTCGATACACCCGTGCATAGTAGACAGACCTCTTCTCGTTCCCGAGTCAGCTCTGTCGATTCCCAAGCGAGTCGTTCGAATGGTTCGGTTCGTGGCGGCTTGGTAAGACCCTGCGCTTCGTCTCCGAACTTGGCTCGGAAGCGCATTGTAGCCGAGGAGGAGCGAGTAGAGCACCTAGAACCGCAAACACCGCTGGGTGACGTCTCGGATGGGACGTCGCACTCGACCGGGGAATCGTCCGAGATCGACATCGACGCGAGCTTGGATGCATCAGCCTGGAGGGCAGGAGTGATGGCCAAAGAGCTGATGGCAATCGACAGTGAAGACGACGAGACGCAGGCCGAGTGCGTGAGGGAGTTGACGCTGCGACTCTCAATGGCACGCCAGAATCAATCGGTGAGGGGCACCAGTCCCCAGCAGAGGCGGTTGGCTCACACGGTAAGGGCCTACATTGATCTCCGATCTACTCTGGTATATCACCCGGAGGTCACTTGGACTGATCGAGATTTAGTCACGTTCCATGCTTGCACAGCCGTACAAGATCGTTCGCAAGCCACGCTCACAGCACTTCGATTCTGATTCGGACGGCTATACCTTGTCGGAGGAAGAGGAGAACTTTGACCTCTCCCTCGACTATGGCTCCTCCCTCTCACCAAGCCACAAAATATTCTCGTCCAGGTCACTCCGCTCGCGCAGCTCGACGTCGTCGTCCTATGGCGAGCAGTCGACAAGCTGCAGTCCCGGCGCCACACTCTTTCTTCAGAGGCAGTCGAGTCGGGAAAAGCTGTGGCAGACGGCGCTTGATTCAGATAGTACCCTCGGTCTTGGTGCCAACGTTCTTCCAAGCTCTGGAGCGTATAGTAAAGAACTTAGCGACCAAGAGCTAGCAGGCGCTCCGGAGCAAGACTTTTGGTCACCCTCTGGGCATTGCAATCGGTCGCTCGGTTCATCGACCAGTACCAGGATCGATACACAAGGTCAAATCGGTAATAACACTTGTATCTCGATACAAGACTACAGGCATCAAGTCCAACGCCATGCCTCCGTAGGAATGCACGATTTCCAGTCCGGATCTACAGACCTGCGACCGCTGCGCACTTATTCCTCAACGTCGTCCTTGAAGCCATTAGCCACCGTCGCTCGGCTGCAACAAGTGGAAGGAAGCTATGGCGAAAAACGACTCTCCAACTTGACCCGTTCGGAATCTTATAAATCTAACGCTATGCTGAGACTGCACACGCAGACTCTGGCCGTCAATCCTTCCGCTCCCTCTCCGGAGTGGACGGGCACCTTTCGCTCTGGATCGATTACGCCCAAGACCCCATTGTCACCCATCCCGTGCGGTTTGCCGAGCTCGCCTTCCGGCCCTTTTTCTCCCACTCGACGCCTCTCATTGAAACCACTGAGGACGAGCCAGTCATCCTCCGTGCTCTGCGGGAGCGTTTACGAGGTAGTCACCGCATTATCGTCGACGAACCTAAACCGCTCGAGCTCGACGTCATATCCCTCGAGGCCGCTTGGAGCTATCGTGGCGAGTGGAATGACAACGGGAACAGCTTCTCACGGGCGAAGGATGTCTCGCTCGATCCCTTACGTCTCGACGCAGGTGGGGACAACGCCGTTGATCTTGCCCGGACTGGCCGAGGCGGCGCCCTCCTTCTGAGGAGCGAAAAGTGTCCGCTGAAGATAGTGTACGACGTTACTTGTGTTTTTGCAGTTGAGTTATATTTTTCTTGGGTTTTTATTAGGTTACGTGTTGTAGTCAGAGGTAATATGCGATGTAGTGCATCAGAGCTCCACGAACCTCGTTATCGTTGCCCATGCCCTTTTGGGTCTGCTTCAAGACGTGCGCCACAGGCGGTGGTTTCGCTGGTGGGCTCGGGCAATGGTGAGTCCGAATCACCCTATAGTAATAAGGATGAAAACCCTTTACGTTTTCTTCCTTTTAGTTTGAATTTCCTTTCTTTCTCAAACGCCCCAACCCCAGCTTTAGATGTCGGGCCCCGCCGACGGTCACTGTATGGCTTGTCTTGTCGGAATGGAGGGCGCCGTGATCACTCTTCCGTCGGCCTGAGCGTGATACCCGTCGGCGCGATCGGTGGTTTCCGATCGACCGTCCAAGAAGTGTCGGACTCGGAGTCACTGTAAGGCGGTATCACCCCGGGTACGATGGCTGTCGGTCGAACAATTCTATGCAGACACCTGCTTTTCGTGACCTGTTCTGTACTAGAGCCGATTTTTGAGCCAACCAGTTGAAGTCCCCATCACACTGCCCCTGAAAAGCCGTCGGCGTCGGCATCCCGATCGAGAGCCTACGTCATCAGGCGCGCTTCGCGTCACCTTTGCTGGGCGAAGCAGGGCGAAGCTGGCTTGGAATCCGACTCATTCCTGTGCTCGTGCTTCTCCCCTCCTGCTCTCTTTCTTTTTTCCCCTCTGCCACCGCTTTCGAAAAGACTGATCCGCCTTGTGAGTAGTGCCCAGTGCCCGGTATCTTGTAGACATGCAACAATATCCCTGACCCGACCCCTTCCCCTTCCCGCCGGTCGTCTTCCCCACCATCTCGCAGCTCGCCCGGCTTGTTCCACCCCACCTTTAACCTCACTCCGCCTCAAACTTTTGCCCAAGATGCCCAGCACCAACCGATGGTGAGTCTTGCGTGCGAGCTTCCTACTCGGGTATATCACTCGACTGACCTGGCCGTACCCTTCATCGGTGCCGTCCTGCAGGAATGAGAACCTTCCCGTCAAGGTGAGAGTGGTCATTGGTCACATGGGCGTGGGAGGAGCCGTCGGTCGGCCGCGGTGTGCCAGCTGGGCCTTGCAAGCGCCGCTTGCGGACGCGCTGACGAGTTACGTCGCTGACCCCGGCCCATGCTTTCTTCTCGGCCCACGTTCACTGTCTGCAGCTCGTCAATGGTCAGCCAAACATATGCTGCATCAAATTTGAGGCTTCAGTACAAACACTCATCTTGTCGACCATTTCGCTTTTGCAGTCGCCGTGTTTATCTTCCTCTTCGGAACGGGCCTGTAGTAAGTCTTACACCCCGCACCTCGTGCCCGTCACCGCGCGCGCCTTCTCCCCGCCTAAACTCAAACTCGTCCAGATCCGAGCGCTGACCGAGTGACCCTATTTACCCCACATTGAACCTTGTTCCTTCCGCCGCGTGATGTCCCTTCACCTCTCTCAGTGGCGCCATGAGCCCTGCTGGTCACGGAGGCAAGGAGACCTATTTCACCCCCTCCAGCTATGTCTTCTACACCTGGTGAGTTTGCGCAACCTGCATCCATTGCCGTGTGGCACACCCACAGGCGAGGGGAACGGTCGAAAATATCTCGAGTGCTTTGATCAGCACACGGAGTCGCTCGGAACCGCAACTAATCGCAAATCTTGCGCGGTTCATTACAGGTCCATTATCGACGTTCTCTTGCTCGGCTACGTCATCTACCAGTTCTTCGACTCTTCGGCGGACGCCGTCAACGGTATCGGATGGCGATTTGCGATCGTGGCCATCCTCAACGCCATCTTCACCCACGTCTACGTCACGCACCACTACATCGTCGCCTTCATCTTCTCCCTCTTTGTCGCTTCGTCCGTCTCGACGATCTACTACTCGCTCGCGGCCCACTATCCGAGCCAGGGTACGCTTGATGCGCTCTTCGTCCATTTGCCCTTCTCTCTCTGGCACGCGTGGTCGATCGTCACCATCTTCATCTCGGGCTTCGCCGCCTTCACCCACGGTGGACACGATCACCACCCGTCGGTGACCGTCAAGGTCCTCGTCGTCCTCTCGTCCGCTTTCCTTGCCTCTACCGCTGTCGCGTACTCGTTCAAGAGTCGCCGAGGTGATGTCGCGGGCGCCGCCGTCCGTGAGTATGCAATAACTGGAATCGGCTTGTGTGGCGTAGCCTTGTACTGATCTGTATCATGGCCTCTTCTCTATGACAGTCGCATGGACCTTGTTCGGCATCTACGACCACCAGCACGGAACTGGCTTGATCCGCTACTTCGCCCTCGGCTCGTTCATCGTTTCGTTGCTCGCCATCCTTAAGTCGCTCTACTTCACCTTCATCGCCAACGACGGACAGATCGCTCTCGGCGACAACGAGCGCGCTCCCCTCGTCGGCTAAGCACCTACTCGTAAAAAACTATACAGGATCTTGCTTTTCAACACAGCCCCTTACTCCCCTCTCCGCCACCTCTTCCTTCAATCCCATGTGACTTCTCTTGAAATTGTTTCGTATCCTGCTCTCCTGTGACTTGTCTGAATCCGTTGTGCTCCTTCTCTGGAAACCTCTGTTTAACGACCTGTGCGTAGCTTTTGAATATGTGAAATGACACCTGGCTTAATGATTGCACATCCGCTGGTTCACAACAACGAAACCACTAGAAGCCCATCGCTTTGCCCTTCTTTTTGGGGTCATCATCCTCATCGTCGGTGTCCGGTCTCAGATCGAATACGGGCTTGGGTTGATTCTTGGTCCAAGCGGCGGTCCATTCATTCTCTTCCACGCTAGCGGTCGCGTACTTGAGCAAAGCCTCTCGGGGATCCTGTTCGCGCAAGTTGTCGCGAACGAGGCCTTGCACGACGTGTTGCGTAGCTGATGCTCCGACCCGACCACCACGACCCGGTCCCACCACCGGTGGCACTGCAAGAGAGAAGAAAATATGATTCACATCAGCAAAGTGAGACTTGACGTTCGTCTGTTCCCGGAGCACGAGATTCTTACGAGGCTTCATCGTCTTCTTGGGATCCTGTCGTTCCTTCTCTCGCCTCCTCTTCCCACCTCTCGAATTGGCGCTCATATGCGCTCCATCGTCCCTGAACGCAGGCAACGTATGCGGCGCGATGATCGGCCTCGACCCAACGAGATCCGCCGCACTCGAGTAATCGTCGACGGCCTTCTTCCTCGGTGCCCTCAACAAAGCCATCGTTGCGCCTCGCACGGACGTTTCGGGGGAATACAGGACGTGGATCGAGCCGTCGGAGGAACTGGTGACAATCTGATTGATCTTGGGATGCCACAGCACGCGAATGACGGAGAAGGGGGACAACTCGATCGTCTTGTAGTTGGTCAAGCCTTCGCGATTCAAGACGACGACTTTACCCCCTGTGCCCCGCGTACCTGCACCGGCTTCCCGTGCTCGCTCTTGTTCAGCAGACCCTTCAAGTACACCCGCATGCGCTCCTGAAGTACCCGTGAGTAAGTACTTCTCGTCCGGTGAGAAGCAAAGACTCGTTTCGGGGTTGGCCGAGGGTAGGTCCGTGGCTGTGAAGAGCGGTTTGCGGAATTGTCGACAGTCCCATAACTTAACGGTCGAGTCGCCGCCCCTCGATGCGAGCTGGCGTCCATCGGATGAGAAGAGCACACAAGATGTCGTGGTACCTTTTGTGTGGGCCGACTCGGAACTCTATGGATTCATGACACGCGGGACGAATTAGGACACCTTGACCGAAGATGAGGTAGCTTGCGAATGATGACTTACGGCGTTCGGACGAGCGAAATTCGAGTTGGCTGCCCACATGTGTAAAGCACCGTCCTCGCAAGCTGTCGTCCAGCATGTTCACATCAGCAGAAAAGTCTCTCCGGTGATAGGAATCTGGGAACGTACAAGCAGCAATCGTTTTCCCGTCCTGTGACCATGCACAACTCGTGACTTTGCTTCGACCCCCTCGCTCTTTGCTCTTGACGACGATGACGTTGGTGCTCTTCCGGCGGTTCGCAACGTCCCATATTCGCAGTGTCGAATCCTCGGAAGCGGTGACGAATTGTGTTGGCTTGATTCGATTCCACGCGAGGGAGGTGAGTGCCGCGACGTGACCACTATTTTGGTTCGAACCGAGCTTGTCAATGACGTGGGGGCGCGCGAGGATCCCAGTAAAACGGTGATCTTACTCTGTATGCCTCAGATCTCGGATGTACATATCTCCCTTATTGAACTCGGCGCTGCGTAATGTCGAAAGTCAGTCGGTGGTGGCTCCCAGAAGCCTCGCCGCACAGTCACCGAATCTGGACCTACACTTCAAGACCGTCTCGATCGTAGAGCTTGGCCTGGTTGGTGCCTGTGGCGACCAGTAGATTTGCACCCGAAGGAGAGAATTGAACATCGTGTACCTGTTGAAGAATATTCCAGAGATCTGTGTGTGTGGTACTTGCAGCTTGGGCTCGGCTGCGAGCTCTCACCTGGTGACCGGTCTTGGGCTCAAAGCTTCGGAAGGGCTTGAATGCGGCCGTCATTCCTGCAAAGTCCCACAGCTTGACGTCGTAATCGTAAGAGCCCGAAACAATACGTCCACCTGCCGGGTCCATGGAGAGCGCTGAGACGGCCTGTGTGCATCGGGCATGCATTGGAGGGGGATCAAGTCAGCTTGAATTGAATGAGAAATCGCTGGGACTTGCTCACCTTCTGGTGGTCCTTGAGTATGGCTTCGTGTGATACAGGTAGGTCACCGACGGGTTCTGGTGGTGGCATGGCGGGTCCCCTGGAGATGACGTATTTGTGCCGTCGATCGTGTTCATCGTCATCCTCGTCCTCATCCTCGTCGCGCGGCTGATCTCTGCGCTCCTCTCTTGCTTGTCGTGCATTATCACGCTCGTCATCGTCGAGGGGTTCGTTGTCCGAGTCGTCTTCGATCAAAGTGGCCTTAGAAGTCGAAGCCGTAGGTGTGTGCTCGTCCGTCTGCGGAGAAGTCGAGGTCGGGTGATGAACTCAGCTCAGAGTTCGCTGGTCCCGAGTCACCGCGCACGCCTAGCTCATACATGTGCACCACTCACGTCAACGCGCTTGGTCGCATCAAGCTTGGATCGGTCAGCAACCTGCTTCTGCTGTGGTGCAATTTTGCCGAACGCAAGAGGGAGACCGGTGGTCGGATCCATGGCTCGGCTGTGACTGGGCGCTGGGTCAAGAGCGGACGAAGGCGGAAGAAGGCGGACCGAGCAGGAACGAGCGGGACCGAGCGGCGCACAGGCTCGGGTCTCTCCTTTCTGCGCTAGTTCATCAATTCGGGGAATCAATTCGGGGATGGTCTGGGACGGTTTGATGACTTGGGAAGAGGCGAGAGTCATGACTTGCGTCCTGCCTCTTCCAAATCGGCCACTCAATGTTGACTCGCTTTCGAGCGTCGAGGCAGCAGCGTGCCATGTCGCTTCGACTCGGATCCAGTCCCAGTGAAAGCCAGAAGAGTTTGCTCAAGCCCGCCGCAACCGAGTCGGGAGCGCCGTCGGCAGCTGCAACTTCGGCGCCAAGTTCGCCGTCGACTACTCATCCCGAACGCCAAGTCTCGACGTTAAGAACTCGCATACCCAGCCACGATGCCACGACTCTTCCTGGCTTCAAGCGGTCCCACCCACCTTCTGGTCTGATTTCGAAACCGCCTATCCCTACAAAGTCCTCGGCACGCCGAGCACCGAATTTGCACCGCCGATTGTCGTTAAAGGCCACCGTCGGTTCGCTGCTGCCCAACCCCGGAAGTCGTCGCGAGTCCGTCCGGCTACAAAGGGGTTCCGCCACTCCGTCCTGCTCTACCACCACCCGCAATACGAGCTGCAATGTCGGAAAACCAGCTCAGATGGTCTTTGCGGTCCTCACCGGCATCCCTCCCGCGACACCACCTTCGACCGCCCCAGAAATGTCCTCGCTCAAGGCCCGCACCGCCCTCTCGTTCGGCAAGGTCCGTGCATTGTCGACTTCGAAGGCCGACAAAGCGGTCGCGGGGGTCCGCTCCCAAGGTCTTATTACTCCTTCAGCTCCCTTAGAGCCCGTGATCAACAACCAGAACGTTCAGGGCAGTACCGCCACCGTCCCTGCCGTCTCGTCCAAGTCAATCGTCAAACTCAAGAAGCAACTGCTCGATCCGCAGCAGGCTCGCAAAATCGTTTTGGACCTCAAGAGAATGGAGCTTCCCCCCAGCCTTACGGCGGCAGGAATCGATGCAACTGCGAATAATCAGCTACCCCGCTGTACTCACTTGCCCTCGACCAGAGGCTACGCCTTGGCACCCCTGACCATCTCCACGACAGGTGGCGCCGCATCCAACACAGCTGGCACTGCAACCGCGTCCTCCACGGCCAACGCTAGTACTTCGGACTCGCCCATCCCCTCTCCAGGATCACCTTCCTCGACTCCTTACTTGGTCATCCCTAACCCGTCTACAGTCGCCAAGGAACTAACTCAGATCGCCGGTCCAGGGGCCATCGAGGCGGCCAAGGACGGAGCGTATGAACTTCTCGCCGATATTTCGGGGGCGATGGTTCGTCGATCGGGAGCTCAGAATGGTATGAAAGCCTCGTTCGAAGGAATGAGTTTCTTTATCTACTAGTAAGTTCGTTCCGCCACCCGAATGTCGGAAGATGTTCTAGTTGCACCGATTGACGCTCGGCGGCTTGTTCTCAGTTGGGGTTTCGAGATCACGCTTCCTCCCCCGACTATGCTCTCGTTGTCCCAGTTCCGCAACTTTCAAAACACCCTATTTGCGGTGCTACAAGCGTTCGTCATTGCAGGTGGTACGCGGAATCGGTATTCTGGAAGAAAATGTGGTATTCAAGACTGCTGACTTTATGTCTCACAGGTGCGCCGGAGCTCGCCCCTTTCATCCGCTACATCTCGATGTACATGGACACGGAGTGGGATGGCATTGCGAGACAAGACAAAGGTAAGTTATTACGAATTGAGATTTCGAGGACCTTTTTGGGAGAGACATACTGAGCCGCTGACCTTTTCTCGAACAGGGAATGGAGTCGTTCTTGCCGCCACTTGGTGAGTGAAATCCGAACAGCTCCGCTTACGCCAGGCACGAAGGGCGCTCGCTCACTGTCAGTCGGCCGGGAGCGATTTCATCCAGGTTGTTGCCGATCGCACTCGTCCCCCGACGTAAGTGCAACAGTATCACTCAAACTACCCATGTGTCTGACTTTCCTCTCGCTTATTCACAGCCTGGGACTTCCCCTTACCTTCCGACGACGATCCGGCCCCTGCGGCGAATACTCCAGTTGTCGAGTCCGTGACCCAGAACGAGCCTATGGCACCCGTTCCTGCTTCGGTCAAATCAAGTCCCGTAGCCGCGGCTTGAGGCAACATATGGCTGTCACTTCCCATCATATGACACAAACACTCGTTTCCTTGTACCTATGTCTGGAGCCCGCATCAAGAAAGCCTCATCGCACTACCGTACAAGCATCTTGAACATACCTCTTCATACCCTTCATGTTCATTCTTGCAATTCATTCATCACCTAGCCAGCGTTTTGTACCGACATCAATCAAAACCCGTCTCAGACGATCCCTCAAAGCTCGTCCTTCTTGTGCTCCTCCTTCTGCTCGTAGACCCATTCGACCCTCTTTTTCAACGCCTCCGGACCGCCGCTCAAAGCCTTGGTGACGAAATCGTCGGGTTTGAACGAGGCCTTGGAAGCGGGGCGGTCGGCTATCCTCGCGACCCACTTCTCGACGTTGGGGAAACCGCTTTCCGAGAGTGAAGCACCCAGGACGAGAGGCACGGCCCGGATCCAGGTGAACGCCGTCTGCGTAAGAATTGAAATTTACGCATCAGTAAGCCTCAGGCCCGTGCAATATCGTCGAGGCGGCGTAAAGACTCACGATATCGGCATATGAGTACTTTCCCTGGCCTTCGCCGACGACGTATTCGCGGCCGACAAGCTTCTCCTCGTAGACGGAGAGCAAGCGTTTGGTCTCGTCGATGAAGCGACGAGCGGCGTAGGGGATCTTCTCCGGAGCGGCAGAGAGGAAGTGGTTCGCTTGGCCTTGCATCGGACCGAGGCCGGTGTTTTGGAAGAAGATCCATGAGATCTGAACATGAGAGCGTCCGGTCAGATACCTCGTTCCTTTCTGCGAGGTCGGGTAGAGTTTAAATCATACCATGTCGGTCTCGTCCTTGTCATCTTGGAAGTGCAAGTTGTACGTCGAGTCGTAGTGCTGAAGAGTCATGTAACACCGATCAGTGTCCGAGGTTGGCGGCAGGGTTTTGCATGTCTTTTCAACTCGGCTCACTTTGGCGATGTAGAGCAAGATCGAGCCCGACTCAAAGACCTGGTGACATCAAAGCGTGAGGTATGAGCTGGTGCACACGAGTTGTTCATGATACGCTGACGGGCTGCATACACTTTGATTGTCACGGTCACGGTCCACGATCTGCATGGCATCACAACCGAGAGTCAATACTAGATCACCGGCGTCGACAAGATTCGATCGATCCACTACTGACAGCAGGAATTCTTCCATTGGGGTTGACTTCCTTGAGGAACCTGCGCCGCCCCGGAGGGAAATGGGTCGAACGTGGTCAAGTCCAGTTCGTCTGATCGGGCGTCCAGGCTAAGTCTCTTCGACCGGCTAGATGCCATGACGCACCATTCCTCCTTTTGCTCGTTCTTGCCAAAGTTGATGTTGTGGCGGTTGACAACGAGGTCTGAGCCGGCCTCCTTCAGCTCTGCGGACGTGTGAGCCAGGAAGAGGTGCAGCAGGCCAGGCGGAACAGGATCGCGCGGGCAATGTGGGGGAGGAGCGGGAAGAGCGGTGGAGGGGAGCGGACAAAGTGGTGTTGTTTCAGCATCGACAGTCACAGGTACCCGCCAGAGACCCTTACCAGCAAAGGCGAGCGAGATCTTCATGCCGTTGGGCGTGTCGACGCTGTAGAAGTCGATGCCTTTGCTCGAGGCGGGAGGGCCGGTCGCAAAGTTGCGAGCCTTGGGGTTGGGGGTCGAGGAAGAAGCCATGGCGAGACGAGATGAGAGTAGTAGGATGGGTAGTGAACGGAGAGAGATGGGTAGCGGAAGGTGCATCGGGTGGGGCGAGGGGAGGGAAAGGAAGGAGCTAATGACGTCGCACTACCAAACGGGTCCACAATGCGCGGTGGGCGAAAGTGGGCGCTGACCTGCAGCTGGTGCTGATAGAATCGACAGGCGCTGACTGGCGCTGACCGAGACGATCGAAGACGCCCGATTGCCGAGCAGGGTCGATTGATAATCAGACCCCGCTTCGAGTTCGGTTCCAGGAAGCTCAAAAATCTACCACATGTCTTGAGATTGCCTTTTCCATCCAGGTCCACCCACGCGGTGGGCGAGAGTGGGCGCTGACCTGCGCAGACAGAATCGACTCGACAGGCGCTGACCGAGACGGTGCAAGGCGCCCGATCGCCGAGCGGGGTCGATTGGTAATCAGGACCCACTTTTCAGTTTAAGGATGCTCAACCTGTAACACACTCTTCAATTTTAGCTCCAGGTTGCTCAGCACTTGCGATTTGCTTTTCCCATCGCAGTTTCAAGCGAAGACATCAGCCACCAAGACAAACCGTGAAGAACCATTCTGAGAACCGTCGGACTGCTCCTTACTCCGCTTTCTCCTCGGACTTCAGTTGGGCTCGGCCGACTCGGCGGCGTACACCCACTCGATGTTCTTCTTCGGTCCCTCCACGCCAGCACTTAGCATCTTGGTGACAAAGTCGTCAGCCTTGGCTGCGGATCGTTCGTGGATGCGCTGCTCGACATTGAGAAATCCGCCGTGAAGAGCCTCGCACCGAACCCGCACGCTCCCCAGATGAAAGCGGTCAGAGGAAGTGGTCGCGTCGGTAGGAAGTTCTGGCGGTGAGGAGCACTCACTAAAGTAACGAGACCCCCACTCGATACTCACCATGTCAATGTACGCCTACTTGCCCTTGCCTGGGCAATGGGGTAGTCGCGGCCTTTGAGACGCTCTTCGGAATCAGATAGGAGGCGCTTGGTCTCGTTGATGAAGCGACGCGCAGGGTAGGGCAGCTTGTCGGGCGACAAGGTGAGGAGGTGGAACGCCTGATCGAGCACAGGGCCGAAACCGGCATACCGGAGGAAGATACACGAGATTTGTAATGAATGTTCAAGGGAAATTTCACGATCCATCACCAGTCAATCATTAAAGACGCTTAGAGTCAGTGCAAACAGGAACGTTGCTCACCACGTCGGCCTCGTCCTTCTCGTCTTGAACTTGCAGTGCCTAGGACGCGTCAGGGTGCTAGAGATGAAAGAAGTGCGAGGTTACCAAAACGTTCACCGTCCTTCTGGTAGAGCAGCTTGATATGCTTTGGGGAGATATACCAAGACCAATCCAGACTCGAAGACCAAAACGCTCACCCCGCAACGGTCAGTCGGATTGACTGATCTTCTGGCCCTCGGGCGAGTCAATGCTGTAGAAGTCGATGCCACTCTTTGAGCCGGCGGGACCAGTCACGGAAGTATTAGGCGCGGGACCAGTCATGGTGGCAGATAGAAAGAGCTGTGCGTGGAAGGTGGAGTGATGAAAGAAGGAGGAAGGGACGTCGAGCTGGGTTTCCAGGCCAACCACGGAACGTCGGAGGGATCCAGGTGTCCAGAAGGGGTTCGCTATCTCCAAGCGCTCATGTTCAATACCCATAAAAATCTTCCATACTTTTCTGAGAACGCTTGTGGAGCGCGGAAAAGCTGAGCAAAGCCCCGGCGAATTCGTAAGGGGCTCACAATTCGGCGATCGGAGGACATGATCTCGAACCAGCGGACTTGGTCAACTCTGAGCACGCGACGGCGGCTGACACACTGCCTCAAAATCGGTTCGGAGATCAAAAGGTCCTTTTAATCATTCCAAGGAGATGAGTTCTGAAGAGAGGGTACGAGAACAAGCCCTAAACACCCTGTGAGAAATCAAGGGAATGTGTTGGAGCGGGACCAGGCGGCGGAGGACCGCATGGCACGGATTCTGACGTCTCATCAGGTCGAGTGCTTGGGCTAGGAGAGAACAGGACTCCGAGCGTCAATGCAAGCTGAGTCAACATCAGTAGATACGTGGATTCTGACTGACGATGTATTCGGTTGTGTGTTCGGAGAAGACCTTCTCGCAGGTGTGCTGTTTGACAAGAGGCGAGAGAGCGCATACAAAGAAGTCAGAGATAGTGGGCTCATTGTCCTCGCAGCGCCGACCGATTCCCTCACCTTGATCTCCATGGCTTGGCTCGCTTCCAGAACTTTTTGATTGATGAGAGCTTGGAACGCCTTTTTGCTCGTCTCGAGAGAAGCCTAGGCCATCAAAGAGCAAGCGTCCGAGCATTAGCCATCTCGCTAAGCGTGCGCTCGCGAGAACTGCAATCGGAACACTGACTGACCTTTTCATGTTCGAACTTCTTGCTAGCCCACTCGAAACGCTTCTGCTCGGCGGCATAATCCAGCTATCGGGTACGGAATGCAAAAGGGAGCGAAACGTTAGCGTCGAAACTTGTGAAAGGCTTCATTTCGTTGCTGACGAACCTCGGCTTGGGCGAATTGGTTGACCCTGTCAGCGAAGTCGGCCTGGTCCTTGGCACACTGTGCTTCGTCCTCGAGCTTTTCGATCGCTTTTTTCTGGTAGTACCTCGCGTCGTAGAAAGACTGGAAACAGTGAAAAACAGACAGGCCTCGGGTGAATAGTCAGCATCACTTCGGATTGGGGTGATTGGGTTGGCAATATAGCGTCTCTTGAGCGTGTGAGCGAAGATCCATGAGCTTACCTTCATCGCATCGTAGACGGTGCAGTCGTACAGGTCCTTGTACTCGGGGAGGTGCTCGAAGTAGTAATTGATGCACATAGTCTGGTTCTCGTACGTTTGAGGAGGAGGGGAAAAGGTGGGGAGGGAGGACTTCACCGAAGGAGAAGGAGGAGGAGGGAGGGAAGGGGGTGACAGGGGCGAGTCGCGACGATCGACAAGGGACGGCATTGAAGAAACAGTGGGAGTCGAAGAAGATACCGCGACGAGAGCGGAAAAGGCAAATGAGGTGAGAGATCGCAAGGAAGGCATGGTGAAAATCGTAGGAGAACGGCGTTGAAGTCCGATGGGAGTGGTGAGTGTGGGTGGGAGTGATGTGAAGGAAAGAAAGAGAAACGAGGTGAGATTTTGTCGGGTTTTGTTCGTTCGAGCAAGAAGGCCAAGAAGAAGGCCGCACCAAAGTCGTCAAGTCCTCACGCTGCGGAAGATGCTGATCGGCCTCTACAGGTAACAACACTGTTCTAGCCCTCCAGATGAGTCGAGAAGGTATGCTGTATAACTAGCAGAAAAGGCGATCGGCGAGAATACTTGCCCACGTCTGAGTGATGTCCCGGCGCGGCGCGGCGGGTTGCGCAACTAGGGAAGCTTCCTGAGCCCCTATCGGCTAGCGCGTTTCCAAGTCGCCTTGGGTACCCAGCTGGCGCAGCTCAGCCGTTTCAGTAGTTGGGGGGGAAGACATCAAAGTATCCCCTCGACCGTGCCTGTGACACCACCCGGTAAAATGGTCGAGCTAGTCCTGGCCGGGGTGCCTCCGAGGGAAAGTTCTTCGTTAAGATTGTTCATATTCTCATATTCCACTTGGTCTGAAACAACAGGCTTAAGTTCTGGATCGCTTCTCGTTCTAGTCTAGCCCAACCGGAAGCCGAGAAGGATACCAGCGACGAACGTAGCTCGGCTTTGAACGTCGGCACTGACAAAGTCGACGAACCAGCTCCACAAGCCAGTGATGCGGTTTCCACCGGCACTAGCGGGTGGCCCTGCGCGTTTGGTGATGAACGAGTCGTAAGAGTTTGTGATGGCACCCCAGTTGATTTGCAAGAGCGATCGAGACGACATGTACTGCGACACGCGAAGCAGGGGTCAGATGAAAAATGTTGGCTTGACGGAAGCAGACACGGCTTTTGAGTAGGTTGTGATCTCACTTGGAGGAAGACAAAGACACCACCTAGAGCAAATGCAACAGCCTGAATATGTTTAGAACGGTGAACTAAGTGTTTGCCACTTCTCTACATCGGCGAACCTCCGCGATCCGGTCAGGCGCGAACAAACCTTCAAACCCTTCTTGACGAAAATTCCAACGCAGATACCCGACACCGTGCCAAAGCTGAGATCACGGAGGTTGATGATAGATTCGGCAGGAAGAAGTTCGTCATAGGCTCCCAAGGCGCCGGTCTGTGCCGAGGTCGTTTGGGCATAAGCCCTGGTGTCGGAGGCGCAATGGATCGGTTGTTGACGTGATGCGCCGAGGCCGACGGCGACGAGGGGCAAGGACGCGGCAAGGGCGAATCGATACGAGCGGAGGAACGAGGCTGCGTGGGATGTTTCGGTACGGGTAGTGGTGCACATGCCTTGTTGTCGCATCATAGCTCGGTGTGCGGTGTGGGGCGCCTTGGGCAAGACGACGCGCGCGGCGGCGCACTGACGGGCGACCGTCGCGAGCGGTGTGGGCCAGCGTGCAGCGAACATGGTACACTACAGCAAAAGACACTTCGGCGACAGTACGTCGGTGTGTGTCAGCTCCCGCTCTCGGGTGGCATCGCGCGTTTGTTTTCAACGAGAACGCCGGCAGATCGCGATTCGCGAAGGGCGTTCCGCGTCCGATCATGACGTCGAGTGCCGCACGAAGCGCGGGCTGATCAGGCTGCAGACGTCGGTGGCATACGCTTCTTGGCCAGCACGACAGGGTGCAACTGAGGTAGATGTAGAAATTCAGACTCACAGGGAGGTCGGGATGGGAAGTGGGTTGAAAGCGTGCAAGAGAATCGTCACGGGTTGCGTCGGGTGGGGGAAAGGCAGATCGACGCCGGAAATAGCGCAGGGTGGCAGTTGCCAATAATATAAGGATTGCCTTTCGTGTATTTGACTAGTGACTGCCGGCAACTACCGCCATGACCCAGCTTGACAGCACCCACGAAGGCAAAGTGAGATGATGAGTCCAAATCTATACCCCAATTCTGATTGTCGTCGTCGATCAACATCATCTTGGTCATCAGTGAATTGCAACTCAGAAGAATGATGCGAAGGGTCCTGATGCTGCACGGTCACCCGTCACCGCCGGCCCACACATCTCTCCACCCAATCAACATTCCCAAGTTGACACATATGAACGTGTACCTCCTTCAGCTCGCAGCCCCAACCTCCTCAAGCAGAGATAGAAGCATTGTCACGCGAACGAGAGAGGCATCCGACTTTCCAATTGCCCCGCAGGAAAAAAAAGAAAGAAGGAAGTGGCTCTGGCACTTCATAAAGAAGCGTGAACAGGGACTAGCACCGATCTCCCCTGGGATGATCCCGAAGGATCAAAAGGGAAATCAGCGAACTCTTGGTCCCCTGCCTTTGTCCACGAGTTTGACAGAGAAGAAGAAGGGAGACCCTCGCACGAGTCGGCCCGCGAAGTTTACGCGCAGGGGCGGATTGGGCATAAGAGGGCATAAGCAAGGATTAGGTAATGATAGCTTTGCCGTGTTAGACCAAGTTGCTAACTACCGATTGGAATATGCTACCTGATCGTGGTCCGTCGCGCTCATAACACCCCTTACCCCATAGAAATCACATTAGAAAACAGAAAACAAGCACTGCAATCAAACATAAACAACACGTGTACCCAAGACCTTCCAGGCGGATCCAGTCTATTCCGAGCCGCTTCCGTCCAACTTTTCTCTCGCCATGATGAGCTAGTTCCGCTCCTTCAATACCCTGGGCTCCGTGGCTCGCTTGTACTCCTTCTCGACGTCATACTCCTTGTTGGGGTATTCGAGTTCGACCTCGTGCCTGAACTCTTCTCGCATCGAGCGAAGGAAAGCGTAAAGATTTCGGTCCTCGTTGAGTTTGCTCAGCAGCGACGACAAGACTTGCTCCGAGATGTAGTTGATAGGCATGATCGATGTTACTATGAAGGAAAGGGAAGCTTGCGGATTAACACGATCACCGCGAGATCACCGAGATCGGGCTTTTCTGGAACGAACCTTCATAGGCCGGCTGGGAGACATCGATCACAAACGAGAACGGCCGTCCATAGTTTCTGCGATCGATGTTGGTAAACTTGAAATGTATTTTGTCGCCTGTTCGAGGTTCAGCATTCAAATCAGCTCGTGCTACTTCCTAAACATGACTAAGCAGGATCGGACTCACGCCCTCGCCCCTCAATCTTGAGCCCCGTTTTCTGCTCGAAAAAGGTGCACTCCGGTCCATTCTTGCTGGCTTGTTTTGTAAAAGCTTCTCGTTGCTTCGATTTGTCTGTGGTAAGGTCGCGGAAGCGCGACGCATCCATGTGGAAACTATCAGTAAACATTGCGGATGCTCGCTCGCCCACCCACGCGCCAGCCGGCAATCTCAGCACATCACACACTTACGTTCTCGCTTGGCCCGCAATTTTCTGCGTTCTTCCTCGACCTCGTTGTTCAAAGAGTCGATCTGACCGGCGAGGTGACGCTCCTGTTGCGTGACTTCGCTCGTCTTTAGCCTTGCCTCGCGCTGATCCTCGACCTCCTTGCTCAGGTCGAGCTTGACCTCCTTGGCCCGTTCGATCAAGGCTCTGATCTCTGCCGCAGACGATCGTTTCTGGTCGTCCAATTCGGCCACCGTCGCAGCCAAGTCGCGTTTCCTTTCCGAGATGGCCTGGCCGAGACGAGTGATCGCCTGTTCAATCTCCAACGCGTCGCGCTCGAGCTGCGACACGAACGTGTCATCGTCGTCGTCGGTGTAGTGAGTTTCCTTGTACGGCCGAGGGCACAGGTTCGGCAATGATTGGAACGCGACGGCCATTGCTCGCGACGGCGTCGACGGTTGTTGGTACATATTGGTTGCGCGACGGGAGCGCGGCGTCGCGAGCGCGGGCGAGCGCGGGCTGTGAGTGAGGGGAACTCTTGAGGCAGATGGGGGCATGTTGGATCGTGGATTGGTGGGGGATACGCGTTGACACAAGTCGTAGGGTGGGGGAAGGAAGGGAAGACGGGAGACGGGAGGACGAGTGCCTTGCGCGTCAATACGGCGAGATACAACGCGGGGGAACAGGGGGCCTTTTGCTTCCACCAACGTGAGGCAGCGTCCGGCAGCGTGAGCGCGCGAGCGTGGGAATCCACAATCCACAATCGCAGTGGTTTCGCGGCCGCAGGCGGCAGGGGCGAGGAATCAAGTTCGAGCCGGCACGTCCCTGGTGCCGGTAAACACAATTGGAGCTTCAACAAAGGGAGCTTTGGCAGCTTCTCGTCCGTTTCAGGAAAGGATACGAATAGGCTTGCGAGGATGCTCGGCGATGGGATCGAAGATTCGAAATCCAAGCAAGATCCAGATCAGCTGACTGTATGCGCGCTTATGTTGAATGAAAGCGCCGGCGGCCTGGACGTCTCGTCGGTGCCGAGCGTCTGCGCGCATCGCCTTCGACCTCCGCCCCGTTCTGCCCCGTTGCCCGCACTACTCCATCTACTCCAGCTTCTCTCAACCTTCTACCCTTGTTTTATACGCCTCTACTCGAGTATAAAACACCCCGTTCTTATCCAGCACCGGAGCTGCTCGTAGCCTTGTGCATAACCCCTCGCGGACACGTCGTCAACGTACACCTCCAGTCGCGCGCCGGCCCCTCCATCTTACGTTCTCGGCTCATCTGACTGACCTCGCCCTCGCGCCCCTCACGCCAGCTCGCACCCTCAAAGGGAGCGACGGCTACGACAATCACCATCAGTCCCGCCATGTCCCACTTTGGGTCGCAACAACGTGTGCTCACCCCCAACGGAACTCACCTCGTCGAACACAAGCCCTCGTCCTCGGCGGCGCATCGCTCGCCCGTCAAGCCGACCGCGCACTCGACCTCGTCCTCGGCGACATCTTCGCCGTGGTTGAAGGAGAACTCGCACCGGCATTCGATTGCCGCGCCTACCAAGCTCAACATCAGCACGACCATGATGAACACCGCCACCCACAATGTCGCCACGGCGAACGTGATCGTGCAACCGCAGATTTATCGTCACCCCAATAGCCCGACGCCGTCCTACATCTCGTCGCAGCTATCCGCCTCGGCCTCGGCCACCAAGGGGCTCGAGGCGAAAACCAGTCGCTCGTCAGCGTCGTCGTCCTCGGGCGGCGCGCTCTCGCCGCTACCTTCCCCTGGCCTCTACACCCGCTCTCCCGTCCTCGGCTCTACACCTGGATTCGAGAATCCGAATCGCTACCATCGCCCCGCTGGCGCCGGTCACTCGACCGAGCCGACCATGACTCAACTTCTCCACGAGCAGCCGACGGGCATGGCCCACTACTCGTCGAGGGCCTATGACCGCGACTCAACCATGGCCAATGCAACAGGAGTAGTCAGCTGGAGGAAAGGGCAGGGTTTCAAAGAGTGGGAGAAGGCGAGGTTGCAAAGCACAGAGGTCAAGCGAAAAGCCGACGTGGCTCAGTTGTGTAAGCCCGAGCGGTCGGATTGCATGGCATTGCACCTTTCACACGAGACTCACTCCCAGCATTTTGTCCCTTCTTACAACAGATTTCTACGACCACTACTTTGACCTGTTGACCTACCTCCATGCTCGCAAACAACGCCTTGCCGCGTTCAGAGACTCTGTCGCTCAGCGCCAGCTTTCCCCCACTGAGGAGCAAGCCGAGTGGACGTCGTACAGTGGTCGGGAGCGTGTCTTGTTGCGTAAGAGACGGACTAAGCTCAAGCTTGACCAGTTCCACATTGTCACCCAAGTAGGCCAAGGTGGCTACGGCGAGGTCTACCTCGCGAGGCACAAGGAAACCAATCAGGTCGTCGCGCTCAAGAAGATGCGCAAGAAGACTTTGCTCAAGATGGATGAGATCCGGCACGTCCTCACTGAACGGGACATTCTCGCTTCGACGAACTCGCCTTGGCTCGTGCGGCTATTGTATGCTTTCCAAGATCCGACGTTTGTCTACCTCGCGATGGACTTTATCGCCGGCGGAGACTTCCGGACACTGCTCAATAACTCGGGCGTGCTCAAGGAAGAACATGCTCGATTTTACATCGCCGAGATGTTCTGTGCCGTCGATCAGTTGCACAAATTGGGTTACATCCACCGAGATCTCAAGCCCGAGGTGAGCAGAGGACACTTCATCATTTCCTACCCTCAGTCACAGCCATTGACGGGGTCCCTCTGTATTTTAGAACTTCTTGATTGACCCCAGCGGTCATATCAAGTTGACCGACTTCGGCCTCGCCGCCGGTGCCTTGAACCCAGGCAAGATTGAGAACATGAAGCATAAGCTCGACGAGGTCAAGGACACCGAGCTTATCTACCGCACGACGTTCGAGATGAAGTCGATCTACAAGTCGATCCGCATGGCCGACCCCCGCTACGCCGACTCCGTCGTCGGTTCGCCCGACTACATGGCGATCGAGACCCTCCGAGGTCACTCGTACTCGTTCTCTGTCGATTACTGGTCGCTCGGGTGCATCCTCTTTGAATTCCTCGCTGGCTTCCCACCCTTCTCCGGAGCGACCGCGGAGGAGACGTGGGCAAACCTCAAGAACTGGAATCGATGCTTGAGGAGACCTCACTACGACCGGCCAGAGGATCGCATCTTCAACCTGTCTGATGTAGGATGGTCCGCCATCACAGCGCTCATCGCGCACAAGGACCGTCGGCTATCGACCTTGGACGAGGTCCAGCGTCATCCCTTCTTCCACGGCCTCGAATGGGGCCGACTAAGGGACAAGAAGGCGCCTTTCGTCCCAGCTTTGGACTCGGAGGTCGATGCGGGCTACTTTGATGACGTGAGTATCACACTTTTCTGAAGATTCCGGCTACCAACGTCGTTGACCCAAATTGACCCTCTCAGTTCTCCAACGAGGCCGACATGGCCAAGTATGCCGACGTTCGTGAGAAGCAACGCAACGTCGACCGAGTGCGAGAGAAGGAGGAGAAGTTCGGCCGGGGTGTCTTCGTCGGATTCACGTTCAAGGCCAAGCGCGACGAAGTGGTCGACCTTGTGGCCCGTGCCCACGTCGATGACGACGACGAGACCTTGCAGACGCTCTTCTGATCGCTGACGGGGTTTCCAGGATCGATAATGCCCCCATATGTACACACTACTTTCTTGTTTCGTTTCGTCTCTGCCGTTTTCCGCACCTTTTGTTGGATTTTTGTTCATCCCTTGGCTTCATCTGATCAAGCTTCTGCGGTCTGGATCCCTGCTGCCCGATCTCGATACCCACCCGGCTACGTTCTGGTCCACCCCGTTGTGTACTCTTATGCTTGATATCTACTTCTTCACTGTCATATAACTGGATTCGCTCCCTCGAAATCTCTAATTCCAGAAAGTTGCGCATTTCCGCGTTATCAACTGCCCGCAGATCAGAACATGAACACAAGTCACCGGAAAAGTTAGAGCTCGTTCTTCGTGACCGGAGCCGTTGATTCATGGTAATAAAGTAGCTAGATATACAGAATTAGGCTTATAGTGTTCTCGCCAGAAAGGATGTCGATCCCGAGGTTGTCCACACTCGTCCTGCCCTAAGTACCAATTCGGGTGGGTAGACCTTTGACGTCGGGCGCTTGCCGACTTTGGCGCTTCGGCTTCGAATGGTGCTGAGTCTGAGACTTCCCTGCGGGCCGGCGGTGGCGTTAAGCGATTACCTCAGCTACCTATTTGTAATACGAGGCTCTGACACGCTGTATAGTTGAGAACGATCAACAGTTGCTAGTAGAAATCAGGTCCCAAAGTCCGGAGTTTCCTCCCAATCCCGGGACTCGACTAGGCAACTCTGGTGGTCTGGAATCTGGACAGCTCCGACGATTAGGCCAGACCTGTCGTCGGCCTGCCTGCAGTCAAAGTGGGTGGGCAGCAAGTTGCCGCGCCCACTTCCATGCATACTTGCTGATCGGCGCCAATTCGGTATCACGAAAACGCGTGTTGGTGCCGGAGTGCCGGAGGTGCTAGTGTCCAAAACATAAGTTGGACGCCGGTAGAATTATCGCGGCTTGCTCTTAAACTCTGACCAGGAGTCGCTGCAGCCTGAGCGATTATCCTGATCTCGAATTTGATTGCCGGCTGAAGCCCACGTAGTGCGCACACCTCGAGTTCGAGCGCTGAGTAGATACTTTGGAACTGGATGTCCTTTAGCCTGCACAGGTGGATATTCCCCTGCTCATCTCTAATAGAGCGTTAGAAGGGATTTTTCGGCGCACTCGCGGGCTTAAGCGCGCTTCTCCGAGATTCGACCTGAATGGCCTGATCGGTCAAATTGGCCACGTGAGCACTTGCCAGTCCGTGCCTGGACCAGACCGCATCCAAGTCTGAGCTTTACAGAGCGTGTGCGATCGAGCTCCTCGTTTCGAGGGAGGCCCGCCTCTCTCTTGTTCTCCTGCGCTCTTCACGGGATAGTGATGGAGTCTGGTCCGCACTCCCTTGCCGGGTCCATGGACGATACGAAAGTCGCGGACCATCCGAGTCTCCAGTCGGTCGACTACGCGGTGTCCGGCCTCGCTTCCCAGCGCCAGCGCGGATATGACGACGAGGCTATCCAGGTGCTACAATTTGAATGGGACTCCCAACCCCCCATCACCGACGAGGAGGAACGTGAATTGATCAAGATGATCGATTGGAGAATCCTGCCGCTGATATGTTTTGGGACGGCTATGCAATACGCCGACAAAGCTGCGTGAGTTGGGGAAACTGCAACACGCTGATGCCCAGAGCATCGACTCGGCACGTCAAGTGGATTGTGCTCGAGGCAACACTTGAACTCTTGCCGTCGGCTCACGTGCTGACGCGTCGTTCGGCGACTCCCACCTTGTTTGCTGATCATACTTTGAGATCCAAAAACTTTCGTGACAGGTTGTCCGTTGGTGCTCTCTTTGGATTGATCCGCGACCTCAAGCTTTTCGTTGCACAGACGGGTGGAACTTTCGACACTCACGTGAGGCTTCTAGAGTAGCTCGCACTGTCCACCACCCACTGATACTCTCGAGCCGCATCCCCGGCGATAGAAATACACCTTGGTTTCGATAATATACTATGTTGGGTAGGTCTCAGTGCCGAAGGGGCGCCTGTCTGCAAGCTTCCATTCTTGATTTTCGGCGCGCCTTACATCAACAACGCCGAACTGATCCTTCCACGTTCCTCCGTCGCCTACGCACAGCTACGTCGTTGGCACGCCTATACTTTCGACAGTAGCACAACGCTTTCCGACGGGCAAGATATGTTCGCTTTATGTGCTACTCTGGGGCATCGTGACCCTTCTCACACCCACCTGCACCGGGTTTGAGGGTATCATGGGGCAGGTGAGGCGCATAAGCTTCCTCTTCTGCAAGGCTCTTGCGGGGACACTTCCTGAACCGTTCATGCCAACAGCGATTTGTACTCGGCATATTAGAAGGTGGGGTGTCTCCGGCGTTTCTGACGATCCTTGGTAAGTTGTGCGCGAGCGCACAGGAGCTTGTTCGCAGCCGAGGTGGACTGATCGAGCGGGACCCTGTGGTGCTTTCTGTTGTCAGGCATGTGGTACCGCAAGCGCGAACAAGCTCTTCGCGCGCCAATTTTATATTCCGCGAACGGATTCTTCGTTTTGTAAGTATTTAGATGGCAGCGCTCTACTCGAGACATGATAGTTGACGAGCCCCTATTTGTTCTCGCAGACCGTTGCTGGCCGTGGTCTACGGGATCGTGCATATCGGATCTCGGGCGCATGCCTGGAAGTCGATCTACTACTTCCTTGGCGTGTTGACGATTATCTTCGCATGCTTCCTCTACGTATTCCTACCCGACTCGCCCGTTTCCGCCAAGTGGCTGACTTCTCGTCAGCGATATGTCGCCGTCGAGCGTGGGTCCCAGCTCGTGCTGCCTCGATGGCCTTGATCAGCTTGCTGACGCTCTTCTTGTGTCCATTCGTCATAGGCTTGCGAGACAATCAAGCCGGGCTGAACTCGAAGCGGCTGAAAGGATCGCATCTACTCGAGGCCGTCTGCGACATCAAGGTCGTTGTTCTCGTGCTTGCGACCTTTTGTACCTGCGCATCGGCCGGCGTCATCGGCGCATTCTCACCTCTCGTCATCTCGAAGGGTTACGGCGCTGATGCTCTGCGCACGCTGCTATTGCTAATGCCGACGGGGGTGGTCGCTGGATTTTCAAACATCATAGGAGGGTTAGTGCGATCGGTTCAGTCATTCGATCCTTCCAGCTCTGTCAGACCTGAACTTCTCGCCTTCGCATCCTCAGGTATATCGCGCTCAAATACAAGAACACGCGCATTGCAGTCATCATTTCCCTCTCAATATTGAGCGCGACGGGGACCGCCTTGCAGTGGCGTCTGACTCTGGCGAAGAAGGAGGGGTTGCTGGCCGGAGTGTACCTCATTGTTGCGTCGTCCGGCGCCCTGGGCGGGCTGACGGGCCTGGCTTGCACGTGTCTTCAACTTGCGTGAGTCTTTTGACTCCATGTCACGTTGCTGAGCGGCTCTACACTGTTTCACACTAGTATCAAATACCGCTGGTGCGACAAAGAAGATTGCCGTCTCCGGTTTAGTTTTCATCTCGATCGCTGGCGCCAACATCGCGACTCGTGAGTGCAAAGTTCCAGGAACCCGATCATCATCGTCAGAGACGAGGCTCACGTCCGATCCCTTCTTACACAGCTTTCTTGTTTAAAAAGTCGGAGCAACCGCGGTACCCATTTGCCTTCAAAGTGACCATGATCCTACAATGCGCTGGCATCGGGCTTTGTGTTGTCTACGGGTCAGTCGGGCTTCGTTGGCTGCAGCGCGCGTTGGTTGCTTCTTGACATCCGACGACGAACCTGAACAAAGTCTTCCGAATTACAAATCGCGCAGTGCCCTCTGCATCCGCGAAAACCGGCGACGAGACCGGAGCGTCGAAAAGCAAGCCCAGGACTTGGCTTTCAGCGATTCGACGGACAAGCAGAACGCCGCCTTTCGTTACGTTTGGTGAGAACGATATCATCTTATTCGCAATCAATGCATATTGGCGGACAATCCTATACTTTCGAAAGACATACACGACCGCATTCTATAGGTGTCTCTTTTGTACTTGTCGTACTAGGCTTATATTGCATGCATTGCAGAATTGCACGCGACTTCTATGGTGTTTGATCGAGGCCACCCTCTGCCCTGATCTTGGTGAGCTCGGCCTCGATCTCTTGAGCCTTGTTTTCTTCATCCGGATTGAAGAGTGCTGAGTACATGAGGTACGCTTCCTCGAGCTACCCAAAGGTCAAAGTCGCGGTGTCAGTCGAAGCGAATGGATAGGGAGGTACTAGGGCCGGACTGACTTTGCGGTACTGTTCCGTTTTGACGGTAGCGATTTGCTTTTTCGCCGGAAGACCGGAGTACAACTCGATCGTGCCTCGGAGTTTGGCAATGGCTGCACCGGGGTTCGTCGGAGCAAAGTCAGTGCGTCGGACAGGACGGTCTGGACGCATACATCACACTTGAAAGCTGTACGCACCTTCCTCGCCTCGTCTTTGGGCTTCATTCACTTCTTCCGCGTCGACTGGCAAAGGCTCCACGTCCCCTTCATCGTCTTCGGTCGCGTCGGGACGATACTTGTCCTCCACGATCTCGATCTCGACACCGAACTGGGCCAGGGCGATGTCACCACGAATGATCGCAAGATCGAACCTCCACTGCAGCGCCGTCTCGGCCGTGATCCATGACCCATTGCCGTTGTTGATAGGCTCGAGGGCGGTGTCAAGCGCCGAGCAGACCTTTTCCGAATGCGCGAGCTGTGCCAGTGATGCCACTTCTTCCTGACTGGCAACGACAGAGGCAATGGAGCGCAGAATGACGGCTATGAGATCACCACGCTCCTCAAAGAACACTTCGATTTCTTGAGTATGCTGGCCGTGGAATTTGATGCGAGTGATCAAAGGTAGCAAGTCCCCCACGCCCGATTCCATCAACTCGCCCGCTGCCGTCTCCTCATGCTTACTCATGAGGAACGCCGTTCGGTCGGCACTACAGCGGTTGCCATCGGCGAGGACGAGAAGGTGGGAGAGGCTGAAGTCGTTGCCCGAATCGGCATGCCACCTTATTGCCTCTTCGTACTTCTGGCTGGCCAGGGCAAGCCATTCGCCGGGATCCCTCGACTCGCTCGGGTCGAGTTTTCGCCGCTTCCCCGTCTCTTCGGAGAGGAGTTTTGCTTGAGCGAATGCGAATGTTTTGGCGGCTGGTAGCACGAGTGCATAGTGATGTAGAGACCAGGCTTGGAGATAGTAGAGTTGCGGCTCGGCTTCGAGCGCGATCGTTTTCTGCTCCTTGTCGATTAGACCGAGTGCTCGCAGTTGATCGTCCGATAATTCGACCGTCTCGCTGTCCTCCTCGCCAGCTTGGTCTTCGTTTGAGGCTTTTCCCTTCCCGTTGCCTTCAATCTGTCCTTCTTGAGCCTGCGACGAGTGATGCTTCGGCACCAGCGGTAGCAGGTCTTGTACGCCGTGGAGGATCCCTCGCAGCAGACCCCTCGCCTCTTCTATCTTGTCCTCGTCTCCTGACGACAGAAGTGCGACCGCCGACGATCTCAATTCGAAAAGATCGGATACAGAAAGTCGATCGCCGTCCAAGGGCATGGTTCGGACATCGCCGTCCTGCGTCGAGGTCGAGACGTCTCCGGAGCCTGCAGCCGATCCTGCAACCGGCGCGGTCGACGAACTGCCAATACCGACTGAAGACGGGTCGAACGCCGCGATGGCTGTCCTCTTGATCTTTCCAGCAGCTTTGAGTCCTTTGGGCGGCATCGAAGTGGTGGTGACTGGGTCCTAGGTCGACGCAGAAGCCAGGAGAGCGAGCGCTGCGAAGCCGGCGCGGCGCGTGAGGCCGTGAGGAGCCTCCACAAAGTAGTATCGCGCCGGGCCCGCCAGAGCAGCCCGGAGCACGCATGAATTTCATGTACCAGAAGCAAGGTAGTAACGTACAAGTCATTCAAACACACGCCCCAAAGTAAAAATGACAATGACCAAACGCCCTGTCCCAGTCAATTCAGCAATTGTGCTGCCGAACCAACTTGGGAGCTCGCTCACGTATACCAAGTGGGGGTCGCGTACTCTCCGGTCAACACATAGCGCCCCACCTCGGCCTTCTTATGGGCGACGGGGTCGTGCAAGGTATGGGTGCGTACATTGTTGAAAAAGTGCGCGAACCCAGCTCGGAGTGCGATGCTGCGAGAGCCAAGCGCTTCGTAGATCTTGCTCGTCACCTCGAGCGCAAACTCAGTCGAAGTAACCTTGGCCGCGGCGATGCGCACGGCGGCGTAGCCCCTTTCGTCCTCCGTGATTTGACGGCTCGAGCGAGCGAGCAATTGGCCGATGATCTCACCGGCTTGGTCAACTTGGGCCTCGAGGGCCCACAACTTCGCTTGCCACTCGCCATAAAGCGCTTGAATGTAGAACTCTTCGCTACCGGTCTGCTTGGGATCGGCGGCGAACGGCCAGCCGCGCGTGTTCTTTGCCGTGAAGTCGGCGCCATTCTTCAAGGCACCTTGGGCCGTGCCGGTGTAGAAGTTGGTGAATTGAAGCTGGATCGCGGGCAAAAGAACTGCAAGGGTACTGCGGGCTCAGCAATATGATAGCTCTCGGCTGATCTTGCCTAGAACTCACGGGTGTTCCACGCCCCGAGGGGTACGAAGGTCTTGTCGACGAAGCCGAGTGCCTCAGACCAAGGCAATCGAACATCCGAGATCGTAACTGAGCCGGATTGGGATCCCTGAATCGCGGGAGGGTTGGCTCGCTCAGTCATCCGCAATTGTTCCGAGGCTGGAAAGGAGGGACGAGTGCAGACGTACCCTCATTCCGAGGACGTCAACCCAGTCATCACCGAACTTGATACCGGGTTGTTTGGACTCGGCGATGGCAAAGACGTGCGTTTCAGTGCCTTTGATTACGCCCTCAAGAACGGTGAGATCCGACACTTTCGATCCGGTCGAAAAGGCCTTCCTGCCGTTAAAAACAATGCTCTTGCCGTCCTCGCTCTCGGTGACAGTGAGATCGGAGTCTCTGCATAAGTTGAGTACACAGCGATTCAGATATAAAGGAAGTCTTTCACATGAATCAGGAGTGAAACGGTGTACTTACCGAGGATTGACAGCGCCTCCCAAAATGAAGCGACCCTCGGTGACCCGCTTGGCCAGCCCATCGGCTTGTTCTTGGGTACCAACGACCTGGGCGGTCCACGACCAAAGGTAGCTGTATGCTAGGATCATGCCAACCGAAGAATCACCCCTGGAGATGATGCGCTGAATCTTGTAGCTCGCCTCGAACGGCAGTCCACCTCCACCATAGCGAGTCGGGCCTAGCGCCGTGACGAGGCCAGCGTCCTTTAGGAGCTGAATTTGCGCGTAGGGCACCTCGTTTCGATTGTCACGCTATAGAAGAGAGTGGAGACGTGGTGTTCATCAACTTTATGAACAAAAGGCCCAACGAGCTATATTACGCACCTGGGCAACATCCAAACCGAGAAGGTCCGAAACCTCCTCGGCTCGCCTGAGGAAGTCCTCGAGTGAGACAGGTCGGGAGGCAGTGGTGTAATCAGGATAGGAGATTTTCGACCCATTGCCCAGCTTGAGGCTGTCGAACGATGTAGGAGGTGTATCGACGGCGTGAGGCATGTTGGTGGTGATCGTTCTATGAAAGGAAGAGAGGTTGAGGAAGTGGTGCTCCAGCAGAGGCGGGCATGTGAAGGCAAGCGCGCGGAGAAGATGACGAAGCGATTGCGCTATACCGCGCCATGACTTTTGGAGCAAGTGCCCATTAACCGGGATGGCGCATTTTATCGAGTAAGGGACATCCTGGGAAGTGGGAGGCCTCTTCACTGTCTTCAGTCGCTGCTAGTGCGCAGGCGCGTGAGGGCCGGCGGCTGTTCGCCCGAAGTCACGTGCACTCAGGCTTGATCGAAAGTCCAATGTACCTACTACTTACCTTTAGCGCGGACAAGTTCAAGCGCTCTTGACAAAATTAAAGCGGGACCAGCCTTCACTACTGTAGTCAATTCGGCGGGGGAGCTCTTGCTCGATCACCCTAACGAACCGAATGCCGTGCTCGATCTGACCCGCGGCGCCGCTGTGACGTGCGAGCACGTTTGGCGAGATTGCGCAATCAGCCCCTGATTTTCTCAGGCCCACGGCGGATTAGCCGGGCGCCCCGCTGTGAGCGCACAACGCCGCGTCAAGGCCCCACCTCTCACAGTGAAGCGAAGAGACAGAGCCAACTGCGCATAGTCAAACTCGGACGGATGCTCACCCGCTCGCCGAGTAGCGATTGCACGACTCGACCCTTCAGGCACCGCACCTTCCGCGCTTGCTCCGCATCCAAACTCTGTCACCAGTACGCTCGTCAGTCGCTCAGGCGAGCGTTCGCTTCTCGTCTTCCACCACTCTTGGATACTATCATCTATACCCTTCATCATATGAGTGTCTTTGTCGGCCCGACCGTTCAACAAGCGCTGCTGCTGCACGCGCCTCGGCAGAGGTACCAGCTCTCGCAGATTGAGGTGCCCACCTTCCATGACGACGAGGTGTTAATCCGCATCGAAGCCATCGGTCTCAACCCCATCGATCACAAATCGGCTGACTACGGGTTTGCCCTTCCGGTAAGTACCTAACTTATCCGGACACATCCAAGCACTCTTCGCCTGGTACGCGCTCCTGAAGATCCTTAACGATGTTCTTTGATCTCAGGTGCTTCCCGCCCTGAATGGCCGCGATTTGGCCGGCGTCGTGGTCGGGGTCGGATCGAACGTTCAAAGGTGGAGATTTAGTGACCTCGTTTTTGGACCCTCGACGGCCTATCGCGATTACAGGACATCAGCTTTCCAGGAATTTGCGGTCGCCTCGGAACATTGCTTGGGCTCGGTCCCAGTCAAATCGAGCGTTGAGCAATGCGCTGCCCTTGGTAAGAGATGCTCTCTGCTCCACACTAACCCTTCCAGCTCGGAACCTAACATGCTGTAACATGTTGTAAATTCATCTCTGGTAGGTGTTGGAGCAGTTGCTGCCGCACTCGCTATTGGCTCGGCACTCGGGATCGCGATCCGCGGGTTCGCGCCTCGCTCCCTCGCCATCGGGGCCGAAGGCGAGTCTCCTGAGTGGGTCAAGACGACCGGCTCGCCAACTCCAATCCAAGAACCTTCGGCACAGTTTGGTGACTGGATTCTGATCTGGGGAGGTAAGATCATCGCGTAAAGGTGGGGACTCGGAACGGGGTGCATGCGCTCACACCTCTTTGACTAAATCTATCAGGCTCTACGACATCAGGCTACTTGGCGGCACAGTTAGCCCGGACAGCAGGATTGAGAGTGATAGCAGTAGCCAACAGAGAGCGGCATGAGGAGCGACTTCGTGCGGTCGGCATCGGTGAGTATGGTCAGCGCCTTGCGACTTCGGTCTGGTTAGGAGGCTTGGCTGATCGCCCGTCCCTCTCCTCTTCACAGAGCACGTCGTAGATCGAGACGACCCTATCGCTGCGGTTGCCAAGATTCGAGAGATCACAGGTGGTGCACTGCGGTACGCTATCGATTGCGTCGGCAAGACCAGTGCCTCGCACGCTCTGGAAGCTCTGTCCCTGTCAGCAGACACTTATCTGGTCGGCCTCTCGGGTTTACCCAAGACCGCTCGCTCGGGAGTTAGACTTTGTGAAGTTGTCAGTCGGATCAAGTATCAGCTATCTTCAAACATGAACATATACTAATGATAAACCCGATCTCGACCTATACCAGCCAATCAAAACGTTTCACACGAACGCCGCCGTCGGCTCGGGATTGATGCGCCTGCTGGAGGAGCTGATCGACAACAATGAGTTGGTTTTACCCGCGGTGGAAGTGATTTATGGAGGGCTCGAAGCAGTGAACGTAAGGAGATTGCCATATACACGAGTGAAAAGGACCGAGCTCGAGTGCTGACAGGCTGCACATACTTTTCACTGCACAGAACGGGCTCGATCGATTGAGAAGAGGCGAGTGTGGATTTGGCCGGATAGTAATTCGCACTCCCCACGCATGAATTTGATATTGTACGATCCCGTTTTTGGCCGATGCGTGCTTTGCCCTCTAATTTTTGCGGAGACACAACTCTTGAATGGCAGTAATGCGAGCGTCAAACTCAACCTGCTGACAGGCACCGCGCTGACCCGAGAGCGAAACAGACCCGCGGGGAAGCAGAAGCTACTAGTGAGCTGCCAACAAGTCAATTGCGGGGCTGTGCCTAGATATAGTCCGCTAGATCGTCTCCCGAGACTTAATGAAGCGTTTCGTTTTCCCGACTCAGAGTGCGCCAAATTTCAAGATGACGCGAGCGCTAGTGACCGATGATAGGTCGGTCGACTAGTAGGCCCTCACCGCGCGAGCACGCCACCGCGCGCCGCCTGGAACAAGTGACGAGAGGGGGTGTCCTGCGCGGCGGTATTGGAGTTTCGGGACCGCGATGCAGATCACCGATCGCGAACCCCACAATGCGAGCGATAGTTGCACTCTGTTCTTGTACTTCAAAGGACAGTCTAACCATTCCTCTCGGTGACGATCTCGACACCAACGCTCACGTCCACCATGCCATCCACCGAAGCCTTTGCCAGCGCTAGAGGTGACTCGGGCGAAGCGGCCCGGGCTCCACTTCAGTTCGGTTATTGTGAGCCCCACTGCAGTGCAGCGCGGTTGACTCCCTGATCTACCGAAACCCATTCCTTACCAGTCTCATTCTGCAGGGGTTCCGAACGTTTCGGGAGGTTTGGTCGTCAGCAAGATCGAACAACGCACCGATTGGTCCCCCGAGTACAACGTGAGTGACAACATTGGACATACCTCCCACGTCGCTTTCCGATCGTTTGGACCGACAGGCTTTAGCTGCCTTTCACCATCATTCCTAGCTCACCCATTTGGCACCAACCGTACCAGGTCAAATTGGCACAAATTGCCGAAAGTGTCGGCTTCTCCCACGCTTTAACGCAAATTCGCTTCATGGGTGGTTATGGTGCCGAGTTCCAGCATGAAAGCGCCTCGTTCTCGCAGCACTTACTGGCCCACACGACCAAGCTCAAACTCATCATCGCTATCCTACCTGGACCCTGGTAAGTCGTGTATATCTGACCTCTGGAGTTTCGACTTGACATCCGCGAGACCTCACTGACAAGGCCTCTTCGTCCTCGCCCACTTCTTTAGGAACCCGACACTGGCAGCGAAGCAACTCGCTTCGATCGACCATTATTCAAACGGTCGTGTGGCCGTCAACATCGTCTCTGGCTGGTTCAAGGGCGAGTTCCAAGCGATTAACGAACCGTGGCTCGATCATGGAGAGCGCTACAGACGGTCAGAAGAGTTCATCAAGGTCTTGCGCGGGATCTGGACGGCACCGGAGAGTTTCAGTAAGTCGAGGTCTAGCCACAAGTCCCACATCGTTTCTTTACTGAACTTTCCTAACCGCCATGTCCTGAATTCCGGTAGCTTTTCATGGCAACTTTTATCAGTGTGAGTGCGCTTTGCGCCTGTCTGACGGTAAAGTGTTAGATAGAGAGCCTGCAACATTCGCTGACTCCCATCTTCCTTCGCTGCGTATCACCGGCCAAACAGACAATAACTACCCTCTCCGACCGCAACCCATTCAAAATAACGGTCCCGAGATCTTTCAAGGCGGCAACTCTGCTGATGCACGCGGTATGGCCGCCCGAGTTTCGGACCTCTTGCTCCTGAACGGTCAAAAGACGATCGCCGATTTCCGCGAGTTGATCGACGATACCAAGGAACGCGCCGTCAAGGAAGGTCGAGCAGGCCAGGTCCGTCTAGGCGTCAATGCGTTCGTCATCGTGCGCGAGACGGAGGAGGAGGCTTTGGCGGTGTGGAGGGAGATCGTGGGCAAGGCCGATACCGAGGCGGTACAGGGGTTTCTTCAGCAGGCTAAGAATGCGGGCGCTTCGGCTTCGGATAAGAAGGGTATGTGGGCCAATAGCGATGTTAATGATTTGGTTCAGTACAATGATGGTTTCAGTGAGTCGTTGGCAATATTTTTCCGATAGTACAGACGACAAAACTCACCAGCCCCTGAATCTCTCCCTCTGTGCAGAGTCCAAGTTGATCGGTACTGCTCGACAAGTCGCCGATCGGATCCTCCTGTTCCGGTCGCTCGGGATCGACTTTGTCTTGACCGCATTTTTGCACTTCCAAGAAGGTGAGTCTTTAGCACTGGAGAGCCTTCAGAATCAATCACCTCTTAACCCCATTGCCCTCTTCCATACAGAAATCGAAGCGTTCGGGCGAGGCGTGATGCCTCTCGTGCGACAGGGCGAATCAGAAGGGCGTGGGCTCGATGCCGAGAAGGAGATTGCGATCTCGGGCCACATCTACCAATGAGCACAGATTCATCCATAGTTGTCCTGTACATACTTCATAAGACTTCAATCTAAGCTGCCACCTTTTTCTCCCCCAAGTCTTTGAGGGGCGGTAGTTTGCCCTTGACGCCATCGTCAATCATCTTTCTCAGTTCGACAAACTCGTCACCTTCCTTGAGTTCCTCGATCCCTCGACCGTACTGCTTGCCAAACTCCTGGGCAGCTGTTGGGACTAGATCCTCGACTTTTACATCGTAGTTCTTTGACTTGAGTTTCGAAAGTTCGGCTTGTGCGGAGGTGGCCTTGACGTCGTCGAGTCCACACGCGACGATCATGTCGAACCAGCGCCGAGTCTGTTCTTCGACGTTGATTGCGAAGCCGTGCAGAGAGATGCGGTGTCGCATGTGGATGCCGATGGAGCCTATTTTGAGAGTGGGGGAGGTGAACACGCCGGTGTGTTCGAGGGGGTAGACGGGTACTCCGAGCAAGCGAGCGAGCGTTTCGAGGTATTTTTCGAGGTGGTCGACGTAACATCTTGTCGAGAGCTGGGGGGGGGGGGGTCGGATGCCAGGGAGGGTCAGTCAACGTGTCGTGAGCCGGCGGATCGGAGGAGCGCACGTTTGCTGCTGACTCACATCACTAGCGACGAGGTCCATCAACGAATAGCCGACCAACTGCCCTGGCCCATGGTAGGTCGTTTGCCCTCCCCTCATCGTACTAACATAGTCGGCCCCCTGTTTCGTCAGCCTCTCCCCCTCGATCCTCAGCGCTTCAGGGTCCGTTTCCCTCCTTCCAGCGGTGAAAACGGGCTTGTGCTGCAACAACAACAACACGTCGGTATGGGCGATCCTTTCGAGTGCGGCTCGGTCCGAAGAGGGGTAGTTGGCTTCGGCGAGGCGGGATTTGGCGGCCCAGCGCGAGGCGACGATGGACTCCTGCAGGAGCAGCCCGAGCGAGTAGGGTAGTGCGTCGGGGAGGTAGGTCCATCGGATCGGGGTGAGCGCTTGACGGGCAGAGGAGGCGAGGGTCCGAGTCGATGAGGAACAGACTGCTGCTGCTGCCATGGTGGTGCTATATGCTATGCCGCTGTGTCGCTGTGTGGCTGTGTGGATGGTGGCCAGGAAGTGGAAGTTCAGTCTGACCGCGAGCTCGACGCGCACTCGACGCGCGCTCGTCATTTGGCTCAGAGGCTCATGATTCGGTCAGTGGCAGGCGGCAGGCGGCAGGCGGCCCCCCACTATTACTCCCTCTGCGCGTGTATCCGCCGCTCTTGATAGCTTGATCTCAGTCATCCTTCACTTGGCGCACTCTGACCCGTGCTCCCAGATCGCACCGACCATGGCGGCGGAAGTAGCACCCGCCAACCCCTCGGACTCGGATCGGGGGAGAGCTGCAGACTCCGTACCCGAATCGACCCCAGTAGCGCTAGCCGAAGCCACGACATCGACCGTCACCTCGTCGTCGTCGTTGTCGTCGTCGTCCTCGTCGGCGACGGCTTTGGCACCGATACCGAGCTTGATCGGTACGACCACCGCGTCGCTGGCCTCGGCAGCTCGTCTACCGCGTAGTGTTTCGGCAGGCAAAGAGGTACAGACACCACCTGGTAGTGACAAGAAGACTTCCAAAGGTCAGTCATCTGCACGCACGATACGCTCGACGCTCGTGCCCCCCCCCATCATCCGCCCCACCCGGACCCGGTCATTTCCGCTTCCCGCCCGTCGCGTCCGAGTGTGCGATAACTATCGACTGCCGCCCGGCAAGAGCACATTGACCAACGAACATCCTTCAAGATTCACCCTCCCAGCCGAGTCCAGGCCCCAGGCCCCGATCTCGAGCTGGACCTCGGCCGCCGACGGGCTCAGCGGTACCAACTCGGCCGGTCCCGGTCCTATCGATCGGATCCGATGGCCCCGAACGCGTGTGCATGTACTCAGCCTGACACGTGCCAAGCCGATCACCCTGCCGCGTCAAAGCCCATGCTCTAAAAGCAATGCTTGCTAACCGCGGAATCATTTTCTATCTATACCACAGCCAAGGATCTGTCCCACGTTCGTTGCCGATTCTTTGCCGCAGGGAGCTGTACGGCGGGAGCAGCATGTTCCTTCTCGCACGAGGTCGTCGCGCCTGGTACAGTGAGTAGGAGCATCTTCGGACTTGATTCAAACCAGGACTAAAACTCTGCCCTACTCGCACCAGGCCAAACCGGTCTGCAAGTTCTTCACCCAAGGCAACTGCAAGTTCGCCCACAAGGCAAGTCGTGCCTGCTCCGAGGAGCTTGAAACCCGACGATTATGTGATCGCCCCAGCCGCTGACCTGCGATTGCCATTTTTGAAATCAGTGCGCACTCGCCCACATCCTACCCGGACAACCCATCTCGTTCGATCGCAAGAACAAGAGGGCAGCCCAATCCGCACTCCGAGATGCCCAGGCCCAGGCCCAGGCGCAGATGCAAGCCCATGCTCCATCGGCAGACGTCGTCGGTCCCTCGACTTCGCCTTCCGCTACCTCATTTTCTACTGCAATCGGTTCGAGTTCAACGCAGGTCCCCTCCTCAGGATTGGCCAAGATCTTTCAGGCCAGCGGTAGTACGGCACAGCCCTCGGACCTGGGAGCAAAAAACTGGAGTCGAGTAGCGGGTACGACAACCTCGCCTCAACAGTCGTCCGCGGTCTTGTCGACCAGACCCGGATCGAGATGGCCGCCAGAAAGCGAGGAAGGAATGAGTCCGACGAGTCGTGCAACGCCCGCGACATCAGCGGACCCGACCGCATCGGCTTCGTCGCAGCTGTCGTCACCGGGCTCGACCGCCATCTTCATCTCGGCACCGTCGGGGCTCTCGCAAATGTCGGCCCAGCTCGCGAATCCATCCAACAATGCCCGGTCCTCGGTCGCCGTCCAAGTGATGCTCGGGCAGCAGGCGCGCCGGATGTCAAGCACAAGCGAGTCGCTGTCCCCACCTCGTCCCGCCGAACCATCGCACACCCGTGGGGATTTCGGCATGGGTATGTCCCCACCGCTCGCGATGCAGTCCTCGTCCTCGATTGGAGCCGGGACAGGGGCACCTACGCACAGCATTTTTGGCACCTCGCCCTTCTCCGGAGGCTCGCGTGCGCTCTTCATGCCCTCGTCCTACGACAGCAACGAGGACAGCTCTCCGCGCTCTCCGCCACCGAGAGGCGGCATGATGGCCGAGCAGATGCGTCGCAACTCGTCCCGAAACGGTGGCAACCTCTTTGGGATCGGTGCGTCCAACTCGTTCGGACTCGAGGACAACGCGGAGGACGGGGACGACGACGAGACCGACGACGTCTTCAACAGCGAAGGTTTCCTTCCCTCCTCGCTCAACGAACTTCTCACACCCGATGAAGTGCGAAGGCGAGCGAGTCGAGCCGGCATGGGGCTCGCATCGCCCTCGTTCAACCCGTTTAACAGCCAATCGGTACCACCAGATCTCATGCTCTCCCGTGGCCGTCCCCCCATGCCGCCCACGACCCTCTCGACATTGTCCAGTAGCTCAACACGCGGATGGGGTGCACTCAGTGCTAGCGCCGAAGGGACGAACCCGACCGCCTCGGCATTCAGCCCGAGCAAGATGACGCCGTCTCGGTCCCTGCTCGCGACTTCCCGTGATGCATTAGGCGCAACTGGATCTTCTTCCAGCCCTTCCTATCTCACCTCCCCGAATCGCAATCTGTACTCGTCGACCTTCGACCCTCCAACATCAAACTTCGGCTTGCGACCTCCCGTTAAACCCGGTGCAGAGCTTTCGCCATCACTCAACCCTCTCCCTGCACCTGGATCGTTGCCAGGTGGTCTTGCTGCTGGTCTCTCGCAACTCCACTTGATCCCACCGCTGCACACGGGTGATACGCCACCGAGCTCGCTGGGGACGATGAACACCGCGATCGGTTCGCCTTGGAAAACGATGGGAGGCAATCTCGGCTTATCCAAGTCCCCTCCACCGGCAGCAGCGACGGGCGCATGGGGTACGACCGACCGATCGGTCGCACAACCTACGACGATGAAGACCTGGGCCAGTGTGGCTAGCTCGTCGTCGTCGTCTTCTTCCCCGACGACATCAGCGAGACCTTTGAAGGTGGCGAGGGGGATGTCGAATGGTGGGCATCCGGTTATGGGTATGGCCAGCCCGCTGTCGAGGCCGGAGGTGATGGAGGACGATTCGGATGAGAGGCTGGAAGAGGACGAGATCCCCTTCTCGATGGACACGTAGCCATGTTGAATGGGCTTGATCAGTCGACGCGCACGCGCACGCACACCAAAAAATAGAGGTTCATCGCTCGCATGCTATTCTTTTCTTTGCTGGAGATTGTACGGGCTGTAGATACGCTTTCTTCTTCAGAGAATAGTAGGATGTGGTAGTAGTGACGAAAATGCGGCATTCGTTCGCCAATGCCTTGTCGAGGCCCGAGGGGAGGAGTGACTCAGTCGGCGGCTTGTTTCCGGGCCGTCAAACTTTATGTGGGGGGCGCTCCACATGATGACGATCAAGCTTCCAGGTCCTGCCGGGTCGCCTTTCTTCCTCCTCCCCTTGCCGCTCTGCCCAATCAAGCACAACGTCTACCGTCCGTCATCTTGGAAAGACATTGACCGTGCTCCATATCAACCTCTGCATTTCACTCCGACCTTGGCCCCCACTCGATCGTTCTCTAGTGATCAGCTATGGGTCTGATCACCCATATCGTCTCCTTCACCTACGCGCCCACCGTTTCCTCCTCGGAGAAGCACTTGATCGCTTCGTCATTTCTGGCTCTGAAGGAAAGATGCGTACTGCCAAGGAATTTCTACGCCGATACTCAGGCAGAGAGCGACGAAGCCAAAACTGTGGGAGTGGAAGGGGAGACTTTGGATGGGGGGAGGTATATCGTCGAATGTAGTGGGGGGTGTAATAATTCACCTGAAGGATTTAGTAGAGGGTTCGAGGTGAGTCCGGTGTAGTCCGGTGATCGACAGTGAGAGACTACTAATCCCCACTCGCCGATTCTTCGGCTTCCACTGCCACCCCCACCTCAAGCACACCTTCATCCTCACCTTCCGCAACAAGCAAGAAAGGGACTATTACCTCGACCGCGATCCGGCCCACCAAGCGTTCAAAGAGATGTTGGGGGGCAAATTGGCCGATGATGGCAAGGGTTTGATTGGCGTTTGGGTGTTTGATTTCGAGGCGGGTGTTTTCGAATAGTGGTTCATGTGGATGAGAGGATGAGCGTGTATAGTTTGATGTGCGATCGTATAGGATCGAGTGAAAATTCGGTGGATTTACTCAGTGATCGAGCGACCGCGTCACTACTGCGTCACAGCTGCCTGCGCCTCACCGCTTGCTGGGCACAGCTGCTACCAAATGCGCCGGAGGACCGTGCTTGGCATCGCCCGGGTTACGCTCTCGTCGTCACACAGCTTGCCCTGCAAGACTAATCGCAAAAGGCAGAACTCGGCTGGACAGTTTGCTGCTCTTGGTCGTCGGCCACCTCTATGGACCACGATCACTTTAGTGCGTACCAAGACGCTTCCGAAGCGCAGTCCGTCTCCGCCTACGAGCCCGTATCGTCACCGCTTCCGCCCGTGACCCTTCCCGCTTTCCCGAGCGCGTCGGTCTCTCCCGGAGCGTCCAAGTACCATACCCGTAGGCAATCGCAGCACCTGGGCCATCAGCAGGGCTTACCGTCACCCTCGGGTTTGCCTTCGCCTCGTCCTGGGTCGAACTTCAGTGCTGGAACGGGTTCGGGTAGGGCTCATCAGTCGGGCATCATGTCCAGTGACGCTGCGGCGCAACAAGGTGGCGATGCCTCGTTGGAGGAGGTCAGTTCATATTTCAGTCCGGCACGTGTGGGATGAATATGACCGCTGACTCGTCTGTACTCTGCCTGCCCCACTTGCACGCCTCCGTTCCGCCCGCGACATGCCTCAACACCCCCTACCCTCGCAGGAGATTGAGCGATCGCGCCAAGAACGACTCAAGCGCCGCACGCACGCATCCGATCCATCTGATGGCGAAATTTCCGATCCTCGTGATACCGCTTCAGCGCGCGAGAACATCATCGCCCTCGCCTCACGTGGGACCCAACCTTCAGCAGGCGCAAGTGGGGGAGCTTCCCTCACTTCCTTCATGAGTGGTGCCGCCCGACCCCCACCTCGTCATCGTATCGGAACGGGCATGACCGAGCAGGAAAAGGAAGAGACTGAACGACTCGAACGGGAGATGGAAGCGACGAGGTCCAAGTGGAAGAATGCGAATACTGGATCGACCCCTACCAGCGGTGCTCCGGCGGGCGTCAGTCTGGCGACGTTGATGAAGGGGAACAAGGCTGACGAATCGAGCGTCAAGGTCGGCGTCGCTTCTCGATGGGGGCAGACGGTCGAAAAGGAAGGGATGGGGACTAGGCCACTTGGTGCAACTGGTTTGCCTCAAAAGAAGGAAGCTGCGGCCATGTCTCTGGCCGCGATCATGGGGTCCAAAGCGTCTGGACCGAGACTCAATCAGCCTGCACCTCAGGCCGCCGGCGAAGAAGGACCGGCTCATGCTCGTCGGGGGTTCGTAGGTGCTTACGCCTTGCCGGGAATGGTTGCGGCCAACGGCCCTGGGATGCGAGCTTCGGCCCCGTCGGAAAACGCGGACGACACCGGTTTCGCTCCTCGTCCCGATGCCGCCAAAAGATCGAGTGTGTTGGACCGTTGGAATCGGGACACACCAAACGGCGAAGCGGCTTCAACCGCTCCACCACCGGCCAAGCAAACGAGCACACCTCTACCAAACACGAATACGAGTGTGGCTTTGGGCCCTGCCGCACCGAGCCGAGGCTGGAGTGGTCCCCCTATTGGCGTCAAAGACACTCCCTACGCCTCTCCAAAATCTGCCCCCGTCCGACCGGAAAGATCTACCGAGCCGAAGTACACGCGAGGTACCGCCTTTCCTAGTATGAACGCCCCCACACCAGCTGCTGCTCCTACCGTGGAGTCTGCAGCGTCCATCTCGAGACCTTCAAGTCCGACCTCGGTGCGCAACGTCGTCGCGCAGTGGGGTCACGCCTCCCAACCGAGCCAGACCGCGGCGGCATTGGCTGCATTGTCGATCAAGGAGTCGTACGGCATCAAGGTCGCCAGTCCTCGAACGTCGCCTATGATGTCGATGTCCAATCACACTTTACCATCTACTCAAACTGAACGTGTGTCTCAGCCTGCCCCCACGGACTGTGCTCCGAGACCAGTTCCGACACTGGCTAGGAACGCAAGCCCGCCAGTTGCGCCGGCACCCATGGCGAAGGGAATGCCCCAGTTCTCGTCATCAGCCGCTCCCCGATCTTCACAGGATAAAATCAACTTAGTTGCCGCACCTTCAAAGTCGTCAACAGAGTCAAAAGCCGTACAAGCCGCCGTTGCGCTCGCTCTTAATACCCCGTCGCCGACCCGATTACCCCCCGGGATTGCCGCCTCGACGGATGTGTACTCTCTTCTGACGCAGGACCGCGACCCCATCGATCACAATCACATGTTCTACCGCACCGAGATCCTCGCCATCGTGCATCGGCAAGTCTCACCCGACTCGACGACGGTCTTCATCTGGATTGGTGACGAGACGCCTCCGATCGGTCATCGAGTGGAGGGTCAGATCAATGAGATCCTCAAGAGGGAGGGTGTGCACGAGGCGCAGCGCTTGAGGTATAGGCAGGAAACGAAGGCTTTGGGAGAGGTATTTGGTGATCAGATTACGATCTGTAGGGTGAGTGAGGAACGGAAGAATAGCTTCGAGAACAATAGACCTGATGGATGTTTTGTTGACACAGGGGCTTCGGGACGACTTTGACCATCTCGCTACTCGACTCTACTCTGTGCAAACCGTCGACGAGGTCGCTTTCATCGAAGAGCAAGATCTCGTAAGCGGACAAGTTCACACACGCGATGCTGGGGTGTCATCACTGACCTTGCTCTTCCTGTCCTGCTTTGAAGACATCCCGAAGCATCTGTTCCGGCCATTGCACTGTCTTCTCGATCGTTGGCGAGGTGTATGCATGGATAGGCGTCGCCAGCAACGCTCAGGAGCAAGACGCTTGCTTTGAGTTTGCCGAATCGATCGCCGATGGTCGTCAAGTCACGGTCCTACAACAAGGCAAGGAGACGGCCTACTTTTGGCACGGCCTCGACGGTCTCGAGATCGCGTCGAGTTACTACTGGCGTTTCCGACCTTTACTCCCTCCCCCCGTCTCGGTCATCGCATTCGAATCGACCAGTTCGATCCGACGAATCGAGCCGATCGATCTTCCCAAGAACCACGTCTCGCTCGTCGATGGCGGTTTCGCAGAACATTGGATCGTCGTACCAGCGATGTGTAAAGGTAAGAAGGCCGAGATTGAAGTGGCAATGGCTGCGGCGGAGGATTTGGCGAGTAGGTGGAAGGAACGAGGTTTTGGGTTCAAGCAGGCTGTTCATGTGAGTTGATCGTAGCGTTGGAGAGCTATGTTGGATGTGGTGCTGACCCCTTGTGAGTTGCGGATGACAGGTGCTTTGCGCTCCTTCGAAGCTGCCGATCGACTTGCCTCACTTGGCCAGGCAGCTCGACTTCCAGAAGCTTGTAGGTTTACGTACCCACTCGACTTGTCATATCATGAACTGACTGGAGTCATCGGCGCCGCGTCAGAACGGAGACGAAAAGCCAACCAAGATGAACGTCTTGACGCTCGAAGAGGCCCGTGCGCAATTGCTGTAGAAATCTTGTTTTCAGTATGAACGGCTTGGGTCGACGCTTTGCAATGCTATATGAAACGTACTTTCAAATATTGACCTGAAAATGGTATTGGCAAGGAGAAATAAGTGACCGGAACTCGAGACTTCGGCATAAGCGTGACTCCATGTGGAGCCGCGCATGTCACGTCAGTTCGTCTTTGTTCTTCACGTTCTGTGAACCCTCCCAGCTGTCCGACACCTTCAATCATGGTCAGTCAAACTGCACATTCCATTCTCCACCCATAACCAAGCTCGTCTGAACGCTCTGCACATCCTACAGCACGGCGTGAAGCGGTCTCGGATCCCCCCCGTCGCGGACACGGCCGAAGTCGCTCGCAAGAAGCATGAGAAGGAGCAGCAGAAGATCCAGGAATACACGGCGTTGACGGATGAGCTGGTTGCTAAGGTATGGCTATCCTCCTGGTCGAGGGTATTGCTCTAGTCGAGCTGCTCCTCCCGCCGTCCTGGCTTCGAGGGTGCTGACAAGGTGTAGGCTGATCTTGATCATTCGTTTCTATGACACAGAGTAAAACCGAAGACTATTCACAAGCTACTTTGGATCTGAGTACGAAGGTGCTGCAACTCAACCCGGAGTATCAAACGGGGTGGTCGATCCGGCGAAGAGTCTTACTTCGAGGACCGCTTGCTCAAGCGCAAGTCACACATACAACTTTGGTCGTTCAAGCGAGCCTTCCATGTCTGATCTGATCACCAACCTGCGGCTTTCACAGTGACGAACCAACACAACAAGCGATCCTAGAAGCCGACCTCAACCTCACCAACTCGGCGCTGCGACAAAACCCCAAGAACTACTCGACGTGGGAACACCGCAAGTGGGTCTTGGAGACGATGCCGGACGCCAACTGGGCCTTTGAAATGAAGATGGTCGAGGCTTATTTGGAAAAGGATGGAAGGAACTGTACGTCCTCGGTTGTGGGCGTTGAGAAGACACTGGCGCTTCAGAAAGAATTGACCACCTGCCCTCCCACATTGAACAGTCCATAGCTGGGATTACCGCCGATACATCGTCGCATCATTGTCGGAGCTGCACGCCAAGGAGGATGCCAAAGCGAGCGAGTCTGGGGCTTCACCAGAAGCATCAACTTCAAGATCCACTCCTAATCCTAAACGACCCCGACCTACGACCACCAGCGAGCTCGCGTACTCGAAACGAAAGATCGCCGAGAACTTTAGCAACTTTTCGGCATGGCATTATCGATCCAAGCTGCTGCCCAAGTTATGGGAAGAACAAGGCTGGGAGGAAGGAAGCGAGCCGAGAGCGAAGCAGGTTGATGAAGGTCTGTTCGGGACATCATGTGTCTTGAGGGAAGCCGTGGGGTTACTGATAGGCGTCGATCCTCTCAAAACTAGAATTTCACCTGGTCAAGCAGGCCATCTGGTCAGACCCCAACGATCAAAGTGCTTGGCTATACCACCGATGGCTGGTTGGGAGGGGTGGGTCTACGTTGCTCGGCGCTCGGGGATGGGGCAAAGCTGATGCAAGTGGAGTTTGTCGTACAACCTACAGGAGCTCTCGCAATCGTTCGGCGCGAGATCGACGGGATCAAAGAGCTGCTCGAGGAAGAGCCAGATTCCCGATGTGAGTCAGGGTAGTTGGAAGGAGCGGAAGCGTTCGAGGTGGTCATATGTCTCGTCGCACCCGAGCTAAGGAAGAAGGGGGCTACCGTGGTGGTGCTGAAACACTGCTCGGTGGTTCCCTCTCTCCTCCATTCGGCTGCTCGAGGCACATGACCCCGTCGATCGCTTGCTTCTTGCGACTATGGCAGCCGAAGCTGACGATCTTCACCCACTCAATTATTCAATTTCTGTATCACAGGGTGTCTAGATTCACTCATTTATTACCAACGACTTCTTCACTCGCTCCTCGGAGACGGCGACGTTGTGGAGCGCGATGAACTGAATGCTTCGAACCTGGCGATGCTCAATATACTCAAGATCGTCGATCCGATGCGCAAGGGGAGGTATCAGGACTTGGGTTAGTTTTCTTTCGTACTCGGAATCGTGAATCTTTCCTGATGGTTATGGCTTTGTCCCTATAGAGGTGCACATTCTTCCCCACCGTCGATGAGCCAAGTTGTCTTGAGAGCTTTCTCGGCGCAATTCGCTTGTACCGGCACATATTTCTTGGTTTTCGGTCCACTGCAATGCATGTACCTGTCGTACGACCTATCGTGACCAAACTCACATGGCTTACGCCCAAGCACCTTCGTCCCCTTCGAGACTGGGCTCACCTCGCTCAGCTCGCTCGACGGCAGAAACCTCCAGCGCATTGGTGCTTGTCGCTCAAACCTTGTCTGATAGCCATGTGAATCTTGACCCAGTGAAATGACGGTCTCTGTATGTCGGCAATCGGATGTGTGACCGCTATACGAGCTATCTTATGTATTGAGAGACAGAAGAGGTCTGGAAACAGCCTATACAGGTCCCTACGCTTCAAGAAAGTGCCAGAATTCCCGACTTTGAGCGCAGAGTTGAAACAATGGGATAGCGTCTTCGACCGCCTGAGGCGAAGACTCCACTTGAAGCTGACTTTGGGATGCTGTAGCCGAATTGGTAAAGGTCGAAAAGCTTCATCACCGCAGAGATGTCGGGATTTGAAGGTCGGAATTTGAAGTGTCACGATGGAGTAAGACTGTCGGCCTAAAGGGGTAAACCTCTCTTTACCAAGACATCCTGATGGTGGCTCTCATTTCGGCCAGCCAAAAGTGAGGATAAGGTGTTTTTGCGGCCCCCGCCCCCGCCCCCACTTTTCGAACTCAACTCTCGCTCTCGAGCTCTGAGTCGGCTCATTCGCTCGAGTCTCCCATCGAACTCTCCTCACGTACTTCTCACTGCCGCACATTTTCCATCCTGGTCAATGGGTACGTATCACCTACACCATTTCGTATTTCCTCTTCCGATACTCACCTTGCTGATCGTCCAGCAGCCCCCTCTCCGTCGACCGGAACCTTCTCAGGCATCGCGCTCTGGCTTTCCCCCCACGGGCCTCATCACAACATGACTACTTTTCATCCCTGATCAAATCCCTGTCGTCCTCTCTCAACACACCGCCCTTCGATCCCCACATCACGCTCCTCTCCGGTCTCCCCGCCTCGACTCCACTGGAACCCATCATCTCAAGTCTCGCGCGGTCCATCGAAACCTCGGACCTCAAGAGGTTCAAAGTCGAATTCAAAGGCATTGGAACGCATCATCGCTACTTTCAATACCTCTTCGCCATCGTTGACAAGGACAATGAAGGCTTGTTGCGACTCAGGACACTCGTGCAAGAAGGGTTGGAGAACGACGGCTTACTGCACGACGATCCGCAGACGGGGGAAAAGGTGGAAAGAGTGGAGCAGTACTTTCCCCATGCTTCGCTTGTGTATGGAACAGATATCGAAGGCGAGCGAAGTGTACAAGAGGTGATGGAGCGGATGCGGAAAGAGGGTAATGGTTTCGAGGGTGGGGTCTCCGTGGGATCGGCGCAGGGTTTTCAGGTCGAAGAGGTGCTTGTGGTCATGTGTGAGGGCAAACCAGAAGAGTGGAAGGTATTGGGCAGAGTAGCACTGGAATGATGCAATAAGCCAACATACTCTACCATCAGCCGAGCATCGACGATGCAGTCGCACTACCCGCCCGAGGCTTCGCGAAGGGTAAGGTAATCTCCGGCAAGTGTAGGAAGAATATGATATGATGACTCGTTATATGATATCCATAAGTTACGAAAGCCAGGGGTCGTTAAATAAGATTTGACGAGGCACGCCGTTGAAGGGGCATAAACTCGGAAGCAAAGCTTTGCCACGGAGAGAAGGCTGAAATTATCGCCACCCAATGACCTCGCCACCCTCGATGGGGATCGATTCGAGCCGCTTGGCATGGATGATGGAAGCTTCAAAATCGTGATCGGTTTCCAGGTCGCTCTCGCCCAACTGCACCGACGATGCAGGGGTGTCGTCATCATCGTCGTGATCGTGCTCCCAGTTCGACGAAGACGTGAAGGTCGACGAGTCGGATTCACTCGTCAATTCGGCTCCACTGGAAAGCTGGTGGGACGATTGAGGTCGGTTACTCGTGAACGAGGAAGAGACCCTCATATGGTCATCTTGCTCGTGTCCAGGCGACTTTCCAGGGCCACGGAACGTCTGGAAAGTGGCGTGCGGAGGGTCGTCGTCTTCAGTCGAGTCCACAGAGGGATCGCGTGTCAAAACGTGGTGTAGATGTGAGCTAGGGACCGGGCTATGTGTCCTCGAAGTTGGTCTCAAGATGGCGCTGGACGGCCGCGTGCGCGTGCTACGACACTCGGCAGAGTCGTCATCCGAAGAATCTGAATTTGGACGGTTCCTGCCGAGGCGCAGCGACGGCGATCGCTTCGAGCCCGATCCGGTCAGGCTGAACAGACTCCCGTTTTCCTCTTCTTCGATCTTGCTCAGGTTCGGCGATGACGTTGAAGCCGCTTCTGACAGGCCGATACCCTTGGGACGAGTCGAAAGGTCGTGTCGCTCGCCGAGGACTGCGTTTGCCGACCGACTACGACCCACAGTTGGTCGATGCAGAACCTCGAATGACCGCTTGGTAGGTGGCCATTCATCCTGACCAGTACCGCATTCGCCGATTATTCGACGTTCTGACGGCATGCGTGAGCGATCCCCGTTCGGCACTCGCAGATGACCACTCGAACCCGAGGCGCGACCGAGTTTGAGCCCCCACAGGCTCGAGGAGGAGAGAGCGGACTCGCGCGATCCATCCCTACCGATTCGAGCAGCAGCAACTTCTTCGGCATCCCCCAGGTGCCCTTCGTCCGACGAAGAAGTGGATCCGCGTTTCTTCCTCGATGATCCTCGACGACTCAGTGGATGCGCAGCAGCAGGAGAGGACGGTCCGGACGACAACGGTGAGCGGCCCGGCTTGTAGCCGGATGCATCGAGAGCATCAGAATGGGCCCGTGTGGGAGAGGTCAGGATGAACGGGAGCGATCGATGCCACTGCCTTTTGATCGACACGGGCGAGTTGGGTGAGGTCGAGGACGTGGAGGGGTTCGGCGAGCGAGCGGGCTTTGCTGACGATGATGCAGGCGCGTTCGGGCGCACGCAGTCAGTACGAATGGTGAGGCCGACCGGCATCGACTTGCGAAGTTTGTTGTGTTTGGGAGGTCCATCGGCCACGACGGCTAGCCGCGATGTGAATGCGTTTGAGCGCTCGTCGCACGGTGTGCCATTCGACCGACTGCTGGTGGGCCAATGACGCGCCAAAGACTGCTCCCACGGGTTCATTGGGGTCGTGGTGAATACCGGAGGCGATAGGAGAGGCAAATTGGTGTGGTCGAAGAGGACAGGCGTCGATTGCGTCCGAATAGGTTTGGCCGGTCGGATGGCTTTTCGAACAAGGGCAAATGCCGAAACCCGGGGTGAAGTCGACGGGCTCGTGCAGATTGATTGGTCCGGCTCGTCAACTAGCTCCCAGCTGAGCGAAGATGAAACGGTATGAGATTTTTCCAATGCGTCGATCGTGTCGTGGACAGGGGAGGATGCTTTTGCCCCGCGACCGGAAAGGCTGCTCGAGTTATGTGCACGCGCTCCGGCCATTGATTGGCCATGTTCGCGTCTCCACTCTGCCAGCCGTTGTGAGGTCGCTTCCAGGTCGAAGACGCCTGCATCCTGTTTCATGTTGTGACCGAGTCATTTGTAAATAATTGTCAAATCATCTCAGCAGCAGTTCGCCGATCCAAATGAGACCCAAGCCCCGGCTGATTGGGTCGCGGGCCCGGTGGCGACTGCACGGGGCTACGTGGGCCGTGTCGATGACTGACCTCGAGTTCCTGCTGCGACGGGATGGGTTCATCGACTTGCAACAGCTCGGTGAAGAGCGATCGACGTCGTGATGAAGTTTTTGATACTAGGGATTGTTCCATATCTTGTACCACAACCTGCTGCGCCGGTTCCTCCCTTCCCGAGCTGGTCGTATCGTGGGAAACCACTGACGTAGCATGCGACGGCGACGCGAAGGAGCACGCGGCGACTGCTGACAGGTTAACCGACTTGGGCCGGCCCTCATCTTCGAGGTACATCATGTTGGGGCTCGAGTTGGGAGTCAACCACGTGTCTGAGTCCAGCTCTCCACTCGGCTGGTTCATTTTGATGTCGAGTGCATCCGATGTGACTCGCGAGGGGAGGGAAGGCAAAGTGCAAGAAAGGTGGATGCCTTCCACGTGTCGCGCGCCTATTGCCGCAGTCGGCAGCAGTCGGCACAGTCGGCGAAGGATGGCCAAGGTCGGCGATCTGCGAGAAGCTGGCAGCTCCGCTGCAAGTCTCCAGGCACAGCCTTTCGTTTACAAGCTTGCGAACAGTTGCATCTGTCATCGTACTTTCGCCTTACTGTCTCTAAGGTAAGGTGCACCAACGAAACAGAATCTAGAAGAAAATCGTGATCATATCAGGTGTCGGGTCTCGGGCGTAAGAACAGAAAAAAGTGTCCATAGGATAGGTGACCGCCCTAGGAACATGACCAATGCAAAAGCCACAGCTCGGCCACATACACAAAGTCATAATCATGATCAAGAGCTGAGCGCCAGGTGAAGACCTCTAGTACAACGCCCTCTTGACCTTGCGAGAGCGGGACTGGGACGAACTAGTCGCACCCGGCGGGTCCGCACCCAAGTTCGGGTCCGTGACGGAAGTGGCGGGGTAGTTGCCCGGACCTGCTGCCGTGCGAGCAGCAACTTCGGCGGTCCATGACACCGTTGCAGCAGGGTAAGGCGCAGCATTGCTGGGAGCCGAGCCGCAGTTGCTCGTCAGCGAGTCGAGATACTTTTGCGCATTCGAGCGTGTGGCTGTGTTGGCGACGCCAACATCCGAAGGGTAGGTAATCGCGCCTTGCTGAATAAGATAGATGAACGAGTACTGGCTGTAGTCGAGTCCTTGCGCCAACTGAGCCTTGCTAGGCACGTGGCGAAACGACCAGAACATCCCTCCAGCCGAGAACGACCAAGCGGTCAGCTGGCCATCGTAGAACTGCTTTTCGAACGCCAAAGTTTTGACTCCAGTGTACAGACTCCATTCGGTGATGACGACGGGAATTGGGTAGTTCAGGTAACGGCGCGCCGCCGAGCATATCTGAGCCATGATGTCGGTGGGGCTGGTTTGTGGGGGGAAGTTGCCGGGATAGGGGTGGTCCTCGATCACCATCGACGGCGGGTTCGTCGCATGCGCTGCAGCAAATGTTCTCCAATATTCGAAGCCCTGGTGATACATAGGAACGAGCAACATGGAGTAGAGTGTGTCGTGCGTCTCGAGATTGATCAGCAACGTGCCCGAAAGACGAAGAGAAGAGGACAAGAAACGGAGTGAATGAAGCCCCCCTTGGAGAGGCTACAACGAGCTCACGTATCAAAGGGGTAATAGTTACGCACTGAACTGATATAGCCATCATGAATGAAGGTCGTTACGGGCCATGCAGAGGCTTGAATAGCCGTGTAGGAGCGTTGGTAATACGCCATGAGCTCCTGGTTTTGCGCCTCGGTGTAGGGGCGGGGCTCGTTGATTACCTCGATGCCGGCGATGATGGAGCGGAAGGGAGAGGCTGCGATGAACTCGGTTACAGCCACAACGGTAGCATCCGATCGTCCTTGGTTGACCGTGTTACCGAACCATGCGGGCGTGGTCGTAAGATGGCCGGAGGACTGTTCGCCGTTCTGAGAGCCGGGAAGGCCGTGAAGGTCAATCACGGCGCACATGTTGCGGGCGTAGGCCCATCCCAGGACTTTGTTGAGTTGGAATTGCAGCTCTGTCCTGTTGTTGTAGTAAGGTTCACCGGATACGGTCGAGATAAATGCCCAGAAACCGGTCGGGATGCGCAGCATGTTAATTCCTGCTTGTTGCATTGTATCGAAGTCTGACTCGACGATCCATGTGTTGTAGTGCTTCTGCATGACTGTGGGGAGGTCGCTGCCGAGTACTTGGGACAGGGTCCACTCATCGAGCGAGGAATTGCTCGCGACTTGGACAAACCAGTCTTCATTCATCCATCGCTCCAGAATGAGCCAGTTGCCCAGGCACATGCCAATACTCTTGTCCCGAGACCAATCCCAGGCAGCGCGATTGGTGACGGTGTATTGACCGGTAGCTTTCGTTGGGCTGCATGGGGAGTTCCGGCCCGGCGTCAGTACAGCGTGTGGCCTCGACCGGCGCAGACGCGCGGACTCACGTGGGAGAAGGGGTCGACGACGAGGTGCGACTGGGAGACGATGATGTCCCCGACGTCGACTTTAGCGAACTGCCCGATGAAGACGACGACGACGACGACGACGACGAGCCAGCCTGAGCAGCGGCATTCGCGTTGGCCCTGTTTTTGCTGTCATTGGCCGCACGCGAGCCGAAGATGCCGCCGACAACGGCTCCGGCGATGACGAGCAACAGGAGTGGGATACCAAACTTGATCCATTTGGACACGCCACGCTTGCGTTCGATGGGTGCGCCGTAGTTATATTCGTAAGGTTTTTCACCACGCGGGTCCAAGTATGCGTTCGAACCGGAAGGGGGGCTATGGTGCAAGGCATTGTGGGTGTCAGCGTTTGTTTGTTCGCGGTCACATCGCTCAACAGGAGAGGTGAGCACATGAGACACGCTCGTGCGCGCGCACACGCAGAGACGCGCCTCGACCAGGACACAGCGAACGGCCGGCCCCGACACGCTCCGCGAAACTCTTAACCAGGGAACACCCGTGGTATGGATCGCGGGTGGTAAAACACGCACAATTGATCGGTCGATCCATGAGGAACCGATCCGTAGTCGTTGTCCCTGTACGGGTAGGAGGGCATGGCGTCTGCGGGCACGGGTCAAAGAGCGGAGGTCGCTGCGATCACGAGATTGCGGTGTTGCGCGCTGCGGGTTCGATGATGGAGGCCTAGCAGCGCTCGGCAGGATGACAGAGGGAAGCGATACGGTCAACGTCCTACGCAGAGGTTTGTCTTGAACGAACGGCGATTGAGGATGGATTATGAGGTAAAGGCGGAACAGGGAACACCGTCACGCTCCGCCACTGTGAGGGAGTCCATTCGCTCGAACTCGCCCTTGAGCTTGAGCTGCCCTGCAAGTCCGCGCGCCTTGGGCATGCTGGGCTTGGCAGGACGTCTTGCGAGCCTCGTCTATTGAAGCACGATTTGGCCCAGCCGGCGCCGCTCGACCGCTCCAGGAACCATTTATCGAATATCACGGTGCCTGCGCATCTCGATGTGCACTCGAAAATACAGAACAGAAAGGGAAACACTAGGGAAACGAGAGAAGTATTCACGAGGGACGCTGAACGCAAATTCGGGACGAGCCACCGACCACGTAGCACCGCCAACGTACAGCTCCGAGATCGAACCAATCCGAAGGCAACCGAAAAGACAAGAAAAGGAGACGTTTTGCACGGGTGCGTCGTAGATGTATGAGATCTCTGCCTCCGGTGCAGCTTTAGGAAATGTCCGATACGACCAATTATTGCGATAATCGATGCTTGGAGGCATGATGCCCTGCAGATCGTCTTTGGCCCGAGGGCTCGCCGGGAGTAAGCAAGGCCACACGGTCTTCGCTCACAGTACCAGGCGAACGTCCTTTAGTTCGGAACATCCATATTCATACCAACAAATCAATGTATACCGACCAAAAGAGCACGACAGCCGCTCGACTACGCCATTTCATTCCTCGAGGCGCCGACCGTTCGGAAAGGCTGCTTCTTCATGGGGCCCCGGCTCCTCGACCCGAGCACGTTTTGCCGACGGACCAGCCTCGTCGACATCACCCGAATCGGCACGAGGTGGGTTCTGTGATACGTGGACCAATTCATCACATCAGTCATGGGTGACCTTCGTCGCCCGCGCCTCGGGAGCGAGCATGAGGCTCACCTTTCGTATGACCCCGTGGTGGCTCCCCGTCGGCGGTGCACTGCTCGTACTCGGGTCCAGACTCGACGCTGTTCGTAGGTTGTTGACCTTTCCTATCTGACCTGGATCTTCGTCCTCGTCCTCGGTAGGAGAGAACAAGTCGTCCTCGCTGGGTTCGAGTCGAGCATAGTCCGAGTCGAAGATTTGGTCAATCAAGAGGCTGGTCAGGAGCAAGGGCGTGTAAGCGAGGGGGGGCGGGGCAGTACACGGTCACAAGATGAACGCAATGACTTGCTCTACCTCGTCCTGCAACGACTGCAGCTTGTCCTGCTTCTCCTTGACCTCGATGGTCAGGTCCTTGCGGATCTGTCGCGGAAGTGTCGACGCGAGCAAGGATCAGTACGAGGCACGGAGTAGGGGACTCAACACGCTAGGATTAGCGAGCGCACCTCTAGTGCCCTAAAATAGTCTCGTTGCAGGTCGAGGTACTTGGCCTTGAGCTTGAAGCGTTCGGTCAGGTCGGGAGCAGGGCCGGGGCCGAGCGACGAAGAGGACGAGGCTGTTCGGGTCGCGTTCGAGGCGGTCGGTCGCGAGACATGCTGCTGGTGGTGCTGGTGGGAGTGCGATGTCGAGGCTATGCTGGAGGCCATGTCGACGCCAAGGGAGTACGATTGAAGCAGGAGAATCGCCCGGCGCGCTGCTCCCCATGCAAGCTGGCCTGGGTCCGAGCTCAAATCTGCTCAACTAGCCAGAAACGGGCTCACACGGCCGGGCCTCGCCGATATTAGTACCTCGCTAACAGTGCCTCGCTACCATCGCTAATAGTGCCTCGTCAGCGCTCAGATCTCAGATCAGCGCGGCACTCGTCCCTTCTCCCTCGACCGACGACGACCCCGCCCTTCATTTCCTCTCTTCTCTTGCTCCTGTAGACGACTGGGTTCAAATTTTCTCTCTTTCTCTCTCTCTCTCTCTCTCTCTCTCTGTCTCGCTTGTGTGTCTCTGTGTGTGTGTGTCGTGTCTCTCAGTGCATAGCAACTTGTCCCGCTCAACTCGACCCGAGCTTCTTCCCTCGGCTTCCCCTCTTCGTCTCTTTTGTTCTACGTCTCGACCCCAAGACCTCGCATCGCATCGCAGCCCATCAACCACCTACCAGCACACACCATGGACGAATTCCCTCAGCAAGCTTCGGTCCGCGGCGCGGTGCCCAATTCGGCAGCGTACCCGAACGGCGAGCAGCCAAAGAGGTCGGTGCAGCCAGTACAGCATCAGTCCACTCCACAGGCTGACATTCCCCAGCCATTCGAACCAGGGCGCATTTGTACGTTGGGGGTATCTCGCCTCGCGTTACCGAGTACATGCTTCAGGTCAGTCCACCACGGTCCGGTCTGGCTGCGGCCTTGCTCGTTCGCTCGAGGCGGCTGACCTGAGCTCATCTTTCGGCATTCCTTAGGAAATCTTTGGTGTTGCCGGTCAGTGGACTTGGCGCCGTTATGATCTTGTGCGAGCGTAGATCGACAGAACTGACACTGCCTCCGTTGCCAGGCCCCGTCATCGGCGTTAAAATCATCCCCGACCGAAACTTTCAGCACGGTGGAGCAAACTACGGGTAAGCCGAGCATGGGCGTACCCACCCCAACCCCACCACCAGTCAAGATGAATAACTGAGGTCCGAAACCCCTTGCCGGCACAGCTTTGTCGAGTTCCAAGAGTTGCGCTCGGCCGAGACCGCGCTGCAGACCCTGAATGGGCGCAAGATCTTTGACAACGAGATCAAGGTCATGTGGGCGTACCAGAACCAGGCCTCGGCACCGAAGGAGGATCTCGCCGGTCACTACCACGTCTTTTGCGGCGATCTGTCCCCCGAGGTCACGGACGAGGTTCTGCGCAAGGCTTTTGCCGCGTTCGGCTCGCTCTCGGACGCGCGGTGCATGTGGGACATGAACACGGGCAAATCGAGGGGCTACGGCTTCTTGGCCTTCCGGGACAAGACCGATGCCGAGCAGGCGATCGCGACAATGAACGGCGAGTGGCTCGGCACCAAGGCAATTCGGGTCAACTGGGCCAACTCGAAGAACGGCGTACGTTGAGCGTGTACCCAGGTTCGGGTCCGAAAAAAAACTGCGCACTAACGGGCGACGGCACATTTTCATTCATCCAGGGTCAACCCGGTGCCCCTAGTGCTTCACCGATGGGTGCCACGCATGCTGCAACATCGGCACCTGCCTCGGTAAGCCTGTCTCTCGCGACTGACGCTTCAATCGAATTCGCGAGCTGAGCAGGCCGTTTCTCCCTCAAACACACAGTATGACCAAATCGTGAGCCAGGCCCCGTCCTTCAACTCGACCATTTACGTCGGCAACCTCGTCCCCTTCGTCTCGCAAGCCGACCTCATCCCTCTCTTCCAAGGCTTTGGCTACATCGTCGAGATCCGCATGCAGGCCGATCGGGGCTTCGCATTCGTCAAACTCGACACGCACGAGAACGCCGCCAACGCCATCATCAATCTTACCGGAACAAACGTTCACGGTCGACCGTTGAAGTGTTCGTGGGGGAAGGACAAGGACGCAGGTTCAGGCTTCGGTGGTTCGACGGGGAGCGCTTCCCCTGCCCATATCGTCGGGAGCCCGCAACCGTACCACCACCAGCAGCAGCAGCAGCAGGCACGACCACAGCCGGGCCTCGTTGCGCAGCAGCCACCGTACATGTACGCGCAACAACCGTACGCGCAAGCGCAGCAACCCTACGGCACCTACTCGGCTCAACCGCAACCCCAACAGCAGCAACAACAGCCTCACCAACATCAGCAACAAGCCCCACGGGATCCAGCCGCTGCGGCCGCAGCGATGGCGGCGTGGCAAGCCCAGTACGGAGCTCAATACGCGGCCTACATGCAACAACAGGCGGCATTGCGACATCAACACTACCAGGCGCAACAGCAGCATGGGCACCAATCGCCTCATTACCAAGGCGGTCGACACCAGTGACGGAGTTTCCTCTCCCTCTCCCAATTTTCCTCTCCCTCCTCCCTCTCGTTCCGATCAACTTGTAGTGTGCTATCCCTTCTTTCCCCGCGTTGATGTTCTCAATTAAAAAAGTGCATCGTTCACAGGTCGCTTCGCCTATTGGCTTTGTCCCTTTCCCTTTCCTCCTAATCACAATCAGTTCTCGCTTTTCTTTCCTTTCTTTTTCCGCTCGATTCCGCATCTCTCACTTGAAGTACAATTCTTGCAACGGGGTCATTTTTTGGGAAATTTCAAATGCCAGACACAACATGGTATGGGAAGGGAAGAACGACTGGTAATACTCATGGCATGGTGGGGAGAGGAGGGTGATACAAACATACAGGTTGCGCAAAGCAACAAACAAACCAAGCGGAGAACAAGAAACGCATACTAAGATAAGCACAAACCCAAGTAGAGGCAAAACATCCTCGTACATCATCACATCGTCCCATAGAGCAAGGACTGGTCGTCGCCGAGACACTCCTCATAAGATCATCGTCCGTGTCACCGCGCGGTGCCACCGTTGAGGACGAGGGGTATCCCCGCCGTCATGGCGTACTTTTTCAAGCCCAGCTTGATCCGCTCCAACTCGTCGCGATTCATCTCCAATCGCTTGACGAGCTTGCGGACCTCGTCGAGCGTGTACCTGCCCTGCGAAGTCCGCCCCCCTTCTTTACTCGCCAGGATTTGGCGTTCCTGCATCAACGTATCGTACAGCGCTCGGTAGGACGGATAGGCTTCTTCAAATAGCTGTCGGTGGCGTTCGAAGGACGCCGAAGAGGTGATGGTGACGTAGCGATCGGAAGCGTCAGTGGTGCCAGTGAGACTCGGGGACGCGTCGGACGGATCGAGCGGCGTCGAGGTCGAGGTCGAAGTGGCGACGACTTGGGAGAGCGACGACGATCGCACGGGTTGGGCTTTCTGGTTCGAAGACGAGCTTGCTCGAGACAGCGACGCCGCATCCAAGTTTGGCCGCCCTCGCTCCGGATCCGAGTCGCCGGCTGTCGGCAGCGCGAGGAGGTCGTTGCTCGAGACGGTCCGTCGCCGCTTGACCAGACTGCCGTTCTTGGTCACAGGAGGGACCGAAAACCCTTTCGATCGATTCGAGGTAATTTCGCCCGCCCCCGCCTTGGACGTCGAGGCGGTCAAATTTGTCTCGCCCTCAGATTCGGACGACGACGAGTACCACCGTTCGGACTTGGCGAGGGCGCGTTTCCGCTTTTTCGTCGTTGACGCTGTCGAGCTCAACGGGGTCGGGGTCGCGACCCGTGACCGCGAGCTCTTGGTTGTCGAAGCGTCGGATCCGACCTCGCCCCCCGCTATGGTCACCCTCCGCTTCTTCTTCAGCAGCGATCGCGGCTCCTCCTCCTGCGCGACGAACGTCATCTCTTCGTCGACCTCGCCCTCGGCATCTTCGTCTTCGTCTTCGTCGTCGTCCTCTTCCCTACCTTGCATGAGCAAGGGGGAAAAGGAAAGCGGTTCGTGCTGGTCGTGGCGAGGTTTAGACGCGATCCGTACGGCCTCGGCGACTTCGTCCTTGCGCCGTTGTCGCTTCTGTTTTTCCTTCTTTATCGAGTCTTTGCCCTTCAACACGCCTCCGCCTCCCGCGGCGATGGGTTTTGTTGGAGGGGACGAGGCGATCGAGGCGACGGGTAGCTCCGAAGCGAGAGCGGCGGGCGATTCGACCGAGGACAGGGACGTCCGACCCTTTTGGACGCCGCTCGCGCCTGTGCCCGTGCTGGTGGCGGTGCTCGCGGTCGAGTGTTGCAGCAGCGATGACGAGCTCGTGATCGACGACTCGGACGAAGTTGACGAGTGCTGGCGCGCCGGGGAAACGGCATGCGGAGGGGAAGGGTGGGTCGTCGCGAGCGCCGTCGAAGGTGGGGAGATGGCGGCCAGAGAAACATATTTCTGCTCGGGTGGTGACCGTTTGGCCGCCGCGGCGGCCGCAACTTGGGCCGGTGTCGCCTTTTGTGCAGCCGCAATCAACCTCGAAGAAGGTCGGATAGCGGGCGAGGTCGTCGTCGAAGAGGACGCCGAGGTCGAAGCGACGGGGTGCAGCGGCATCGGTATCGCGCTAGTGCTGGCATTGGCCGTCGGGTGCCGATTCTTTGAATTGGATCGCGACGTCGGAGCGCTCTCGATCAGGACGGCTCTGCAAAATCATGTGACGATCGTGGTCAGCTATGTGGTAGTCTGCCGTCTGCGTTTGATGATGACTGGGCAAGGTCGGAAATGTCCGCGGTGATTGGTCGGGAAAGGAGAGGGTTCTAGTCGGCATCGGCGAGCTCGGACGAGCCGAGACTGGACTCGGGAATCGAGGAGAAGGCCATCGGGTGAGACGACGAAGAGGGGCGGGCAAATGCTAACCTTTTCCCTTGCCTCTCCTGTTCCGCGACGGACCGTTGTTCACGTAGTGCTTGGCTGACGCGGTCGAGGTTGGACGAGGGTTTGAGCGTCGCCTTGTGCGAGACGTCGGCAAACCGTTCCAGTCGACGCGGGGTCAGGGTCGAGTCCGAGGTCGTGGCCGATCCGGACTTTGCGCGGGTGTAGCATAGCAGTTCGGTATGGGGTGCCTCTTCGAGCAAGGTGACGGGGTAGGATGCGCCATTGAACATGAACGTCTGCCAAAAGAGGGGTGTCCGTATAGCGACGTGGGAAAGTGTCAGCGCCGGTGAGATATACGCGAAATGGCATGGGGTCGTTGCCCGGCGGCCATTGTGGGCGGGCGGGCAATTAGAGCGACCGCGATCACGGCGCGAGAGAAGGCGACGTGAACGGAACGGATGGAGCAAGCACATCTCGCATCGGCAAGCCCTTTCCCGTCCGCCCAGGAGAGACCGGTCGCAGCAGCTGTAATGAAACTGACCGGATTGGAGCCCAGGTCGATCTGCAGGGTCCCCTTGTTGGGTTGGCTTCCTCGGCTCGCGAGGGCCATGAGTTGCGCGAGCGTCTCCTCGGACAGCCTGAGCGCAATCGCGCGCCGAGGCGGTTGTCCATTCGGTGTCGGGCCCACTTGGACCAGCGACGACGAGCTCGTGCCGCCGTCGAGCAGAGCCATGCGAGTCGACCTCTTGGGACCCCCGAAGCACTGTACCCGGTTGGGGTCTGGGCGTCGGTCGATGACCTTTGCGGTGAGAAGTCGAGGCGAGCTGGGAGTCGGCGGTCGAGCTGCAGTGGAGTGGGTTGCACTGAGCCGCTGTGAGTGAGATCAGAGCTCGAGTTGAAGGCTCCCACTCCCTCCCGCTCCCGGCGAAGCACGGCGACGGCTGGCGACGGTGACGGTCGCACACTGTGGAAGCTTGGTTGAGCTCAGTCGCACACGCGCCCAAGCCGGGCTCGCTCTGGCTCGCTCGACTGGGCTGGTGCCGGTCACGGCTCAGGAGAGTCAAAGGTGAGCGAGCGCGCACAAGAGAGCGGGGAAACGTCAGGAAACGTTTGTCGAAACGAATGGTCCCGAAGCCAAGGAACGTGCTGTCGACTTTCGAGGCTCGAGCACGGGATAACGAAGCAGGTTGTCTCGGCTGCTGTTGGTGTTGACCGAGATCCTGGCCGCTGTGTGTGCTCTCCAGCTGCAAAGAAGGAAACGCTTGGACAGGGCAGCTGACAAGAATGAAGTCAGAGCAGCGGACCCAGAATGTGGCGTCCAGCGCGGCGTCTACGTCAACGTCGATGATCAAGACCTACGAAGGCTCGGCCCTTCCGAGACATCTCACTCAATGCCTGTGAAAGGGCTCTCTCAAAGCTCTGCTCTAGAACAGAATTCCGAAATTTTGCATTTGGGATCCAAGCGAATGCGGGATTTCTTTTTCGCCCGCACCGAATTTTCGGCTCGAGTACCGCCGAGGTTTTCTGTGAGGAGTGGGGTCGCAAAGTCCCCTCTCGGCAGAAGTGATGAACAACCCTCCCGAGATACGAGATCGTCGCGTGACCAAGAACATCCTGTTTCTTCACTGCATTCACTCCTGGCTGCCTTCCTTTTTTAACGGGCCTTTTGCCCCGCCTCGAACGAATCTTGGTTCGGTTCGGGCACGGGCAGCTCCTCCCACCGCGTCAGATCCATCGGGCCATCCAACAAAGGGATCACGTAAGGGTTGAACGTGAGCCAGTAAGGGTTCTGTGCAGTGATATCATAACTCTCAGTGAGTTGTCAGAACGGCAGCTCAGTCACAAACATGGGCCGAAGTGGTCGAAGACCGAGATCCGTTGGAAAAATTTGACGATGGCACGGACCTCGAGGTGGTATTTTTGAGATGCCTCGTTGACAAATCGCTCAACGATAGCAAATTTCAAAGGGTCCTTGGGATCGCTGTGGAATATAAAGTGTATTCGGGCAGTATATGAACGGGAGGATGGGCCGCAGAGCCAATCGACGTGTGCGAGCCCGGAGGATGTAGATGGGCATGGAGCAGCGGGGTTAGCTTTGGCAGAGCTCAAGAGGCTGAGTCTCCACAGAGCTAGTGGAGCGTGCATACGTACCGGTGAACCAACCATCCTCTGTGAACAATTGTGACGAGGTCCATAGAGCACGATCGCAAGGCATCAGTGAAACCGCGTAGATGCTGGACCCAGGTTGAGCAGGTCGATCTGCGAAGCTCCCACTCACAGCTGTTCCTTGTCTGGAGTCAGTAAAGCAAAGTCAGTTTGGTCAGTCCCGTAGAAAGCACATTAGTAGAGGTCTCACACCCCCCTATGTACCTTTGCGATAGACGGTCGCGGCGTCAACGAGCTTCCGGGCGATCTTCTCCGCACTGTCCAGATCCTTGGCTTTGAGGTGCACGATGATGGTGCTATAGAGGTCCTGCGAATCCAATCAGCTGTGCTTTTCACGGGTTGATATAGTACTGTGAAATTTGTAACTCACTAGACCATGGCGATCGATGTGGAGACGGGTTAGGCGGGAGAGTATGGCGGAAAGCCAAGAACTGCGAACGGATGATCGATGTGGGGGGAATCAGTGGGGGCGCGCTGCCGCAGCAGTTGCTCGGACTTCCTGGCCCAGTTGAGCGGCTGGCAGCGGAGTGGGCAGCTTGCGCTGGGCAACTCTTGAGCTCGCTCATCACTCCTGAGTCATTACATCATTCGTACTACTCTAATTTAAACCAAGATAGCGACGAGCTCGTTCACGCCGCAAACATGCTAATCGTCGGTCGGAAAGGGGTATTTCTGATTCGGTCAAGCGCAGAGACAAATAAGGTCAGCACCAAATCCACGAACCTCTTCCGGTCCCTTGAACCTCCCCATTCACTTACCCCGGATAGACTTTGATCGGGATCGAGCATTCGACCATCTCGTACTTGGCCGGCACCAACACGACACTCGTCTGTTGTACCGCGACGACCTGCGTCCCCCTCGAATGCGACAAACTCGACGCGTTGCGTTGATGACTACGGAAATCCAATGTCTTGCCACTCGCCGTGCGTTGCAGAGGACCAGGCGTCGGAGGAGCTTCGGGTGCGTTCGTGGAGTACAGTACAGGCGCGAAAGCTAAGTCGGGGACGGCACGGTACGAGACATGCGAGGCCGAGGTGTCTTTGGGTCCGAGCACGGGCATGAGATGCGCGGCTCCGGTCGGTAAGATCGCGGGTGCGGCGGGTAAGGTCAGAGGGACAGTCGGTTCGAAGCCATACGCGAACGACTTGGATCGAGCATGCGAGCGACCTGACCCTCCCGCAAGACCCGACGACGGTGGTGGCGGCGGCGCGGGCGGGGCTCCGCGACCCAAAAAGGTCGAACCCCTCCTCGCATGTCCCTTGGGCTGCGTTGCCGGTTTCGCATCCGGGGACGGAGGAACGACGAGGAAAGACAAGCGAACGGACCACTGCAACTTGACCCCGGACGTGCCAAAATCGGGCGTCGCGCCCGAAGGGATCGCGAGGGCGAAGCCGACGCGAGCGCAGTCGAGCGTCATTTGGTGGTGCTCCGAGTGCAGCCGGCGCGTCAGGGCTCGGACTTGCGGTGCCGGCTTGGTCGCTATAGAGGTTTCGATCAGTTCGTGGGTCTCGAGGCGAGCCGAGATGCGCAAGACACGGCCTTCGCTCGAGTTGATTACGACCGAGCCGTTGACGGTCTCGCCAAGTCGGTACGCCGATTTGACGAGCGTCAGTTGCGCGACCATGAAGCCGTCCTTGTTGATATCGTAAGAGACTGTTCAACCAACGAACGAGATATCAGCGTATACTCCAACCTCCCGAAAGCCAGCCGCGATTCACCTTTTTGAGAGTTCCTTGTCACTATTTCAACCGCGGCCTTGCACCCCGCCGGTTCCTCGTCCTCCCCCACGCCGACACTCGCCAAAGCTCCGGTATGTGGCGAGACAATGCCCGACACGCCCAATCCATTTCCCCCATTCTCTTTTGTCGCTGTCGTCATCCCCCTCGAGCTCCCATGTCGATCCAACCGCTCGGGCCGTAGAGCCGGCGACCCTTCCATCGTGACCTCCCCCGCCGGTCGCGTAGGTCTCAACGTCGGCGATATGCTCGCGTTCGAAACCAATTCCGGCGAACCAAGGCGTACGGAATCGAGCAAGGTCGTTGCGTAGGCCTCAAATTCGCGCCGACCGTTAGAAAGCCGTTGACGATTCTTGGCTTCGATGACGGTCTCGGTCGTCGTGGGCGTTCGAACGAGCGCTGGTTTGGTCGATGCTGCAGGTGTCGTTTGCTCGGAGGCTGGAACGACGGCTTGAACCGTCGCTTCGTCGCGGTGGTAGACGATTGGGTTCGTCAAGTCGTAAAAGGGTCGAGCTCCGGTCACTTTGTTCACCGTCGAACGAAGCAACCTCAGTTTTCATAACCCCAATACCGCAGTGGAACCGCCCCAAACTCACCTCCAACATGGTTGTAAATCCTAACGGGGACTCTGATGACCCGACTGGTCGCCTCCCTCGCCGCGCCCAATTTGGCCGCCATCGAATTGATCCCCCCAATTCTAGTTCGGTTCGTGCCCACGATGAGGTGGTAAGAGAACTTGATGGATTTACCTCGGAAGGACGGAGGCAAATCGGCCGGGATTCTAATCGAAAAAGTGTCTATTCCGCCGCCCAAAACCCTCGAGATCAGCCGCTGCGCTGGCTGTTCTCACGAGGTCTAGGTCCTTCCCACTCACAGCTCTTGGATTCTCCCGGTTCAAGCACGAGATCTACGCCCAGGATGCTCGGCGGACTCGAAAAAGTCGGGATCGTCTTCTCCTTCAAGCTCTTCTCTTTCCTCTCCTCGAGCGTCTGCGGACCTTGACCCAACGGGCCAGCCTGACTGATGAGCCCACCCCCACCGACCATTTTGGACTGGGTGTTGCCCGGACCCGACGAAGCATCATCGTTGCCACCTCCCCAGATCCAGGAAGTCCATCCACTTCCTCGACCCCCCTTTCCCTGCGCCGAATCGTTCAACGTTCCCCCACCAACGACCGCTCCCGGCCCCGAGGTCAACTCTTGCTTCAACAAGGTGAATTCACCCGGTTTGACCAAAGCTTCGTCGACTTCGAAGGTACCTTCGAGGTGCGCGAACGACCACAACAAGCAGACCGTCTCGAATGGGTACGCGAAAGGAGTCGACGAAGAGATCGAGGCCAGTGGTGACCTGGTAGCGGATGCTGCTGTGCTCGACAGGGCTCGTTTCAGATGAGCGGTGCCCGTTCTCGGAGGGGGTGGCACGACGACTCCATCGACGGTCCTCAAAGGGGTCGAGGCTGAACTGTTTGAAAGTGAAACGGAGCTGTTGCTCCCATTCGGCAGGCGATACGTGTGCGACGCCGACACCTCCCGCGTATAAGCTGCTTCCAAGTCCTGTTTGACAAGGTTGTCCATCGTCTCGTTCCTCCCCATACCGTAGAAGCCGTGGCCGGGCAAGGTCGAGCGCGAGTCGTTCGGGTCGTAGTTCGAGTCCTCGTCCGAGTCGCGATCGGTCGTCGTCACTGCTGCTGCGGCAGCGGCCGACGCTATCCGCTGCAGGTAAGGGTGTTCGGGCGAGATGGGTCTTGGCTCAGGGTCCCCACCTGGGAGGTATCTGGTCTGCGCTGCAATGTCGTACAGCGGCGACACGGGCCGTGGTAACGCGGGATCATTTCTCCGCAGCGACGAGTTGGGATCGTGAGGTGGGGGTGGGGGGTGCTGATGATCGAAGGGGCCGTTGATGGGTGTCGGATGGCGCGAAGGCTGGGGTGTCAGCTCGCCGCCGTTCGACATGGCGAACAAGTTCGGACTCGATACGGCCATCGACACGGTTCTGGCGTGGCTCGAGCCCGACGGACCGTATGCCGGTCTCCGAGGTCCGTTCGAGTAGATTCCGCGCGTCGGAGGTGGTGGCGGCTGCGGCTGCTGCTTTGGGGCCGGAGCGTTTCCAATCAGCCCCTTGCGAGTAGGTAGTATTACACCCGATGGATTTGAAACGGATCGTGAGAGAGTGTTGCTCATATTGAGACCCGAACTGGAGCGATGGTTGACGGCCCACGGCGGGGTCGGCGGTGCAGAGAAGCCGCCGAGATTCGGATTCGCACTCGAGCTGGCGGCTTGACTGAACGAGAGGTTATGGGCACTGTTGTTGTTGGACGAGGAGAAACTCGGCCGCTTGTGGTGGGTCGGTCTGGCGGCGTAAGAAGGTGGTGCGCCGCCTATGGTTCCCGAGCTGGGGCTACGCACAGTCGAAGCGGTCGAAGCGACCGAGGTTGAACGACTGTGTGCACCGGCGGTGGGGAGTGGTCGGCCCCACGAGTCGGACGGATCCCTCGACGATCCGACAAAGGGTGAAGGGGGCATCTCGTCCGAGTCGAGGTGCTTGGAGTCGTACTCGGCGAGGCCGAGGTGACTCGCCGAGGGGGGTCGACGACGGCCCGGGGGCAGCCTACTCGCGGCGGCCGAGGGCTGGAACTGGGACTGGACCTGGGATGCGTAAGGGTGGGAGGAAGTCGAAGTGGCCCAATTCGTGTTGGGTACTGCTGAACGTGGTGCCGGGTTCGCAAAGGTGATGGTGCACTCGAACAGTTCGCCGGCGAAGAAGGCCGACGCCGACGGCGCGACGGTTACGACCAGCCCTTGCTTGGGAGCCCTGGGGTGTGATACAAGAAAAAAGACGTCAGCTCGGTGGCGATGTGGTGCGACCACCTTGGATCAGATCAGGCGGCCGATCTGGTGGCTGGTGAGATGCCGCTCTACCCGTCACAATCGCCAATCGACGGTAAGGGTCGGGGCGAGGGCGCGGATCAGATTGCCACGACACGAGCGAGAGAGCTCGTGGCTGAGAGCAGCCGCAGCTACGAGATGGAGCCAGGGAGAAGCAGAAAGTAGGGACAAGTACTTGCATCGGGGGTGGCGTGGCCGGCCTGAGTTGGCCTTGGAAGCGAACTGGGAGTAGTACGAGCAATAGGCAGTCGGGCGAGTGAGGGAAGAGGCTCGGGGAGAGGGGCATCGGCCACGGTGTGGGGTGATTCCAGCTTGTGTCAGGAGCAGGAGAGCACTGGAGAGCATGGACTGATTTTTCAAGACTCGGAGACTGCATTCAGAAGTGCGTCAAGCTATTGATCATTGCACGACAGTGGCTACAGTACAACATGCTTTTCGACCACCACGAAAGCGTAAGAATTTGCTCCTGCGGTCTTGCTTCTCGTCGTCGCGTGTTCGGGCCAGCAGGCTAGAGCTCCAAGCTGACATAGTTGTTCTTCTCGAGTTCGAGTTGGAGCTGCTGCAGCACGCTCTCGACACCGTCGGACGCGATGAGAATGTGGGTCTCGTCAAGTTTCTGCACGACGAAGCGCTGACCGCCGTGCGAGGCCTCGAGGTCGTCCAATTGCAGCAAGATCTCTCGTGCGGCGGGGTCGCTGGTTGGGGGGTCAGAGAGCCATAGAGATGAGCGTCAGGCCAAGATGATCGCACTCGGAGATAGGCCGTACCAGGTGACGAGCGTGCCTGGTCGAGTGAACGGGTCGGCGGGTGGGGGGAGGATGATGTCAGTGGCCGTGCTCGATCGGATTTGGACGGAGAGCGAGCGAGACGACGGACCCTTGACAGCTTTGACCATGGCCACACCCACGTGGCTATCTCATGCAAGGTGCGCGAGGTGCTTGATAGAGTGGCGGCTGGAAGAAGCACAAGCGCTAATCGGGCAGAGTCAGGCGAATTGAAGGCGACTAATAACTGATCGCAGCTGAGCGCGTTCAAACTCGAGCGCACGGTCATCATCGACTGGCAGCAGGGTTGCAGCCTCCTGCCTCGTACGTCTACCTCCCCCGGGGTGGGCACAGGTGCATCTCGATGGATGCCGACCAGCAGCCCTCGACAAGCTGGCAGGATGACTCGCCGACGATCCGTGCCCGTTCCCGCGCCAGTTCGATGACGACCCTCGGTGGATTGCGACGTGCTGCCGCCACCGCCGCCGCCGCCGCCGCTCCTACCGGTCCATCCACCACAGCGGGAGGGGGTGGTGGTCAGCTACAACCGCAGATCCAACTCTCGCGGGCCTCGTCGGTCAATCGTTCTTCGTCGGGCAAGGCGACACCGTTGCTGCATTCGGGTCAGGCCTCGCCCGCGCCGTCGACGAGGTCCGGCTGGATCCGATCCTCGCACCATTCCAGTGGGGCAAGCCCAGCGGGCACGCCCGGCCCCGGCATCCTGTCCAAGAGTCCCACGCTCACCTCGCCCGCGGGCACGCCAACGCCCAGTCTGACCTCGCTGCCGACGCTCAACGCGCTCGAGTCGTACAACGTCAGGAACGTCGCCGCCGCGCTCGACCATTCGACCCCTGACGCCCTGCGCCACATCGACGATGCGTGGCAGTCCCTCTGTGTGCGCGTGTTGCCCCTCTTGTCAGTCGAAGCAGATGGATAAGTTTTTTTTTTTGGTCTATTCTGCGACTAAGTCAGCGTGCTCTGCCCCCCCCCCCTCGAGCAGTAACGGAGAAGGGATCCGAGGCCACGTCGAAGACCTCAACGACCTCGTCATCTCCCGCATTCAACGCACTTTTGCCCGCACCTCGTCGCGCCCCACGGCATCCCATACCCCTTCCTCGAACCTGTCCACGCTCGTCACCGGTCTTCTCGTCGAGGACCTGACCGACCTCCTCACCACCGGTTTCCTCACCCTCTCGTCCAAACTCTCACCCCCCAACGCCCCCCTCCCCGACGACAGGTTCCTCCACCGCCTCGACGAGACCTGGGCCTTCTTCTGGTCCGGTCTTTTACCCAACCTCGAAGCCATCTTCTGGCCTCTACGCTGCGACGAGAGGCTCAAAGCCGCCGTCGGTGGCGATGGGTTCGATCGTCTCCAGGGAGGGAGGACTCGTCAGGGCGAAGGCAGGATCGACATTCGCAAGTTCGCCATCATCAGCTTTCGAGATCAGGTCATCTTGCCCGAGGAACCGAGGCTCATGAGGCTCTTTCAGAATGGCTCCCCTACGAATGACGGCGATGAGGCAGAGCAACAACCTCCGTCAGCACGGCGGCGACAGCAACAAGGGGAAGACGGTCCCGATTCCCCCCGCGAGTCGAGGCAGAGTCGATCCGGAGCAAAGCCAGGCTACGTCCCGAACGGAAGGAGCGTCACCTTTGCCACTTCCTCCCCCTCGTCCTCTCCCTCGTCGAGCATCATCACCCCTCGACGACGACAGTTGTTCTCCGTGCTCGCGTCGGTCCTCACCGCCGACGATCGACAACTCATGGTCGAGACCTTGCTCAAATCCCTTCGCTCGAACCACCCCGACCGACGAAGATCCCCTCTTTCGCAGCATCGAGTCGACGACGATGACGAAGGTCACCGACCCCCCTTCTTCAACCACTCGTCCTCGGCATCGACGATGAACCGCATCAACACCTCGGGTCGGAAGAGTGGCTTCCTCGGCTCCGTCTACTCGGATGGGCATCGCTCGAATCGAAAGAATAGGGGAGGTGCAGGATCGCAACGACCTCTGTCGAGGGAGGAAGGGGACGGTGGGGATACACCGTTCAGTGATCAAACTTCGGATTACTACTTTGACTCCCCCGGCGTACCCCCCTCACCCGTCGTTCGCGGATCGGAGGAAACTGGATCTGGATCGACGCCGATTTCAGCGAACGAACGCATTGACGATCGAACGATCACATCTCGATGGGGAGGAGGACCGACGGCAGGGGGAGGAGGAGGGGCACCTCATCCTCGAGGTACCGTGCTCCCTTCCCCTTCGACGTCGAGCCTGAACGAATTTGGTCGATCGGTCGGTCAGAGTTTAAGCCAGAGCGATCAGACGGGGACGACGGGTGGAACGATCCGAGCTTTCCCCCGAGCAACGATCCCACCTTTGCGTTGAGCAATTCATCTTGAGTATCTGGAAGAACGAATTGTCGTCTTGTGTACATGTGTTTTCCACTCTCTATCTTTGTGAGCCGGCTCGCTTCTGATGTTGTTGTAACAACAGACATCATTCCAATCAAGCCTTCCTTCCGTACGCGTGCGAAGAAGGCGATCGAAATTGTGATTAGCTCTGATAGCTCGCGCCACAACCTCCCTTGCCTTCTATTACTATGCTATCAAGAGACAGTGAGACACTACTCGTCCATACTTTGGCCCCGCCGCCCGGGCGTATGCGTACATCAAGAACAAGCCGGCGTTAATTGCATCTATCTTGTCCTCGCGCTTCCCGGTGGTACAAGGAAGAAAGCAACAAAGAGAAGAGAACTACAGCTACAACTACATAAAAGAAAGGAACAGGATCTAACTTTTGTCACAAACTAATTAAGATCTACGGATTCTCCTCTCCTGGGGGCTAACAAAAAGAAAAGGGGGCGACAAAGTTTGCGATTGTTGTAGAAGGGTGTATACGTGTGGGATTGGTCGGATCTAGAATTGAAATCGAGTTTGCGAGATGAGATAGACGCAGCCTTGACAAGATGCAATGGTAGTGGTTCCCGTGTCACCATTTCTGGCGCTCGATGGAAGGTCAAGCAAAGTTCCACGCTTCGGATGAAGTTGCGTCGAGGCAGCACCTGTGGAAGACGAAAACAAGGTTCAACGGGTACCCAATCAGAAACGCAGCCGTGTCGCGCCCTACGACTCACATCCAGACACGGGTCTTGTAGACCCTGAACAGTTCTCTCACGAGTTCACGGAAATCGACGCGAGTGTTGGCGGTGTAGTAGAACGTCAACTTGCGACGATCCCATTGCCACTCGGCATCAAAGACTTCCATTGGAAGGCCTGCATCAGCGAAGACAGGGTCAGTATTTCTTCTGGCGATGACCTCCAGCAGCTTGTACATCGGACTGACTTCTTTGCGCCACCTTCTGCCTCACCAACGCCAAAGCCTTGACCTCGTCTTGCGCCTTGCTCAACAATTGGTGCGTGTCCGAAGCACTGGCTTTCCCAAACAGCCGCTTGGGTGCGAATTCCTTCGTCATTCTTGCCAACGTGGCCGCGTTGGGTGGTCCACCCGTGTTCGCAGCCCCACCAGGTCCTCTCGGGTCCATCCCACCACCGCCGCCACCGCCGCCATTGTGCGCAAGCTGTCCCAGCGCCATTTCGACGAGTCGTTGCTGGAACGCCTGGACTTCATCCAACGAACAAGGCTTGAAGAACTTGCCAATGTCCTTGCCGCGATCGGCCTCGACAATCACCAGATCGCCTTGGCGTAATTGCAGGTTCGGGTCGTCAACGAAGAACAGGTCCTTGCGTCCGGCTTTGAACTCGACGATGTACAAGGGCGCGTTGGCCGGAACGCTGTGCAGTGGGATGCCGCGACCGAGGTGCGACAAGTCGCCGTTCGACCCTTTGTTCCCGGTCCCAGTGTTGCCCGTCGCATTTGGAGTGCCTTGGGGTGCGCCGCTCAGTGGGGATCCGCTGTTGTTAGGGGGTCCGCCTCGAGGGCGCGGTGCAAGTCCCTGACCCTGTCCCTGTCCAGTATAGAATGACTGGGGTGGGGGGACGCCAAATCCGTGCTGTACCGATTGCTGTGGCATCCCACCGCCCGGGCCCATCGCCATCTGCGAAGGAGGTGGGGGAGGAGGTAGTGCACCGTAGTTGCCGAAATTCAGGGCCCCTTGACCGTACATCCCAGGGTATCCCGAAGCGGGACCGCCGGGAGGGGGCGGCGGTGGTGGAATCTGGCCCATCAAGCCAGGCATGAACCCGGAGCGCTGTTGTGGAGGAGCCTGCGACATGGTCGGTTGACTTGTCGGGGGCGGCCGGAAGGCCCCAAGAACGAGATCGGATGCACCAGAGGCGAATGGATGCGTGGGACCGGTGGTGCTAGCCGTTTTCCCAGGCGACGTGCCACCAAATTCGAAGCGCGAGGTCACTCGTTGCGCGGTCGAAGGGGACAGCGAAGTTGTCGGCACCGAAGGCTGGGGCAAGAAGAAGGCCTTCGTCGCCCTGGAGGAGTCGTCGCCGGAGCTGGAGCTGACCGCGGCCGGTGTCGACGACGCCACGCCCGGGGATTGAACGGGAGGGGAGCGAGACGATTCAACGTCGCTGAAATGCCGGATCGAGCGCATCGGAGGAAAGTTGACCGGCATCGATCCGACATGACCCAGACCACCAGGACTCCGAGGTGACGTCGAAGATGCCGTCTGTCCGCCGACGACGGCCGCATGGGCCTCGAGGTTGAGATGCAGCGAGTTGAGATCCGCCGCGAGGTCGTCGTCGTTGATGGCCGAGCTTCCCAGACCAAAGCGACGATCACCGTCGTTGCCGCCGAGTGCCATCGAGCCAAAGCCTCCGTTGTGCTGACTCGGCGGCGATCGAGCCTCCTCAGGGAGGTGGAAGCCGATCTGCGAGCGACTTGACGGGTTGAACGTGGCGAAGGAATGTCGTCGCGAGGTCGCACCGGACTTGGTCGGAGGGACGAACGAGTCGTCGTCTTCGTTCTCGGCTTCGTTCAGGGTGCGCTCGGAGCGACCCCAGACCAGATCACCTCTCATTCGTCCGCTTCCGACGGCGCCGAGCGAGTGGTCCCTGCGTGCTTTGTATGTCCCCGCTCCTGTGCCGAATCCCCTCGTTTCGCCCGGAGGCTCAAAGAGCAGCCGACTCCCATCGCGAGAAAAGGGTGACATGTTACTCAAGCCGATTCCACTCGTCGTATCCTCGCTTGCCCAGGGTCCTTCGCTCTCGGCGCGCAGTCTCGACCGCCCTTTCCGGTCGGCATCCTCCCAGCCAAAGGACGAGGCCCGAGTCGCCGAAGAGCTGCGCCAGCCCGTTTGGGCACCACGACCGAGTCCGATGCCCCCCGAGAACGAGTTCGCACCGGCGAATGCTCCTAAAGCAGGCCGGGACGGGGCTGGCTCGTCGGCATCATGCCCGCCGCTGGACGACGTCAGGCTCGGCGAAGTTTGGCCGATTCGTATAGGATTGACGGGCAGCGAGGTCGGGAAGTGCGACCCTGACGACTGGAATCCATAGGCATCATTCGTCGAGTGGTTCATCTCCGGAAAGGAGCCGTCCAGCGCAGCCAAAGCTTTGGGTACAGCTGCTATGTCGGAGAGGGCGGAAGCAGAGGAATAGGATCGCGAGCGAGGTTTGGCGGACGAAGATGAACACGACTGGCCTGGCGGATGGGCTGGAGACGGCAAGGAAGGCGGAGAAAAATAACTCCTCGGAGGTGATGCAAGTGATGAGGAAAGCGGCGCTCGGGAGTCAAGAAACGGATAGATCGGTCGATAGTGTGGTCGAACGTGGCCGCCAAAGATCTCGGCGAGCGCGGCTTGGGTGTGCTCGCTTTCGGGTTCCGATCCGATAGGAGGCGACAAGAGTGCTGTATTCGCCGAAGTACTTGAGTCAGTCTTGCAAGCTCGCATCCACGCAAAGTGACTCCCTCGATACGTGTAAAACTGACCTGCCGTCGGGACGCCTGGATCGTCGTCGTAAGTACTGAGACTAGTGGGGCGTCGGTCACTGCCCTCGTCTCGTTCGTGGTCGTGATCACTCGCGGTGCCCGGTTTGCGATGGCCGAGAACGGCTGAAGAAGGCGCCCACGAGATGGCAGATGTAGGCAGAGCGGTCAGGCCCAATGAGTTAGGCGGTGAGCCAGCAATGGTCAGGGAAGACGGCTTGGTCGCTGCCGAGGACCAGGTGGTCGTGAAGCCGTCAAAGGTATGGATGTGGTGCGATTGAAAATAGAAAGGTAGAGTCGCCTGAGGTGGGTGGGAGGGCGAGACGTTGGAGGAGGTCGCGGTCGTGAACGACGAGACGGAAGAGCGGGGTGAACGATCGCTCGCGTCGTGGGGTCGAACCGGGGACGAACTTGGCTCCCGTTTGGTCGTCGCTGGCGGCCGTGGAGACGCCCGCGTCGACTCGTTGGGGACCTACGAAGAACACGAAAGGTTCCGGTGTCGACACCAAAATCGAGCGACAGGTTCGGGGGTTTGGTGTCGGAGTGAGGTTGGAGACGGAGAGCGCGCGAGGACGGCAAGAGTGGGGAACCCGTTCAAGGAGTCAGCTCGCTGCTGCTGCTCTCTGGCACCCGGTCATCTGCTGGCTGTGCGGCGCTGAGGCTGAGCTCTGAGGATCTGAGGGCTGAGCGCCGGCGGGCCCGCTGCCGGAGACTCCACGCGGGCACACGGGCGGGACGCGCCCGGCCAGCGACGCCAGAAAGGAGAAGCCCAGCCCAGCCCAGCCCGGGGCCGCCGCCCCATGGCCATGCAGTGATGCAATGCACGCACTTCGCACTTCGATCGAGCCAATGACCAAAACACTCCTTTCCAACTCACCCTGGACCAAATGTGGTTGTGATCAAACGACTCTAGTCCCGAGGCGTTCACCTGTCGGTGTCGGAGTATGAGTCACGAGGGCGCGTCAGACGGTCAGTGCAAGCTTCGGAGAGCCCGAGCGCGGCACGTGAGCACCAGCTCTGCAGTACCCGGGTGGTGCAGTCAAGGGCCGGGGGCGTTCTGCGATGCCGTTCATATATCAAGGCGGCTCTGTTGCTTCACTCACCGGGGATGTCATGCGAGATGGGACAGAAGCCAAGTCGTGGATGCTTGGGCTGGGCGGGTGGTCGGTTCACCGTGTTTCGTGAACTTGAAACTTGCGGTGGCGCGAAGCTCTCAACTGGTCAGCGCCCTGCCTGCCCGGGTGACCGTCACACCGCAGCGGGCTGTCCAAGTCAAGTGGGGGTGGGGTTCGTCTTGCGGAAAGGCGGAATTTCGGTGGGCAAGGAGGACTGGGGTCGATGGTCCAAGCACAGATCAAGTCGACGTCTCGCGGGGCGTGGACAAGTCTTTCTTTCATAGTTGCGGCGAAGGGCGAGGGGTGGTCGCTGCTCGATGATGTTCCCCGAGTGGCGAGGAGACGGTCATCACGCTCATGTCAGACCGAGCATGCAACAGGGCGCTGCTGCCCGAGCAAGCGCTACAAGGACAGCGAGCTAGACTCGATTTCACCTTAGACAACAACATAGCTTGTACATTTGAACATGTATTACAAGTAGCTTCCCCCTCCGAAGCGTCCACCGAGATCCCGGGCGTTCTTGATCATGTCCGAACGCTTCGAGTCATCCAGTAACCGTCCTCCGACGCTCATGTCCCGGTCATGGTCCCAGATCCCCGGCGGCGCCTTGTCGTCCTTTTCCTTGGATCTGGACGACTTGGCATGTTGGTCGAGCAGTGTCGCATTGCGTGAAGATTTCTATCAACAGAAGTGCAGGGGGAATCCCATGATCAGCGGCTAATTCGGCAGGCTCACAAAGGACTGCGCGCGTCCACACAGCAGCACATACGGAACCCAAGTCGTGATACGAATACCGGACTCACATTGTGTCGATCGACCTCGTCACGCAACTGCTGGTCCCTCATCCTCTTTCTCCTCTGCTCATCCGTCTCTTCAGGCTGACCGGCACCTCCACCGCCGTTCGAAATTTCGGCTTTTCGCTTCCTCCCCATCATCTCGTCCTCGAGTCGTTTCTGCCTCTCTTGCGGTGTTTCGGTCCATAGGTTCACGTCTTCGGGGTTGGGTTTGCCCGCACTGCCATGGGCCATGCCTTTGCCGGCCATCTGCTGGAACCCTCGTGACTTGAGCTTGGTCGGGTCCAGGGCTGGGTTGGGGCACGGAACCGTTAGGGAGGATCAGCACCTCTCTGACTCGAGACTCTGATTCAGTTTTGAATCTTACACGACATGAGGTCCAGGTCCTTGGGAGGGACCATCATCCACTCCACTCGTTTCGGCTTCTCATTCTTCTTCCTCTCGGCCTCCCTCTCGCGTTCCCTCTGCCTCTCTTCGCGCTCTCGCACCAAACGCACACCTTCGTTCTCCTCCGAGTAGCCCGATGCGCCGGCAGGTAAAGGCATCGGTCCGAACGCATCGTCGTCATCGTCCGAGTAAAGGTTCGAAAGGGGCGTTTCCTTCTTGTACGGTCGCAGTGGTGGAGAAGCAGCAGAGGAGGACGCGGTCCCTGAGACCGAAGCTGACGGGCGGTAGTCAGAGGGCAGCGTGGGTCCGAGGATCTTCCTCGTAGGTGCATCTGGAGCTGCTGATGGACCTGCCGCGATACTTGAGGTGGTGGTCGTCCGGGCGGCGGCTAGATCGGGTGGAAGCGAAGGGCCATAGTCGTCGTCCGAGTCGTCGTCATCTTGCACCGGCGCGGGAAAAGACGGTCCAGCGGCTGTGGGAGCTGATGGGGGAAGACTAGGTCCAACGGTTTGTGTAGATGGTCGTGAAGGGCCCGCTGTGACATGAGGAGGTAGTTGAGGGCCGGCAGCTGACCTCGACGACGAGGACGATGAAGCAGCGGCCAGATGGGGAGGCAACTGAGGACCTGCGCGGAGAAACTGGTTGAGAATGAGTGAGTGGAACGAGAACATAACGGTGATCGGCCTGACCTACCGGCTTGTGGCATGTCGACGAGTGCTGAGCAAGGCGATGCTGTGCCGGACTGTGCAGGACTGTGCAGGAGCGCAAGAGACGGTGCGCGACCATCCGCGCGAGAGCTCTCACGACTTTCCATCTTCCTTAGTCTTCCTTCACCTGCGCGATAGCTCGTCTGCGCACAGTGGTGCTTGGCATCCCCGAGCCTGTCTGTGGTTATGCCCAGCATCTCACCCGTCGGACTAGGGCGTATGCGGCGACCGTCCGTGGCGTGTGCTACGTCATTAACGCGCCGGCGACTCAACAGTTAGTTCGGTCCACCCCTCTCCGCACCCCTTTCCCCCGGCTTTCGTGCAAAGTGAAAGCTTATCTCGATCGAGTTCTGTATCCCGTTCAGCCTCTTCCGGGTCCAAGAAACCGATCGCGTTTGCATTCGATATCGTACGTCCCCCAGACAGACATCACCGTTCGCTCGTTCCTACTGGCGGCCCCCACCTGACGTCGACGTCGGACCTCCTCGCTCATCCAACCACCTAGGACGGTGTCCTCAAGCAAGGATCCCACGTGCTCCCCCAAGCCAAACGAACCCTCGCCGTTCTCTCAGGCCAGAACAAACTCTCTCAGAAATTCCCCTTCATCTGCCTCACGAATGGAGGTGGATCGATCGAGGCCACTCGCGCGCAAAGGTTGACTCGCGAATTGGGCGTCGAGATTGGCGAAGGGCAGGTGGTGCAGAGTCATACCATCTTCAGGGGTTTGGTGCCGAAATTCGAGGATAAGCCTGTCTTGGTAATTGGCGGGGTCAAGGATCACTGTCGCAAAGTCGCACAACAGTTGAGTTACCCCGGGGAAGCAGAACTGCGCATCTTGGAACGTTGAACTGACGCTGTATGTGGGCCGCGAGCAAAACAGTTATGGGTTCAAGCACGTCTACATTCCGGAGGACGTACTACACTGGCAAGCAAGCGTGTGGCCCTTTCAAAAATTGACCGACAAGGAAGTCGCTTACGCCAAGGTAGGAGATTGCCGGGGCAGAGTCTTCTTTTGTCGTGAAATTCGGCCTGACCCGGACCCATCTCCCTTTTGTCTTCCAGGCCGACGTCGACTTTTCCAAAATTTCCTTTGCAGCCATCCTAGTCTTCCATGACTCCTTTAATTGGGGTCGAGACGTCCAACTGATATGCGACGTCCTATCCTCGTCCCACGGCGTGTTGGGAACGAGTAAATCCACTTCCGAATGGGAAAGCTCACCTCAATTGCCCGTACATTTCTCCAATCCGGATTTACTATGGGGGAACGAGTTCTCCCAACCCCGGTTCGGGCAAGGCGCTTTCCAAGAAAGTGTTGCGGCGGTTTGGAAGCGGACGTACAACAAGGATTTGATCAGGTGCGCGCGTCGGCGCCCGGGTCAGGGGGGGTTGTCGAGAGCACATCGAGACTGATGATCTGGACCTGGGCCGTGCTGCACAGAACGACGGGTGGCAAACCTACTTCACACACGTACAAATACGCTTCATCCCTCCTGTCCCACCACGTCCGATCCCTCTCCAACCCTCACACCCATTCATCCTCTGAATCACTCCACGAAGCCGTCGTCAATTCCGACGCAGGGCCAATCGAAGGCAACGTCTACATGCTGGGAGATAACCCGGCTTCAGATATTGCGGGAGCGAATGCGTTTGGGTGGGAGAGTATACTGGTTAGGACGGGGGTGTTTAGAGGGGATGTCAAGGACGCGGAGCATCGACCGACGATTGTGAAGAATGACGTTTGGGTAAGTCTTGAGCGTCCCTCGGGCGAGCGAGGGCGAGGCTCAAGGGCAGGAGCTGACACATTTGGGTTTGCCCTGTACATTGAACAGGAAGGAGTCAAATGGGCCCTCCAAAGAGAAGGCTGGGGTGAAGTACTATAGAATCTCCACAGCGCGCTCATTATAGAAAGCCGATCGTCGCCAATAGGACTTGCAATTGCAATAGTCAGAGAAGCGTACAAAATTGAGACGTTCTTCAGCAAGACTGAGGTACAGGGAATGAACAATTTTTTTGGTGGGACATGCGATGCGATGCGAAGAGCCAAGTGGACGGGTGGGTGAGCTAAAAGAGCAGACGGGTGGGCAAAAACTTTGCGCTGTCGGCCGCTTGTTCGGAGAAAGAGTCTTTGAAAACCAAGAGGCCACACTGCGGGACGAGTAGCAGAAGAAAATCAGGGCGGATTCTCCGGAAGATGGGCTTCTGCATGTTTTGAAATGACTCACTAAGATCCCTGCCGCCATGAAGACGACGGACACGATCGCCCAGAGGACCCCCCAGCACGCTGACGAGCCACCGTAGCGCTTTGCGAAGACGGAGGCATCGGACTCGTTAACCTTGCGGAGGATGAGCTGTGAGATACATGGGAAGGTCACAACACTCAGCACTCTGAGCTTTGAGCGCAGTATATCCTTACCTGGGTACGTACATCGTCGAACTGGGCATCAAAGTCGAGCACAGGTTAGCACGAGTATGTAAAAAGAAAACTGAGGCTGGGGCGAACTCACAATATCCCATACTGAGTACAGGGCTGACATGACACCAATAAACAGAACCTCATATCGCAACTAGTCGCTCATACTTCATCGTCGTCAGCTGGAGTGCTCTTCTCTCGAGGTTAGGGAGGTGGACCGAACTCACCGCAGCTCCATGAGCGATGAACCATCCCGCAACCAAGAGGCCGACCGAAACCAAGATCGTCACGATCGTCAACCAATCCTTTCTTCCCCACCATAGAATGATAATGAACGCTACCGCAAGCACAAACGAGGCGATTTTGGACGCGACAATGTCGAATCCGCAGAAGATGAGGAGCGCTCCTATCAACGAAGATCCGAGATAGCCTGCCGGGAGCGTGATGGCGGAGATGCCGCCGGACACTGGATGATTGAATTATGCATGTGAGTAACGACTTTGAGAGATCAGAGATTGCTCGAACAAATTCACTCATTGTGCAGCCGCCTTCTCGCGGATCGAGAGTGATGCTCTTGATCCTTGCGCCAGTGCAGCATCCCGTCGCAGCGCTAAATCATGAATCATATGCATACTCAGCGTCTGATCGACAGTGATGGTCCAGAATGACGACTTTATCATCATATCACAACTCACTGGCCAAACTGTGGACGGAACGCATCGGTGCAGATTGTCAGCCACCATAGTTTCACGCCTTACTGCATGAATCGCCCACCTCATGGAAAGCGATCGTGAGCATCTTGAGAGGGTACAAGATCCATTTTACTGTCACGGATAGTGATCCGATCAGCGTCAGCAAACGAGTGTCAGGTTTCCAGCACAAATTCTGGGAAAGATCTTCCGGTGAAGAGTGAAAAGTGAGACTTGCGGACTGGTACGTGCCACAGGATGGCGATAATGACGACATACTATGTGGGTATGGAAGAGCGCGGGATTTGATGAGCTCAGAGAGAGTCGTAGGGGTCATTCAACGAGGGTGCGATCATGGCCTTTGGTCGGTGCATGCACGAAGCTCCTGAAGCGAACCGCTCGCTCGCAAGTTGAGTTGCCGGGCCAGACCGATTCCTCACTCACAGCAGCGATGACCTGTGCGAGCAACACCAAGCTCGAACTTCAGCCAGCGTACAGTAATCCAAAACTGAGTGAATGAAACAACTGACTCTCAGCGTGACCTTCTGAGTATCATTCGGCTCCAAGCTCAAACTGCGCCGTATGAGTATAGGCTGCGGTGAGGACAAACCGGACGGCAAACCGCGGCTGCGCAAGAGAGTCGGAGATTCGTAGAGGGGTAACTTGACAGCGGTTGAATGGGTTGTGGAAGCCCATCTTGCTTTTGAATCCTCGTCTGGGTTGGTCGAGCGTCGAAGGGTGCGCTTCCTCTCCCTGACCTGCACGAACCCATCGCGAGCTGCTGGGGTGTTCACGGGCCTCGTCGTCGTCGAGTCCGAATCGACTTGTGAGAAGGCGGAGTCGACAAGAGAGGAAGCTTGTCGAGGGACGAGGTCAAGCGGTGACTCGAATAGATTGTCATGTGCAGCTGCTATAGGTGACATGGCTATGGTGAGTGTGGGTGTAAGAGGACGTTCAAAAATAAGACGACTAGGTAGACAAAGCCGTTGTCGGCGTTAGTTGAGCCAGCGGTGGCTGCGCGAGGCTGCCTGCGACAGCCCGCGACGCGACGCGTCATAGGGATCGTGGGCGGTGCAATCCTGTGCAATCCGGAGCGCAAGTTCGGGCTCGATTTCTTTCTCATCCGCACTCAAACGCCCATGGCGAAGCCAAACAGTCTGATAAAGAATACGACCAGCGAATCACATCGTTGCAAAATAATGTTCACCCAAATACAAAAGACCGAATTATTAAACAGATGTCGAGAAGTACGCACTTCGAGTGGAAAAAGAAAATCCCACCAAATCACGGTGAGAGTTGAGACCGACACGAAAGGAAGGGGCAGTGTGGGAAGTGCGTCTCATGTGTGTATGTCGTAATCCATACGGACAGGGCGATAGTAGTAGGAACTCGATCCGGGCGAGCGACCGTGTTGAAAGAACTCGATCTGGGCCAGCGACCGTGTACAAACTCGAGTTGGATCTATTCAAGCATTCCGGTCCGGCGCGAAGCTGGCGGAAGGGATGGGAAGCCACCTTCGAAACAGGTCCGAGGTGGTGACGACAAAAGTGGTGATTGGTCGGTACGGTATGAAGAGCAGTGGTGTAACGAACGTGGGGTCGAATTGTCACAGACGAGTCGTGAAGATCGAACACTGGAGGAAGACGCTCGGGAACGGCACATGCCGCTGGGACGGTGCCCGAGCAAAACAAAAAACAAAAAAGCGACCGAGAGAGATTAAGAATGGGTGAGGGGCGATGCTGACAATCACATCCCGATGCTTCCGGGCAAGCTGGCTCGACCCATCGAGTCCGTCGCCATCCAGTCGCTGGTCGGATGGAAGATCGAAGAGGTTTGGTTCGGGCTCAGGGGCACAGGCGAGCGAGTGGCCGTCGACTTCTTGTACCACTGCTGCTGATCTTGCAAGGCCTCGCCCGCCGTCGTCGGAGTGCGACCTTCCTCGACCTGTCGTGTTCGCAGCGCATCCATCGCCCGCAAACCACCGGGAGAAGAGTACCCCTTCTGCATCGTCGCCGCCCGTGGTGTCGGAACATCAAGGTCAATCGCATCGGGCATGACCGCAGAGAGTGCCCCGCGCGTGGAACCAGGTGCCATGGTTCCGGCAATCGACAGACTGCCACCGCCAGTCGTCACGATCTGCAGCGATTGCGGTCGAGCCCGGTTGCGTCGTGAGGGAATACCGAGCGCAGCCCCACCTCGATCCTGAGCCTGACCCAGAATGGGACTCTGAGTGGAGAGGGCGGCCGGGATGCTAGGGAGGTCGCTGTCACTGGCCGTGGAGGCGGGAGAAGCATTCGGGCCCAGCGAGGACGAGTCGAGCATTCTCGAGGAAGGCGCGAACGAATAGCTCGACTGGCCCGAACCGGAGGAGGTGTCGGATGACGCCGGCGAAGGATGGCTGTCGAATGCTGCCGGATCGCGATAATTTTGGTGCCTGAGCTGCGCCATCGTCGAGTCGAGGCCGAAAGCGGGTTGCGGAGCTGGCGCTTGTGCTTGCGCTTGCGACACGAACGGCGCAGCAGTGCTTTCGACAGGAGCGGCATAGATGGTAGAGGCTCCGGCGAGGCCGGTCGCCCGTCTCTGCTGGCCAAGGGGAGAAGACTGGTGACGCACATCGTCCGGGGCCAAACCTCCCCAGTCGGATCGTTTGGAAGCGGGATTGAATGTGTAGGACCCCGTCGCTGGATCGGGGGTGACCATGTGTCCGGGATGCACATAGAACGGAGGCTGATGTTGCTGCTGGGGCGCTTGCTGCTGTTGCTCGTGTGCCTGCACCGGTTGCTGCTCGTAGACGGGCTGCTGTAACGTGATGGACTCGTGCGACGTCGAGTGCTGCAGAGCTGGTCGAGCCGAAAATGCCTGTGACGCAGAGAACGGTGCGACATGGTCGTAGGCCGTGTCCGAGGGCGTGTGGTAATGCCCCGACACCGAGGGGTACATCGAGCGATCGGCGGACGCGAACATTTGCTGGTGGGCCTGAGCGGCGGCCTCGTCCGAGTACAACCCGTACTGCGTCTGGTCTACCTCGATCGGGCCCGCAAATCCTACGCTCGGGTCGAAGTCGACATGCGAGTTGGGGTCGAAGCTGAGGTGGGGGCTGTTACGAAGCGATGCTATGGCGTGCGGATTCGGCGAATTCGACGACGACGACGATGACGAGGCGCTCGACGTCGATGAACGAGAGTAGCTGTCATGTCGCTGCTGCTGGTTCCAGATCGCAGAGCCATCCGTTTCGATCTGTAAGTTCGGATTGTACGCATTCGAATCGAGCGGCGACGGCTCGCGACCCGAGGGAAAGTGCGGATACGCGAAATCGCTTGCGATCGAGGGCGTCGAATTCGAGTAGGGCCGTGCGAACACCTCTGGCCGGATAGATCGATCCGATGGTCCTGCAGATCCGGGGAGCGATACCCTCATCATGTCGGGTGTCATCGCCGTCGATTCGTCGGAACTGCTGTGGCCGCTGGCCGGGGACGCGTAGGAGCTGCGCGATAGCGGTGCATGCGGCAGCGACATTGAATGGGCATGGTGGATGTGGGACACATTCGACGTCGCGTACGCCATATGCCCTCCTCCACCCCGTGGCATTCCGTGCTGATCGTAGGAGAACTGCGGTGTGTAATCCGTGGGTGCAGAATACGCGGGAAGACCAAAGGGGTCGTGTACCGAAGAGATCGAGTCGCTGCGCCCCTTCGAGACACCCGTCGACGAGACGGACGAGGACGAGCGATGGTAGGGGGCATATCGGCCAAAGCCCGATCCAGAGGTGGAGCCAGAGCTGGCGAGGGAGCTGTTGGACGCTGTGCGGGACATCGCAGTGCCTTGAGACGAGTCGGAGAGGTCGAGGGCTCCGGTCATAGAACTAATACTAGACCCACGCTTCCGCGGACGGCCAATCGAGCTGTGAAGTCCGGGCCACGAAAAGATTCATGAGTTCGATTTCGATCGTTTGTCGCTTAGTTCTCCGTCGAGGACGACTCACGCATTGAAGTGATTCTTGATCGCATTGTCGGGCCGGCCGGGTAAGTACTTTGCCATTTCGGCCCACCTCGAGCCGATCTTCATGTACATGGTTTTGATGAGCTCTTCCTCCTCGGGCGTCCAGTCGCCCTTGTTGACTGTTGGAAAAGAGTGGCGGTGCCTTGTCAGGGTCGAGGCCAGGCTGACCGGCTAGTTTTCGCGCGGCGTCAGGAGAGGGCCAAACTCACTTGAAGGATCGAGATGATTATGCCACCGCTCACGGCACTGCTTGCCCGATCGAGTCCCCATCTCTTGCGCGATGGCAACCTGGTAGATATATACCGCCATACGCATGGATGACCGTATCAGCGGGTGTCCGTCGGAAGGGGCCCTCAGCCGCCAGACGCGATAGGAGAGAGCGGACGGAGAGAAGTAGGACAGAGGCAAGTCGAGCGGAGAAAGCAGCGAAGCCATAGGTACTCACCCATTTCTCGGACCCGTGTTGCTGCACGAGGGATTCCAACTTGTCGTCCTCCTCTTTGGCCCACGGTCCGCGTAGCTTAGGCTTCTCGACCGTCATGTTGCGCCAGCGCTGTTGTGCGTAGGTCAGCCCACACTAGTCAGCGTCCGCCAATTGTGGACTTGCGCGCGCGCGCGCGCTCGCGACGACGCGTCCGGGGGTGCCGCCGAAACCACGCCATCCGAGCCAACCCCGATCGGACCCGTCCAGTACAACCAGGACTGAACGATTGGCCCCGAAGAGCTTTGAAGCCCGAACCCGAGCCGGAGCCTGGGTCCGAGCCATTTCGGTGAACGGGAGCGATTGCCGGGCCGCCCTCCCGAGCGCACGCCGCGGCTTGGCCGGGGAAGGCGCAGGGGAGCGGAGGGGGCGCCGCAGCGACCGATGGCGCCTGAGTCGCATCGACGACGACGACCACACAAGGCAACGAACCCGCATCGAGGCACTGATGCCCATACCACCAAACACACTCACCTCTTGACAATCCGCCTTGTCGTGTCGACCGTCCGGGAAAGCCAGTAATGCCACCTGGGACCACTTGACTTTGCCCCCAGCGAGATCGAGCTCGTAACGAAGGCGTACATCATCCTCTGGGGTCCAGGTTGTCGTCGCCTTCGTCTTCGTTGTCGTTCTCGTCGTCGCGGTCGCGGTCGTCGCCCTGGCAGTACTGGTGATGCTCCTGCTCGTCGGTGCCGCTGAGCTCTCGTACCCACTGGCACTGGTCGAGCCCGTCGAGGTCGACCCCGATGCCTCAGCTGCGGCTGGACCGCCGTAGTAGCTGAGCATTCGAATCGAGCTTCAATTACCCGACGCGCAAATGGCGGCCTGGCCCGGTCGTTGACTCGAAATTGATGATGTAGAGGGCACCAGACCAAGAGAGGAGACACAGCGTCGGGGGACGGACGGGGGAGCGGATCGAATGCGCTCCGCTGCGCTCGGGGTGTGTCCAAGGTGGTCGCGCAAATATATGATGTAGAAGTAAGGGAGGGGAAAGAACGACTGCCGGCAGCTGATCGGGGCGTCAGTGCGCAAGCATCAACGACCGTGATGAAGGGGATTAGATTAGACTGGGCAGCAGGAGACGACGGACTAGCACAGGGCGACCGTCCGGATCTCGCGGACGGCTCGAGGCGCGCCGACTCGCGCCGAAGGCTGTCCAAGGTGTTTGAGGGTTCCTGTATTACCACCCAAAATGAGGGCCCTGAGCGATCGATGCGAGGGAAGTTGTGATACCGAGAAAGAGGTACCGGGGTAAAAACGTCTCTTGAGGAAGAAGGATAGAAGTGAGCAAAGTGAAGAAGGGTAGAGAGATTTGAAGAAAAGGAAAGGACACCAACCCCCCTCTCTCCGCCCCAAAGCGCTCCAACATGGGAATGGAGGCTATCTAAATTCCAGCTAACCTCCGAAAAGGGGCCACTCTGTTGATGGCGCTCTCGACCTCGATCGAGCGAACAAGTAGCCGGATCGCTATTTGGGCCTACTTGTACCCTTTCACCCCCGGTCCACCACCCGTTATATTGAGTGGCCCCTCCTAGTATAACCAAGATTCCTAATTATGATTATTTACTAGAGATGTAGATATCCGCGGCCTCTCGCGCATCGAGCCTTGCTCGCGCGCGCTTTCATGACCTTTCTTCTTTCTCTCGAACTATCTTATCTATCATCTTCGGCTCTCATACTTACGTATCTCGTACCTGGGCCACAGAGTTCTAATAGGTCATAAGCCCAACGACCTACCAGCGGCAGACGTCAACAACGTGGCCGATGATGACGGGTACTGGCCACCCCTCCATCACCATCAACGCCGGGCCGTAACGACGACGCCTCACACATCGGTTCAATCGTACTCTCACGCGCTGAGTATGAGCTTCTGGTACAGAACCAACGAGTCCGCTACGAAGACGCTCCCACGCTTCGCCACCACTTGCCACCGAACGCCCCTGCTGCCTTCGACTGACTGGGACCTCAACATGTCCCTCACTGTCGCTCGTGAAGTCTGTGCGTACTTGCGCAAGGGGAACTTCACGGGCGACAGTGAGGGATATGTTGAGGTCTCAGTCAATGTAGTTGTGTTCCGTGAGTTTGCAGCCCTCGACGAAGGCAGCGACGTCTTTCAGGCGCTCAAGGACTGGCTGCTGAAGGTGGAAAACGCCATGGGTTGACGAGTGAAAACCCTTCGCTCGGACAACGGTGGTGAATACGTCTCTTCGTCCTTCAATGGCTTTCGCGTGGCGCGCGGCATCAAACGCGAGATGACCATTCCTCACACAACCGAGCAGAATGGTCGGGCCGAGCGACTCGATTCGTCGATTGTGGGAGGCACTCTGGCGCTCCTTCACCCTTCCGGTCTTCCGCGCCGTTGCTGGGATGAGGCTGCCATGTGCTGCATCCACACCAAGAATATCTCGCCTCACGCGGTTCTACGCGGTGACATCCGCAACCATCGCTGGTCAGGCTGAACCCGACCATGGCTCCCCTCAGAGTCTTCGAGTGTCAGGCCTGGCTCACCGTACCGGCTCACAGACGTGGCCAACATGATCCCAAAGGCGTTCCTCTGATCTTGGTCAGCTACGATCGACACGTGGAAGCTTATCGTCTCCTCGACCAGTCCTCGATGCAGATTCGCCTGGGTCGAGATGTGCTCAAGTACTAGACCGAGACGCCTAGGCTTCGTTGAATCTCCATATGCCACTTGTGAGACCCAGCTCAGATTCCGCAATCGACAGCCTAAGCAATTGTGTGCTTGGCTTGAGGGGTACGTTGAAATACTGATGGATCTGATCCACGATCAAGCTATCCAGCTTCCCTTCCATTGCCACTGGGCTCAGGCTCAATTCTCCGCGCACTGTGCTGATGACCGCTTATTCAATGTATCGTATCACTGCTGTCATTGGAAGCCGTATTTTATGGGAAATTCCTACGCAGATGGTCAGATTCCTGATGCTTTCATAGAGCTTACTCGACAGTCGTGACCAAGGGACTCGATGTGCGCAGAAACGTGAGTCCTTGAGCTACCCGCACTTCTCGTGGCCCGTGTGGCGTGTCAATTGCCATTGAAGCATCTGCCCTTGGCTTCTTTAACTTCCACAGAGCGTCTGTGTCCATCCCAACAGGCGCCCTCGTATCGATCAAAATGTTGCACTGGCATCGACGAGGTGTTCAGGAGTCTCATTCAGCAGATATTTTTTCGTCTTTTCGCTCCCGTCCGTTTGTGCCCCACACGCTTCTTGAAAGGTCTTCAAGAAGGCTCCTCGCCTAAACTCCTTTCAATTTCGTGCACAAGAGAGTCGAACAAATTCCAAACCGACGCTTGCCCCCGAGTGTTGCGCGCTTGCCAGGGCGTTGGCCGATTTTGATTCCCGCTGAATCTATTATTACTGCATCAACGAGTCCGCGATTTCGGCTTGGGCACGGTGTCGGGTTTCTGCGAATTTTCGTTGGCGACTAAAAGGATCGAGGGCTCGTTTTTTGGCGTCTGTCGTCGCGTACCGTATTCATGCAACGCCTGACTACTGCGGCCATGCCCTGTAAAGCTCGCCGCTGCTGTTCTTTGTCAAGTTGTCCCTGCGTTTGACATTCCGCTCATGGCCACGTCTTGTACATTTGTCAAGCCAAAGCGGTCCCAATGTTCTGTATCCGCCAACGGTCACTAGTCCTGTCGTCCCCCAGCACCCGTACAACCCATACATCCATCAGCCTGTCGCGTTTCATCATTCCCACCAACCGCACCTGTTCCCACCCCGCCCCAGGCGTTCCCGCCTCATCATTTCATGCCGCACTACCAACCCATGTCTCATTACCCGCCATACCATCCTGCCCTCAACCAAACATACTTTTCCGCTTCGTTCGCACTGATCCAGTCTACCCCCGAAGGCGCGCAAGAACGAACAGCGAGATCCCCGAAGTGACTTTGTGCTCGGCCGATCGTGGGTTGCTGCTGATCGGCAGTGAAGGCAAGTACGGGCTGCTGGTCTTCAGAATTGTGCAAGGGTCGGACAGCAGTGGCCGGCGGGTCGGTTGGGCAGCGGGTGGTCGACGTAGATGTAGAGGTTGGCGCAGAGGTGGCGTGAGGAGTAAGCGCAGCAGTTGGCAAGGAACCGTCCTGGCGAGGAATCACCAATGCACGAGCTTGAACTTGCGGAGGAGGCGCACCGACGGGGAACGGGTTTGCCGATGGAACCTCAGAAGTAGTCGCAGCAGCGGAAGACTGGCTTGCCGGAGGGTAGCCGTACGGTTAGGATCGTCGGGGTTGACATGGCGGGTGACGTGAGAGCGCCAGTCGAGGCTCTGATGGGGTGTTCAGAGTATCGCAAAGGACCCGTGGATGGCTGAACAGGGAACGGAGAAGCCATTCCGGGAGGCACGAAAGGGGACTGGATCGGTGCGAACGAAGCGGAAAAGTATGTGTGGTTGTGGGCAGGATGGGATGGCGGGTAATGAGGCGTGGGTTGGTGGTGCGGCATCGAATGATAAGGCGGGATCGGCTGGGGGCGGGGTTGAGAACAGGTGCGGTTGGTGGGAATAGTGAAACGCGAAAAACTGATTGACGTATGCGTTGTACGGGTGCTGGGGGACGACAGAACCGGTGACCCTTGGCGGATGCAGAACATTGGGACCGCTTTGGCCTGACAAATGTACAAGACGTGGCCATGAGCGGAATGTCGAACGCAGGGACAACTTCGCAAAGAACAGCAGCGGCGAGCTTACAAGGCATGGCCGACGATGACCCATTTGAAGGACCTTGCGAATTGACCGGCGGACCTGAGTCAGGCTGACTCATGATCGTGGAGGAGGCGGTCGGGACATGGGCGGGGAGACGTGGTGCAGGAGGTGATGATGCGAGAGCGGAACTTTGCTAGTTTTTTTCTTCTTCTCCGCCAGGTTTGCGAAGCATGGGGCGATCGACGGAGAATCGTTGCCGGCCGGTGTCGCAGGAAAGGAGCGGATGAATTAGCCCGCGCGGCTCTCCTAAACGAAATACGCCGGCGTGGGAGGGCGTGTGCACCGGGGTATGCGGGTGCGCGGGTGCGCGGGTGCACGTGGACCGTGGCTTCCTGAGTTGGCAGCAGGTGCAGCAATGTAATACCGCAAGTACGCACCAAAACAGTAGCATGTCTAGTAGCATGTCTAGGCTAGGTTAGACACCCTAGAGCGCGCAATCTCAGCAGTACTCATCGCTCGAGATGCATCGCAGCGTCATTGTGTATCTGGGGAAGAGCCACACGGTTGCTCGAGACATAGCACGATGAATGACCAGTAATGATTGAATGGGCGGGGTTATGGTTGTGACCTGCCACTCACAGTCTCATACGGATATTTGCAGCCTCTTGAACGAGTGGAAATCCGGGATGCTTGCGTCGGCAGCAGCAACGGCGTCGTACGAGCTCACTGAGCACCAGCACACCTGATGCTGGCGTCATAGCCGGCATACTTGTTGTGACGATCATTCTTGTGCCCAACTATGGTCGATGAGCCCGAAGTCGGACAGTCTCGCACAGCGTTATCGGAAGAGAATGGGGACGGTGAAGGCGAAGCACGGCCCGGCGGGCGTGCGTGTTCAAATCCGCGTGCGTGTTCAGCCGTTTCAGCCGCGCGCGTGTCATGATCAGCGAATCTCGCGCGTGTGTGTTCTAATCGAATTAGAAGAGTAGACTACGAGAGGAGAGGCAGCCCATATGTCTCTTCCCACGCCCGTTTGAATCACGTGCCTCGTCTGCAAGTAATCTTTTCCGCATCGACGGTGACTGATTGCGATCTGGTCCGTCAGCACGGGGATCTTACTTTTCAATGTGGTGTAAGCCCTCGTTTCGCTCTAGTACCCCTTGCAAATGGACTCGGCACCGACTGACATCAACTCCGGTGATCCCATGGGTCGCTTTCAAACGTAGGTCTGCGATATTGGGCCTTCCTGCCGCTGCTGCCGTTCCCGACGGCCTCACCACTATGGCAGCTCCTGTACCTCCTATCGATGATGGCTGCGAATAGAACCTGCGTCTACTGTACCGCCCTACTCGTTGCGCTGTGTGAGTCAAATGCTTGGCCCCCGTGCATGTCTCGGAAGGTCCGATTGACGGCGACGATGCTGAGCCTTTTACCGACCGCTCATCGGCTGACTCGAGTTTTCCTTGCTGTCTTACATGTGCCCCAGTCATGGCGAGTTGTTTTATCAATTTGGGAACGACCTATACGACGGCTGCGAACGGTCGATCGATGATTGAGCATTGCCGTTGCTGGCTCTCGACGAACGCCGGGGACGTGTTCAGTCCCCTCCCTTCCTTGATGTCCAACACGACCCTCCCGAACAACATGACGACCTGCATGACGAACGCAACCCAAGAACTCGTCGAATCTTCAACGTCGAATACATCCGTCACCCCCTCTTCCTCAGCCAGTGCGAACCTGTCGAGCATGCTGCTCCCCAAATCGAGCTTGGCGACGGCGTGGAGCCGCATGACTTGGCTCAAAAAGAGCTACGTGCTTCGTTTGGGCAAGACCGATGCATCGAGTGTCAGGATCGACTTTGGCCTGTGATGGCGAGTTTTGATATTGTCTTTCGTGTACCTATAATGAATGTCTTTGCTTGTTGTAGCCGTGCAATTCCGATTCAGGGCTCCCTTTGAACCACAAACCAGGTGGTTCCCAGCTGCAGAACCGAAAGATTATTCCATCTCCGGAAAGGCATGCATAAGTTCGACGAAAGGCGATCTAGCATATCACATATCAGATCGGCCCCCTGTTCGGAGGTCGTTTCGCCTTCCCTCTATGCCAACCCCCGACCACCTCCCCGTTCCAAAACGGTTCGGACCAACCCCCCTCCTCCTTCCCACCCACATCCCCCCTCCCCCTCGCCATCGCACTGACCAAACTCGGCCTCTCCCTTTCAGCCTGCTCCGCCTCCCTCGCCTGATGCCTCATCCTCGACCTTTCCCTCGCCTCCCACTTCTCATCCTCGACCCTTCTCCTCTTCTCCTCCACCTCCTTCAAATTCTCCTCCACGATGCGTTCCATCTTGTTCCATTCTTCGATCCTAGCCGCATCAAAGTACCTCGCCTTGTGTTCGATGAGGTAGGTCTCGTCGTCCATGATTTCGTCTACGAGGTTGACGCGTTCGACGGCGGTCAAACTCGCTGCGGTCGTTTTGAATTTGCCCGTTTGGACCCTCGCTTCGGCGCGTTCCCCATCGATGCGAACGGCTTCCCCGATTCGAGCGACGAGATCCCTCGTGCGGTGGTCCATCAGGACGCCCGATGAGCGCATCCTTTCCAACGTCTTGGCGACGAGCGCGATGTCCCCCTGCGAGCACAACCACTGCGTTTCCAAGACCTGGTTGAACAGATCGGCGCCACACCCTCGGACGAACGAGATGGGCGAGATGGTCGATACGCGGCGAAAGACTTGCAAGGCCGTGAAAGGGCTGTCGTATTCCTCGCGCAGGGTTTTGAAGACGAGCAAAACGAGATGGGCGTACAGAGGGGTCGAGCTGATCGAGTCGACGACTTGAGGTCCCCAGACGTTGTCCTCGCCCCATGCCCAGACCTCGTACTCGTTCGAGCACGTCGTCGCGAGTTGTTCCTTCATCTGGTCGAAGCGATCGTATTCTTGCATCGAGAGCGCTCCCAAGCCCGCGGATGAGGACGCGCCCGTTTCGAACGAGGATCGCGCTCGACGTTCCCACGAGGCGATCCTTTTCGCCGTCTTGCGATCGAGAGCATCCCGAACGGCTTGCAAACCGCCGCCTCTACGGCCAGTTCCCTCGGTCTTTGGGTCGGTGTTCTTGGGCAGAGCTCGATCGAGAAAAGCCGCAAAGGGTGAAGTCGACTTTGAGGAAGAAGACGATGGAGACGGAACCGGAACCGGTTGGGTCTTGTTCTTCGCGCTGGCGGCCGAGTTGGTGGCCGAAGTTGGCAAGAGCTGGGAGAGCAAGTCGGCAAAAGTGGCGGCTTCGGTCGAAGTGAGGGTCTGGCGTTGCGGTCTTCTGGACGTCGAGAGCTCGCTCGATCGGACTGGGAATCGGCTCAGTGGGGACGAGAAGAGCGAGGAAGAGGTCGACGGTGAGCTCGAGGTCGAGGGGGAAGCGTCCGAGGTGGACGGGGCGGTGGGTGTCGTGGACGAGGTCTCCGTGGTCGTCGTGGATGGCAGAGCGTCGGTCAACTTTGTAAAGACATAAGGCGAGTTTGATGAATGCTCTCCATCGTGATCATCCCTGGAGTACGTTGGAGCCAAGTGTCAGTTCCCGAGCGCGACGACGAGCGCGACGACGAGCTGCTTCGCACGGCGGTCGACTCACCTTTGGCAGCGAGGCAGCGAAGGATGGTACGCTGCTCGTTGCGAGGCGGAGACGCAGAGCGAGCATCGCGTGTGCTGTAGTGTCGACCTTGATCGCGCCAACATCTGCTGCACTTGCCCCGCGTGGTCGTGTGGGCGGGACGGAGCGGAGCGCGCTCACCCGTCGGCTGCGATGTTACTGCTGGTTACTGCTGCGATCGCCATCAACGACCGTCAACGACCGCCACACTGCACAGCTCAGCTCCCGCGCTCGCTGGTTCACTCTGGTCTCCTCTCTTGCACCTTCCCACGACGCACTCGCACCATGGCCACCCCCACAAACGAACCCGCGTCCACAATTGCTCCTCCCCCCGCCGCTCAAGACCCGACCAAGCTCAACTTTGACGAACTCGGCGATGCGAACCGTCGCGCTCAGATCGATGTACGTCACCAAGTTCTGACCTCGGCCTCCGCAAGCCGCCTTAGGACCCGCTGACGAGTGCGTACTACTTGAACCGACCACAAGGGAATCGCTTCCGGTGCAGCGGCCGCTTTCTTGGCGGGCCAAATCTCGACCCGTTTGCTCAAGCAGGGAAGGAATGCCGGTCTGTTGAGTGGACTGATGTCAGTTCGATCGGTCACCCCCACTTGAGCACAAAGTCGAAGCTTCGATCGGCTACCGTCGCTCCGAACACTTTGTCTGACCATGCTTTGAACTGTAAAAACATTCTACCTATATAGTGCTGGAGTAGGCGTAGGGTATGTCGACATTTCCCCCGCCGCATAGGCAATGCAGTGGCAACTCAACCCTCCTCCTCGTCCCCTTCTCATTCCAGCTACCTCATGACCGGCCACTCCCTCTCCATCTACCTCCACCAAGCCCAACAATCCCGTCTCGCGCTCCGAGCCCGTCTAGCCGAATCCTCCTCCTCAGGATCCCCAGCCGACGGGACCTCGCCCGAACAAGCGTGGGATTTGAATCGTCACGAGGGAGGCGTCGGAGGAATGGAGGTCATGACGGACAAGTATAGGTCCACGAGTGGGGACCACTAGGACCTGCGACGCGTTCGAGGGTGAACTCTTTTCAAGTGTTGGGTTCGTTCGACTTTTGCAGGAATTGCTTTGGTGTCGTATCATATCGAATCGGACCTCCCCATCTCACATTATTGCCGCCCGTCACGAGTCCGACGAAAGAATTTTCGCTCTGAACTGGAGGGCTGCTCTCCAGAAAGCACTCTTACACTCGTTACAACACAGACACAAAAAGGTTCTTCTCCCCTACGTGCCATCCAACGCCGCTTCCCTCTTCAAGACCTCGGGAGCGAGCTTGATCAGAATCACCGTCTTTCTCGGATGCGCCAACGTCGGCACCGAATGAGCGGTTACTCTTGACGGCTATTATGACGAATCCAGTTTACACCTCAGCACAAACCCCCCTTCGTTCATCGCCGCTCCTAACAGCAAAAGAAAAAGAAACTCACGAATCCGGCGCCATCCAAAACGGCTTCGATGATCCCGGCGACCAACGCCGCGCAACTCAATTCGCTCATCTCCTTGGGCACCTCGATGTTCCTCGTCAGCACCATATCGTTGTCCCCGATCATGTATTCGTCGCTGTTCTCCGTCGAGCGTTCCAATGAATCGGCGGGTCGGTTGAATAGGTATCGATAGACGATCGAGTGCACGTAGGTTAGGATCGGGAGCAGTCGGAGCGTTCGGGTCGGAGGGGGTGGCGAACGCGAGGAGAGGGGGTGCAGATGATCGCGTAGAGGTAGGAGCTCGAGGAGTCGTACGCCGATCCGGTAACCTAAGATATTCAGTCTGTAGAATAGAGTTCGACTTGAACGTAAGTTTTTTTGGGTGTCCCAACTCCATTAACCATAGGATGGGCGACTCGCCTCTTTTCAAACTCGCCAATACCGCTAACCCGCTTCTGGGTGTACTGCACGATCTCGGCCAACAGATAACTCCAAGCGCCAAGGCTGATCTCGCTGCCTCGAGTCTTGGTAATAGGTCGATCGTAGATGAGCGTCATGCGTCGCGTCGTCGTAATGGGACTGCCATTGGATCCGTAAGCTCCTACGATTGAACTGGTTCCATTGACGTTCGAAGAGGACGAACTACCCAGACCTGGGACGGAGGGGAGCGAAGGAAGACCGATCGCAAAGGAGGATAGACCACCACTACTTGGGGTGCCCGACAGGGAGGTGACGCGTGATGAGCCGCCGTGGTTGTTACTCGTTGAACCACCACCGGGAACGACGCCCCCACCTCCGGCCGTCGCGGTTGAAGACGAGCTGATCGTCGTCAGACTTGACGTCGAAGAGGGCGATAGCAACGACGAGAAGCGTGAGGCCGATGTGAGCGAGTCACGGATCGACGACGATGCCGATGAATCCCGTTTCGAAGCCATGTTCGTCGTGGGGTCGTGCCAACTCGCTCAGCTCGAGATCACACCGGTAAGAGTGAGAGAGCACGACCGAGAGCGGAGGCCCCAAGTCCCCCAGCGAGCCTTTCAACCAGGTCTAACCAGGTGAAACATGGGGAATGTATGGGTATTATATGTCGTCAAGGGGCTCGTTTGCAAGATGTAAGGGAAGGAAAAACTGTCTTCAAAAACAAAGAAAGAATGAGAAGCGAATGAGAATGCAGAGAATCTAAACCAATTGATGGGGGGGTCGAAAGTCCAGCCCGGAATGGAAGGACGACGTTGCGGAGATCCTGTCTACTGGTGACACTGAGCGAAGGCGCGGGATACGCAATCCAGAAAAAGGGAGAAGCAAAAAGAAGATGTCCATGTGATGGTCTTTGACGCGGGCAAGACCGATACGACACGATTTGCCGCGAACCGAGCGGAGTCTTTACGCAACGATCACTGCGAAAGGAACATAAGAGATCGTCAACCAGAATGATCAAAGATGCTCCTGTCGTGTAGGTCAACTTACCAGATCTTGGTACTCGTTCGGCGACGAACGCATCAGCTGACGGACGGGAGGATATCAGCCCACGTGATCTCACACCTGTAGAGCCCATGACGAGCCCAGTACTCACCACGGAGCAAATAGCAGGAATCATGACGATGCTGGATGCCAGTGTGAACCAGATGGTGTTGCCCTGGATGAAAGCGACAGCAGGGAGAGGACAGGGTCAATTAGAGAATTCTGCACGCATGGAAAAGCATCCTGCCGACTGACCAATCCGGCGCTGACACCACCCCCGATCGCGTTCAATCGATTCCTCCCCGACATCGAGACGGAGAGGGTGATGAAGAAGGTGATGACAGCCAGAACGAACGTTATGAGCGCGAGCAGGATCGGGAGGATACCCGATTTCTGGAAAGCAAACAGTCGCGACTGGGGCGAGCCGAGGTAGGAAGGCGGGCAGGCGAGCGAAGCAACAGTCGAGACAACCGAGATGGCAGCTGTTCAATTGTCAATACGGTGCGCGGGAAGGCGTGAGTGGCGGACATTTGGGTGAGACGGTGCGAAGAGGAGGTCAGCGGTGGGGCAGGCGGCACTCACTGACGACTTGAAGCCACATCAAGCTGGTCTGGCCCGAGGTCAAGACGGTGATGCCTCCGTTGCCAGCCAATCCGAGCAAGACGTTCTCATCGATGGGAGTGGGGGTCGAGACGTTGGGGTTTTGCAAGAAAGTCGGCTGAGAGGGAACGTGGTGGAGAGCAGTTTTCAGCCGCCGAAATTCTGACGGCTTGGTCAGATGCGCGGCCGAGCACTGACCCAGTTGTTGACGCCCGAGGAGTTGGTGACAAAGTTGAGACTGTAGCCTGATTTCTTGGATGTGCACTGCGGAGCGAGGGTCACGAGCCAGACAGTTTCCAGGGTCAATCTCGGGCATGCGGCGGTTTCGGTCGGGGCGCGGTGCTCAACTAACCCATTCGATAGGACCGACGATTCCAGTCGAGTTCTGTAGTAGTAGAACACGCGCCACCGTGTCAGCCCTCGTCCTTTTGACAGGTCGTCCGATGCCCACGTGGGGCAAAACGGTCGGTGTGACGACGAGGTCCGGATTGACTGACCCTCAGCTTTGTGCATATACCCCAAGCTCCGGCCTTCATGGTGACGTTCTGGGTATCGCATTTGAGGATGAAAAAGTTTTGCCTGCGGTTGATGATGAGCCGAGCACGTCAGCGGTGGACGCTCGGCACAGATGACGGGAGTTCGTGGCTCGGTGGGACGCGGCCCGGCGCGGACGTCGTCGGGTGTTGGGTGTGGCGGCGCGCCGAGTGTTTGCCCGCCGCAGCCCGATGCGAACCAGGCGACGATCCGACGACCCGACGATCCGACGACCCGACGATCCGACGATGCGATGTGAGATGATGAACGCACCAGAACGGCTCGGAGAAGCAGATGACCGAGAGCAGACCTGTACGGTGAGTTCGACGCCAAAAGAGTCAGCCGACGTGCGTGGAGCTGCAGCCGCACGGGGACGCGGTGTTCCCGCCGCTTGGGGCTGGGTGGTCGCGGTGGTCGCGGTGGTCGCTGTGGTCGCGGTGTCGAGCGACGTACCGGCTGCGAGCGCGATCGGACCCGCGAACGAGGGCACACGGGGCGAGTTGTTGAGGCGTAGAGAGACCCTGTGCAAGTCGGAGCATCGATCAGTGGTCTGCGATGAGCAACTGAGCGGCGTCAAGTGGCGGCGTACATGGTCGTCGTGCGCTAGGGCGATCAGTCGCGGGGGTCGGAGATGAGGAGATGAACTTGGCACGGCCGAGCTGGTGGGCGCTGGTGGGCGATGGATGTTGCGCGACACACTTCAATCGGACGGTGGCGAGTGGCTCTGTAGGCGGATATGTGCGGCGACTGGGACTCCTGAGTGTGGGCCGAGAGTGCTAGAGTGGTGACTTTGGCGAGACTATGGGGTGTGTGGGTAGGCGCTATCGGAGGTGCCACCGCGGCGGCTATGCAACTCGAGTGCGAAGTCGCCTCATCACGTCCCCCCACTCGCACGGACCTCTCGAACGCCTGGGCGCGCCGAGCCCAGATCTGGAATGCTCTTTGTAGAAAGCTGGTAGGAACCGAGTTTTGTTCTGGATTCTAGTGAACCGCTCAGACTGAATACCGTTCAATATTGAACCAACCCACCGACAAGTTGTTCCCACCAGTCTGACATTTACCCGATTTACGCTGATTGACTTCGCGTTGGCCTGAATTGCATGCGACGCGCCGAGCTCAACGTTGAACGTTGAACGTTGAGCGATCTCAACCTGCCAGCTGCCTCCGAGTGCCGCTCCAGTTTAGGATCGGCTTCCGCCTCACTTCTCCCCAACCCAGCGCGGCCAGTTCAATGCTTCGGTGATGGACACATATCTTACCAAGAGCAAAGCCTCTTTGGCCGTGAACGAGTCGAGGTATGTGCCAACCGCATTGATCGCCCCTCCGCCGCTTTCCGATCTGGGACTGGACTCGAGCACGACCCGGAGCCATGATCTTCCCCCACAGCTCCAACGCACCTCGAAAAAAACGTCCCAAGCAGCGACATCTCGAAGGAAGACCGACCGTAGCTTCCAATGCGGCAGCTCAAGCTACAACCTCGACCTCGACCGCGAAGGCTGGCAGCATCCAGTCGAACGCTTTGCTCGCGGGCGGGATCAAGGCCACCAATGCGCCGCTGTTGAAACAACTCGGTACCGACGAATCCGCCATCACCAATTCGACGGCGTACAGTCGCACGTTGCATGTTCAGGTGCGATGGCGTAGCAGTTTGACTTCTCTTGAATGGAATCTGACGTGTTCTGCTCGCCCAAACAGAGTGTCGCCTCGGGGCATCAATCCGGTGGTGGTGGGCCAGGGGGGACCACGAAATGGATGGTCCACCGCAATACCAAACTCAAGAACCAGGCACCGGATGCAGAGAGCGATCTCTTCAAGGGCCTTGTATTTTATATCAATGGCCTGACGGGTCAGTTCATGCTACTGTGGCTTCCTTGACTCCACCTCCTGATCCCAGCTTCTGAAAATTGTACGACGCCTTGGACTGGACAGGCAAAAGCATCACGAACCAACAACTCAAGAGGCTCATACACGAGAATGGAGGAACGATGAAGTACGAGTGTTCTCAATCTTGCTTCCCTCGCTGGTTCTCACTAATCAAATTCCACACCCGAACCACACCAACAGACTCATCGAATCCGCCGCTGTGACCCACGCCTTCGTCTCGAACCTCTCCGGATCCAAACTCCAACGCGTATTGACCAAGAAATGCAACAAAATCAAATACGTCACCGTTCAATGGGCGATCGAATCCGTGCGCTGTGGGAAGAGGTTGAGGGAAGCGGATTTCGCGGCTCCTATTTTTGCTGAGGTGAGGAGGTCTTCGCCTAGATCCCGAAAGCTCTAGGGAAGCTCGCTGAATGAGGCAGTGATGATCATAGACGCAAAGCTCGGTAATGGATCACTACGCGAATGAAGACAGTCGAACGATCATCCTCGACGACGATGGGGAGATCGATCTCAAACGATCAAAGGAGACGAGGAAGAGCATTCCGCGGCGCAGCTTGAACCATCCCTCTGCGTTCGAGACATGTCATGATCTCCCTCCTCCATCGGCCGCACCCACGGAGGCTTTGCCGAGGCTACCCCCTCCAAAAGGACTGATCAAGGAGGAGGATAGGGACAAGGTAGAGACGGTCGTGCTGTCGTCTTCGTCGCTTTTGGTTATTGAGGACGTGCAGCCGGGGAGATTGGATCTAGGCGAAAAGTCGGAGGAAGAAGAGGAGGATGACCTGGACGAGTGGGGGATGCCTCCTTCGGCTCAGAAGTGTCGACGGTAGGACTTGGCATATTCTTTACGGACTATCTGCGCTGCAATGAGAGTTAGCCAGCACTTATTTGTTGTTTGTAACATATTAACTCATACGCTGATGGGGTTACTTTGCAAGAGGCAGAACTCGGCGCACATCATCGTTAAAGTAAACTGTATAATTTCTGTGCATTTCGAAGCAAAAACGTCACTGCATGGTGGGATGTACATGGTCGAATCTTTCACCGAGGCAACGCAGGGCGGCGACGATCCTGCAAGTTTGACGCCTGCATCATCTTCGCTCTGTACATCCTACTCTCCTTCAACGCCTTCTCCAACTCGACATCCTTGAACTCAACCTCGCGTTTGAGCAAAGCGTTCTCCAACTTGAGCGCTCGGTTTTCGTCCTGCAATCGGTCGTTGATGTCGAGACTCGTCAAATCGAGCGTGTCGATGCCCAAGCCTAGCCATTCTTTCGATCGGGTGCGCGAGGGGAACAGGTAAGGCTCTTCGGGTTGGAAAGTTGATTGGCGATTTTGAGAGTCAACCCAGTTGTAAGAAGATGCCTTGGGAGTCGGAGGAATACCGATGATCGCAGGACTGAACGCGGAAGGGGCGGAGTGCGAGCCTGCGCTCGACGCCGTGCCGTTGGCTCGGATCGAACGGCCGACTGGGGCAAATGGGATCCTCGGCGTCAATGGCGGGACGCACGAAGGTGGCGTCAAAGTCGTCCGCGGATCGCGTGGGGAACGAGCGGACGGTGAACCGCGAAGGATCGCGGCGTTGCTCGAATGAGCCAAAGACAGGGGCGTCGGTTGACGCACAGGATTGGCCGCATCGAGTCGTGGGCTGAGAGATGGCGACATTTCCGTCTCGTCCCCACGTGAGGTCGCACTCATCGCGGTAGCTTTGAGATCGGGAGAGCTCGAACTTCTCTGGGAATTACTGCCCGAGAACAGGGACGACAATCGACGAGTACCGCTTCCCAGGAGCCAGCTGCGCTTGCGAGGAAGCGATCCCTTTCCCAGAGCACTGGTGTGGGTGGGGTCGGCACTAGCCGAGTGGTTCCAGCCCTCAGGAGACAGAAGCGGCGATGCTGTGACCACCGTGGTCGGTGACTCGGGGGGTGCTTTGCCAGCCATCGCGCGACCGAGGGATGAGTAGCGAAGCGAGCGCTGAAAGACCCCAGGTCGAAGCGGGGTGTCGGATCCAGATTGGGTGGCACTTGCCGATGACGAAGCTTGCAAACTGGAATGGCCCGAAGTGCGATAAGACGAACTGGGATGTCGGGGGGACCGATCGATGGAACTTCGCAACCCCAAACTGAATCGACGAGCGAGAAGCGAGATCGACCGCTTCTTCAGTACCGACCGCGCCGTTTTCGAGGAGGGGAGGTCTCCGGCGTCGCCGATTAGGGAGTATTCATGGTTTGTTGAGTAGCTACGCAGGCTGGTACCCTGTCGGAAAGACTCTGGTGGGGACCCAGACGACGAATCGTGCATGCTGACCACATGTCGTAATCTCTTAGACGACGCCGGAGTCGATCTGCCGAGGCTGCCAGGGGCCGAAGGGGATCGACGAAGACTCGAGAATGTGGTGGAGGTAGTCGAAAGAGATAATATTGATTCGCGACCACGTTCTTGAAGATCGCGCTTCATGTTGAGTAGGGACAGGTAGATGTATCGCGCGCGGTTCGGAACGCTGCGCATCAGAAAGATCGAATGAGCTATCGCCGCGGTTTGATCAGTCCAGAGTCGAGAAGAGAGTCACGTTAGATCAAGTATAGCTTTTTCCACTGCCTGCATTGTGGGTAGACGAAGAAGGGATATCATGCTGCCCATCACTTCGACGTTGAGCTCGGCGCGACTAGGCGCGAACTGGGTGTCTTGCAAGTCCTTTGAGAGCAGCGACTGATCAACGAAGGGATGGCGTTGTATCTCTTCCACCTATAAACCGTCTGAGTTAATCATAACAATCTCCCAACCCAACCAAAAGACGTTGTGGCTCTTTGAAAGCTAGATTACTGGTGCTCACCGAGATTCGCCTGCTGGTATCCTTCATGACCATGTGGCGGACCAGGTCCCGTGCTTCTCCCTGGATCGAATCGTGCATCTTGTAATCACCCAATTTGATCAGGTTCAACAAAGTGGGAATGTTGTCGTTGTCGAAGGGAAGCGTGCGGGCGCTGAAGTGGTTGCGGTCCGGTCAGTCCTGACGATCGACTGCGGAAGAGCATTGGTGACCTACATCAGCCCGTACAACACCACCCCGCTCGACCATACATCAGCGGCACTTCCATCATATTGGTCGCCCTGAGAGGTCAAGACGTTTGGATCAGTTTTGGGACGACCTATGTGACGCAGTCAATACGCGTCGCATGCACCGCAATGACTTCGGGAGCGGCGTAGTGAGGAGAACCGCAAGACGTTTCGAGCATTGTACCCGACGGGACAAATGTCGACATCCCCAGATCCCCCAGCTTGAGACTCGTCACGCCCCACTTGTCCTCGAACAGAAACAAGTTCTCAAGCTAAAAGGGCAGACAATGGCCGGGTGTATTAGCTCCTGTTGTGGAAAGCTTTGGACTGTGCAGCAGCCTCACCTTGATGTCGCGATGGGCGATGGATAGGATCTTGAGGTGAGAAAGCTGAAGAATCCGGCGATGGTTAGTCCAGTATTCGTTTCAATCTAGAAGACAGATAAGCACTCACTGCCGAGATGAGCTGCGAGAAGTATCGTCGGATCTCGGTCCGGTCGAGCACCCCGTTGTCTCGCATATGGTCAAACAGCGAGCCACATTCGCAGTAGTCAGTCACCATATATCTGAGGAGCAAGAAGAACGAAAATGCATCAATTGGATCGGGCAGCACGTAGACGCTTGACGCGGCGGTAGCTGTACGGCCGACGGCCTCAGCTGCGCCGAGACGGACCCGAGACTCACAGATGATTCGCGGACTCCATGACATCCTTCAACGCGATGATGTGCGGATGGTGCACAATCCTGAGGATCTCGATCTCGCGAAAGATGTCGCGAGGTTTCTGATCGTCCGGCCAGAATTTGCGCACCATCTTCAGCGCACCGAGTTCGTCCGAGCGGAATCGATGACGGACTAGGCGCACTTTGCCACTTTCCCCGCTGCCGATCGCGGGACCGACGATCCATTGGCCCAACTCGAGGTGGTCTTGGTCTTCTGGGACGGTGGGTGGACGGGAATAAGCTCCAAGTTGACTCGACCTCATCGACGTCGCATCGGACTCTGCGCCGACACGTGGGGAAGGCACGGGGGCCACGTTCGTGCTTTGTGCCAAGTCGGAGCCGGACGTGTTGCTCGCGCGAGAGCAAGTCGTCGGGACCCGTTGCTGCTGGGTCGGATGCGAGAAGTTGATCATGGGGGAGAGCGATGCGTCGAGGAAAGCAGCAGCTGTTTCACTGTCGAGGGAGTAGTCGCAGACGCCGTCGTCGGGGAATGACCAAGCCCCCTCCTCGGCTTTGCTTGCCATCGGGAGCCTGGCGAGCGATAGGCAGCGAGGGGACGAAAGAAAAAAGACCGAAGCGAGAAACGGTCGGGAGCCGACTCGAGGCCGAGGGAGCTTCCGGAAAGGGGGTCCGTGCTCGGCCGATCGAGAGCAAATATACATGTCGCTATCATCTCGTGGTGGGATCGCTGCACCTCTTTAGGGAAACGCTGATAATATTACATGTTCCGATCTAAGGACGTACCCTAACCCCAAGTCTAGCACGACTTCGCAGCCTCAGCCTTGGCCTTAGCCTTTATCATATTCAACGCCGACCCCGCGGCGATCCATTCAACTTGATCCTTGGACAGCGAGTGATCGGTCCTGATCTCCTTCTTCTCCCCATTCTTATTCTCGACGATGACCTTGATCTCGGCCGAGAGATCACCTCGCAACAGAGCGTCTAAGCCAGTCGTCGAAACCTTGTCGCCGGCCGAGATGAGCGCGTAGTCGGCCTCGTCAAGGAAGGTCAAGGGCAAGACACCTTGCTTGGTGAGATTTGTTCGGTGGATACGGGCGAAAGAGCGTCTATGGTAATATCCAAGTAGATGTCAGCTGTTGCTCCGTCCGGAGCAACTTGTGACGGATCAACTTACGCCAAGATGACTTTGCAGTTGAGGAAGCGTGGTTGCAGACTCGCGTGTTCTCGTGCCGAACCTTCGCCGTAGTTGTGCTGAGCAAAACCAATCCTTGTCAGCTTCGTGCTTAAGCAGGCTGAAATTGCATCCGTGGACTCACATCGGTGACGATCATCCAGGGTTGCGATCGCGCCTTGTACCTTTTGGCGATCTCGGGGAAGGTGCCCTCGGACCCGTCCTCGTAGTCGAAAGCCGAGTTAATCTTGCCGTTCTCATCGTTCGTAGCACCGATTAAAGTGTTCTCACTGTGAAGCAAGCACATGTTCAGGACATATCGGAGTGGGTAGGTATGATAAGACGTGTAAACTCACCTCAAATTGGACAAGTGGCCCTTATATTTTAGCCATGCACCAGCAGCCGAGATTTCATCTGTCGTGCACTTGCCACGAATCCTCATCAAACACCTCAGATCCCTGAACTCGAGCTTCTTGGACGGGTCATTGAACTCGGATTGCGAAAAGTGAGGGTGGAAAGGCGCGAGCAATTCAAGTCGGGTCGAGCTGGACGAAATTGCCAGTTCGGTTTCGGGCACGGGTTCGGGCAACGGGCTAGGGAGGTAAGAGGTGTTACCGGCCGTGAAGCCGGAGGAAGGAAGCTTGTCGCCTGTCGGAGGGTCGAACTTGAAGGGCTTGCCCTCGGAGTCAATCAGCTCGTCGTGGCGGGGATCGAACGAAAGCTTGCCGGAGAAAGCCATGGCGGTGACGATGTCGGGCGAAGTGAGGAAGTTCATCGTGTCGCGGTTGCCGTCGTTACGAGCACGGAAGTTGCGGTTGAAGGAGGTCAGGATCGCGTTCTCCTCGCCCTTCATCTCCTTGCGGTCCCATTGGCCGATGCAGGGGCCACATGCGTTGGCCAGTACGACACCGCCGACGGCCTCAAGGTCGGCCTTGATGCCGTCGCGCTCGATCGTCGCGTTGATGAGCTCGGAGCTGTGCAAGTAAGAATTGTCCGTTAGTGGTTTTCACCAGGATATGCTGAGGGTTCATGATGCGACATCTCACCCAGGGGTGATCATGAAAGGAGTCTTCATTTTCAAGCCCTTGGCTTTGGCCTGCCTAGCAATGCTCGCAACACGTGACATGTCCTCGTAACTCGAGTTGGTGCACGACCCAATCAAGCTCGCCGAGATCTCGTCCTTCCATCCCTTCTCCTGGATAAAGGAGCCAAACTTGCTCAGAGGGGTCGAGAGATCGGGGGTGTTGGGGCCGTTGAGTTTGGGCTCAAGCGTCGACAGGTCAATGACGATGTGTTGGTCGTATTGAGCGCCCTTGTCGGCGGACAAGAAGCCTTGGGCTTGGGCTTTGTCGGCCGCATCGGCGACGGGGCCTCGGTTCGTGGCATGGAGGTAGGAGCGCATCGCGGCGGTGTAAGGGAAAGTTGAGGTCGTGGCACCCATCTCGGCGCCCATGTTGGCAATCGTGGCCAGACCTGTCGCGGACTGGCTCTCTACACCTTCACCAAAGTACTCGATGATGTGACCCGTTCCCCCTCGGACGGTCAAACGACCAACGACTTCAAGAATGACATCCTTGGCCGAGCACCATCCCGAGAGCTGCCCCTTGAGCTCGACACCGATGATCTTGGGAGCCTTGAGCTCCCACGGCGTATAGGTCATGGCATCGACAGCATCTGCTCCTCCCACACCGATCGCGATGGCTCCGAGACCTCCAGCGTTGGGCGTATGCGAGTCAGTTCCGAGCATCAAGAGACCGGGGGCGGAGTAGTCTGTCAGGTTCTCAAGTGATTCTCAGTGAGCACTTGGGAAGAGAACGGGTGTAATCTCTCTCTCTACTCACTCTCCAACACGATTTGATGAATGATGCCCGATCCGGGTCCCCAGAACTCGATTCCGTACTTTTTGGCTGCGGATTCGAGAAAGTCAAAGACTTCTTTGTTGCTAACGATGGCTTTCTGTGGATTCGCGGGCAGACATTCCTTGCTCAGTGTCTATACGCATCTGCACCATCATTCCTTGTCTGCTCCTCACCTTGAGATCCGCTTCGGCGCCTTGGTAGGCCGAGATGAGATGATCGCAGTGGATCGAGGTCGGCACGGCGGTTGTCGGTCGGTCGCAGGTCGAGAACTGGAGCAGTGCCATCTGAGCCGAGGCGTCTGTTGCATTAATGATCTTCATGCTTCAGCACTCTGTACCTTGCACCAGCTGTCCTGTCAAGCCCCGATGCCCCAAGAGGACACTGGTGACTGACCTTGCATCGCAACTCGGTCCGGCCTGAGCTTGAGGTACTTTTCGCCTCGAACCGGATCCCCACCCGCAAGTGCCTCCTCGACATTGTCCAAATGAGAATAAACAATCTTCTCGGCCAAGGTCAAGGGTCGGTCGTTGAGCACCTTGTTGGTGAGCGCGAGTTGCTTGAGCAGATGCGCGTACGGCGGCGTGATGGAGGGGTAGTTCTTGGCCGGCGCAGAAGCGTGGGTCGCCAATGTACGGCGAACAGCGTGACTCCGAGGAAGGGAGCGGGTCAGGACCGACATCTTTAATGGGAGGCTGGTGACGAAAACGTCGAGGCTGGAGCGTGAGGTCAAGCTAGTAGCAGGAGCAGGAGGCGTCCCAAGAGTCGCGCCCCGGGAGAGATCGCGACTGCGACACGACATTTTCGATCGACGACAGTCCAAGCGGACGGAGCACTTGCTCCGACGAATCACAACCCGGCGAATTCAGATCCATAGCCTCTGGATGCACCTCCTGCAGAGTAAAAGTACCAGGAGGTCCTTAAAGCTTGAAAACTAGTCTTGAAGTCACAGGCTTGGCGGATTGGCTGTCGGATGCAGAAAATTTTTGCGGTGGGCCGGGGGTCGAAGACATCGAAGGCCTGTTCGATCGCCTGGTCTTGGCACGTGACCGCGTGACCTGGGAAGCCCGAATTTGGCGTGGAATGCACCTCGAGGCGCTCCGCCCTCTTAGTCGACCCTGTTCCTCTCACTCGCGTCTGACTCCGGGGTCAGCCGGTACCCCTACCTCACTTTCCAACGAGTACATATCATCTAGCCTCCAAGCACAAAACATGGCGACCAAGCCATCGCAACCGTTGTCACAAGAAGCAGCCTTGGAGCGCTTTAGCTCGTCGTCGTTCTTCATCCTCACCGGCTTGACACCAGGCAGCGAGTTTGGCATCGATGGCAAGATATGGCAGGTCAATCAGTTCTCAGTGAGTCCGGCTTTATCTCATTTCTTGAGCCACAAATATGCCGGATCACCGTCGGTGAAGGAACAGGAGCTCACTCTATGACGCCCCACTTTAAACTTCATTTTCACAGGGTGTCAAATTCCTCCCACCAGGACTTCACTTCTTCGCGTTCTCTTCAGCTCCTTCAGCTCCTTCATTACCTACACCCGACACCGATCCCAACTCAACTCACGCCATGCCCTCCGGAGATCCGACCAACGGCCTTGGCCTTCGTTCAGGTCTGCTGAGGTTTTATCATCCGGACCGAACGCCCGAAACGATTGTCAAGGAATGGGATCACCGAGCGAGCGCACTCAAGCCCACCTCGACCACTGTTTCCCATCCTGTACGACGGCGAACGATCACCTCAGCCGGTGCACCGCCGAGTCCGACGATCGTTTCGGACGAGTACCTGAAAACTCTGGATCGGGAATTGGCGCCTTTCGAGGATGGGTGGCTCGAGCAATGGTCCAGATTGATCGATTGCATCACAGAACAGACGCTGGCAAGGGTTATTGGGCTCGATGAGCAAGGCTGTGCGATCGTCGATGCGACTACGCCTTCGAATATGGACGAGAAGGAATTGCACGCCGCCGAAGCGAAGCTTGGGAAACGACAGTGGGGAAAGCAGAGGCAAGAGACCGAGCAAGACGTCGCAACGACCGAATCACAAGATGGCGAAGAGAGGTTGATGTTTGTCGAGTTTGACCTCAAAAAGAGCTGGCCCGAGGGTGCTCAAGGTCACGAGCTGAGCATCTGGAGTCGCGACAAGAGCTGGGCGATGAACGAGGCCGTACAGAAGCACCTAGAAGGAGGTGGGGCCTTCATCATTCGATTGGACATTCCAATACAAGTCATTTACTAATGAGATCACACCTCAACAACCATAGACTTCAAATCCCTGCTTGGCGAAGTACAACTCAGCTTCATCCTCTTTACGCAACTGCACAACTTTTCCTCCTTGCCCATCTACACCTCCCTTCTCCAACTCATCAGTCAATCCTCCTCCATATACTCCCCCGACCACGCTTCTTCTTCCTCTTCTCTCCCGATGCTAGCATCCTACCTCTCGATCCTGCGCCATCAACTCCTCTCCCTCGACGATGACTTCTTCTCCCTCCACCTCCCCTCCCTCTCAACAACACTGACCAAATCTTTGCACGTTCTCCAAAAGAACCTCTCAGACGTTTCGCAAACATGGTTACGAGAGATGGGGACGAACGCTTTCGTCGTTTGGCAAGAGGTCGTCAATAGATGGGATCGGTTGACCGCGGATGTGATGGAACGTTTTGGATGGGAGGTCGCGGCTATCCGAGGGAGCAAACTGATGGGAAAGAACTTGGTCGAAGAAAGCGTTGGTCGCGTTCCGAGAGGGATGGAAAACGCCCAGCTCGGGTGGGACGATGATGACGAGTTGGAAGAAGGAGAAGATGTACCCATCGTTGTGGAGTTGGATGAATATGATACACTCTGATATCGCAATGCTACGTAGAAGCTTCCGGCATGCTAGCTGTTATGTCCGATTCTTCAAATCTCTACCGTTTTGCCTTCCCCTCGGAGTCGTTCTGTGAGGATGCATAGTCGCATTCCGTCAGTCAAAGAACAAGATCTTAGCCGTTGATGGACTGGTCGGTGTGCTCTACTCACGTTCAAATTTGGCAAACTCGTCGATCGCGACTTCCTCCTCTGGCCCGAGAACCTGCAGGACCTCCTTGACCTCTGCGTGGGCGGCCCAAGAGAAGCACGTTTAGTAGAGAGTCAAAGATGATATGAGTTGTCGAATCCAAAACTGACCTGGTACGTAATGCATCAACATCCTCTCGATGCCGTTCTTGAGCGTGACTGTACTCGAATCGCATCCTCGGCAACTTCCCTTGAGACTCAGCTCGACCCTGCCCGCTTCTTCGTCGAACCCGCGGTACTCGATATCACCTCCATCCTCCTGAATTGCGGGTCGTACCCGCGTATCCAGCAGCTCCTTGATCATCGCGACGACCTCGGAGTCGGAATCAAGGATCCTGGTGTCCTCGGGACCCGACTCGTCGCGACCATCTCGGAAGAGCGGTGTCCCCGACGTGAAGTGCTCCATGATGATGGAGTACACCTCGGGCTTGACGTCAGCCCAAGACGCGTCGGGGTGTTTGTTGACCGAGATGAAGTCGGGTCCAAAGAAAAGGGTCTTGACGCCGGGGAGGTGGAAGAGGCGATCGGCGAGAGGGGACGACGAGGCCGAGCCGGCGTCGAGAAACTCGTGGGTGCCCGAAGTCGACACGGCGGAACCAGGGATGAACTTGAGCGAGTCGACGTTCGGCGTCGTCTCGGTTTGGATGAACATGGACCTCCGTTGGACTGAGCGGCGTGCGATGGGCGATGGGCGATGGGCGATGGGCGATGGGCGATGGGCGATGGGCGATGGGCGATGGGCGATGGGCGATGGGCGATGGGCGATGGGCGATGGGCGATGGGCGATGGGCGATGGGCGATGGGCGATGATGAGCGAAGGTGAGAGCGGGTGGCGACGATTAGGGGGTTTCGCACGATGATGACGTGAGCCACGAGTCACCGTAGAACGGGTGTGGCAACGCAGATGAAAGCAAGGTAACAGGGTCAGTCACATCGGCATAGATAGAACGGCAACAGGACTGACCATGTCGTGAATAGACACCTGCCGCCACGTGATCGGTCAGCCGAGGTCGACGACCGGGCCACTGTCGATTCGAGGTCGGCAGCGAGACGGTCGAGACGGAACGGTGCCACGACGGAATGGCGGCCACAGGTTTGACGGCTGCCACGCGGCTGCACCTGAGGAGCGATCTTGCGAGCGATCGGGATGACATGGTGGCAATGAAGGCGTAGATCGAGTGATGGGTGGAGAGAAGAAGGTCGAGCTCCGGCGTCGCGAGAACGGAGACGGCGGAACGTCGGTTGCCCTTCCGTATTAGTAATGGCGCGCGCCACAGCCGTACTCGGTGGTAATCTGCGGTAATCGAATTGCGAGGCGCGTGAGTATTACTCCTCGCGCCAGCGCCGCTCCCGGGTCCGTATGGCGCTGCTGATCGGGCTCACGACGACGACCGGGCACGACGAATCTCGCCCTCGTACACCCACTTACTACCGGCATCCCGCACAGAATAACCCGGCTTCAAACTCGGCTTCAAGTACGACGGGTAAATCGTGCAATAAAGTAGAGCTCCACAGGGTCGTGCAAAGTCTCGGCATCTCGGCAGCGCTGACGGATCATCTCAACTCGGGTCCAACGACGGTGCACGTGTGACAGTACTAGTGCCAACATCCGATCATGTCTCGCATCCAGGCCAAGCGACTGCAAAAGGTACATCGCCATCCTTCACCTCATCCGTGAGTACAATGGCTGACATTCGCTCCACCTCTTTCTGCCTCGTCGCAGGAGATCACCGAGGTAGGTGCACAACGTCCCGGCGGAGGACCTGGTCAAGCACGTGGGCGTCTATGAATGCTCATAAAATACTGCCTTTCTGCAACCAAGATACGAACGTCAGGTCCACCAGCAGGTAAGGGCTGTCTCAGTCGCGAGTCGAGCCAACGAGGTGGGTATATGCAGCTGAGCATGCTGGGACCCCCACCTCTCGTTGGGATTTCCTCGCTCTGGCGCAGGCTGCGAGCTATTACAAGCCGAGGATCTCGCAGAGTGGATATTCAGCATTCAAGTCTTGGGTGATGGAACCGTATATCAAGGAGGTGAGTCAAACGTCCTTCTCGTTTGGCGCATGGCTTCTGACTGAGTATCTTCGCAACCCCCACACTGGTGCAGAGAAATTCGCATTGGTCGGTACCATCCCACCATGACCGCAAGCAGGCAGAACCTCACACAACCTCACACATAAACTCACACAACCCACGTTATGTATTACTCAGAGGTTTCGGTTCGGTTCGGCCTATCCCATCGATGTCAGTGTGACTTGGAGTCCATCTCCGCAAAAGCCCCGAGATCCTAACCCACCTGCGCTTCCTGCTCTTACTCTGATGCAGAGTCCTGAAGGTGTGTGGAATCGCTTTACGAATAGCACGAAGCTCCGGATACTTGCGGCGATTGCTCTTGCAGTTGCCTCCGCTCTGGAGTCGCACGTTGTGTTGACGGCTGACTCTAGGTCGCCACTCACCACCGCAGTCACATTTCTTGTCTCGGATGGATGGACCGCACCGTGTCATCCACACGTTTATTCAAATGGGCACATATGTGCTAGTGTTTTAGTATGTCGATTCCTTCTGTTCACCCGAGTATGTCCATCTCGATCGCGGTTGCCCGGCCTCACTGACGAGTTTTCGTAAACCCGTTTCTCCTCCTCTTCGCTGTACCGCACCATTTTAGGGATCGGGATGGTCGCCCGTGCTCAATGTGCAGGCACTTCTGTTGACACTACAGTCAATGCTGGCATCGTGCAAGCAAAAGGAACGTCCTTCCGACAACGGTGAGTGCTCGGATATTTCGAGAATTCGCTTGACCGCAAGCTGATCAGGACGTCGTACATCATTGTCGAAACTGTGCAAATTCAACGTGTCCGATATGTACATCGACATAACCTAGATCGCTACGTAAGTACCATAGGCAGAAATCATCATCGGTGTGAGCCGCGCTGGCGATCGACGAGCCCGCTCTCTGGAGCCTCGGACAAACTCGGTCCAAACCGCTGACGAATTTGCTCGGGAATCTCCTCGACCAACAACTCGCGCACAGGTTCGGAACGCCCCCAAGTCGCCTAAAGACGCTCGCTTCGCCTATCACGACGATACAGTATGACAGAAGGACCTTCCTGAGGAGCTACATTCTACACGCCCTATGAGGACCCAAGCCACATGGAGGTGCGATCTCGCAGGGTGGTGAAGGGATAGTTAGACAAGTGTGCATGTGGGGCCCGGCGCGCGCTGATCAGGGGCTGAGCAATGCCGACGATTTCTAGAGCATCGGCATTACCGCCAACCCTACCTACTTATTCACCTAGCTATCACTCTTTATTGTACAATACGACCTAACCCTTTGAAATTCGCCGTGATTAACTCGCTCTGTGCGCTTTCGGACCAGTGTGCCCGGTCCGTGTTTCGCGAGCAGCGATTCAAGCGAGCGCCGGTCGGTTGAAACGCGAGGAGGGGTCGCAGCGATCTTCCCCGGTCTACGCCGATGCTCCCTCGCGGGCGGGCTGCTTTCCCAGCCGGCCTCAAGAAATTACTCGGAATCGGCGCAAGGGTCTTCCCTCGCTCGAGGATCTGGAAGAGCTAGGCATAGGTAGTTCCTAGAACTAATGGAGAAACACGTGTATGCACTATGGCCTTGGTCCTCAGTACGGAGAGTGACATTGGGCTTGAGGTCAGCCATGACGTCGAAAACTTCCGCGCGGACTGAAAGTTGACCTCCCGGACTCTTAGCAATGGATCCCGCCGCCGGTGTGCAGCTATTCATATAGGTCGGCACGAGAGACAATAATACCATTGCAAAGTGTGAGAAGTATCTCCAAGAAAGTCTGGAACGTGATCAATTTGGTAATTCCGGGCCGAGCCTCACCTCCGTGGGCCCATCGCAAGCGAATGCGAGGGGATGGCACGGGCTCATGTGATGCGGCGCCCGACTGGTCGGTGGGAGTTTTCGCCCGCGCCAAAATACATTTTGGTGAGTTTCGTCACTTATACCGTTGGCGTACTACCTAGCTAAGTCGTACTCGAGGTATCAACCCAAGGTATCATCGAGCTCCAACATCTGATCTACTACATCTTCGGCCGTCTGAACCCATTCGATAGAGTACCCACCGCCCTCTTGCCTCAAGCAACTCGCACGTCGAAGTTTCATTCTTGGCTCATGCAGCCCCGGGGACCCCCACCCGATTCGAATCGCGGATCGAGTTCAAGCGTCACTGGCAGTCTGGCAGCCGTCCGGCCACGTCGTCCCTGCATACAATTGCATGCACGTGAACCTCTCAGTCAAAGGACATTGCACAGCTATGCACCCATGTGCACGCTCAGCTCGAATCGACCTCCCGCAATCCGCTTCGTTGCGCGAGTGCGCCCCGCCCCGGGGGCCGGACCGCGACTCAGCTCCGTGTCAGAGTTCGCAGTGAATCGCGGTGGAAGCGAGGTCGCCCAAGCTCGAGCAAAGCTGTTGGAGCAACAACCACTGTGTCGATCGCGTCGAATTCAGCTCTGGATAATACGCAGAGCTCAAAATACTTACTGAGACTTGATTGAGCTTGATCGAAAAAGGTATTCGGTCTTTACGAGGGGTGAATCGTTGACCCCGATGTGGGGTGCAAGGTCCCCTGTCCGCGATTTCGCTTCGGATCCGCGCTGGGCCGGTCGGCGGTCGGCGGTCGGCAAAGGTGGAGAAGATTGGAAGCGGTGGCGTAATCAATATGAATAATCTGATCAGGCGCGCGCGTGGCCAGCCCCCAGGTCAGCGAGCACCTTGCACACCTCTGACCCTCTTCTGCTTTCTTCTTCATCGTCTTGGGTCGGCACTTTGGGCCTCGTGAGCGCGAGATTTCGGGGCGTCATTCGGTCATTAGTTACTGAACATCAGCGGTGATGATTGAGATGGAGTATTTAACTCTCCATCATTAATTGTTTCCTTCCTTCCTCATCATCTTGCTCGCTTTCTCTTGCTCTTGCTCAATCGTCGTCGATCGGGTTGGACGGTTGTCTCTAATCTGCTGGTGGTGCTCGGACTCATGCTGACCCCAGCCCATCACTACATGATTACCCTCAATTCCCACAGCCCCGCGGTGGGTTAAGCGACTACATCCCCGATGTATTACTTTCAACCTGACTCATGCAACCTACAGCCCAAGCGGGGTGAGTAAGCTCGTGGGAGGTTCCCCTCTCAACCTCGGTTGGTCGCACAGGGGGGGGAGAGGGTCCCGAGTCGACTCGGACTCGACCTCGCCCAATCATTCATCATTATCATCGTCATTCATCATCGTCCTCATTCCCGATCCTGCATCATCGTACTTATACTTTGCTGTCATATATCAGGTCTTATCTCTCGACCTTCCTCGAAATACTGGGTGGATCATAACGTGGGGATCTTTCACGGTGAGTCTTATAGAGCGCGGTCGCTCGAAGGTTTCGGCCCTGCCTCACGCGCGCGCGAGTGCCCGGGCGGAATTTTTAATCTTTTTGGCCTACCCGGGCAGAACTAGCTGGCGCGTTTGTCTCTTTTTTTTGTCCATAGTTTTGTCGTAGACTTTTTTGACGGGCCACGCGCCCGCGGTTGGCCACCGAGCAGAATTCCGTATAACGTACCCCGACCAGCTCCGATCGACCCTCAATGTGGGGAAGCTGCAAAGCTCCGAGTGGGCTGCTCGCCTCCCTTTCTCTCCTTTCCCCTCCTCTCCCCCATCTTTCCCCCGTGAATATTTCGTCTTAACTCCTCTTGAGCACAACCCAGCCCACATATAGCAAATCATGGCGGATCAACACGACTACCGTTCTGCCCCGACTCACGAGATCTCGAAGCGCACGAATGGCAAGTCGAGCGAGTACAAGAAGCCCCACGCCGACACCGCCGAGTATGAGCGAATGTACAAGGAGTCGATCGAGCAGCCCAGTGTCTTTTGGGACAAGGCGAGTCTTTCTCTCTCCATAGTTCCCTTATCCGGGGTGATGTCGTCTTTGTGTTCGCGTCCCAATGTCCCCCTCTTCGTCGAGCTCTGCTCCCTCCCGATGACTCTCCACGAGGGGGAAGGACGGGAGCGCTCGCTGGTGGGAGGGGCGAGAAGCGGCGCTTCCGATTCTCAACGCATCGCGTTTGTCATGGCTTGGGGTGGCCTTTTCGAGCTGGATTTTTAGGGTCTAGTTGCTTCTAGTTGTAGCATATCCGCTTCCTGACTTTGTCGAGCTAGGGGTGATAGGTGCTACAGCTCAGCGGGATCCCGGGTTCCTACCGCTGCCCCGCACTCGGGATCGACTGCGTTCCGCGTTCCAGATATCCTTTTCCGACCTGCGGAACCTTTTTCGGCGGCTTTAGGATTCTTCATCATACTCTCGAGTATCTTGAGCCATAATGCTAACTTTTCACCTCGTTCATGACCTCAGATGGCCAAGAAGCATCTGTACTGGCACCGTCCTTACTCGACCGTCATGGCCGGCTCGTTCGAGGCCGGTGACGTGCAGTGGTTCCCCGAAGGCGGTTTGAACGTCTCCTACAACTGTGTCGATCGATGGGCCTACAAGCACCCCGACAAGGTCAGTTACACCAGTGTCTAGGTGATCTTGCGAACTCCCGAGCCGGCCGCTGACCCTCGCGTACCCATGCTCTCCGCCCCATGTCCCTCCATCATGTCCCTCTAGACCGCAATTATCTGGGAAGCCGATGAGCCCGGAGAACACGTCGAGCTCACCTACTCGCAGCTCCTCCAAGAGGTGTGCCGGACGGCCAACATCTTGAAAAACATGGGTGTCAAGAAGGGCGATGTACGTTTCCGAAAGATCATTCTGTCCGCTCAGCTCTGCCGTCGCGCCCGAGCTAACGAACTTTTGGTGCTTTAACCTCTCCAGACCGTTGCCATTTACTTGCCTATGTAAGTACTACGGGTTTTGATACTAATCGGAGCCAAAATGCGCGGTTTGCTGATCTTCGGCGTTGATTCGTCCAACGAACAGGGTCCCCGAGGCTGCCATCGCTTTCCTTGCTTGCGCCCGTCTCGGTGCCGTCCACTCCGTCGTCTTTGCCGGTTTCTCGGCCGAATCTCTCCGTGACCGTGTGCAGGACGCTAAATCACGCGTCGTTATTACGACCGATGAAGGCAAGCGTGGAGGCAAGACGATCGCGACCAAGTCGATCGTCGACGCCGCGCTGAGCGAGTGCCCCGACGTCGAGCACGTCCTCGTGCTCAAGCGAACCGGTGGCAAGGTCAAGTGGACCGAGGGCCGCGATGTTTGGTGGCACGAGGCCAAGGAGACCGTCCAGCCCTACTGCTCGCCCGAGATCGTCAACTCCGAGGACCCCCTCTTCATCCTCTACACTTCCGGTTCCACCGGCAAGGTAAGTTGTTTTCGATCCACCCGCGTTCACACGCTGCGATAAGGTACTAACCAAAGCGTTTTATCGCCAATGTCACACAGCCCAAAGGTGTTGTCCACTCGAGCGCTGGCTACCTCCTCGGCGCCTTCATGACGCTTAAGTACGTGTTCGATGTCCACCCCGACGACAAGTACGCCTGCATGGCCGACGTCGGTTGGATCACGGGCCACACCTACATCGTCTACGGCCCCCTCGCCAACGGTGTCACGACGATCATCTTCGAGTCGACGCCCGTCTACCCTACCCCTTCGCGATTCTGGGAGGTCGTTGCCAAGCACAAGCTCACGCAGTTCTACACCGCCCCGACCGCCATCCGTTTGTTGCGCCGCTTGGGCGAGAAGCACGTCGAGGGCCACGATCTCAGTTCGTTGCGCACGATCGGTTCGGTGGGAGAACCCATCAATCCCGAGGCGTGGGAATGGTACCACGAGCACGTCGGCAAGAAGGAGTGCCAAGTCGTCGACACGTACTGGCAGACTGAGACGGGATCGATCATAATCACGTGAGTCTGAATAGGTCTGATCTTCTTTAGTTGCCAGAGCTGTCGCTGACCTCCCTCGAATGCGTACTCTGCAGTCCCTTGCCCGGAGCCACCAAGACCAAGCCCGGATCCGCAACTCTTCCCTTTTTCGGTATCAAACCCGTCTTGCTCGACCCCACTACGGGCAAGGTAGTCGAAGGCAACGAAAAGGAAGGTGTGCTCGCCATTGCACAGCCGTGGCCTTCGATCGCCCGCACGGTCTACGGCGACCACAAGCGATATCTCGAGACATACCTCAAGCCTTACCCCGGCTACTACTTTACGGGCGATGGTGCTGGACGTGACCACGATGGCTACTACTGGATTCGAGGCCGAGTCGATGACGTCATCAACGTTTCGGGCCATCGTCTCTCCACCGCCGAGATCGAGTCAGCTTTGATCCAACACCCCGGTGTCGCCGAGGCCGCTGTGGTCGGTATCCCCGACGAGGTCACGGGTCAATCAATCGTCGCTTACGTGACGATGAAGCCCGACTTCAACATGAACGACACCGACGAGGCGTCCCTGTCCAAGGAGCTCGTCCTTCAGGTCCGAAAATCGATCGGACCCTTCTCGGCACCGAAGCATTTGATCCTCTTGGGCGACCTGCCCAAGACCCGATCCGGAAAGGTAAACTTTCTGACTGTCTGAAATTCCTGATATGCTGTGATCTGTCCGCTGACCTTGCTCGCTCCTTTGCACTCCTTCCCTAATTCAGATCATGCGCCGCATCTTGCGCAAGGTCGCCGCCGGCGAGGCCGACCAGCTCGGCGACTTGTCGACCCTGGCCGAGCCCGAAGTCGTTGAGACAATCAAGACAAAGACTGCTTCTTCACTCAAGAAGTAAATGTAATCTCGTCTCTCTTGTACCTCTCTACCTATCTTCCCGCCTATCGAGACTGAAAACTCGGGCGTCGCGCGGAAGCGCCAGTCGTATTTTTCTCTGCCTCGTTTCTGATCCCGGTAGCTTAATCGAACCGAAACTTTGCTGTAATTGTTTATGACTCCTGTCCCATACCCACTGCTCGTGCGTCCGACAACGGACACGGGACACGGCGAGCACCGCAGATAGGCCACTCGCTCAGGCTGATGGATCGAGGAGCTGGCACCCATGATTATACTGCCGCTGGCGAGGCCAGGTCCTTTTGCCGAGAGGCGCTTCGGCACAGGTCTCGGCAGCTCGCCCCGGCAGAGGGCCAGTTCGACACTGCAGAGTACGACGGCGGCGGCGCGGGAGGCGGCCCGTCGCCGCTCGTTGGTCTTGATTTGGCCCCACAACCGCCTCGTCAACGAGGCAACATTCGAGCCCTCAAGCCACCAGCGTCGACACCAGTCAAGAGTCGTTCATCGGAAATCAATTCTCGGTACACGTCATATCTCCCCCGTGTTGTCAGGATTGATCAACGCATCCGCTCAACGCGTGAGCCTCCACCGTAATCCGCGGCGCTTCGCAACTACGGGGTTATTGAGCGGCAGTCAGCCGGCTGATCTTTCGAACAGCGCGCACAACCGCGGCCGTAGCTCGACATCGGACTTGTACGGGCGTGCAGAGGCCGCTGCTACAATGAGGTGAGTCACTCGAACCTTTACCGTGCTTTGACGGGCTAGTGTCGTGGCTCTGTTGGATTGTCTGTGTCTGTCAGCTGTACAAATGGCGCGGCTGCGAATCGATGCCGTGCCCGGTTGACCCCCTAATCGCGTCGCACTAGCTCTGTGGTGGAAAATGATGCACTCTACCTTGGTCTCGACGCCACGCCCTGAGTCTTGAAGTCTGTTAAATTCATGTTGACGGACCAGACCCGTCTTCTCCTGCTACAGTGAACCCACAACACCAGCAATCAACGTTTTGATCTGGCTCGCGGTCAAGCCCATCATCAAGGTGCGCTTCATGATCCAGCACAAGTCCGAGATCTCTCTTGTTGATCAAACGGACTGACCAAACTGATCCCACCTGTAAAAGCTTGCACTTCCGTCCGCGGCAGGATATTTCCTCTCGCGCTCGGGCCTGTTTCCCGTCGCCGGATCTCGGGCGGCTTCGCAAATCATTCTCAATGTCACCCTCCCAGGTTCGTCGCTTCTTCAATCTGTGAACCATGTTTTTGATGCCCATATTGACGCGTCATTGCGTTACCAATACATCCGTCGCCAGCCCTCATGTTCGCGAAGATTGTGCCCTCGTTTACATCGGAGAATGTGAAAGCGATTGGACCGATCTTTCTCGTAGGCCTCGTGTACATGGGCCTTTCGTTCTTGATGGGTTTCATCATTCTTCAACTGTGCCCGTCACCCAAAAACTTCCGTTATGGAATCTTGGCGGCCGCTGCTTGGAGGTGAGCGCAGTGGGCAGTGCGGCCCGGCGTCGACGGATCGTGAACTCATCTGCCGCCAAGTTTGGTCATGATCGTACTTATTACAGTAATTGGGGTGATTTGCCTACGTCGGTCGTTCAGACCGTCTGTTTGTCAGCTCCTTTCGCGGGGCAGGCGGATGCCGACCTGGCTAGTAAGTTCAGAAGGGCGATTGCTCCAAATCTTGGACGGCGCTGACGAACATCAATCGTTCTATCTTCGCAGTCGCATATGTTGGTGAGCAAAAATCATTGAAGGATTTTCTGACGAGTTTGGCTGATGTCCCAGAATGTCACCGCTGCAGCCATCTTTATCCTCATCTTCTACATCACCTTATTTCCCATGAGGGGAACATGGTTCATTCAAGCCGACTACACCAGGGTCAAGCCTTCAAGCGATGACGAGGAAGAGGGTGTAGGTGCCAACACGGGTGGCTGGGCCGGGACAAGGGAGAAAGTGTCTCGTCTGCTGAACAGGAGGCGGAAAGCGCAACCGACTCGCCCAGAAGCCGAAACGGATCTATCGTCTGGAGAAGAGAATGTCCCGGCGACCGAGAGGACCGTGGACCCGACTCGGCAGATGGCTACATTCTCCGACCTCAGGTGAGATTCATCCTCTCTTGACCGCAAAAACCCCAGTGCTCAAAAACTTTGTGCGCGTTTGCAGACGACAAACGTCCTCGCGGTCAATTGGCTCGCATTCGATCCGGGAATTGGCCAGCACGGCTCAAGCCGCGGCAGTCGACGACACGTCGGAACATAACCGCAAGTGGTCCTTTGGTCGGGCGCAGCTCCAAGCTGCCCAAAACGAGCGAGAACGACTCAAGACGATCATGGCCTCTCCTGCGCAGTCCGTTTCTGGGGACGAAACCGTGGAAGTGTCCGAGTTCGAAGGGCAAGCGAGGCGTGTAAATGGTGACGGTGGCGCATCCTTCGAGAAAGCAGGTCCCTCGAGCGAGCAAGGGACGTCTTCAAGCATCCGTCAAGGTGGAAAATGGACGCATTTTGCTAAAGAGCTCAGGAGCTTTGTAACCTCGTGCATCACACCACCGACGATCTCGCTCGTCTTTGCGCTCGTCTGTGCACTTGTCAAGCCAGTCAAGGCGGTCAGTTGATTTGATGTGGTCACACTTCTAGCTGTCCCGGCACATTCCTGCAAGCTTAAGCTTGTTTTGCTCTTGCTACAGCTCTTCCTGGATGCGAGCTACTCGTTCCATCCGACAGCCCCCGACGGTCTGCCGCCGCTCGCCATCGTCCTCGACACTGCCGCTTTCCTCGGTAACGCCTCAGTCCCGTTGGGTCTCATCGTACTGGGCTCTGCACTACAACGTATGAGGTTGCCTCGACCCATCTCGCGTCTCCCTTTTGCAAGTATCACAGCCTTGGCGGTGGCGAAACTCGTAATTCTTCCCGTTTTCGGATTCTTCTTCGTCCAGGCACTGGTTCGGCATACGAACCTCGTAAGGGAGGATCAAGTGGTGCTGCGCTTCGGTGAGATAGCCTGGAGCTGTTCGAATCCCTGCAAGGCGATCACGTGGTTCTGATATTCAGTCATTTTCTCCTGTACAGTCTTGACCTACTTCAGCGTCGTGCCGGCAGCCACTACCCAGGTCGCTCTTACTCAGGCGAGTTGCCATTGATCGTGATGCGCCAGACTCCTAATGAGGCCGTCACTGACCCTAGCACCTAACCTCCATGAGGACGAAACAGATCTTTGCACCCGAAGACGGCGAGAGTAACTCGGACGTGTTGGCATCGTATCTAATCGTTCAGGTCCGTTCCTATTTGCCTCGTCGAGCGATAGTAGCTCCGCCTCCAAGCAACAGACCGCATCAATTGACATGATCGCTCGGCCGTCCATGCTTTCATCCTACACACAGTACCTCATCTTTGTGTTTTCATCCGTCATATTGACCGCGTTTACTTTGAACGAGATCTTCTAGTTGGGTAGGCGGTTTTTCACCACGCAGTAATTTGTTGTACACTACCACATTATCTGAAAGCAAATGTCGCTTTGAAGGAGCAACTGAGCTCGTTGTGTTTGATCACACTGGGTGGATTGAACTCGCTACGTAGAGTAGTGTTCTGCTTTTTCCACTTCTTCAGTCGTGTGAGACGGCCGGATGCAAGTTACGCAGACTTTTTTCTTTGACACCCACTGTCTTCTGCGACAGATAGAAGGGAAAAGTTTCGCTGTTCCAACGATCTCGAGCCCTCTGCGTTAAGGAGCTCGTCGGCTCGAGCCCTCTGATCACTTCAATGGCTAGGAACGGGCCCGCCGAACACCAGTAGTCAGCTCTGGAGAGGCCAATTTGTGATCGGCCGATGGGCCGCCGTCGATCTGGGCCCAGTCCGGCCTTCGGCGAGTTGGTGTGTTGGGAATGAGGGTTAGGAATCGCGCGTTCATTGGTAATCTGTTTAGAAGCGCTCGTCTGTTTAGTGAAGCCTGGCGATGCGCACCAACCGTTGTCTTCTCTCCACGGTTGGATTACACGCTCGTCAGGTCCGCATGTTTAGCTTCACAGTCACTTCCGTTGCAATTAATTGACGGTTGAATTACACGCTCGTCAGTCGTTGATTCGGCGGGGGGCAGCCTCGCGCCCTGGAGCCCCCCAGCCGCCCGAACTTTCAGAGCCCAGTCACCCCTCCGAGCCCCTTCCGAGACATTGATCTAGAGTCCCTATCTTCTGTGCAGCGTGAGCAAGAAACGGCGTAAAGTGGAACGCGGCTGCCGCTGGCTGACGTCTGACCGCTGCGACGCGCCTGGATTCCGTAGAAGACGCGTCGCGGCGCGTTGAACTAGCCGACGAAAAAGTCATCACTTTATTCTTGTAAGAGCTGAGGATGGAAAGAGTGTCAACGGATGATGCGATACCCTGTCTCACCCGAAAAGTATACTTGAACCGATATGCGGTTTTGACGAGGTCAGCATATCAGCACATGCACCCACCGTGAAGAGAGCAAACTCGGGGAGAACGGGATAGGGGTCGAGCCGGCCGAGCGGCCGAGAAAAGTTTGACCGCAGTCGCTCGACTCGAGTAATACGTCGGACAGCGAGCCAGAAGTGCACGGCCGAAACAAATTAACGTATGGCGTCTGTGCGCTCTTTTGATCGAGCGCACAAAGTTCCGTTGCCCCGATGGCAAGGCTGGATGTATGCAAAAGTTTGTGTGACGATCGGGAGGGTGATTTGTGATCGGGAGCGAGCGCGAAAGGGCGTGACCGAGCATATAGCGATTCCGGGGAGCGACTGTTCATGCCGACGTAGATCAAGCGTTGCAGCAGCTCAAATGACTCAACGATGATCGCATTGAATAACTGGCCATGATTTCAAGGACTACAAGGTTTCAAGCTGTCCCTACTCTGTTATCGCCCCAGGAAATAATTATCGGCAAACGTTCTGCCCGGATTAATCCTTTGTTCCGCTGCCCGTGCACTCCGCTCGTTCAGACTGGGCCCAACACAAAAGTTCTGTGAATCGGCAGTGTCGTCGGTTATCGAATCATCGAATCTGCTCAATCCGTGAAGCCAACAACCCCTACACTGGTTCCATCTCCGCCGCCCCTACCACCTCCGCCGAGGCCAACGTAATAGGAGGGAACGTCGGCTACAAACCAGCGATTCCTACTGCCACTCAATAAACGATTGTAGCCTTCCTGCGCCCATGTTCCAGCCCAACTTGTCTACCTCGGCTTACGCCCACGACCCAATGGAAGGCGTGCTCGACTTTGCTGCTCCGAGTTACAGGTGTACCGTGGCTGCGCCGACGAAAATTGTCCTGCAGGATAGTCGACGAAACCCTTCGGCCGTGCGCCTCTTGCCTGTGTGGGCCGCGCCGTCGTCGTCGGTGGTTCCCAGTTGGCCTCTCCCGCTTCCGTCATCTTCTCCGGCTCGGACGGTTTCGCTCGAGTGGGCCATGTCCAGAACCAGTGCCGTACCTGCTCCCACTTCTTCTTCGTCGTCGTCGCTACCTCGTACTCGCCAGACTCGAATTTCGGATCACCTCAAGGCGGTCAAAACGTCGTCGTCGTCGTCGCCCAGGCCGAAGCAGCAGCTAGCGGCGTTCGCACCGGCGAGTTCGGACAGTGTGATGGCCTCTACCAGGGCTTCGGCCGCATCCAAGTCGATCGCAGCCAAGACAAGGAGGTCCGCTAGGTCGACCCGAAGTACACCCGAAGTTGAATCAATCCAATGCGCAGCCTCGGCCGTGGTAGAGCAGCTACCGGGCAGGGCACCAGCAGCGTGGAGCGACGAGCGTGCATCACCGCAGCGGCCACGATTGCAATCGCATCAAGCACTGCACGAGCAGCACACTTCGACCGACGCTCACCCCCACTTTCTCGCATCCACCTCTACAACTAAGATCTCCACTCGTTCATCTGGCAGGCATGTTCTGTAAGTTCATATACATCACTTGTCTTCTCTCTGAGGGGGTGCGATGCCGCTTTCGGGTTGGAGTCGCTGGAGTCGCCTCCCAGCTCCCCTCGCCTCCGCCGGGTCTGAGCTCGCCTCCGCCTACGGGCAATGCGCATGCGGCCAGCCGGGCCTGCGGGCGAAGTGGCCGATAGCTGAATCGCGACCAGACACTGACCCCCGCCTCTTTTCCCGGACCTTTTCTTTCTTTCTTTTGCGGTGGACATCATGTTGGCCAACCGATTACGGCTTCCAGTTCTGAACTTGCAGCCCTGCCACAGCAAACCCCGCCATCGCTGCCACGTGTATCAACCCCCACGAGCTCGACGATGGGCGGCGGGGAGACCCGCGGCCGCCGCTCGTTGCCGATACGCTCCACCCGCTCCGCCGCGCCCCACCTCGAGATCACAACCACCGATCACGCCACACTCACCTTTCCGTCCTCGAGCAAGAAGAGCCCCTTCTCGACTCTCGAGTCCCCTTCGAAGCCGACCCATGTCACCACACGCGCTCGTAGCCACCAGCGACAGTCCTCGGCCTCAACCTCGGCCACCACCTCCACCGTCGCGACGACGGTCATGCCCAGTCCGGCCTCGTCTTGCTCGACCCAGTTGGCCCCTCCTTCGACTCCGCCTTCGAGGGACGGCTCGTTCTCGGTCGCAAGCGCCGCTTCGACGTCCAAGGCCGGTCCTTCGACGCCGTCGTCGCAGCAGAACGTCCGCCTGCTCGCGTTTTCAAACCCGCGCTCGTCGGCCTTATTCGTTCCCGAGTTGATGCCTGCGCTCCACGACATCGGCGTCGGCAGTAGCTCGGGTACGCAGCGCTCGTCCAAAGACAGGTCGAGCCTCGTCGCCGCGCACGTCGAAGGGATGGGCCGGGTTGCGCTCTCTCGCGATATCCTCTTCGAGCACTTTGGTTCGAGGACGGCCGAGCGTGCGATCGCCGCGGCCGCGGCCAACTCGGCGAATGCGGCTGCTGCGACCGAGGAACTGCCACCACTCCAGTTTGGCAAGGGCGCCGAGACTTCGAGTGACCCGATCGACTTCCACGCTTTCCGACCTGCGGCTCCTGGTCGACGGCGGACACCATCGTATGTTCCGAGGCGGGGCGGGGGCAAGGTAGGTGCGCACAAGATCGACGCACGCATCGGCAAAGTCAAGTCTTGGCTCGAGAGTGACGACGAAGAGGACGTCGAGAATGTCGAGGCCGTGGCGTGGTCGGGTCTGCCGCCTCGCAGGGTTGACGATTGGGGCATGGACCCACACGGGATCGATCGCGAGGCACTCATCTCCAAACGCTTGGAGCCCGAGATCGAGGTGCACACCGTGCAAGAGTCCGACGCCGATGATTCATCCGCAGAGGTCGAGCAGCCTCGAGTGCGTGTGGGAGGAAAGAACATCACCGCTTTGCTCGTCAGCAAGAAGCGACGGGTGCAGGAGGATGAGGATGGCAACGACGCACCGGCGGACGACGAAGCGTCAGACGAGCTTGTGGAGGAACCGAACAAGTCTCGATCGAGCAAGGGCAAGCGTCGCGCGGTCGAAGCATCTTGCGATTGCGACGACGGCGAACATACTGATTTCTGTCCCATGCGAGGCGCCGACGCCGCCATCGTCTTTGGCCGACCTCCAAAGACGCCGACGCTTTCGCACTCGGAACCGATGTTCAGCGCCTCGTCACTCTCGCCACGCCCGACGCACTACTTCCTCAGCTCCGGCCCCGACATGGTGCTGGCGCCATCGCCGCAAGCTTCGCCTTCACCTCGTCGACGCTCGCACCCTTCGCACCCTCACAGCCCCGCAAACGCCACTGTATCGGTGCCTGTCACCCCGCAGTTCAACCAACCGCGAGCCGATTACTCGCCTCGATCACCCTTGTTCTATCGCGGCGCTCGAATGCGCATGATGAGCGGCCAGTTCGAGGATCCCAGCCAGGCCCACCACACGACCGGCGGCTGGACCGCAGGTTGGGACGGCACGAATTTTGGCTACGAAGACCCCAACAGCTTCCCCGCCATCTCGTTCCAGTCCAGCGAGGAGGACGAATGGCACGATCTTACCTTGACGCCGACCCGAGCCCTCGGTTCCTCCTCGTCCTTCAGCTGGGCCGAGACGATGCTTTCGCCGAATGCTTCGGGCCGCCGTTCACGCTTACCTTCCGGTGTCCCGCTCATCGGTGCGACGTCGGCCTCGCAAGACTTCCTCGGTGCTCTGCACCACGATCGTGTTCCTTCGAATGGGGCCTTCAGCGCGACGATGGCTTCGCACGTCGCCCAGCGCCTGTTCAGCGCGACATCGCCGACGCAGTCCCACCAGCATCTTCCAGGCCAGACATCATCAGGCTACTCTTCGTCCGCGTCGCACCAATCGGCGCTGGGCCACCACCGGGTGTCTTCGACGCCGTTCTCGGCGCGACAGCACGGTCGCTCGACCAGTCACCGACGCGCGCCTTCGTCGTCCTCTTGGCTTCATCCAGACTCGGTGCTGGCCCCGGCCCCGATCATCGAAAAGACCCGCGGCGAGCCTTTCTCGCCCTCCCCATCGGCGGCTTCCGACAGCCCGGCGAACTTGCGTGGGTTGTCCTCGACGCCGATGCAGGTCAGCTCGAGCGCACCCGTGTGGCCGACGACGCCGAACCAGCACGCACTCAGTTCGGGCATGGCCAAGAGTGCCAGCGGCCACGAGATGGACTTCGTCCATTCGTCGATGATGCTTGACGGTGAGTTAGTTGGTAGTTCCGTTTCCCTTTCTCTCGTCGAGTATAGGAGCTGACTCTCAAATCCCTGTTCGCCCGCTAGATTACATGATGTCATGAGATGCTTCATGCTTGGCTTCTTGCACGTTCCAGTACCATAGCGGTTCGTTACAATGCCACCTCGGGCTTTCCTACGCACCCGACTTGGTCACGCATACTTTACCACCACTCGTTCGCAGCTTGGGTTTTTTAGTTTCTTCTTCTTCTTAGTAATCGTTCTTGCTTTTATTGACTGTCAATCGACATTCAGCAGTTATTTAGCCCTTTAAACTTGGCGTCATTCTGACTCGGTACTCTTGTGGGTCGAGTCCGATGTGGGCAGATGAAGAAGTCCGTTCGCAAGCCGAGCATGTCCAGAAAGACGGACAAGCGAAGCCGGGCGGAGCCTTCCAAGCGGCTGGCGGTCCCGAAGTCCACCATGTCGCAAGATGAGCCGAGTCTAACCACTGAGAGGGTAGCACCCAATTTGCTTTACACGAAAACCTGGCCGGAGGTTGCCATCCCACATCCCTGTGAGAAATTTGATGCGGAGACGAGGCTAGTGGGTCAGTATCGTTTTAGGGCGAGAGACGGGAGCGAACGGCTCACGGTCCGAAATAGCGCCAGCTGGCAGGGAAGAAGAACGGGACGGGATACCCGTTGATGTCGTAGAGGTAACCATCTTGCCCGGACCCTTGCCGAAGAAAACGAAATATAAATTCAGCAAATAATGTCATGTTATTCGAACGGCTGCGAGCGTCCGAGTTGTCCCGCCGACTGACCATCACACTTGAACGTCAACGGACATCGTCGATACTTGTTCAGACCATGATTGAGGCAGTGCCCATCGCCCAAAAGGGTTGCAAGCCGGCCGAGATCGTCCTTCAAGATTCCATTAGGCCTCAGCTCGAGTCCTTGGTTTACTGCCATGTACATGGGGCCATACGCTTGTTCTCGCAGGAATCGGACTTGTTGTACGGGCTCGTTCGAGGCTGAGCCGCTGGACGCGCCGACGAAGGCAAAGAGACCGCCAAGGAGCAGCAGCGCTGGTAGGTGAATGTGAATCATCGCAGTACAAAGGTGCAAAAGTACTGGCGAGGAGGATGGGTGTTGAGTTAGCGCCCATGCGTTGGGAGACGGTCGTGGACGCCGCCGCTTCGGTACCCACCGATACCAGCGAGGATGAATGGGTGCAGATTAGGCCTCGGGGCTTTTGATGAAGAAACAGTTGTGGTCCGAAGTAGTATGTTCGAAGTTCTTGAAGCCGTAGTGGCACCAGAACAAGTCACAAGCGGTGTTGTATACGAGGCTAAGCATCGAAGCCTCATCAAGCAAGGTCACGGCACCCAACCTCTGGCCGAGAGGGGTCCCGGCTCAGATGCCCGTGCCGTAGGCCCGTCCGCGGAGCACGTCGGTTGACGGACAAGCGTCCGTCACGGTGAGGCCGCCCAAGTTCCGCCGCACGGACTAGCACACCTCTCTGCTCGAGCAACGTCGCCTGACAGAAGCGCTGCCAGCGCTTGACTGCGGCCAGGGAAAGGCGGTGAGCTTTGACTGGCACTCGAGCCCTCGAGGCCAGCCCATCCGCAGTGGGGACTCAATAACACGTGAAGGCTTGGGGTTGGATGCGACTGCTTTGCATTTTATCAGATATGAGTATTAGTAAAAAATGGATGTGCGGCTCATTTGGTCAGGTCGGCCAACGTGATGCCTTCATCAGAGTCGTCCGCACGACCGAGCCTTTCCAGCACGCGCGGGAAGTTGCCACAAATGTGGTCCAGCAGAGCATCCTTGATGGTACCTCGGCGATAACATAAGGTGACGACCAATTCGCCCCCATTCGCTGGACTCGACATGATCTGTATCGCCCCCAATGATGAATCAGCGTGCACACACTTTACTAATAGCGGGGAAGAGGCAAGACAACAGACGCACATTGCTTCCGATCGCAGCCCCCATCGCGCTCCCTGGCTGAGCCCAACCGAGAACTTCGATCTCTTCGGCGACGTCTTTGGGAACTGGAAAGACGCCCAAGTTGCTAGCATCGATCGTGCAGGACCATGTGCCGACTTCGTTCTCCATCTTCTTCCTCAACCACGTCTCCCATCCGGTGCCTTGTTCGACAGGGGCTTCGGCCGCCGAGGCAGGATCAGGAACGAGTGAAAGGGTGAGCATCATTTGTTCGGCTCGGGTCCGCTCGACGGGTGAGGAGAGATAGGAAGCACATGACCGGGTCAGGCTGTAGAAGCGTGTTGAGAGCGTGGCGGCCTTGAATGAAGGTGGTGTGGAGATCGCGGCGACGTAGTTGCCCGTGGTGATGGGGTGGCCCAACGCGACGTCGCGCACCGACACGGGTGTTTCTAGCAAGATTTCGTCCATCATTAGATCTTTTTCATCGTCTCTGTTGTTCCGATGGGACAATAACGAAGCAAACAGCGCAGTGAGCAAGACGGGGTGCAAAGTCGACACCCCATTCGCTCGAGCCCGAGCCTTGATACGCGCCATGAGTTCGTTCGGCAAACGGATTATACGAAGCTCAGTCAGTTGTTGGTAAGGTGGTACAAAGGGTGGGTTTGGTAGGACGGTGGCCCTCTTCGATGCGATCAAACGGAATGGCAAGAAAGGGCGGATGACCTCGGCCCACATCATGCCAGCCATGAACGACCAGTGCATCCTCTTGAGGCCCGGGACCGATTGTTCTTGTGATTGAGGTATATGCTCGAATGAAATAGGCAAACTCGGATTCTGAACCTGGGTCTCGTCCGGCCGTGTCACCCGCTGAACGATCTGAGCAAACAGATTCTTCGCCCCGAGCCCGTCGGACAGGGTGTGGTGCATTACGAGCACGATGCTTTGCTCTTCCTTTCGATCGTGATGTAGCACCTTCCACAAGGGTCCAACGGAGACGTCCATCTCGTTTGCTTGATGAAGGCCCGCTCCTAACCTCGTCGTCAAGACTTCGTCCGGGCTCGGCGACCCTTCTACGCGGGCCAATGAGTCATTGTCTCGCACGACGTCCAAGATGTCGGATACGTTCGTCGCATCGCGTTCGACGAAGCGCGGAGTTCGGGTGTATCGACCTTCTATCCGACTTCGAAGAAGAGGGAACTCGTTCAACAGATCACCGATGGCTCGTTCGAGAGCCGCAGCCTTGGAGCCTGAAGTCGACTCAGCCTCGGACTTGAACGAAGCATACAGCACCACCGAAGGGGCGACGCTGACGTTGGCCCGAGTGAGAGAGAAGCGCTCGTACAGTCCAAGTTCACGTCCTGTCGAGACCATGGTAGATTGTCGAGGCAGCCACTTTGTAGCAATAGTCGGCGATTGAGACTGTGATTGAACTAATAGCAGAAACAATGACCTCAGTAAGTGAGCGAGCTGCCGCCGCCGCGCGCCGTGTGCCGCACTTGGCGGACTTTGGCGGAGTCCGGCAGAGTGAGGGCCATCAGTTCAGGCGCGACGCGACGCGTGGCCCATCCTCTCGAGTCTCTGCCCCGTCTATAAATGTTGAAACCCTCTTTGCCGCCTCCAAACAGACCATCATCGGAAGAAGACCCGATTTCGAAAGCAGAATTTACCACCTCTCGGCCCTAATCAACAGGGCACCTTCCTACAAACGACGCCCCCCACTGCAATCGCCTAAAGACGGACATATACGATCGAGAAAGGAAGTAGAGTGATGTGTCATGGGAGCTTTACTTGGCCAAGTTGAGCAAACTATGACTGGAGTCTTACATTGATCCAATAGATCGGAACCTCTCGGGGAAGGATTTATGCTCGGCGAGACTCGCCCGATCCACCGAACGAAAGTAGGAGTTCGCGCGACATCGCGTCGCCGTCCAGAAGCGTCACGCCTGCATAGAGAAGAGGCAGGACGTCGCTGTCCAAGCAATCGAAGAGCGGACGCAGCGACTGATCCAATGTATGGAGTTGATGCGGACTGCCGAGAACGGGTATAGCAAGCTTCTTGGAAGAAGTAAAGAGATGCAGGTCCCGATCGATGAGGCAAGTGGATCCGAAAGCCTGATCCCTCCCAGGTCGCCGAGGCAAGAGCGCCAAGCGTCGACGAGGGGTACCTTTTCCTACAACTTCGGTCGCCGGCGAGCTTCAGTTGACGCGAGCGTATCGAGCCGCTTTGGGCTGTGAGGTTGCTCGCAGGCTGGAGCGAGAGCGTCTCAGACCTCCCAGTCGAGATGAAGATCAAGCTCGACGGAAGCACGCGTGTGAAGAAGCCGCAGAGAAGAGGGGCATCAGGAGCCAGAACACGATAAACAATCTTCCAGGTTGCATAAACAAAAACCACGTAGACGATGCATTCTTGCTCATCTACGATCCAAGAACCGTGTACTCCAATTCAATTCACTTCACTTTCCTTCTCCTTCTCCATCTCCTTGATCACCCCCACGAGCACACACTCATGCACGCAGACGAATTGCCGATAGTTGGCGACCATGGACATGCGTTGCACGCGCATCTCATTGACGCCGGCAAAGATGGGGTCGAATGACTCCAATGCCGGCTCGTGGTAGCCCGGCGAATCAGGTAAGGTCAAAGGGAGGAGAGGACTGGTGGTATTTTGGCTCATCGATTGCTGAGGTTGCGCTGACGAAGTCGGAGCAGGATTCGTGGACGGCGCCGGGGAGGTAAAGTTGAAGACACTTGGGGTTTCGGAAGGGGGAGCGGGGATGACCATCCCTGGCGAATTAAGCGACAAGGAAGCCGTCTCGGGGATCAGGCAACTCGGTGTTGTGACGGGTAGTGGAGCTTGGGGGCGCTGTTGCGTGCGGCCGCGGAAGTCGAAGCCCGACGAGCTGAGGTTCAAGGTTTGTGCACCGGGTGTGGGCGTGGGTGTGACGAGCGGCGAGGTATCGACTTCCATCCGGTCCTTCGAGGGAACACGAGCTTGGCCTACTGACCCATTCTGAGCCCTGCTCTTGCGACTTTGCCGGAGCGCATCGAGCATTGTCGAGATGATGATGAACACCCCTGTACGTCCACAGCCAGCAGCGCAATTGACGACGATAGGAGGGTCGTCATGATCTGCCGGCCAGTTGACCTCGCGCTTGTACGCTTCTTGCGCATCCTCGACCTCGTGAACCAACTCGACGAGTTCGTAAGGTGAGGCGGGGATGTCAAAATCCGGCCAAGCGCGGTAGTGGATATGCCGGACCTTGCGAGGAGGTTTCGCCGCTTCGACCGCCGATTTGCGTCGGACCAGAATCGTTCGTCGCACCGTCGACTCCCCTTCCACAGCTTCTTTGGATTTCGTCTCCTCCGCATTGGACATGGCGAAGAAGCCCCCGTCATGATTAGGCTTGTTCTGCGTAAGGTCGTCCTTGTCCGCTTGTCCTCCACCAGTCGCTTCGACAACCCACCCATCATCGGGTTGCGGCCCCCAATACCGTCCACACTTTTCCCGACCGTTCTCGACCAGGTTGGTCAACATGACGACGACGCCGACGTGGTGCTGCTCGCACATCTGCCAAAAGTCGGCGTACGTTGAAGGAAGCGGGCCCTGGGACGCAATGAAGCGGCGTTTCGACCCAGCGAGCTGGATATGCGACGCGTTGACGTAGTCGGTTGCGCCTGAGGCATGTCGATTCAACTTGACCCGAGCGTGCTCGTACTGTTTGAACACACCTGGATCAGACATGCGCTCGGATATTCTCACCAGTACCGTGCATGCAACGTACAGGAAAAATGTTCTTGAACCGATTCAGACCCCCCAACTCGACTCCGGCCGAGATGCCAAACTTTTGATACATTGCCGACTCGTGGGCGTGCTCGCCGTCCTTGCCCTGCACGTTCGCATGCCAATTGAGGGCGCCTTGCAAGCGCTTGCGTTCGGCCGACTCAAGCTCGTAGAACTGATATGCTAGCACGCGGGCACGTTCGAAGGGTGGTAGAGCGGTCAAGGCTGAAAGGAAGGGCGGGAGGCGGGTTCGGAGGTGGGCTGGAATAACATCGAACTCGACTGGCGAAAGGTTCTCGAGCATGCGAGAAAGCGACAGTGCCTGTAGACCACAAAGGGAGTTAGCCCCTCGCTGTTCTGAATCGTATTCCCCAAAAGTCTTGAAACTCACCTCGCTGTTCTGGCGAATGTTGTCAAAGAAAGGATTTGTCGCCACACGTCGATCGGCACCACTATCCGTCGAGCTCCCGTCCTGTCCGTTATTGCTCGATGAGCTACTATACGGCGCATACCCACTCTTCATACGCTTGATCACTCCAGGCCCTTGGCTACCCGAACGACCATGTCGACTATGCTCGGACCCACTGTCGTTCTGCGTGTTGGACTCTGCCGTCGGTCGTCCTCCGACACCACCGGACTGAACGAACGCCTGCGTCGACGACTGTTGGAAAGCGGCGATAGGCAAGTCGCGAACCTGCAAGACCGATCGAGCGTGCTTCTTGGAACCAGGACTCGAGAATTCCATCACTCCCCCAGTCGACGACCCTCCCTCATTTGCTGCACCAGCTTCTGATCCGGGTGAGTTCGGTCGACCACTCGGCCCATACTCGAGCAGCGAATTCAGTAGCCCCTTGGCGACGATCTCCTTCTTCAACCCGGCCCAGCCGCCCTTGACCCAGAGCAATTGCGCCGAGGTACCGGCCTTGTCAAATTTGTTGAGCAGGCTTGTCATGGGGGACGTCTCGGGTCGAGAATTCGAATCGGCGTCAAAGACGGCGATCGTAGGTACGCTCGACCATCTTGCGAAAGTGGACTGGTCGTCCGGGGGGAGACCCTCACTGACTCGCTCGATGCCGTAGGCTGGACGCCGCAACAAGGTCGAGGGGATGCAGATGTTGACCGACGACCGCAGGTGTACGCTCAGGTAGTTCGTGTGGGTGCGCATGTCGAGTACGAGGACCGAGGACTCGTCGGCGACGATCATGTCGAGCAATGCGCTCGGGGGAACGGACGTGAGCTTGGATGGCGCTGCTGAATCCGCCGACGTCGGTCCCGTCGACCGGGACAGCAAGGAGGCGCCACCGGACGAAGCCACCGAAGCAATGGATGACGTAGAAGCGGCGGAGGAGGCGGAAGATGTTGTCGATGGGGTGGGCCGCCGCAGCGCGAAGGGCATCGGCGGCGCGTTCATGGTGAAGTTTGCAGCCGAGTTCATCGAGGTCGAAGGGAATGCGTTCGCCGAGGATGCCGATGTCGTCAGACCGCCGAAAAAGGGGGATGGCCCCGAGATTTGAGCGATGGGGGTCACACTTCCTGCACTTGTGACGGAAGGTGATGGCCCTCGGATCGAATTAGAGCCTGTCCTCTGCAACCTCAGCGAAGAAGACCCCGCCGATGACGAGGACGAGGACGACGCGGTGGACGCGCCAAAGTTGAAGCCTTCACTCGAAGCCGAATGAACGCTGGGTGTCGGTGCCGCATCGTACGATTGAGGCCAGCCCGGTGGGGCCTGACTCGAGGACCACTTGTGAGACTTTGACAGAGATGGTGATCGTGGTATGGCGGAGCCGCCGCGTCTCGCATCGGACGACGCGAAGGCAGCTGTGACGGCTGCCGATGACGACGTCGACGTCGGGGACGGGGACGCTGGCGGAAAAATCATAGGCGATCGGGGTGACTGCTGGTGCTGCTGCCCTTGTGCGGTTGTTCCGGGGAGGTGGAACACGAACGACGAACTTGAGGGTGGATTTTGGCTCGAAAAGGCGGCGTCGAATGGATGCGACATGTCCTCGGCGCGCTGCTGTTGGTGCGAGTGGTGCTGGTACGTCTGCGAGTGCGAGCTCGAGCTCGAGCGCGACGACGAAGACTCGAAGGTGAATGGCGCGTTGACTGAGGGCGCCACCGACGCCGGCGGCGAGCTCCGATGGCCCGACGACGACCCCATTCCGAGACCAAAGTACTCGTTGGATCCTGCACCCCTGTTCAAGTCCTTGGGCGAGAGTTGGGGTCGATGAGGTGATGCTGAGCCCGAGGCGTTCGAGCTCGAGCCAGTCGTGGTGGGCGAGGAGCGCCTGCCCGCGTTCAACGACGACGACGACATGACGTAGCTGCCCGCCCTGCTACGCAGTCGAAAATGAAGAGCCGCAGAAAGGCGGGGAGGGAGGCGGGAGGGGGGAAGGAGAACGCGGGGGGTGGGGATCGTACACTCTGGGCGTAAGGGTTGTTTGATGACGAACGAGTACGGTACCAGCACGACCAGCTCGCGTTATTCGGCAGCACTAGGCCGCGGAACAGAAGAAGATCGGCGCAAGACATCGGGGAAGCTTTGGGCCTGGGCCTCCCGGTAAGCACGCCTGCGCGCCTGTGCGTTGTGCGCGTGTCCGCCGTCGAGGCCGATGCCACCGGCCGCCCGCCGCGCATGATACCGCTGGCTAGTAGGCCCTGCAGAGAGTCAGGGACCCAGGGTCGCCGACAAGTCAAACCTTGGCCATTGAACTCAGCGGGATAGTTACAGAAAGAAAGGACTTGCAAACAAAAGGAAAAAGGCTTTTAGCACACTGCAGTGTTTCAGCTCTGCGATGCGTCGACACCGAAGCTCGCTCAGGAACCCTGGTGCGCAATTGAGGTTTTCGATCGGCGACCGGGCGCAAGCCGGCTATTTGTTGAAGGTCAGACGCTCAACTCCGATTCGGCTGTGAGCTGCGTTTTCCCGGTTGGAACATGTCATTTCTACTACTGGCTCCGAGTTCCACGTATGCTAAGTACATCGTATGCTCGTACCTAATACGAACTTCTCTGGCAAGACACCCCACTTCCCCAAAAAAGCTTTCAAAGGCAGCCGCCAGCGCCAATCTGTCGCCATCCCTCAATTCACTCTATACATCTACATATCCGGATTAAGATCCAAATCGAACGTAAAGTCGTCGTCGTCGTAACCATGTTGCGGTGGCCGATGATGACGATGCTCCTTGTCGAGTTTGGCCTGGTTGATCAATTTCTTGGACGCGTCCGGTTCGGTCGAAGCTTTCATAGTGGGGGCTAAGGGAGGAAAGTGGTATCAGATCTTGTCCTTGGTGACCAGATACATTGCTCGCAACTCACCTTTGTTGACCATCCCAACCGAACCGACTTCCCCGACGACTCCGACGTCATCATCGTCGTCGTCGTCGTGGCCAGGCTTGAAACCCGCTGCGGCCCCGGTCATATCCAACTGCAGTCTCCCCCTCCTCATCGCCTGTTCGGTAGGGAAAGGCAAGAACAAGCCACCGCCACCTCCAGCTGAAGTGGCCGCCATCTGTTGCGTCGAAGCCAAGAGGGATGCTCCTGAATTGAACGCAGATTGGGTCGGGTCCTGACTCGGTGGAGCCGAAGTGAAAGGCGCGACCCTTCTCGCGTAGGTCAACACGTTCGAGCACGTCAACAGCTCGGCGTCGGAGGCCGAGTCGATTTGGGCTCGACCGAGTTTGCCCTGGTTGATGAGCGGTTGGAGGGAGGATTCGAGGCCGGAGAGCGCGACAAGGGATTCGGTCCAGGTTTGGTCGAGCGAGGCGAGTTGCGAGAGCAGGGAGTGAATCAGCACTTTTTGGGCGGTGTGTTGGTGCACGAGGGCGAGCAGGGCTTGGAACTCGTGCGAGAGGGTCGAGAGGTGGGTGTAGAGGGAGTTCGAGGAGGAGGACGAGGCAGTGGAGGAGGTGCGCGTGGACGATGATGGGTCGGTCGAGGTGGGTGGAGCGAGTTGCGAGAGCGTCGACAGCGATGAGAAGAGGTTCAGAGTCAGGTTCTGGTACTGGTTCAGCAGCGCAGTGAGTTGAGGTCCTATCGGCTCGTTCGTCGACATGATGGTGCCCGTGTACGGTCCAGCGACGGCGTGGGCGTTGGAACGCTTTCAAAGGGCTCGTGTGAGCTCGTGTGGGGGAGAAGCGAAAGAAGCCAAGTCGTTCGCGCCAAGTCGTTCGCGCCAATTGGCGACCCTCTCTTGACCCATCCACAATCACCTCCAATCGTTCTACCTTTCTTCCAGTCTCACCGGATCGTACGGGCACATAATCGACGCCTACTTCGTTACCTGCTGAACGATGCGGCCAAGATGACCCGTCTACGAATGAAAGACTCGTCCTTGTCCTCGACCGAGCAGGCCGTCCTCGACGCGACCAGACGAGCGTCCAAACAGAGTCACAAACGGCGCCATCACCATCGGTCATCTACCAAAGGAGCAGCACCTCCGCGTGATCGATCGGAATCCCTGACCCCTCCCCGCTCAAGGGCGTCAACGTCCAAGCATGCGCTCGAGCATGACTTGCCCGACGACGGGGACGACTTTGATCAATCGTCCTTACCGCCTTCGCAAGCCTACAAGCGGTCGCGTTCTTACGACCAAGACGACGAAGAAGAACGTCGGTTCCAAGACAAACTCCGTTCGGCTGAACATGAGGATCAAGGCGTGGGTTATTACGAGCAACTTCTGTACGAGAGGGAACTCGCGAGGAACGCCGCCAGCTTCCATTATGGGTCCTCGGTCCGAGCCGCGATGGGTCAACCCGAGGCACAGAACGGCGCGACGTTGATCATGGACGAGGAGGAATATGCCGAGTACATACGCGCGGGCATGTGGCGCATCCAGAACAAGGAGGAGATCCTACGGCGCGAAAGGTTGGACAAGGCCAAGAAGGCTCAAGAAGAGAAGGACCGCATCGAACGAGAGGCGTGTCAGAAAAAGGAGAAGGAACGGATACGCAAGCTCGAGGAAAGGACGATCAAGAAGGATCAACAGATGGAAAGGGACCAACGGGAAGCCTATGCCGCCAAGTGGAGTAAAATCACCGCGTCATCGCCCGAGACCAACCTTCGGTTCAGCGATATCCCCTGGCCGATCTTTCCTCACGTACCCTTCCCACCGCTGTCGTGGCCATCGACGACCGACATCACACCCCTGCAGGTCGATAGGTTCCTCTTGTCCCACATCAAGGACAAGGACTTACGCAAGTCGACGCTGAGGTCAGCTGTACTGGCTTATCACCCTGATCGTTTCTCTAGGTTGACGGCGAAAATAAAAGACGAGGATACCCGGGCTAGAGCGACGGAGCTGGGCTTGAGGATTAGTCAGACGATTAATGACATGCTGAAAAAGTAGTCCATGCTATAACATGAGAATGTCTTTCATTGCCGAGTTGATCATACCAGCCGCGTACCAGTCTGATTCCGGGGGGCTCTAGGATGGTCCACAGCAACATCAGATGCCCAAGATCGTGGTATAGATATCTACTACCTAGTAATATAATCTCATGGAAGGGGGGGGGGGATGGGCGCTGAAAACCGGTCAAAGAATCGGAGAAACAAGGCCCACGGAAGGAAGTTCATCTACTTACCGCCTCCGGTCGAGTACATGGTCGGGTGCATCATCAATTTGGGCAAGGGCTTGACGTGGGTCTTCTCCAACGCTCGGCGGGTCAGGTACACACGTGCCGTCGACCAAGCGAGGAGGAAGCATCCGAACGCGATCGGGATGAGCCAGTACAAAGGCGAGAGTTTGTACGTCCCTCCGAACGCGGCGTGCAAAGGAGGGGTGTAGATCACGAACATGGCTACGACCGCACCACCGAGGATGCCAGCGAAGTTGTAGTAGTTCGACACGACGTGTTTCCCAAAGGGAGGGAGGAACTTGGCTTTGGAGGCGAAGATGTTGAAGCATTGGATCAGGAAGATGGACAGGTACATGATACTCGTCGCTTTCGCCCAGGCGTCGACTTGTTCCGAAGCGGTCAGGACACGACCCGAGACGGAAATGTAGTTGGGCGAGTTGTCGAGGAAGTATTTGGGGTTCGCGGATTTTTGAGCGAGGTACAGATCGCGAGGGGTGAAGCCGGACTTGTAGAAGACGACAAAATAACCGGTCAAAGCGCCGATGAGCTCGATCATACCCGCTTCGAGGTAAGAGTAAGATAGGAGGTTACGGTCGACGAGCGTCTCGTCGTCCGAAGGCTCAAAAGCATCGACCCAGAACTGGCGCGTGAAGGGGGCTTTCGCCGAATCGATGTACTTGCTCATGCGGGTGGGTTCGATGGTCTGGTTCGTCTCGGGATCGAAGTTGCGCGTCTTGATGCGACGCAAGGCGCGAGCCTTGAGGCGGCCAATCGAGGCGTCCGAAACCGGCTTGCGAGGAGCGGCTCGCATGATAGCGTCGGCTGATTCGGCAGGGTCGAAGGCGAAACTGAGCGCGACCGCAAGTTCGAAACCAAGATCGATCAACTATAGGGAGCAAAGAGAAAAAATTGATGTGAGTTCCTTGCGGCTTCAGAACGGCCAAGAAGAGGTCCTACGTACCAAGATGAGCAAAGCGGACAGAGGCAACGGCACGGGGACGAGGACGTAGAGGATCTGAGGGATGACCTCAGGGATCGAGTGCGTAACGGTATAACGAATCGAGCGCTTCAAGTTCTGGAAGATAAGACGACCCTCTTCCACGCCGCTCGTGATGGACGCAAAGTTGTCGTCGAGAAGAATCATTTTACTGCTCTCCTTGCTGACGTCCGAACCGGAGATGTTCATCGCGATTCCGAGATCAGCCTGCTTCAAGGCCGGAGCGTCGTTGACACCATCACCCGCTATGGAATGAACAGACGTGGTTCCGACCGATTAGTTTCGCATATTTCTGGAGCACAAAGATGATCGTCAGAATCCACTCACTGCAGCCGACGATGTGTCCGAGATCTTGAGCGTGTCGCACGATCGCGAGCTTGTGCTGAGGCGAAGTACGAGCAAAGACGATTTCCGAGTGACTGAAGATTTGGTCCCATCTGTAGAAAGACAGCGCTCGCGAGTGAAGTCAGCAGCTTGCCTGTGTTAGAGCAAAGATATGCGAGGCAGCGCACTGGTATCCCTGAAGTCCATCAATGTCGTCACCGTGAACGACGACGGCATCGTATTCGTCTTCATCGATCGAGTCGACCAGACGACCAGTTCTTTTCGCGACGTCGGCTTTGGTTTCACCCGAGATGAGGTTGATCTTGCGGGCAATGGCTTCGGCGGTGGCGGGGTGATCACCCGTGACCATCATGACCTGGATACCTGCTCGTCGCAAGGTACCAACTGCTTCACGCACACCGTGCTTGGGAGGGTCCTCGAGCGAGACGAGACTGACGAAAGTGAGACCGTGTGCGAACATGCTCTTGTTCTCCTCAAAGTCGAAACCCTCGCGTACATCGGCATCGGCTAATTGGAGTTGAGCGCAACCAATGACACGATGACCTTTGTGCGCCATCGCATCGTACGAGACCGTGTAAGCCGCCTTGAACGCATCGTCGACCTGTCGAAGGGAGCCATCAGATCCGAGGTAGGTCGAGCATCGGGCGAGAACTCGCTCGGGCGCTCCCTTGAGGTACAGAGTTAAGTGACCGGTGGCGTGTTGCTTCTTGACGACGACGGTGGCAGCCTTGTCGGTCGAGTTGAACGGGATAGCGAAGACCTGGGGGAACTCGGCACGGGTGTCGTCGTACGAAGCCAAGTGCTTGGCCGAGAATCGAGTAAGACCGGTTTCGGTGGCGTCACCGAGCAGCTCGCGTTCGGAGAAGGGGACGTCGGTCCTATTGAACTTGATCTTGGAGTTGAGCGCGCAGATTGAGATCGTTTCGGCGATTCCGATGTCCTGGGGTACGAGAGTACGCTCCGAGGACTCGGCGTGGACGGCATTGTCGGTGTAGAAAACCTCTCCCGTCCAGACGTTCGTGACCGTCATCTGGTTGCGGGTGAGTGTACCAGTCTTGTCGGTAGCAAGCATGGTTAGAGAACCAAGCGTCTACCCAAGGACGGCGGGTGAGCCCAAACGGATTCGTCAGCCGCCGCTTTCAATACAAACACCGGATTTCCTATAAGTCACCTCTACACCTTGTAAATCCTTGACGAGAACCTGTCGCTTAGCCATACGTTGGGCAGCGATCGACAGCAAGAGCGTGACCGTGGCGGGCAATCCTTCGGGGATCCAGGCGACCAAGATGGTGATCGCAAATGTGACCGTTGCCGCGGCTTGGCCCTTGTACACAGTGGTGATGCCGACGATGAAGAACAGGATAGCGGTGAAGATGGCAACTGAACTCAATAGCTTGACGAACCGATCGATCTCGGTAGCGAGAGGAGACTTCTTCTCGCTTTGATTCGACGTGAGCGACGCGATGGAGCCGATGAAGGTGTTATCACCGGTTCGGATGCAGACACCCCAAGCTTCTCCGGAGACGACAAGAGTGGTGTTGAAAAGCAAGTTCTGGGCCTCAGCAGCGCGTTTGGCCTTGTCGCCCTCGGGTACGACGACTCGCTTCTGCGGTTCGGCTTCTCCGGTAAGAGAACTGTTGTCGACGGAGCAGCTGACTGCGGAAAAGATAAAGACGTCGGCGGGGGTCTTGTCACCCATGCGAATGAGGACGCAGTCCCCCAAAACCAAGTCGGCGGCCGGGATCTGGCTGATTTGACCGTCACGAACGACGGTGCAGGTCGCGGGGACAAGGGACAAAAATCCGGCGAGCACGGCTTCGGCCTTGGCGATCTGGTAATAGTCGATACCGGCGTTGACGAAGGCGACGGCGATCAAAATACCTCCGATGTACTCGTTTGGCTTGTTGTCCTCAAAATCGACACCGAGCAGGATATACTCCAAGATGCCAGCCACAATGAGCAAAATGTTGAAGAGCGAACTGAGGGACTCGAGGTATTTGCGAAGACCCGACTTGCGCGCAGGAGGCGTCAGCGCGTTCGGACCATTCGTCTGGAGTCGCTCTGCCGCGACCGCTGAGGTGAGTCCCTTGGAGTTCGCGGGGTTCTTGACGTCGAAAGTAGTATCGAACTTCTTGGCCACCTCAGCGACGGTCAGATGATGATCGACCTGGAAACCGGACGAACGGGTGGGCGAAGAGCCGAGCGAGGGGTCAGGGGACAGCGGAAATGTGGCGAACAGGGGAGGTCAAGGCGGGAGAGGCGGTCAGCTCACGACTTGGCTACAATTTCCGCGTCGGAAGACACGTGTCATCCAGTAGAGTCGTGAGTCTTACGATTTCGATGAACTGCGAGGCACTCTCTTTGGTCTTCTCGTTCGCATCCTGGTATCCGGCGGCGGCACGGTCCTTGACCTCTTGCGTGAGCTCACGGTTCAGAGTGAGCTCGCGGCGAATACCGAGCGTGTTCGTCCTGGGGAGCGTTGGGATGCGTTTCAAGGGCGTGTCGGGGAAAGTGACACCAGTCGTATGAACACCTTCTTTCTTGAGCTCCGAGTCGGCCGTTGAGGACGTGGACAGGCGACGTGCCGGCGTGGACGCCTTCTCATCGAACGTGGTCGGGAGGCCCGAGGGGTTTGGCGCAGTCATTTTTCGGGGATAACGAGAGGTCGGTGAACTGGCGCGCAACAAGACGTGGACCACAGGCGAGTCGGCTCGGGGAAGAGACGACGAGCTGTTGCGGAACTTCGACGGGATGAGGGTGAGAACGAAGCTGTTTTTCTCCAGTCATTAAAGGGAACCTAGTACTATCGCATCAATGTGAGGACTTTACCCAAGCAAGCAACTCACTCTGTCAGGACGTGGCAGTTTTCCTGCACTTGAGGGATTTTCATTCACGTGCCGGCGGGCGCGTCGGTCAGTGCCCCCCTGCAGCAGGCGCATGATCGGGCCATCGCAAACACCTTTCTGGGGTTGGTCTGTCGCTGGAGCCTAGCCAGCCCAGTTTTCCTCTGATAGATTGATCGAGCGCTGGGATCTCGCACTCGCCTGAAGGCTGAAATCCCGCAAGGGGCGCAGAGGGGCGCCACCCACCGTCAACCATCTGGGGCGGCTAAAAATAACTAGGGCTCTAATTGGCCCGCCGGCTCCAAGGCGAACAAAGCGCTGACATTTTCTGTCGCGTATAGCTGACTTTCCCCACCCTTGGAGTAGGACTTGGGCTAGGTGAAACATGTCTTTCGGCCTCCACCCCTCTCGGACCAGATTAACATCGAATACATACCTACTCTTGGAGTCCTGGCAATTACCCGGATCCGAAAGGGGTGGTGTTGAGGTCCGTGGATTTCTCAAGTCGTGAGCTTTACGCACAGGCCGGTTGCCCCTATCGCCCAAATGTAGCGCGAGTGCATTGCTCGAGAGGCCTACTCGTGGCCGAGCGACTTCACTACTGGACAGAGTGGGAAATCAGGGCTTCTCAGATTACATCCCTTTACCCCCGTCCATCCGAGCGAGCTCCCTCGCCTCATGGACGACAGATGAGCACCATGCGGCGCGATTGTGTAAGGTTGCGATGAGGATAGTATTTGGCAGTACGTAATTATCGATGCTACAGTGGGCACCAGCGTGGTCTGTCACGCTGGTGATGAGGAGAACCAAGCGGATAGGATAGTGACAGAGAATGAAGTACGAGAACACAAGAAAGGTTCGGCAAAAAGGGTATCGAAGCTTTGCAGATGCCGGTCTAGGAGACCTACGCGATCCTTCGACCGTAGCCGTGATGTGGCGGGCTCGTGTCACTTGCATCTTGTCGGGTTGCTTCCGGACTCGCGGGCTGGGACGACGACCCGAGACTTCGTCGTTTTGCATGGCCGGTGGATCGGTCCACACTCGAGCTCAGCGCGGTGTTGCCTTTGCTCGGATCCGGATCCGAGTAGAGCGTAGGAGCATGGGCCGTGCCGTACGACACGTAGTTTCCATCGTCGAGAGGGCCGTGAATCGAGGTCGGACTTGCGGACTTGAGCGGCTCGAACGAAGAGTTCGTCCAGGCTTGTCCAGACGAGGGACCATCCGAAAGAGAGTACAGCCTTGGCGGTGCCGGGGGACTGCCTCTCCGACCGCCGCCACTCACGGGCGGACTGGCGTACCCGTGGGACTGTGAGGACGCGTATCCTCTCTGTGCCTCCTCGTCGCCCCATCCCTGGTCGAGCACGAGTTCGAGCTCGCGCGCATCCAGCGTCGACGTTTCGCCTTCCTCGGATTCGGCGTCGATGCTGAACAGGCCAACGGGCGGAGGCAAAGCTGTCGGACCGTCTTCGAGGTAGCCCCCAATGTCCATTCCCCATCGATCCTCGTCGCCGCCGTACGAAGAGGCGGTCTCCGAGGGGGCGTTGCTGTCGTCGTAAAGACTGTTGGAGCTCCCATGCGTGAGTCGGGAGTCGAATTGGCGCTCGAACTCGCGTCGCCTTCGCTCGTCGCGCTTCTTCTTGCGCAAACGCGTCTTCTCCCAGTCCTCCCAGCGACGCATGGGAACTTTGGCGGCCACGCCACCAACGCCATGCCCATCGTCACCCTTGATCTCCCCGATGACCTTGCGCGTCTCGCCCCAAGAAAAGTCGTCGAACTTGGAAAAGGCGTAGACGGGAAGGACAAGGTTCCCTGCAAACCCCGATTTGATTAGTATCAACAACCAGGAGAAACTGTCCCATGGCCCGAGTAGTACGATACCACTGTCACTCACAAATGGGAAGCGCCACGAGATATAGCAGCATCCAGCCAACGTAGACAACTTTGAAGGTGGAAATGAGAATGAGAACGGCGGGAAGACCCAGCACGGCTCCGAGCAGGAGAAGGGGGATTGCATCCGAGAACGAGCTAGGAGGGTGGAAGATCTGTGCGACATTGTGGAAACACACACGAAGAGTCAGGTCCGGCACTCTCAGTGGGAGGGGGGGCGACTCAATGCTCCAGATTACTCACGTAAGTGATGATGAGAGTATAAGTAAGACAAATAGCGATCGGCAGCACGACCGTTCCGATCAGATCGACCAACACCATGAACTGCATCGAGAAGCAGAACGTTCCGCACAGGTTGGGCACGCGGACCAGCTCCATCAAGTTGTGAATTGTAGAGTTGATCCATCGACGACGTTGGGAGAGCAAGACCGAAAACGTGTCGGGTGCAACCGTTCGGCAGCGCGCCTGGGGGCAGAACATCATTTTGCGATTCGGGAACGTGCGCAGCAACAAGGTCGTGAGGAAACGATCTTCACCGAGCAGCAACAAATTCTTCTGGTGTAGCGTCGTGACGACCGACTGCGAGTACTGCGAGACGATCTGCGGCTGGACAAGCACGGGGAACCAGTCCCCTTCGTCTTCCTTGCGCGCCTTGAGTCGGTACATGGAGAAGCAGCCGGGCAGACAGGTGACACCACCAAAGACGGATTCAAACGACTTGGACAAGTGATGACTGATGTAGTATCTGTATGAAGAGCAGTAGAGGGCAGCGGCGTCAGCGGTGTCAGCGGATCGCCGGAAAGGTCAAGAACGGGGGGAAGTGAGCGGCCCCACTCACTCAAAGACTTGGATCATCGTGACCCAAGATTGCCTCTTGTTGGCCACACGGGTCTCCCCGCACACGCCCATGATCATGGAGTCGTTCTGCATCGTGCGCACGAGCATGGACAGCGAGTCGGGGTACACCTTAGTGTCGGCGTCGACCATAAGTACCGTCTCGAAAAAGTCGGGCGTGACGCCCATCAGCGACTGCACTTTGCGGAACAAGTCAAAATCGAGCGGCGTCATGCGATCGTTGTACGTAACACGAGAGAAGAAATTCATCAAGACCATTTGCGAGTCGCGCTTGCCTCGGTTGCCCGGTTTCTTGTCGTTCGCCTCGTCCGGGGTGCCGCACTTGACTACGATGATCGTCGGCGTGCGGTGGCCCCGGACGCTGGTGTAGTGGCCGGCGTAGACGAGGGCGTGATTGTGCGCCTTAGACCCGTCACCGATGGCGATGTAGCTCATCGCTTGAGGTTCTCCAAAGCGAGGGTCGGCTTCGAGCAACCCAACGCAGATGTCGGGGGTCGATTGTTTCTCGCCGTGGCCGGTGATCATGCCGTCGCACACGACAAAGAGCAACTTTCGAGCATCCGAGTAGGTCGTTCCAGCGATCGAATCGAGCGTCGACTTGATGCCGGCTGCGCCTTCGGAGTAGCAGGTGACGAGGCAGGCGACAAAGAGCTCGGCCCCGATCGACGCGAGGTTGATCATTCCATCCGCTCGCACAGCCGGCGCAGCCTTGGTGATCTTGCGAGAAGTCGAGTTGAGCGAGGCGGTACGGCCACGACCACTCGTAGGCACCGGCTTCTCGAGGAACGGGTTGTCCTTCTCGGAAGACGAGTCTCCAGCGCTGCGGCCACCGCGGGCCCCGCTTCGGTCCCTTTTTTTCAGTCGTTGCGTCTCGCGGCGCTGCATCTCGGTCTGCGTCCAAGGTGCCGCTCCTGTCTTGTTGTCGATGTCGATGTTGGCGCCCTCGGGCATGACGGCGGGCGAAATCGCGTGGCGTTTGAGGTTCTTGGGCGGTCGCACGAGCTTGGCCGACAACCACCAGTGGAAAATGCAGGCCATCAAGAAGCGAGTCAAGATGATGGTCATGATCAAGCATAATGAGGTGTACAACACGAGGTCCGAGACAAAGCACCCCGGCGTGACCTTGTCGATATGTCCGGCGTAATAGCGCTCTTGAAGGCACTTGCTCGACTTGCGGAGCTCGTTGAGGTTGTAAAAGATTCGCGTCGCATCCTTGCCACCGCTACCGTTCATCTTTTTGAGCACAAAGCGGATCGCGGTGTCGACGGTGTCGTTCGCAATCGGGTTCGGGTGAGCAAGCATGTAAGGATTGAGGTTGAGCACACTTCCGTCGAGGACGAGGTAGTTCTCGAGCTTTTCCAACTGGTTCCAATCGTAGCCGACGAACAGGTCCGTCTTCGTGAGCCCGAGCTCGGTCGCCAGAGCTTCGGTGAACGCTCCCAAGGTGCACGACGTATTGCTAGCCGAACTGCTGCACAGGTTCGTGGTTGCGTAGGCGGCCGTGAGGCCGTTGCAAGCTGGTATCCGAATCGCGCTGCGGTCAAATAGATCTGTCACATCTGACCCGCCGAGCGTGTTGGCCGCGGTCGAGATTGTAGCGGGCGCCGTCCCCGACACTTTGTAGCTGCGACCAGCGATACCGACGGAGCCTGGGAAAGAAAAGCGAACACAGGACAACAAGCAGAGCTGCTTCAGCTGAGATGTTCGTAGTTCCCTCGACTCTGCACTGCTCGTATGCAGATCGCAGCCACTCACCAGGCGCCTCTCCCAGTCGTTGGAACTGGGAAACGGCGTTGCTCGGGCACAGGGTTCGCGTGAGGCCGAGCGTGAGAAACCCGATGGCGCCCATCATGAGCAACGAGATCTCGCACAGTGCACACTTCTCCTTCCATGCTCGTTGCTTGGCGCGATCCGTGAGGCCGCATGCCGACAGGAGCCAGCGCGGTGCCCAAATCGTCGAGATCTCGACAAAGAGCCGCCAGGGACTGTACCACGCCTCCTCGGTCTTGAGCGTCGGCACGCCGTCGATGAGCGCGGTTTGGACTTTGCCACCCGTGTTTGTTGGATTCGGATTGATCAAGGGTGCGGGTGCGACGAAGCGTTCGGGTCGTGTCAACGTCTTGCCTCGCATCATGGTGCGATTGGGAACAAACGAAGCGCGCGGGTCAATACCCGCTTCGCGCACTGTGCCTGGGATCACGCCTCGAACGGTCTGCCGCCTTCGCATGCGCTCATCGCCCCAATCGCCGTCGTCCCTTGCTGCCCCCCATTGTGATGGTGCACCTCGCCCGCCACGATTCGGTTGCGCGTGCGAAGCTTCGCTAGGAGGTGGCGCGAGCGGTGGTGGCACGAGGGGTGACGCATGCCGAGAAGACGATGGCGACGACGCGGACGAGTGATCATCGAATGAGCTCTGGCGCATGTAGGTCGGGTTGGTTAGGAACCGTGGGTTGTACGACATAGTGTCGTCGGTATATCTTGACGTCTTTCGTCGATCGGGGGTGGGTGTAGACGCCGGTCGGTGAGGTCGTCAATGAGGAGGAGCTAGAGAGCCTCGCGCGCGGACCGAGACTGCGCAAGCTGAACCCGCAGCCGTGCTGAGAAGGTGAGCGACTGGGTGGAGCAACCAAACAATCCAGACACGATACCCAAGGAAAGACACGACGCTGGACGGGCGAGCGCGTACACCGAGGTCGAGCGATTGAGCCTTTCGAGCGTTGGGCAGGAAAAGAGAGGTAAGGGGGGAGGGCAGGCCGCACACGCGTTCGGGCTCCGAAGGAACTCTTCTGGACGCGTCGCAGCGCGTGTGCGCGCCCGTTCAGAGCATTTTGTTGGGCATCGCCGTGGCTAGGCCCAACAAAATGAGCTCTGCAGTGGATGGTGCGCAGACACTTCATAGACACTCACGGATCTTGCTCACTTCTTTGATGATGGTGAGTCGGACAGGTTTGAAGCTTTCTCACACTGGTATTTCGCTCTCACAGTGGCAGCTGGCAGCTGTGAGGGGTGAACTTGGAGTCTTCGCCTTTGTTCTGCTGCGTCGGGCGCGGCGATCGGTGAGATGGTGACGGCTTCAGCTCGCACGGGCTTCCAATCTGAGACAAGCCTTCGTTTTAAGTTATAGTTGTGCAGCGTGCGAATGAGCCGCCGATCTTTCATGTTCGAGTTGTGTGTTTGACGTCAACAAGTCGGAAAGAAACCTTAGCAGTAGTACTGGTGCGACGTAATTGAATCGACACGAGCAAGTCGTTCGTGTACTTCCTTTTTGCGATGGAACAACGGTGTCAAGAAGAATGACAGATTGGTGTTTGGAGACGCTCGGCGCCATGTAGCGGTTGACATTGAAAAGGAGTAGCTCCTGGGTCCCGAGCGCAGACTAGAAAACTCGCTCCTGAGTGCAGGCGCGGTCGCTGGGCGTCTGGGCGAGCTCCCCTCGATCAGTCAGCGCCGCCTTCTGACTTCGCTCCAATTCGCGTCGTCCTGCACTGGCCCGTCGCTTGCACTTTTGCTCTCATCCACCCACCCACTCTTCAGACGTTCTTGTTCAAAGTCAACCTGTTTGTACCTTTCATCATTATTCCTCTCCTCTTCTCTCCTTTCTCGTCGTCGGTCATTCGTCGGTCTTTCTTCTAGGGGTCATGAGTCGTTGGAACGACGACGGTGTGGACGACGACACCGCTTCGTCCGAGCAGCCCCACATCTTCGCACCCTTCTCACCCATTGAGTCTTCCCAGGCCCTTCTTGCGACTCATCACAAGCATGCCAGCCTAGACCGTAGCTTTCTCGACCTCGAATCCGACGCTGGCGACACCGATGCCGATGCAGCGAAGCCGCCACGTTCGCCGACCACGAACACGACCCTCAGCGACTCGGCCGCCTCGGCGCCCGCTCAGCATGCGCTCTGGCTCGACACCAGCGGCGGTTTCATCAGTGTTGCAGCCCCCTCTGAGCCGACCCACGGTCCTGACGACCAAAATGGCCGTGAGCCAGGCCCGAAAACTCGTCGAGTACACCCAGATTTTGATCCAATGCAGCAACATGTGAATCGTGAGTTTGTCGCACCGGCCGACCACTTGCACGATCGGCCGCCCCAAGCCTGCCCCCCGGGGTCCGCCGAGAATGACAGCTCTCCGGCCGGCCGAGGCTCGCGCTCGGCACCCCAAAGCGATCGAGCTCCTCTCGCTTCGGACTGACGGAGCTCCTCGGCCTTTCGTCCGCTACTTTGTGCAGAGTTCTTGTTCGACCCCTTGAGACTATCGAGCGACGGTGACTCTTCGGGTCCACATTGGAAGGGTATCGACCTCCTTGGACTCGACACGCCTCCTCTGACGCCCCACAAGCCCTTCTCGTGGCAGTCCGTAGCCCCTTTCGCACGGGGAGCCTCGTCGGTGGTCGGCTCGAGCGCGTCTCCATCGCCGCCAGAGTCCCCCATGACCCCTCCACATCCAGGAGGCTTGAACCACGAATTCTCCCCGGTTGTGGGGTCCCCTGCCCGTCGTTTGAGCCTCCCCGTTCAGTCGGTGTCGAGGAGGTCGTCGCTGGCGGCGTTTCAAACCTCACCCTCACACTTTGGTACCGATCGATTCGAAGCTCTTGTGTCGGCCTTGGACACCTCTCCTCGTTCTATGATGCCAAAGCAGTCTACTTGCTCGGCGCCTGGGACACCGGGAGGGGCTCTGAACTTACTCATCGACGACTACTCTTCCCTTCCTGATACCAAATGGAGCTGGCCTGTCCCCTCCAAGACGACGCCGGCCCCGCCTCGCCCGGGCGATCCAGCCGATATCGACTCCACTCCTACGGCCTTGGACCTCGATGCTCTTAACTTCGCGTTACCTCGGGTAGATGGTTCCTCGCCCAGCACCGATCGCTCTCATGGCGAAGACGATAGATCCGAGCCACAAGCCTCGCAGTCGTCGCGTTATATCCACGTGAGCGCGACGGTCTCGGAGGAGGCGCGCGCAGCTCGGCTGCAGGAACTCATCGTCAAAGCGGTGAGTTCGATAAGGCTGGGTTTTGTCGTTGCGTAGGAATAGTTTCCTTGCTGATAACTCAACTCTTCATGATAATTGCAGAAGAATATCCCGTCGTACAAAGGCTGGTGCGGAACCTCGGCACGAGGCATCATCGTAGTCTTTCATGACATTCGTGGTGCGAACGAGTTTATCGCTCAAATCGAGTCGCTCCTCAAGTCGAGCCGCGTGTCTGCTTGTCCCATCAGTCGCAAGATGTTTGAAGAGGTTCGTGAGCCGTGATCGCTTCTCCCCTCGTCTCACTCAATTGATATGCTGATCAGATGTGGCGCCCAGCAGATGCTCGATGTCGATCCGCTGCTACAAGAGAGCTTACTTTCGCCCTCGGAAGGAGTACTTGCGATTACCTGCAACGCGCCCTCGCATCTTCGTGAATCTTCCGTGCTCACATTGCTGTCATCGATGGGCTCTCTGCGCTCTTTCTCGATCGTCGAGCTTGGCATTATTTTGTGCGAGTACAACGATGACCGAAGCGCAGAGACGGCGAGGAGGGAGCTGGATGGTCGGGTACATGATGGGATCAGATTTCTATGCACCTTCGAGCCTGCCATGACGGTAAGTGATCCCAAGCACTGACTTTGTCTTACGGATTGAACCCTAAAGCTGACAGCCCACCCTGCTTGCTTAGAATGCCATGCATCTCTACACATTTGGAAGGAAAGATCCCAATTCAACCGCCAGGTGGAGGTCGATCTCTTCCCCAAGCACAAACTTCACCTCCCGAGACAGCTATGCTGCTCCCATCTCCCCTCTCGCTCCCAGTTTCGTCCCGCTCAAATCCATCGGCGAAGGATGTACCCCTCGTGAGGCTCGAGTAGAATCTCTCGATGGGCCAGACGGGTTCAATCGAGGTCCCCAAGACTCGGAGTATGACATTGGTGGTGCTCTGGCAAAATCAGAGGTGACAGCTTCGAAGGTGGGTGCGGGGGTGAGCGCTAGGCAAATCTGGCCCAGTAGTGTGAAAAGCACTGACAAGTCGATGCGCGTCTGGCAGTCCGCATCACATCGCAGTCTATCCTTGGCGTCGTCGTCGTCGTTCACGTCTTCGAGTATCCCGTCTTCTTCATCAAACACAGCTCCACTATCCCTACCTCTGACGCACGGCATCTACCGTGACGAGCGCATACCTCGCAACAACGTGATCGACCTCGAAAGGATCAAGCAGGGGCTGGATCTTCGCACGACCTTGATGCTCAAAAACATCCCCAACAAGCTCAAGGACGTCGATGTGATGAAGTTCATCGACGAGTCGGTGGGACGGTGCTATCAGTTCCTCTACATTCGCCTCGATTGGTCCAGTGGGTGCAATGTTGGCTACGGCTTTGTCGATTTCAACTCGGCAAGTCACAGGAATCTGGCCTCTCCAAAGCGAGACTTGACTGACCTCATTGCCATGTCATGATGGGTCGTCAAAGGTGGAGGATCTTGCCCGCTTTGTCCGCGCTCGAGTAGGAACTCGCTGGAACCTCGCAAATTCAGACAAGATATGTGTGGTGAGTGGACGGCTTACAGCAGCGGTGGCCTGTTGTGGTTCGTGAGCTGACTTTCGCTACAATTTGTGTGCTGCGCAGGCATCGTACGCGAATATCCAGGCAAGCACGAAATGCCCCTAGGCACGCTTCCTCCTACTGTTTACTGACCAGGGATACGAACCACTGAATTTAACGTGCTTAGGGTAAAGCGGGCCTCATAACGCACTTTCGCAACTCGAGTGTGCTCGACCAAGACGAGGATCGTCGACCCAAGCTTTTTTACTCTCCCGGTCACCCGCTCGCGGGTCAACCCGAGCCGTTCCCAGGTAGGTCGTTGTGGAATGTTCAGCAATGTCATATCTTTCTGATTCCACCTGCTCATTCATGATATACAGCCTGCGATGATCCGGTTCGCCGAGCCCGCAGCGCCGCCAACGCTATGAATGTCGGCCTGTTTCCCTCATCACGACCGACCTTCAAGGTCGCTAAAGCACGTCCGACTCAGATTTGATTACCGCACCTCAGCCTCGACACGAGCCTTCTACTTCCCCACCCTTGACTCAGCCTCTTTCCATCTCGGCCCCACAAACCTAATCATTGAGGAAGCTCAACAGTTTCTACTTGTTCTCCAATCGCTTGCCTACATTCCCTCTTCGCATCCGTCCACATTGACAGCCATCCCGCATCCCGCAATTCGCGCTCCAATCTCGCCCCGTCCTCCTCGCAACTATCCTCCTTAACATCTAGAGCATGTCCCCATTCGATCTATTCTTCATTGTTCGCCCCTGGATCCCAGCTTGCTTGTTCCGTTCAGTCTAGTTATCAAAAGCCTTCTTTCTATTGTTTGGTTTGCCTCAAACGTCGTCAGTCGTCAGTCGTTCGCTTTCTTGTACACGATTCGTGCCTTTCGTTCCATCAGTACCACTACTCCATGTATGGCTCTTCAATTCGAGTACTGTTGCAACCTCTCGAGTCAAATGTTTGCTCCTTTCGCGAGTCACCGAAGCGCATAGCGAGGTTGAAGGAAATCGAGTGAGCGGACGATCCATATTTTTATTTTTATTTGGTAGATCTCAGTGTAACAGAATATATTTCGATCCATCTTTACATCTTTACATCTCGAGTGAAAGTGGAGTGGGAAACATCAGTTGGTTCAAGCGCTTGTGGCATGCCATCATTTTGCACGATTATTTCTTGATCCTTCACTACATCGATACTACTCCCCATCTATTTCTTGTCAATCAAACTCTCAGCAACCCGCTTCCCCGTTCGTCGACCCCTTTCTCCGCCATCAAAACCTCCTCCTAATCTCGCGCTGCACCTCGTTCAACCTCCCCACCACATCCTTCGCACTCGCGACCGATCCCGACCCCAAGCCCATCAACCATTTCCCTACTGCGGTGGTCACGTCCGCAGCGGGGAAGAGGGAGTATTCGTCCGTTGGTGTGTCCCTTCTCATCGAGGTGGAGCCGACGGGGTTGTGCGTCGTTTCTTGCAGCCAGTTTTCGAGAAATGCGGTGGCGGAAGTGATGAGGAAGAGGAGGCCTTGGGAGGTGTGCCATGGTGGGACCTTGAAAAGAGGTGGGGGGACTCAGTGCTCATCCACTTGCATCGTTGACCAGGGATAGTGAGCTCACTTTGGCAGAGATCAACTCATCATACGTCGCGAAGATGGTCGACGGGGGGACACCCGCGTCCTTGAACGCCAAGGGGACCCATCCGGCTCGAGAGGCAAGTTTGTTATCGTAGCTGAAACGTTCGAACATCGTTGCGAGGGCCGCTAGTTGATACGAAAAGTGATTGAGTGAGCTTCCGATGTGCGTAAGGGGATGTGCATGAAGCGATCGTCTACTTACGGAGAGGGAAAGCGACGTCCGAGCTGTGGAAGCGTCGACCGAGCTCGGTGAGCTTGACGGTCAAAAGGTCGACCGCCTGGTCCGGATCTGCGACATCCTCCCGAGCTGTGAAATATTCAGGGTAAAAATATTCAGATCAGTCAACGAAGGAATAGATCACTGCCTGAACCCGGGCCCGCAAGCTTACTCTGCGCCAAAATCGCCTCCCACGTCGCGGCGACCAAATACGGATCTCGATGATCCGACACATGAAAGATGAGCAACACGATCTCCAACAACCTCAGCGGTTCCGCGAACTCGGAATACAACTCTGAAATCGTGAACAAACGATCTTCGACGCGATCCAACCATTGTCTCCTCTCCTCCTCCGTCATCTCCTCGTTGTCCAAGCCCTCGATCGCTCGATAGATCTCGATCTGTACTTGAGCGACTTCAAGTTTCTCTTCGACGTCGGTAAGGAATTGCACGGCTTGGGCATGCGTACTGGGGAATTGAGATTTCGCATTCGCCACCGCGAGGGAGAGGTATTCGACGCGTTTGTAGATGGAGAGAGGGAATTGGGTCGTTTCCGCTAGATGGGCCAAAACGCCCGCGGCGAGATCGTGGCGCGATGTACGGGCGTAGAACCGCCATAACAGATCGGTCTTTTCCAACGTCGTCGGTTCTTGGGCCAGATAGGCCTCGAGGTAGGGCGTTCGAGCTTCGAGTAGAGCGTCGGTTCGTCCTTGGGATAGGTACCATGCGTACAGTTCGAAATGGAGGAATTGGTCCTTGATCGAAAGCACCTTGTCGTAAGCGTTCGAACGGAGACTGTCCGCTTCGGCGTAGGACACCGCTCCCGGATTGTTCGAGTTCATCGCTTCGTTCAATAAATCGTCCGTGCTCAACAAGGTCTTGAAAACGAGTTGATGGCATTTCTGATGCAGGTCAAAGATCGCCTTCCGAGGATCGTTGGCAGGTTCACCTTCGAACGCAAAGGACAGAGCACGATCGGTGGGATCCCATTCGTGCGCACACGCGACGGCGAGTTCGATCGCTCCGAGGTAGTACCTCAGCTCGATATATTCGTGGCAGACTTCGCTGGCGCGTTCGAACGAGAGTTGCTTAGAGGCTTTGATGAAGAGACGCAAGGATTCGCGGAGGCAGTCGATGCGTTCCGAGGGATCGCTCGTATCCTTGGCTCGGCGGGTCGCTTCAATCGCCTGTGGGTGTGAGGCCCAGGGTGTGAGTGGATGATCCGTAGCCAGTTAGGGTAGAGTAGCCATTAAGATCGGTGCGTACCTTGTACAGCAGCACATCATCAGCACTACAGAACGACCCACACCTCTGCTGCAACGTCTCGCTGATCGCATCGACCTGTCACCGTCCCAAAAAGCATCAGTACCACCACCCCGACCAGCTCTTCCCCACAAAAACCATCACAAAACCACGACTCACACTCAACTGCCTCCCAATCTGCTGATTGATGACCGCACTGACCAACTTCCTCGCCACATCCCTCCCGACCTTCTTAGTCAACAGATCCTGCCAACTCAAACCCAACAACGTGTTCTGCGTACCCTGATCGCACATGGCGACCAAGTCCGAGATTTGATAATCGATCAGAAGGAGGACGAAGGAGATGGCTTCGACGGATCGGACGAGGAGCGATCGTAGAGCTTCGAGAGAGGTTTGTTCGGTTTGGTAGGCGTAGGTGAGGTGAGGTGCTTGGGTTAGGTTCGAGGGAAGGGCGAACAGACGCGATTCGGCTTCGATGAAGGTGCGGAGGGAGACAAGGTCCCGTTGCACTTGAGTCAAGACGCTTTCGGGGACGTTGGACACTTGGCGGGGCGAAGAGCCGGCAGGGCAAGAAGCGCCGGGAAGGGTTCGGGTCACTTTGGCGGACCAAATGGGTCGCAGCAAACGAGCGAGGTAGAAGGCCAACCCTTCGTGTTTACCGGAAAAGATCACTTGACCTCCACCTGACGAAGCGTTCGAGCTAAGTTGTTGGGATCCAAACCCTCCCCGGTCAACAGCGACGGGTCGTCCACCATGTTCGAAGAAGAGCGCTTTGGCATTCTCCACTGCGCTTGTAGGGTTGCGTGAGTTGGAAACGTAGGTCGAGCCGCCGTTTAGGTGCGTGGAGGGGGAGGTCGAGTCCGAGACGGTTCTGGTGAGGCGCGAGTTGCCGGCGGCGATGGCGAGCAGCATGGCGCAGCTTTGGTTCAAGCCAAAGCTGTGGTGTGATCAAAAGAGACGAGGATTAGCCTGTACCCTCACACTTTGTGCAAGATGAACAAAAGACTCACGCAGTGAAGAAGATAGCCACATCCCCATGCGCCTGATTCCCACCCAGTCCCGAAGCTCCTTCCAACAGATCCACCAACGTATCGATCGGTCTCTGCCTCGCGACCACATTGGCGCCCATATCGGTCAAAACAACCCACTCCCTCCTCGGCAACGCCACCTGCGTTGCCAACTCGTTCAACGCCGTCTTACCCCCCGGAACCAGCCCCGAATTCGCAGATCGATCCTGGATTTCGGCCATTTCCCATGTTTGTCCACCTATTTCGATCGTCGAAGCGATTTCGGAGAAGGTTCGTTGCCCCGTTGTAGTGGTTAATGCTCCGGGCCCATTATGAGACATGCTCGTCATCGTGGTAGTGGAAGAGGATGAAGGACCGCCGAGGTTCGCTTGTTGAGATGCGGCGGCGTTATCGGGTGCAGCGAGGAAGAGGACGCCGATTTCCTCGGAACGGTTGTTGGCGGCGACGAGCAGGCCCCCACTGGCGTAGATGGCTTGGTTGATGGCTTTGAAGGTGAATTCGGATGGGGTCGACGAGGCTGAAGCGAGGGGCTGTGAAGGTGGTGGTGGTTGCTGTTGTTGGGTCGATGGGGCACCGTAGAACGTCGATGTGGGTGGCTGAGGAGCGTGTGCGGTCTGGGTAGGGATGAAGGGCGGTGGCCGAACGTGGAAGAGTTCCAAGGCCCTGATGGAGCTTTGCGCATACGAAGGATACCTCCGCTGATGGGTAAAGTAGAGCCTCACACCGGTGTTGGTGATGGCGACCAAGGCGACCTTGTCCTTTTCGCTCTCCTGGAGGGCGATGATGTGCAAGGCGACGATGCGGAAGGAGGTGCCCTCCAAGGCGGGGGACTTGCACAGCTCTCGTGCGGCACGGAGCACGTCGCCGGTTCGTGCGAGCTTGTTCGGCGGTCCGTCGAAGCGGGCTGAAGGGGAAGAGGAGGGGAGCTCGTACATTTCGATGGTGCCGTTCCTCAGAAGGGTGTAGAGCAGGCCGCGCTCGTTGTCAAGCTGAAAGCTGATGATCCATTCGTTGGGGCTCACGGCGGCCAAGTTTCTCAAGAAGGACGGGACCAGGGATTGGGTGATGCTACCGAAAGTGAGGTTGTGCAAGGAGCAGCGCTTGACGAACCATCCTTCGGAGGATTGGTAGACGAGTTCGTAGAGCGCTCCGTCGCCCGGTCTGCCGTTGGGGAGTACGGCTTCGGGCGAGGTGGAGAGAAAGATGCGACCGGTGGAGGTGCCTTGGATGTGGGTGAAGGGCAGCGCCTCGGACGAGACGGAGAGACCGGTGAGGTAAAAGGTGATGTCGGGCGTCGACGAGGTCTCGGTCGGCGCGTAGCCCAATCCGACGAGCGTGATCTGGGTCGAGGTCGCGAGCACGAGGAGGTAGGAGATGGCGTCGACGAATACGTTCGGTCTCGGTCGTACGAGCGCGACGCCGATGATGATGTCGTCGAGTTGGTCAAAGGTCGTGCAGGAGGACCCGTCGGCCCAGTCCCAGAGCAGGAGCCGATGGTCGATGGTGACCCACGCGCGTTCGATCTCGGTCGAGAGACCCATGGTGCAGTGGGCGGTGGCTATGTGAGAAGAGGAGGGCAGTCAGTTTGTGGTGCTCGGGTGGGTGCGAGGGAGATGTGGACGCACAGGTGTATTCGTCAAAGAGGCGGTCGGGGAGTGCGACGGTCCGTCTCTTGACAAAGGGTGACCACGCGGGATGGGGACGCGGTACATAGTCGTACGATGCTCCGACTGTGGCGAGGCAAGTTTGGGTCAGACCGGGAAGTTTGATGTACGCTGTGGGGTCGTGCTCGAACGTGCTCGAACGTGCTCGAACGTACAGCCTAGCCTGTCGCCGACGGGAACCCATTGCTCGTCCCTGAGCAGCCGGTCGTCGATCACCTTGGCCGCTTGGGGGAGCGGCTCGTCTTCGGAAGGGGTCGGGTTCGTGCTGGAAGAGGAGGGTGCGGTCGTCGAGGAGGTGGTGGGCAGTGCATGGGGGTGGGGGTGGGAGTGGGAGTGGGAGTGGTCGGTCCGGGCTTGGCTCAACGACTGCGTCGGCGGGGGCGCATCGACCGAGATGGACATGGCGAGGGGGAGAGGGGAGAGTGCCGGTGTGTATGTATCTCCACTCGAGAGGAAGGAGCGGCGAGCAGGAGGCCCAGCGGATCGCCGAGGAAAGAAGACACAGGAGAGTCGGCCGCAGACTCGGGGTCAGAGGCGATTAGAGGCAGTTAGAACTATAGTTCGAGGCAGTTCGAGGCAGTTCGAGGCAGTTTAGAAGTGAGTAATGTGGCACTGAAGCCGGCGCGCGGACCAACACTGCCTGCAGCACTCCTTCAGTTTCCCCGGTCTCTTTCTCTTTCCGCCTGCCTACCCCGCCGCATCCAACGCCCGAATCAGTGCAACATGACGACGCTGCAGTCCCTTCTCGAACAGTCACAGCGACTCGAGTCGAACCAGCTCTCGTCGACGCTCTCGCTGCCCTCCGCGACGACCGCTGCCCGCTCTGGCGCGCCGTCCTCGTCTTTCCCTTTCGACGCTCACCACCCCTCTTCCGGTGCTCTCTCGAACGATCGTCGACTGCCGACCATCCAGCTCGGCTTGGACCAGATCGAGGCTCAGTCGAGGCGGATCGCGGCCAAGAGCATCCAGCACAGGCAGCCCCACGCCCATGCCAATCCCAATCCCAATCCCAATCCCAATGCGTCAGTGCAGTTCTCGACTCAGCCTCTACCGTCTACCTCGTCTCACTCTTGGCAAACATCTCCACGCTCCACAGCGCGTTCCTCTTGGCCCATGCCGGTGTCAACGCCGACCAGTTGCAATCGACCGTCGAGCACGTCAACCTCGCCGGCACCTTTGAGCCCCTGTTGCCGCTCAACGACACCGATGTCCAGGTCGGTACAACGGCCCCACCACCCCACCCCATCCACTCCCACCCCCGCACAGCTCACTCCAGCAAGCTCTCTCTCTCTTACTCCCCCAACCCGCAGGGCTTCCTCACCCACACCCACGAACAGACCATCATCGCCGCGATCGAACAAGGCCGCCGTCAGACGACCGCAGATTTCTACCGCTCTCTCGACGCGTCGATCCGTCACGACTGGGAACGACAAAAGGAGAACCTCTTTGACGAGCTGGGTCGTCATCAACCGGGCTATGCTTCCGGCTCATCCTCAACCGCGCCCGCGACGAGTTCGACTCCCAAGCGAGGCCTAGCCCCTTTCGCTCAGCACCGCGCCGTGAGTACCGCCCGCGCCCAGTGGGTCTCTGTACTGAGAATCCCGTTCGTACTCGAGCCCACAGTCTCCCCTCGCCCCGTTGCCCTCGTCCTCGACCGCGGGGGGCAACAATCCGTCCGGTTCGCTACAGATGCACTCCCGCATGATGCGCTACGACCGAGTCGTACGTCGGCTCAACGAATTCCGCAAGCAAGGCTTCGCATTCGCGCTCGTCTCCGCATTCGGTGAAGCCAGTATCGGCGTCGGAGCCAACACCACCACCCACCGCGCCGGGGATCCGAAAGCGACTCAGACGACCGAGACGTGGCGTTTGCTCGCTCATGTGGTGCAGGAACGTGATGTCCTCAATGGCGAGTTCCAGCGCAAGGCGTTGCAGGAACGCCAGTATGCTGCGGCCTATCTTGGCCTGGCTCAGGATGCAGTTCAGCCTGCGCAGTTGAGAAAGATGATCGCCGAGGGGGCGAAGCATCATCTCGAGGAGCAGTCAGTTCAGCACCGTCTTCCATTCAGCCGGGGTCCCCATTCTGATGCCACTTCTCGCCCTCACCAGGTTCATGAACTACGTCGAGAAGCTCTTGGCTTCGAGACCGACCGAGGCGGGCTTGGGAGGTGTGCCTTCGTTGCAGAACAAGATCCGCGCTTTCCTCAACGTCAAGTACCACAAGAATGGCCAGTGGACCAACCCGAACCTCGAAGTACGTAGACCCGTGCGGTCACCTTCGCAGAAGAAACTCATTCTCGTCTCTCGTCCCACAGATCGCCAACAACACCCCCGTCTGGGCTCGAATCTACTACCTCCTCCGCGCCGGACACCCTTTCGAAGCTCTCGCCTTCGCGACCGAGAACGAAGCCCAGATCCAGAAACTCGAAAAGAGTTTCGTCGCGTACCTCAAAGCCTACCTCGACAGTCCCGATCAAAGACTACCCAAACTCTTGCGCGATCGGTTCTTGTCCGAGTACAATCAACGCATTCGGTATTTGACCGATACGTCCGATCCTTACAAGCATGCGTTGTACAAACTCATCGGGAGGGTCGAGATCAATCGCAGGAACGTACCGGGCGTGACGCAGACGACGGAGGATTGGTTGTGGTTCCAACTTTCGCTTGTGAGGGAGGCCGAGGCCGGTGGGGTCGTAGGCACCGAGGCACCACATGAGAGGTATGGCTTGAGGGATCTGGCCAAAGTGTTGGTCAAGTTCGGGGAAGCGCATTTCGATCCAAAGGGGAATCGACCCATGTTGTACTTTCAGGTCCTCTTGTTAAGTGGTCAATTCGAAAGGGTGAGTCAATTCGGGCCAAGGGGGAACTTCAAGTTGGGTCTGGCTCATCTCCCTTTTGAGCTCGGTCACAGGCGATCGCTTTCTTGCACCAACATTCGCAATTCCATGTCGATGCTGTTCATTTCGCTATCGCTTTGGAGTACTATGGGCTACTTCGCATCCCTTCCGCGCCGCACACTTCGGACGTCGACCTTTGTAAGCACACAACCCCAGATTGTGCCCGGGAACAAATCAGCTAACTTGCTCATTTTACCCTCATAGTGGTCGTTGAACAAGACTCCTCGGGCTACGATCTCGCCTCGATCCACTTTGCTCGTCTGCTGCACCGTTACACCCGCTCGTTCGCCCAGACGGACACCGAAGAAGCCCTCAACTACCTCTACCTCATCTGTCTCAATGCCGACCTACCCGCACCTTTAGGTCCAAACCAAATTAAATCCTGCCACGACCACATCCGACAACTCGTCATGGAAACGCGAAATTATGCTCAACTGCTAGGCGACGTCAAGAACGATGGCACCAAAGTTCCCGGCTTGATCGAACGCGATCTCAAATTGATCCATCTCAAGGATGAGAGGAGTTATTTGTTCGAGATCGTCAAGAGCGCTGCGACGAGGGCCGATCAGGAGAAGAGGTTCTCCGAGGCGATCTTGTTGTATAATCTTGCGGATGAGTGGGATAGCGTTATTGCGGTTCTGAACGCCGAATTGGGGCAGTCGTTGACGAAACCTTCCAGCCACGTCGAAGGAGCAAATCGAGGAGCGAACGAAGATTACTTCTCCAAATCGAATGCGACGGTGGGAATGGCAGCCGGTCAAGAGGATATCGCTCAAATCGCGCACTCGATCCTCCAACACTACGATCGACAAGCAGGTGGAGCAGGCGGTCGCATCTCTCGCAAGAACCGCGAGACGTGTCATGTCCTCCTTCGTCTCAAAGAAGCCATGACCCTCAACGAACAAGGCCACTTTGAGAAAGCGCTCCAAACGATCCAAGACGTCAACCTCGTACCCTTGCATGGTGATCTCGTAGCCATCATTCGAGCAGCAGAGGAATTCAAGTCGTTGGACGAGACCTTGGTTCGCAATTTCGATACCATCTTGTTGACGACGATGCAGTTGATCTACAAGATCCACCAGGCGTTCAAGAGTAGTCCTTTTGGGGATGCGGCGAGGCAACAGAGCATGGTCGAGTTGAGGCAGAAAGCCAGGAGTTTGATGATGTTCGCAGGGATGGTGAGTTTTGGAATACGGGCGATCGGTTCGAGTTGGTTTGTGCGAATCACTGAATTATCGACTGTTGACGTTCTTGCAACCAGCTGAGGTACCGCTTGACGAGCGAGACCTACTCTCAACTGACTCGATTGGACGTGTTCATCCATTGATCCAACTTTTCCTTTTCCTCTCGGTCATGGGTGCTCTCTCTCCTCTAACACGAACTTTTGTAATGAACAAAATAATCCCGGAGGATGTGACATGAAAACCAAAGTTCGAGTGCCCACGGACTTCCGAGTGACCAAAATTCCAAGTGCACGCCCGCGCACGCGGAGGTCCGATGCGGTCGATATAATGTGGACTCGGAGGTCCAACCTCAAAAGAAACGTAATCACTCGATCCTAGAGACGAAAGAGCCGAACATCTCGTTTGAAAAGGTCTTGATCTAGTCACGTTCTCCACTCGTGGTCACGTTCGAACGTCTTGACCAACTTCCCTCTCTCATTAACTACTACCCTGGAAAGTTCTACGACAACAACACCACGAAAGCCGATTTGACACCCAAACCCCAAAGGAAACAAAACAAAATAGCCGCATATTCATAAGAGTCACACACGAATGGACCGCACCCTTTTGGAGAGAGACGAATAATGCCCGGAAAACAAAACACCAGGGGGGTCCGAGGAAGAACTAAAAGCGAACGGGCCGACATCGATACATCAACCACTACTTGCCGAACAATTTGTTGGCAAACCCCCTTCTCTTCTCTTTGGGTCTCGTAATAGGAGCGATAGGGACGATCGCGGCCAACCTCGCTTGTTCCAATGCGTCCAGATCGACTTGTTCCTGTACGCTCGTCACGGACGATCCACCACCTCTCGACGAGCGATTGCCGGCTGAGATCTCATTCTTGGGAATCGAACTTCGATGGTGAGAGGTTGCGGGTGAAGACGAGGGTGGTACAACGGCTTCGACGTAGGAGACACCCTTGTCGCCCATCCCCAGGATCGCTTGAGGTTGATGAATTTGGACGGGTATCGAAGCGCTCCCAGACGAGGTCAACGGATGGCTCGAGGAGTGGTGGTGGTGGTGGTGGGGATGGTGCCCATGCTGGTGGTGTGACGACGAGGCCGCATTGCGCAAGGTATGCGTTTGCGACTTGCCCGATCGGCTCGAAGAGGGCGACGAGGCGCGCGTCGGAGGGGCAGTCGACGAGCCCGAGCCGGCGTTCACCGACGCGGCAATCGGAACGAACGTGATGCCGCCCAGTGTCGACTCGCTGTCTCTCGAGCTCTTGCGCGATGGCGCAGGCATCGCTGCCGAGTGTGTCGCCGTCGCATGCGACAACCCGCTCACAGGACTGACGCTGCGACGACCCGAAGCGGCCGCAGCAGCAGGAGGCATGAGCCGGTCGACGGGAGGGATCGCTCTCCACTGCGGCACCGGCACCGTCAATTTCGACACCGTCGTCGTGGCCGTCGGCAAAGCGCTGTCCCGAGCCTCAACGGCAGATGTTGGCCCAGCGGCTTTGCTCGAACTCGTCCCGATCGTCTCGAAGCGGAAACCTCCACTGGCACCGGGAGATGGGGTAGCCCCTCCATTCTTCTCGATCGCTTTGAGTCGACGTTCAAGCGCCAGTCCCTGCCCGTATGCCGCAAGTGTGTCGGTCAAGCTCATCGGGGCCGTCGCCGCACCAGCCGCATTCTTGGTCGTCGATGCGCCCGAGGCACTCGAGCCGCTCGCAGCGAATTCCAAGAGCTCCTGCTCGACCTTCTTGACCCGGGTCCTTGCCTCGGCACTGGTCGTGATGTGACCACTGGAGTTGACATGCTGACGAGTTCGGGTGTTGTTCGTCGAGGGTGAAGAATGAGGCGACGACTCGTACAACGGCGAGAGCACCGGTAACCGCGCATGGTACTGCGGAACGGGCGAGGCGTTGTGAGAAGATTTGCTCGTCGCGATCGAGGTCGCAGTAGTCGAGTTCGTCGAAGGCGCATACGTCGAGAGCGTCCCTGGGCCAGAGTAAGACGAAGCAGGACTGGACGAGAAGCGACCATCCGTACCCGCTGAGTTGCTGCGGCTGGTGCGTGTCTCGGCCTTTTTGACAATCGGCTCGGGTGCCAACGAAGGTGAAGTCGGCACAGTCCGACGCTGCGACTCGTTGACATTCAGACCCGCAAGCTTCGTCGACAAGTGACGACGCGATAACGCCGAAGATGCGGTCGAGCTCGCGCTATCGGTCCGATTGCGCACGACGAATCCAGCTCCACGCCGTGCAGGCTCAACTGTCGTCCTCGACCCAATGCTCGAAGGCACGTGCGTCTCACCCCTGCTCCTCGTACGGCTCGAAGTACTGCCGCTCGCTCCATCGTCACTCGTCGGTCTCGATGAAGTGAGCAGCGAGTCGGGCGTGACGATGCCCGAGGGAATCTGGGACTGGGGCGGGGTATGTAGTGAAAACTGACTGCTCGTCGCGCTCGTCTCGCGCCGCCGCCCAGCTGGTGCCACGAGTGGGGGGCCACGACTCGATGGAGAGCCAGCCGTAAGACTTCGCTGCCTCAGCGTCGAGTTGACCGGTGTAGCTTCGTCCTCGTCATCGATAAAGACCTGAACATTGGAGGACGACGACTGAGGCGACTGAGGCGTGGACGAGACGACCCGACCACTGAGCTGGGACGAATGCCGAGGTCGATAAAAGGACGCTGCACTCGCGGTGGAGATGGAGCCCGATCTCGACAGCGACGCAGGTGGGGGTGCGGGTGGACCCATCATATGGTCAGGAGCGAAAGTCGTCTTTGTAGGAGGCGCAGTCGCCGGCGTTTCGCTAATGCTCGTCAAGCTCCCCATCGAATCGCGCTTTGAGTGAGATCTGGTAAGTTCTTCGCTCTTCCTCCGCATTGGCACATCCTCGTTTTCGACCTCGTCGGCTTCCGTCCCAAACTCGCAGAGATCTTCCTCGTCCTCGATAAAGTCCCCATGAGGATCTTTTCCCCACACCGAGGCCGAGAGATTGCTCTTGCTACTGCTTTTACGGAGCACACGTCCCGAAGGTCCGTCCGAGGGGCCCCGGTAACCGAGTCCGAGGGCATGCTTGAGCGCCGCCGTCGGACGAGCAGCCTTTTCGAACACGCTTGGGAGGCTCGGCCGTCTCGCCGAGTGTGACTCGTGTATGGGGTGGTTGGCGATCAACATCTTGCTCCCTGATGACTTGGGCCCTTCACCAGTCCCGCCCGCAGAGATGGGACTCTGACCGCCGATCGTATGCAACGACATCGACGCGGCGGCGTTGGGTGGTCGCTGCGCTAGCAATAGATGTGGGTTCGACGCGTGCTGCTGCAAGCTCACGGCGAGCGCATCCAAACTCCGTCTCGGATGCAGTCGCTTCTTGCTCAGACTCGATCTCAAACTCGACGACGACGACGATACCTTGCCCTGGTTGATGGAAAGAGTATCGTCCTCAAAGCCCTCAGACCATTCATGCAACAGTTGCGCCGCCTCGAGATGCCCTTTCTGTTGGGCGATCATCTCGGGTGTAAGGTCGTACTTTTCGAGTGCGTTCGGCTTGGCGCCGTACTGCAACAGGATCTCGATGACGCCCGCATGGCCGTTTGCAGCAGCAAAGTGGAGCGGTGTCGATCCGGCCGTGCCGACTGCGATCCCAGACGATCGAGTCTTTTCATTGCTGTACCGTCTTGGAAGCCTGTTCGAGATGGGAAAGCGGGCGTCAGTGAGATGATCCATCAGCGCGTGATTTGCAAGGCAAAGAGCGGACCTCGGTGAGTTGACATCGGCGCCAGCTGCAATGAGCATCCGAACGATCTGCTCGTTGCCCGAGCTCGCGGCTGCGTGCAGGGGCAGTACGCCATTGAGCACCGAGTTGACGGGTTGACCATGTTGTAGAGCGTACTTGACGAGGCCTGTACGGGTATATACAAAAAGACGCGCGGCGGAAAAGAAGGAATGGTCAACGCTCGTCTCACGGGGCTCAAGCTCGGTGATCGAGACGGGGGGGTTCCGCCGCGCCGAAGGACCATGCGAGTCATGCACGGTGTATGACCAGCAATGACCAGTCGACCATCGGAGCCGCCGGATCGTCGTGAAGAATCGCCGATGCTGTGACGGGTAGCTCATGAGTCGTGGTGAAGATTTCCAGCTACGACCCGCGGGAACCGATCGAGCTCCGACGACGAACTCCGAAACGATCAAGCAATGTGGGTTTTCCGTTCCGTGGGCCAGGCACACCTCATCCAAGTGGCCAGCGGCGGCGGGGCGGTGAGGGGCACGCGCGCGGCGCCGGGGCGCGGAATCTGAACGAATCGGGCCGAGGCTCAAAGCCAGCAAGCCCGCCCACGGCTAAATCGACGATCGAGTTGATCGTGAAGAGGAGATGGCACAAGTCGTGGTAGCCCCACCCGCAGGATCGCAAGCAAGAGAGAAAAAGGCGTGAGAACGTACCAACGTTGCCATTCGCACAGGCTGAGTGCAAGCTGAGGTCGAGATAGTCTGTCGTGACGCCTAATCGGGCCTGGTGCCTCGACGAACTGCCCGCGCCCACGCTCGCACTCGCAGAGCCAGCCCGTCGAAGCAAGCTGCCGACGGCGGATGACGACGAGGGGGTCGTCGAGCCCGAGGCGCCACCGTAGGTCGAGCCGTAGACTTGGGTCTTGGAAGAGGAACCCATTCCGACGATCAGCTGCGGCTGAAGTCCAGTCGTCCTCAGTGTAGGTCGAATCCGAGAGCGATGTGGAGCGTCGTCCCCGGGGAGTTGACGCGGCGGTCAAAGCGACACGGCGCGGGTCCGAGACACCAGTCGAATGTACGACCTCTCTTCGTGAACGTCACTACTTCCTCGACGGCTTCCTTCTTGCCGCCCACGTAGATGCGACTTGACGCGTGTGGTGACTCGTCCACAGGGGCGAGCACGGCCGGTCGGTCAGTTTGCCCGGGGCGACGAGACCCACAAGTGCTTTTAGGCCGAGCCTTGATTGGGCGATCCGTTGCCGTACCTCGACCTTGAGCCGTCTTCTCCAATGCACAACGATCCAGAGTCGACGTCTCGAAGACTCCTTGTGTAGCAGACCCGTCGTGCGACTCCTCCCCGGTGTGCGTACAGAGCGAAGAGGTCGGCTGCGGCGGAGAGAGGGTCCTGGGGCGGAGCTGGGTGTGGTGGTTCGAGCTGAGCCAACGGTCTCGGCTCCCTCCCCGTCTTCTTGTCGTCGTTAGCTTCCCTCGGGGATCGGATTCAATCGCGATTTTCTCAGACTACATCGGCCTTAGAAGATGAATGATATCGCCTCCTCATAAGACTAGAGTCCCTCGAGATTTTCTTGACTGTTGTAACACACCCATGTGGCCATGAATCCTCTCGGCGAAATGATCTCGGTTTTAAAAATCCTCCATCACCGTGCCTCAGGGTAAGTTGAAAATCGAGACGATCTCCTATTACTCAGGTACTACACAAACTACCACCAGATCATCCTACCAAAATGGGCTCATTCCGTCCACACAACGCAGTACATCCATCACTCCAAACAAACCGTTGGACAACCCTCGGGGACGCCGTGGGTGTGCACACCGTGCGTGCGCATGCTCCTCGGAGTTTTGCGTGCGCTCCCCGAGGCTTTCGGAATGAGTTAGCTCGGGCGGAGCTGAGTGATCCAGTGACCGAGACTGCAGGTGGTCTCGGGTCACTTACTGGAGCGGAAATGAGGGATTTCTTCTTCAATTATTGAGGTCGTGGACCATAACTATGCTCCTATGCTCCCGGGGTGAACGACATCGCCAAAAGTCACCCTCCGACCAATACTGCGGACCCGAAACGCCACGCGCTTGCTGAGGAATTAGGGTCCGAGCTAAACAATCGTGTGACCTCTCGACTGGACGTAGCAAGGTGAATTATGACATTCTGACTGCAAAGCGAACGAGCTTCTACAAATACAAGCAAAGACGAGAGAGAGAGAGAAAAAGACCACAGAATCTGAGCGAGATGAGAGTGACGAAAAGTTCTAGAGAGAAAGTTGCAGTTTGGCACGCGGAGAGCTTGTTTGAATTCGGCACCGAATGACACCTGTTCTCCGAGGAGAGGATACCCCTATGCCGATGCCGCTCCTCCAGTAGAATGAGCATCCCCATCTGAAAGATCCGAAAGCGAAGCAGGGGATGCCGAAGAGCGTAAACGTTTCGCGGGTTGAGCTCCGAGCGACTTAATCGGCACTGGAGGGCAGAACACGATCTGTAGCCACATCATCGCGTCAGCACTTGTTGGGATGAGCTAAGATCATACCTATCAATATCCCCAGCTTACGAGCTTGTCACACAGTTGTTGCAGCCCGGAATCTGACAGTACACCCTCCTCGTCCTCGTCCTCGTCGTCCGAAGGTTCGATCGGTGCACGCTTGCGGGGTGCCTAGTGAGTAGGGTGTTCGCAGGCCGCCATGTCAGATCTGTACAGTTTCATCCTTGCTTGCGGAAGGTGTACTCACCTTTGCCTGCTGCTGCTTTTGAATTTTGCGCGATTGTTGCAGTTTAGACTTGCCGATCAGGCCTTGCTTGAGATGCAGGCTTGGCTGTGGGTTTCCAGAGGACGCGTAGAGTCAGCCTTCGCAATAGTGACAATCTTGACGGCTCGTGAGGACCCACAAAGTAGTCGAGAACGGTATTGAGATGGGCGGAAGGAGCGGGGTGAGCGGGTTCGCAGGTGTGGTCGGGTTCAATCTCCTTGCACGTGTAGGTCTTTGCGCCGGCCGAGGTCGGGGTGAGTCGGATCTGCCACAGGCACGCGTCATCGTTGTCGTTCTTGCCTCGGCACTTGAAGAGGATGTCCTTGGAGCGTACGACGGTGATGACAGCGTTGTGTGGGTCGCGGCGCGAGTCGGCGCGTGCGTACGCTTCGAGCTTGTTGATGTCGGCGAGCGTGTAGACGGTCGGCCCGACCTCGAGTGACATGGGTGGTTCCGTCGGCTGTGGTGATCAAATGAGCAGCATAGATGTTAGGTCTCGGGTCTCGGAGGGCCCATCGTAACGTCCGAGAAGCGCTTGAGGTCGCGTCGTCCACCCCCTCGTGCGCGTCTGTGATCACGCTGCAGAGCCCGTCCGTCGACGGTCGCCATCGCAAGTTGCCACACATGCAGTCATGGTAGGATTGCTTATCCCGAACTGACCTGGATGACATCGCCGACTTTGAGATGGCCCGAGTCGGGGTGCGAGTGGTGATCCTTGAGACTCGGTTTGGCGGACTTGCCCGCCTTTGGGGGCAACTGCACGCGACAAGTCCCATGCGGGTTCTTGGCATTGGCGTACTGCAACACCGCAAGGGTCGACTGACACCCACCCGAGTTGGGTGTCTTGGCTTCGATGCATCGGATGAAGGCATGGGCCGTCGCGGTCGGAGTTACACGGGAGGCGAGGTTCGCGGTCGCAGAGTAGCCCGCGGCGAGCGTCGCGAGTTGCATCACCAGCAACAGGTCCTTGGGCGAATCCCATCGCGTACCGGGCACGGGCCACAGCTTCTGGGGGTCCGAGACGGTCTCGTACACTTTTTCGGGCTTGCCGGTGGTCATAGGCGCCGGGGAGGGCATCGCTTCGGGCGAGGTGGCTTCGGACATGGTGCGCAACGGTCGAGGTCGTTTGCGAGCGGGTGTGGAGTGCAGCGGCACAAGTCAAAAAGCATGGCACGCGCCCACCTGAAGGCCTGAAGGCCATGCTTCGGCGCGCCCCAAAGCAAGCCGGTCTAGTAAGCCGGTGCAGCTTGATGCGCGGACGGCACCTTTTAGTATGAACAACGAATCCACCTAGCGCTTTTCACTTGATCGCAATTTCAAAATCAAGTTCTGGTCAGAGAGCACCCTCACGGCACCCTCGCGGCTGTTACCGGCGGCTCCAAATTGAAAATGCAGAGGCTGCAGTGAGCGTGAGCGCAAGCAAGCCCGGCCGGGTTTCACCCGACCCGAAATTCGAGGTAGTTCGGCGGCCGGGCGCGGCGGGGCATCATCGGATCCAATGACTCCAAAGCGCACGTGCGAGTCAGCGACTTCGAACTTGCAGTGCCTTTAGTTCCGATCGTGAACGAATCTTGACCCTGATACGATCTCCCCTTCCACTCTTGCATTCTTTCCCCTTACTGCTCTCTCTCGGCTTCACTTGCTCAAGTCTTGAAAACAGCCCGCGGTCTCTCGGGCCCGGCCTCGCCAAGCTCACCCCCATTTCGACACTGGCGTCGGCGGGCATGTCCGGCGCAACCCCGCTCGTCCCCGGCATGGCTATCGTTTCAGGCAGCTTCAATTCCTCCTCGTGCCGTCATCCCGAGTGTGGATGTCCAGAATACGAGCCCCCATCATCCGACGCCGAACAAACTCAACACGAGCACATTGCTCATCCCGTGCGGACGGTCGACTCAACGGTCGAGGCAACGGCCAATCTACGAAGTGTCCCACTTACTCCTCGGCGAGCCTGGCTTCTTTCGGCCTGCGGTACATGCGAGCATTACACGGGATGGCACAAGTCTCCTATACATCTCACATCTACCCAGGCCAACGAGATGAGAGAACGTGATGGGGACGCTCTCGAATTTTGCAAGGCCAAGACGACCGAGGGGAAACCTTGTCCTTGTCCGGCCTTCGTGCCTAAAACGAGACAGCGTCAAGCGACGATGGTGTGCGCTCTTTGCGAGTGTAAGAAGGGCTGGCATAAGTACAAGCAGGATGAAAGGATCGTGAGTCCTCCAGAACCTCCTTCGAGATGGGATATGGATATAGACTGATTGGGGAAGAGACCGTCTCGGTCCAGTCGTCTGTGGGGGTCCAGTCACGTGCCACTGTCGAATCGCAGGAGAACACTGCAGTGGGTCAGGTAGCATCACTACCGTCACTCATCCCGGAAGCTTCATTCGAGGTTACTGCCAACCAAGATCTATTTACGTCCGGCTCGATCACTATCCCACCACTCCAGTCCGCTTCAGCCCAAGGCAAACGAGTCGATCGGACTCCCGACGAGAGTTCTGCGATGGGCTCGTCTCCGACCAATTCACCCTCAACAATAACTTCCGATGCCGTGAATCTCCTTATCCCAAATGTTTTCAAGAACATCATCGATGCCCAAACTCTACCATCACCGATTCCGGTTTCCTCGACCGGAGATGACGCGGAGGGGCGGGATGGGCTCAGTGCGCAGCAGACGCAAGCGAAAGAGATGGAGCACTACGATCTCGATGGAACCTCCCGCGTGGGTGGTTCGGGGATGAGGGAGGATCGACAATCATTCGCCACCACTTTAACACAGCCTCTCGATTCCATGGCATCGCCCTCATCGACATCGACGCCTCCGATCGAAGAACTGGCGCCTACCACAATACCGACGCACTCGGTGCAATACGGAATCGCCGTGACCACTCCCAGGGCCATCTCCAACTACTCTCCGAGTATTGAACCCACTATCCGAGACGTGGGTATCTACTCCGCCAAGAGCATGAAGCTCGCCGTCGAACCGGCGATCGCGAATAATCGTACCTGGGCACCGGGACAGAAGTTCGACATGCGACTCAAGTTAGACGATTCGGTGTCCAAGGCCGATTTTGAGGTTTTGGAGTGCAAGATTTTTGCCACCATCGCGATCAACTCGGTGAGTAAGGCTAGTCTCAAGAAGACTCGACGCTATGCACCACACCTGACAAGCGTCAATTGGGTGCTGCTCAGATCACCTTAGATCGCCACCAATGCGCCATGACACGAGTCGGCATACTTCCCGTCCAATCATCCTCCGTCAACGCCCCGAATTTCAACGAAAGATGCTTCTACTGGACGTTGACGCTTCCTGTCGAATCGACGTGTGGCTGTCTTCCTCGCTGTCCTGCCCCCTCGACGTATTCGCATAGCGGTTTCTATGTCGATTGGGTTCTGGAACTGACGGCGAAGAAAAAGGGACTGTTTGGGGGCAAGAATGAAAAGTAAGTGCTTCTTCCCATTGAGGAAGTTGGGGTTGGGGTCAGAAATGACTCACGCGCCTGGTGGTCGTTATCAGGCTTGTTCTGCACTTCAACGTCGCTGCCCAATCGTCGGGTCTGGAGTCCCCAGTACGAAGTCTCGATGACCCCAGTGAGCCAGGATCAACTGGGTGGAGATCGATCTTCAAGGAAGGACTCCGCTATGAAATAGAAGGGACCTCACGATGCATCGTCGAGCCTCGGGTGGGTCATCGAACTTCCCGGTCTTAGCGAGCTCCTAGACCCGAATTGACGCTCAACCTCAATTCGCAGATCGAATACCGATCCTGTCGGACCATCGAAGTCTCGAGCTCACCCACGTCCAAATCTTGTATCAAGATTCACTATCGGATCTCGGCACCCCTTGAATCCATCTCGGCGCTTCCCATCGTAGCATTCTGGGAACCCCCGTCCGTGCCCGGCGCCTCTCAGCAACACATTGTCCGTCTCGAGCGCACAGCTCAACTCATCAAGCGCACGGAACTTGGAGTCGGGGTGGCGAAGATTGATTGTGCGGCTGTACATCAAACTCAGGTGGTGATGACTTCGCCTGAGGACGAGTTGAGTCGGGCTGCGGCTGATTCAGGGAGGAGGTGGTGGCGAGTCGAAGGGTATCTCGTCGTTCCTTCGAACGAGATGAGGGATTTGAGGAGCTGCAGGGCAGCGGTACAGTGAGTGTCATACCTCATCGCAACCTCAAACCTCTGTGTAGCTTTAAGTACTGGGGACTGACCTTCTGACCATTCGCGCATCACAGGTTCAGACTGAAAGTCACCATCCCCTTCAGGGGTTGGGTCAGGTGCGCCGATGTCCTGCAGCTGCCTCAACCTATGCACTGGATCGACTTCGAGATTCCAGATATGGCCATGCCACCACTCTTCGTCCATGACGATGACTCGGTCACTTTTGACGCTAAAGCGAATGGCTCGTCGTCCCCCGGTCAGAGTATGAAGCCTACGTTGACGAGCTCCAGCGGGGCGTTCGTCCATGACCCCCGAGCGGAGGGGCCGGATACTTCTGGCTCTGCGGAATCAAAGAAAGTGCGGGAAAATATGCGAGGGAACACCTCGAGTGGTACGACGTCGCAAGAGAGTTTTTCACCGACTTCACCGACTTCACCTTCGAAATCGAGTCGGCGCGGTTCGTTCTTTTCGCGACTCCTTTCGAATCAAGAGCATCGTGTGCAGACAGCGGTCTCAGCACCAACACTACCCCCACCCAATTCGACAATCCGCAATACCGCAATCGCCCAACCTTCAGGCACTCCACTCCAACGAGCGCGTTCCGCTCCAAGTCAGATGCTCGAAAACCCTTCCAGGACGACACCCACCCAGCTTCCAGTTCAAGCACGTCTCCCCACCTTCGACGAGTTACATGTAGAAGAGGAAGTAGACGCTCCACCACCGACATTTGAGGAGGCGACGGAGGAAGACTCGAGGTACGTTTGGGAGAGGATCATGCAGCGTTTGGAGGATTAGGTGGAAGAATAGGGGCTCGAGAGGGAGGTTCAGGGTAAGAGGATTGACGAAGCAGGTTTTCTTTCGCTAGCACAACCTATTTCTCATTTATCTCGTTTCGAGTTGTGAAATGCCCGCTGTACGGGAATTTAGGCCGGCGAGGCCGATATCGCCGAGATCTTGAAGAAGGGAGCCTTTCACGCACGGACCCACGCGCTCGGCTTCGCAGACCCGGATCCGCGATCGCTGCGGCTCTTGCCGTTCGTACTCCTCCGTCTCAGAACTACCACCAATCAATTTTAGTAAAGGTCATCGCTGAAACACTATAACGAGGCATACGGAAGATCGGACGCTCCACACCTCATTCACCCCGTCACCCATCCTCACGCTCCTCAATCCCGTCTCGCCTCCCAGCTCTTCCCTTTGACAAACATGGCATCCACCACAAAGACCAAACCCACCTCTTCGTCCACACCCATCTCCTCACAAAACCACTTTGGCTCGCTCCTCTTCTGTTCGCGCTGTGGTGATCTCCTCGCCCTCCCCGGCGACGACGACGAGATCGTTTGTGATGCGTGTGGGCAGGTGGAGGATGCTGCTGGTGCGTTCGACACATTCACCATAGGGCTCTGTGATCGTTCGAGTGAAAACTCATCGGAAGCGATCCCCGCACAGCTTACGAGAACCAAACGATCACGACCCGATCCCACCCCGCGGCGTTCCCGAGTTCGTTGAGGCAGAAGAAGACGTCATTGGTCAAACATACCGGTGACGTCGAAAAGAAGAAAGTATATGTACGTTCGTTTCAGCGTCCCTCTTTCGATAGTGGAGCCCAAGTTCCTCTTGAGGCCGTCAATCCACGCTCTTTTTCTCGGAAAAATTTTCCACCCGTAGCTCCTCGAGCTCACCCCTTGCTATTACCCTGCTTCTACCCGAACAGGTCGATGAGATGTGCGAAAAATGTGGCAACGAACGCATGTCGGTCAAGACGATGCAACTCCGGTCCGCCGATGAAGGAGGTCAGTCGAGTGCCACCCACATCCCTGAACCCGATGATCTTTCCCACGGAAAACTCTTCGCTGACGCACGGTTATCATCTGAATGCAGCCACGGTTTTCTACTCTTGCGAGCGATGTGGTCATCAAACGAGGTTGAACAATTAGATCGCATCGGGAGGTACGGCATTCGGGTATGGAGCTCTTTGAATTACTTGGTCTCTGGGGGGAATCGTGCTGGCTCCAGAAGAATGTTGTAATTGTACCAGGTTCGGCGGTCCTGCGCACAAACGTCTCACTTCTATAAAGGCTTGGAGAAATACTTGCCTTGTCTCCCTTCACCGGAAGTTTGCGGATTCCAGTCTTTCTAACGCGATTGTATACGAATGGAAGGGTTCCGTGTGCGTAAAGGCACTTCGAATTGGCCTGGCCGACAGAGGGAAAGCAGAGTAACCATGATACAATGAACATACAGTGACCTGTAAAAGGGTTCGGCGTTGAGTTCGAAGCGACAGTCCCACAGTAGAATGCGAAAAGACGAGGAAGACAAAACGACGGTTCTGCACTCGCCTCGCCGAGACATCTCTCTATGGATGACTAGACTGACCCTACAGTCATTTGGGGCGACTGAAGAGTCGCCAGGCACAAGCCAAAGAAGCTGGTTGGGGTGCGTTGTATTGCAAGGTGGAACCCCCAGCCCCGGATTGCCCTTGAAACGCTTTCGACCCCGGCTCACTCCTCCGTGCCCGATGCCTCTACTCAGCTACTTGCCCAGGTTTGATTGACGCATCCGCTCTTGCTGGTCTTTCAACTGAGCCAGCTGCTCCAGCTCCTCGCGCCTGAATTTGCGCACTACCTCCCAGACCATACGCTCGCTGCTGAACAACCATTTTTTTCGTTCGAGTTCGCTGTAAAAGCGGTCAAGGTGGATCCAAGACTACGAATGAAGAGGGACCGTCACATCATGTCTGGGAAACGTCTCACACGACACAGGTGAATATCAGCCAGTTTACTTACGTTGATCGTCCAGGATATGACGGCACCGTTGTAGAACCCCAGGACGGGGAGGAGCCATCGCCCGTGCGCTTCCAAACGCGCGGCCCACACCGAGGCCGACATCGATTCAGTTGTTGACTGTCACGGTGCAGTGTGCACGACGCGGTAGGAGACGGATTTGTTCTGCACACACACACACACGCGCGCGCGCGCGCGTGCGCGTACATGGATGTTGGACATTAGCGAGTGAAAAGGTCGGGGGAGATGGGGATACCGTTTTGGCAGAGAGTAGACCACGAAACTACTGCGCACACACGTGATGAAAGTCGATGGAGGGATACTAGGGAAGAAGCAAAGATCACCCGGGTACAAGACGGCAGGGTACAAGTGTCAGTAGAGTATGACCACCACGATGATACGGTAGATGCCGGCTCTGCCAGCTACTTGGACCTATTCCAGGCCTCCGGCGCCGGGACGACGCGTCACGAGTGACGTTCGGCCGCCCCGAACCACCACTCGCCGGCCAGCGGCAGTGCAGAGTAAAAAGGATCATCTCCAGAAAAATGTGTTGCTACTCACAAATGCTAGAGTCACGTGCCTAGTATTGCTTGTCAGCGGTTAACAGACTCGCGAAGGATGCCGGCGTCGCGGCGACAAAAAGTTACGTGCGAAATGCAAAGTGGACAGTGGAAAGGCAAAAGCCGGCCGGAACATTCGTCGGGCAGGGGTGTGGGTGGGCTGAGAAGGCGAGGCCTTTTGCATGCAGTTATGGCAGGACAGGTAGAGAGGCAAGCTTCGGACCTGCAATATTATTCAGCCTGAAATTTTCACGTGGGAACTCTCGAGGTTCGAACAAGGCAACATTGACAACAGGATGCTCAGCATGAAAATGGGGCAAGTAGCGGTGCACGGCAAGCGAGGCTTGAACCTGTTTAGACTCAAGAAGCACGTCTACCACTACTAGCAAGCTCCGAGCAGGGTCAAGAACGGGCGACAAGACGTGAATGAGAAGCTAGGGCGTCTGGGTCCGAAATAGTCCGGAAGGTGAGTACTTGAGTGGCATCAGAGGCTCGTGATAGGCTTCATCGAGGGTTGCAGGCGAACGCGACCAGCGTCCCAAGAGTTGGGAAATGGGACTTCCCGGAACTGAGTGTTACGAAGAACAAAAGAAGATTTGGCTGAACTGAGAGTCGAACTCAGGTCCACTCCATTGATCAGAGTTGCTCTGACCTCTGAGCTACTCAACCAGCGGGAATAGGTCAAAGCAGCGGCGCACCCAAGTCAAGCCGGCGGCGGTTCTCCCTCCCATTGGGAGCCGCGGCGGGCGGACTGGTGCGCGGCCACATTAACTTCTATTCCAAGAACCTCGGCCAGGTCCGATCAGGCCAAGGAGCCGTGCTCTCCGCAAAGTTGTACGAACACGCTCGACGGCATCCCAGCTTTGATCGTGCTCGCGTTGAGTTGCAACTCGTGATCAAACTTTGCCTTGCCACGGTCCATCACGGCCTGCATGGCCTCCCGACGCATAGCCTCCCCATCGTCCTTCAGGTCCCGGAGCTCCTGCTCCAAGCGAACTATTTCGGTCTTGACTCGCATTTCCTCCCACCTCTGCTTGCAGCCACTGAAAGACACGGTCCCTGCATCATCAACTTTAAGCTCAAGCTACGATTGTTAGGGACTCACGGCGAACAGCGCAGCCGAAACCACACCCGCGAGACCGCCGAACCAGGCGCTCGTATAGCCTGACATTGTCGATGCTGTGGACATGTGGTACACTCGGGGTTACATTTGAGAGACGATGCCGTGAATATCGCTCCTTAGGAGAGAAGAGATCAGGTACCCACCTGTTGAGTGCAGCGGAGACTCGGTAGCGACGACGTACACAAAGCTTCGAGCTTCAACTTAATGCTTCAAAGGCCGCAAGGGTCGAGAATCGATGACGTAGCGTGGTCGCCGGCAGAACGAATTTAGGGCAAGTTACGACTTTAGAGAAGACGTTAATGCATAAGATGCGTATGGATGTCCAGCGGCTGGCCTTCTCGCGTGTGGCTCGCGTGTGTCTGTGACCATGTGACCGGTCACACGATGCAGTACGGTGACGCTCCGCCCAAGCCGAGGAGACGCGCGGCCCTGCGCGGCACCGACTCGGAGGGGCTGCGCAAGTGATTGAATTAAGCTTGTCAATTACTCTACTTCATTATTCTCGACTTTTATGGTCTATTGGTAATGCTAGTAATGCAAATACATTGCATATGCGCCCCACATGGCCTTAGACCATGGCTACTCGCAGCACACTGGATTTCAGGATCTCGGCGATCTTGGCCTCGCCGGTTTGAAGAGGAGTCTTTCACACACGGACCCATGCGCTCGGCTTCGCAGACCCGGATCGGGGATCGCTGCGCTTCTTGCCGTTCGCACTCCTCCGTCCTAGAGCTACCACCATTCAATTCTTATAAAGATCATGGCTGAAAACCCTATAACGAGGCACACGGAAGATCGGACGCTCAAAACCTCATCCACCCTGTCACCCATCCTCACACTCCTCAATCCCGTCTCGCCTCCCAGCTCTTCCCTTTGACAAACATGGCATCCACCACAAAGACCAAACCCACCTCTTCGTCCACACCCATCTCCTCACAAAACCACTTTGGCTCGCTCCTCTTCTGTTCGCGCTGTGGTGATCTCCTCGCCCTCCCCGGCAGCGACGAAGAGATCGTTTGTGATGCATAGGGCTCTGTGATCGTTCGAGTGAAAACTCATCGGAAGCGATCCCCGCACAGCTTACGAGAACCAAACGATCACGACCCGATCCCACCCCGCGGCGTTCCCGAGTTCGTTGAGGCAGAAGAAGACGTCATTGGTCAAGCATACCGGTGATGTCGAAAAGAAGAAAGTATATGTACGTTCGTTCCAGCGTCCCTCTTTCGATAGTGGAGCCCAAGTTCCTCTTGAGGCCGTCAATCCACGCTCTTTTTCTCGGGAAGATTTTCCACCCGTAGCTCCTCGAGCTCACCCCTTGCTATTACCCTGCTTCTACCCGAACAGGTCGATGAGATGTGCGAAAAATGTGGCAACGAACGCATGTCGGTCAAGACGATGCAACTCCGGTCCGCCGATGAAGGAGGTCAGTCGAGTGCCACCCACATCCCTGAACCCGATGATCTTTCCCACGGAAAACTCTTCGCTGACGCACGGTTATCATCTGAATGCAGCCACGGTCTTCTACTCTTGCGAGCGATGTGGTCATCAAACGAGGTTGATCAATTAGAGAGAGGGGACGCAGTACTCGCAATTTGGACTGGTCCCCCGGTCTTGTGGGATCAACGCTGGTCAGAGAAATATGTTGTAACGTTACTATGTTCGGCGGTCGGTTCGCCGCCGTGTGCACATCTCATTTCCGTGACACGGATCCACCGAAACGCTTGTTCTCTCACTGAATCTTTGCCGATCCCCTTCTGACCAACGTAATGTAATGTAATGTACGCGAAGGCATGGGTTCCGGAAGGGTGAAGGGTTTCCAAATCAACCCTCAGCGGAACTCGGTCTCGTCGCCACCCCTCGGGCAGAGCAGAGTAAGACTGTCAACATATGATTTTTTGTCCACCGAGGAGGAGGTAAATTGAAAAGGTAAATTGAAAAAGACTGTGACAGGGTCCCCAGTAAGCTTGCGAAAAAAAGCGAAAGAAAAGCGAAGAAACGTGACACCACCCCCACATCCGGAAGAGCTGTAAATAGTTCGACAGATGACAACAAAACCCACAGAAATAAATACAATCCATAATCCGTACACGAGCCCAAGTTCCCTTGAGAGATCCTGTCATTTCCACAGCTCAGGAAGCGATCAAGCTCTCCACCTCTCACCTTCAGCAATGGGCGTGAACTCCAACCTCCGTTCCCCCCTCTCCTGATCGACAGCCGGTGAATAGAGTGGCAACGCCTCCGGACCCTCCCTCGTGAACCTTGGAGCCCTTTCAATCACCGATCCATACTCCCTCTCCCCAGGCGGTTCAGGGATAGGCCAAGGAAGTTCCAACAAACTCGGGGGACAGCTGGAATGGGCTGATCGGGTTTGTCGACGTATCTTCGATCGGGGTTCGAGGGTCGATACGAGAGAGGTTTTCGGGACTTGTTGAGAGCGACACCAGGCGATGGCTAGGGCTAGTTGGTCGACGACGAATCTGGATTCCGAACGGGCGCGGCGGACGGTCGAGAATTCGCTTGTCCTGAAGAAGAAGGAGATGGGGGTGGTCGTCCCGCGATCAGGGCATATTCCCCACACATTCGGTTCGGTCGAGGATTTGGACTCACCTTCCGGCCCAACATACATCCCAACCATGTGCAATCGCATACTCCAACCCGTTCTGCTTGGACAAAAGCATATCGTCTCGGTACTTCCAGGATCGATACAGCTCTGCATGCCGATCGTAAATGACCCTCCGGCAGGTCAGCCCCGCTTCCCTATCGAGCACCCCCGAAAGCAGTTACCACGACGCACCTTTGAGTTGACGTTCAGTAAAAGGTCTCTGCTTCATTTCTCGTTTCGTACCCCTTTGACGAGGGACCGACTCGACTTCTGTCACGAGTAGACTGGTGCCCAAGTTGGAATCGCCACCGTAATGATACGTCGCGGGGTCCGAGAGCGGTGGGGTCGGTACGACGGGTGACCGACGGGTTTTGACCGTGTCGACGGCTTTGACGACCAGATAGGTCGCGCCGTAGATGAGGAGACCAGCCATCGTACTCTTAGGTACAGGGGAGGAAGCTCAGTGGATGAGGCCGAACGCGATGACGGTCAAAGGAGCGAGAGCCTCGGTGCCGCTGGCACTCGCTGGCGTGGAACGACGTCGGCCTCCGGGCACCAGGCCGAGAACAACCGGAGCTTCGGTCATGTCTAATTTTGGACACGAGCAGGTCACGAGCTGAGACTTTGCTTCACCTCTCGACCGTCGCAGCGCTCACATTGGACAGATGCCTTTGCTTCATCAGACTGACTTGTATTTGCATAAAACAGACAAAAACCCTAGAACCATTATGTTCCTTCAGTACCGCATCTTTCTACAAACGAGACCGCGGGGGCAAACTCGACGTCTGCTCGACCAACTCTCGGACCTCCTCATCTCATGCCACCAGCTTCACATCCAGCGGCGACTTGCCATTCTTGATCTCCTTGACGCTCAGCATCTTATCCAACCTCATCAACTCGGAGCAGTGAGCAGCGATCGGGTCGTTCTGCATCGACGCGACGGCAACGACGTCCTCGCCGGCGGTGTAGTAAGCGACGAACTTGAGGTCCGCGGGTGACCCCTGCACGATGACATCCTCCCACGTCTTGGCTCGCGAAGTCCCGGCGTAACGAAGCTGTTGCCCCTGAGCGGACCAGAAGACCGAAATTTTCTCAAATGGCGTCGGACTCTTGCCAGCGATCGTGGCGGCAACGTTGCGGGCGTGGTTCGAAGCCACGTTCCAGTGTTCGACGCGCGTGTTCTTGCCGGTCTTGACGTCCTTGTAAGTTGCGATATCACCGACAGCAAAGACGTTCTCCTTGCCCTGCAGCTTCAAGTACTCGTCGACTACGACGCTGCCATCCTTTTCGAGCTCGACGCCGCTGGCTTTGAGGAACGCGGTTGCGGGCTTGACTCCCACACCGAGAACGACCAAGTCGGCGGGGATCGACGTCCCATCTTTGAGCTCGACCGACCCAACCTTGCTCGAGTCGGACGAGCTGACCGAAAAGTGCGACAGCGCACCAGGGAGGTAGAACTTGGTGCCCTTGGACTCGTGGAACTTGCGGATCCCATTCCCGATCGCCTTGCCGAGAATCGCCTCGAAGGGCGCGTTCTCCATCCCGACGACGGTGACGTTGGCCTTGCCAGCGGCGGCGAGCGCAGCTTCCATGCCGATGAAGGAAGAGCCGATCACTACGACGTTCTTCTTGGGACCATCCTCTCCGCCGAGAGCGTCATTGATCTGCTTCGTGTCCTCGATCGTGCGCAGGACGAAAATGTTGCCGAGCTTGGAGCCATCGACGGGGATGCGGTTTGGGTTCGAGCCCGTGGCGAGGATGAGCTTCTCGTACAAAACGGAATTCCCACCGGCGACCTTGACGGAAGACTTGTCAAAGTCAATCGATTCGACCTCCTGTACATCGCGAAGCCGGAAAAACTCGTCAGCACAGTATTGAGAGGCTGCTCGATGAGGTAGCAATGCGACATACGGTGTTCAATTGGAACTCGACGCCGAGCTTGTCATAGAAGTCCTGCGATCGCAATGCGACCTTGCTTGGGTCGGCGAGGAGCGCTTTGCTGAGCTTGGTACTGCGAAGCGTAACGAATCGGTATGGGTATCTCCCGTATTCAAGCAAGTTGTGACAGACGTCGCTGGGGGACTAACCGGTCGATCGGGAGGTAAGGCTCCTTTGAAATGACCTTGATGCTGCCCTTGTAACCTTCCTGCCTCAAAGCCTCGACCGCATGAGCCGCACCAGCCCCCCCACCAACAATTACAACTCCCGTCTGGCTCTTGGAACCTGAGTTCGAGCGGGGTTGACGCGTCGCAGTCACGTCGCCGTTCTCGGGAGGGGTGACGAAAAGCTTGTCCCCTTCGGACTCGATTTTAAACGTTGCGAGGTTGTCGAGTCCGGGAGCGTCCTCGATGTCTCCCGTCTTGCACGACATGGCCGCTCCGTGCCAAGGGCAGATGATCTGCAGGCCCGAGGGAATGAGGGGACAGGTGATGGTCAGTCAAGTTCGGAGGGGAGGAGCTGCCCGTGTCCGGAAGGGTACTCACACGGCCATCGGAGGTGAGAACACCCTTGGCAAGGGGTGCACCATAATGTGTGCACTTGGCCGAGGTAGCGTAGTAGCAACCTTGAACCTAATATGCTCGTATTTCCGTATACATTGTGGTTGCCAGAGATCGGGGCATGGGCAAAGACGGGACATTCAGCCCAGGAAGAGCGAGCCAATCAGCGATCGAGCAAATCGAGGCGATCGAGCGCGTTGGAGCCACGCCCCAGCGCGGCGTCATCGTCGCTCTCGTGCGAGGAGCCGGCCACGGGCGCGGAGCCTGCTACGATCGAAGCCATCGAAGCGTCGTGCTACACACCTTGGAGATGAGGATCTTGGATTCGGAATCAGTCTTGGGGAAGGGGACTTCCTTCCTGTTTGGAGTGGGTATGCAAGGACTTGGTCAGCTCCAGATGAGAGAGCGTGAGGAACGTGGTGTGCCTCCTGATCAACGTTCAACCGCCAGCTTGCTCGTCTCGCCTCGAGCAGACGAGTGGGGAGCGCCGGCAAGAGCAACTGACATGGTGCCATCGGCCAGAGGCTCAATGTTGATCTCGACGCGTTGAGGGGCCATATTGTACCGAGTGCTGAGGAACGAGCGGGCAAAGGGGCGAGTGAATGAGGTATTCAGTGGTCGAGAGCGAGGACTAGTGCGAAGAAGCGCCGTGAGCATTCGGTGAACAAGCCGACCGTCGGGGGAGGGTGGGAGGAGGCAAAGTGGGGGGGCAAACGGTCGCCTCATCTCACACGGGGATCGCCGAAAGGCGCCTAGAATAGATGATCGCCAGCTGTCCCATGAAAATCTTGGTATTTCTTCAGCGGAATCATAGAGTCCCGCTTGATTGATCAAACTGATATAGTGATAATTATCATGCGCTGCAAGCACCCCCAAAAAAACTACAACACCTCCAACAAACCGATCCTCCACTTCTCCCTCGCCATCTTGGGCCTCTCGACCTTCTCGGTCCCTTCTTCCGGTTTCGGCTTTTCGACCCATTCCCCTCGCGCCTTGAGGCGCAACTCTTCGTGCTTCTCGGTCGCCCATTCCTTCTCCCTCCATGACCAGAGGTGATCGAGCGAGGTTCGGAAAGCGTCTTCAAGAGACGCGAGCTCGGCTTGTAGTGCTGCAGCGGCCGAACGGTGGGTCGTCGAATGGAGGAGTAGGAGCGCAGAGAGGAGCGCACCCGTTTCGGCTGTTGGAGAGGAAGATAGGTCGTAAGCATCTTGTCTCACACCTAAACCGACAAAAGTAGCCCGTTTGAGTACGCACTCTGCAGCTCCGCCAACCTCGTCTCGACGCTCTTCTTAAACGAGTTGAGCAGATACGTCTCCTCGTAGATACTCCCTTTCTTCCCCGCGGCCTTCTTCAAACCCGCACGCCGTTTCGAACGACTCGACCGCGTTGAGCTGATCCGACTTCCCCCTCCGAGGGTCGTAGGTGCCGCAGCTGTGTAGCGAGTGAAGGCGGTGCCGGCGTCGGATTCACCGTCGGGTTGGACGTCGATGTCGTCGGGTCCTCCAGAGGGGTCGTCGATACAGAAGAATTGGTCTGAGGGAGGCAAACGGACGAACAAGAGATCTCAATACAGACCTTTTTTCAATCAAAACGATATGATGGATGTCACTCACTCGGATTCGCATCCCTCCTCTTCTTCAACTCGTCCAACCTCTCGACCTGCTTCTCGATCTGTTCCTTCAACTCGCCAAAGTCGTCGATCAACTTGGACTGCGCCTCGAGCGTGCTCGCTTTGACGTGTGTCTCGATCAGATCCCGGCGATTGTACAAAGAGCACTGTTGAACACCAGACATATGTCAGCTCCGGTCCTCCACCCCTCCACTCGATATTCAAGGCCACTCACGATCCTCAAGCATTCCGCAAACTCGTTACCCTCAATCAGCACTTGAACAGCCGCCTCTAGATCCCTCCCATACTCCAACAGAACCCTCCCCGCCTCACTGAACCTCCTCTTCCCTCTCAGACTTTCGGCAACTTCCATTGCCAAGGCCTTGATCTCACTGGCGGACTTCTTGGGCATTTCGGGTGAAGCGGAGGACAGGGCGATGGTGAAGAGTTCTTGCCATGCATTGGCGCTTTGGTATGCGACGATCGCTTTGGAGGGTTGAGAAGCAATCGAGTAAACTATGCACACATGAAGGCAGACTTGTCAGTCCTGATTGAGCTGGGTGCAAAAGACCGCGGGCGAGCGGGGGTATCCAGACTCACGCAACCCTGCCTCGGCATACTTTCGATTCTCCATCAAATAATCCGCATTCGCCTCAACGACAACCCTATACCTCCCCGCATCCCCTTTATAAGCCTCCAAAGCGGTCCCAAACAACCCGTGCCTCTTGGTATACTCCAAAACCTCCTCAAATCTGCCTTCTCCAGCTTTTGCCAAATTCCTCAACGCCGAATCGTAGCGTTCTAAATGATCATCAATGCGATGTCGTTGGAGGTAGGTATCGAGTTGGCGGAGTTCACGGAGGAAGGGGAGGTATTCGCGAGGGTCCTTTTGTGATTCTTGGGCTACGAGAAGGACGAGGGAGAAGTCGTACATCCCTAAAGCGAGGTCGTAGAGCTTGTTCGCGTCGGAGAGGAAGATGATGTATTTGACGGCGTCTTGGGCCCGTTCGGAATCTTTGGCTGTGGAACGGATGTTTCAAAACTGCACATCAGCGATCGTGTCCCTTACGAGATAGGTGAGGAGATCTTACCTTTCAATTCGACCAAAACCCTTAGCGCTGCCTCATAATCCGCCGGTTTCTTCCTCACATAAGCCGTAAGCACCGAATTCGCATACTCAAACACGTCCTTCTTCTCAAGCTCCTCCCTGACCAAATTGCACACCTCATTGACTTTACCTTCCACGACCCCATCATCCCCTTCCGTGACCACGGTCGTCGAGGTAGAAGGTTTTGGCCCGAGAATCATAAGCGATTTATACATCGTTTTAGTGACGTCTTCGTCTTTGAGTCCGGAGAGGAATAGGTTGAGGTAATCGACTTCTTTGACTTGGCTCACGAAATCGGGGAGGTGGGCACGGAAGGTTGTTGGGTTATGGTCGTAAAGGATGTTGAGATCGATGCGATGGCGACGGCAGGTTAGGAATGCGGTGCGGTAATGACCTCTGCTCCGTGAGAGAACATGAAAGAGAATTAGACTGCGCCTCAAGATGATCCACCTCGAAACCATGAAAAGTGCGAACGTACCGGTCCAACTCCTGTCTCACGATCCTCAACACCAACGGTCTCGGACAGATCGTCTCCAAGTTCCCCCTCGGCATCTGCAGCACCAACGTCGTCGAACTCTCCACCACAGTGACGATCCTCGAGCCCCTCTCCACGGCCCTCCTAATACCCATCCCACCGTTTTTGACCGAATTCGTCGATTCCTGTTCGTTCGAAGCGGATTTCCGAACGTTCTCGACATGGGTGACGAAATCGTTCTGTTGGCCCGATTCGAGGGAGAACAAAGGGATGAACTTGGCTTCGTGGGTGAAAGTGGTGTAGATGAGGAAATTGTGGGTGCAGATGAACGAAGTCGCGTCCGATGCGAGTAACCTCGAGTTTGAATAGAGACGACCCGAGAGGGAAAGACCGAGGACGATGCGCGTTGTCGAAAGGGTGAGAGTGCGGATGTCGGGACAGAATTCGGCGAGAGGCATGAGGTCATCGGATGGGAGGAGAATGTCGTCCGAGGTGGCTTGGGACGAGACTGTAACACGTGGGCAGGCATCAGCTTGTGGTACGCCGACAGAGTTGATTCACAAATCCCCGGCCTACCTTCGAACAACGTCCCATCCTTGGACTCCAACACGAAACCGTCTTCCGTGCCCTCGATCCTCCAAGCCCCTTCTTCAACCCTGATGACCTCCTGTTTCGCTTCCTTCCTGAGAAGAACCACCTCAGTCCCTCCTCTTCCCGTGCACCTCAACACAGCGACCTTCTTCTGATCCCCCTTACCCATCACAGCACATTGCTTACAATACCCTTCCCCGTCGATCTTGACGGACCAGTCCAACACCGGTTCCTTGATCTCGTTCCTTGGTTTATACCGCATGGTCTTGAGGTTCAGTTCCCAAGCCCAACTTTGCACCAACCCATCGTCGAACAGGACAACGAAACCGTTCTCCTGCTTGGCGAACGCGACGTGTACGGGAGTCTTGGTGATGTCTGACCCCAGGGTGAGGACAATGGCGGCCATAGGGGGAGGTATGTTGACCAATCTGAAAGGGGTCAATTTCAACGTTGCTCCATCGACGACGGCGACCGAGCCTGAATCTTTAGGTGCCTCGCGCGAGGAAATGAACGTATCCCACGCAAGGGAAAAGTGCTCGATACCGGTCGAGGTTGTAAGGTAGAGCGAAAGGGGTTCTTCAGGATGCCAGAAGAGGGACGTGATGCGTGATCGAGGAGCGAGTTCTTGTTTCAGCGTCCAGCAATAGTTGTTGCGGTTCCATAGTTGGACTAGCGAAACGTTTCGAGAGTCAGCTCGATCCCTTTGCGACCACCTCAGATGCATCACTCACCAACATCCCCACCTTCCTTTCTCAACCAAACCCCCAACAAATTCGACTCTGAATTCCAACTCAACTCCTTCACCGTCGCCCCCTCCCTCTCCTCCCTCAACGCAAACTCGTACCTCCTCAACCCATTTCTCTCGAAAAAGACGACCTTCTGTTGGGGCCCCTCCCTCTGATTCGCAGCAATCAAACTCCCACTAGGTTGCCAGCTCAATCCCCCTTCCATTCCCATGCATGCTTCCCCCGTCGAACTTAATCCGCCCAAGCGCGAATAGATCCGAAGTACGCGCCGGGTATCCCCCGTCGGTGTCCGTTCGAATTTGCTGACGGAGAACCAGGCCGAATCGCCTCTCCAACTGATACGAATACGATCGTCGTCGTTCGGAGAAGCGAGTGTTTGAGTGGGGGTAAGGGAAGGTTGTTGAGCGGCGGATTTGCCGAGCGATCCGTGGAATTGGGTCGACTTGTCACCCCAGCCGACGTTGACGGGGGCATCGACGCCGAAGGAGGTGGTCGTCAGCGGTCCTTCGGAGAGCACGTCAAAGGTCGCGGTGATGGATAGCAAGAGATCGTCGCCTGAAAGTCCATCCCGAGAGAGCGGTGATGTCAGCTCGGGTGGTGGGGTGAGGCGCACAGTGGACTCGAACTGGGGACTGACCGGTGACGAGGGCCAACAATTCTTCGTCCGGTGCCCAGGCGGCGGCCTTGATGCCCGAATCAAAAGTACCGACATTCTCTCTCTGCACGAATGCGCTTGCTGAATTAGTACCGAATTATACATGCCTGAATTGTAAGCTTGCGACCACTGACCATCGCCCCTGCCGCCATCGCCCCAGAAGGGTCCGAGATCTGCTCGACATGGCCATTCGAAAGCACGAGCACGAGCGAGTCCGATTCGGGCAAGTATCTGAACGCGACGACGAGTGGGATGTTGGGTAACGGTGAGATGAGGTCGGTTGTCCAACTGGTGAGGGGTTGTGGGGGCTGTGGGTGCATCTCAAGGTCAGTGCGAGTCTCGTTCATCATCCGAGTGGGGTCTCGCACGGAAGCGCTCTCTCTGAGGGACTAACCTCGTGCGACTGTCGGCCGTTTTCAAGGCGATAGATGCACAATTCACTACAGGAGTCTGGTGTGGCGGTCTCAGCAACAACGTAGAGTGTTTGGGTCGCTGCATCCAACGTCACGGCTGCGACCGAACTGAGTGAAGTCGACGTCGAGCTCGAGGATGAGGATGAGCTGGATGAGCCGACAACGGGGTGCGAGACCAGGTCGAGTAATGTCAGGGACCTCATGCTGGATCGAGTTCCAGCTAGCGGAGAGAATTTGACCGCTTGGGAGTTGCAAGTCGGAAGCTGGGGGCTGAAGAGAGCGATCGAAAGCGAGAGGTGGCAGCGGTGGAGCAGCCTGGCAGCTGGGTCGGTCGGGTCGTGCGAAGGCGTGCGAAGGCGTGCGAAGGCGTGGCCCAGGCCCAGTTCACCGGATAGGTAACGAACCCGCCCAATTCCCCATTACACTTCAGCCTACTTCAGCGCCATACTATCTTCACAGCTTCAGCCCACCCCGCGCGCGCTCCCGCTCGTCGGTTCCGCCTGTCGGTTCCGCCCCTCGCTCGCCTCCAAAGCATACCGAAATCCATGGCAGGACACGCAGCAGGACCGCGACCAGCAGGTGCATTCCACCCTCACTTGCCAGGTACGTCTCGCCAAACTACCCCCGTCGATACAGACTTGGCCTCTGACCAGCCCCCTGTCCGTGCTGTCCGTGCGCACACGCAGGAATCGGTTACCGACTCGGCGCCAAGTTGTTGGGTAAGCTCACTACACCTTGCCCTGACGATCAACATCGGCTGACTCTTTTGCTCGAACGCTTGCTCTAGGCGCCTCGATGTGGTTCTTCATCTTTTACCGAGCACGACAAGACGGCGCCGTACTCCTCGTCAGTCTCATACGCACTCTCCCCTCGGCCGTCGTGTAGGGCTTCATCTGACCTTCCTTCCTTGCTCGATCTAGGGAGCCCACCCGTGGGACCAAAAGCACTGAACAGCAACAACACCACACATCGTCGCGGACGTGGAGAAGACGACACAGGACGTCGCAGCGGGAACAGACGGGGACGGATCGATCACGCGCTCGTAGAAGAGGATTCGTAGCAGGAGAAAGTCGTTGCGTAGAGGAAGAAGCTCGCAACTGTAACATCAACTACACTTGGTACACTTCACATGCAGCACCTAGGCCAGGTGACGAGGAACGGGACATGGCGTGCCATACCTGACCCCCAGCAGCCCCGGAGTGTATTCCCAGCTTAGGCTCGAGTTCACCCGAGGAAACTATGGAGGAAGGTACATGGCAGACGTCCTTTTGCACCCTTAGCAAGATCAAAACGCGCTCAGAAAGTCACACAGCTGTTTGAGCGTCGAGCTCGACTACCGGATCGGCGCAAATCCACGTCAGAGTTCTCGACACTTCGTTTCAGCTCCGAATAAGCCACAAGCCAGCTACCTTCTTTTCCGAAAGCTACTATTGACGTACGAATTTCGCAAGTCATAGTCACCGTGGCGATGCTTGAATGGCCCCCTCGGCATGACCAGATGATCAGGCTTGCCGGCTTCCAGAGTTTTCAATTTTCGTCGGGATTCGACCATCGCCAGTTTATTACTGGCACAGAAGTTATGAGAGAGCTACTCAAACAATCAAAGACAGAGAGATCCGCCGCTTTGATCTGTGATACGATGTCGTACGAGCACGAGCGCTGGAGAAACTTTAGCACGGATCTGCGGAGTCGCGCTTGCGCAATCGCCGACTCGGAGTACTCGAGTCGGGGTGACTATTACCGACTGCCAGCAGCGTCGAGCTCTTGCAATGTGGAAACATTTGGGAAGACCAAAGTGGTCGAGGTAGACAACAAATGATCCATAAGCTAGTTGCTGTGTGATTCATTTACGTTGCATGGCGTGCCCGCCCGGCCTTTTATTCCGAATCGATTGACGAATGGGAGCACGGCTAATTTGGTACGGATCGCCTGATGCGAGCACAAGCGAGCTCATCGCCGCGGCTGTTGTCCTCGTTGCCCCTTCCTCGGCGGCTCGCTCGGCCTCCAATCCGCATCCTTTCCTTTCACCTCAGCTCGCACCTGAGCTCGACTCTTCTTTTTCTGTACACCACCACCTTGGCCACCGACCCACTTGAACCCACGATGGAACAAGGGCTCTTACCCCCGGGGCATCCCCCCATCTCCAAAGACATCCCCGGCGAAGTCTGTCCCGTCATGTCCACCTCCGCCGGCGCTCGAGAAGCCGAACGACTCGCCGAATTCGAAGCCCTACGCGAAAGGTCCAAACGTCAATCCAAATCCTCGATCGGGGTAGGCGTCTTCACCTTGGGGACGAGGATGAGCAAGTTGGCGATGGTGCAGACCAACCTCGTAAAACAGAACTTGGAGAAGCTGTGGCCCGGGACCGAGATTCGTATCTATGGAATGGTCAGTTCGGAATTCAGTGTGCACTTGGTTCTTTCTATCACGGTCCTTTGAGGTGGTGTATCATCCAAAGTCGATTGCCTTGCCGTACGACCGGCCGTAGAGGATTTCCTCCTTCCTCCGGGTGGTCGGCGGCCATCGAACGATCGAACGATTCACCGCCCCTCGCAATTGGGCCCGCACAGATCTTTGCACTCACTTCGACGATACCCATGCATTCACTATGCTCTGAAAAGCTCCTTTGACCAAGACTTCTTAATCCCTCGCCCCACAGACAACAGCCGGTGACAAGAACCAATCCCAACCCCTGTACCTGCTCGGCGGCAAAGGTTCGTCCCTTGCCCGGATGCCTCTACACCGGGTCTAATACTAGGAAGCTGATCCACCTCCGTTCTCTTCACACATCAGCCCTCTGGACAAAAGAGCTCGAAGTCGCTCTGATGGACGGCTCCGTCGATGCTATCGTGCATTCGCTCAAGGACGTCCCGACCGAATTCCCCCCAGGCTGCGAACTCGGCGCCGTACTCGAACGCGAGGATCCCAGCGATGCGCTTTGCGTCAAAAAGGGTCTACCTTACACCTCGCTCGAGCAGTTCCCGCATGGCAGTGTGATTGGCACGAGTAGTGTGCGCCGCGTTGCTCAGTTGAGGAGGAGGTTTCCCTGGCTCAAATTCGCCGATGTCGTACGTCGTCGTAGTATATCTCACCTGTTCGAGGCTGTTTTTTCGTGGAACTGACTCCATAGACCTTTGTACAACAGCGAGGACTGGTGCAAACTCGCCTGCGCAAACTCGATGACCCGGAATCGCAATACACGGGCTTGATCCTCGCCTCGGCAGGTCTGATCCGACTCGGCTTAGCCGACCGCATCACCGCATCCGTCACCTCTCCCACGTTGTACCACGCCGTTGGCCAAGGAGCGATCGGAGTCGAATGTCGTCAAGGCGATGAACGCGCGCACGAGATTGTCGGTTCGATCGAGCATTGGCAAACGGGGTGGCGTACGAGGGCCGAACGGAGCATGCTTCACGTGCTGGAAGGGGGTTGTTCGGTCCCCGTTGGGTGTGAAAGTGAAATTGTTGAGCTTCCTTTGACGTCGAGTCCACCTTCGAACCGAACGAATGGGTTTCATTCCGCTTCGGCATCGTCGTCGGATTCGGTTCTCGATGAAGGGATCGCAACGACGACGAACGGGCACCATGCCGGACATGCCTACCCGCACATCGACGATCCCCACACCGCATCGCTCACCCTCACAGGGACGATCACCTCCCTCGCCGGGACGCAAGCCGTCGAATTTTCCATCACGCGCACGGTCCACTCGATTCAAGATTCCGAAGCGCTAGGAGCGGACGTCGCGAGGGAACTCATCGCACGAGGAGGAAGGGACATTTTGACTGAGTTGGGGAGACATGTGAAAGAGGTTAGAGGGGAGGAAGGGAGGGAGGTGCCTTTTGAGAGTAATGGGAGGGCGGCGGGGAATATCCCGCCGGCGACTTCGAAGGAATGGAGGGGGGAGACGGAGGAGGGGTTCCAGGGCATTGAGACGACATTGGTTCATCCGACGACGGGCACGAATGGGAACCCCAAGAGTCCGCATAGGACGGTGTTCAAGGAGGGGGAGGTGTGCTTGAGGCCTGCGGGGTGGTAAGGGAATGGGGGGAGTGGAGTTCAACCCCTGTGTTTAGAAGCGCCGATGGAGATATTAGACCTCGACCGTCGCAATGGGTGTAGTAGCTATAACATGCACTTGTTTTTCATAGCATCACAGTAAAAGTAACGCATGCAGATCGCATGATTCACCCCTCTATTGGTACGATTCACCCCAGCCAGCCATGAGAACCAACATCTGCCAGTGGGCCCAGGAGGAAAGGCCGGGTCAAAACCCATCGGCCGAGTTTTGACCCGGATAAAATTCATCTGCGCACCGAGCCAAGGGGGGGGGGGGGGTCGTCTTCGCGCGCGCACCACGCTATAAGGTCCTGTCTCTCTCGGATTCACTCGACCCCTACTCGATTCACCTGTCAAACTAAACGTAAGCCTACACACCCCATCGCTCGAGTGGTGGACTATACGAACCGACTACGACCTTTCGACTTGGAGGACTGCTGGAGGTTGGAATGGAGGCGATGCGAGGCCAAAGGCAGCGGTGGAATGGGTGTCGTCTGAGCTTGGGCTGGGCCACCACCACCGCGCCTGCCGCCGCCATTCGCACGACGACGCAAAACGCCCTCCGTCTGGAAGTCTGGAAGGGCCCTACACCCTCCCTTCGCCACGACGACAACGGGGATCTCCTCTCGTAATCGTCGGGAATGGGATCAGAACCGGATGAAGAGGCTTCGATCGGGTTCATACGGTCTGCGAATGATTCATGAATCGACTGCTGACTTTTTGCCCGCTCTCTCTCTCGCCGTGTCTGTCGTTGGCTCGGTTCGCTGGTCGCCGCTGGTCGCTCGCTGTCTCTCGCCCGCGTCGCCTGCGCCTGCGCCTGCGCCTGCCTGCCCTTGGCCCGCGCTTCAATTCGCTCGCCTGCCTGCCCGCCCTCCGCGCTGCCAACGTCGTCCCGCCCGTTCATTTCCTTCTCCACGCCGCACTACAACAGTCGCGATGGGACGTGGTACGTAATCCCCCACCACCCAACGCATCCCGGCACAAAGCTCTCACCTAACTCACCCCCTTCCTCCCCTCATAGTCATTCGCAACCAAAGGAAGTCGGGCGGCATCTTCCGAGCGCACACGCACCACCGTGTCGCGCCGGCCAAGCTCCGCGCCTTGGACTTTGCCGAACGCAATGGTTACGTTCGCGGTTTGGTCAAGGAGATCGTGCACGACCCTGGACGGTGAGTTTGCATTCGTAGAGAGCGTTTGGGATCGGAGCAGCGCTGTGAGCGGCTTGTGCCTCGGGTCAGTGGGGTCATGGGGGAGGGAAGAAAAGGACGCTGGAGGGATATGCGGAGGATTCAGAGGCATGGACGAGGGCGGAGAGATGATGCCGAAGAAGATGAACGATCATGGGATGGTACTTGACGGATCTGGACGACAGGGCAGGCCAGGTCGCAGCGCGGGGGCAGATGGGCATTTCGCAGGCGCACCCAAGACGACATAACCGACGAGCTGACACCCGATGCTGCCCCTCTTTCTCTCTCTTGCAGTGGTGCTCCCCTCGCCCGAGTTGTCTTCCGTGATCCTTACCGCTACAAGATGCGCACCGAGACCTTCATCGCCACCGAGGGCCTTTCGACCGGCGCCTTTGTCTACTGCGGCAAGAAGGCCACCCTCAGCGTCGGCAACGTCCTCCCCCTCGCCGCGCTCCCCGAAGGTACAATCGTCTGCAACGTCGAGGAGCAGCCGGGAGACCGTGGATCGCTCGCGCGTACTTCGGGCAACTACGCCACCGTGATCGGCCACGACGCCGATGCCGGCCGCACGCGCATCCGTTTGCCCTCGGGCGCGAAGAAGTCCATTAACGCCCTTGGCCGCGCCACGATTGGTATCGTTGCCGGTGGTGGAAGGATTGACAAGCCGATGCTCAAGGCCGGCCGAGCTTACCACGCCGCCAAGGCCAAGAAGAACAACTGGCCCAAGACCCGTGGTGTTGCCGTGCGTATCATCACTCCCGCGGTCGTGGCTCGTGCGACTCTTTCCCAGACCTGACATGGATCTCCCCCTGTCCTCTTCAGATGAACCCCGTTGATCACCCTCACGGTGGAGGTGTAAGTTCTCTTGGACTTTGCTCAGCTCTAGACTACCCCCGCCCGGATACTGATCTGCAGCCGTCGTCCCCATTCAACAGAACCACCAACACATCGGTAAAGCTTCGACGATCAACCGTCATGCTGTTTCCGGACAAAAGGTGAGCCAGGACGGGATACCGGATCCTTTTATCAATACCGAATTGAACCAACTGATCCCGTCGCCTTTCGGTGTCTTGTAGGCTGGTCTCATTGCCGCCCGACGAACTGGTTTGCTCCGAGGTTCCGTCAAGGTCAAGGAATAAACGCTCAACGGCCCGTCGTCGTCGTGGGGTGTGTTGTTATTCCTGGGATCTGTTTTTGACGTAACGTCTTGTTTGTTTTTGCAATCGCAAGGAGAACAAAGTTCGGTTTCTGAAGTCATAAGCTCCTAGGGGCCCGAGCCGTGCACGGGCGAGAGGAGAGGGAGAGGGGGAGGGTTGACGATGTTGGGAGACACGTGGTGCGAAGGGAGAGTTGATCATGAGGGACGGTATCAGTACTCAGCGTGTCACATATCGAATGACCCGGTCGCGCGCGCGTCACCGATCGAACGTGTCCGGGTCCGGGAGAGGCGCGTCTGTGGCCCGGCCCAGTGCTGCCCAGTGTGGCCCTCGGGTCGGAGAGGGTTCGGCGGTGCGACTGCTCATGCTCCCTTTGACTCCGTTCACCTCTCGTTCCACCTACCACGCATCGCACAACTTCATCACCACACACTCTCTCACAACATGGTCCCAGGAACAGCTTCCCTCAAGTCGATGCGAGAAGTCCAACGTCAACGCTCCTTGGGGCTGCATGCTCAAGCGCGTTACCGACACGGTACCAGTAGCAGTCTCGGCCATCCCACGCCGTCGTCGTCCTCCTCGGGCTCGGACGGCGTACACGGCCCGCCTGCTGCTAGTACGAGTCGACGCTCGGTTCATGGCGGTCTTCATCATGGGAACAAGTCGTCGAATGAATACAGCGTCAGAGGGAACGCGAGAACCCAAGCGGCGTTGCAGGAAGAACTCTTGATCGCGCACGGTCACGTTCCGACTGGCAGCTCGATGATGTCGTCGGCGTCGGCGCCAAGTCGGGGCGGCACGAACACCGAAGTCGACGCCGGCAGCAGTGACGAGGATCAAGCCGCGGCGACGAGACGAAGGACGAGTCTTCGCTTGGATCAACTCATGGTTCATAAACCCCCTCGACTCGGTCAGTTCATGTTTCTTCATACTACCCGGCACTATCATCACATGGCCGATAGCTCCCAGTGGGCAATCGCGTGCAGTGGCGGGTAATCGGCGGCGGGTGACGCGCGCCTCGTCCCTCCGATGTTTATCGCTTCCGTTATCAGCAGCCCGCGCGATTGTGTGCGCGCGCGGGGCGAGGAGCCTCCTCAAATTCGACTGTAGATCAACCCGACCTGGGAACTGACACCCGAACGCGCCTCACCTCCCTCACTAGATCTAACCCACGACTACGAAGTGATCACACCCCACGCGCGAGTCATCACATTACCCGACGACACTTCCTCCCCTTCCACCTCGGCACTTTCGTTCGGCAATCATCATACTGGTCGCCCCTCTTCGTTCCTCCACCCGCCACGACAGGGTTCCGACACGGGTAGTTCGTCAGCTTCGGAAGAGGACGATGATTGGGAATTGTTGGGGATGGATGAGGTTGCGGTGGGTCCTACGGTAGCACCTCAAGTTAGGACTTGGGCTTCGATCGTTTCGAGGGTTTGAGCGACTGGGTCGAAAGAAGTGCAAAAGCTGTGTGTACGAATGAGTTCCTGAACACAATTTGTTTCCCATGTCTTCTCTGTGTATTCAGCTTTAGTGAATTGATGACCTCCTAGTACATAGTCGCTTCCTAATCTGCCTGTGCCCCTCAAAGTGCCTATGTCCTGAAACGTGAATTGCAACTTGGCGAAGAACAAACGTCCCCAAAGTCCCTCCCGGATTCCGATCTTTCCACTTCAGACTATACTCAACCCAGCATAAAACCGATTCGCATCCAATGCGAACACCCATTCACTCAAATAGCCCACACTCTTCGCTTCGAAACCCGCTTCCATCTCTTCCAACAACTTCTTCCCTCGTTGATCCTTGAAGGACGAGCTCGAGCCCGATGATGATGACGCTTTCGCCGACGAGCCTCTATCGTCCAATGCTTGGAGAACTTTGACGAGCGTACTCGCTTGACTCGTCAGACCACGATGCATACCCAGGATCTCCTCAAGGATCGTCTGCTCTGCACGGACGGGCCAAGTCCCACTCGCCTGGAACTTCTTCCACTTCTTCACCGCTCGACCCAAATCAAGGACGACTTGGAAGATCCCTTCCGTCACGACGCGCATGAGAGGTCGTTGGCGTTTCTGGAGCAGGAGGGAAAGGAGTATTCGGTCGAGGAATTGCTGATGAACGAGTTCGAGGGTTTCAAGATTCCATACGCCTGCCGAGTCGGGATCATCATCCTCTTCTTCGTCCGTCGGACACATTTTGCCCGGGTGGAGTTGTTGATGCAACGCCCGTTCGATCCCTTGTAGTGACGTCTTGAACCTCGATACGTTGGCGTCAATGGCGGAATGGTACGCGTGTCCCGTGATACTATTGACGAGGGTACGAAGTTCGAAACACAAAGCGATCAAGGCTTTACGCGCTCGAAAATCAAAGGGCTTCACGTCCAACAGAAGTGAGGGTACGGGCTCCCCTTTCGTCTTGTCGTCCAATCTTCCGTTTCGTGAAAGACCGAAAACGACCGGTTTGGTGATATCGAGCGTCAAATTGCGCATCACGGCTTCGATCCTCATCATCTTGAGCAAGTGGGTGAAGATCTGTTGGTACTTGCCTTGTACGGAAGGGATGATGACCAGATCGAGGGGTGAAGGTGCCTTGTAATCGAGGTAGAGGAAATTGAACGCCGTGAGACTGTTGGGATCCATCTCGACTTCGTCGTGACGATAAGCGAACGATAATCTCGAATCAACCGAACGCCAGACTTGAGCATCGTTCACTTGCGCTTTGTCGTGCTTCATTTGAGGGTCTTCCATCTTTCGATCGACGGATTCGATGCGTTCTTGGATCGATTCAGCCAACGCAGCTCGAAGCGCCAGGGCTAATTCCGCACCACCAGGAGGCCAATTCGTTTGATCCGTCATCCCTCGAATACCGATCCCGATCCCCCAACCATCCCTTTCCGCACCTAGCTCGCCTTGATCCTTGGTTCCCCAGACGTTCACGTCCCGCGCTCGACGACGTTGGATCGAACTGCCTTCCCTCTCCTCGGGAGGAGCGAACAAGGCATCGCGGAAACGTTGGACAAAGGAAGCGTCACCGAAGAGAAGGAAGGAGTGGAGGACGTCGAGGTGGGAGGTTAGGGCTAGGTCGGTGAAGAAGAGCGTGAGGAGCGCTGCCGAGGGTAGGTGGCCGAAGATGGAGAGCGGGCGATAGAGTGATGTCGAAAGGAGGATGTCCAAGTTAGGTCTTGAGGGAGGGAGGATCGAGAAGGTGGGAGACTCGATGCGATCGGCGAGGAACGAGCCGATCCCTGTGTCCGTCGACCAGTGCGGAGCAGTCAGAGCGTTCGCGACCGACAGAGCCGTGAAGCGCCCAAATAGGTCCGCTAGTTCGGCAGGGTACTTGAGTGATGATGCAGAGGTATGTACGTCGAGTTTGACCAAGAAAGTATTATCTGGCAGAACGACAGGCGCGTATTTGCCGACTTGCCATGCCCTCACATCATTTCGAAGTTGAGCGACCCGTGTCCGAACGGCTTGGAAGAAGCTGAAAGAGTCGTGAAAGCGAGTTTCACGTCAGCCCAGCCCTCGGGAATCTTCAGTTCACCGCGAAACGTACCTCTCATCATCTCCAACATCCCATCGGATTCCTCGTCCCGCATTCTGTATCCTCTGTGGTCTCGAGAGTGGATGATCCGGCTTTGCTCGACGCAGCAGACGCAATGCCCGACCAGCTTCAAACAGCTCGATAGCAACATTGCGAGGGAAGAACGTCGGTATCCTTGACAGGTGAAGCTGTGTGAGAGCGGCTCAAACAAATGAGGTCCACAAAAAGTAGATGACTCTGCCGAAACGGCCTCGATCCTGACTTACCCTATATCTAGTCCGGGAAAGCTCTTCCATTCCCGAACCCGCGTTGCGAACTTGAAGCATCGATAACTCCCTCTTCGTAATCTCCACTTCGATCCCTAAATCGGCCCAGGTATGTTCACTCTCATGGTGTGATGATTCAGCAATTCCAACCCAGGCTTCCCACCCCGTCCACCAAGCCGACAATGCATGGTTCAAGAGCCACGCCGACGTCGTTTGCTCCAACAAGGGAGGCGTCAATGAATATGCCAAGTGGTGTTTGAGGTTATCGTGCAAAAGACTGAGGAGAGAGGCCGTCGTCCGTGGCATGGGTGCCAAAGGTGGGACCATGCGGTATTGGCGTTGAAAGATGGTCGAGACGGACTCGACGACTCGAGCGAGATCTGCCAATCTGGCCCATACGACGGCGAGACCATCGCGGGAGCTTGGGTCGCTAGGATCCTCGAGTTGCGTGGGACATAATCTGACCACTTCCTCTCGGGCCCAGTCGATGAAAGCGGAGAGCGATGACGACACGGCATGAGCTATGGTCGAAGGGTTCGAAGATGGCTCAACGAGCGATCGCGCGACCTCGTCCAATCGGCTCATCGAAGTAGCGAGGAAGAAGAAGCGTTGGATGTAACTGTCAACGAAGGACCGCCTTTGCGATTAGTCTCGACTCCGAGTCTACCAGTCGCGTGGGATCCTCTGACTGACCTATGCGATGCCTCGAGCGAGATGCCGACGAACCTTCCCCGGTTCTCGAGGCCGGATTTGGCCTTTCCTTTGAGATCGGCTCGCCAGACGTAGCGTTCTTTTTCCGTGTCCCATGCGAACAAGACGGAGTCGAGACCACGGACTATGGTCATGAGGTTGTCGAGGATGACAGCGTGGGCATAAGCTGGGGCCCGGGATGTTCGCTCCGAGGTGAGCGAGCTGTGGAGAGGACAGGAGACGCTCAGATGGTGCCAAGAACGGTCTCCAAACCCAAGCTTGCACATACAGCTCTGCTTCCCACACTCTCGCCGGCGCTTCACTGAAGAAAGGTGACGCGTACGACTTGTCTGATCGGTCGAGATTGTCCCAAGTCGACAACTGAGGCGCGCTCTGTAGGCGAAGTCGCGGTGAGATGAGCCCAAGAGCACACGCCTCTCCACGGGTTACTGGACGCGTACCTTGTGCACCTCATTCGACGCAGCTTGACCCCATATATCGCGGCGAGTCGATGGCCCAGGCGTACTCTGCTCCTTCTCGAGCAGGAGATTATCGACCGCCGTTCTCTCAACCTCGAGCGCGTGTCGCTCATGAACGTTGGCCGCTCGTTGCTGCTCTTGCTTCTGCTTGAGCACGACATTATTGAGAATCACGTCCTCGAACAAAGCCGCTGTTCCCGATCGACTGTCCAGACTAGGTAATCGGAACGCCAATGCTTGAGCGTCATCTTTGAACAAGCCCGTCGAGCCCGTCGAGGGAAGAGGCAGACCAAAGCGCGATGCATGGGTCGAGTATGCACCCTTGTCCCCCAGGTGAGGAACGAGGAAGTCATCGTCGTTGGGCCGTATGCCAAAGAGAGGCATCGCGGGCCGATGATCGTGTCCGCGAATGGCAGCTGACGACGGGGACGGAGTGAGCTCAAGCCTCACTCGAGGCGCGTCGGGGTTTGATCGGGGACGGCGAGTCCAATCACGTGACACCGAGATGGAGCCAGAGCAGGTCGAGTCTGGCGAGCATGGTCCTCGCCAAGACGTCTGACTTTACAGCAATGCAGTACGACACGTATATCTATGGCCTCTTTCAAGTGCTCTACTACCAAACCCTGAGCCTAGCTCGACCCCGCTATTCCTCTCTGACTAAGGCCTCTCCCAATCCTTCGCCGTTCTCCCCTCTTTGACCATCCCATATATCGCCTCACAACTCTGGTCCACCAACTGCGTCATCGAAAGTTCACTCGCTTCCAAGAGATCCACACCCGAGATGATATTAGGGTCTATGGTCCCTTTGTTGATGTCGCCATTCGTGAAGAGTTTCTTGTGCGCTTTCTCGTAGGCGGGCCATACGATTTGATCCTGTGCATTCAGGAATTGTACACATCAGTCTCAAGGTACCGGATAAGATGTGGTTTGATCAGACGGACCCAGTACCCTGGTGGATCCTACCGTAAGAGAATGTAGCTCGGCGTTAGCAATCGGGATTCTCCAACGATCAAGCAGCGATCAAGCAAACTCACTGTCCATAGTGCTCCCTCTGGTTCGGATTCAACTGAACGTCAGCAACCCAAAGCATCAACGACAAGTACACGCGAATCATCATCGTCGGACCGGCTGGGAGCAAGCAGGCGGCCAAAGGGGGGTTTTCGATGCTCACCTGCAGTATGCTGTTTAAAGCCAAGAGATAGCAACATCAGCACCCATATACCCAAACCACGTACTCAATTCCAACCCTTCCATCCTGCCCCACGACTCACGTAACCATTCCTCTCCTCCCTCCTCTTCTTGAGCGTCTGATACCCCTCCCTCACGAAAATCCTCACATCAAACTGCCTGACCGATTGCTCATCCACGAGCATCAAGAACCCATCCGCGATGATGTACTTGACCACGTCATCCCCCTTCCCGCCCCCGATTTCCTTCTGTAATGCAGCGAACTTGTCGATCCATCTTGCTCGCGTTGCTTCGTCTATCGGTACGGGAATTTGGACGTTGAACGAATCGTGCGAATAATGCGCCTCGGGGAAAGCACCGTCATGGGCCCGGATGTATTGCAACGTTTCCCTTTGTCGATCCCATTCGATACTGCACGTTTCAACCACCCCGAGTTCATCAGCACCTTTCCCATCCCCCAGTTCTCTAAATCCGCGCCGAAGGAGACGTACGCCCCGTCCGGATCATCCCAGTCCTGCACCCCATGCACGGGGTGTATCGGTACCTTCTCAGCGGGTGGGGCAAAATCATCTTGGAAGAGACTGGTCGAATTGGGCAAGATTTGGGCGAGGTGTTTGGCGAGGGTTGTTTTGCCTATGAGAACGAGGGGAATCGGAAGGGGTTAGGATGCAGAAAGCGAGCAGGGAAGGGTGCATAGGTTGGGTTTGTGCGTACCTGAACATGTCGGACCGCCAATGGCGATGATGTAGAGTCTTGTGGGCATGGGTGCGGGAGGGATTGCTCGCTGCGGGGTTTCGTGGTCGCTGGATGAAGGAAAGCGCGCGTCGCGCCCACACCCCTGATCATGCATCATGACTCGGCCTGACTCGATGGACAACCACGCTCCGGCAGCTCGGCACAAGGAACAGTGAAAACAAAATTACTGCTTACAGCACAGACTCCAGGAAGTGAACCAAGGTACACATAAAAATTAGAAAACTAGTAAAAATTAGAAAATTAAGAGACGAGGTCCAAATGATGATTCCATCCATGAGTCCATGCGACTAATTCCCCCCGCCGTTGAAATTGCCGGACGGTCTCGCAACAAGTTGTCCAGTCCAAGAGTCATGGTCATGCCGTAAATGTACATCATTGAAACTTTGCACCGTATCCATCCCGTCCAAAGGATGCCTCGAAAGTATCGATCCTCCCCCGTCAAGTGGATGGTGTTGTTGGGGAAAAGCTAGCGGCCAAATTGACGGATGACTCAAGTGCCCGTACGGCGCCGGCGGCGCTACGGGCCTAAGAATCGCTGTCGTCGTCGCTGGACTCGAGCCCGATATTGATGTGGGGAGAAAGCCGCGTTGTTCTTGCTGCTGCAGTGATGGTTGCTGCTGCTGCTCTTGGTATAAGGCGGCGGCTTGTTGTATTCGAACGAGTTGATAAGGTGAGAGCTCATACAAGTCCGGATGATCGAGGACGTAACAGTAACGCGCCCCCGTCGCACCTGGAAAGAAAAGATCCGTGGTTGTCTCGGTGAGTTTCGGAGTTTGCGCGTTTAACCGAGTTTTGTCGGACTAGTCCGCGAGCCGGCGAGCAAAAACAACTCCACCTTTATCCGAAGAGAAACCAATGGCGGCATCGATTGCCAAAAGCTCGGCGTACCCCTGATCGAAGAAGACAGGAGGAGACATTGTGCGCTCCGCGCTCGAGCCCGTGCGTGATTCCGGAAGGTACGGCCCGGAGTTGCAGGAGAGCGCGAGCGACATCGGGCCCAAAGGAGCACCAATCGGAGATCCGGAAGAGCTTATGAATGACTGACCTGGTTCAAAAGGCATCATCATGAACGGTGGATGTGTAGCCAGTGTTGAAGGATGGTGTTCGAACTCGACTCGAAGGAGCGGGAGGTGGTCGCCCGCGACGTCGTCGAGGTTCCCGGAAAAAAATCCCAAGTCGTCCGAAACGACGTCGTAATTCTCCCGTCGACGTACCGCCACTCCGGCTTGATCGTCGTCGAAGACGTCGTTGGCGTGCGCGCTGCCGCTCACGGACCCTCTCGTCGCGAGGTCAATTTCCGAGCTCCTGCTCACGGGCACCCGCACCGGTCCGGCCTCTGTCGTATCCGAGGGATGTTCCCACACCGAAACAGGTGGATCGACATTGGTGTTGATGTAGAACCATGTTCGATCTAATTATTCGAGTGAACGAGGTGTTGCCCCCGAAAGCGAATCACAACAAGGTCGTCAGCTCTGTATTCGACGGGTTTAAGCGTAATCCGCTGGTCGCAGCCTCGCAGGAAAGTTAACACCCACATCTTTCGTTCCACTGCGTCATCCATCCCGGTGGTAAAGGTCGAGGATCCATCGCACTCGAATCAGCACTCATCCTAGGCGAGGGCGTGCCCCCCAATGAATTTGGAGGGCCGAACTCTGGCAAGCTTGGTCGTGGTCGGTCGTTCAAGGGGAAACGGAGGAGCGCGAAAGGGATCAGATAAAACCGGGGTTTGCATTTCCTTCGGGCATCATAAAGGGGTCGACTCGAGAGACGCGCGGGCCTCGTTTAAAGTTGGAGCTTAGTTCTAATCGCTTAAATCCGTGGACTTGAGAGGCATCGTCGATCGAAGCTAAAAGCACTCGTCGGAAGTCATGCTGGCGCTTGTCCGAGCCCAGCACTCTTTGTACCGACATCAGCTGGTCGTTCAGTATTTTTTATGACATTACATGCGCAAAGGGCATTGCAAAACAAGCACAGGATATTCCGAGGAAGACGAGGGTGGCGGGGCGGCCAGTTTTTTTTCCGCAGCCGACAAGGCGCGCGAGGCGATGGGGGGAATAGGAGAGAGGAGAGCACGAAAGGAGACCGCAGCAGGCGGAACAGGATCCCGGCAATCATCGTTGCCAACTCGACTTGCTTGAATAACGCGACGCCGAGGTGCTCGCGTTGGCGTTGGACGAGCTCGATCCGGCGGCTGCGTTGCCGGGGCGCGCAGCAGCCGGGGAGGTGGGGCTGTAAGATGGGGAGGTAGGGCCTGAAGCGGAGAGCACACACGAGGTCAGCGGCTCCGCGTCGGAGGACATGAGACGGGTCAATTGTACGCAGGCAATGACTGACTGTATTGCGGTGACGTCGGCGAGTACTGCGGCGATGTGGGCGAATACTTGGGGCTCGTCTGAGTGTAGCAGAATTTGCTCAGTCAGCTTTGGAAACGACAGAGCGACCACCTCGTCATTCACACTCACGGGACTGTAAGCTGGCGAAGCGGGGGAATAGGTCGGGCTCGTGGGGGAGTAACGAGGAGAGGTCTGTGAGAAAAGATGCGCAACGCGTCAGCGACCGTAGCAGTCGCAAACAGGTCACCTCGGGAGCGAAGAAAGCGCACGGGAGAGTACTGCGGCGAGGTCTGCGAGCGAAGGATCAGGATACCTAGTGTCAGCAATGATATCTTTAAAGGGGTCGGGAATGATCACTGTCGCTTACAGGTGAGTACTTGGGACTCGAAGGAGAGAACGAAGGACTCGTCGGCGAATACCTCGGCGAGGCAGGGCTAAACGACGGCGACGAGGGGCTGAACGAAGGCGAAGCCGGGGAGAAGGATGGACTCGCAGGCGAGAACGAGGGCGACGAAGGACTCCAGGCCGGAGAAGCGGGGGAGAAGCGCGGAGACGCCGGTGACATGTTGATCATCGGCGATGTGGGCGAGTACGACGGCGACGTTGCCCCACCTCCCGCGAGTCGATCAACCCAAGGCGATTGGGGCGCGTACCCAGCAGGCGACCGACCTCCGAGCGCACCACCTGGAGAGCGAGGGTTGTAGCCAGGCGAGACAGGCGAGTAGCCAGGGAACGGCGAAGAAGGCGAGTACCCAGGCGAAGCCCCACCACCGAAGGGCGAAGCGCCTCCGTAAGCAGGAGATGCGCCACCGTAGATCGGCGTCAATCCTCCGCCTTGGTCGTAGCCCGCCGACGAGTCGTACAGGGGCGAGAAGTTGGCCAAACCATCCATGGGGACATGCATCGGCGTTCGACTGTCGTTCGCATCGGCATACGGCGTCATTCCTCCTCCACCCGGCGTCAAGCCGCCATCGTTGCCGTAGGCGTTCATGCCGGCCATGGGCAATCGATGATCGATGACGACCTCCTTGAGCATCTCCATATCAAGCGAGAGCTCGAACGCACCCGTCCCCATCGGCGCGACTTGGCCAAGCAAGATGTTCTCCGCCACACCGGTGCAGTAATCGATCTCACCCGTCGCCGCGGCTTCGAACAAGATCTCGACCGTCTCTTCGAACGAGCACCGCATGAGCGCACCCGTGTCGGATCGATTGATACCGTGACGCGTGATGGCCATGAGCGAGCCTCGGTTCGTCATGATATCGGTCAACATGCTCAAATGACGGTAGTTGACACGAGAACCGTCGAACTCGATGACGTTGCGCAACTCGCGCAGGACCGAGGCACGAGCGGCTTCGATACCGAGCACTTGCAAGACTTCGACGCACGAGTTGGACACTGTCCGTGTGGGGTCGACACCATCGACGCACAAGACCTTGCGCAAGTTAATGCCGTCGGTTTCGAGCACCCACTCGGTCGGGTTGTCGAACTCGCCCGATTCGGTGATGACGTTGCGCTTGTGCTGCAGCATGAACACACGCTCGATGCCCTCGACACCTCGCAACGAGATCGTCGACAGCATCGACGCCTCGAGCTGCTTCAGGAAGATGTCTTCCTCGGCGTCCTCAGCCTCTTCAGCACCATCCTCCTTGTCTCTGCCTTCCTCGTTCAAAGCTCGGCAACGAATGACGAGCTTCTCGGCGTTGTCTTCGGACCAGATAACGAACAAGTCCTGTTCAAACACCTCGGCGATCTTGCCCGCCACGAACGACATCTCGAGCTTCTTGTCGAGCATCTTGGCGCGGTCAAGCTCGAACCTCAACAACCAAGGCGACTGACGATGCAAGTTTGCTTCGACGTCCTCGTCGGGGATCGCGAAGAAGGCCTCGACGAATTCGATATCGTCGGTGATGACGGTCGTGTTGACCTCGGGGTCGTAGATGATCTCGGTCGAGGCCGTGATCGTCTTGAGCGTCGTGTACGACAACATCGTCTGCACCTCCTTGGCAAGATCAATCTCGCGAGCGATCTCGGGTTGGAGGTACACCGTCATCGACGGCGTCTTGAGGTTTACGGCGACGTTGATGATTTCCTTGAGACGCGGCACACCGAGCGTCACGTTCTTGGACGACACACCGGCGTAATGGAACGTATTGAGCGTCATCTGCGTCGCCGGTTCTCCGATCGATTGCGCCGCGAGCGTACCACACATCTCACCCGGCGCCGCGAGCGAGGCCTTGAACTTGGACTCGACCTCTCCCAGCACCCACTGGAACGCCTCTTGATTCAGATGGTGCTCCTCGATAACGCGTCGAACGGCAAAGTTGGACCGCAAGAAGATGTTGAACAATAAGGTCGCGTTCGCCTGCGCCTCCTCGACCAATCGACCCGAACCGCGCACAACGACCAACCGCTCGAGCAATGCCGCGACGTCGCGCAGGATGACCTCGGGGTGCAGGTCGCTCGGTTTCCGGAAGTCGATGTGGAAGATCTGCTGCGCGTTCTGGATCGTGCGACGCACATTGACGGGCAGAAAGACGGTCGCGTCACCGTTGGGGAAGATGAACTCGCGCAACATCTTCCGGTCCTCCTTCAACTGCTCGTACTCGTCATCGAGCAATGCCTGCACCTGCTCGTAGTCGTCCTGATCGATCAAGCCGACCTGCAGCGCACCGCTGCGGAAAGTCCACTTGCGATCCATGACATCGAGGCGGTATCGCTTCTCAAAGCGCTCGTCCGACAACCGAATCGGGTCAATGACCTGCTCCTCGATGAAAGCACCGTCCATGCCGTCTTCGCCGTATACGAACTGTACGACGTCGCCGAGCGAGTTGCGTACGGTGCCATCGTATGCAACCATGACATCTTCGAGCGCCTTGACGAGACGACGTTGAATGTACCCCGTCTCAGCCGTCTTGACGGCCGTATCGATCAATCCTTCTCGTCCGGCCATGGCGTGGAAGAAGAACTCTTGCGGTGTCAAACCTCGCAAGTACGAGTTTTCGACGAAACCCCTCGCTTCGGGCGAGTAATCGTCCTTGGTAAAGTGGGGCAAGGTACGATGCTTGAACCCAAACGGCACACGTTTGCCCTCGACGATCTGTTGCCCTACACAAGCCGACATTTGCGAGATGTTGATGAATGATCCTTTCGAACCGGCGACGACCATCTGCTTGACGTTGTTGTCCCCCTTGAGCGACTTTTCGGCCGAGCGACCGGAGGAATCACGCGCCGAATTGAGCGCCTTGTTGACCTTGCTCTCGAAAGACTCTCGGATCGACATACCGGGCTCGGGTTCGAGCTTGTCCTCTTGCGCCATCTGGATGATCTCCGCGACCTGGTTCTTGGCCGCTTCGATGAAACCCGTGATGGCCTCCATGGTCCCCTTGTCAGGAACGGTATCGCCAATCCCGATCGAAAACCCATTGTGCAACAACCAATAGTTGACAACTTTTTGCACACCCGAGAAGAAATCGCGGCACACCTCGTGACCCTTTTCACGGAAGATGATGTGGATGATACCACCTTGGGAAGCGCCGACGGTCTTTTTGTCGACGATGCCGTAGATGATCTCGCCGTCTTCGATCCACATGCCGTTGTCCTCGACGGGGTTCGGACTGGCCGGATCGGGCGCGCGGTACAAGTTAATCCCTTTGGGGATGCACATCGACAAAATCTGCTTGCCCGTCCACAGCTGCTTGGGCTTGAGGATTGCGGGCGGAGGGATGATGCCATCCCATTCCGGAACCCACAGCAGGATATTTTGGATAAAGTCGCGATCCATGAAGCAATCACGAAGGGTGAACTTGCGCACACCGCATAGCGTGTCTTGCACGATACCCATGACGGGCTTGTTGGCTTGCGGTGAGATGATGTTGCGAGGGACGGCGCAGATCTGCATCAACTCGGCTCGCGTCTCTTCCGATTGCGGGACGTGCAAGTTCATTTCGTCACCGTCGAAACTGCGCAGTCAGAACAGAACACATTGTCAGCCTTGACGCAGCCTCATCAGACACTCTCCTCGCCCGGGAGAGCGTACTCGGCGTTGTAAGGTGACTGTGAAGGGGAAACAGCAGGGACTATTGGTCAGCAACTAGCTCGAGTCGCATCAGTAAGGCCACTTGCATGTACTCACCGTGACAGAAAGGTTGAGTCGGAACGTCGAGAACGGCATCAACTTGACCCGATGGGCCATCATGGACATTTTGTGCAAACTCGGTTGTCGATTGAACAGAACCAAATCGCCGTCCTTGAGATGACGTTCGACGATCCACCCAAACTGCAACGCCGTATCGGCGCGCTTGTTGTACCGCAAATCGATGCGATCACCCGTATCACGCACGATGTACCGCGCTCCGGGGTACTCGTTCGGCCCATTACGCACGAGCTCTTGCAAGTACGAGATGTTGTACGGCGTCACTCGTTCGGGGTAGGTCAAATTCCGTGCGATCGAAAAGGGGACGCCGACCTCGTCGAGCGCCAAATTGGGATCACCCGTAATGACCGTTCGTGCCGAGAAATCGACACGTTTACCCATGAGGTTTCCTCGCAGTCGACCTTCTTTGCCCTTCAGTCGCGCTCGGATCGACTTGACCGGTCGACCGGATTTTTGCATCGCCTGCGGCTGCCCCGCAATGTCGTTATCCATGTAGGTCGCGACGTGCCATTGCAGCAAGGTCTCGAACTCGGCAATGACGTGATTCGGCGCTCCCTCTTCCTCGAACTTGCGCAAGACCTGGTTCGCGCGGATGATTTCGGCCAGCTTGTAGGTCAAATCGTCCTCGCCTCGCATCGCACCTCCATCGACGGCGATCGAAGGTCGGACCGGTGGTGGGGGGACGGGCAGGACGGTGAGGATCATCCATGCCGGGTGCGCCTCGAGCGGGTTCAGACCCATGACCTTGAGATCCTCGGCGGGGATCTTTCGGAACAAGGCGTTAGCCATGGTGGGTGTCAGAGGTTTACGGTCCGGTTGCATCAGATTGCCGTCCTGAAAAATGGGGCAAGACAGTCAGCATGATGAAGAGAATGAACCCCAACGTCCGTTTTCCTGATGAGACACACCTCATCTTTTCCTTTTGAGTAGACCATAATCAACTTCAACCCCTCCCTCCTAATCTGCGGCTGCTGGTGCCCGCACCCTCCATGTCCCCTGACAGGTTCCTCCCCTTCCGGTACCGGTTCACTCGGATCGATCGCGGCGTCCATCTCGCACACGTTTTTGGTCTTGACGAGCGAGTGCACGATCGCGAGCCGCTTCTTGGGGTCGCGCACGAAGCGCACAACTTCGGCCAGGCGGGGGTCGAGGTGCGGCGACGACTTGAGTTTACCGCACAGGACGCAGATGGATTCGGTGATCTTTTTGCACTTGTTGATGAAGCCTGGTCGGTGGAAAAGCGGAGTCCGGAGTTAGGGGCGACGTTCACGCGCCAATGACGAAAGCATCAACCACAGCAGAGTGGAGGCAAGCACGTACCGACATGGAACACGGCCTTGCTCAACTCGATATGACCGAAATGGCCGGGACAGTCGGCCATGCCTTCGCCACATGTCGCGCACTTGAAGTTGCGGTCGATCGTGCCCATGCGCGGATCGGACAATCCTCCCGGTTTCTGATCGACGAGGCCACAAAGGCATCGCAAGCATGGAAGAAGACCCCAACAAAGACAAGAAAAGAACGAGAAGAAATGTGCTAAGCCCAATTCGATGAAGTGGCAGAGCACGACAAGGAAAGAGGAAAGGGCTTACGGGACGCTGGTTGCCCTCCTCGTAGGTCTCGGGATACTCGACCTTGCATACCGAGTAGGCCTTGATCTCTTCAGGGCTTAGGATACCGAATTGGATCGTGTGCGCCTTTCGCACGGGGCTGTGGGGGTGTAGGGCGCGAGAAAGTGTGTGTGTGTGTGTCAGGTCATGCAGGAATGAACAGGCCGTGAGCGCGTTCGTGGGTGGGTCGTGAGCCGATGATGGAGGCGGGGCCGGCAGCGAGGTGCGCGGGCGTGGGAGTGGCCGTCGACGCGGGCCAGCGGCAGTGGGTCGTGCGCGGACCCGACAGCGGGAGCAGCGAGGCGAGCAGGTGGCGACAGGGACGTCGCAGGCAGGCGAGCACTCACGCCTCGGAATGAGCCAACCCGTTACTCATGATGAACACGGGTAAAGCGCTTGATCAAGGGTGGGATGGGATGTAGGCCGATCCAGCGGGTTGGGCTGGCGTAGACAGCGGATCCAACGGTGACTTGGGGTTGCTGGACTCGCGTCGTCTTCGTCGTCGTCGTCACTGGCGTTGTCGTGTACGTCCAATGAGCGTGTCGACTGGACCCAAAGCACGAGATACACCGGTCGATACGGCCTAGATCGATCGTCGAGTAGGCGTGGGTGTCGTCAAGTCGCAAGGGGAGGGGGTCCCGGTAGGTCGGGACGGTCCAACGCGCAACGCAACCACCACACAAAACGCCACAGAGTCGACAGGAGCACGAGGGCGACGATCACCGAAGGCTGGGGTGTATGCCAGGTACGACAACACGAACGACAGCCAAGTCGTCGGTGCGAGGTAAGCGGTGCAGGAGGGAACACGGCCAAGCGTGGTCGGAGCCGCCGCGCGCCATTGAGCCCAATGCGCCGTAAGCTGCGACTAAGCGGCACAAATAGGCGGCGAATAGGCGTGGGTTAGTTAACCCGTGCCTGTGGAATAGGCGCCGAATAGAGCCCCCTTTCCTCTGTTCCCGCTGATCTTCTCTGAACGAACCGGGGGCTGGCGTGAACGACGATGTCCATCATCAAATGGCACAGACTACCCCTGACCCTATTCGAACTCTCCCAATCATGTCTCACCCCTCAAGCTACCTTCGCATCTCGCTCGCTCCCGATCCGGTCCTCCCTCCGCGGCCACGGTCACGCCCATCGTCATTGCTCAACCACATCCACGCCGTCCACGGCTCAGAAACCGACCAAACTCCGTTTCGCCCCTTCCCCCACGGGATATCTCCATCTCGGTGGTCTCCGAACAGTCCTCTACAATCATCTACTTGCTAAAAGACTCGGCGCAACTTGGGCGCTGAGGATCGAGGATACCGATCAGGTTCGTAGGCTCCCCCGAGATCTCATACGAGTAGGGTCCAGAGCTGACACAAGGTCGTTGCTCCCCTGCTTGCGCTGATTGGAACAGACTCGTTTCGTCCCAGGTGCTGTCGAGAGCTTGATCAAGACCCTTCGATGGGCCAAGCTGGACTACGATGAAGGTCAGCGCAAACGATTCCGAGAAAGAACTTTCCGCCAGAGACTGATCGCGCGTGAGCTCACTCTCTCTCTGGCAGGACCTTACCGAGATGGTGGAAACGGGCCATATTCTCAATCAGAACGAAAGCATATATACGACGCCCTCCTACAAGCCTTGATCGACGTACGTCCTTCCAAGTCTAAACTCCGAACCCGAACAGACCCCCACCTGACCAACCGAACCCCCACCACACAGTCCGGCAAAGCGTACCACTGCTTCTGTACGGCCGAACGACTCGCATCGACGCGCAAGCTGTTACAGAAACAGGGTAGCAACGCGACGTATGATCGCAAGTGCTTGGGATTGAGTAAGGAGGAGGTCCAGGCCAGATCGGATCAAGGCGAAGCGAGTGTCGTTCGGTTCAAGGTCAGAGCTCCATCTCTCTCTCTGGCATCCCTGACTGTACTCACGCTCCCTCTTCATACCTGCTCAGAGCTCAAGTGATGGTATGACCCAGCACGACCTCGTCTACGATACCATCACCTACCCGTCTCTACCCATAGAAGATTTCGTCCTACGAAAAACTGACGGACTGCCAACCTATCATTTCGCGAGCGTGGTTGATGATCATTCGATGGGGGTGACTCATGTCTTACGTGGGGAGGTGAGCAACGCCATCTGATCGTAGAGTGTTCCACTTTCAAAAAGTTCGCTGACGCCCCTCGTCTCGTTCGTGGTAGGAATGGCTCCCCTCAACACCTAAACACCTCTCCCTCTACTCAGCCTTGGGTATCGACCCTCCCCAGTTCGCTCATCTTCCTCTCTTGGTCAATCAAGACGGGTCCAAACTCTCAAAAAGAGCAGGGGACGTAAGAGTGGAAGAATATATCGTACGTGCAATACTCTCTCCTCTATACCATCATGGAGGACCTGAGGATGGACTTGATAAATGATCGAATAGGACAAGGGTTACGAACCCGAAGCGTTGTTGAATTTCGTCGCTTTGATGGGTTGGTCGCCCCAAGCCACAACGTCGACCAACGTCGATGCGTCGGGTCAAGAAGGACATGTGCTCACGATGGAGGAGATGATCAAACGTGTACGTCTTGTTCGCATTCTTTCTTGGAGGGGTGAACAACTCCTGACGCGTGCCGTTCACGACACTAGTTCTCCCTCGAAGGCGTCAACAAGAATCGCTCGACGATGAATTTGAGCAAGTTGGAGTATCTAAATCGAGAACATGTCAAGCTGAAATTGGGGGAGAAGGAAGGGAGAAAGGAGATGGTGGAGAGGTTGAAAGCGAATGTAGAGCGGGAGATTGGGGATGCGTGAGTTCGCTGGATGGTGGAGATGAGTGAGGTGAATGAAGAGCTGATGGGTTGTGTTCTCATTTTATGTGTAGAAAAAAAACGGACGATCCGGCCTATTTGGGACGGGTGATTGAAGCCTTAAAGGTCAGTTCGTTTCCCTTGCTTTGATTCTGGACCATCGCTGAATTTGATTGATACCATCGAACTTGACAGGAACGCCTCCACACGATCCACGACATCCCTCGACTAGGACGTTACTTTTTCTCCCCGCCTGATTACACGACCAAATTGGCGCGTCAGATGGCCAAGAACGTGCCTTTGTTGATCTATCGTAGGTCCTGCTCGAGCACTCTGAAGCTCCGTCGAGGCATTGCTCATCTCGGCACGCTGCGCCCAACAGGCGAGACGCTCTCCTCCACGATCGAATTATTGCAATCCTTACCCGACGAAGACTGGATTTGGTCCTCCGAGACGCACCACAAGATGATTGAGACGCTCAACACGCTCGTCGAACCGGGAGGGAATAGTAAGAACGTGATGATGTCGCTTCGGCATGCGTTGACGGCGACCAAGGTAAGCAACTTCCTCCGTTCTCTTAAGAGGGATGGGTCAGAAAGCTGATGCGTTGTTCGTGGGGCGTCTCTCTCTCTCTCTCTCAGGTGGGTGCAGGTGTCCCCATGACGGTCCTGACGCTGGGCAAGGAGGAAAGTTTGGCTCGATTGCAGCATGCGCTCGAGGAGAGAGCTGGGGAGTGAATGAAACAAAAAATCGAGCCGGTTGAAGAAGGTTGAGAACGTGTCAGCGTTCGATGGACCCTGTCCCATGAAAATCCACGTCAAAAGACCCAAAGCCATCCGTAGAGAAGTCAGATCGTAAGACCCCACACCCAAGAGAAAAGATCAAAGACGAGAATATGGTTGGGGCCGCTTAGGACCAAGCAAAAGACGAGAAGCCTCTGATGGAATCCGTACCCCCGCTTCATCCCGTCTGTCCCCTTGCTCGGCTGTGGGGTGGCTACCGCGTAAACAGCAACTTTTGGCCCGTCTAAGATTGTGTCGCTCATTCGATTGGCGCCTGATCTCACCGGAAACCACACACAACGTCGGAGTTGGAGTGGGGTGGGGTGGACAAGGCCCATTCATCGACGTACAAGGATGATATATAAGACGTCATCATGTTTCTAGGGTGCTTTGGAGGTCGGGACGAGACGAAGACGGGGATAGGGGTTGCTCACCTTAGGATGGGGTGAAAATGGTGCGACTGTCACGACTCACGACGGTGGGGGGCAGAGGAGGTGCGCGTCTGGATCGCCGCATGGACGCGTCGTGCCAGCGTCTGGTCGCAGCTGGTCGCGCGAGGCCCAAGCGCAAGCCGAGCGTCGAGCGATCGCGCCAGATCGCGCCCAACAAGCCACTTGATGGTGCGAAACCCCCGGCACGAAGCCTCGCTTTGGACCCGTGCACATTCCCTGTTGTACACACCTCAACCCCGACACCACACACACACACACACACACCGAGCCGTATCCGACTTTGTACGACGACACCTGGCGTGTTTTCATTTTTCATTCCCCGTCTCTTCTCCATCTCACGAGCGTGCGCCAGGCTTGCTGCGACGATCACATCGATCACAAACACCCCAGCCTCTGCAGCGCGCGTCCGCGTACGACCGCCGCCGCCCAGCCTGCAGCAGCCAGCGCCGACGCAGCACTCAACGTTACTCAACAGCTCAACCGACGACGCTCTGGCAGGTCAACGCCAGCGAGAACTGCCAGCGTCCTGACCCATCACGACACCCCACCCGCATCTGAACGAACCACACCAGAGCAATGTCAACCGCGACGATCGAGACCTCGTTGAGCTTCGGCTCGTACGACTGGATCTGTACCCAGGCCGCCTTGGTCGTTTGTCCACTCGTGGGTAGTTCGACCTCGGGGGGCTATGGCATCTCCCCGACGTGCTATGCGCGCAATGTCGAGATCGGCACCACGCTCATATTCCAACCGGGTACGCGACCACTGCGCGTTCACTCGCAACGAGCGCAGAGTGGCGGCTGATGCTGATCGACTGACGTAAACTGTGGCCCCTTCCTCAGCCGCGAGCTTCCTGCACATCACCGCGCTCGGCATGGTCGCCGTCATGATCCTCCACATCCGAGCCAAATACACCGCCGTAGGCAGGAAGGAGATTGTCACCTTCTTCTACCTCTACTTTGTCGTCGAACTCTTGTCCATCTTTCTCGACTCGGGCATCATCCCTTCTTCGTCCGTCGTCTACCCCGTCAGTTGGGCCTTTCTCCCTTGACGCGTCGCACGCTCTAGAGCCCACCCACGCGTTCGGCATCAAGCAGTCTGGTCTCGCTGACACTTTCCCTCTTGCTCTGACAGTGGTTCGCGGCCATTCATCTCGGCTTGATTTGCGCCACATTCTGGTCCCTGCTCTGGAATGGCTTTGTCGGGTTCCAGCTGTGGGAGGACGGCACACCGCTTTCGCTCTGGGTTGGTCTGGCTCTCGAAGAACGCACATTCCGAGCTGGTGCAGAGATTTCTGACCGTACCCCCACATTATCGTACAGTCACTCCGTTTGTCCTGCCTAGGCATCTTCCTCGTCTCGGGCTTTATCGCGATCGCGACCTTCAAAGGACTCGCGTCCTTCTCTCGCTCGAAACCGACCGCGCTCTGGATCGTCGAGTTCATCTTCAACCTCGCGTGCCTCGTCATCTACATCGTCCTACAACTCATCCTCGTCATCCGCACCCTCGACGATCGCTGGCCGATCGGCGACATCCTCTTCGGCACGGCCTTCTTCGTCATCGGCCAAGCGCTGCTTTACGGTTTCTCCGTCACGATCTGCGATGCCGTATCGCACTACATCGATGGGCTCTTCTTCTCGACGTTGTGCACCTTGTTCGCGGTGATGATGGTGTACAAATACTGGGATTCGATCACCAAGGAGGACCTCGAGTTCTCCGTTGGGTCCAAGCAGGCCGTGTGGGAAGTCAAGGAAAGCCTGTTGAGGGGTGATAACGACGAGGACGTGTTGGCTCATACACCGGGTGGGTATGGCGCCTATGGAGCTCAGGGGCATTCTACGTTCAACACTCAGGGCTGTAAGTACCTCGTAATATTTGTGCAATTGATCAAATGAGCACCGGAACTGATCATTCGCGTGTTTGTGTTCGACCCAGATCCGCCCGTCCCTCCTCTGCCTCAAAAAAGCGGCTACGGAGGCCAAGGAAATCAATACGGACAATACTAGAACTTAATCATCGTACTCGCCTCACACATCACCACCCACCCCCATGATTTGTCCAGCGTCGATCCTCTCAAAGACACTTTCGCCTCTTGATTTCGGCGCGCTTGCTGACTCTTCGTTGACGACTTTCGTACATTCGGGCTCTCATTGTTTCATTGTTTGTATCAACTCGTTATCTCCATTGTGTTGGCGCGCGTCTTCTCCGGCTTGATCTGTCTGTCCTAGCTCCTCCGCGGTTCCTTACATCATTATCAGCAACTGTAACGAACCTTTTCATCGTGTTCCTTTGCAGCGGTTCGTGCTCGGTGATCAACTTGGTTAGCATACTGATACACCTTGATCATTGCTGGAAAACCCGAGGACGGAGAGGGCCATCGAAGCGATCGAGCAACTCCGATCCCGGCGCGTGCTGGTCACGATGCCGAAGCGCGAGGTCGATGATTACGCGCGCCCAAGGCGAGAGCGATAATTCTCGATTCCGTTCCAGCTTCAACTTGATCTTTTCCTCATCCCGCTACTACGAACCACATCCCATAGACGATCCTCCAATTCAACTGAAAGCACCATGGGCAAATCGGACGAGCAAGTCATTGAGGAATTCCAAAGTGAGTGTAAGACAGGCTTTCACGTGTGGTCGATCGGGCGTCGTAGCGAACGTCGATGAGGTCGATGATGTGGGGGTGGATTACGTCGTACCGATCGGATTATGCGATCAATAGGCATGTTGCCGCGTCGTACCTCCAACAGAACAATTTTTCTTTGTAGTCCTTACGGGAGCCTAAATTAGGAGAGCTGATCGAATCATTCGCTCAGAGTACGTGAACATGACCCCGGAAGAACTGGAAGAATGGCTCGAGACGGACGAATCGAAAAGATCTGGATGGACGGGCAATGATGGCGGAGGTGGGGAATCTGTCGGGCATGATTCGGGGAGGAAAATCGTGAGTGGGTTTTTCGGAATGTTCTGAGTTGGGTGTTGGGTGTTGTTGCTGGAGCTGGAGCTTTCACTGATGAGGTAAGCCCTTCTTTTTTTTTTGGCGGACGTTGTGACTGGCAGGTCAAGATCCTTCGTTCCGATTCTCAGAATCCTTCGGAGGACGAGTTGGCTCATATGCGCAAGGTAAGCGAGCCGACTTGGTCTCTCAGATTGTCTACAGTCATAGACTCTAGCTGACTGTCTGTCTATACACTACCCCAGGTCTGCGCCTACTGTGCTCGTCATCTCGCGCAAGAGAGCAAGATGAAGGAGAGCAAGGATGAGGACGAATTGACCGAGACCAAGGCGTATCGCTCATTGAAGAATTGGGGTCACGACATGCTGAAGGCTTGATGATGCATGACCCGTGGTAAAGTATTCGAAGCGGTTACAAGTCGGGGAGAGAGAAAATGAAGCTTGTACGAAGAGACTGGAACGAAGGGGCTCGAGCTTGTCGCGAAGTAATTGTGAATGCAACGGAGGATGTTTGAAGGGAGTTCTAATCGTCGTGTGGAGGTATGTAAATGTCCAAAGAGCCTTTCAAAATTCGTCTGCTGGTGTTGACCAGGGGTGCTCGGACCTCCAATCGCAAAATGGGGGTTGTCTCGGTCCGAAACGTTCTTTGCGCGGCGGCCGTGGCTGTGGGTGTTCGCCCGTTCGGTTCGCCTTCATTGCTTCCTCCACCGAGCGTCTCCGTGCACGACTTCTCTTTCTCATCCCCTTGGTTCTCCTTCCACCCATTCCTCCACCTCGTGGAAACCGATGTCACGACCTTCTTACGACGCACGAACGACACGACCTACTTCGTCCCATCTGTCACGGGAATACTCCTCGGCTGACGTGTACACCTTGTCAAAGCAGAACCCGTCGGACGCCGAGTTGAGGTCATTGGATCGTTCGCCGCGACCGCCGGCTGGACCATCTAGAGCGACGGCGTCGAGCGCGACGTCGACGTCCACTCCGAGGATCTTGACCTACCAGGACGCTGATGAGGAGGACGATGAAGACGAGGGTGGTTGGACTACCACTTATGATGACTTTGTTCCACGTCGAGCAAGTACGATGTACCAACCTGGGATGGGCCACATCGCTTCGTACGTTATTGAATAACTTGAGAGGCGGCCGTCGCCCGACAGGCTAGCGCCGTTGCCAAGGTTGTTCTGTCGTTAGATTCCATTGTACTGACAGTGGTTCTTCGGGATGGTTCAACTAGATCCACATCCAAGACAAACGTGCTCGAAATGGTACAACAACCCATCTTGGCGCCGCACGACTGGTCAATCGGAGAAAAACGAACGGACTGGGGCAAGCGTGGTTCGAGCCGAGGCGAAAACCCGCGCGCTGTCCCACCGTTCAAGGCCAAGGTGAAACGAGTCAAAGGTTTCGTGGGCAGGCATTGGAAGTGGCTGCTTGCTATTGTCCTGGCTTTGATCGTAGTGTGAGTCCCCTCGGTGTGATCGATCGGGGCAGTCCCATGTGGCGGGCGGAGAATTGCTGAAGCCGAGCTGCGAAAATCATGTCGATAGGGTCGCCTTAATACTCTACTTTCTTCTGCCTCGAGTGCCCGGTGTCGACTTCCAGGGTTCGAATCCGATCATCAAGACGAGTACATTTGCACAGACATCCTCCAGTCCGGCATTCTTTTACTTCACCTCGGATCTCCTCGTCAATAGTGAGTGAAGCTCCTGATTTCTGCTCAGGCCCTGGTCGGCGAGAGTGACGAACAGTTTTGACGTGGACTGGGATAATTTTCGCAGTCGACGCCTCGGCGAGTTACATTCCCATCATCTTTTCGATGTTTCAGGTGCAGCTTTCATTGCAAGAGACGGGAAAGGTCATTGCTCAGGGGCCACGAACAGGGATTAAGGTCAATGGCAAAACTTCGACGATCTACCAAGTCAGTTTTGTGCAGCGCGCTTTGAGCTAGGTCGATAACTCCTGTCAAAGGGTGTGTAAGCTGATCAGTTCATACCATATAGATCCCTCTGACGTGGTCCGGTAATATGTCGGTCTCGGATCCCACCTGTAAGTGAAATTTTGGATGACGCCGACGATGCGGGACTCGCTGCCGCAGTGTCGTGCTGACGGCTTCCGAGCGATCGTCTTCCCCTGCAGTCAAAGCCGTCCGACAAGCATGCCAAACCATTTATCCGACGACGACGCGCCCAGGTCTGAACCTCACCATGTCCGTCAAAACGAACCTCATAGGCCTGATCGGCACCCACCACACACACCCCGTCTCGATCGACAACGTGCCTTGCCCGATCCAGTTCCCTGGTAATAGTAGTTGATGTTCCCGGATGACAAGTTTCTTGGTATTTTTGGTTGATTATGATGAGGCAGTGTTTACTTTTGACGCTAATTTGTGTACGGTCGGGAGCCGAGAGCCCCTCTCTGTAAATCGCTACTCCTGTCCGCATGCCCGCAAGCACATTCGAATTGATCATATGCAATAAATGACGACTGTATGACGACCGGATGACGACACTTGAACAATAAAAGAACCAAGGAGAATCCCCACCCTAGAAGAGAGAAAAGGTAGGGAAAGACAAGAGAACTACAGGTGCAAAGACGGCTACGTAGGTGTTGGCTGGCGGTAGCTTTGTTAGACGGGCAATAAGACCTTGCCGCCAAAGTACTCGCGGTGTTGGTACAGCTTGCCAGGGCCGGCTCCGCACCGATGCGGTTGCGCGTCGCCTCTGTGGCACCTTGCACATCCTAGCTTGCACATTTATCAGACCTCGCTCGTCCGACGAATATTCTTCGAGAGGCGCCTGAAAATTCTGATCAGCTCGTGCCGACGGCCCGGTGTGGCTCGGCTGGAGTGTATTTGCATACCCGAGGCTACCTTGACAGTTCGGTAGAGGCGAAATTGGTCCCGTGGTGTTGGGCAGGTACAAGATGATCTTCGTGCCCGCGGAGGTGGGCGGCGATAAAGACAGGGGCTGTCTCTGCCTCACGTCTGCACTGCAGCACCTGAGCTCGCAGCAAAGGAGGGTTCTGGCATTCTGTTTACTCACCCGCGAGTCACCGTCGTGCTGGGGCAGGCTGTAGGCCACTGCCGCTCTGTCAGCAGCTGACTAGCTCACAGTGCACAGAGGGCTGAGGCTGACGAACTAACAGTAACGAGGAGCGACTGGGGCCCTCTGCGCCCAACGCGCTTCGCGCATCGTGAACTTCGCCCATACGCAACCTCGCACGTCGTCGAGCCACCAACACATCCGGGACCGTCCCCTGCTCTCCACCGTGACGATATCATCGTTGTACCCGCCTAAGCTTCATCCGGGCATCACCTTGCCCCTGTTGTAGCTGTTGGTCACCTGTACGCTGTACGCGTTCCCTCGCGTGTTCCCGAAGTCGAGCTCCCCAAACCGCGCACTTGTGACTGCTATGGTTGTGAGTCTCCACTTCAGGCCTTCTATAGTCTTTTTCGTGGATCCAGTATCCGTACCGTGCGTTGGATGGCGCGATCAGGGCCACCATGCTCTGTTCTCCGTCGCGTTGTCGGTCGCTCGTCCGCGTCGGCTGAGCAGGGACAAAAGCATCAAGCCTTCAATTAGCTCCGGTTGCCTTTTAGGAGCGGGCAACTTTGAGGACATGTAGCGCTCTAACGCGTCTAGAGAACAGCGGTGGCGACAGCTTCTACGTGCTTCGTCTCGCGCCGTGACGGACGAACACACAACCGGCTCAGACTCATCACCCTGGCGGATCAAACCGTCGAAATCATAGACTGACCCCCGTCTCTCTCTTCTGCTGCAGTCGTCCTCCTCTTCGTCGACAGGATTCGCGCCCAACCCGCAGCTGGCGCTTCCCGGCGACGATGCGGACAAGCTGAGCGACTACGTGCCCAACTCGAACGAGATCTCGCGCGTCGCTTCCCGCGTTCCCTCCGTCGGCGGCGACGGGGAGGACGAGGAGGACGAGATCGACGAGATGGAGGTCGACGATGCCGATGCCGCTAATGATGTGACCGCCAGTGGCAAGAAGGCCGCACCGGGCGCGTCGACCAAGAGCGAGCTGAAGAAGATCGCCAAAGCCGAGCAAGCGCAGCAGAGGAAGGACGACAGGCAACAGGTCAAGCAGCAGGTGTGTTTTCTTGGTTAGGGAAGTGCGATGATCGGTACGATGAAGCTGACTGAGTTATACATTGCTCTCAGTTGTCCTCGAGGCGTCACGTCCAAGCCGGACTCAAGTCCGCCGATTCGATCAAACGCTTCTCCTACCTCCTCGGCCAGACCGATCTCTTCCGTCACTTTTGTGATCTCAAAGTCAGTTGCGCTTGTTTCCCGATGACCGCGATGACCAGTAGGAAAGCTGTACTGACGCAGTAGTCTGCCTTTCTCGTCCCCCCTAAGGCCCAGCGTGACCCCGAGTTCGCAAAAATGCTTGCCGAGTCGGAAAAGGCTCTGACCAAAGGGAAGGGCCCCGGCAAGAAGGGCAAGAACCAATCGCGCGGCAGGAAGACGGAGAAGGAGGAAGATGAGGAGCTGCTCGCCGAAACCAAGGCCGAGGACGGCGAGGGCGTGTCGAGCGGCCCGTTCGTTTTCACCGAGTCACCGGCCTTTGTCAAGGGAGGAAAGATGCGTGACTACCAGGTCCAAGGGCTCAACTGGATGTGCGGATTGCACCACAACGGTATCAACGGTATCCTTGCTGACGAAATGGTACGTTGCCCGCTCGCATCCCTTCCATCCTTTTTCCCGGCTGCATGCTGATCTGCTCCACGCATATAGGGTCTCGGAAAAACTCTACAAACGATCTCTTTCCTCGGCTTCCTTAAATTCCACCGCGGCATTGCAGGACCCCATCTCGTCATCGTGCCCAAATCGACTCTGGACAACTGGGCTCGCGAGTTTGCACACTGGGTCCCCGGTTTCAAGGTCTCCATGCTGCGTGGTGGACCCGAGGAGCGCCACGAGACGTTGACGAAGGAGATCCTGCCGCAAAACTTTGAGGTGCTCATCACTTCGTACGAACTGTGCCTTCGCGAGCAGTCGTCGCTCAAGAAGCTGGCCTGGGAATACATCATGATCGACGAGGCGCACCGCATCAAGAACGTCGACTCGATGTTGTCGCAATGCGTGCGCATCTTCGATTCGCGTGCCAGGCTCTTGATCACGGGTACGCCCTTGCAGAACAACCTGCACGAGCTTTGGGCCTTGCTCAACTTCCTCTTGCCCGACGTCTTCTCGAGCGTGGAGGACTTTGACGCCTGGTTCAAGAAGCAAGACGAGGGCACCGCTGGAGCCAAGGGCGAAGGCGCCGAGGGAGAAGGCTCGAACGCGATCGTGAAGCAACTGCATGCCGTCTTGCGACCCTTCTTGCTTCGACGTGTCAAGGCCGATGTCGAAAAGGCGCTGTTGCCCAAGAAGGAGATCAACGTCTACGTTGGCATGACGCAGCTGCAGCGCAAGTGGTACAAGATGATCCTCGAGAAGGACATTGACGCCGTCAACGGAGCTGGAGGCAAGAAGGAAGGCAAGACGCGCTTGCAAAACATCGTCATGCAGCTGCGCAAGTGTTGCAACCACCCCTACCTCTTTGACGGCGCTGAGCCCGGTCCTCCTTACACGACTGACGAGCACCTCGTCGAGGCTTCTGGCAAAATGGTCATCCTCGATCGACTGCTTAAGAGCATGAAGGCCAAGGGCTCGCGAGTGCTCATCTTCTCGCAGATGAGTCGTGTGCTCGATATCCTCGAAGACTACTGCATGTTCCGCGAGTACAAGTACTGTCGACTCGACGGTGGGACCGCGCACGAGGACCGCATGAACGCGATCGACGCCTACAACAAGCCCGGATCGGAGAAATTCATCTTCTTGTTGACGACGCGTGCCGGTGGTCTCGGCATCAACCTCGTCTCGGCCGACATTGTCGTGCTGTACGATTCGGATTGGAACCCTCAGGCCGATTTGCAGGCCATGGATCGAGCCCATCGAATCGGTCAGACGAAGCAAGTTTACGTGTTCCGGTTCGTGACCGAGAACGCGGTCGAGGAGAAGGTCTTGGAACGTGCGGCGCAAAAGCTTCGACTCGATCAGTTGGTCATCCAGCAGGGCCGCACGCACAACAGTAGCAAGCTGGCGAACAAAGATGAGCTTGTCGAGATGATCCAACACGGAGCCGATAAAATCATCAACTCGAGCGAGTCGATGCTGATTGACGACGATATTGATGACATCATTCGTCGCGGTGAGGAGAGGACCGCCGAGCTAAACTCCAAGTACGAGTCGCTCAACTTTGACGACCTGCAAGTGTTCAAGTCCGAGACGACGACCAATTGGGAGGGTGAGGAGTACGGACGACAGAAGAAGATTGGTCTGACTTGGATCGAGCCTTCGAAGCGGGAGCGCAAGTCCAACTACTCGGTCGACAGCTACTATCGCGATGCGATGAAGCAGAACCATCGCACCGGTCCTCGTGGCCCCCGTGGTCCTCGACAAATCTCTGCCGACGACTACAAGTTCTTCCCGCCGCGCCTCATCGAGCTGCAAGAACGCGAGGCCCTGTACTTCAAGAGGACGCAATCGCACGTCGTCCCCTTGCGCGACGACCCCGAAGCTAGCCAGGAGGAGCTTGAGGCCGAACGCGCGGCAGAACAAGAAGCCGTCGACACGGCTGAACCGCTGACGGAGGAGGAGAAGAATGAGAAGGAAGAGCTGGCTGAGCTCGGCTTCTCCCACTGGAGCAAGCGAGAGTTCCAACAGTTCATCCGAGGCTGCGAAAACTATGGCCGGTGAGTTTTCCATGAAGCTGGCTCACGTATGCCGACTACAACGGAAGCTGACATAATTTTTTGTGTTGTTCCGCGACGATAGTGAGGCTTACGATCTCATCCAGACGGAGGTGCCGACCAAGACAGCGGACGAGATCCGCGAGTATGCCCAAGTGTTCTGGGATCGCTATACCGAGATTGACGATCACGAGCGTCTCATGAAGCGTATTGACGACGCTGAAATGCGCCGCAACCACGAGGATCGTCTGTGGGGTATCATCAAGGAGAAGGTCGCGTCGACGCCGTTCCCGCTGCAGAACATGAAGATCATGTACCAGAACCAGACCAAGGGCAAGTCGTACTCCGACGAGGAGGACCGCTACCTGTTGTGCGAGTTGGCCAAGTACGGCGTAGGCAAGGAGGACACCCCGGAAAAGATCAAGTACGACATCAACCAAAACCCTCTGTTCCTCTTCGACTGGTTCATCAAGTCGCGTACGCCGCAAGAGATCGGTCGACGATGCACGACACTTGTCGCGCTCGTCGAGAAGGAGGTCGGCTTGGACCACGACGAGTCGATCCCGCGCAAAGGCCAGGGTCGAGGTGGCGGACGAGCCCCTCGTGGGGGTAAGAAGCGTGGCTCGATCGCCGCCGGGGTCGAGGACGAGGCGACGGTCACTTCGGCCAATACGTCGCGAGCCTCGACACCTGCACCTCCTGTCGCCAAAAAGTCTCGCAGATCGCTGATTTGATAATGGGACGGATGAGCGGAGAAGGAATAATGTTTCATGTGTGTGTGTTTCACTTTTCTCGTGTGTTTGTAGAGATGCGTCGTGTGTTCAATACAGTCGAAAGGCATTTATCGAAGTCTTACGTTGAGACGGCGTCGAGAGATGTCCTGCCCCAAGTCTGTGCGGTCCGATGCATGCCGTGGCAAGTCCACAGCTTGCCGCGGGTAACCCGAAGAAACTGTTCCCAATGCGGGTATAGGAAGGTCCGTGCCGAGGCTCCGAGGTATGCGCTCGGGACGCTTGTGCGTTCGGATCTATGGACGCAGAATGCTCCAGGGGCTCGAGCGGGGTTCAATCTCACGTTTCGAACTTGCCGTGGCCGTCGCCTTCTTTCTAAACCAACGCTCACTTTCCTCTCAAATCTGATCTTCTGAAGGAACATGATCGTGCCTTGTCCTCTACTCCCACCTATGTCACGCACTATTTGGCGAGTTAGCCAGCCCGCGCGCGTGTTTCCCCTGTCTGTACCCATCATCGGTGGGTCTCGCAACCCGCTCCAGTGAACTGTGCTAAGTCTGAGTTCACCCGTCACAGCAAACCACGTGCCAGTGGCGCTCACCGCAATGACCGCGTTCAGCTTTCTAATGTACTTGCTCATCAATCTGATGGATTTGCATTGAACTCCATACTCGCCGAGATTGAGGCAACAACGACACAGCGTCTTACGGCAAACTCTCCGACTAGAAGGCGCAGGATGCAAACTCCGTCCTGAGTCTTCATCCATACAGGCTTGAGCTCCCTCGTGATAAGCGTGTATTCCGCGACCCTTCATCGTATGATGGATGAGTGAGTGACACGTGCACGAATAAATACGTGGCTCTCTGGTGATTTCCCGTCCCTAGACCTCTCTAACCGTTTCCTGTAAACGCTCGCTTGAACAGAAGAATGATTTTCGACGTACATGGTTTCTCTTACTTAACCGGACTCGGGGCGCCCAGCCTCAAAGTCGGCCGGAAATCGAGATGTAAATATGACAAGGAAGCCTGTCAGCACTGGACGAGAGGTTCGGATGCGCTATTGATCTGATACAACCACAACATTTCGACGGAACTTGCGGCAAGGAGCGCGGGGGCGGGTGAAGCCGCCGAAGTGCCGCCGAGAGCCCCCACCGCCACAGGCTGGCCCTGGCTGGCCACGGCCCATCTCTGCCCATCTCGGCCCATTCTGGCAGAGGAGGACGAAAGCGGAGCGCCCCCACTTTCGCCTCTTGTGCACTCGCAAACGAACGTGCCAGGCCGCACCGTGGGAGCCCACTCTCATCCAACAGGACCATGAGTCCATCGGTACCCAAGGGCAAACCATCGAAAGACTACGCCGGTGCAGCGGACCATGGCCATTGCAGCGACGGCGCCGACTCGAGTGTGCCCGCGCAGCGAGAGCCGGCCACGGGACCCATCAAAGCCAAACCGGGACGCAGCCGAGCCGCTTGTTCGGCCTGTCGTGCCAACAAACAAGTGAGTCACCATTCGGACAGTACGACACGTCTGGGACTCGAGGCGTCCTCAGTCGCAACGTACGTAAGCACTCGACGGCCCAACTCCCCGCGCCGCCCGGTGAGCGTCGAAGCATGCGCTCAGATTTTTGCCTCAGGCGACGAGCATGGCTCGACCAGAACTCTCATTCGAATTCCAAAGGCTGTTCCTGATCCAGGAAGTGCTAACATCATATCTTGCCTCGAATTGTTCGCCTTGTAACCTCGGGCACTTCCGATCAGAAATGTGACGGCGCGATTCGGCACCCCTGTCGGCGATGTGAACTGTACAACCTAGAGTGCGATGCCCCATTGACGGCGGCGAACTCATCGAACGGCACACCCAATCACAAGCCAGCGGCATCTATCACCCTACCTAGCTTGAGCCCGTACGCAGGTCGTCCTGCAGTCCCTTCGCTCAAGTTGCCTCCGACCTCCGTGGCTTCCGCCAGTCTCAATGAGGCGAACGGCATAGACTCGAGCGCACTCGCGTCCACGTGAGTTGCTCGGATAGGCTTATGACTGTTTTTGCACTCGCTTACACATCCTTGCTTCTTTTTCGCTCTGGACCCCGGAAACAGTCTTCGCGATATCCAGGATCGACTGCGTCAAATCGAGCGTGGCCTCGAGGTCGACCGTCGTGCTCGAAACAGCGCCGCTCCGAGCTCGTCAACCGCACCCGGGAGCGCACAACGTGCTACGAGCACCGTCTCAAGCTCACTCTCCCGACTGCTGGACGTCGAACCGCCCCCAGAGTCGATGCCGCTCCACATCCTGCTCCAAACGGTCGACAAAATCGAAGCGCTCTCCAGTACCGAGGCATCAATCAACGAATGGGTGACGGGCGAAGAGAAGATGGTCCAAGACACGCCCAGCACGAACAAACCCGATGCGATTGCGAGAGGTTTGATCTCGGTCGAGGACGCGGACGCAGCATTTGCCTTCTTCCACGACAGAATCGCACCGTGGATCCCGATTTTCGGAGATGACGCCGATCGGTCTGCACTCGGCGTTCAGAGCCGATCCCCGTTTTTCTTCCACGTCGTGCTCTGCGTCACCAACTACTACAATCAAGCAACCTCGGAGCGAGCGCGAGAAGTGTTTCGCGGCTTGACCGAACTCGTGAACTTGATCTTAGCTCATCAGATTCTGGCTGCGGACCCCAACTTGATCGGCACCGACTTTATCCGCGGTCTACTGCTTATTATCTATTACAAACCAGTAAGTTGCTGCCAGCGCTGGCTTGACAAGTGTCGCCCGCAGACCAACGCGCTGACATGGACTCCTGAACCCGCTCTCCAGGTCCAGCACATTGCGTATGCTTCTCGAGGGATCACGGATGTCGGCCGAGCCACACATTCCTCTAAGGTCAATCACTGGTCGTCGATCATGATCCACGGCATCATTCACCGCACAGCCGAAGCGATCGGTCTGCCCAGGGCTCCTCAAGCCTTCCTCGCCGCCCTGGATGCCTCGAGAGTACCCGGAGCGCCTCCTATCGACAACGAAGTGTTGTGCAGACTGCGAACACATTACGCGCTGTGTATTGCGGACGTTCATGGCTCGTTGCAGTCCGGAAGGGTTGCCGCCACCGATCCGACCGCAGCCCTCGAGACGACGCGAGCATTTGCTTCATTGCTTTCGAGCCCGATGGATGCAAGGATGGCGGCTCAACTCGAGCTATACGCCATCGTGCGTACCCCGCGGGGCCAGCATCCTTTCAAGCTGCGTCTCGCTCAGCTCGGCCGCATCAACGACGAACTCGACAGCTGGGAAAGCTACTGGCGGCCCATCTTGACGCCTCTACAGAACGGGGGTGATATGTTGGCGTATACGCTGTTCCAAGGAGCGGCCAACTTTGTGACGTTCATCGCCAACTCGGCGACGTTCACACGGTGGACGATCGAGAGGCAGAGATCTCTCGATAGTGGTGGGAACGGACGTCCTGTGCTCACGACGAGTGATTGGGCTCGTAAGTGGACATCGTACACCGTGTATGAATACGAGGCTAGTAGCTGAATAACCTTTTACGCCCTTGAAGACCTCCAACGGGCAACCGATTCTGCGATGAAGACCATCTTTGCTTTGTCGGTCGAGTCGAAAGCGAGTGGGGACCCTCTGCGAACGTGCCGATGGGCCGACTCGGTCAATGGCGTGCGAAAACCTCTCACACTCGACCTGGTGACCGTGGAAGATTATAGGACCGCACTTGATACGTCGACGTGCATTGTGAGTCAAGATGGAAATCTTTTCATAGCGGTTGTGATGGGCTGACGAAGGTTCGCGCTCGTTCACCACCCACCCACGTGCAGTCATTCGTCTACTCGCTGATTTTGCTGGTCAGAATGGCGAGCGCGGGCCTCATCTCAAGCAACCTTGTGTGCCGCCGGTCCGACTATGAAGCGGGCGCGGATCTCGACACTCCGAAACCGCTGATCAGTGGGGATAAGCTGCCTATCCTGCTCGAGCTCGGCGCCAACTTCCTCCGAGCGATCTCACCGAACCCGCAACATCCTGCTCGAAAGCATGCTATCTTGCTTCATATGATCCTCAAGACTGGCCTGGGCGAGAACTCGTTGGCAGGAACGACGACGAAATCTCCCGCGTCGACGACCTCGCCGGCTTCGACAGCCTCGATGAACGTGGCGGCGGCAGCTTCTCGGTCGGCCGCCCCAGCTCGCACCGTGCCTCCTGTTGCAAAAGCGGAGATCAAGACTAACCCCGACAGCCTGCTTTCAACGACCATGGCGACCGTGCAGGATGATGCGCCCAGTCTCGATGCTTGGCTGTTCGATCTCACAGCGCCGAACTTGCCTGTCTCGGGTGGGGCGTTGTTGATCCCGACCGCTCCGGGCGATGCGACGCAAGAACCGGGCGAGGCGCTTCGGTCGATCTTGACCGAGGTGAACCCGAGCTTTTTCGGGATGGGTGCCATTTGTAAGTTACGACTCGGGATCAAGGTCTTTAGCCGTCTTTCGGGAGACGTCTGACTTGGTGGATCGTGCTTTTACAGATTCGGATGAACTGGACCAATTCGCTTCTATGGATTGGGGTTCGCTTTGAGTTTGCGTAAAGGGCTTTATGTCAGGCCAGAGAGCGACGATATTGTTTGTGCTCATTTTCGAATGTTGTAAACTGATGTAACGTGTTGAGTACTTCTTTGTTCAAGATCGCAGTGGCCAAGAGTTTGTCGAGAGTTTGGCCGAAATTTGCGGTCGCCGGGCGGAGTGGGCACGCGAGCACCCGCGCCTTTGCTGGGCGTCGCTCTCATTCTCGCCGCTCACGCGCTTACGCGCTCACGACGGGATCGAGGAGCATCGATCATGGCCGATCCTTCCCCGATTGACTTTCCAGGTGGGTAGGAGACGACTGTTGAGCATGCCTTCTACCCTAACTGATTCTAAAATATGCTGTGTTGCCGCCTTGACTCTTGCGTGATCGTTCTCGGCCGGGGTCGAGCTCTCAGTGCTCAAGATCATCAACGAGGCTCGCTCGACCTATGGCCTTCGTCACCAGGACTTTGATCGATACCAGTTGAGTTCCCAAACAAGAGCAAACGAAAGTACGAGCTCAGCTGAGGCATCATCGATCTCTGCAGATCGCACTGCTCGATCAAGGTCCATCACCTGCGCAGGAAACTCGGCTTGACTCAGGTCGCGGGTAGGCAGAAGAAGTACACCAAGAAAGATGTGACGTCCGAGATCATCACCGGGTCAAAGTAAATACATGATTGACGACGGTGCACCCAACGACGCTCTGGCAAGCTCACGAAGCTGACCACCGTTCCTCGCCCCACTTTCCAGACACCTCCAACTCGTGCTCTTTGACGCCGAGCGAGCGTGGGCGCAGTCGCAACACATCCAATCCGCCTTGTCACAATCGACCAATCCGGCCACGACCAAGCACCACCTCCTCAAACGACTGTCGCGTTCGATCCTCCGCGCCGCGCACCTCGTCTCCCTCGTCGAGTCGCTCGCCTCACGCATCTCGCCCAGCCAACGAGCCCAGACGAGCGCTTACCGTCTCGTGCTCCAAGGTCAACTCGCCTTCACCAAGCAGAGTCTCTCGCAGGGGCTGGACACGCTTTCCGTCGCTTGGGCCCTTTTGAACGACGTGGCCAACAACGCCCCGACGGCGACCGACGAGGCCTTGACGAACGAGATGATCGACGATGTCGAACCCATGTTGAGGTTCTGCGCCTACTCGCTCCAACTCGACACGAGCAAAGGCGTCGCACCCATCGCCCAAAATACGGCGACGGATCAACTCAAAACTCGTTTCGTGCCCGGGTACGCTGATTTGATCGAGCAGGTCAAGAAGGAGGCCGGTCAGTCGGAGAGGGAAAAGGTCGACTTGAGCTGGAGGGGGAATCAGATCGAATGCAGGAGCCCCGAGTTGGTCGAGGTGATGCTCAAGGTTCAATCTGCGATCAAAACCCTGCAGGACGATTCAGTCAAGCGATCCAAAAGGAAACAGAAGAAGAAGGCAGCTGGGGAAGCAACGTCGTCGGAGGTGAACGGAGTCAAGAAGGATGCGATCGGCGCGAGGAGGATAAGCACATTCGACAAGGCCTTATTAGTCATGAGTGATGCTGAAGGGATCGCCAGGCAGGCCGTAGAGGACAACAAGGTCGGTGCGGGGTGATAACTTGGTCTCGGGAGGAGAATCCTGACGAGCCTTCTTGTCGTTCCTGTGCAGATCGCACTCTCCAAATCGCACTCATCTCGATTCGAGGCTTCCTCGTCGCCACTTCAGCTCGCGCACTCCTACATCGTCTACCAGCTCCTCTCAGTTCGCACTCTACGTGATGTACTGCTCATCAAAGAGAGCTCTTCGAAGCTCGCCGCGCGCGAGACCAAGATGCACCGAAAGGAGCAAGATTTCATCGAACGCACGAATGGGCGCAACGTACACAAGGCTGATCAGAAGATCTGCAAACGAAGGAAGAAGGTCTATCCAAGTCTGATCAAGATCTACGATGGTATCATCTACAGTCTCGAGCAGGTCAGGGACCTCGAAGATGTCGAGCGAGATGGGCAGCTCGCGACCAAGGTTGAGGCTCAGATCGCGTTCGTGCGAGCTTCTAGGTACGTTCAGGTGATCAGTCGTTTAGCGTGTCAGGGAACTGACATGAATCTTCGGTGTACAGGTGCTTGTACTTGTCTCGGACGTACGCATTGATCAACGAGTTCGCATCGGCGTTGGCGCTCAACGCTAGAGCCAAACTTTACGCACGACAAGCGCGCTCGACGCTGTCGACGCTGGACGACGAGGACATGGACCACGTCGACGAGATCGACTTCCTCGCCGAGTCGTTGCCCCTGCGCGAGTCACACTTTTCGGCACTTGACGCATCGCTCAATCAGGACTATGATCGCTTCGCCAAGGATTGGTTCAATGCGACGGGAGGGAGGATTCATGAACCCCAGGACCTCCCCGTAGGGGCGATGTCACTCGAGGCTTCGAGCGGTGCTGCCTCGAAGGCATTGAAGAAGAGGAGGACTTCAAGGAAGAAGAAGGTGCCGTTCTACGATATCGCGTTCAGCTACGTCACTGCGTACGATATGGACGAGATTGCGCGACGGGCTGGATTGCTCGGACCTGTTGAGGAGAGAGTGACGAGTCCCGCTGCCGACGCGATGGATCAAGATGAGGCGGAAGAGGCGGAAGAGGCGGAAGAGGAAGAGGAGATGGAGGCGGAAGAAGAAGAGAAACCCGTCGTGGCTAAAAAGAGTGGATGGGGTTTCGGGAGCCTATTTGGGCGAAGGTGACGGAACGGCGCCTTTGCAGTGAATCAAAACGCATAATGTAATTTAGCAAAGTCATTCGATCGGTTTGAAACCGTTCTGGTTACGCTGTCACAAGGCTGTTTTGCTTGACGACTCGCTCGCGATTTATAAGCGTGCCGGACATGACCGCGTGGCGGGGCCCAACGTCAACGGCGATAATGCCCTGGCGATGATGCACATGCTGAATAATCCGGGCGGCGCCATTACTGGGATCAGTGGTACATACTTCAAATGTGTGGCTATCCATGAGGGAAAGCCTCTACAGATCTACAGAGGGTATTGTACACTGTGAAAGGCAGCTGACACGTTATCACAACTGACTACTCGCAGTTCCGCTCATTTCTGGCGAACGGGCCCCACACTCGAAATGATGATCGGGAGGCGAGCACTCCACATTTAGCTCGTGCAGCCCACGGCGTGTCCTTATCAGACGAAACGCGCTCGGCGCTTAGCTCGACGAATCAAGCGAGCACCGCTCGTCGCCCTCTTTCTTCCCTTCCATCACAACGCGCGACTCCAGCCCAATCCACTTGATCATCAACCTCGCGCTTGACACAGCATGGGATCCGCATCCTCCGCCCCTCTTGCCACCGTGCCCTCTACCATGAACGAGAAATCCTCCTCCGGTGCCGAATCGTCGCGTCGCCGAACGACCACGACGGACGCTCAACAGTTGCTCGCCCAACTGTCCCTTGGTGGTAGCTCCAAATCCAAGCCGGCGACAGCGATGATGTCCATCGATAGTTTGAGGTCGTGGGAGAAGGCGTTCGAGTCCAACCCCAAGCATGTACGTCTCCCATCCCCACCGCACGTGACTCGATGGAGACCGGTGTCGGCCCGGGCGGACGGTCGGGCGCTCGGTTCGGCTACCCGCGTGGTGCGGTCGAGCTGCCACTGACGCTTGAAAGGCTTGCTTGCCTCGATGCATCGGTAGAAACTGGCTGCGACGTTCATGCACAAGAATGACTTCCAAACGGCTATGGTCCAGCGCAAGGCCGTCGTCAGCGATCAACAAGGTACGTCTCACCTCCACAGGCTCTCCTGTGTTTGAGCGACCTCTCGGGGTTTGGACCGGCCCGGGCGGCTCCTCGTCGGGACGCGTGACCTGGACGGGTGAGAGCTCTGCAGGTGCTGACTATCGCATTTGTCGTCCATCGCGGCTCGCTCCTTCAACACAGTCTTCAATGTGACGCTTTCTTCCGAGAACTCGACTGTGTAAGCTAAGCAATAATGATCCTGGATCATGCGATTGGCCTCAACTGACTCCCCTTGCCATCGATCTAAACTAAAACTCAGCGCGAACCAAAAATCCAGCGGCAGGTGCTGGTGCTTCGCACTCTGCAACGTCATCCGTCTCGCGATGCAGCGCAAGTACAACCTCGAGGAGTTTGAACTCTCCCAATCGTACCTCTTCTTCTACGATTCGCTCGCCAAGGCCAACTGGTTCCTCGAGCAAATGCTCGACCTGGCCGAGGAGGACCTCGATGACCGCACCGTCCAATACCTGATGCAGGCACCCGAGAACGACGGTGGACAGTGGGACATGGCTGTCAATTTGGTGGAACATTTCGGTCTCGTGCCTCAAACCGTGTACCCTGAATCCTTCAACTCTTCCTCGACGGGCAAACTCGATGATCTCTTGACTTCCAAGCTGCGCGAATACGCTCTCGAGCTGCGTGAGCTCCACGCCAACGCGATGGACTGCCTCGGCGACATAACCACCAAGTCTCATGGTGAGAAGAAGGCCTTGGCCGCGCAGTCCTCGCGCAAGCGCAAGGAGGAACAGATGGAGGAGATCTATCGTATCCTCGCCATCACGCTCGGTACACCACCCAAGCCGGATGAAGAGTTCACGTGGGAGTACTATGATACCAAGAAGAAGTACCACAGCGTCACAAGCACGCCCAAGAGTTTCGCCAAAGACTACGCGCTCGTCGATGTGTCCAAGGCGATCTCGCTCATCCATGATCCTCGCAACGCGCCCGGGCTGTACACCGTCGATAGGCTGGGTAATGTCGTGGGAGGTCGACCAGTCGTGAGTCTGACTCAATCATGCCCTCTTTTCCCGTGCGAACTGTTAAACGAGAACGTTGCCTTTCGCAGCTCTACGTCAACACGGAGATAGAGGACCTCAAGAACGTCGCGATCAAGCTGCTCAAGAACGACACCCCGGTCTGGTTCGGTTGCGACGTCGGCAAGTCGTCCAACACGCCCCTTGGCCTCATGGACACGAAACTGTTCGACCTTGAAGAGGCCTTCTCGACTTCGTTGGGCATGACCAAGGCCCAACGTTTGAGCACCGGTGACTCGGCCATGACCCATGCCATGGTCTTGACCGCCGTTCATCTCGATGCCAACGGCAAGCCCGTCCGTTGGTCAGTGGTGATCGAGATAGACTTGTATCCTTGTCGGGAAGATCGATGTATTGAACACCGAGGGAATGTTTTTTCGACCATTCACAGGAGGGTCGAGAACAGTTGGTCAAAGGAAGCTTGCACGAAGGGCTATATGCTCATGACCGATGAATGGTAAGCTGCATTCCCATCTCGCCTCATCCGTCGACTTCACCGCTAATCCCGAGAGCCATACGTTCACGTCATAGGTTCACCGAGCACGTCTTCCAGGTCGTTGCCGATCGATCAATGGTGCCCAAGGAACTCGTCAAGGTCTTTGAAGACGACAACCGCACCGTCCTTCCTCCCTGGGACCCGATGGGAGCTTTGGCATAAAGAGGCCTTCGCTGAAGATAATGTTTCGTGGGTTGGCCTTGGTTATTTACTGTTTATACATCGCGTCTTACTTTGTTGGTTTGAAACCCTCTTCATGTCATTACTGAGCTCGAACTTCCCAGTTTGAGATCGCGCACGAGCTCGGAATCTTGGGCCCTTGACTTGGTAGCAATCCCTGAAGCTCTCTAGAGCTGAAGGTTTGTTGAACGAAAATGGGGGGGGGGGCGCGAGCTGGGGAAATCCCTGAAGCTCTCTAGAGCTGAAGGTTTGTTCAACGAAAATTGGGGGGGCGCGAGCTGGGGAAATTGATGACAATCTCAACATTAGTAATTCTCGCTGGCGGGGGGCGGCTCCCGCACAGGCCCGCACGCAAGGCCAGTAGCCGGCAGCCAGAAACGGCGCGGAACGGCGCCCACTAGGGGCACGCGCACCTCGGGCAGACATAAAAAGTACGCCTCAACAGGCGCCCTCCCACGCGCCTTCCAAGCCACAATCCCGGCGGGTTGCAACCTTGCTACCCCAGGTAGCAGATTAGGCCCAGGTTGCGCCCAACTCCCTGCTTCGAGTCGATTCTGTGTACACACAACACTCTCACAGCTGCTAGATTGATAAAGAAAGTGCGTAGTAGATGCATTCCTTCCTTCATCTTTTTCTCGCATCTTTCGGATGTCGTCAATGTCACGTGTCCGAAGCGGTCGCGCGCCGGGATTTCGGTCCCGAGATCGAAGGGTCCGAGCACACGCGTTGGCTGCAGCTGGCCACGCGCGAGGGACCTTCCACTTGACTTGCCGCCTCACCTCGTTGCTTCCGCTACAGCTCATTGTAGCGTCGCCATTGACCGTACAGGCCCCATGGCTCGCGTTCGTCCTCTTGCTCATGCACTTGAGTTGGCGTCGCCATGCCGCCGAAGAGAAGATACAAGTCCAAACCGTTGGTCTACAAACTGCAGGTCACCCTCTGTGCCTCCGAGTCGCGGTGTGCTAAGGACGTCGAACGCTTGGCCCAACTAGGGTTCATCTCTTCGACCGCTTCAATGCCGATGACCGCCTTCTCATTTCGACTGGTCGAGCAGACCCACGCGAGCTGGAGGGTCACCCCCCGCGCTCTCACCGGCTATGCGGACGGCCTCAAAGAGTATTACTCCCGTTGTGGGTGGGTTCGGGGTCACTATACAGGACATCCTTGGGTCAGTTTGGACGCCGCCATCGTTTCAGGGGCAGATGCTTAAAGCCTGCCTTCCGCGCATGCAGGACAAAGACCTTCGGAAGCAACGCGATCGACGAGTACCGCGCTCTCGAAACATGCGAGCAGGACAGCGGCGACCTTCTCGTAGGCACCGTCGATTCGTTCCAACAAGGGTCCCGCGTGCTTCGGGCCAACGTGACTTAATCAACCTTGTCACGACGTCCCATTGGATGGCGTGCTTGCATACGACGGCAACTTTCGGCAAACGCGTGACAAAACTTCGAAGCACGACCAGATCGTTCCGGACATTTTCTTGGGTGAGGAAGAGGTTCAGGCGATGAAGGCCGAGGTTGAAGCTTCGGTGCGGCCGACCAAAAAGGTGAGTAATGCCGCTCTTTGCATTTGCCTTAATGGGATCGCTTACCTCTACACCCACCCAACCCTCGTAGGCGTGCACAGAGTCGTGGAAGGCTGCCGACGACGGAGCTGGCTCAACCTCGTCACGAGTAGTCGACACTGGACTCGTTGCCTGCGTATGCCGTCATGATGTAAACCTGAAAATGGTCAATCTTGAGAGGTCTGGTGAAAAGTGAGCGCAGAGCTGTCTGGTTGGGACGTAGTCGCTTCCGCTTTCCTCTCCCAGTACTAATGCGCATATTCCCCTCCGACCGCTCAGATTATACTATGCGCTTGCCATCCTCAAGTGCATCTCAGAGCGCCTTCCTGAAAACGCCAAGATTGGAGTCTTATACGACATTGCTCGTAACTTCAAGCACCACATTGAAAAGGTATGCTTCGATCACGACGCGTCCCTTCCTCCTCAGTCTCGTTGGCACAGACCAAATGCGCCTACTTTCCTATCATTTGTCACCCGAGGCAGCTCCTGCCAAAACTTTTCAAGCGACTGGAGTTCGCCACGAGCGTCTTCCATGCATACGCCCATATCTGGTCCTGCCAAGTCGAGTTCAACCCCCGCCTCATTCCGAACTTCGGGTTGACTGATGGAGAGGGCTGTGAGCGATTGTGGAGCGGGCTACGGTCGCTCATTCCGAGGAGTAGCAGCTGTGCGCGCCAAGGCTCGAGTCGGTGAGGAGGAAGCGCGGATCGGCGCCGAGGTGCGGCAAGCTTTGGCTTGGATCGAAGATGAAAAGACTCGTATCACTAGTTGCCAAACACTTTAGACTAAAGTGTCGGGTAAGTTTTCGATACAGCGTGCTCCATATCACCTCTTATGTCGCCCTGACATCTTTCAAACCATCCCAACAGATACCCTTTCTGAATCGATCGACCCAGCTGATGCCAAGTCCATATTCGGCACTGAAGATGTTGAAGAGATCCGAGACCGCGCGCTCATTTTACTGGATCGCCGGATGGAGCTTCTTCAGTTGCGCGAATGTTCTTGGTCCCAGAACGACCATTTCTTCGATGTTTGGCTCGACACTCGCGGGCAGTCAGAGGGCGATTCCGAGCCCATGCCTCCTGCACTGTCAGAATTTCGTGGTTTGCATCAACGATTGAACGCGACGGGAAGAAGTGTCAAGAAGGCGAAACATCACCAGCTACCTGCACATAATCGATCGGGAACACGCGGTCCTATGGAGACATCTGGCTCGACGACTCGGCGCGGCCTCCATCGCTGGCCCGTGACGTTCAGCAAGTGCGGGGCATTCAGGCGCAGATGGATATGAGCGACGAGGCTCAACTCGCAAAGGAGGTGGGGCCTTTCTCCGCATAACTCCTCGAGCAGGACGGTGAGATGGGCAGCTCTTCGGATGAAAGCTACGGCGATGACTTTGCTGGTCAGGAAGACGAATACTTCTCGGGCGTTTAGACCAGCTTCTGATTTAGATTGAATTGGTGGAGCAAGTTAATGTTGGAACAATGGACATGGTCTTTGATGACTAAAGTCGTCTCAATTGCGGTGGGTGAGAGTAATATCACCGTCTCAGAGAGAAATATTGTCAGACCTAATCTCTGGGCTGCGCCTGCCTTACTACTGCCGGGTGACGTTTCAGTTAAAGCGCATGCAAATGCTCGAGTACCTAGAATGTCTACCACATGAAAATGGGTGAGTGGGTTTGGTCAACATAGAGAATGTATCTCCTACCCTCGGACAGGGTTAAATAGCAAAGTTGGCATGTGCGTGCAAGCCCTTCTTCCGAACAAGATGGCTCGGCGGCTCTCTCTCTCTGAGGATTCCCGCTCGAAGGATTCGACTTCCTGCCATGGCGCGGCCAAAGACCCTTTGGACCGATCCCGATCCCTGCTACTGAGCCTTGCGCCTGTTATAAGAAAAGCTTGGTGTCAAGATCTCAAGATCAAGTCTAGTCTATGCTTGACGGGGGCAGAAGTGCTGACAATTCATTTTAGTGCGGCGAATGCAAGAATTCTCTCTGCTTTGAGCACTCACCATGTGGCCTGAGGATTGGCGGCTTACCTCATTGATGAGAGGGAATGTTTATCAAGTAAAAGGTAGGTATGAGCGGCCATCGATCATGTCTCGGAGTCAAGTGAGGGTTTCGCTCCAAGAGCCTGTTACAAGCCTAAGCCTTCCATGTTTTCACCGAACCTATGATCGAGTTCGACCCACCTCTCATCAAGCACGTACTTTGTCGCTACTTCGCTACTTACGACTGATTACCTACGTGTTCCGCTCCGCTTGCGCGTTCAGGGGCTCAGATCAGTTCGCATTCTTCTGGGAGCGCGCGCCGCTTGAAGTCAGCCGGCCGGGGGTCGTCACCGTGGCCCAGCAGCTCTGATTGGCACTTTGGCAAAGACCGAGCCCGGCCAGATGTAACCCTTGCCCGTTCACTTTAGTGCTAATAGATCATAAAAAGATGCTAACATACACTGCAATTAGTGGAAGCGCGTTGCGAATTCTGTTCATTCATTCTTTGCTCAAAGAGTCACTTCCGGAAAGCAGACGCTCCGTCTGGACCACGGGTCAGGGAGCACTCCATTCTCACTAGGCAATTCAACTCTACATAATACTTCGAAAACAACCCAGAACAAGAGTAATAATGTTTGTGAGCAGGATTACGTCACTGGCACATCCCACGTCAACAAGGAGAGGTCGATCTCGAGCGGCCCAGGGGAAGATTAGGCACGAAGGGCAACGAACAATCACCCTCTCCGCCTTTAGTCACCAAGAGCCGGATGCATATGAAGCAAAACTTTGAAATAAATATTTTGGTGGCCTGTGTTGTCCAACGAATGTTGGCCCTTCAACAGCCAAGATCTCCGCACCGCATGCGCGTCGACGAGTCTGGCTGGCGCTGAGAGCTCGGCCATCGTCACCTCACTCGCTGTCCTCGTCGGAGCTCGTGTTCCGAGTCCGCCGGTCAGCATCGCTGTCGCCGCCTTCATCGCCGTCGGCCATTTTCTGTTCTGCACTTGACCCGATTACCTCTTCCTCCAGCCTGAAGCTCAGCTCGCCTGCACGCAGCAATGGGATGATCCGATCCAGGTCTGGTCCCAACAACTTAAGCTTGCCACTCGGGCTTCGGAAATCCGCTTTGCGAAGGAGCGCGCCGCGCTGAACAATGATTCTGGCGTTGTCCCTGAGGGCCTTTACGTCATAGACGAACTTGGGCGATTGGATCTTCTCGCCGTCCAGCACGGAGCGTCGGCGCAGCGCGGACTCTGAAGACAGCGAGCGGGGTCAAAATTAGTCACCGTGTATGGAAGAGTAGGCAGGCTGCACATCTTGTACTCACGGAACAGTTCTTTGAGGATGATGCTGTACCATTGGAATTTGGTCTCAACGTTCTTGTCAGCCACGGGTGCGTTCCAAGCTGTGCGCAGGTATTCGCTGATACACCCCTCCCTCCTGATGCGCGGCCTCCCTCCTCGTCTTGGGAAACTTGTGCGGCCCGCGACTTTTGGCGATCGCGAGCGGAAGGTGCAGTATTTGGCAAACCTGCCGCGTCAAAGACAATACCCGTGCCGTCAGGATTGTTCCCTCCTTGTTCGACCATGTTTGCGAGATTGTTGCTTGCTGGCGGAGCTAGATACGGGCCATCGATGCGTCCAGGATGGGAACGTGGGACGGTAAACTGGTTGGTTGGACGAAGCAGATCCCGGAGAAGATTGATAGTTGTACGACGCAGGATTCGAGATGGCCGTTACGCCAGCGGAAGTGGACGCTGTATCGGGTGCACGACGGTGTAACGTCAGAACAGACCGATACTGTACGCGATCGACGCGACGGCCACCCACGGACCCGAATAGTCGTTATATGCGGACTGGTAGGGAGTCCAAGGCGAGGTGCATGACTCGTACCCAGAGGCAGCATATGAACCTATGTGTCAGATGTGATCGTGAGCCGGTAGTCCAGTCAGAGCACCCGTGTCGATCGGCGGCAAACATACTGCTGTTCGTCGCCGGAGCGCCTGCGATTCGGGAGGTGGTTAAGTTGATTGGATTGACTCGTCATGATAGGAGCAGCAGAAGTATGACTAATCCGGTGTTTCGAAGTGGGCGTTCGTTTCAGACTGTCGCAAGACGGATGCTCATTGTATAGTTCGTTACTTCGTATACGTAGTAGGGGGCGATTGGGCAAAGCAGAAGAATGGGCGGTATGCGCGAGCGCGACGCGTCGCCGCCATCTCCAGCGTCTCCGTAGTCGTGACGCGTCGACGTCCCAGCCAGTCCCGGCCCCATTTGTTCCGCGCGACCCGTGCCGAATCACGTGTTCGAGGTAGGGCGCCTGTACAGCTTGCAGAGGACAGCAATAACTCTCGAAAAATATCCAAAAATCCGAATACACTATTGTTCGCTGACTGCGCCTTTGTTCCCAGGTCTTCGATGGAGTTGTAGTGGGAGTGAACGTCTCGGCAACTCGACATCGAGGAGGGCATACCTGACCTGGGCCTAACCTGCTACCTGGGGTAGCAAGGTTGCAACCCGCCGGGCTTGTGGCTTCGAAGGCGCGTGGGAGGGCGCTGCGCGCGCGCCTGTTGAGGCGTACTTTTTATGTCTGCCCGAGGTGTGCTCGTCGCTCGAGCTTGCTCGAGTTTAAAGTCTAACGTTTAAAGTTTAAAGCCATAAATTCCAGCTAGTCTTATTCATTGCTCGAGGGCCCGCTGCTGGGCCCGCTGCTCGACTCCTCTTCGTCCCGCTCCGATCAACAAGATCAGCTTTCCGCGCATAATGACAACAACTCAACCGATCTTGACCCGTATAAGCGTCCGCCGTACAGCTTTGTAGAACGGACAGCGTGGTCAGCGATGGCCCGATGGCCGAACCGACGCTGAGCTACTGCTGAGCTCGCCCCACCACCACCTCTTCCCGCGCAGAGCAAGTGCACAGGCCTTGAATCGCGCTCAAACCACTCAAGCCCCACGTTCCCATCCGCGACTACCTCGGCCCCAGATGACTGTGTACCCACTGCAAGGCTCGACACTGGGAGTGCGAAAGGACAAAGTCGACCGGACACTTCAGCGCGTGCTGCTCGCAGGGCAAGGTGCAGCTACCTCCCTCTCTCCGGCCCAATCCCAACTTTCAACAGCTACTTGAAGGCTCGGATAGCGGTCAGTTGCTCCGTCCAACGTCATTCGTCTGTAGTAGACCCACATGCTGAACTGTGCGACCCACCTACACAGAACCTAAGGCATTCCGGCGTTCCGCGAGAATGCCCGGTCGTACAACAACGCGCTGTCGTTCACTTCGCTCGCTACCCACTTTGACCAGACTCGACCAGGCACTCAAGGACCCCGCATGTTTTGCGTTTTTGGTTGCTTTTAGCATCGACTCGCCGCCTTGATTCCTGCTGTCAATCAGGGCCCAACCTTTGCCAAAACATGGCTCATCTGCCCAGCCGAGGCCACCGACACTCAACTTGGACCCGACGGCGCAGACAGTCGCATACAAAGATCTACTTTGACCAAGCTCGACTCCATGTTGGGCACCGGACATCGCTTTGTGAGGGAGCTCGCATCGGCCAAAGCCCGCGCAGGTTGGGTTACGGCCAAAGAATGGGTCCTGCGCCTCTGTCTAACACCTGGCCGGGACCGACGCACCCACAACCTTCCTACGTGGAGCACGGAAATGGCGATGCCTATCTGCGATTCCGACGCCAACATGTGAGGTCGTGGACCGCAAGACCTTATTCTTCAGGCGCACGGTGATCAATGTCCCGACGGTCGGCCGACGTACCAAGTTGTTAGCTCGCTCCATCCGTCTGCGATGCCTCTCCGTTCCCCACTCCTATTCCCTGCAGGAGAAGATGACTGCCTCCCCAACATTCCTCTTTGCAGTTCCAACCAAGCTGGGTCACCCTTCGCCGACGAAGAGGATGAAGACGAGGAGGAAGGGGACGAAGAGAATGGTGATGGTGAACGTAAGCGCCTTCGGCTCTTTTTCGGATATTCCATTTTGTTAAGGCGCACGCACAGACTGACATTTAACGTTTTAACACCTAGGACGAAGCTCAAATAAAGGGGGTCGAAGTGGCGAGTCTCGCGTTCACAATTCTTTGCGTACTACTTGCACAAACGCGACGAGTACTTCTCAATCCCGCATTGCACCCAACGTGCCTTCCTGGCGTTCGTGATGACGGATACTCCCACGTCGAGACCGATCGACTCAACTTACCTCCAGTTGCATCAAGAAAACCTCCGCCTCACCACGGGCCAAGGTATCATCACCTTGACCCCGGATCAAATTGGATGTTCGGTGATTTTAAGCTCAACGTTCAAGAATAGACCGCGCGAGAACACGCAGCATTACCAAGATGCGATGGCGTGCGTCGTCAAATATGGAAAGCCTTCGCTGTTCATCACGGTGACGTGCAACCCCGAATGGCCGGAAATCAAGGCTGCACTGGGGCCGAACGACCAAGCATGCAACCGACCGGATCTCATTGCACGAGTGTTTGAAGCCAAGTTGAACCGACTCTGCGACGACATTTTTGGCAACAAGCAACGGGCAGGCTGTTTGGGCGATGAATGGATAACTGTTTCTTTGCTGTACTTTGTAGTGTGTTTTCTTAGCCTCTGTTGAAATCATGTAGACTGTTCGATTCTCCTGCTATTTGAATTTCACCCTCCCGTTAATTTAACGGGTTCCCACTGGTACAAGTTACATCGTTCTTTCGGTTTACAGTCGCTTCTAGAAGCTATTGTTATTTTCTGCCCTACCAAAGGATGGGTTGAAAGAACTTTGAGCTGTAATGTTTTCCAAACAGCGTAGGGAAAGGCGACGGCAAGTGTTCATGTCAAATTAGTCTATCAGGTTGAACTACTCGAAGAAAATTGTGGGGGCTGGTCACGCTGCTCGATTGACGCCGTCACCGAAGCGAACAAGCAAAAGCAAAGGCAGTCATCTTCAAAGAGATGTGGTAGCTAAGTAAAGAATAAGAAGTGGGTGTGGACACCATCGAGCGACTTTACACCCGGTTGGCTGTATTGGCCTGCCCAATCCAGATCTTGGCACACGAGGACGGAGCCGGCGACCAAGACCAATCGGCGTTCTGCGCGCAAGTGCCCGAAATTCCAACGTCAAATCCTTTGCCTTGGGTCGTTGTCGTAAGTTGGGGGTCTCCTCCCGGTACGAGCTTGCAGTGAACACCTGCGACGGCGTTCTGCGACCACATGTACACCCAGGGGAACACGATCGATTGGTCATGGGCGGACCTCGCGCAGTCAAGAACGTTGCTTGCTTCGATGGTCTTGCTAACGCTCGCAGTGGAGAGGTACTTGTACGTGGCATCTGAAGAGAGATAAAAGGTGAACAATTCCTATCGGTCAACTGAACTTATCTAAGGACGGGCTTTGGACCGAGAACGATGCGGACTCACTACCGAATCGAGACGCGTAAGGACCCTCGCAGTGTGTTCCGTTCTGATCGGTGTTCAGGAGGTAACCCCAAGCACACGACGTCGGGGTGTTGGGATCGGTGCAGTTGGTTGCAAAGGGGTCGGCGCAGCAGGTATTCGCTAGAAAAGTAGAGAATGATGGGGTAAGCAATGTCATTCCACTCCTCAACATAAGAGTAACCGCTGCCGAATCAGAAGCTCACCTTTGGCGCTCTGGTAGCCATTGCTGCAGATGATAGGGAGACACTTGCCCTGCGAAGGCACACCGTACGAGCATTGAGTAGCTTGGCCATCGTTGTCGCAGATTGTCGCGTTGGCCGGGCAAGGCAAACAGCGACGCCCTGTACGAAGACGAATAGGGACATGGGCTACTTGGTCAGTCGATGACCGGGTAGAGAGATGGGCAAGCAAAGCGTGCGACATACCGTTGGAAGCGAGGTAGGTCGCATTGAGACAGATGACGCTCTCGCATTCACCGTTGACGACACTGCCAACCGAGCACGAGGTGCTTTTGCCATTGGCGTCGCAGCTACGAGCGGAAGGGTCCGGGCAAGAGATGCACGAAGCTGCCTTGGGGCCCAAGTACTCGCGCGCTGAGCATTTTTTGGCAACACACTTGTTACCGCTGACGATTCCGTACGAGCTGAAATATATGTACAATTTGTGAGCGAAGCGTCTTACCTTCCAGAAAAAATTTTCAGACCATGTAGCTTACCAACTCGTAGGCGCCACAGCTGTGCACGAAGTGGAATTGGTGAACAGGGATGAACAAGATGCGCACTTGTTGTCTACGGAGTAGCGAAGTGGTGTCAATCACTCTTCGAATGAAAAGTCGCCTTTCAGATAAAAACGGCTCACTTGTCGGGTTCAAGTACTGGCTGCTACTGCACGTTACCGGCAAACAAGCCGAGGATGATCCGGTCTGGATCGTGCGGTCGAGCCACATGTTCTGACCGGTACCGTTGGGGAAAAAGGCAAAGACCTAGTAGGGTTATCTTGAAATAATTAGTGCCTTGATCCTTGATGGTATCAAGGGTCTGAAAGCTCTGCTCACCTCGATGTTGTCGCCGCGCTTGGCTACAGCAGTAAAAGTTAAGGGGTCATAGTCGCGCTTCTTGACAGTGAAAGTTTGCAACGGTCCCAAGCCTTGGATGGTCTTGAGGGTCGCCTTAGCCGGGGGCAGCGACTTGTCGGTACGAAGCTTCGCAGGGGCCTTGTCATAGAGCATGATCGCGACGGTCAGAGGGCGAACGTTGCCCGAGTTTGCAAACTCGATCGTCGCAGGTTCGCATTGCTTCATGCGATCAGTCACTGTGCATCATCACATGTTGTTAGTGCGAAGTTTACCATGTAGATAAAAAACCCCGGATAGACGATGGACTCACTCAAAGCAGAGAATGCAGTTCCGCGCCGAGGCATCAATCCGCCCGAAGGCATGGCCTCGGCCAGTTGAGTGCACTGAAGCACGAAGACGATCAACGCGGCGAGGCCGGGCAAGGGAAAAGTCGGAACCGTCATGGTTAGAGTCGGGATGGAAAACAGGAAGTGATGAAAGAAGTGATGTTGGGAAGGAAGAAGGAGTGCCCCCAAATGTTTTTCCTTTATAGCTCAGTGAAGCATGATGGCCCCGTGCCAAGATTCGGCCCCGGAACAGGCCGGGCAATTCTATTCCAAAGCTTACCCATGCGTACGACACTCCCGCGAGACACCCCTCCCGTAGCTCACCATCGAATTTTATCAAAGGAAATCGCCCGAAGTCACCCCAAAACAGCACAAATGGGTCTGCTGGGCGCGTTTCCCGAATGGTGCGCGAGCGGCGCTGTGCTCAAAAGGCGGTAGTGTCGCGCGGTGCTGTGGCGAGGGCCGACGGCGCGCACGGCGTATAAGAGCGTGCACTGCAGCTGGAAAAGGAAGGCGCGGAAAGGCACACCGCCGGCGGTGGCCGGCGGACGTGGACGCCGAGCACCAGTCGCACACTTCAGGCCGTGCTCAGGCGATGCTGTACGTGGTGCGACTTCGGCCCAGAACCTATCCTTCGGAGGAACCAGGCTGGTACCACGTTGGACAGGATAATGTCTCGTCGATACACATCCTCGTGTTGTTCTTCTATCCGATCGGTCTTGCGCTGTTTAAGTTTTCATTTTCGACTTCCGGGTTCTATTAGCACCCGTCCACGGAAGTGCTTTCAGGAGAGAAAAAAAAGAGTCCGAAAAGTGCGAATACTCAAGCTCTTCTCAAGCTGTGCGCTGTTAAGTTGGTGCAAAAAGGCACTGCTATGATACCGGTGTCGTTGAGAGAGACTACGATACTATCGTGAGTCTGAGATCGCCGGTCGTTGCCGGCGATTGAACCACTGGACGCCGATCGAGCGAGGAAGTTCATGTCCAGGGTACCAAGTCGGTCACTTCACGAGGTCGCTACTAAAGTTTAAACGGCATTTGCGCCATGTGCGGAAGGATTTAAATCTTATTTGACAAAATTGGAAGATGAAAAGCAAAATGCCGCGAGCGGCGTTTCAAACTGAAAGGGCTGCTCAAACGGTGGTCTTGTTCGTGACCGTGACGGGTCCGAGGAAGATCTCGGCGCAGGAGGCTGGCGAAGGGGACCAAGGCCAGTCCGCGTTCTGCTTGCAGGTCCCAACAATGCCGACATCGAAGCCCGTTCCGGGATTACCACGAACGAGGCCAGGATCGCCACCGGGAACGAGCCTGCAGTGCACCCCGTCGACCCCGGCATCGGACCACATCCACACCCAAGGGAACTCGACCGAAGCGTGATTGGCTCCAACGGCGCAGTCGACGACGGAAGTGGCGTTGACGGTCTTGTTGATCTTCAAAGTGGTCGTGTACATGAAGCTCGATTCTACAGGGGGTTTGAAAACGCGGAATTGAAATCAGTCCCAGACGCTCGTAAGGTCCACCGATATCTTGTGACTCACTTCCGAAGCGCGCAGCGTATGGCCCAACGCAGAAAGATGCGGTGCGGTTGGTCTTGAGCGCGTAGCCCCAGTCACATTCGGTGGTGTTGTTGGCGCTAGAGCATTTGTGTGCAAACGGATCCGCGCAAGGCAAGCAGCGGCGACCTAGAGGAAGAAACAGGGGCTCAGCGACCGGCATAGAAGCCCTGCGGATGCGACCGAAAAGTGATTGAGCAGTAAAGCCTACCATTTGAAGAAGGGTAAGTTCCATCCTGGCAAGTGAGCTTCTTGCACACACCGTTGACGACATTTCCGACTGAGCAGGAGGTGCTCTTGCCTTTGGCGTCACAGCTGCGCGCGGAGGCGTCGGGGCAAGCGATGCATGCAGCACCCTTGGGACCAGGCCATTGTCGGGAGGAGCACGTCTTGGCAACGCACTTTCTATCTTTGACGACACCATAAGAGCTGCCCGAAATAATTCGGATGTCTTTGTATTAGTGAATCGCCGTCTCATCCCGGGCGGAAAGATGGCGGCTCACCAGGTCTTAGGCGTCTCAGCCGTGCACGAGGTCGAGTTCACGAACAAGGAGGAGCAAGACGCGCACTTCTTGGCTGCAATATGACCAGAGCGAACAAGATGAGTCACTGACCTACGATTTGAATCTTTTGAGACCTAATTCACTCACCTTTGGGGTTTAGATATTCGGTGCTACTGCACACGCTGGCCAAGCAACTGGAAGAGGAGCCGGATCCGATCGTGCGATCCAGCCACATGTTCTGGCCGGTCCCGTTGGGGAAGAACGCAAAAACCTGATAAAGAAGAAACAGTTCCGAGTTAAGTATCTTGTGGCAGTCGATCTGGACAGACCCGATCAAATCTTGCTGACCTCGATCTTGTCACCACGCTTAGCGACAGCGGTGAAGGTGAACGGATCATAATCGCGCTTCTTGACCGTAAAGATTTGCAAAGGGCCCAACTTCTGGATCGTCTCGAGTGTCGTCTGGACGGGGGGCAAAAACTTGTCCGTACGAAGCTTCTCGGGTACTTTGTCGTAGAGCATGATCGCCACCGTCAAGGGGCGTGCGTCACCGGAATTGGCGAATTCGATTGTCGAAGGTTCGCATTGCTTCATGCGGTCCGTCACTGGTGGAGGTGTTCGGAAAGTTGGTCAGCGGTCTGGATTTCTAGGAAGGTTCGAGTATTACGGGTTCTGCCCGTGATGTGGAGTAGGCGTCGCGCTCGGGGGGATGAAGTTTCCTCCAGTGCCCGGTGGATCATCGGTCTGCAAGGGCCGAGGAGCCCAAGAGTGCAGACAGAATGAGAAAACATTTCACTCACTCAAAGCCGCAAATTTGGTCCCGCGCCTCGGTTCCAAACGAGAAGGGGTGGCCTCGACGAGATGAGTGAATTGAAGGGCGAGCACCAACAAAGCAGGGATTGAAGTCATGACCGGCATCATGATGGTCGGCGTTGAGTGAAAAGACCTGGGTCGGCGGCGCCGGTGGGATCAAGTGAGTAAGAGGAAGAAAGACACGAGGGCGATGTACGATGTTGTTGCATGATCCTTCTTCCTTTTGTGAACCGTGATCTACCGTGATCCCGATGCTTTATTTGATCTACGAGGCATGACTTGCCGGGTTGGATTCAACATCAAAGCGCGTTCGGCGTCGGACACCCTCTGGCTTTCCGGATTGAGCGAGATCCCGATGCTGGGCACGAGTTGACAATGATCGAGAATGCTCCGCTCGCGCCCGGACTCTGATTTGCCAGCTGGCTCCGCGCCTACTGCTCCCGGCCCCGTGATCATTGATCAAGGTCATGGTGGTGGCTATGTAGGAGTTGCTTACTCCTGACTAAGGTGTCTCGTTAGCCTCGTAAAACAAGAAGAGCTTAATTAGCTTCCGAGCCAACTAGTGACCAAGATTCAGCTTCACTACATTGTTGTGTAGTACATTCGGACCGGTGAAAAGCTTCGAGTCGGAAGATCGGGCTCCGCGCGTCTGCTCCTCGTCGCACTCGACGCGTCCGACGCCGCACGGGCTGCCAAATCACGTGACGGACATTTTTCGGCAGGAACGGCGCGACGTTGCAAGCTCTTACTTCGGCATCTGGTCATAATCATGTTTTGGTAAACAGCTACTCCAATTTGGCCAATTTCGGAGCAGTGGGGGACACGATGACATCCCATCTAGGGCTCGGGGGGCGCTCCGTGCCCACCTCCCTGCGTAAATGGAGGTCGTTGCGAGCTCCGCCCGCACTCCCGGACCGTTGGGGGGGGGGAGATCGGCGCGCGTGCGCGCGCGGCTGAGAACCTTATTCAAGTCGTGCATTCTTTTATGTAGATGTAGATCCTCTGCGCTGCTGATCATGCTCACACCGGATACACCCCATCCCGCTACCACCTCGTATGAGTGAGATAGGTCTTGCAACCCCTTAAAACTGTGTCGATATGCACCTTCAAAAAGATGATCGATCGAAGCAAGACACCACATCGTGCTGGTCGTTTGCTCAGATTCACACTCACTCGCCGCGGGCCCCGCAAGGCGCCACAGTCGTGGTTCTAGAACGTGCCGATAGTTCACAGCGCAATGGAATTACCTACGTGCGGCACGCCAGTATCTCGTAACCTGAATTTTGAAAATTTACTTGCCGATCTAAGAACGGGTCAAGAAAGTCATACATAACTTTCAAAGTAGTAAATAACGCTCGGTGACGCCGTCCGCCGGGTCGGGGAACGCGGCGGGCCGGCGCCGACACCTCATTTTCAACCTCCCCACACGAATTTGTTCTCCCAAGGAGTTCTCATCAGACGATCCTAAACGCTTCTTCCAGTCATAACTCAGCGTTCGCTTTATATCAGGAAATATTCACCAGCGTCTCTTTCGTCGTCGCCGTCTTCGCTCCGGCAGTTGAATGGCTCAGTGAGCGTCCCCTTCAGCGCTTCAGTACGACGTGTCGAAAGGCTCGTGGAGCCTCGTGGAGCACTCGACGGTGCGGTGCTAACCCCGCGTGTCCCGCGTACGGCCGGCCTGGCTTGCTGCTCCTCCCTCGCCGCTCGAGTCGAAGCCTGTGAACTAGTGCGATCACGAGTCGACGCACCTTGATCCAAGAAACAAACAGAGCATCTACCCGATGGCGCCCTCCTCGCCTGCTCTATCAGCGTCTGCGACCGATCACGAGGACGATGATTTCCAGGACGCCGAGAGCGCCGCTGCAGATTCGCCCGTGGTGTCGCCCACTAACCGACACTCGTCATCATCGACGACGTCGGCCTCGTCGTCTTCGCGCAACGAGGTCGCCCAACCGTCGCCGACTACAAGCCCCAACCAAGAACAAAATCGAAAGGGAAAGGGGAAGGAGAAGAGTTCGACCCGGTTGGAGAGTGGTGTTTCAGATAGTGTAGGTAAGAACGGGAACAACCATGGCAAACGCGCGACGGCGGCCGCCGGTAATAAGAAGAGCTCCCTCCAGACCGACACCGCGAAGGCGAACCGCACCGCCAAGGACAACGCTGCCACACTGGGTGAAGGCACATCGAGTGGCCCTTCTTCACCTCTGACGCCGACGCAACAGACCGCCGCCGCCGCCGCATCTGCTCCCCGTGCGAACGATGACGATGAGGGGAACAAAGGGATGTCCGCCAAGGAAGGACTCGACTCGTGGCTCAACGACTCTTCCGGATTGGTCGAATCCAGTCCTGCACTTTCCCCCCGATCCGGAACAGAGGACGAATCCGAAGAATCCGAGGAAGGAGGGGAAGAGTCCCAACGCGACAGAGAGGCCCCTTCTCCGCTCGCTGGTCACGCCGAGTCCAAGGCCTCCGAATCGACCGCGACGATCCAGCCTCATCAACTGTCCAAGAGTAAAGACCGCCACTTTTCACTATTCTCGGCACCGGAAACGCCCAACTCGTCCTCACCTCGAACGACGGCTTTCGAGACCGCCGGCGAGACGGAAAGCGACGGAGAGGAGGAAGAAGAAGGTGCACGAACAAAAAGATCTTCGTTGGCTTGGAGGGCATCCTTAACAGCGACGAATGGTTCCACAACCCGAGGAGGCACGTTTGCCGATGTCAGCTTGGCCGATGATCGATCCGAGTACACCACCGAGTCCGAGAACGCCTTTGCTGGCTCCGAAGCCGACGATGATGAGGGCGATCTGATCAAGCTCGATGCGAGTGCTCATCGGAGAGCGATTGCCGCCGCAGTAGGAGCGAGTTCAGGGGACGAAGCTGGTACAAGGAATATGCCAGTTCGGTCCGGCTCCGCGACGTCGAGCTCGACCAAAAATGGAAGCCTCGACCCCAATGCGCTGACTTTCCAGGAGGACTTTAAGCGGTTGCAGCAAGAGTCGAATGAGGACGAGAACATCGACTGGGGTATGTCCTCTGATGCTGCTCACGACCGTGTATGTGCAGTGTGGCTGACCTTGGATATCGATATAGATTTCTGGGGTCGAGTTATGGCCGATTACGAGGAAGTGGCATCGACACAGCGTGAGTGTGTTTGCTGGCTTCGCGGGTGCAAAGTGCCGTGCGCTAAGTATGTGATCTGAGCTCTACAGCACGGGAACTATCTCGAGCCATCCAGCAAGGGATACCGCCGGCTTTACGTGGTATGACATGGCAGCTTATGGCGTAAGTGACGGCCAAAGGCTCCACCCAGTGCGCGGCACAAGGGGTTTGCTGACGTTGTCGTTCACTCGCAGTGCTTCGAAGGACGAACAGCTCTGCGAAATTTACCATGCGCTCCTCACACAATCCTCACCTCACGAAAAAGCCATCATCCGCGATTTGAACCGAACATTTCCGAAGCACGAATACTTTGCCGAAGCTACAGGTGCCGGCCAAGAGAACTTGTTCAATGTCGTCAAGGCTTACTCGCTGTATGACGAGGAGGTCGGCTACACCCAGGGATTGCAGTTCATTGTCGGGCCATTGCTGCTGAATGCGAGTCATCTCGTGCACCCTTTACCTAGCTTCTGCGGTACTAATGTACTCATCGTAAATGCATCCCGTATAGATGCCCGACGAGGAGGCGTTCTGCGTGCTCGTGCGATTGATGAAGTCCTACGACCTGCGGTCCCACTACACCCCCAACATGCCCGGTCTTCAACTGCGTCTCTTCCAATTCGATCGTTTGCTTGAGGAACTCGTCCCCGGGGTCTTCCTTCACCTCCTTCGACAAGGCGTCAAAAGCTCCATGTACGCCAGTCAATGGTTCCTCACCTTGTTCGGCTACCGATTTCCCCTCGAACTCGTCTCGTCCGTCTTTGACCTCGTCTTTGCTGAGGGCGTCGAGGCCGTCTTCCGTTTCTCCATCGCCATTCTCAAACGGAACGAGACGGCGATCCTCTCGCTCGAATTCGAGGACTGCATCGAATTCCTCAAAAACAGTCTCTTCGAAGCATACGCACCCAACCGAGAACGAGATGGCCCTACGGCTCTTTACCGAGCTGCTGATTTCGCGCGCGAGGCTTTGTCGGTGAAGATCACACCCTTGATGCTCGATCAGTTCGGAGAAGAATGGGATACGTTGTTGAGGCAACAGACGGCACACGCGGCGGAAGTGGACGCGTTGAGGAAAGCGAATCATCAACTCTCGCAACAAGTCCGACAACTGGAAGCCAGTCTGAGTCAAATCAATACTGAGCATTGTGACCTCGTCAAACAAGTCGTCATGGCCAAACTCGAACGGGAGGAACTCGAGGACGAATTGGTCAAGTACAAGATCGCCTACGCCGATTTGTCTCATCAGACAGCAAGTGATGGGGCGAGTTCGTCGGCCGTTTCGAGGGCTTCGATCGCGCAGAATCAGAGTCTTCCGATCGCTACTTCGGCCGGTATGACGGTTCCGATTGGGTTGGATTTACCGAGATCGGCGAGGGCACATTCTCCTCGAGTCGGGTAATTTCCGGTGGGGAACCGGGTTTCTGACAATTCGATCGCTTGTCTGTTTGTGGTGCATCATTCTTGCATAAACTTATTTTGCATCTGTTTCTCCTAATGCCTTGCTATGCACACGAATTGTAGAAGTATCGTAATGAACCTGTCTCCAAAAAAAAAACACGCCACAACCTCGAGTGCGAGAGAGAGCATAGCCGAAACTAAAGCGTATGCCAGCCACCCTGCAAATATAAAGATAGCCATCAGCCAAGTCCATCGCCTTCAGAACGTCGACCGCAACTCAAACTCACGTTATCAGTTGTGGCATCCAATTTCCTCGCAACGATGGTCGGCAACGCATGGTTCAGCCACAACTTGCGCACCTCGTCGTACCGCCCTTTGTGGAGGTACTGAGGGTATTGTAATCGACTTCGTCTGAAACAACACAGAACCCGAAAACATCGTCAGTCAGGGATCAAAACGGGGTATGTGTTGACTTTGACTTACCGACCACCTAGATCGACTTCACCGTGGGAATCGAGGTAAGGAGGCACCGCGAACGATCCTTTGTCCGTGTAGAGGTACAACAGCGAGTTGCGCTTGACCATGTAGTAGATACCGACTGTACCTCCACAACTAGGGAAGAAGAAGAGGAGTTTGCGTCAGCGTCTTCGTCCTTCAAGCTTCAATAAAGCGCTCCGACGAAAGAGCTTACCCCCACATATGAGAATTGCATTCCCCATGCTGCGCCTCATCGTCGGAATCCATGCAGCAAAAGCTTTGCGCGCACACGAACTCGCCACACAACAAACACAACGCTGGGCTATCCGATACCAATCCGCATGCGTTACAAGGCGTCGCCAAGGAAGCCGCAACGAGTGTATCGAGTTGACGAGGCAGTCCGGCGAGTTCGTAGATGGTTGGGTGATGCAGGCGGGCTGGGGGTATGGGGTAGCAGAGGTTGTTGGATTTGAGGGCGGTCAGGGAACGCGTTAATTCGAAGGGTATGGGGGAGTGACCTCTGTGCATTTGGTCACGTAGGGCGTGGATGTGGCTTTGAAAGTAGCGCGCTTCGGGGTAGGTGGCCGACGATTCGGGAAGGAGGACGCCAGAAGGGTCGCGGATTCGGAGCAATTCCAAAAGACGCGAGTATTCCGTTCGTTCTGAACCGGGTCTCGAAGCGACACGCGCCGAGTTGCCAAACAGCGTGCGGTGCAAGATCGAAGCTTGCCTCAAGAACGGCAAAGTATGGGTGTACAAGCACTTGCCCAACTGTACCATCTCCATCCGATCGCGCGGCTCCTGATCGTACGACTCGCTGAAGAACCTCTCAATCTGAGCGAGCAGCAAGCATTCTCGCTCGACAGGCTTATCCACGACGTCCTTGATCGCCTCTGGCATGAGCTTGTCCGCGACTTCGGTCGAGTAACTGCCGTAGCACATGAGCTTGAGGTAGGTCTGCACGAGCTCGGTATAGTACGTGAAGGCGATAACGTGGTGAAAATACTCGGGTGCCACGGCAGCGGTCTCGATAAGCGTTGCGAGAGGGTTGAGCGAAAAGAGGGGGTGGTCGGCCGACCAACTCGGGTTGAACATTCCGCCGATGTGGGAGAAGACGGCAAACTTGACGGCATTGAGTGTATCGAAATGCGTCGAAGGCGGCAACCGACGATACACACTCGGCACATCGACGAGCAATCGCATAGCGTAAAACATGCACCTCAACATACGCCCCGTCGTTTCGCTGACCGCGACGCCATCCATCCCACTTTCATTCGCTTGTCCGCGAGCCGCAATCTCGAGCGACTCGACTGTATACGTCAGTAGATCATGTGGCAACGATCGTCGAGCTGCATCACGGTCACGTCGAGGTGCTTTGCCGAACGCTTCCTGGGCTAAGGGATCGATGGTCGAAAAGAGGCGGACGGCCATGCGAAGTTCCGGCGTCGGGTCGTCGATCGGTCCTGCAATCTTGGACGTGATCTTCCAAGGCAAGAGATGCATCCCGTTCGACCCTAGGACCTGCACGTATTTGAGGCCTTCTTGCGCCTCGCTTGTTCCTTCAGGTCCATTCGCCCCTTCCTCCGGATGGAAAACATCCAATAACGACCCAACCCAAGCCTCATCGAACGACGCCTCCTCCACCGTTGCCAACCTCTCACTCGCGATCGTCGTCGGCAACAACGCGTTGCCCAACGTCTTGCACAACGGACAAATGAACTCCCTCCTCAGCGTATTCTCGGGATGACATCGCATCGGTTGGGTGAGGTGCCTCGCCTCGATGGACTTGTAGTACGTCTTGAAGCACTCGAAATGCATCATGTGACCACATGCCGAAGCGTGCAGGCCCGTAACGGTGTTGTGTTTCCATGCTCGTCCCAGTCCATCCCCTGATTCATCATCGGGATGGACGCCTATTAGATGCGAAGCGATTCCAAAGGGACGAAGGTGCGATGCGTCCCGATCGAGATTGACGGGCGTCTTGAGCACTTCTTCCTCGATCTCCGCATCCGATGCGGTCACGCGAATGAGATTACTGACTTGAACGAAAGCGAGCGTCCCAAACGACTTGGTACAGTCCAAATCGTCCTGACAAACGATACACGACCCCAAAGAAGCCTTGACCTCTTCCGGTCCCCCCTCAACGGCCATCTCCTCATCCTCCGTCGTTTCCTCCCCTTCGTTCGCCTCAGCACTAGCCAAGAACGATGCTTGTTGTTGTTGGAACTTTTTCAGAATCGCCGCTTGTCGCGCCTTCGCCGCTTGTCGTTTCTTCTCCAAAGTCGCTTTGGCGAAACCGGCTGAATCATCCACGACCGTTCGGAGGTCTTGAACGGGTGCCCCGAGGAGTTCGGACAATCGATCGAGACACCATTTGGCTTTCGGTCGAATCGACTTGACCCTCTCGTCGTCCTCGAGTTTGACGAGCACGTGCACCAAGTTCGTATCGGGCTTGTTGTTCGGATCGACGGGTGCGTCTTCCAACTGCGCTTTGAGAGCGAACGCTGCGAGCGCATGGGGTCTTTCGATCAAAGCCAGCATGACGAGATGTAACGCCTCGTCCAACACGACTTCAGAGAACAAAGATTCCCCCCTCCCTCGACCCGTCCGTAGCGCATGAAACACGATCGACAAAAGCGCCTCACTCTCCAACGCCTGCGCTAAATCGATGAACGGGCCCGATCGGATCTCCAATCGACTAGGAACGATCACAGGCTCTTCCGAAGAGTTAAAGGTTTTCTTGAGTTGCGCACGAACAATCTTGTCGGCTTCCTCCCTTTGATTCCTCGAGAATCTCGGGAAATGCGGATTGACATGGGTGTAAAACTCTTCTCGAAGGGCGTACGTTCCCTGATCGCTATTGCCCACAGGTTGCTTGAACGTCGACACCTCCCCCAGTACACGTTCAAGTGCCGAGTCGTCCGTGAAACGTTCGGAGGTGCGACGCATGAGATCGGAGAAGGTCGTCGGTCCAAGGGACAAGTTGTGGATCAATTCCCTGCGAAGGACTTGCTCGCTCGAAAGACCTGCGACGTGCGTCGGGTCGGAAACGAGTACGATCAAGAGGTACAACAACTCCTCGACCATCATCATCGCTTGCGAAGGCTCGTAAATCGGATGAGCAACCTGACTCAGATCCGTCTGACCGAGCCATTCATGGACGTCGAATCGTGCGAGCAGGGCCACGAAGACATGCGATGGATTAGCGATAACGAGTGAGGTTTGGAGGAAGTAGACGTCCTGGTCGTAGGTGTTTTCGTGTAAGCTGTACTCCTTGTAATGGAGTTGTTGCGCTCGGATTCCAAATCCGTTGCGAACCCAGAGGCCAGCTCGGATTTGAGCGACCAATACGACAGCTGCGAGTGGTCCGTACTTTGGGTCAGTCGCTTCCTCCCCCATACACATCACCCGGCGTGTTCCTGAACTCACCTCGCAGCGGATGATCCATCGACGTCAAGAACGTCGCATGGCCCTGAATCCTCGTCACCAAATCGCCCAAACTGTCCAACCCAATCCCCCTCAACATCTCCGGAACCAACTTGTCCGTATGCTTACACATCTCCGCGAACAACCACCCCAGAGGATGATGGAAGCTCACGGGGGAATTGGCAACTTTGAAGGAAGGGACTTGGTAGGCTTGGCCGGCCCATTCGAGGGTTTCAAAGACCATGTTGCGAGCCATTCGGCCTAGGAGGTTCATCAGACCTTGAACGAGTTGGAATGTTGTTGCGTGTTCGAAACTTTCCCCGAAGGCTCGCGCGAGTTTACCCAATTGGATCGTCGCGTTGAAGGCGGTGACCCAGGCATCGGATTCGTATTCGACGTGGGTATCGACGGCGCGCACGTTGGGGTTCATGGAGGTGAAGAGGTCGAGAAAGGCCGAAAGGTCCAGAACGAGTTGAGGGTTGACGCAGATCAGTTTTTTGACCTCTTTGGACTGGATCAAGTGATCGAGATCGTTGAAGATTTGAAAATAGCGTTTCTGCTTGAACGCGGCCGACTCGGGATCGATCCTTCGAATCGTCGGATTGGGCGGTAACCGCAATCGCTTTCGATTATGCGCCGGATCGAATTGCTCGGTGAAGAAGGCGTAGAGGAGCGAGATGAGGTGCGAAAGGAACGCGTACTCGGACATCAAGCGGGCTGCGATGGAAGGTGCTGTGAATACTTGAACGGCGAAAAAGATGATGGAGTTTTCGGGTTCGCGATCGGTCAAGAGGTATGTCTCGGCGATGCTCGAGTACATGCGCGCGAATTGGATGCCTGCAGACGAAAGGAGAGTAGATGGGTCAGGGTGACTGCCCAGCTCAATTCATGATCCTGCATAGACTGACTCAGCTCAGACTTGACACTCGACGATACACCCAATAGGACGACATAAAACTCTGCCAGGTTCTTGCGCGCGTCCTTCCACAATTTGGAATCGGCCTGCAATAACTTTTGGAACCTGGTCGTCGTCGACGAAATCCCACCCTTCTCGCCCGAAGGATAAGGTGCCAGCAGAATCTTGGCCATCGTCTCGGTCAAGACGTTCCCCTTTCCACCCACATCAACGTTCGCGAGGTCCCTCAACATGTGGATCACCTCCCCAACCACCTGCTCGTAAAACGTCTCTGTCGAGAGTCGTACAGTCACAGCGAGATCGATATTCGATATAAGACGAGCGATGGCGACCAACCGATCCGGATCGTTCGAGTTGACGATGATGGCTCGCCCGTGCGTATCGACTTCTTGAGCCATGGCCGCAGCCCTCTTGCGGGACACGCCCGTCGCTCGGGTGACTTGATCGATGACTTGCTCAAAGGAGTGCTTCTCGTCGTTCCAGAGGACGACGGACCATGGGCCAGCAGGGGTGTCAGGTTCGGCAGGGGAGGATCCCGTCGTCGCCGTGGTCGAAGGGGATGGGGAAGTCGCTCTAGCCTTGCCCCTCGAGGTGGAAGAGACGTACGAAGGCGGCGAAGTCGAGGCCGAAAAGGGGTTCGTTTCACCGGTCGGCGTTTGAGTCCCAGCAGAGGAAGGAGAGTGACTCGGCCGTGGGCGCGAGGATCCAAAGGGGAAGTAAGGTTGACTGATGGACGCGACGCGCGATGCCGAAGTCGGGGTCAAGAACATGGCGTGACCGGTCTGACCCGAGCGCATGGCGTACAAATCAGCAGCGAGCGCATCGGCGTCGTCGCTCGCCTCGGGCGGGGTCAGACCAGGTACCGGTGGGGGTAGTAGGGCAATGATGTCGTCGACGGTTTGCGGTGGTACGAATTCGCTCGGACTTCGATCGAGGACGGCGATCATCCAGTCGATGAGCACGACGAGCCAGCGCTCGACCTCGCTGATCGGCTCCCGCATGCGCTGTTCCTCCTCTCGACTGTTCTCGCCTGAACGCTCTGACGGTTGTGGTGCGAACCTGATGGAATGGTACCTGCAGTCGTCCTGGGTGCCCGGCTTGAACGCCTCGTCGTCACCGCAGTCGCAACACCCTGCGCCGACTCCTCCATGAACGGCCATCGTGACGTCGTGGCCCATCCTCGCATGGGAACTGGCATGGTAGCATTTGGAGCACAGCACGCAGGTCGGATCGAACGCACAGTCCCGGCAGCGGTACACGGATTCGCCGGCGCGGAATACGTGGCCGCAGATCTTGCCCCTCCTGGATTCAGAGTACTCGGGCGCCAGTTCGGTTGAGGGCGGTGCCTGGGACGAGGTATTGGGGGCGACAAGTTTCTTTTGCAATGCCGATAGCGTGAACTTGTGGCCGAGTTGGACGACCTCTCGTTCGGGCGAGGCAGGATCGCGTGGTGCGGGGAGGAAGAGGTGACTTGAAGGCGAGTCCCGGTCGAGCGCAAAGGCGTACAGGACCAACTTGAGCTGGAGCAGTACACCGGCTTTGCTGAGCGAGTAGGCGCTCGGTTGGGCGAGGTCCTGGATCGATCGGATCAACTGTCCGAGTGGTGGGTACGCGGAGGGAGACGAGGTCGGGGTCGAAGATGACGACCATGACGAGGATGACGAGGATGACGACGAGGGCATGCCCGCCGACGCCGCGGTGGAGGGATGTCGATACGGCCCCCGCTGTGCCGAGGATGACGACGACGAGCCGGATGAGATGCGCCCGTTCTGCATGATGTGCCTCGACCCGAGCACACGATGCACTGCAGCCGCGATCGAAAGGCGGAAGGAAGGATGATCGATGACCAAAGAAGCGCGGGGCGCGGCGCCCCTGATTAATGACGGACGATTAATGCGTTATTTTAGCGAATAGAGTAGATAGATAGCCTCCGTTGAAGATGACTCGCTCGGGTCCCGGTCACGCGCACGGTCCTCGTCGTCGCAGAGAGTCCCGGCGCGTCGTCGCTCAGCGCTCAGCTCCTGCGCTCAGTCTGGATTCTGCGGTCTACACTACTCAAGATCCGAGGGTCTGGCTAGCTGACCGAAAGGACGCGCATTAGACCGCTGCTCATTCTCATCCCCTCATCGCCGCGACGCGTGTCTGTTCTGGTTCATCCCCCCACTCGCCGCTCCAGTGGCTCTCCTGCGTACGGTGCACGCCGTGACGAGTTTTGGATCACCCACCTCCAGGGGCGGAAGTACGAGCAGCTTGACCACTTGTACAAGCTTACAACTTTGTCCAAGCTGGCATACTCGAGAGCATGGCCACCTTGCGACCGTTGAACGGCGGCGCGAGGCAACGTCGACCATCAGCTTCGATCCCCATCCACTACGATCCGGCAGACTCGAGGAGATGCGAGTCGCACATCCGAACTCTGGTTTAGCTCAGCTCGGTGTATCCACCTACTGACACCGTGGCTCCTTGCTCCCACCAGACGAAGACTTTTCCACGATCGGTCAGTCCAGCACCGAGACCGAAACGGGCAGCGTAATATACTGCATTGCTGATCCTTTTGTTTGCTTCGCATGACCATCACCAATTATTGAACATCAACTCACCTCGTATTCCTCAACATTTACATCCACGGATGGTTCGCACCTCGCACCTCGGCAACTCGGCATCTCGCTCGCTCGGCCGAAAATCCAACCTTGCTGGAACACCCCCATCAGATTGGGTCCAGGACACCTTGGTCGAGAGAGCGCGGAGAAGAAAAGATGCCGAACGATCAAAACGTACGATCGGTAAATCCATCAAGGCCACTTTCTGGCGAGCGTTCGACGCGACCCAGTCTTGGTTCGTCGTTTCTTTGGTCGGCAAGTTTCAAGTTGCCTCTCTCCGTCATTCCGATTTTGCTCCTTTTGCTCAACTCCCTCTACACTCCCTTCCCACAGGTGCCATCATCGGCCTCGACGCAGCCTTCATGTCCATCATCACCGTATGGCTCTCGGACCTTAAACTAGGCTACTGCTCCCAAGGGTGGTGGTTGAACCGCAAGTTTTGCTGTTGGGAAATGTCCGATTCGCTTGAAGCGGCGGGCGAATGCGCGGATTGGCATTCGTGGACTGGGTTCGTGGGCATACAGTGGCTTGTATATGTTACTTTGGCCGTCAGTATTGCAGCAATCATCATGTGCAGAAGACACACTTGCTGAGTCCCGGTCCTTCAAACAGGGCTTCTTCGCCTTCACCTGCGCCTTCATCGTCAAGTCCTTCGCACCCTATGCCGCTGGATCCGGCATATCCGAGATCAAATGCATCCTCGCTGGGTTTGTCATTCAAGGCTTTCTCAGCTTCGCAACTTTGTCCATCAAATCAATTGCACTCGTCAGTCCATGTCCCACACTCAACCCTGAGAAGACTCCTGCCGTGCTGACTTGGATTTTTTCACTCTCGAAGCCCATCTCAATCGCATCAGGCCTGAGTGTCGGGAAAGAAGGCCCATCAGTGCACGTCGCTTCAGCGATTGGTCACACTGTCGCCAGCCAATTCCATCGCTTCAAGCGAAGTTCCGGTTCGTCTTCAGTGAGAGACTTCGCCGGCTCACTCATCGAACTGACGCTTTGCCCGGCCCAGCCAAAATGAGGGAGATCGTAACAGCCGCTTCAGCAGCCGGTGTGGCGGTCGCTTTCGGTAGTCCGATAGGAGGGGTACTCTTCAGTCTCGAGGTAGGTCGTTGCCCCCTTACATCTTCAATTCCTTGCACGAGAAGCGATCATAAGCTGATCCTTTGGCTCTCTGGCGGATCCAGGAAATGACTATCAACTATCCTATCAAGACGTTGTGGAGATCCTTCTTTTGCGCTCTAGTAGCCACCGTCGTGCTCTCAGTCAGTTCTAAAAGGTGTCCTACTACTCGGAATATCTAGTTGATGATTATCCCCCACCCCACGATTCAGGCGATGAACCCCTTCCGAACGGGCAAGCTCGTCCTCTTCCAAGTCCACTTTGACCGCGACTGGCACTTTTTCGAACTCGGCTTCTTCATCCTCATCGGCATCTTCGGCGGTCTCTACGGCGCCTTTGTCATCAAATACAACCTCCAAGTCGCCGCGTTCCGTAAAAAACATCTCGTCAACCATGGGATTTCCGAAGCCGTCTTCTTGGCGGTCCTCACTGCTGCGGTGGGGTTTACGAATATGTTTTTGAGGATCGATATGAATGAGAGTTTGGATATACTGTTCAGGGAATGTGAAGGCGGCGATTACGAGAATTTATGCCAGTACGGTCGGACAACCCCATTCTACCAGCCTTTCCTCCTCGTACTGACCTCGCTGTTCCCCACACTCAACCAGATCATGGGCCCAATGGCGAATGGTCAACTCGCTACTCCTCGCTACAGTCCTCCGAACAGCACTCGTCATCATATCCTATGGGTGTAAAGTCCCAGCAGGGATCTTCGTTCCTTCCATGGCCGTAGGCGCAACGTTCGGTCGCATGGTCGGTATCTTGGTCAAGGCTTTGTATCGGTGAGTTCCCACGGCGACGAGATTGTTCCGGCTTCGGCGGCATCGTATGTGCTAATCGAGAGTTCCTTCTTACGCGTGTGCAGTGCTCATCCGACGTGGGCCATGTTCGCGAGTTGCGATCCGTCAAAACCTTGTATCACACCGGGGACGTACGCATTCTTAGGTGCCGCTGCTGGACTGGCGTACGTTCGCGTTCGCACGAAAGTGGAGGAGCGCATGCGATGGACGAAAAGAGTTGACCTTGCTTGATGCTCCATCATAGTGGCATTACTCGAATCACCGTCACCGTCGTAGTCATCATGTTCGAGCTCACAGGAGCATTGACCTACATCCTTCCCACAATGGTGCGTACCTCCCAAATCCCCGTCCCACCCCACCCAACCAACCCACCCTTAACCCACCCCAACGGATCCCAACTCTCAGATCGTGGTCATGGTAACCAAAGCCGTATCCGACCAATTCTGCAAGGGCGGTATAGCGGACCAAATGATCCGTTTCAACGGTTACCCTTTCCTCGAGAATGACGATCATGCGTTCAACGTCTCTGTTTCGTCCGTGATGAGGAGGGATTTGGTTTACCTGCCGGCGAGCGGTATGTCGTTGAGACAATTAAGTGAGTGGGTGGTTGGACAATTGGGGTCCAGGGATTTAGGTGCGGCTGTAGGCAATACGCTGATGATGACGTGCTGTTATCTCGCTCGCTACGCGTTCACAGAAGAACTGCTGGCCGATACAACCTACCAGGGGTTCCCCGTCGTCAAATCAGCCAAAAACCTGACCATCCTCGGGGACGTCGCTAGGCGAGATCTCAACGTCGCCATAGGTAAGCAATTTCAATCCCGCCACTACCCTCTTTCGCTAGCCCTAACGAACCCTCCCCTGTTCGACTTTCGAGCTCTGTAGAAAAAGCCGAGCTGTCGGATATCGTCGACCCGGACGCGCAATGCATCTTCGCACTTGACCTTGCAGACGGTGACGAATCAATCGATCCCGAATTGGGAGGCGAGTCACCGTCTTTGTTGAGTCCGTTGGATAATGATGAAGGGGCGATCGACTTTACTTCGTTCGTTAATCAGGTGAGTGTGGGTTGAGGTTGTTTTGAGGTGATTTGAGTTGCGTGTGATTGCTGCTGAGAGACCTTTGGGGTTTGATAAAAAGACTCCATTGACGGTCTCGCCGAAACAACCGCTCGAGTTCGTCATGCAATTGTTCCAACGCATGGGGTCAGTTCTTTCCCATCCTATCCCTCTCCCACCCACAAAAACTCCTCCACCCAACTCACTAAAACCACTCCGTCTTTGATCCTCGCAGTCCACGAGCGATCCTCATCGAGCGTGAAGGTCATCTAACAGGTCTCATCACCGTCAAAGACTGTTTGAAAGTAGTGCTCGCGCACGAAGCCGCGCATGAAAGGAATAAAGATGAGAGGACCGACGATGAGTTGGAACAAACGTTGGAGGAGGTGAGGTTGTGGTTTGGGGAAACGAAGGGGTGGATTGGGAATTGGGTGTTGGGGAGGAAGCGAGGGAGGGGGGCCGGGAGGGGGGCGAGTAGGGTCAGGTTGCCTAGGGAGGTGGAGGAGGAGGAAGAGGAGGAGGAGGAGGTGGAGGAGCGGGCCGGGGAAGGAGAGGGGGACGATATCGGGAGGAAAGGGACGGGGATGAGATGATGTGGACAAATATTAGTTTCTTAGACTAACTAGAATATCGTAATCAACTTTCTGTGCACTTCCATAAGGAGGCTGTCAAGTCGTAGATTCGAGCATTACCGTTCAGTGGGCGTCAATTCGGCTCAGAGCTGCTCAGAGCTCAGAGCCCTGCACTGCCGAAGCGCCACAAGCGGCTCGTCCTGGCTCGCCCTCCTCCCACATCTCTCTCCCTGATCATCTGCAGTCGGTGAACTCCGCGCCCACTGTGCACAATCTTTTACCCATGAGTGGTATCAACAACCCGTTTGCACCCACCCCAGCTTCAGTCGTACAGTCGACCGCGAACCGCTTCCCGGACATCAGCAACGACGCAGCCCTTCAACAGCAGCAACAACAGCACCAGTCGCAGTATGGTCAACAGCAACAGGGGTACTATCCCCAGCAACAGCAGCAGCAACTCGGCTATTTGCAGACGCAGCAAACGGGTTACGTGTCGCAGCCTCCGTCGGGCGGCGCCTACCCCACGTCATCGATGCCGGCTTCCCCGTTCGGAGCGGCGCAACAGCCGTCCTACCAAGGCCAAGGCGCATATAACAATCAAGCACAGGCGCAGTACGGTGGATATCCTTCTCAGCAGCAACAACCTCCACAACAACAACAATTCTCGTCCGCGCCGCCCGTCTCGTTCTCCGTCTCCGACCTCGATCCCTACTCCCACCTCGGCACCCTGCATCAATCCCAACTGTCCCAACCACCTTCCCCTTATTCGTCGCAACCACAACAACAAGGGGTTATGATGGGTCAGGATGGGAACATGGCTTTGCCGAGCCACTTGGTCAACGTGCAACAGGTGCAGACTCATCCGAGGCAGTATGTGCAGGAGAATAAAGCTATAGTCAGTCCATCGGAAGTTCGAGGCGGGATGATCAAAAAGACTAACCTAATTTCCCTCCCGTGATAGTTGATGACATGGAATGACTCGGCTGTCAGCCTGTGCTACAACGGATCCACAAGGCGATCCCCGAGCTGACCTCCCGTACTCGATCTCCGTGCAGTGGACCCAACTCCTCGCTCGATTCGATGTACGTCAAGGATCGCAGCGGGCACTAGCCGCCCAAATGTTGGGGCACTGACTATTAGCGTGTTTTCGCACAGACATTGCGAGAGGCATGGGAGGCTCGAAAGTCGGCGGTCAAGCAAGTCGCCCTTCAAGGCGCGGACCCAAGTGCCGTCGAGAGACTGACCAAAGATGCGGATACCCATATTGGTGAGTTGAACACCCGGATCGAGTATATGAATGACCTAACTGATACCCGTCATGTGAATGCGATTGGGTAGATTCGATTCACGCTTCCAAGTTCCAACTCGCCGAAGTCAAGGATACGTGGCGACAATCCGCCGACGCTGCATCGCAAGTCCTCCCAAGGTCTTGCTCCACACACCCTCATGCTTACAGTTCGGTCGACACTCTACAGGAAAGCTCGCGTGCGTGAAGCGCTCAACGCAGGGCTCAACTCACTTCCAGGTAAGCGACCAGCGTACCGGTCGATTCGCGAAATCCGTTAGCTGACCCGTCCATCCGAACTGCAGAATACCCCGCGCCTTTATCACCCGAACAAGTCGGCGGTGCCTTTTACCGACGGGCCGCAGAAGAATACCGCAAACAAAATATCATGTCGGGGTATCAACAGCCTCAAATGACAGGACACCCTCAGCAACACATGCAACCGCAGCAATATGGGATTCAAGCTCAGCCGACGGGGTATTATCCCCCTCAACAACAGCAGCAGCCAGGAGGGTATCTGCAGACGCAACCGACTGGATTTTATGGTGGTGGTGGAGGGGGATACCAACAAGGGTACTATTGATTGTGATGGAGTGGATTCGTACTGTGAGGACGTGTTGTAATCTAGAGAGGGGCGACCCTCTTGTCTCGTGGACGCAGCGACCCAGCAATACGATTACGGTGCCTCCCATGAGCAAAAGGACGCGACGGTGATGAAGCACGTTCTTGAACGAGTTGCGACGCGTTTGATCTAGCGATAAAAGGACCGAGCTTTGGTTGGGTGCACAGACCCTCTCTCCCCTAATCGCGCGGGTGCGGATTCCCGTTGGTTTCGACGACGCGCGGCGCAGCGCGAACGACACGGTCATCGCGAACGGTTCTCGTTCCGAGCTTAAACCGAACGATTCGCTCCACTCACGAAGGTTCGTTTCGCTTTCTTCCCTTCTAGTCACTTCTTTGTAAATCCTACCTCCCGAACTTTACCCGCCTGCTTCGTTCAGAAGTATGGTCACTTCTCCCGCTCCGACACGAAGCCACTACCTTCCGACGCTCCTACCTCCCCTCTCGCTCCTGCCTCCTTTCCCCATCAACGCGCAAGCGAACCGACGCTCTACCTCGACGCGTTCGAACAGGGCCACATCCGCCTCGACTTCCAAATCCGGCTCGCCAACCCCCGACTTGTTGCCACGCTCAACGGATGTAATGATGACGTGCATCGACGGTCGAGCAAGGCTCCTATTCCGTCACACCGCGGACGCGAAGGGCGCCATCGCGCCAGTCCCACTCGATTCGGCCGAAACGACGACGGCACGTGACTTGATCGAACCGCACGAACCTATCAATCGCGTCTCGTGGTCGTCGCATTCGAGAACGACAACCGAGCCTTCGACTCGGTCTTCGAGTTGTTCACGTTCGACGACGGCGAGTGGTGATGAGCACGATCAAATCACGCCGAGGAAACGAACGGACCTACACCCCGACGATGCGGGCCTCGATTTATCGTCCGATCCGACTTATTTCAGTCCTACTAGTCCGAGTCCGCACAGTAGGATCGGGAAAAAGGCGAGGGTCGCAAGGTGCATTTCGGAGTCGTTAGTAGGAGGGGAGGAAGCGAAGGTTGGACCCCAGAGTTGAAAGCTCTCATCCCTCTTCGTGAAGGCACAAAACTGACCCCTCCCTTTTATGCTGCTCCCTCCCAAAGAAGACCCTCCACCTCGACTCCCGAAAACCCAAGATAGGGAACCCCTTTCCATCAACGAACAAGACCCTCTCCGACCTGTCCTTCCTGCTCTACCATTCGGATCGCTTACCGGAGGCTTGGTTGACGATGCTGGATGTTTTGGTCGAGGAGGGCAAGATGCATTTACAGGCTGCTGAGAGGGAGGAGGAAAGGCGAGGTGTTGAGGATGGATTGGGTGTGCGGACGCTGTAAAGATGTTGAAGGGGGGGCATAAAGCATAATATGAGTGGAGGAAGCTGATGCCGGCATAAGTACTATGGACGGGAGGAGCGATGGCCGAGCGGAGAGAACCCCACGGAACAGGGGTTTAGGACCCATCGTGTTTTCGGTGCATGAAAGAGTTCAAACGTTGGCGCAGTGCATAAGGGTAGCTCAATTCGAGCAACTCGCACTTCGTATCCGAAAACTCTTCGGGGGCCAGAAGGAACTATTCGTCGATCCGAGTTTGTCGAAGCCACTGGCAGTCGAAGCGAGGTCTCAGTACCGAGGCCGATCTCCGGTCTGGTGTGTTGCATCAATGCTCAAGATCCAACGTTGAACTTGGCGCTACCAATCTATCGTGCCTCAGCGAGACCCGACACGATTGCAAGAGTTGTCCAAGCTTACGAAAATACGACCCACCTCAATCTTGCTCACAACGGGGTGCCATGGAGGTCCGTGCTCGAGGTCATCGCCGTCTATCGCCGTGTGAGAGGCTTGGCGTGGGCTGTCCCGTCCTGTCCGGCTGCGCTCCTCTCCAACGTACCACCCCCCACACACTCGCGACAGCAGCATGAAGGGCGCACTCAAGTCGATCAAGCGAGGTAGGTCGGTCGTCTCGATTGTCACTTCCTGCTCCTGCATATGACTGACCCGCTGCTGATACACGCTTCCCGTTCCCTGCGGCGTCCACCCCCCCCCCCTTCACCGCCTGCGCCTGTCCACCCCTCGCTCACCACCCAACTGCCACCGGTCTCAACCCCCACGATCACCGTCCGGCTTTGACATGATATAGCTCCCCACCTGCTCACCTCCAAGGTGGGCATGACGACGAGTAAGTCGTGATGGACCGCAGGCTGGGACGTCAGCGCCGGGCGTGGTCGTCGATGACGCTCCGAGCTTTCCTTTGAGCGGCCCCTCCTGGTGGGGTGTCTCGTCCGCCTCATCTGACCAGACACGTCGTGTTGACTCGTCTTGATACTCTCACAGAATCATCCGATGCTGAAACGGACGAGATCGTGCGCAAATTCACGGGTCTCGAGGGTATGTCTCTTTCGCAGGTGGTGCAGCCGAGCCGAGCCCGAGCCCGAGCCCGAGCACGAGCACGAGCTGGTTAAGCAGCGCCACGGACTCACCGCCGACCTCCACCGACTTGCTCTCGCACAGAATACACGGCCAAGATATTGAAGGACACCACTACGTTCCGGGACAACATCTCGAGTTGGTTCTGCGTCGCACCGAGTCCTCACACACGATGTTCATCTCGCTGACCCTCGTCCTCATCCCCCACCATCCCCGTGGATCAGTCATGCTCACCTCCGGAGCCGGGTTCGCCACCGCGTTCGCGACCTTGTTCCAGCCCATCAACGACGAAGCCTCCCTGACGGTCAAGCACCCCGAAGCCGCCACGACCCTGCGCAACATCTCGAGCTACCAAGAGCTCATGGCCGAACTGAGGGACACGATCCAGCCTGAACTCGAGTTGATCGACTCGAGGGTGATCGCACCCCTGAGGGAGTACCAGGACTTGCTCAAGAAGATCCGCAAGACCGTTACGAAGCGAGAACACAAGGTGCGTTGGCCCAGTCGAGAGTGCGTACAGCTGTGTGGGATAGAAAAAATCTGACCCTTGGACCGGCACCTCGTTGCACTCACTAGCTCGTCGACTATGACCGCTTCAACAACTCGTACAAGAAGCTGTCCGACAAGAAGGAAAAGTCACTTTCGGACGAGAAGAACCTGTTCAAGCTCGAACAAGACCTCGAGCAAGCCACTCAGGAATACGAGCACTACAACGGGTGAGCAAGGGGAGGGCTGCCGCACACGGCCGATCCATGCTCAATGCTCATGAGCTGCACTTTTTTTCCCTTCTTACATAGCATGCTCAAGAGTGATATCCCTCACTTTTTGAGGCTCACGACGGCGTTCATCTCGCCCATCTTCCAGACGTTCTACTTTATCAAAGTCGGCATCCTCTGTGAGTCGAACCGCCGCATATAGCGAACGAGCCTGGACTCATTTGTCAGGCTTGCGACCGCCTCACAGATACGATGCTGGACAAGATGCAATCTTGGGGTTCGCAACACTACGGCGACATGTCGATCCAGGGCATCGAGTCGATGCACTACGAGCGACTTGGTGACGCCGTCGAACGACTTGAAGCACTGACCATCACCAAGCGCTACATGGGAAGCGGTGCGTAGAGGAATTTGCTTCTGGCCTTGTCGAGCTCATGAGAGCTGAAGTATATTCCTCGCGTACAGCTCGCATGATGCAACAACACCGAGAAACCTCGGGATCCGACACCGCCTCGACCTACTCACGCACATCCCGAACCGGATCCGTCGCGCCATCGTCCTACGCTTCCAAGCCACCCGTTCGAGCCGGATCGTACGGTACACCCAGTGCGGCGGCCGAGGATCCTGCTCCGCCTTATACCGCTGGAGGAGCGAGTAGCGTCGTAGCGGGTAAAAGGGCCGCGCCTCCACCACCTGCGCCGAAGAGACCGGGTGGACCGGCGGTCACTTATGTTACGGCGCTGTATGATTATGCAGCTACGGTCAGTTCATTTCTTTAGACAGAGCTCACTCGGAGATCGTGATCGCTGACTCGAGTGAGGAGAGGATTGAACGATCATAGGCCGAAGGGGATCTTTCGTTCAGTGCGGGGGATCGTATCGAGTTGGTGACCAAGACCGCGAGCACGGAGGATTGGTGGACGGGTAAGGTCCATGAACAGCAAGGTGTCTTCCCTGGGTAAGTCGAATGTGTTGGTTTCGGATATTTCGCATACGAAGCGAAGAGAGATGGCTAACGCATCCCCGATCCGACGATCTGGTCATTCGTGCAGTAATTACGTCCAGCTTTGAGTGTAGGGCGTGCTCGAGTAGTCGTTGTCTTTGTTCAGCTTGGAAGTTTTGAGTCTTGGAACACTGTTCTTGAATCACCTATCTAGATGGAAACGTGACCCCCACACGAACTCTCCGACGCTCTTTGAACCTCGAGATCGTGTAAATCAACTCATATTGCACAACAAACCTGGGGAAGCAACCGCGCGGGTTGGTGTACAGGTACATCTACTGCGTCGTAACAGGACCATCGGCCTCGACATACCTAAATGCGGTTCGAACGACGAGATCAGCCATCGGAGCCATCGAGACCCATCCCTCGATCGAACTTGAGCACTCACTTGATCGCAGGATTGGCCTCGAACTCGTCCTTGAGCGCATCGGGCATCGTCGCGGCGAAACCTCGCATCGTTCTTGAGCTGTACACGTGCTTGATCCTGAAACGAACCAACTCGAATAAAGAATGAGCGCTTCCGTTCGGACCCGAACCAGGCGCTCGCTCCAAAGGGACCGGGTGAGCAGTGGGGCTCCGCCCTCGACTCGATTGGTTCATTGGAGATGTAGCATCGCCTAGTGAAGAAGACTGACTCTCCACCTTGTTGTTCGACCCTCTTGGACAATTCGGAAATATGATCGTCGGTCGCGGTAGGGTGATCTTCCGGTTTCTTGAAGGCGACCTGGTGGGCGTAATGCCAGATTCGGAGGGAGCGTTGGTCCGATGACGACGATGACGACGGGTGGGTTGATTCGATTGATTCGGGTCGGGCGGTGTGGATGGGTGATGAGCAAGGGCAGAAGGAGTGGGAAGTCAGCATACATGGTGTAGGTACTCAGTCCAATCATAGATCAGGCACTGACGATGTAAGCATTCATGATGGTGCTGTCTGAGGAGGGCGGTGGAGGTGAGGTGCAAGAGCAACATGAGTCGATTCAGCGCGCGCTCGACTGAGTCTGATCAGGCTGACCGAAATTCGGGTTACAGATCGCTTGCTATTCGCTTCACTATCACATCGGCACGAGAATTATGGCACCCTCAAGGCATCCATAGGGCTTCCATACGGCGCACGGCATACAGCCACATGAATTCCGTGCGGTTGAGGGTTGCCCGTGTATCGTTGCTGCTTTCTTGGGACACAGCCTCACAGGTCCGACCGTCGAGCCTATGGTTGCCAAACTTGCCATATGGCTGGCACAGGAACGCCGTATGCCGCGCGCCATATGGGAGCCCTATGGATGCCTTGAGAATGCCATAATTCTCGCGCGCCCATGTGGTAGAAACCTTTGGAAAGTCGGAGGGAATGCAGTTAAGCACACTGGCTAGGCCAGTAGTGTAGGACTCATTGACCTAAATCATCCCCACTAACACCCTCTCAGGTGATTTACGAAGACACAAGGCGACACTTGCTCCTGAATTGACGCCCGGAGCTCCGCGAGTCTCGTTGGGGTGATCGGTTCGAACGGATCCGACGAGAAACGGCGGCGGCTAGAGAGCTTCCATATCGAGTGGAAGAAGAGGAGACGTAGCTCCCCTATTGAGGCCTTGAGGATTTCATTTTTATCGACGCATTACACAACTGCAGCATGGACTCCCGTGGCTTGCCATACATGATACGGGCTCATAGGGCAAAGGCTCCCCCTCATGCCCCCTCCATAATTTTCGCCCGCGGATGTGTAGTCCCGAGGCCTCACCGCAGCGTTCACTCTCGGAAGAAGTGGTACTCGTGTGAGACAATATATTACTGTACTATATAGACCTATAGCTTTTTTAAAGAAAACAGAGACGATCGTATAGGGGACACATCCGACAGATTAAAAAATCGCACACATAGTAACAACCCCGACCAACCCTCGGCCCGAGAAAACACCTATTACCAAAATCTGATCTAACAACACGGAATCGTGGCAAACCTCCCCAAGATGTCTATCGACCGACGTACTTGAGCTCGAGGTAGCGGAGTGCGGGGTAAACGATCGCGGCGAAACCACCCGAGAGCTCAAAGCCAATGTCGCCACTGCGAGGAGAAAAGAAGGCGAATGTCAGCTTTCATGCTTTAATTGGGTCTCCAGGACAATTGTCATCAATCTCGACTTACCCGAAGGGAGGAGGGCCGATCATCTTGCCGATGGGACCGACATACCATGTCTGGGACATGCCGACAACGGCGCCGGCGATACCGAAGCAAATCGCACCAATAGCCGCGAGGCCGATGGGAAGCTTGGACGGGGTGTTGTACGCATCGAGATCGTAACCCCTGGCGAACGAGCCCTTGCGGAAGATGTAGTGCTCCTCGAGCAGGACGACGCTGTAGACGATGAGCCAGTACGCGAGGATGACCAAGAGCGTGTCGAGCACGGATTCAAAGCTGTTCCTACCGCCGATCGCCAAGCCGATGTAAATGACCGTGCCGATCATGACCAAAAACATTCGTGGGATCGACTGCGCGGCCTTGCCGAACGCTTGGAATGTAAGAGCGAACGAGTACATGTTGGGGATGTTGTTGGCGATGATCGACAGGCCGAGGATGACAAGCAAGAAGCGGCCAAAGCCGCCCATGGGACCGACGAGAGGGGCACCGAGCAAGCCACCGAGGTGGTGCGAGTTATAAGCATCCTCCCACGTCGACTTTTGCTTGAAGGTGGCCATCATGATCGCGCCGAGGCATTCGACAAAGATCAAGGGGACGTTGAGACCCATGTAGGTCCAGGCGAAGACCTTGGTGTTGGACGTTTCGGCGGGCAGGTTGACAGTGTAATCACTCGCGAGCGAAGTCCACCCGAAGGCGAAACCTGCGATCGTAGCACCGAATGAAAGAACCGAGGCCGCCGTCGCAGCACCGGGAGGGCCCATGGCGGCCGAGACGTGCGGAGCAGCTTGACCGAGCATGATGACGAAGATGATGGCGACGGGGATCGAGGCGTAGCGTTCGAAGGTGTGGACGATCTTGTATCCGAAAAGAGCGACAAAGAGGGTCACACTAGCGATAATGACGATACCGGCGACGACGGGGAGATTGTGCGTCTCGGACACGGCGGCGAGAGCTTGACCACCTGGATCGGGTGCCCCAAGTATGTATGATAAAGATCAGTGACCTGCATTTTTATCGGAAGCGGGCGATAATTCCACTCACCGACAATGGTGTTGACGACACTCCATCCGATGCACGCGATGCAGTTGAGAATGATGGGTATGTAGATACCAATAGTACCGAACGAGTAGCGACCGACAATCATCTGGCGCAAACCGGTCGATTTACCCCAGGTCGAAAAGATGGCGACCGGAATCGTGCAGAGCAGGTTAAAGAAGAGGATGGTTAAGCAGGCGTCGGTGAGCTCCAAGTACCAGATCGAGTTGCCGAGTGTGCCAAGAGAAAAGGTCGAGATGGTCATGTTCGCCGAGGCCCACAGAGCGCCAGCGTCGGATGGCCGTGCGTGGTGGCGCTCGTCCTCAGGGACGCGCTCAACACCTCGAACTTCGACACCGAAAGAGTCGGCCCACAGAACAGCGGCCCACATCTGAAGATATCGTAATGATCATTAAGGTCCGCACACATTGATAGGCGAGGGCGCGATAGGGAAAATGGAAGAGGAGCAGCAATCGAGGAACAGAAGGGGAAAAAAAGCGTCAGCAGTCCGCGCATCAAAGTTTCGGAGCCAATTGAAATTCGCTGTCCAGAGCGATGAAGGCCAGGTCGAGTAGGGGGGCTCGGATGTGTTGCGTAGGCAATCTGGATAGGTAGTCTCTCGAATCTTCGGGGCTGCCTCATCCCTCCCACTCTCTGAGGTCTGACTGTCTCCATGAGAGCGCAGCTGCCAAGAATCCCACTCGCGATAAGCCGTGCTCCCGGACCATTGCAAGAAAGCCCATTCGGGTACCGACCAGCCTATGCCCACGCCGCGGCCGCGCGCGCTCTCGGGCGTGGGGTGGCAAGACGAAGTCTGCGTGACAGAAATAGCCATGGCCAGACTGGCGCTTTGGCAGCCCAGCAGCCTAGGCCGCAGATTGCAGCTGTGGCGCGTGGATCGGGTAGGAATGCGGAATCTTTCGGGGGCAGAACGCGCTCGATGCGAGAGGTGTAGGACCCGCAGCGAAGCGATGAAAAAGTTGGGGCAGGAACGTACCTTGCCGAGAATGCCACCGTCTCGCCTGACACCATCATCTGCTGCGACGATTTGTACCTTGGGCGACGTCGCATTGGTGTGCCCAGTGGCGCCCTTCTCCTCGTCTGCGAACTTGAGCGAGCCTTCAGAACCGGTCGACATGGTGGCGGTGGGAGAGAGAATGGCGAGAGGAGGCGGCCGAAAGCAGGGTCAGGTGTCTAAGAAGAGTGGAAGAGGCGAAGGGGGTTCCAGCTGTCGAGGTGATAAAGGAGAGATAAAGAGTGCGAGGGGCGAGAGATAGCGAACTTGCAGAAAAAAGAGGGGGGGAAAGAAACTCGGCGTGCGTGGGAGCGCGGGCACTTTGGGCAGCAGAAAAAGATTCGTCTAGAATCGGCGGCACCCCCGCTGTGATTTGCCCGAACGGGCGGCAGGAGCAACCACGATTCGCCGTACAACCCCGCATTATGATCGACTTATCAGCCCTTGATTCCACACGAATTTCTTGTCGGAGTCCGTTTCGACGAGCCCGCAGGACCCAACTGCCGGGACCCGCGAGCAACGGGTTTCTGACGCGCTTCACCCGAAACCCGGCCGAAACCCGGGTCCAGATAAGCATTCGGCCAATCAAAGTCACGCGACCACCCCACGATATAAGGCATCGCTGGGGCGATCGAAGACAAACGCAGCGGAATCGCAAATCCAACTGCTCCAAGAGCTGATCAGGTGTCGACCACAGGCGTACGGCCACTTTGTCCGCTCGTCTCCAATGTCACAAAACTCCGCGCCCGCGCGCTCGGCCGGGCCGGGCTTGGCTCGATCTGCTGATCCCGCTTCTCTCCGCTTTCTTTCGCTCGCAGGTACCTTGACGAACGACTTGGCTTTCTACAACAATGGTCGACTACCTGCTTTTCGGACGTACTACCCAAGCTTGCAACTTGCAATGCATGTACTTACTGCCTACGATACTTCTGACCCTACTGCCCTACTGTTGAGCTTTTTGAGATCCCAAAGCCCCACAGATGGATCCACACATCCTGTCCTGCACCACCGTTCACGCCATGATTCCCAGCTATGCAATCTCATACTAGTATTGCTCAGCTCGAATCATCATCCGCCAATTCACCTCGTCTCGCCCGAACTCGCTTCTCCTTATTCTTTTGCATCAGTTCCTCCGGCGTCCGGCGAGGCGCAAACCCCGCGAGCAGGGCAGAATGCGGCCGAACGAGCACGACCCATCCATGCTGCCCTGTGGATGACGAGATGGAAGAATGATCCGAGACGATCAGCAAGGTTACGATGGGGTTGGTGGCAAGATCATGTGAGTATGGTACTCACGTTCGACGGGCAAGTACACCGGTCGGTGGGGAGGGAACCACTCGGCCTTCGCAGTCGGGTCTTCCTTGAGGTAATCGTCGAGCAGCTTGAACCCCCGCTTCTGTGAGTCGTAAGCAAGAGAAGACGGGTAAGTAGCTGCGACATGATATCGAATGGGGAAGAAATAGACGACCTGCCTTCTCAAGATGGTTCATCATGCGAGATTCGCGCTTGAAGAACACTGCAAACGTACGTAGTGGATGTGTTAGCTCCACTTGGGGTTGGAAATCCATTCATCACGACCCTTGCGATACGCACTCATAGTCCAAGTCCTGGCGACGGGTGGAACGGCCTCCAAACCGCGCTCCTTTCGCTCTACATTCATCTCAAGCCTGTCCTTCTCGACGCGCTGCAGCAGATGCTGAATGAGAATCGACGTCGCGTCGTATGTCTCGCCCGTAGACCACGGCACCACGACCGAGAGTAGCAACGAGGCCGTAAAAATGTCCCACTCGGCCAAGATGAAGCCGACAACTTCCTTGCCTTCCCTGAGCACGACGCGGGGTCGACCGTCGCGCGACGGTTCGGGAGGGGCAACGCTCTTGGAGCTCTTTCTCGGATTCGGTGCGCATGAGCGCATGCACAGGTATCGCCGCGTGTTTTGTGTCGCCTCGACGTCAACTTTGAGCAAGGGATTGATCATCCGCCATCCATGGGTAGCCATCATCACGACTTCGTCGAACGTCTTGGCGATCGAGGACTGCTGCTCGATCACTTCCGGAATCGCGATGTTGCCGAGCAGGGTGTTGGAAAAAATGCGTTGACCAATCTCGGACAGCTCTTCAGCTTCGTCCTTGGGAATATCACGGATCGCCACCACGTCACTGTATTCGGGAAAAGGAAAGGGGTCAGGCTGCCCGCTGTCAAAAGACCAGATTCCATCCTGACTCACTAAAGCATATCCGACATCGCGCCCAAGCGCAGATGAGAGAGCGAGCACGTTTTACGGTTCCCGACAAAAAGTTGCTTGCACCTCCACTTGCCGACGCCGAGCCGCAGCCCGCCTCCACCGCCGCAGTCAGCTGTTCAAGTTTCGTGAGATATGGTCAGCTCAGCCCATTCAGGGATTAGAAAGCGCCAGATAGATGAACTCACAGCACCGTTGATACATCGAGTCACAATGGGAACACACGACTTCGACGTGAAAGTCGATGCGCTGCTTTTGATTGTTCGCAACGACCGCCCCCGAGGCGATGTCGCGCAAGCAGACGTCGCAACTCGTCGTTTCGAGATCGTCGCGCTTATGTCGCTTGCGGAATGAAGCGCTGACTTTGATGGCGGGCTCGGCGGGCGGCTCGTTCATGATCGGTTGTCCGAACGTGTCTATCGTCGCTGATGTTGAGGAACCCGGCGAAGGGACCGTTCATGATCGGTTGTCCGAACGTGTCTATCGTCGCTGATGTTGAGGAACCCGGCGAAGGGACGGCAGAGGAGGGGGAAGAGACTGCGGCCGTCGGCGGGGTCTGGGTCGCGGCCAGCTGGTCAGTCTCGTCTGCTAACGATGGTGAGCCATTCGAGGAATAAGCCTCGTTGTTGCAATTGATGCACGTGTACGCCGCCCGGTGGGGAACGTTGAGCTCCGATTCTGAGCCGCGGCAAATGATGCGAGCGACGGGCCGTGTGCACCCCAAGCAAAAGACGGAGATCTCCGACGTGAGCCGCTTGGCCCCCTTCCGTCCCGACGGCGCGAGCACGACGACAGAGGTCAGATTGCCTCCGCCCTCGTGCTCGCCCGTCTTTTCCTTCGTCTTGAGCGGAATCGCCCGCACCTCCGTCTTGGCCTTCTTGGCGGGGTCGATGGTGGTGGCTGCGGGGGGCCAAGGGCCGAGATCGCCCTTGCTCGGCCGCGGCGCTTTCGCTCCGACGGCGAGCTCGACAGCATCCGCCGGAAGCGCACCGGCCGTCTGGTTAGTCTGATAAGGCGTTTGATCATTCGAGGTGGTCGAGGTGGGTGACGGGAGGTGGGAGCTAGGCGAGTTGGAGTCAGTCTCGGAGCGGCGTTGGTGCGGTTGCTGCACGCGACCACCGTTATCATCGACGTAACCGACGGCGCCTTGACCGCTTTCACCGGAGGAGGCCCCTGCCATCAAGGACTGCAGGCAAGGGAGGACGTCAGCGGTTAATCGAAAGAGACATGTTCGAGGCTTGCATTCCGCGGCAATGAGACGCGAGCACCCGTTTAACAGGCACGAGAAGAAATCAGGTCGGGCGACTCACCTCGAGGTCGACACGGCCCGACGGGTGGTCCATCGCGTCGTAGGGAGCAGAAGAGGCAGTGGTTCCCGTGGAATGGGGGCCGAGGTACACATTCGCACCGTTCGTGAGAGCCTCGGATGCGCCATTCACATGTTTCAGTGGATATTCGACCAAAGCTGGCGGGGGGTCCCACTGGTGCAGAGGGGTCGTGTACGACGGTGCCGGCGCGCGAAAGTGATCGAGCGTCGACGACGAGTCGATGAGGGGTCGACCGTGCCCGTTCCTGTAGGCTTCGGAGTCGTGGTGAGGTGGCATGACCCGCACGTCTTCGTGCGGGGTTTCGGACGTCTCGGATGCAAGAGGCGGCGATGTCTCATAGCGGCCCAACGTGTAGAGATGACGCCGCGGGTCCGAATCCGGTTCCGACGGGTGGCTCAGCAAGCCCTGCTGCCGGCGCTGCTGTTGCTCTCGCTGCTGCTGTCGCTGGTGATGGATCCAATCATTTGGGTCGTTGAACTGGCTCGGGTGATTACTCGGAGCGACCTGAGGAACCCGTGTCGAGATCCACCCGGGCTGAGCATCGACGAGGGGGGGCGGATGAGAAGAAAGGTACGGCTCAGCGGCGGACGTCAGGGGCGGGGGCATCGGCACGGCGCCTTGGAACGAGTATGAGTCGGGATGCTGGACTTTTTCTGGAGGTGAAGCATAGTCGGACGTCACGGGCGATATTGTGGATAGCGAGTGGGTCGAAGAACCGGTCGCGTCCACTCCGGACCAGGACGCTTGGTTCGACCACTGCGAATTGGCGTCGCTCTCGTGACTTGGGTATCGCGAAGGCGTCGGCCGCGCGTACGCGGTGTTGCTGGCCTCGTACTGGTATTGGGGAGGGTGTGTTGGAAGGTACGAGTCATAGTAAAGCGCCGGCTGCGGTTGCGGCGGATGAGTACTGTACGGCCTGGCTCGAGGGTCGTCGAAATTTGCTGAGTCGAAGTTGGGCGCCGAGTCGTACCCTTGCGGTGGAGGCATCGAAGGATGGAGCGCATGCCCCGGTCCAGGACCAAGATCACGTGCTGAGTCTGACGGGTACCTCGGTGGACCGTGCGACGCCACGTTCATCTGATTCGGATGGAGATGATGTTCCTGTGTGAGATAATGCACAGCCGTTCCGAGCGGCGCTGACCCGCCGATCGGCGTTCGGATTTGAGACTCGACCTCCGACGCCGAAGTTGTGGGAGCGAAAGAGAACGAGTCGAGGTACGCCTCGGCGTTGGCGATCGCTCGGATGGAGTGTCGGGCTTCAATAACCTATTTGGGGAAGAAGGGATAGATCACACCAAAAAGACGATTAGTTTGGAGCAGATCCAGGGCGTGATAGGGAGGCAGGGGTATGCAGTCCGCCAGGTCCTCGATTGATCCTCGACGTCAGGACCACGGGCCAGCTCGTCCAGATGCGCACTGATGTCCGGCGCGGGCGGGTCTCGGGCATTACGGCACGTCCTCGCCGGGCAAACACAACGCCGTCGAGCCAAATGGCACAGAGGTGAGAAAAGCCGTGTGGGAGGTCACGTACAGCTTCACGACTTTGTCTCTGTATATAGTCAGCACGATACATCAAAGCGGTCAGCGCCCGCGACTCTGCACTGAGCACGTCTCTTTCGCGAATCGATCGTCGTGACTTGGTCGTCTCGCGGGAGCTGGAGGACTGGCCAACTCACCTGCTGATACATCTCGGGCCAGGAATCGACCAGCTCGCCAACGCGGCTCCAGACCTCTTCGCCAGGGATCGACGAGAGCGCCGTCGAGTTGGCGTCGACGGCGCCTGCCATAGCTCTCGCTAGCACTGGAGTCGCTGTGGTGCCTTAAGGCCTGATGTGCGCAGAGGCGAGTCGAGAGGTCGGCGGAGAGTGGGAGGGTCGCTTGACGACGACGACGACCGTCGGAAGCGGGAACGCGCAGAGGCGCTTCGCTCGACGCTCACAGAGTCAGTCGGTACCAGTTGATGGCAAGCCTTATAAGTGAGCTTGCAACGACAAGGGTCGGGAACGCCTTTAATGCCCAAGCTCTTGAGCGATGGGTCCTGACTCCTCAGGCCGTTCGAGTGGGTCTGAAGTATGGTGGGTAGCAAGTCGAACACGTTCCTTTCGAAGAGAGTGTAGTAGGTCGTACAGAGTCGGTCGTCAGGTGGGGGAGCCGGAAAGAAACCGGAGCAGAAGCACGGCCCCTGGTCAGCCGCTCGCAAAGGCAAGGGCAGCGTAACGCGTCCGCGGCAATAGGTAATTATGAATTTGGAGCGTGCCACAAAGAAGATTTGGACGCGGTGCGCTGGCCGCTTTGGGTCGTTGTCGCTCACGCTCGCCCAAAGCGCCGTGCACTCTGCCGGCTCTGCCCCTGCCCAATCTCTCGCTAATTGGCGCATCCGGTTTTGGCGCCCGGCGCCCGCTGCCCGAGCGCCAGTTGGATGCAAGCAGCAGCGTCACCTTGTCCATTGATTTTTGCGACAAAAAAGGCATGTCTGATCGCCGAGACCGGACTTTCTAATTAAGGGGAACGAGAGATTGGTGACATTCACCGAAGGCCGCACGAATAGGCTTGCACAGCGTATAGATCGGACACCGGTATCGGTGATTTTCAACGTTTAATGTCAGGGCCCAGGGCGAGGCCGGGGGTCGGTGTCTCACATCCCGTCCAGGGCCGTTAGAGAATTAAGCGATGCAGATTCTTACCGAATCGGCATGTCACCCGACCCAAAATCATGCTTTGCTTTGATCCGCTTTGACGGTAAAATCTCCTGGTGGTCGATCATCCACAATCGAACATTGCCGAGGGCATCAAAGACAGTCGACGGCGTTGAATGGCGCCGGCCGATTGACCAACTCTCCGATCAGCAAAGAAGCTGAGTAGGAATTGTCTCATAGTTCATTCAGCGGAGGACATGGTAGCTATGTTGCCCTTCAACCCTAAAGGTAGCATTTCGGAGCCAGAGGAGGATAAACTCTCTGCAGGGCAGTGGGACCTTCGCTCGTCCGACGTCTCCAAGAAAGCGAGAGGGGCGATGGGGTTCGCATCCGTCGAAACGGCCAATCGGGACTCGGAGCTGAACCGGTCGGTGAACCCTTGGCCGAGGACGATCACCGTTTCGCCTTGCACCGGGCGCGCCGCTTCACGGGTGAGTTTTACTAAGACTCAGCTAGCTCAGCCGACATCCATAATAATGTCGAAACCTACTCGCGCTTTTGAATGTTTCCGAGATACTCAGCGTCTACTTTCTTAGAGATTTCCCTGGTCTGGCGAGACGGCACCTGAATACAGTCAGACCTGAGAAAATTTATATTTTCGGTGGACGGATTTTCCCATAAATTAAGACATGTATAAGCTTGGAGAGTGCGGCTTCAGATCACTACATTATGACCTGAAACTCCGTTTTTGAGCTTCTTACATCAAATCAAGAATTTTCGTGCATCGTTTGAGCCGATACATTGACTTTTGAGGGGAGGAAATTCAGAAGGCCCGAATTACTGAATTGCAGCCAATGTACGGCCTCTACTGAAGCATGATGTCATCTAACAAGTTTTGAAAGCTCCAAGAGAGAATATCTTGACCTACTGACGCTGGAAATACGAAGTCATTGTCGTCTGAATCCTCGCGGCATCCTGCTCGGCAACAAGAGTCCTGCGAATCCTCCTAGCCTCGTCCTCAAAAGAAATCAAATACGTTGGACCTGAGTATCCATTCATAGCAAACCTAAGGAAAACATCAAGTGCTGAGATTGCCTCCTGCAGCGTCGTTCGCTCCGCCGGTCGGAGCTCTATCTCCCCTTCCTCCTCTCCTCCTTCTCCCTCGCAATGCTCCTTCAACTCTTCGGCAATGACCAGGTCCACAATCTCCTGATCGGTCATTTCAGCCCCACCAGCAAGGTTCTCCTCCTCCACATCGACGAGAAAGTGGATACTCATCTTCTCGTTGCTCGTAACTATGCCCTTTTCGACCAGCTCATCGTTCGTTGATGATGCCGCGATCGCCATTGAGAGGCCCGCGACCGTTGGGAAGAGGTGTATGGTCGGTCGATCCTTTGTTCTTGCGATCAGACAAGATTTGAGCGTGGCGCTAGCAGTTGGCAATCGTCTCGGGGCGGATGTCGTTCCACGCCTCATGTCTCGCAATGATGCGAGTCTTATTCATCTTGACACCATTTCGACCGTTCCGAGCAAGGCCGGTAGACGGACGCATAGCGTAGAAGAGACCGGTTTCGTCCATGTTGAAGATATCACTTGGGTCGTACTTGTTCGTAAAATTGTCAACCGCCGCCTTTGCTCTCCTGTGCTCGCTTCTCGGCTGTTTCGGGGCATTTCGGACTCTTCCAGCAGGCGGCTCGTCAGCAAGAACGCCGAAGGAGAGGCCAATTCCTGATCAATCGCTCATTTCCGGCTCTCTCTTATCTTATAATTTGACCTGTAAGCCCATAAATTATAAGGTATAAGATTGGACAGGTTCTGTCAGCCAAAAAAGTCGGGAGATTGAAAAGTCCATATATTTTCACAGGTATAAGATTGGGCGATATAAATTTTCTCAGGTCTGACTGTAGCACCGTCCGAAGGAGTTTGAAGCGCTGCTTTGTCTGTTCGGAGATTTGATCGACCAGCACGTAAGGCTTTCGCCCTACAGAAGGTCGCGAGGACGGTTGTAGATCGAAGTCGATGTAGTAACGGCCGAGAGAGGATACTTGTTAAACGTCTTTACTGGGTTTCAGCTAGAAGTTAACTACCAAGAGAGAGGAAAGAGAGAAAGAGAGATATGGGGAAGGGCGTCCTTATTGAGGGAGGCCGAGGGTCCATGCGCCAGTGTCAGTCTTGACGTCGGCTACGGGGTCAAGGCCTGGTCTCAAGGGGGGCGGCCTTACACCCTCCCCTCCGAAGTCCTGTCTGGGCTTCTTTGATCTGTTATCCCCTTCTGGGGAACGGACGGTAGACCCCCAGGTTTCCAAGCGGGCCTGCGTAGTCGCGGATCCGTCCGTTGGCCTCGAGCCAGCGTTGGGTGAGCTCTTGCGTCTCGACTTCGAGTTGTAAGAGCGCGTTGGTTCGACGACTATCGTCGGCTCTTTGTTCAATCGCTCGCGAACGAGCCTGTCGTTCCTTCCGAGTGAGATGGTTTGGGTCGAGACGTTGTTGCTCCGCTTTGGCGCGCTGTCAGCCAAAACTTTGGTGGAGTTAGCTCTACTCTTTTGACCACCTTCTTTGCATGCGCTTGAACCGACCAGCGCATCTCGGAGCTCCAGTTCCGAGTCGGCATGATTTTCCATCATAAACCGGTTCAGGATGTTCCTCGCTCCGTTGTAGTATTCGTCCCCCGTCCCAAAGGTGCGCTGGTCGGTTCAAGCGCATGCAAAGAAGGTGGTCAAAAGAGTAGAGCTAACTCCACCAAAGTTTTGGCTGACAGCGCGCCAAAGCGGAGCAACAACGTCTCGACCCAAACCATCTCACTCGGAAGGAACGACAGGCTCGTTCGCGAGCGATTGAACAAAGAGCCGACGATAGTCGTCGAACCAACGCGCTCTTACAACTCGAAGTCGAGACGCAAGAGCTCACCCAACGCTGGCTCGAGGCCAACGGACGGATCCGCGACTACGCAGGCCCGCTTGGAAACCTGGGGGTCTACCGTCCGTTCCCCAGAAGGGGATAACAGATCAAAGAAGCCCAGACAGGACTTCGGAGGGGAGGGTGTAAGGCCGCCCCCCTTGAGACCAGGCCTTGACCCCGTAGCCGACGTCAAGACTGACACTGGCGCATGGACCCTCGGCCTCCCTCAATAAGGACGCCCTTCCCCATATCTCTCTTTCTCTCTTTCCTCTCTCTTGGTAGTTAACTTCTAGCTGAAACCCAGTAAAGACGTTTAACAAGTATCCTCTCTCGGCCGTTACTACATCGACTTCGATCTACAACCGTCCTCGCGACCTTCTGTAGGGCGAAATCCTTACACAGCAGCTGCTTCCCGGCGCCTGAACTCGGGTTCTTTACTTCGGTGTCGAACACGTATAGCCCCAGAAGCTAGGTCTGTACTTGTAGGGATTCATATTCCTCAACTATGTTTTTAATTCACGTTACTTGTAACAACGTCTTCATCCTCCCAAAAAAGCCCCAGCGCCAATCAGATCCACCTCTTCATCGACTCCTCATCGAGCTACTTGCATTCGAACACCACTCTCTTCTGCCACGAGCTTCATTGGAAAGACGATTGTTACATGAACGAAAGCGATCAAACTCAGAAAAGAAGAAAAGAAAGCGACCCCGTCCACTCAATCCCCCGAATAGGAGGGCCTTCGAGCGAACCCATCTAATTCTACACGACACGAACAAACACAAATTTCACCACGCCACGACAAACCATCATCCCCTTCCCCCCTCTCAAGCCGCCCAAGCATGGCTAACCAAGCGTTGTGTAGCCAACAGGCCATAATACTTGACGTCCGGGTCGGCGTGGTTCATTAGTTCCATCACGCGACCTTTGGCGCCGAGCGAGTCGAGGGATCTGTATCGGTTGAAAGAAGAGGATGAACTCTTTGTTCACAATGAGAGGTTGGGTGCGTGTATCACTCACTTCTTGCCAGTATCGCAGAACTTGACGTATTGGGCGATATCGTTGGCCGCGACGGCGAGAACGAGCGGTTCCTGGGCGGTCGTGAGCACGTTGACGAGCGCCCTGAGGTGTCAAGAGTGGGTTCACATTGTCAGCACCAGTCCAAGGGATTTCGTATCATGAGAAACGTACTTTAGCAATTCGCGATCCTTATCATTCAGTTTGGCGGCGTTGTCGCGCCAAAAGTCGTCGTTCTTATGCGGTGGTGTCCACGACAACTGCCCCGACTGCACCTCGGACTTGTACTCGTCGAAAGTACTAAGCAGAACGAAACCGAACGAATCAGCTTTATTTGCCCCTCCAAAACTCGAACGCGTGCCCGCGCACTTACGTCAACCCCTCAAAGCTCTTTGTCAATTCCTCGACCAAGAATTCGACATCCTCCTTGATCTCATCATCGGACCATTTACGACTCGCCAACGTCTTGACGAACGGCAACAACTTGGCGACCAACATGGCGGGTAAATTCTCCGTCGGTGCTTTGGTGACCAAGTTGCGTAAAGCGGCGACGACGATCCGGATCACTTTCTCCTTCAAGGCTTGACGCGCGAGGTCGGCCAGGAGGGGGATTATGTTGTGGCGGCTGTGGCAAGCGCAGCCATCATCAGAATCAGTAAAATCCGTTCTTTCGAAAAACGATTGATTCTGAGCCAGTGTGTAGGAGCACCTACGCGTTGATTCTTTCCGCGATCGGGGTATCGAACGTCAACAACCAAAAGCAGAACCCGAGTTGGTACTGCATCTGCGCGGACGGGTTCGCCTTCAATAATTGAACGAGGCTGTGGGAACCAAAAAAGACGAACATCAGCACGTATCTCTACGCGGGCTACATGCCATCCCGGCCTTTTGAAAAAACCCCACCCTGTGATGGCTTTGGAGGATTCGGCGTCGTCCTTTGAATCGGCTTGCCACGCCGCCGTTCGAATCTTTTCGATCCTCAATGCGCTACCGAGGCATTGTACACCCACGTCCTGTGCTTCCGGATCCGCTTGATTACCTGTTCCAGTGAACCAAACGGATGTGATCTCAGCCCTACCACATTCATTTCTGACACCGTACGATCAGAGCGCAGAGACGAACGGATGAGCGCCGAAAGGGCGGCCAACACTTTGGTGACCACTCCGTCTGGCGGGTTGGGATCGCCACTGATGACGGTCGAGATGACGGCCGCGGATTTGGAACGAACAAAATCGTCTTGCGAGTCGAGGTGTCTAGAAGGGAGGGAGGGGAAGGTGAAAGGGAGTCAGGGTCAAGCTCTTGCCGGGGATTCTCGAGCTAGACGTACTTGAGTAGAGGTGAGTAGGGATCGTTTTGGGACAAGAACAACGGGATTCGATCGTCCTTATCTGCAATCCGCCAAATCCGCCAAACACCATACTCAAGACTCAGTCTACTGCAGGGGCCATCTCCGCTCGACTCGGGGAACTGACCATTGAGGAAGTCGGCGACGAGTACGAGGATGTACTGCAGGGTGTCGTTCCTCGACAACTTGCTCAACAACCTCACGTACAAATCTGCGTAGGTGTCCGATTCCTGTAGCGACGATGAGGTGGGTTGAGCTCAATTCGACATTCGGAGCGGGGGTGCATTCAGCGATGACGGTGTTCTCACAGCTTGCAGGATGGACTCGGCTTGCGCTTTCCCACCCGCAACACGTTGAATCAATGCGACGTCATCCTGACTGAGCAAGCCCGCACGTTGATAACCCTGTGAACGCAGCGCCGGCCGAGCGATGATGATGATGATGACGATGACGATGACGATGACGATGACGATGACGATGACGATGACGATGACGATGACGATGACGATGACGATGACGATGACGATGACGATGACGATGACGATGACGATGACGATGACGATGACGATGACGATGACGATGACGATGACGATGACGATGGGGGTGGACGTCCGCCCGGGTAGGATCGACGTCAGTGCTTTGTGTTTTTATGGCTCCGGTGTATGGGCTTCACTGACCTCCCAGGGTATGGCTTTACTTCGGATCTTGAGTGACCGATCGCTGAGGTAGACGTTGCTGATCATTCTTTCCAAGGTGGAGCGGAGCGCGCTTGGGAACGAAGCGGCGGAGAGCAAGCGCCGGCTGGGCGGCCGGCCTCGAGTCGATCGAAGTGCTTCGAAGTGCAAGCCAAGGCACTAAGGCACTTTCTGCGAGTGGGGCATATCTTGAGGAGTCTTCTCCGCCACCGTCAACTCTGGCTCAGTAATGAAACAACATGATGGCCACAAAATTCATACACTCTGTCACACAACAACAACCCCCATGGCCCCGCTCTAAGAAGCATGCATACTACTCCTCCTCGCCAATACGAAACCCACCACCAACGCCCCCACCGCCATCACCGTACTCGCATTGAACGCCGCGCGAAAACATTCCTTGCCCAGTAAGCAAAGATGCGAATGGTCGATTTCACCCCCTGCTCTTTTTTCCACGGTGTCGAAAGAGCGGGAGAGGAGACGAAAACTCGTCGGCTCGGTGTGGCCTTTCGAATGATCGACGTTGGCGTCGTAGAGGATCCCAAAGAGCCCGTTGAGCAGGTTACCAAACACCGAAGGGGCTAATGTGAGAAGACCGTTGTTGGTCGCGAAAGATCGGACGCCGAAGCGTTCGAGGCAGACGATGGGAGAAAGGGCGAACATGGCTCCGTAGGCGAATCTGAAGAGACCAGTCAGTCTCTGGGCGGAAGAGTTCGCCAGGCTGGGAAACTGCTCACCCCGTCAGAGCCGTAGGCAGTAAAAGAGAATGCACTCCATCCGCACCTCTCGCAAACAGTTGAGAGATGACGAACAACAACGCCGTCGGGACTGTCGGTTCGACGTGGCTTAGCGAATCAGTAACCACACCCTTGGCCCAATCCAGAATAAAGGATGACCGAGCCCCGACTGACCGTACCACCAAATCCGCTGAAACCTCCACTCGACCCTAACGTGATGCGTGAAATAATCCGCCGAAAAGCCCGCGGCCAACCGTCCAAGGCAGTTGCAGATCGAAAGGAGCGAAACGAGATGGGCCTGTGAAGGATTCTCCCCGCTGTTCAGCCCACTGTCATCGTTGGTGACCCTGGCTAATCGTGGAGAGCTCCTCACCTGAGATGCGGCTACTGTTCGTGGCTTTTCACCGATTAGGAATGTGGCGACTTGGGTTCCGATGTTGTTGATGACTGTACGTCACCCCAAGCCTTAGTCAGGCACGTCCCGCTTCCCAGCGAATCGCGCCACCTTGAACTCACACATCAGCCCAATCCCCGCGCACAACCCCAAATACGTAAAACACAACCAAAAATCCATCGTCGACACCAACGTCCTGAAATCCGTATCGACCAACGCCGGATCCCTCCCCTCCTTGCCCGTTCGAGGGCTCCGACTTCGACTTCGACTTCGACTTGGTCTCGAGCGTCGTGGCCTCCTGATGGGTTCACCGATGTAGGATTCTTCTTCGTCGGCTGAGGAAGCGGACGAGTCGTCTACTTCAACAGGGGATATGGAGCGATGACGTTGTGTCGCTGTCGCTGTGGTTGCTGGGGTGTGTTCGTCGGACGAGGGGCCGGGGATGGGAGCGTTGATGCCGTCGATGGGGAGGTAGTCGTTGCGTCTCGAGACGGCGGGGACGACGCCATTGCGGATGAAGAGGGTACCCAAGAGCATCGAGGAGGTACACCCTACGACGAGGACGGTCAGGAACGATGATGTCGGGTCGCTTGACGAGGAAGTGAGGAACGAGGCGTGGGAGAGGGTCGAGTCTGTGGCAAGGCATCGGACCGGATCTATGAGCTCTTGTCCGAGACCCAAGATCTCAGTACTCTCTGCCCTCGCACTGACAGAAAAAGGCACTGAGGCCGAAACAGGACACGACCGCGGCGATGGCGCTCCCTCTTCTTTGGGGGGAGAAAGCTTTGCTCGTCCCATTGACGGCACTCGACAAGCCGGCCGAGGAACCGAGCCCGGTCGCTAACTCGGCGAGAGCGAGTCCTGTGACGCCGGAGGAGGCGAATAGACCGCTGTGGCCACCCGCGTAGATGGCTTTGACGTACGAGTCTGTCGGGAGGTGGAGTTGATTAGATTCGGCTTCGGCTTCGGTTTCGGGCACGGGCTCGAGGTGGGACCCACATCCGACGAGCAAACAGATAGCGGCAAGAAAGAGTGGCAATCTCGGTCCTTTTCGATCGACGATGATGCCGAGAAAAGGTCCACTGAGATAGACCCCTTTATGATGGAGCGGGATCGGCGTTAGGTGGTATCCGGCGCGGCACAGAGAACGCCACGGGATCACGCAGAGCGTGTTCACTAACCTGCATTGCCACTTGCTCCGACGATGTTGAGCTGCTTCGAGTTGAGATGCAACCTCGATGCGAGTTGAGGCGCGTAGAGCGAGTAGATGTAGTTCGTGCCCGAGGAGAGGGACACGATCATCGCGCTGAGGAGCAGCAATCGTTGAGCCGAGAGGATCGCCATCGTGGTGCAGCAGGGTTGGAGATGGGAGCGACGTTTCAAGTATCGTTATCGTCCAAGGCGTGTTGCAGCCCGTGGGTCGTCACCGGCCTGTCCCCGGATCCAAGGACGTGCCTCGACGTGACCGAGCCTCCTGTAAAGACTCGCTGTGACGTGGAGCCGAAGCCGAAGCCGAAGCCGAAGCCAAGGGATGACGAGGGCTGAGTCTCCCTCGAACCTGCCCGGTGAGAGGGGTGGAGACTTGAAGATGACGGGGATGCTACGACGAACGAGATCAAAGTACACGACTCCTCACTTCTCGAGCGCCGGGGCCGCCACGTGCTCCAACTGAACGCCGGCGCTCCCTGGCGCTCGACTCGACTTCTCCGCTCGGACCCTCTCGGACGACTCTCGGACGGCCTTGCGCCCGCCCCCTCCCTGATCCCTGCCCTTGGCGGCAATCAACCTTTCCCGTAAAACACCGCGTCGAGTGCTCTAGCTCGGGATGAGGGTCGGACAAGGAGGCAGGGTACCGCCTAGGGTACGGCCACGCCATCGGCACGACGTCGAGGCGTCGCACACGCCACGAGCACCACCCCGGAGCGAGCTCCTGAGCGGGCAGATCGCACGACGAGCAGCTCAGCAGGCCGGCCTCGACGGCCAGACGGACCGACTGCCTACAGCAGCTGAGCTCTACATCTCGCATCTACCTGGATTGCGTCAGTCTGCGCGCACGCCCGCCGCTGTAAGAAGCCACTCGTGTGGAGAGCTGACCCGGCCCGACGGTCTTCACCCGTCCAGCCTCGGACGACACGACGACCTTGTTCGGTGGCACCTTACCTGCCACCGCTGCAGCATCGGCAACCTCGACCGACCACTCGGACGCGCACCTCTACTTTCTCATGGCCCGACCGAGGCATATCCCCAATCGGCATCGCCTCATCATCTGGCTCAACGGTGGGCCAGGCTGTAGTTCACTCGATGGGGCGTGAGTCCCGCGCGCGAGAATTCTGAGAAGCGACGAGTCCTCAATCATTGGCGTGTTCCGCTGCAGCTTCGTCGAAAACGGACCTTTCCGAGTCAACAAGGACGGAAAGACGTTGAGAGGGGTCGTGTCGAGTTGGAACGAATACGCGACCGTCATCTTTCGTCAGTTTGCCTCGTTCATCTCACAAGCGGGGAACTTGCTCGCTCCACCCAAATCATCCCACCAGGCGGCTGACACTTTTCACATCCTCGCAGTCGACCAACCAGCCGGCACCGGTTTCTCGTACGCCACCTCGGACTTTGTCACCGAACTCGACACCGCCGCGGACCAAGTCGTCGAATTCCTCATCAACCTCTACTCGATCTTCCCCGAACTGTCGACCATGGACACCTACCTCGCCGGCGAATCCTACGCGGGTCAATACATTCCTTATATCGCTTCGGCGATCCTCGAAACGGCGAGGATCAAGATACCGCTCAAGGGACTCGTCATGGGTAATGGGTGGTACTCACCCAAGGATCAATATCCCGCTTATCTCGATTATCTGGTCCAACGCAAATTGGTGACGAAAGGGAGTGCGACGTACAAGACTATTCAAAAGACGACGGAGGAATGTTTGAAAACTTTGCACGAGATGGAGGTCAACGATCCGCAGATGAAGGGATCGACCGTCGTCGGCACATGCGAACAGATCTTGAATGCCGTAGCAGAGGGGACCAAGAAGGGGTGAGTACGAGCAGATTGACATGGGAGACTCTGCTGAGCTCTCATTTGCTTCCTCTGCAGTGACCTTTGTCTCAACCAGTCAGTCTCGCACTATCAACTCTTGAACCCTGGCAAACTGGCTAATGACATGCCCCCCACCAGGTACGACACGTCGTCCTACAACAGATGCGAAGAAGAATGGCCACCCGAGGCCACCCAACTGCAACGCTACTTACGAGTTGAGTTTGAACAAGACAAGATCTTCCCTTGATCAGGGCCACTCATCCCTTTCCTTCTTCAACCTAAACTAGCACCCTAACGTCGTCTCAGCTTTACGCGCGCAAAAGGGAGCACGATGGTCACAATGTTCTTCGGCCGTAGGGTCGAGGTTTTGGGCCTCAAAGTCGGTGCCTTCAGTCGCTTTGTTGCCCAAATTGTTGGATGAGGAGATCCCGTAAGTTCCGGCGAGCCTTGGGTTGGGGGCAGAAATTGCTTGTACTCACGAACTTGTTGGTGGCTCGGTCAGGATTCTGTTGTATTCCGGTGATCAGGATCTGATGTGTTGTGGCTTGGGTGTGGAGCGGATGATCGAAGGGCTCGAATGGGGAGGCCTTAAAGGATTCGTAGGTCGGAAAACCTGTCAAGAGGTAGACCATCACCGGCGACACAGTCCTGACAAGTGCCTTGTCCTCCAGAACGATACCCCTGCGCTCGAGTGGAGCGTCGATGGCCGTTTGGCGGGGAGCTGGAAATCGGCAAGAGGGTTGACGTTCGTAAATGTCTTGGACGCTTCGCATAGTCAGTACTCGGTTATCCAGTCGTCGGTGACTCGAATCAACGTTGCTCATCCCCTTCATTCTCGTCTCCTCAGTGGTTCCTCGCGACCAACCTCTAGCCGCTCACGACATGCTACGTGAGTGCGCCTTCGCACCCTTCACCCCTTCTTTCCAACCACCTGACCCCCATTTCCGTCTTTTTCAATCCCCCCAAACCAAAGTCCGTTTCATGCGCGTCGACACCCTCCACGCCGCCGGCGCCGCCGCCCGAGTCCCTTCCAGAATCAAAGGTAGTTCCGAAACGGGTGATACCGTTTTAGGCGTGACAACACCCGAAGGGGAAACCTTGACGGACGTCGTACCTTCGGATCCCGATTCACCTTTATTGGATCGACCGATGGGGGGAGGTGGGGCGGACGGGAAAGTTGTAGGAGGTTCAGCGGAGTTGGGAGGGGTGAAGGAGGAAGGGTCGACGACGATGGGGAAGGCGGGAATGGGTGATGGGATCGGTGGACTCGTCGCGGGAGCTGGAGTGACAGTACCGCTGTTGACGGAGAAACAACATGAAGCCCTTTATGGACCCCGCAGGACATTATTCCTCGTCGTTGTGCTCGTTGTAGGAGGGTTGGGCATGTGGGCATGGTTGAAGTGGAGGAGGAAGAGGAGGGTCGCGAGAAGGGCGGGAAAGGGCAAAGGGAGGGAAAGGGAAAGGGAGGGGGATTATGTGAGGTTGGGAGAGAGAAAGGGGAGCATTCGATTGGGAGAGGAGGAGGAACGGGTAGGCTTTGGCTTTGGGGGACCCAGTCGGGCCGGCGGTGGTGCAGGTACGGGCGCGGGGTTGGCGGTTGATACGAGACAGGTGTTTGATATTGGGGAGGATGATGACGAGGAAGAAGAGGGAGAGGATGAGGATGAGGATGAGGAAACGTTGGGTGATTTAGGAGCGAGTCCGGGGGGGAGGAGAAGAGGGAGCGACTGAGGTGGTAAGGGGGCAAGAGATTGATCCTCTTCTTCCATTTCTCCAAAGGTCTAGGCCGCATTTTTCATCATTCAAGTACCAGTGCCCGCATGGTAATTCTCGCTTGTTGTAATTGGACGCGCATCTCGTCTTGACAATTCCCAATGATGCCAGCTCAAACGGTACATACCCCCTGTGTGGGGGAGTCAAAACTGTCTCACTTCATTCATGCAACATTGTCCTTGCACCAGGACTCCAGCGAAAAAGCCACGACTTGCAAAGCCAACCCGACCCCGGACGATGTAACGATCAATCCAACCTCCGCCTCTTATCGTCCGGTCCTCTCGGGCTCTGACTCCTCATCCTCGGCCGATCATCCCTTGTCCTCCGATCGTCGTAACCCACCTTGTCGTCCCTCCTCCCATTACCTGTATCCTTCGACCTCGCATTATCATAAGAAGGTCGATCGTTGCGTGATGATGATGAAGAATGTCCAATTCCTTCTCGTCGTCGATTCGAGGTAGAGCCGCCGTATCCGTCTCGGTCCCTGTCCCGACGTTCATAATCCCGATTCCGGTCCCGATCCCGGTCATCATACCTCGGTATATCCCTCTCCCTCTCCCTCTCACGATCCTCGTACCCCTTCCTCGTTGACGACCCTTCCCCCCTCCTATCATCCCCGTCCCTCCTCGGCCTCGGGGCATATCGATCCTCCCCACGACCGCCATCCCGATCATCGTCCCTCCTCCCACTTTCTCCTCCTCGTTGGGATGACCGTCCTTGATCCCTCGAAGGGGCGGCATTGGCCCCTGACGGACCGGCGATGGTAGTAGTCGGGCAATCTTTTCTCATCTGCTCCAACACGGACGAGAAGGTTTGCGGGTCAGTGCGCCAAGTTCGGAACCCTCAGTCACCCGCTCAGACACCGCAAACTCACATGCGGTCCCCCACAATTGAAACAACCCGCGCCCGCGCCCGCGCCCACACCTCCGCCACGTCCCCATTTCGCCTCCTTGGACGTATCCTGATCCGCCAAATGCGTGTACTTGCTCTGGCTCATCTTGCCGAAGTTCTTGTTCTGCATCGCTTTGGGTAGACTCGACATGTCCTTGACGGTCGAGACGGTTGGGGCGGTGAAGTCGTGTTTGGTGAGGATCTCGGCGTCGGCGTAGAAAGCTCCCTTGTGATGGTATTTCTGGCCAAAGACTGGAGTCGGGGCGGGAAGATGGGGTGGGAGCGTGAGTTTGTGGAATTCGGTAGAGTTCGGGCTAGCTCGTCTTTAAGTGTAACTCACCTTGGGATCCTTTCTTCTTCTCGTCCCTTGTCTTCTTGGCATAGTCGAGATCCTCCTTGAGGCGCAACTGTTCGGGCATCGCTCGGCGAGCCTCGACTTGCTCCCTCTCCTTCTCCTTACTGAAGCATGGAATAAATTAACTCTGATCAGCTGACCTTTCTGCGGCCTGTTGCGCAAGCGGGAGGGAACGACGAGCAATTGGCGATATACTTACGCATACCTCGCCTCCTTGTCCCTCTTGATTCTCATCAACTCTCGTAACTTCCATGCCTCAAACTCGGCTTCCGGGTCCAAACCATCCGTATCATCAACGTCGGGGAAGACAGCTTGCACTTCCTCTGCAGGGCACGGGACAAAAATCCGCATAAGCTCTCGGCACTGTCCCCCTCAAGCCGAGTCCACCTCTCACGTCTTCATCCCACCTCGGGCCGCTAAACTTACTCTGCGCCAACTCCCTGACGATGGACTGCGCGACCAAGTCGTGCGACTGTTGTTTCCTCGCCTGCAACTCTTGTTCCCTCTGCGCCTCGACGAGCGAAGGGTCCAATGCGGCGTCGCGCGTGGCGAGCGTGTCGCGGTTCCGTCTGGGCAGCACGCACAGGTAATTAGTAATCAAAAAAGGAGTAGAGAAAGCCCCAGTTGGCGAGAGTCGGGCCAGACGCCAGGAAGGGAAGGCGAAAGCGGCATTACTGACTTTGAGACAAAGACGGGCTTGTAGATGGGTGCTCGCGCCTGTGGTTCCTCCTCTTCGGTTTCGGACTCGGTCTCGTATTCACTTGAAGATTCCTATAGGGGGATTACAAACAAGAATGAGTTCGTGGAGAAGTGGGGAGGCTTGTCGATCCCGTTGGACTTGGGGGACGAACGTGCTGCTTGGCTGGGGGCGCTCCGGATGTCGATGCCGTTGGGGGTTGTGCAGCACCGTGCTCATCTGGTGTACAAGTCATCCCAGGTTCAGTCGTGCTGTGAACATGCGATCGATGTGACATGGTGCAGCTCGCCCCATCGCGAAACTGACCCTCGTCGTCGTCCTCGCTGCTCCCACTCTCCTGCTCCTGCTCCGGAATCCTCCGTGCGACCTTGACCTTGCCTCTCGCATCCACCTCGACCCCAGTGATGGCGACCTGGATCGCATTCCCACTCCCATGGCCACCCGCACTGGCCGAGTCGAGAGTCGGCATCAGCTTGAGCCCCTGCTTGCCCAACTGGTCCTGATCCCACGACTGCTTCCTGTTCTCGTCCGGTCGGGCGAGATCGTCGTCGTCGTCGTCCGAATCATCCTCGTCGTTGTGGTAGGCTGATGCGTTCGACGTCCCGGGTAAGGGTTGGCCTTTCCTGTAGCGTGCGACAGGACGAGCGACTGGGGTCATCTTGGACGACGGTGGTCGAGGAGCCATGGTGGGCGAGAACACAGGTGGGTACACCGTCCCAAGTGGGGTTGGGGGTGGGGACGAGTTTCTCTACTTCCGATGGTTCGGTCCAGGGACCTTGCCTGCTCTGTGTCTCTGCAGGGCGGGGCCTGCGCGGGAAAGAAGAGGCAGAGCTACAGTCACTGACGTCGTCGTCCCCCGCGACCGATCGTCTTTCGCCCTCTTTCGCCGTCCGAATAATTGATTTTCGCAAGCGTCGTTCCGAACCATCTTCGTCCGGGCAGCATCCCGTCCGTCGGCCGTCCCGTTTGCCCAACTTTCTAAGTGCTACATCTACATCCGATTTGCCACCCCCTTAAAGTCTAAATTTACGTCCCGCCAGGGGTCAAGGGACAATTGTCGGCGCGACCTTGAACCCTCATTACCATTCTTTAGTTGTGTTTGACGACGAGCTCGGAACGAGAAGGCCCCCTTATAGCCACCCTCTCCGCAGATCAGAGTACCATCTTGGGATGTGAGAGATGTTGTGTTTGGGTCCACCGACAGCACTGTTCGAACTCGGTCCCAAGCATTAGAGCGCAGGATTGCAAATCATTTCTCGTAGCCCGCACGCCGGGGCACCACCCCCACCTCTTGCATTGCACCTTACCATACACCGAGTCGGGTACCATTGCGGAAACCCCGACGACTGAGAATGGTCACTCGGTCCCCTCTTTCCATCATACGGCTCCTCACAGGCCTCACCCCCCACCCAGCCCTAGGCTCGGCAACACACTGATCCGTTCCGGCTGTTGTCCTGGCCGCAAGCTCGCCGATCGAGTTCGACCTCCCAACTTGAACCAACATAGAAGGTGTTTTTATTGTTGGGGGGCCTCCGGATCCACGGCCACGGACAAGACCAATGGAAGGATCTGGCCTAATTGATCAATTGGGCACTCGTGAGCCGAATGTCGCGAGCTGGGTCACTGCAGCGAAACTTCGGTTCGAAATGGAGCCAGCTTCAAGTTCAAGTCAGGGGCGAGAGGAGGCACGCGGCCTCATCGCAGGTCATCTCCTCGTCCAAGGGAAAGGAAATGAAGCTGCGTGCCTTCAAAGCAACTCCAGTTCGCTCTGTCACCCTCGACTTGGGGCCAGTGCTCGATACGGGGTTCGCCACGGCGCCGCAAAGAGACGCGCACGGCAAGGTTGGGAGTCCGGAGGGTCTCGCCCAGCTGGTACGCTTGCACAAGTTTCAACACTTCAATTACTTGATCAGGTTCACTGGCGAGGACACGAAGGAGAAATGGATCGAGTGAGCGGCGATACAGGTTCTCGAAGGTAAAATTTACTTTGAATCTGCGCTCGCCAGGGTCGCCAAGCAGAAGCGCGCAGACAGGGGCCAGCACGAGTTTCATCACATCTTGAGCGGTCAGTTGGCCGCCGCTCCCTGTGGTCCTCAGTGCTCACACTTTGCTTCTGACATTTTATTCTTGATCTTTTTCCGCCTCTTTCTTCACTCCATGCTATTGATCCCACAGCGTTCGCCCCAGAAGGAAGCACGACGAGCGATCGAGGATCCCTGGATACTCGACAATGACGCGGTCAACCGAGCGTGAAGCGAGTGGTCGGCCAAGCGGCTCGCTCGGCGTCGCCTTCCGCCAGACTTTTACAACAGCCAGCGTCAAATAAGGCGCCGCCAAAAGAAGGGAGCCTTGTTCGACCGCATCCGCGAGTTGAAGAGAGCGAGGCCGCGTTCTATACCAACGACGGCAATTGTGAGGAGCGAGAGACAGACTTGATCATGGCCAAATGCCGAAATCAGGCACCGAACCACGCGCAATGTCGGGTGGGAACCTGGTTGACGTCCTCGGGCCAATGGCATTGGCAGTCATCACGGAAAGTGGGGCGGCAGTGGCGGAGGCCGCTCGATAAGGCGACCGAAAGCTCCTGTTGGGCAGGGCTTCGCGTTCTCCGCACGTACTGAGTTTTCGTGCCACATCGTGCATGAACAGTTCCCCATTTTCGCGTGCATGCTAAAACCCACGTGCCAGAAATAGGGAAGGAGAAGGATCTCAGACATGGATTTACGCCATTTTTAAGCCGCCCCCTTGCGTGTCTTTTGGATGGTTTTCTATTAGACAATCTGCCTCAACGATCGCAACATCTCCTCTCGATAGCTCAGTTGGTAGCAGCGCGGGACTGTAATTGGTTTATGCAAGCTTGTCTTGCACATTGTGATCCCGAGGTCACCGGTTCGACCCCGGTTCGGGAGATTCTTTTTGCTTCTTTTTTTCCCTGTGCGAACGGGCGCGCATCGGGTTTCTTCTCGTGGCAACAGGGTCGATTGATACTCGCGTGATGTGGCTTCCTGATTCAACGAGTAGTATTGTACACTTTTTAACGGTCAGTTGGATTTCGCTTTGTACTCCACTCGAAGGTCCTATCTGACGGCGGTAGTCATGACTAGCGAGCGATCCTCGTTCTCTCTCCTACAGTCCTTGTTGCTAAACGTAAGAGATTCCACTTCGACTCGGAAGAAAAAGTGCCTCGGGACTGCATGGTCCCAATCTTTGTTCTCATCGCAAGTCAAAGTTCTCATATTCCCCCTGTTTCCGACTCGCCGCTCACCCATGCCCTTCGTTCTTGACCTCCCATCTTCATCTTGTAGGTCTACCGTCGTGTTCTATCTTCCCCTGGGCTCCCACATCTCGTAAGATCAAGGCGACCCATGCGACTCGGAAACATCGATCGACTCGGACAGATATCGTTGCAGGCCCAAGACGATAGACTTGTTCTATCACCACGGCGGAGACCATCTCTTCGAGTGGGCTGTCGAGGCTGATCGTCGGGTCGTCAAGAAAAATGGGTTCGTGGACCTCGACCGAGATCGTCTCTTGTGCGCCGGGCAGATTTTTTGCTGGGCAAGCTCACCCAGGAAGAGCATATTTTGCTTGTCCTCGTCGCAAAGTGACAGGTCAAGGTTCGGGGTAAGGGGATGCCTTACAGAAACAGCCCCATAAGTAGCCTCTGAGTAGCTAGAACTATCGGTTTCTAGTTACGACTTGCTTTTAGCCTAGCGGTCAAAAACGACAGATTGTATTTTATGCACATCAGAGGCGCATGCATACCTTACACTCTGCAAACGGCTGCGGCAGGCCGAGCGATCGGCGCAGGCGGGTCGTGCTCGTTGGTGAAACTATCGAGCTCTAGATCGTGCAAGCCGGGCAGATCGACGTGACGATTAGATCGAAAGTAGGTCCAGATAATCCACACGGTAGCCAAGTTCGATTTTTTCATATGCTGGGCAAGGCGAGCCGCGATGCAAATGGGCCAACCCTCACGACAGAATCGGCGGCGCCGACCGCAAGCGACTGATCTCGAAAAGCGCGAAACTTTTGAGATCTGAGACGGATACAGAACCAGAAGACTCCATCAGCTCAAGGCCTAGATGGATAGAGGCTGGACAGTTGCTGAGGATACATATCTTGGAAAAATTTGACCTGCGCTCTGTCGAAGCGGAATACCGTCGACGCCTCCAATTGCCTCAGTATTTGGGGCGCCGGACGACGTCGTTCATGGGCTCCGGTTCGTCTTCACCATCAAGTTGTAACGACGTGATCGTATGCAGCGACAGCCCCGACGAAGCGAGCAAAGCACGGGCGCACCCCGGGTTAGCCGGACAACCAAGCACGATGTCAACGAACACCAGGCTGTCGGCGATGAAAGGTGGGAGCTCAAGCTCTGCACGCTAGCGATGCGTTGCAGAGGTCGGAGCTCGACTTGAAAATAGACTCCTATCGGCAATCGCAGACCTCGTCGCGTCGTACTTGCACATGATCAGCGATGATGTCTATGATCTCGGCTGGGTCCGTCTGCGCTATTGAAACGTTGGCCAGCAGTCGGCGACGTGAACGTTCACGTCAGCTTCAATGTGGTCGTGGCAGATCGAATCACCGTAAGCGGTCTGTTTTCTTTGGGGCAGCGGGTTGATCGAGAAAGACTGCCCGGTGATTGACAAGAATAGGTGGAGGCAAGAGTCGAAGAGACATCGCCGCGCTTGCTGATCTGCTTCAACCGACTGACTGTCCTGTCCGTCTGCAGTGTGTCCGTCGTGCAAACTTTTCCCTCGGCATTTCCCCCCGGTCCATTTTAGGTGTGTTCTAAGTGGTGTTACATTCCATCTGCAGGTAAAGAGACCGACCTCGAGAGCTAGCTGTAAAAAGCTTCGAAGCACTTCAGAGCGGAGTTTGCGCTTCAATGTCCCACCGGTACCTCGATCACGGCCTTCTTCTCTTTCCCCTCCTCCAGCACGAGCGACCCTCCTCCTTCGACTAGCAGCAAGATCGCTCCAGGACTTCCTTCCCCCTCAAAAAAATATGTCCATCCAACCCCGACCCCCGATCCCACCCATCACCGCCACCCCCTCCACCCAACTCGTCGAATCCTTTCTCAACCAATCCCTCACCGTCCTCATCGCGTCCGATGCGCGTCTACTGATCGGTTACTTCACCTGCCTCGACCAACAAGGTAATCTCGTACTCGACAACACGTACGAATACCCTGCTGCGAAGGACGAACAAGAAGAGGAAGGGGTCTTGCCTTTGAATCGATTGGCGAGTCAAGAAGGACGGTCCGTCGGTATGGTGTTGGTGCCTAGGAAGGAATGGAAGGGGGTGTGGTTGTATACGGGCGAACAGACCGCAGAGAAAGAGCAGGAAAACACTACCCTCTCGAACGACGCCTACATCTGAACGAGCGATCATCCTTCGCGAGCCAACAAAACACTCTCGCACGAACGATCACGTCGCATCACCGCGCCTCGAGGTGTTCGCTCAAAAGAAAGTGGGGGTCGTCGGACCGGCCAAGCCAGCCACGTCTACGAGTCAGTTGTGATCGATTTCAAACTCCGTCATTCAAGGTCAGGGTACCAATGCCACTTTCTAGTTTGAGTGTCCGTCACAGTACCTCCATCCTTCACTGGCCAACACGACTTCCGGACCAGACTTGCCGGCTCAAATCAAAGGATTAGCAACCTCCGCATAGCAAAGCAGTTTCCCCCTGTTGTACATCGCTCTCTCGCTCTCTTCCACTCGCAATGCAAAACTTGGAATGTTTTTGTATCTCTGGGTGTTTGGAATTGCAAGGGTTGGGGGGTGAGGAGGGAGTAGTAGAGGAGGAAATTCTTTGTTCTCCCCTCCTTGGTAGAGAACAAAAAACCGACAAACGGAATCGTGAAGAGGAAGAACCAAAAAAGAGACAACACACCGGGGGAGCCCTAAATCAAAGAGAAACAGTGAAGGGGGGAAAGGTAGAACGACGACATTTGGAAAGAAGCGAGAAGAACGGGAGCAGGCAGTAGAGGGAAGAAATACCTCTACCACTTCCTTTTGGGGTCCACTTTTAGATTCACTCGAAACGAATCGAGCGTTTTGGAAAGTTTGTAGTGGATGGGCCTTGCGGGGATCGGGTCGATTGCGTACTTCCCCACTTGCACCTCCTCCGTTAAAATCCCTCGCGTCATCGCGCATCCCTTCCCATCCTTCCTCGTTCCTCAGATGTTTAGGCGGCGTGCTTGGCCTTTCCAGCGCGGAGCCTGAGCGAAATAATGGGAAACCACCGAGATCAGCCTTCCGCCCGAGCAGACACCCGCCGGACACCAGTCTCTCCAAAGCTCACCTTCGGAGGTAAAACTCCAGCTCCTTGCCCTCGAGAATGTACCCATCGGCGCGACCGGATTGACCGGGGCGCGAGGAGATGGAAGCGTACAGACGACCGGCCTGGAACTGCGATTCGAGCAGAGGGTCGATCTTGGCCTGCTTTTGTCGTTCGGCCAGGTCACGCTTGACGTGGGCCGACTGGGTCTTGGCCTCGCCTTCAACGACGGCGGCACCGGAAGCATCCTTCTTGAGCCCCTTCTTGGTGACGGGCTGGGCATAGTGCGCCTCGTACCATTGACGGAAGGGGGCGGCGTCGATCTGGACGATGGCGGATTTGACGATCGTGTTGGTGCGCACGAGCTCGTTGTTGGACGCGTTGTAGACGACACCGATGATGCGCGTCTTGCGCGTGGCGTGCTCGGATGCCCAGGCAAAGTTGCCCGACTCGAGACGGAGCGCACGGTGCTTGGTGTTGCCGCCACGGGTGCGCACGGTGTGGATGCGCTTGGCGCCCAACTTGGTCATGGCCGGTTGGCGGCCCAACTCGAACTTTCTCTTCTTGCGGTATTGCGCACGTTGAGCACCCTGAATAATTGCAAGTTATGTGGTCAGGTCAGCGATGGGTGTGGGGTTTGGTAGCCGCCGCAGCGAACAGCCGAGCGAGCTCGCGCGACCCGCAGTGGCCCAAGCCGGCGCGCTGGGCCCACGCCAGCAGGGCCGGTTTGCGTCGTTCGCAGGCCCCGCTGGCCCCGCTGGCCCAATCTCGACCACGGCTTCCTCCTCGCCTACGAACGTCCGCAATGTACGACAAGAATGCCAACTTACGGTGTGCGAGCGCTTGTGGCGCGAGTCCCGTGTACTGTAATGCCCAAGTCGAGAGGGGAGGGAAGTGTCAGCATCGATTCGCTCCGGCTGCTGCTCGTCGTCGTCGTCGTCGTTCGCTCGACCCGCGACTGCTCGTTGCTCGGAAAGTAACTAACATTCCCATCTGCGAGGTGGTGACGAGAGAGATGGAGTTGGATCAGTTTCGGAACGGCACCAAGGACCACTAGACCCGCGGTGAGGTTGATGCATGGGGACTGACTATTGCTTGACGTGTGGAAAGAGGCGAGAGAAAAGAGCCCTGCCCAGTTGGCACGCCTACCGCTCACGCCGACCGCTGAATTCCAAAAGGCACGCAGACGGCGCCAGCGCAGTTTCCCAGCGCCGCGCGCGCCCGGGACGGCAAGCCCATCGCAGGCTTGCACCCGTGCCAAGTTCCAACGCCCGCGCCTCAGCTCACGCGCGCCTTTCAAGTTTTTTGGGGCCCACAGCCAGCCGAGACGCCTCCCCTCGCTCCGCCTGCCAGCCTGCTGGCTGCCTGGGCTCACGCGCGCGTCGCTGGCTGCAGACGAATTCGGCGCCTGGTCGCCCACGGCGGCCCGTCTTTTGCGGGCTGCGCTTGCCCTCTTTCGTCTTTGCATCCCACACGTAACATCATGGCACACGCAGCTGTTTGGTTCTCGCACCCGCGAAAGTACGGCAAGGGCTCGCGCGGCTGGTAAGTCTTCGTACCGCTCCGTCCTGTGGTCCTGAAGCGATCCATCTTCGACGACGACGACCCATCGACGCCCATGGCGCCCTACGCCCGTCCCCGCGGCCGGATCGCCTATACGCCCCGTCACACCGCGCACTACCACACCACGCTTATAATCAGAACACGACACGATCCCTCTACGGACGATTCGCTGCACAGCTTTATACCGCCGGACGAGATATGACATGTGGGAGCAGGGGCACTCAGGGGTCGCTGACGGGTGCGACCTGCGCTGGGTTCGCGCTGGCGTGCGACGATGGGCCCGTTGGCTGTCCTAGTCCTGGCTGAGCTGAGCTGGAGCCGAGTGATGGGCTCAGGACGCACCCGCCGACGGCCATTGCACAACCCTGACCATGCACCGACATCGCAATCCGGCCAGACCTCACGATATTCACGATCATCACACTCGACACCGGCACAGCAAAGTTACCGTGTTGCATGAGCCCCAAAGTGCTGACCTCCCCATAACCCCCCCTCCTTTTCTGAAATAGCCGCGTCTGCACCCACCCCGCTGGTCTCATCCGCAAGTACGGCATCAACATCTGCCGTCAAGTGAGTAGCCCATTCAAAAACAAACGGATTAGGATCATTCTTCTGACTTCCGACGCCTTGACTCGACAGTGCTTCCGAGAACGCTCCGACCAAATCGGCTTCGTCAAGGTGAGCTCCAAAGATTCTCCTCGTCCCTCACATAATCCAAGACTAACTCCCATCTCGTTTACCCTCCACTAGAACCGTTAAACCACCCCCTCTCTCGCATACGCAGTAGAAACAAAAATATGTGGATCACACCCTAACTAGGCCACGCAACACACAAAAGAATCCCCAAAAACCCTACACACTAAAACGACTGCCAGACTTTCTCTGCTCGTTCTCAACTTATTTCTTCATTCTCACCCCTTTGTTCATCTTCTTCCACTCCTCGCCTTTCTTTGGACACCAAAACAAATCGCCTCTGTTTTTACCGCGTGAATGGACCTCCGGCCCGAACCATCGTCGGACACTTTCTCGGGAGACGTCAAGTCCGGTCAAGGTCGTTGGATGGCGTGGTAGGATCGTGAGGAATTCGTTTTCCGGGAACTTGTCGAGTGGAATTGGGGACGTTGAAGAGAAGAAAAGGGAGATATGGTCTTGCATTGTTCGTTTGGGCGGGTATTTTTTTCCTGGTGGGGAGGATTTTTGGTTATTATTTTGTGTCTGCAAAAGCTTGTGTGGGGGAACTCTACATCAAATGTGTTTTATTCCTTTTTCGTTGTCGTCTTGAGTTGGGAAGAGAGAGAGAGAGAGTGAGAGTGTGAGAGCGGTGAAGTCTGTCCCAAACTTTCGAAGCGGAAGAAAGAGAAAAGCACTCGACTGGTTTGGATTGGTGCGAGATCTGTCTCTAGTATATGTCAAATTGTCATAATGCGAGAAGAAAAAAGAAAAGGGAAAGAAAGTAAAGAGATTGAGAGAAATGACAAAAGCGAGAAAGTAAGAGAGGTTCGGAGCAATCGGAAGAGAAAAAGGGAACTACTCTAGAGAAAGCGCATGGCACATGATGCACAGATGAACGAGGTCAAAACGAAAGTGAGTGATCGGAGATGAAATTTGTGCAAATGCCCAAGGTCGTAAAAAGCGATGACAGAAACGAGATGGGCCGTTAAGAGTGAGAAGAAAGCGTCAAGCTTTCATGTAAGAGGGCGTCAAGTAAGTGCGAGAAAGGCTTTGCGTGCAGAGGAAGAACGCTCGACGGAAGGTGGACATGTATAGGGATGCGAAGGCGAAGCGAACAGTTTTGAAACGGCTAAAACGGGTGGGGGATCGAAGAATGCGACGAACGAGGGTGAAGAGACGTCGGGTCTCCGGGACCGTGAGTGAGGCTTTCGGTCCTTCGGAAAAGGCGTAGAGAGAGGTCGGGTCATATCGTTTGAACCCGTTCTTTTGTGTGATATGGGAGAGCTCAAACGACTGGTGCGAACGGAATTGAAAAGCGGTGAGTGCAAGTTCGAAGGAGGTTCAAGTGCGAGCGTCCGAGCTTACAGAAATGGGTATAGGGCCTCGAACTAGGGTGCACGTCCATCTCCTCCATCTTGTACGAGTTGAGCTCCTCCTTGATCTGCTGCGCCAGCGTCGGCGTCAAACGGTTGCACGTCGCCGGCTCGGCACGGCGGTCGTAGATGGATGCGGGCCAGGTCGTATGGACGGACAGGTTGGGCGCAAAGACGATGCGACGCGCAGGCGAGACAGGGGAACGCAGAGGAGAGGCCGTGTGGCCCAGGCGATCGAGGACAGGGGCCGACGCGTTCGCCAAGGGGTTCGAATATGGGCTCGTAGGACCGCTCATGCCACGGGGCGAAGCGGGACGAGGCGAGTTAGATTCCGAGTTTGCTGGCGGATGAACGAGACCGTCGAATCGGTTCTCGAACGCCGTCATAGTCGTGATGCGCGCCGTTTTGCCGCCGTTGTGGAGCTCGTGGGACTTGTGCGACGCGTCGTACGAGCTCGCACGAACGCGAGGGAACTGCGGCTTGGCGAGATCAAACTCGTCTTGACGGTACGAATTCGCACCCTTGAGGATCCCACGGGGTACGATGGGACGCAAAGGCTCGCGGCGCAGGCTGTGGTTGAGACTAGGCTCGTATTCGGGCTCGCTGTCGTGACCACCGACGCTGCGGCCGAACAAGGGCTGGTGGGAGAGGATCTCGACGCCATCCGTGGTCGCGCTCGACTGGGTGCGGCCGTCGTGGTAAAAGTCCGCGACGCCGGTCGTGGGCGGCGTCCTGGGCGTCGGGGTCGATCTCCCCGACGACTCCGTCGTGGTGGGATGCGGCGACGTCGCCGAGACTGAGTTGGAACCAAAGCCGAGACTCCACTTGCGACGAGGCTTGATCCGCTCCTTGCCACCTTCAGCCACCGAGCTTTCGGAAGGATCGGGCGTCTTGGAGCGACCCCACCCAGCGCCAGCCAACGACGAGACGCTGGCATTGCGTTCGTGGGCAGCAGCGACAGCCTGCGCGCGGAGACGATCCGCCTCGGCAGCGGCGGCGGCGGCGGCGGCGGCCTCCTGCTCGGCATAGTGTTGCTGTTGTCGACGAGCGAGAGCGGCCGCCGGCGAGATTCCTCCCGTGACACCCGAGGACGATCTGCCGCGACCCTCGTGTTCGGCCGTGGCGTGCGAGACGCTCGTCGTTGCCGAGCCCGTTCCGGACCCAGTGCTGCGTTTGAGGTCCTTCTTGCTCGGGGAGGTGGCCGTGGCATCATCGGTGAAAGCCGACGCTACCGACGAGGAGCCTTCCTTGTTCTTCCCACTGCTCTTGAACGCCTTGGTCAGGCTCATCATGCTGCTACGCCGCGCCGACGTGCCCAGTTGGCCAATCTTGCGAATCATGACCGAAGCGCTCGAGACGGTCGACGAGATCGAGAGGTTGTCCGTCGACGAATTAAACTTGCCGCTAAAAATTCCCCTCTTGCTCGTCGGCGGCTTGGACGTCGCGGTCGAGTAACCCGTCATGACCGAGGCCGAGCTCGAGGCGAGGGTCGGGGTACGACGACCCGAGGCGGCCATACCCGACAGGGGCAGATCGTCCGAACTGTGACTGGCGCGCGGTATGGCGATGACTTTTGGTCCCCGGCCGTCTAATTCAGCCTCGGTGAGGCCCAAGCTCGAGCTCGAAGGGGAGCTCGATACGCCGAACGCCTTCTTGAACTTCTGGCCCATCCCCTTCTTGACCTTGACGGGCGCACGCGTAGCAGCGGTCGTATCGTCCGATTCCTCCCCGTCGTCGCCGCGCAGGGGAGCAAAAGTGGTCGCGCAGCGGAACTGCTCGTCGGACGATTTGCGTCCCAGCGGGCTCGGCTTCTTGCCCCCGCCCGAAGCGTTGAGCGCTTGCACGGGCGTCGCCGAGCGAGCCGTGTCAAACGATTCCCGTGCGTGATGCGTCGGCGTCGTTCCGCCCGAGCCGTTGCTGTGGGGTCCTTTCGAGGACGACGTCGACTTGGTGGACGCCTGCGAGTCGGTTCGGGGCCGAAGCGAGGCGCCCATGTCATGGGTCGCGGCAGCACCTGGTCGGGGGATCGAAGATACGGACGTGCTCGATCTATTCGGCAACGACTGGAACGCGGGGGGGACGACGATGCTCGTCGAGCTGTTCTTGGCCGACGAGTTGGCGGTGTAGATCGAAGACGCCGAAGTCGTCGCACCATGCGTGGTCGGGTGCGAAGATGATGAGAACGAGCCGGACGAGGCGGAAGAGTGGCCCGGTGTACGAGGGTGCGACGGTGAGCGACGGTACGGGTGGTGCGAGTCGCGGCCACTTCCACCGCCTCCGCTGCTGCTGCCGGAGGTCCCCTCGGTGCTTCCTGGCGGAGTCGGGTAAGCCCCGGGTCCCGTGGGGTGGGCCCCGGGTTGGAAAGTGGGCATCACTCCAGCCAAGTCATACGGCAGGAATTGGCTCAAGGACGACGAGGGTGACGATGTGTAGATCTGAGAGCTGTTGAAGGGTTTGTTCGAGGAAGAGGGTCCCGACTGTGTGCGTTGCCGAGAAGATGCTGTGGAGTGGGAGATTGGAATTGGGGGAAGGCGCAGCGTCAGTTATGGTTCAAAATGCTAAATGGAAAAAATAACGCGGTGCGGCCCGTGTCGGTGGTCTACGCTGCACGACATGCGTCGATCCTTTCGCAAGCGCAACGTCCTCGGGCCAGCTCGGATCCGAACAGGTTTCCGAGCCGAGACATCCAGCGTACCAGGGCGAACACGGATCACAGGTCATACTGCATGGTGCTACATATGTACCACTTCATGACAGCATTCCCGAAACTCCGTGCCATCCCCAATATGGCCCGGGCTCGCAAGATTATGAATCTGGCTAGGCACCAAATTAGGGTTGCGCGTGAATGGGACACCACTGCGCCCAAGGTCGATCTGCCGATTTGGGGGGGCGACGCGATACACAGCGTCTGTGAAACCACCAATGGGCCCTGTTCTGGAGGTTGAAGAAGCGATTGCGAGACAGGGTGATGAGATGAAAAAACACACCTAGTAGCTGCTGCTGCTGCTTCTGTTGGTAGTGATCCCGGAGGGGCTGCTGCTGCTGCTGCTGCTGTTGGTGATGTTGATGCTGCTGTTGCTGTTGTTGCAACGTCGCGTTCCTGATCATCTCCATTTGCCATTGGTGCTGTTGCAAGTGGGCGTGGTGCATCAACATCTGCTGGTGGTGCTGCTGCTGCGCGGCCGACACGGCGGGATCGTGGGGCCCGGCGAACCCGGACGACTGCGGGTGCGGGTGCGGGTGCGGCGAAGGGATGAAGGGGTATTGCGGATGCGGGAACGCGTGCACGGCGTGCGGGTGCGGTCCCGAAGAGAAGGCCGGGAAGTGGTGACCACCCACCCCTGATCCTGTTGCTGAGACTGAACCTGGGTTGGGGCCGAGCGGGGCCATCGACGACGACGACGAGGAGGATGAAATCGAGCCCGACGGGCGGTTCGCAGCGATCGTCTGGGCGACGCCGGAGTGAGCCGGGGCCGCGTGTTGCGCCTGGCGATGCGACGAGCCAGCCGGTGACGGTGTGTACGGGCTGGTCGAACCGGATGCGATGTGGCCCGATGACCGCCTCTGTGACAACGTCGGGGTCGAGGACGCGTTGGCTGCCGAGTTGAACAAGGGGGGTTGAGGTCGCGAGCTCGTGCTGGGGCCGGACATCGCGCTCGGTTGCGGCGACGGCGACGGCGACGTGGGCTTGGAGCTTGACACACTGCTTCTGCTCGAGGTCGGGTTGAGATCGACGAACGCCGGCGGTGTCCACTGGATCGTCGGTGGTCGGGCAGAGTAGGCCATGTTGGACGGGTACGATCGAGGCGACGCGGCGCCGGCTGGTGACGAGCTGGTCGAGGTCTCTGCGGCGGTCGCGCGAGGGCTACTACTGCTGACGCGGGCTACTGCTGCTGCTGATCCAGGCGACGAGGCACGGTGGTGGGGATAACCGAACGAGGGCGAGCTGATGATGGAATGAGGTGGCAACGTCGAGACCAGAGCCATTCCCTCCACGCCTCTTGGTGTGTGAGGGTCTCGGCGTAGGATCGTCCGCTGCGGCGAGCTGTGGGTCAGTCGCACCACGCTAGGTCCCGCCTGCGTCAAAGAGACGTATAGCAGCAGATCGAGCAGATCGAGCACTCGTCCAGAGGTCGAGATCGAGAGGGCGGCTGGGAAAGTAGGCAGGTAGGAGTAGAACCAATAGGTTAGGATCAAGTGCAAGATGGGATCCACGAGGCCATCGACCACCACAACCGTTTCCCCCATCGGATCGTCATCAACCCGCCCGCGATTCGTCTTCGCGCGTGCCTCGAGCCCGTACCAACTCACCTCTTCAATCGATTCGGACTCGAAACCACGCAGGAATCACACGAACGCACGGCCAAAGGTTGGGAACGGGGAAACGAGTGGTGTGAGGTGGGCGGAGGGGCGACCAACACTTTTTGGATCGACGACGACGGGAAGCTTCCCGACGTTTCCGACGATGGGTTCGGGCGGTGGCAGAGGGTGTACAACCAGCGTACGCGGCGGGCGGTTCCTCGCCTGAGCGCCTCGGCTCAGCTCGGCTCTCCTGAGTCTCCTCGGCTCTTCAGCCAGGCATCGCCCTGTCGTTTCACGCCAACCTCCGAGCACGCGCCTCGCGCCTCCGGGCTCTTCGGCCTTTTGAGCGTTGAGCGCGCGCGCGCCCCTTCTTCCACCGCCCTAACGTATCCCCCACACCTGAGCCAACGTCGTCATGCCCGCCAGCCATGCACTCGGTGAGCGGCGCACAGCTAAACTGGTCACGGACGGACGGTCAAGTCTTGGAAAAACTTCTCATCTGCCTAGCAAAAAAAAAAGAAAAAAAAAGCTTCCGTCTTGAAATGGCACTATTTTAGTCCAAAAGCTTCCCCGTTTGAAATCAGAAAGGCAGGATTTTCACGGCCCGGCTCGAGCGGCACGACGGCAACTCCGGAAGAATCGACACGACTCGAGGTCTCTTCATCAACTGCGGATGACGGACGCCGTTCTCATCCCAGAAACCGAAACAAAACATTTTCAGAAAGGCGAGAGACGGGTCACACGAAAAAGAAGCTAGTCGCTGACGCGCGAACTCAGAGTACCATTGCGGTGTCACAGCCTTGCAACAGAAGGAGCTCTTTGCGCTGAAGATTTCCCAAACAGGCACCCCACGGGTATGCTTCGGCGTCTTCTCTTTGGGGCGTTCGGTGAGGATTGCTTGGTTGCTCTGTCATGGTATTAGACTTTTTCGTGATTGTTTGTGGTGTTGCAGTGTTCGGTCGTAGCTCGTAGCTCGTAGCTCACTGTTCTCAGCGGTGTCGACGCTCTGTTGCTGAAGTCCGAGTTCGACGAACGACCAGCTGCAGCCGCGTTTCGCAGCTCGGCGGGAAGGGACGAGCCATTGACGAACCTTGTTTGGGTAATCAGCAGAAAACGCACCTCAGGCAGACTAAAAAGTAACCAGTCTTAGTAGCGCCGCCGCGCGGCCAGAAAAACCTATGCAAATAGGCGACCTGGGCCCGGTAGCAACACTGCTACCGACGGTAGCAACTCGGCGCGGGAACAAGCTCGCAATGGTTTAAAGTCATTACAATCGATCCGGAAATGATTTTCCGGCTTGACCCTATGACGTAATTCATTGGCGGGAGAAGCTTGTAGAGCTTATAGAAAAGCTTGTTGAAGTCCAAGTATCCATTAACGCCTCAGCACTGCTGAAGCCGTGGTATGTCTGGCCCAATGCAACACGTGATCTGACGCGGGTTGCGCGAGGTGGCGCGCGCAGGCGCGCGTCCGAACCTGACGGAATTGACGCGTGTTGTGCGTTGTTGATACGTTGACAGCTCTCGTCCTTAGGCCCGCTTTCGCCCGTACATTCAACACAAGACCCATTGGTCTCGCCGCGAATATCCTCGTCCTCGATCGCTGAACCGCATACACGTCACACGTCACACGTCACGTCCCTCGTTGATGTCCATTGATCTTGTGATCCTTTCACATCGCCAACTCATACCAAGTTTCCACGCTTCGGCGCTCGACAAGCCCCACGTGTATGTCCGGCGATCGTCGTCCGGGCTTTTACCAGAGAACGAGCTTCTGAGGGCCTGCTGACATCCACGTCTTGACTATAGATTCATCGCGTCGCCTCGGAACATTGCGGGCTCCTTCCCTCCTGGATAACCATTCACAAACAAGTCTCTGGGTGCGTGGTGGAAGTGCGGCTGCGCGGTCGTCGACGCGCTGTTTGACTGGTTTAATGCAGCACCGTGTCGTTCTGACCTTCCCCTGTTCGCCTTCCAGCCTCTGCCTGCACGATGTTCTCTTCCAATGCCATTTCGTCTAGCGAACAATATGATGCGTACCATCCAAGTCCTGCGCCGCCCAGCCGACCGCTTGACGCTCCCGCGTTCGCAAACATCGATTATCCAACCTATTCGCTCGAGTCGGGTAGCCACGCGTCCGCCTTCCCAGACGACCTCCCTGTCCTAGGCAGCACAGCTAGCACAGGGCACCCATCAAGTCGACCCTCCTGTCCCGCCGATTCCGCCGCCAATCGCCTGCTGCCTGACCCCCTTCAATTGCCAATGGAGGAAGCCAATACATCGTCGGGCGTCCTGCAGCCCTCGCCGAGTTTCTCATCAGTAGATGGAAGCACCCCGACAATGCATCCATCACCACTTTCCGCCGCGGATCAACAGTTCGCCCGCGTCGAAGTCCCTGTCGCCACCGTACCGATCCGAGTTTCGCTTTTGACGCCAGCGAAGAGGCCGATGGGCCCTAGCCTCCACGAACAGAGCAAGGCTATCCTATCCCTAAGCGCAACTGTCGCAAATCCGAACGACTTATGCACGAGCAATGGGCCCAGAAAAGACACGACGAAGAGCTCGAGTATTGTATCCGACACAATATTCGACTCGATTATTTGAGGAGCATTGTTGCGCCCGTGACTCGCCTTGGCTCTCCCACTTCCTGGAATGACTTTGTGCAGAGCAAGTACTTCGAATCGCTGGCAGTTCAAGATGGATTGGAAGGTAGGCACAGCTCTTGACTACCTGACTACCTCGTGCTAAATTCTAGCATAGCATTGCACTACGCTGTTGTTGAACTAACGGGCTGGGTTGGTCCGCTTTAGTGCCGACCAATTTGGTGGAGAGGGTTAAGCTCGCAAAGCCATATTGGAACGACATAAAGGATGACGCAGAGGCGATGACGAGGTTTGACGCGGCGCTTGCCTTGGAGCGTGAGGAAGCGACGCAAGCAACGCAAGCGACCGAAGGTTCATCCTCCATCAAGATCGCCAGAAACAAGCCGATGAGTCACGAAGCCATCAAGAAAGCGCGCCGATGCATGCAGGCCGCGTTGGAAACCATGGTGAGTCCAAGCTCAATTTGATACTGCTCACAGTAAAGTAACTGAAAGGATCATAACACCCTCAAAACCAACCCAGAGCACTTCATATGCGCAAAAATATGGACTCCAATTGTTTGCTGTGGTCTCTTCTGATCTTCCTGAACTCAATAAGGAGCGTTTCATGGTCGCGAGCCCCGGTGGTTTGGCCTTTGCCTATCGACAAGACTGGGGCGATAGTTTGGGTTCAAGACAGCTGCTCTCCGACTTCGCGGATTGCGTTACCGGTAGAGCGTTCTTGGAGGACAAAAAGGCCGAATTGGAAGCAGCTGGTCAGTAGGTGCACGCGCCGACAGACTATTGTCACTTGCTGATTGACGTCCGTTACGCTGTCACGCAGTTTGGGAGGCGCCACTGAAGGAAGCGAATCTTGAAACAAAAGCCTCGTGGTACAGCACGATTGTGAAAAAACTTTTCAGTGTGGACTATGTTCTAACCGAGATTTCAGTTGCTGCTCACTTGTTGACTGCTAACGATGAGTCTTCTTCTCGGTGCAGATGATGCCGTGATGCGACGTACCAAGAACCAAGGGCACGAAAACAAGAGCAAACCGCCCAGGTTGGTGTACGACCCAACCGCGCTCATGCAACAGGCCAGTATCGTAGTTGAATGCGGCCCGAGCCTCAACTTGGAGACGGACTTCGCCAGCCCCATGGGCAAGCAAAAAATGTCGGGGGCCGACTTGGATCGTATCATTCCCCTGCTGCGTGCAGGAGAGTTGAGATTCAGGCTAACGGAAGAGGTACTAGCGGATGAAGAAGATGAAGATGGTGCAGCTATCCCTGCCAACGGCCAAGATGGCAGCGCGGTGAGCCGCCCCGATTCCGACGAGCACTCTTAGAGCTTAGGGCAGCAGCTCTCGACGCCGAGATGAGCCGGCGCGCTGGGACGGACATGAAGTGTAGGGCTGAATTGGAAGATACAACGAGTGGATGCCGCTGGACGAAGCAAGATGACTACTGGACTTAGTACACCAAGGATCGTGTCTGTAGTGCACCAAAGCCGCGAGCGTATGCTGCATGATGTTCGCCGTAATGATACCTCTGCTGCTTCCGCAGAACAAGAATACTGAAATGCTCCGTTTTCTGAAAATTTCGGATTGTAACATGCTCTGCGTCCTCCGAAATAGACTGCTCTGGATCCGCAATTCTCTAAGTGCGCTCTGACATACGCAGTTCCGGATTTCCGCGACTGAGTATTCGAGGTGTTCGAGGTGTTTCGAGAACATTTTACACTGGCGCACGGCCCAAAAAGTCTTATCCGATCTCTCATTATGACGACTAGCGACCGAGTATGACGGTCCATGCTCAAGTGCTTGCCCCGAGTTGAACCCGCCAGCATGTCGTGCCTCGTCCGAAAGTGTGTTTCACGCGGTGTGGGCATCAGGTATTTGCCACGGGGGTCCCGACGTTTCGGTCCATCTGATCTGTCCAATCAACTCAGTCTGAAGGCGAGCCGGTCTTCTCAACTCCAAAGTACCAGGCGACTCTTCGTGCTAAAGTTGAAATCATTATTACTAGGGTTTGAAGTGTGAGGAACACTGTCAGGGAATCTCGCCGTTCCTAGCATCCGATCCAAGTGGCGCTGCTCCCGCTCGGTAC